TGGCACCTGTGTAATAGCGGGGGCTTCCCCTTTTAAAAAAAAAAAAAAAAAAAAAATAGGCTATCAATAGTTTTCCAGTGATCCTCCGATGTTTCTGTCTCACCAGCAGCCCCAACAATCCCCTTGGCCTGTCATCCGTGGCCTTCTGCCTTAGTGTCTGTCCTCCTCACCATTCACAGTAGTTCATTGAAGGCTATCTGAAGGGTTTAGGGTTTCCAACCCCAGTATCCACCCTTGAACCTGAGCGGGTGTCTAGGACCTTGGACATGATGCCTCCTGCCTATCCCCGCCTCCAATGTGGTGGGTGTGTGTATCTGGTCGAGTTCTCGCCAGCCTACCTGTTTTTCGCCTCATTTGCGGCTTCATATCTCCCATATGCCACCGTTTGCTTGTGCCCCACCTTGCTGGCAGATTGAGGCATAGTTTAGGGTCACATTGCCAGCCCCGAGCGGCACCTAGTGGTAATGGGTCCGAACGCGATCCTGTTCCATCCCTGTCGGCCAACCGTATAAACGTGCCTTTCATGTCTGTTCCACCACTGGTTGCCCGCACATCCATAATTGCCTGCCAGTGATTGATGATTGCCTGCTTTGCTGTGACCCCTGCCTCCAGCTGCAAGCCCTAGGCTTGCCCCGTGGGTCCTCCAACGTCACCTCAGCGGTGTTGCGTTGCCGGCGGGCTGGAGTGCGCCTCTGGGGATGAGGTTACCCTCTGGTGCTTGGGACATGTCCATCGCTAGGAGCCTTTCTGTTGCCTTTCTGTGGTATGCCTTCATGCTTGCGCTTCTCTTAAGTATCGCATTATCCTCCTGCGGGAGTGCTCTGCGTGCCCCAACTCTGACAGGTTTCCCCAAATATCCTATTGCATGCGTGCTGGGAAGCGTGCGACTGGCACCTGTGTAATAGCGGGGGCTTCCCCTTTTAAAAAAAAAAAAAAAAAAAATAGGCTATCAATAGTTTTCCAGTGATCCTCCGATGTTTCTGTCTCACCAGCAGCCCCAACAATCCCCTTGGCCTGTCATCCGTGGCCTTCTGCCTTAGTGTCTGTCCTCCTCACCATTCACAGTAGTTCATTGAAGGCTATCTGAAGGGTTTAGGGTTTCCAACCCCAGTATCCACCCTTGAACCTGAGCGGGTGTCTAGGACCTTGGACATGATGCCTCCTGCCTATCCCCGCCTCCAATGTGGTGGGTGTGTGTATCTGGTCGAGTTCTCGCCAGCCTACCTGTTTTTCGCCTCATTTGCGGCTTCATATCTCCCATATGCCACCGTTTGCTTGTGCCCCACCTTGCTGGCAGATTGAGGCATAGTTTAGGGTCACATTGCCAGCCCCGAGCGGCACCTAGTGGTAATGGGTCCGAACGCGATCCTGTTCCATCCCTGTCGGCCGTATAAACGTGCCTTTCATGTCTGTTCCACCACTGGTTGCCCGCACATCCATAATTGCCTGCCAGTGATTCATGATTGCCTGCTTTGCTGTGACCCCTGCCTCCAGCTGCAAGCCCTAGGCTTGCCCCGTGGGTCCTCCAACGTCACCTCAGCGGTGTTGCGTTGCCGGCGGGCTGGAGTGCGCCTCTGGGGATGAGGTTACCCTCTGGTGCTTGGGACATGTCCATCGCTAGGAGCCTTTCTGTTGCCTTTCTGTGGTATGCCTTCATGCTTGCGCTTCTCTTAAGTATCGCATTATCCTCCTGCGGGAGTGCTCTGCGTGCCCCAACTCTGACAGGTTTCCCCAAATATCCTATTGCATGCGTGCTGGGAAGCGTGCGACTGGCACCTGTGTAATAGCGGGGGCTTCCCCTTTTAAAAAAAAAAAAAAAAAAAAAAAAAAGAGTCAGGCGCTGGGCCTGGGCAGCCTCAGCCACTCGACCGGGCCAGATCCGGTCACACGCCTTCGCGGCGCCAGGCGGGAGCGTCAAGCACCTGGGCCTTCCTCTGTCCAACCAGCCAGCAGCTGCGGCCACAGCCCTCCACACAGCCCTCCGCACAGACATTGTCACGAAGGTGGAGACCCGCATCGCGCGCTGGTTCCACCTCAGCATGCTGGGCCGGGCGTACGTCGCCAAGCAGGTGCTGGCGTCCATGGAAACCTACCATGCCACCTTCGTGCCAGTGCCGCGGGAGCTGCTGGAGCGGCTTTGCAGAGCCATCCACACCTTCGTCGCGGCGAACAGGCCAGTGACAGGCAGCGCAGCAGCACTCTTCCCGGGCAAGGCGACCTGCTTCCGCGCGGGAAAGGACGGCGGCATTGCGCTGGTGGACCTCAGCGCCCAAATCTTGGCACTCCAGGCCAAGGTGCTTGGCAGGCTGCTGGAGCCAGAGCAGCTGGCCTGGAAAGCCTTCTTCGACTTCTGGCTGCACAGGAGCGCCGCTTGGCTGGCAGCCCAGAAGCCCGCCTCGCTCTCAGCGCGCCACCAGCATATCTGGCAGCTGGGCAGATTCCTACTCTTCTCCAGTTTCCCAGCAGAGCGGCTGCAGGCCCCGGCGCGCGTGCGGCAGTACGTGCACGCTTACCAGAAGCTGCAAAAGCGCATCCAGCAAGACGAGCTCAGCCACAACGCGGTCCTCAGCGAGCCACACTTCTTCAACAGGCAGCTCACAGACGCCGGTGGGCAGCCTCTTGCCTGGGAGGACTGGGCCAGGCTAGGCCTCGTGAGGGTCAGTCACCTTCGCGACCTGTTGAGCGGCCCGGAGCACCAGCACAGCGCCATCCGCCATCGCCTGCCGACTCGGCTCGCCGCTCTGCCAGCGTCATGGAGACAGCTCATCCAGTCCCAGCAGCAGCGGCCCTCTGGCTGGCGTATCCTGATCCGGTTGAGCGCCGGGTCTGGTCGCACACAGCTGCAGTGCGCTACCAGCTCAGCCATACAGTTAGCAGCACAGGCGCCCTCGTGCCAGCAGACGACAGGCTGGTCAGCACTCGTTTCCCCCTGCGACCGCGCAGCCGGCGTTGGTGGAGCACTGGGACATTACTAGGCCCTGGCACCCGCGCACCGGGAAGGGCCAGCAGCCTGGAGCACAGGAGCGCGGCACCAGCATATCTGGCAGCTGGGCAGATTCCTGCTCTTCTCCAGCTTCCCAGCAGAATGGATGCAGGCCATGGCACGCTCGCAGCAGTACGTGCACGCTGATCAGAAGCTGCAAAAGCGCCACCAGCCAAACTCGCTCAGTTACGACGCGGTCCTCAGTGAGCCCCTGTATTTCAACGGGCAACTCATAGTTGCCGGTGAGCAGCCTCTTTTCTGGAAGGAATGGGCCAGGCTCTATCTCGTCAGGATCAGCCACCTTGCGACATGTTGCGCGGCCCAGAGCACCAGCAGAGCGCCATTCGTGATCGCCTGGCGCCCCTCCTCGCAGCCCTGCCGGTCGCATCGAGACAGCGTCCATTCCGAGCTATCAGTAGCGGTGTGGCTGGCTTTTTCTGCCCCAGCGGACTGCCGAGTATAGTCCGGCGCAGCAGCAGGCCACTACCTTCGCACTTACATAGCCAGTAGCACAGGATCACTCGTCTTAGTAGAGGATGGAGCACAGCCAGGCCAGCACGCCTTCTTGCCTGCCAACGCGCAGCCGGCGCTGCTGCAGTGGTGATTCACCAGGCCTTGGCATCCGCGCACCGGGAAGCACAAGCAGCCCCAGGAGCAGGAGGAGAGTACGCTCCTCCGCGCCCTTCCACACAAGCAATGCGGTACCTCTTCGGCTTCTGGGGCAGTCAAGTTGTGGATCCTCGGCCATGGGGCCTCACCCGGCAAACGAGGTCGTTGTCAACGTGGCCACCACGCGGCGCCAGGTGCTTCACAGAATTAGCAAGGGAATGGCCAGCCCACTCGACCCGCTGCGGCCAGCCATCTGGGCCGACACCACAGATCAGCACAGCAAGCTGCGGGCGCTTGAGATGCGCTGGCAGTCCAGAGCAGCAGCAGCAGGCTCAGGGTCTCGGGTCCTGGGCAAGTGGTCGCGTGGGAGGCCGGACCCCTCCTCCTATACTTTATGGATGGGCCCGTCGAGGCGGCGGCCACCTTAGCCGCGGGATCGTCACGGCCGCGCGCCAAAGACCCAGCACAGCCCTAGGGGCCACCCTCAGACACTGTGGGACGCCGCCGCGCTTGCTGCACTTTGAGCGCACGTATGGCGGGTGGTGGACACTTACACATCTCGATCGGCGGCAGCATCACGGCCTGATACTTCGCGGCATGCTGTTCGTCGGGAAAGGCTCCCGCAAATACGCTAAGCAGATCCAGCGGGACACAACTGACTAGAAAGGCACCGGATGCTGTGCGCTACAGCGAATGAAATGCTGAACATCGGACTGATCGTCCAATGTGCACAGGGCATTTGCAAAAGCGCGCCAAAGATTATCCTGCTGAGCTTGATTGGCCCCTGCAAAGGCACGAGCGCCGCCTGACAGCCGGATCCTGTTCGGTTTACCAAGCTGCAAGAAGAGCCTTCAGGATGCGTGCAACATAAGCTGCAATGACCCCGTAACGACTGAGGAAGTGGGGCCAGGAGCACCGTCGTTTGCTGCAATGGTCTCCTTGAAAATTCCCTTTCTTTTACGGGACGACACTCAGCCAAATATGCTTCTATCCTGAAATGTTCCTCAAAGCAGCCAAATGTAAGCATGTAACTTTCTGCTCCATCCACTCGTACTTTCGATAAAATTGCTGATGATCTGCAAGATTGGGCCGTTTTTCGTGACACCTGAAACTGGTGAATTGAGGAAAGTCATTACACGAGAATACCATGGAACAAATAGCAGTCAATCAAAGGACATCGCAATCCCATCTAAGGAGCTTGTAAACTACATGCGCAGGCAAAGACACCAATATCTATGCATCGATTGCTAGTCTCCCTGGTGCATCCCACATGGTACTTAGACGTAAGAACTAGGTGAAGCAAATAGACTGAAGTAGCTCTATAGCCACGAAAGACAAAGGACATACTGGCGAACACTATTTAAAGAGCGCTGCATACAGATGATTAATTGCAGGTGAGATGAGAAGGTCATTCAACTGATAGAACAACCTCATGCCAGGCGTTGTTGAGCACGCCGCGCAGATTCCAGATCGCTGCTGGGGACTCCGGCTGCGTGTTGTAATCAGAATCAACAGCCCTGCAAATGAGCTTGATGTGGCCATCTTTGGACTCTGGAAGCGGCACAGATGTGCGCCACAGCGTCCATGCCCAATTCCTGCAGCACGTGAGACCTCAAGCCTTCACGCGTACCATGACTCAAGCACACCTGTGTCACCAATGGAATGTCGACGACAGAGATGCCAACCTGTATCGTCGGTCATACACTGGCTCGAGCTCGGCTGTTGTCCAGGTTTCACCGTCGTCAGCAGAAACATCAACACGAATGATGGCGTGTCCTCCTCCGCTGTAGGCATAGCCACGCACCTGCAAGGCCTCAAGCTCTGATAAGCAATAGAGATGCGATTGGATGTCCAGATGTTGTCAGGCCACGCATCTGTCCGGTCAAGCGTGAATCAATCATATGGCAAATTTGAACACCCTTCTGGTGATCTGGCTGGTTACCTCAATCTCATCAGGTGGCCCTTCCAAAACACCGCCTGGCCTTGGTTCACAGATTGCTGACTGAACATTGGTTTCCTGCACTGCCGGAGCCGAACTCCAATCCACATTGTCCCAGTCTACACTGGGACTGAAGGACTTGTAATCCTTCTGCAATACCAAAGAGAGGCCCGTCAGTCCATTGAGTCTTTTTTCAGAAATTGCATTACAGTATTCAGGAATAGCTGGCTTTGTAAGCACCCTTGAGCGCCATTACTGTGTCTCAAGAGGAAAAAGCGGGGGGTGGACCTGTTGCCAGTGGCTCTGGGATTCCTCTTTGCTTGCAATGATCCTTGACAGCCATTTCACACAGCGTGCACCAGTGATGCCCGGTGCAACGATCCTGACTGGGAATCCATGGTCATGGGGCAACTCTCTGCAAATCACCACGCGCTCTCTTTGGACTTCCAGGCTGCTTGGAACTCATGCAAGACAGCTGTAAATTAAGTCGAATTGTAAGGGCCTCTCTAGGTACATGAGGGCATGCCAATCAAGGTTTTGAAAGATGTCTTTATCAAAGACGGGGCAGACTGGACTCACTTGCCATTCATCTCATATGCCAGGATGACATCCTCATGCCGGGAGACAGCTTTGGAGACTGGGATGGAAGCTCCGTAGCATGTACCACTGATGTCACTGTCCAGGCCCTCAAATTGAATGTGCTCAATTTCGTCAATGGTGTCATCATCAAGCCCAGCATATGCCAGCACATCACTCAACCGCGCACCACTAAATTCCGCAGTTCCTATTGCACCTGCAGGGTGCTCCAATTGAAATTCAGACTCCCAATGCGGTGCTGCCAACACATAAATCATGATGTCAGTGGGCGTGCAAGAGGAATGGCGCCCTACCAATGCCCCACTCCAAGCCCTTCACTTTCTTCACATCATTGAATTGGTCCCTTCGATTCCCGGTGCATTGGAGGGTAGCTGTAACGGTGTGCTTCTTAAATTTTGTGGTCAAATCCTTCAGGGACAGTTCCACGCGCTTCAAGCCCTCACCCTCTACCCTCACCTGCAGATAACCTAGTCATTATAATGGGGGCCCATGTGGAGAGCTGTGGCATCTACGCCCAAATGCTGGTGAACAATGGATGCAGGCAGAATGCAGAATTGATGAGCATCAGTCAGACTTACCGACCAGCTTGCGGGATCGACGTGAGGCACCGGCAAGTGATTGCGCACATAAAAGAGCTCATTCGGAGTCAACCGGGATGTTCCAAGGACATCGACGGGCGTTTCGGCATTGAACGGCTGCTGTGAGCGGACCACCAGCGCTGGGTGCCTCTTCGGCTCGTTGGCATATGGGTCCGCCACCTGCTGTGTGGCTGCGGCACCAACCTGCAAGCACATTTTCCTTCCATAAGCATGCAGCTGGCCGGCTTGGCCGGTGGAGTGTCCCTGCAACCGGTTAGATTTATGCAAATTCTGCCGCTGTCATGCCATGTTATAATTGCGGTAATGTCCGTCTCAGGCATGATGGCCCGGATCTGGTGACTGCTCACCAACTTGCCAATCCTGTAGTCCTCCAAGAGCTGCCTCACTTCATCAGTATTGTGCTGCGCATACATTGCCCAGAAGGGGTCAAGAGCGCCGCCTGCAGCGAGCATCAGTCGCTGGGCGCCTCCAGGATGCATGTCCAGAAAGTCTGTCACGTCGTAGACCCCATCTTTGTATGTGACCCACACGCGTTTGTCTCTGGTGCAGTGCTCAGCAACCTCCTCGCCAGTGAAATCCTTTTCAGGGCCCCCAACCTTCTGTGATCCACACACGCATGCCTCAGCAAGCCTCTGCCTGGATGATGCTTTTCAAGACAGATTGATATGGCTGTGGAGCAGTGATCGTCCTTAGTTTTGTGGCTACAGGCCTCCAGAATACCTTAGTCTGCCCCGCTGAAGCCTTTCCTTCCCGCTCTTCGCAATTCGCCAGGCCCACAAGAGTAAAGACTCCACCGAAGGCTGTAGCGAGACCAGCGGCAGTGGCTGCATACCTTTCCCAGCTTCTTGTCCTATGCGAGCTGGAGTCATCAGCAGAGCAGCTGAAGGCTCGTGCTGCTAGAAGCGCATGGCTATTAGCTGTGGCTAATTTCCGTTGATTTGCGTTGGAGCCCCTAGCGACTCGACAGAGTATTGCCTTGAGATGGACCCGAGAAGAACACCACATGCTTGCACCTATGGAACCAATGAATAGTCTATGGGCTCGACCGCATCTGCACTGGCTTCAAATTTAAAAAATATTCCATAATCCAAGACCTGTATTGTGCACAATACTTTTCAATTCAGCGGGTCCCGTTCCATGGTAAAGTAGGCCACCATCAGTGGTGATGTGAACCACTAATTCTTCGTAGTACCCGTAAGCATACTCGAGACAGTTTACAACAATTATGATAGTGTTAATGTCCAACGTATTCAGTTGGACTAAGTTTCGCGAATTCGCAAGAAAGTTCGAAGTTCTCTCCCTTCCCAGTACACGTGAGCATCAGTGGATGCATGCATTCCAGTTCAAAATTTCTTCTAAGTAGGTGTCCCCTTCCCCAAACAACTGCGCCACCTTCCAGGCCAAAATTTGTCGAGCTTGAGTGATGCGACTACAACGAGGCACCACGTGCAACCTCAGTCAGACTTTCGGCGGTTGCAGCACCCCGTCTTTCCACACCGGCTCATCAGGCTTCAAGCGGTTTGCCAATTTTTCTGCTGTATCGCGATCACCTGTGCATGACATTGCAGAGGCCATCAATGACATTGACTGGACTGCAAGATCATGCAGAATATGGCCAGAAGGTCAGAGGGCACAAGGCCCTGCCAGAAGGGTAAATGCTGCGAGGTAATTAACCTGTCCGGTAGGCGAGGTTCATCTGCATGCGCGTCATCTCCTGGTCACGCATCGCCTCCACCTTGTCAGGAGCAGTGTACTTCAGCTCATTGTAGGCCTCCCTCAAGCGCTCCTGCTGGGCAGCCAGGGCTTCCCTGTGCCTCCGTGCTGCCACATCCGCCTCGTCATTGAATTGGGCCTTCTCCTCCTCCTGAGGAAAAGCAGGGCTCACCGAGTCATGATCTGAGGTGCGCTCCTCATCGTGCATGTAAAGCTGATTGACCAGACAATGCACACAGAACAAAACAAACGATCCAGGCGGGATAATGAAAGCACTTACCAGAGTTTTTCCTCTCTTGGCCGCTTTCAATGCTCGCTTTCTCTCATACAGGTCAAGGTCATAGTACTTCTTATGGGGCAGTGTGCCCGTGTTGTAGTCCTCTATGTATGTCCTGCAATACGAGACCGCACACATCAATTTGCACATTGTTAACCATGGTGAGTGCATTACACGGCCTTCCTGCAGGACATCGAAAACGTACTTGAAGATATCCTTCTCTTCCCACTTTGGCAAAGACTCCACGTTGATTCCCTTCGCTTCTGACGCCCACATAACAAACTCTGATCGGAACCTGCGGCAAGAAGGAATCAATCAACAACCGTCACATTTTGTCACCGCTCGCAGAAAGTGAGCGCAGAGGCCAGCCGGCAGGAATGAAGAGGGAGCCTCACCGCTCGAAATCTGTTTCCCTTACGATGCCATACTTTCCAAAGCTCTCTGTATTTACCAGCTGGTCCTGCATGACACAGAAGGATCAAATAATATGCCTGAAGGATCCTCAATATGGCATGCAGGATTGCTAAATCTGCAATAGCTTGACCAGGATGAGGACCTTTTCTTTCTTGTGACTCTCCTTTCTGTCATGCTTCCGTTTCTTCCTGGATTTTGACTTGTCCTTCCCTGAGCGCTTCTTTTTTCTTCTGTTTCCTGCGCTGTCATCTGATGATTCTCCAGAAGACACTGCCTGCTCTCTTGGCTTCAACTTCTGTCCCTTTTGCAGGGCCTGCGCAATGTCCATGCATCACAGTCACTGCATCATCATCTCCTCCAATATTCAGTATGCCCTGCGAGTCTTCGAAATTTCATACCTTCTGCAGCTCGGCCAGCTCCATGCCCTTCACATTGATGAACAACTGCACAAGGTGGACGGCTGGCTTCACTTCCCACTTCGCTTCCTGCAGTGCAAGGGCCAATACTGCTGGACTAACGCTGGGTAGCTCTTCCTTGATCCGGGACATGGCAGCCTCCTCCTTTTCCTTCTGCAGGCGATCCGTATGTTTTTGTACCTGCAGAGAAGGTGTCGATCGTTTCATGCAGTTCCCTGGAGGCTTAGAGAAGAAATAATTGCATCCCAAACACAAACCATGCTTTCTCCGCGATCATCGGCCATTCCTGCTGCGCCTCTTGTAAATAGGCCAATATCCATGTTGTGCAAGATCACTAGCTTCCTGTAAATGCCTTAAGTCTTGCTTGAAGAGTTGAGAATGCGCCCTCTTCAGCTCTTGAATCGATCAGGCGATCGGTTTCTGGTATTCGGTAATATGAAACGTCCTGATTTCCAAGTTCGATATCAATGAATTTGCCTCGTCTAGTAAGCTTTTATAACATTTGGAAAAAAACGAGAAGAAGTGCACTGCATCTTGGCTTATGGCGTTCCCTTCTACGTGCAGGTTTCTGCGGGTTCGCCAGGTAGTTAGCATCCTGGGAAAGCCTGCCTGCGATATTGATATCAGTCTAGTTCGTCGCACTACAGGATGTCTGACAGATCAGCATCGCGCAGCAGGTGTGGTTCGGCTGCGTCATTTTTCTCTTGACTGGGGTAATGACATCTAGTCATCCTTCAGGGAGAAGACCTTTCTTTTTACTACCGTCTGAATGATGTGCAGAAGCAGGAGCGCTGTTCACGACCGTTCGCCGGATGCTAGGAGCCTCTCACGCAGCCGTAGGGCGCTTGCCTCCCTGATCAACCTCGTAAAATCCAAACCATATGTGTTGTTAATGTGCCTCAGCTGCCAGCTGCCAACTTGTGGTGTTGCTACACACCACGCCACTGGCAGCTGGCCCCGCCCTCTGCAGCCCAACTGTCCCACTGCTGCGCCTGCTAGCCCTGCTGCGCCTTTGGCCTGCTCACAAGCTTGCTAGCCGCGTATTGTTGAAGCTGCTGCATGCCGCTCGCTGCGGCTGCAGCTGCTGCTGCTGCTTTTACTGCTCGGCATTTTGCTGCACCTGCCTCCTAAAGACTGTGAGTGCAGAACCATGAAAACTTCCTTTGGTAGCGCTGACTTGGTCCTGTGAGACTGCTGTGACAATCTGCATGTCTTTGCAGCCCTATTGGCATGCACATTTCACATTCTTTGGTCTGAAGCAAATGCTCTGGTGCCACAGGTTCGCGCAGCAGAAGATCTGACAGCGATGAGGACAGGTAGAGGCACGAACCCTGCATGAATATGCACAATTGCACAATTTTGAAGAATGCACAATTTTTAGCATGTCCGTTTGCACGCATTGCAAAGCATGTGTAAACCTGCCTGGCTATGCTGCCCTGCAGACGCAGCCGCAGCCGCAGTGCCCGCCGAGTGAGCCGCAGTGCAAGCCCCAGACGCCAAAGCCTGAGCCCCAGACGCCATAGCCGCTCTCGAAGCCGTAGCCGCGCCCGCGACTGGAGGGTGCGTTAATTCCTGTGTGGTTTGAAATGTAGACAGTACACATTCTGCATTTATTCTCTGCTGGATCCACTTGCAAAAGTCCTTTTCTTGTTCCCACAAGTGCATTCAAGCAGAGTCCTTGTGCCCGCAGAAAATCCTGGACGGCCTGATTGACAGGGGCGACATTCGCAGCAGCGATGTTGACAACCGAGCCATGGATGCCCTGGAAGGTTTGCGCCTGAGGCCCCCTCCCGACTTTGCACTCCCTCCTCCCATCATGTGTCCATCAGACCCTGAGGTCTGTATTTGCCGCAGACCTGGGCGATGCCGCTGCCACAAACGCTGTGGAACGCTTCGCAGAAGCAAACTTCTCGCGCATCAACAACAAGAATGGCTTCTTGATGGTGCGCGATCCAGCATCTGTGCTGCTGCCCATAGAATTAATGCTAAAGCACTCTGTTGTCATCCGTGTGTTTTCACATGTCCTGATGCTCCATTCTCTGGTGCAGGGCATCATCCGCAGGGTGCAAGAGGACGGCCCAGATCGGGGCAACGTTGACCTGGACATCCTGCCGCGGTCTGTGCGATACAAGCTCCGCGACATTATGGATGATGTGAGGACATGTCTTTTTGGCATCTCTGTGCACTTCTTTGCGCTCCTCTAGCTCCAGTTTCAGGTTTCTGTGTTGAGCTGGCATGGCTTGGGCTGAACATTCGTGTCCATGCAGGGTCGCATCGGCAAGAACGATATTGATGCTCGCATGCTGAAGGCACTGGCAGACCTGCCAGTGGACCTCGGCATTGAAGCCGTGGACAAGTTTGCCATGGCTAGCCTTGACAGCGTCCGCAGCAAGACCGGCTTCATGGTGAGCCGATGCTTGTGCTACTTTGGCTGGTGTGCGTATGGTCTACTGCCATCGTCTGCTGTGCTTGTGCTCACATCTTCAATGGATGCTGCTTGCAGATGGGGATCATCAAGCGCATTCAGGAGGACCTCTCTACACGCTACCGCGGACGCGACACTTATGACAGGCACGCAGTGTTCATCCACTTTCATTTGGTACTGGCACCCTTGCATGCCAAGCACCTTGCTCAACATGCCAATAACCGCTGAGGATGTTGTGCCGGTTTGGCAAGCAGGGGCTATGGGGGAGGGGGACGCTATGATCGGTATGACAGGTACGTTTCACTGGATGTTGTGGGCAGCAGATGCTCCAGGTGTCCCTTAGATGCATGTATGAGGCAACAGCATGCACGGGCAGTCTGCACAGCGAGTCTTCTTTTTGCAGGGGTTATGGTGGTGGTGGTGGTGGTGGTGGTGGCTCAAGATACGGTGGTTATGGCGGGGGTGGGGGCAGCTATGGCGGATACGGTCGTGACGGCGGTGGCTATGGGCGGTACTGATGAAGGTTAATTTACAGCTGGTTTTCAACACACCGTCTCGTCTTGAAGACAGTGCTACCGCCACAATCGCTGTGACTGAGTGTGCATCATGATGACTATCGCGATGCAATGTGTTCTCCCACTGACATGCCGCCTTGAGACGTTCCTTGACAGCAGTGCTTGGCAAGGAGGATGTCCGACTCTGAGTCAGTGGAAATGCAATCCATGTGGTCACCACAACGGTTGTGCAGTTTGGGCCTTGCGGCTAGGACCTGGCTGCCCTCAGGCTGCAGCTGCTGGCACTGCCTGGCAGCTGCGTAATACTAGTTAAAATAATCACCTGTTAGAATCAGAGTTATAATAAAAGTTGCCAATTCCGTGCGAATGGCCATTGTCGATCACTGCCGAAGTCGGAAGCTACTCATATCATTGCACAAGCTCAGCTTAAGGCTTGAGCTTAAGTAGAGCAAGCACATATTTATTGGCAAAGTCTTCTAATTTACATGCACAAGCATCACACAGTGTAAATCACATTCTGCATCATGTCCATGCATTGGCTTTCTTCTTGGCCTTAACCTGATCCAGCCAACGCCGCGACCCAGGTGTTGCATGCGTATCATCCAGCCGCGCCTCTGGCGAAATGCCACCTTCACTTCAGCTCTCCGAATGAAGCACGGGCCATACTGCGCAGCCCACCTTCCCGGTTCATCCTCCCCATTCTTTCAAGTGTTGCAACCATGTCTGGCGCTACCGTGTCTACGAAGGCCTTTTTCGTGGGTCAAGGTATACAGCCCGGCTCCTGCGCTTCCGCTCTTGCCCCTCCCAGCACCCCACCGGGAATGCCCGTTGACATCTGTTGGTGCCCTTGCAGACCTCGCCAGGCACAACACTCGTAGCGCAGGCACTAGCAAGGTTGGGGGACGCGTGGACGTTTCCAAGGACATCAATGAGATTAAGTTCACGGCCTCATTGACGGACGCCTCTGCCAGAGACTACGAAGCTACGCCATGGATCAGGGACTTCATCGTGTCAGCCGAGAAGAAACTGAACTGTGCGACACGCTCCCCAACCCCTCAAGTGATGTTCAAAGTGGATGGATGCCAAAAATTGCCTCCAAAACAAAGCAATCTTGCAAGACCGTTGAGATAAGGTCCCCGGCATCTGCACCTGGTGTCCGGTCCTAAAGGATCTGCGTAGGAATGCCCAGAGGACGCGCCTTTGCCCAGCACCCGCTGTCAGTTTTCTTACTGGTTGAGAGTGTGAATTTTTAGATTTAGTGCTTTACTTGGCCTACCACGCTTGCCGCGTCAGTTGCCGAGTCAGCCCGATGCCCATGCCTGTGCTTGACAGCAACTGTCCAGCGCCACTGCTGGCCCTTGCTGCTTCAGGATACGACTTGAAGATGTTATCTCTTGTGGAAGCTGCCCATCGCTGGCATTCCTATGGCCCCCATCTGCTTCAAAAGTATTTATCTCCGTGTGTGTCCCGCAGCCAATACCACCGGCCTGCTCGGTTACGACTTCGGTGCCCAGTCTGCCTTCGCCTCTGTGGGTGCCGAGACAGATGTCGCCGGCAAGGACGTTCAGGCCAGGTGGGGACGATGAGTTGTAGTCTTTGCAAACACCCTGTCACATCTACCAGCCTGTGGGTATGCAAGACGGACGTGAATGCTGACTGGTGGTTTGCAATGCAGTGCCACCTGGTTCCAGAGGGGAACACAAGTGCGTACCCAGGCAAACGTGAAGCTTGACCACCGCGCCACCCTGTGGGGCACGTAAGCCCCTTCCAGCTCTTCCAAAGTTGTACCTTGCAAAGTGGATGACAGGAATCTGCAGACGGGAGCACAGAGCTGAAGCGTGATTATTGTGCTAAAGCTGGTCAATCTGCTGCGCAGGCACACCTTCCACGACGAGTCCCTGCTGTCAAACTCCACATATGTGAGAGCCGTGCTACCCTTGCAAATGTGTTTGAGAGTCGAACAGCTAGTTTTGCCCCCAAGTTTTTGTCAGAATATCTGGCTGCAGGTGGTCTCATGAGCGGAATGTGTCTGTAGGTGAACCTGAGGGAGCGCCAGGGCTTCATCATCCACCCCTTCACAGTGCCCATCTCCACCAGTGCCGCTCAGTTGACCTTGGAGAAGGATGGCTACGTCATTGAGCCGGCCTTTGACTTCAAACAGCGCGCTGGCTACCTGAGTGTGGCCAAGGACCACAACAAGTACAACTTGAGGGGCAGCTATGCCTTCAAGGAGGTCAGACATCATCCCTTTGCACTGAAATCATTCGTTGTCCCTGTAATAGTGTCATAGTCCAAAAATCGATGCTGTCAAGTGTACCTACTCTGCTCTGCTGTCCATGCAGGAGACGGCCCTCTTCGAGGTTGGCTACAGGCACAACGGCGTCTTTGACCGCAACCCGCTTGTGCGCGTAAGTGCAGTTCCCCAGTTTGGTTGCGCACACAGTGGCAGTCTTTGTTGAGGATCAGAACACAAATGCTGTGTCTGCTGCTTCGCTTACTGTCGATGCTTCCTGGCAGGGGTATGTCAAGGCTCCCATCTCGGCCAACAACGGTCTTGGTGCCCTGAGCTTGGGAGTGATTGTGGACCACACTTTTGAGATCTGAGCAGCCGGCTGGGTGTCTGACAGCAAGAGACTGTTCTTTTACAGAGGTGAAAGCATTCCTTGCTGTGAAGGGCCAGCAATCAATTTTGGTAGCACCCATCTTGCACTACAGATGTTTCTTGTCGTACTTGTTGCCAAGCAAGTTGATGCTGATTCTGGTCAAGGAGAGCTTTGCAGATCTGAGTGCTTGAGAATTGACTGCTTTTCATGTTTGTTTGTGAGGACTGATACATGTCATGACGTGTGAGTCAATGTTAAATTCTTGAAGATCCTACCTGGAAGAAGGGAATGCATGTGCCTCAACAGTTATCACATCTTTGCACATAGGATCCAGCATGTGCATCACACTGGAAGATTTATTCTGTTACAGGCACATGTACGGATCAGTGAATGCATGCTGGCCCAAACTCTGGCACGGTTGCAGAGAGTTGTCATAAAAGCGATAAGCTCAAAGAGCATCACACCAGCATATCCAATATAGGAGATGTGGTAGTACAGGCGCCGGAAACTGTCACATGCACATCGATGATATCACCTGTTTGCCAGTCAAATGTAGGGGACTTTCATTCAAAACTTGCTTTACTGTCCCTGGTCAATTTTTATGCGATTTTGCGGACAACTACGCCTTTCTTGCATTCTACCTTCAGGTGTGTTTTTGTAAAGGTGTCTTTAAAGAGGTGCACACGGTGGCGAATGATGGGCCCACTAGTACTAGGACACTGAACATGAGTGATGACGTTCTGTTCCACCAGTTTGATGACAAAGCTTAGGCTGCACTTCCAGCATTTCCAGATCTGTGACTCAAACTCAACCGCACACATTCAACCTCAAGCCATCTGAAGGGTACACCTGTTTTGAAGGTACCACAGATTCCCTCATTACGGCACTTTGCCAAATATCCAGTCATGCCAACACAATTCAAGTAATGAGACTGCACAATTGCGCACATTGATAAGACCTTTCCTATGGCACAGACAATGCAACAGATATCACAGGTTAAATAATCACAAATGCAACGTCAGTATCTCGCAATTCTTGAGGCGCTTTCCTCCAGAGAGCTCGCGAATCATGCTGCTGTGCCCATAAGCCACAATGACCTGCTCCTGCTGGGCTTGCACCCACCGCCTGAACGAAGCCACTCGCTCCTGCAGGTGCAGAACAACTGTTGGTATCCGACAACGCTGATCTTTGGAAAGCCAGCAGCTCCAGAAAACACAGAGGGACAAGAGACTACTGATGTCCACAGCAGCACCTAAACAGCATTCCTCCCAGCCAAATCCAAGCAATTCTGTTTTTAAAGCTTTGGCATGGGCAATGGACAACCAGAAGTTCCTGCACGGACCTGCAGGTTGCGCTTGGGCTCGATCTTATTGAAACGCTGTGATAGCGAGTCATTGCATTCAGGCGCAAACCACCAGCGTTCTGGAATTCCAGACATGGCCTCCCGCAGCTGCAGCAGCCATCATCAACCTTATTGCAGATCAGGAGGAAACACAAATCCCAACACACACACACGCTTTGATCAGCTTCTTTGGCGGGTGCTGTCAAACCTGGTCAAACTTCTCCGCAAGATAGCTGATGGGAAGGCCTATGTCACCCGTTGTGACAAGATGCTCTGTAAGCTCATGCCTCACGGCAACCTGCACGCATGTGACCGCAAATTCAGTTGTGAATTTTCTTCCCTGTTTGCCATGTCCAATGACCGCACAGAGGTGATACCAACACACCTTCACATTTGTGCCGTCTGCAGAACCCTGCTGCCCCCGCCTACCAATGAGATGACCTTTTGGGCAGCTGAGCAACAGAGTCTCAATGGCTCTTGTTAAAGGAGACGACACCCAAAGGGCCCCATCCAATTTGGCCAGCGCCGCAACTCTTGCTTTGAGCTCGATGGCCTGCGCAATAACTGGCTCTTTCTATGCTGAATTGCAATTGAGCACAGAAGTAGTAGCAACCAGACAGACAGCGCTTGCACGCACCTGCCGACGTCCCTTGGAAGTCAGTTTGGGGTTGAATATCTGCGGGTCCTTAAAATCATGTCCAGCATTTGTCGCAGCGTTGAATTCAGATTCACCATGCCGGATGATGTGCAGCACCTGCAGACAGCCATGCAGCAAAATCAATCAGCGGCGCTCGGTGCTGCACAGTCATGTTCTGGTGCCAGAACAGGAGGAACAGGTGTGACCAACCTTCCATTGCGATTTCGGCCTGAAGATGGGGAAGAGTTTGCGAGTGGCCTGCAAGCTTCTGCCGTTCGGATGACTGTCCATCAGGTGTTCCTCGCTCACCAATTCCGGCGTAAGGCTGTTGCGAGCCGGTGCACTCTGCAGCTGCCTGCTGGGCCCGGCCTCATCTGCTCCTGACCTGGATTCCTCTGGGAAGAACATCTCGGAGGGGTCATCCTGCAATGCAACACCTCGCATGTAGTTCCTGAAGATGTATATTCAAGACATTGAAGACAATGCCAATCTGACAAAAGGCCTGGACATTGAAGACAATGCCAATCTGACAAAAGGCCTGGAACCATGAGTACCAATATGACTACCAGACCTTCCACTGCCGAGTCTGGAGCGCCACCCTACCTTGGAGGGGCTCCGTTCCTGCTGTTCTGGCTGTGTCTCGTTCCTAGTGTACGATTGGCTGTAGGATATCTTAAAGTCGTCCTCAGCAACACAGAAGGCTCCCCCCATCCATCCTGTGCCTCAAGAATAATTTTCACCATCACACTGAGAGCTTACTTTCCTTGCCATGGAGAGCAAACGCCCGCAACTGAAAAGGCGCACCATGCCCTGAAGTCTGGGGCGTGTTGAGGCTCTGTGAGCACAGAACTCTCTCCACGCTGTTAATCCTGCGCACTGTCTCTGTCCCACACACAGCGCCACAACCCCCGTGGTCTGCGGCTCCTGGATGTCATGATTGGAAGCTTGCGTTCAGTGCAGCGTCCTCTGTTGTATAATTATGACAAGAAGATACAGATAACACTGGCAGGTGGCCCGTCCTGACGCACCTGGAGTAGTGCAGTTGTCAAGTAGGCCACGTGGTTGCACCTGAATCTGCAAAGGCACCAGCCCCTTAACCCAGTACCTTGAGATGCCACATGATACACGCTGTTGTGAGTGACACGAGCCAAATCTGCTAGAGGTCCTGTAAGATAACTCCACTTGGACAATGCACTGCTTGCTTTATGAGAACACTTGATATTCGCAATCTTCTACCGAGTCTGCGTCGCATGCGTAGCTTTTGAAATTCAACCTGGCGAGACAAAAATGGTGAGAATGCGCATTGCCCCCATTTGGTGCAGGTAAGCGTCAAGCTTACCTGCTCTCCCTCTTCAACGGCTATCCTGAGCCTTTTGGAGGGAGGCTGCATGCCAGACCTCCGGCAGGTCAGGTGAGCCCGCAGGCTCGCCTCTCCACGGCACCCTTCCAGCTGGTCCCAGTCCCAAAACACTGGCTTATGAAGGGGGTTCTAAATGATGACTGAACGAGTATGACAGAACTTGTGGCCGAACAATCACTGGCTTCAATCTGTAACTTTTCTTGCTTATAAAAAACCTAAGATGACATGCCCTTGCTCCCTAGAAGAATGACATTTTTGCCTTCAACACCTTGAAACGAAATACAGGGAGGGCAGGGCAGAACATAATCCTGTGAGCGCAAGTCTCGGAAAATTTTCTGAGAGATTTAGACGATGGATTGACATCGTCGGCTGCTACTGTTTCTAGGTGTTGAAATGAATCCAAACATTATCCTTAAATATAAGCTCCCTGTGAAGCTCCGGCTCTCCGAAGTCACCGGAAGTCTCCGCAAGTCTCCGGAAGTCACCTCGGCATGCCGCCAGACGACATGTCTCACCAGAACCGACATCGATTGAAACTGACGCTTGATCATAGCTAATTTCGTGTTTGGGATCACGAAACGGCTTAATGATTGCAGATAGTCTGTGTCCCTTTCGAGCAGTGCGTGGTGGCAAATTGCTTTCGTCTGAAAGCTGGCCGGAAAGATCATAGGCAAAATCATTCCGATCTCAAAACGCCGAAGAACTCTGAGATTCACAGTTCTGCTTTGTTTCTGCCGGGATGAAGTCTTGGCTGAGATACCGCATCAAGGGAAGTCACATCCTTTTTCGACGTTTGAAAGAAGGCACTGACATGAGATAGTTCTCCAAGTGGAGAGCAATATTTCATGAGGATTGTTTGCGCAGCCAGAGTGTTATTGGTGCCAGCGCCGTTGAAGCTTCGACCATCATCCGAAGCTGGCACTTGCATAGCATCAACTCTTACAACTCAAGGTAAATCTCTGCATGGTATGCTGGAGACTGCAGGGCAATTGCCAACTCCGAATCTTACAAGATGACACAAAAGAGCGTGTGCTGGCCTCCACTGAGCTGTGTGTTCCATCACTTTGCTGGCAGCACTTGTTGAACACGCTATCAGCACGGAGCAATCCTGAATGCATGCTGCGGCGGATCCGAAAGTAAGAACTTCTGGAAGTGATGAAACGAGACCAGAAATGCATCTTCCTGTTGCATGTTCTCACTCGCCTTCGCATTGGATCTCTTGATCCTCTTGAGCAGTATTTCCTGGATGAAACTTCCAGAAATGGAGTTGGCAATGGGGTCAGTTTTCCCAAGAGAACCACTGACACCAGTCCCTTACAGTCTTCATCTTACAACTATCCCAATTGGGCGGCAAGCTTCGGGATCTACACATCCTTGGTCACCAGACTTTGGGGAAGCCTGCAATTTCGAAGAGGAGCTTTCTACTGATGTCATCAACAGCTCCACTGCTTGTATGGAGCAATGTCCAAGCCACAACTGTATTCACGAAATAATTCAGATCGGCTGATGCTTGGATGTTCACCATTGCTGCTAGTTGATTGCCAACTGTGTGCAACAAAAACCAAGTTGAACGAACGAGACCTATCTGCCCACGCTACAGCAAGATCACGAGAGTGCCTTACCTTACAAATCTGTTGGTTGCGTGTACGAAAGGAGATACCCACTCCTGCAAGAAAATAAACCCTTTTCTCTTGGGGTTGTCCGATCGTTGGACTAACGGACCGTGGCTGGAACTTGTCAAGACCTTACTCAACATCGGGTTCTCCGTTAAAATCAATTGTAAGCGACATGTGTTCGGCAGCCTGGGAGAAAATACGTACCCAACAACTCTTTCGAGCAAGAAGCACAAAGTGGTCGTCAGAGCAATAGTAAGCAGTGTCCAAACACCGGGCGACACAAGGCACGATGTCCATGATCCACTGTCACTTGGCATCGTGAAATACTATTACCGGTCTGATCAGAGGTCTCAAGTCTTCTGTTCAGATTTCCCGGAAGCACGGATTCGCAACCCCATTAAGCGAACGCCATGTAGGTTAAACACCTTGCCCATGCATTGTTCAGCTGGAGGCCCTATCCCCAGCACATGATCAGATCTCAAATTTCCCTCTCCTGACGCCCTCCTTCTGAAACTGCATCTTGATTCACCAGGCCACAGAGTGAATCTACAACTGTCGCATTTCACCTGGCATTGACAAGTAATTTTTAGAAGTAATTTTCAGTTTGCCTGCACATCTATCACCTGCTCCTTGGTGCTCGAGAAGTGACGCGGTTGCAGTGATGGAATTTGCGTTGAAACGAAATTTTTGTCCATCGTCGTCGTCCTACGGAAATTGTTCGAAGCATTGTTTTCCTTTCAGAGCAGTTTCGTTCGGAGGGCGTCAACATATATCCTCTGGAGAGCAGAGGCGTGACCTTCAAATCCAGGAATGCAGGACAAAGGCGACAATAAGCGTCAGACACCGCTGCTACGCTGCACAGACGGAAGCAGCCCCACGGAGTGATGATGTACGTTGATGCTTGTGTCCATGCCAAACAAGTGGCAGTATGCAGAGCCAAATCTGATGTTTCAAAAAGATGAACATTTGCATAGGTGCTCCCTGACTCCTTCCTTGAGGCGCTGGAGCACGCTGCTCAGTCAACAAAGGCAGCAATCGATAGCGGAGCAGACCGGTGTCTGGTGCGCTGCACAACAGCTGCCAGCAGGCTCACCTCTGTCTAAAGCCCTGAAAGTCTGTCCATAGCTTATTTGTTTGGCAACCCTGTGAGCAGGTTGAGATCTTGCTATTGGGATTGTGGGATCCCTCATCGGGCAACCTCTTTGCTGAAGAAGGGGATCAGCAGCGGTTTTGGAAGATCACACGCAAGTTTATTGAGCAAATGTCAGTTGCTAGTGGTCCCAGCAAAATCAAAGCGGTGAGCTGCTATGCCATTGCACCTTGACAAACAGGCAATCAATACCTTGCCTTTGATGTCCATCGTACGGGTTTGAAGCCATTTTGGGGTCCTGTGCAGCTCTATCCAGACATGGGAGTGGCAGCAATGCTGAGGAATGAATGGAAAGATCGAGACTTTGAAATTGCTGCCATCAGCGAGAGGAGCGCGGTGGCCGAGGGAGATGACTTGGTCATCATTGCTGCAGTGGATCCGCAAGGTGTGCACTGTGAGGGAGATCTGTAATCTGCAGGTTGTAGGGGAGTCTGGTGTCCTGAAGCTCATGTGCGCATCCAGGTCTGAATGAGGCCAAGCGGGTAGCGGCAGGAAGCTCATTCACTCCTGTCATTCTGTTCAATCCACGCCTGGCGAGGTACAACCCATGCCTCGCTTCATCAGATGTCTATTGCATGTGCTGTGAGACGTGTTTCTTGGAGCAATGGTGTGCTTGTGTGAATGTGTCCTTCCAAATGGTGCCTATGAGCAAAATCTGCTGCTTTTCCATGCAGCGGTGATGTGGGCTTGGGGCTCAATGTGCGGCGCATGCGCAACGAATTTCTCTCTACCTTCCAGATTACCTACTCCCTGCGGCCCGTGAATGAGACAGGCACCGTGTTCCGCCGATTTCCTGGCACCTGGAAGGTCAGTCCTCCCATGGATGCCAGGCGCTTGCTAGCATTGCAGTTGCTGCCATGCACCACCAGCACCTATTCAAGACTATGATTGCTTACTCTATGTGCAATTGCAGGTGTTCAAGGAAGACGCCTCATCTCCTGGCCGATATGATCTTGCAGCTGAATTCAGGGATCAGCCTACAGGTATGTGTCCGACTGGCTTTTGCTTGAAACCCCGTGAGGTGGTGCAGCTGAGATGTTGGGGCTAGTGAAGGGCTTTGGGTGTTGCTGAAAGAGCTGTCATGCTTGTGCAGGGGATGACCTTGACCAGATCTTCGAGAATGGGGATGACAATGCCGATGGCCAGGATGGCCAGGGCATTTTCAATGGCACCAAGTCAGCAGTAAATGGATTTGTTAGATTCCTCTCTTCGCTTTCCAAGTAAGGCAATTCTGTGGATGCGTCTTTGGCAATCCACATGTAATCGGAGAGCACTCACGCGATCACTGGCAAAGTCTCCTTTGCGTTTTGCAGTCTTGCAGTCTTCGCAAACTGCAAGAGGCAGTTCGTAAAGACGCAAATTGCCTCTTGCATTCGCGGAGCAGCCTTCTCTCCTTACGTCGCGCTCGCGCTGCCTTTGTGTGTCTTGCATTCACTGCTGGCTTAGATGTGAATGGCCATGTGATGCGCCTTGGCAACCATTGATGGTGCCAGAACAAAGTAATTAATGATGGCGTTGCATGATGCCGCATTGCAATCTTGCGCGGCCGCCGGGATGCGGCATTCGAAATGGGTCTGCACTGGCATACATCTATACCCCAAGTCTGATTAATCATTTTGCATGGATTTCAAAGACCAGAATCGGAGTAGAGGTTTATAAAGAAGGAAGATTACATCATTCCAGCCGCCTAGGGCTGATTGGATGAACTGGCAGCATCCAAATAATCAAAACAATCCATCACAAAATGTGCAACACCAACAATGTCCAACTGCCACATGAATTGCTGCATCGTCACAATGGCTGCACCAAACAGCCCAGGATATCTGTCCCGAACAGATTGCAAGGCAGGGCACTCAAACACAAGGTGGCGCTCATCCCCAATAACCTGCTGGGCACAACGCATGCACAAACGCTGGGGCCGGGGAATCCTTGCCCAGCGGCCCGAGACATTGGGCAGACTATGACAACCCATCCTGAACTTCAACAGTATACGCAAGCAACGGGCACTCAAAGGCTGCTGTAAGAGCTGGCAAGGGTGGCGCACACAAGCTGGCCTAGCAAACCATCTGTGATATGTACACAAGGTGGCATTGCTGGACGGGCAGGTCCTAGGGCAAATGTCAATGTCATCCCAAACCTGCAGTGCTTGCGCATCTAGCAGCTGCATCACAGCATCAACTTCCACAGGAACAAGGGTGTCAAACCGAATAACAAACTCGTACCCAATCCGGCGCAAGCCCCGCATGAAGGCCCAAGCCCAATTCTTAACATTACGGGTTATGGCATCCCAACAATCATCAAGGGCCACTTGCCTGTGAAAATTATTTGCAGGCAAGGCAGCCAAATTGTTCCAGAACTTGATAATGCGCCGCCACCACACACAATCAAGGGTCTGCTGATTCAACTCCTTAAGCAAGATGGCACCATGCACAGAGGTGGGGACGCCAGCAATGTCTCTCAGAATTTTCAGGTGAGAGGAGGCCAAGGCAGCCCGGCCCCGCCGGCTGTCGCCACCAGGAAGGCTGCGCAGGCCCCACACCTCACAACCGTAGGAGGCAGTCGGCGGCACACATGCATCATATAGGCGCAACAACAGGCCAGCTGACATGCTGCAATGCAACTTCCCATATTGCTGCCTGAGCTGTGCCCACGCACCCCACATGTTCCTGTGAAGCTTGCCAAAGGTGAGATTAATGCCTTGGGCACCGTCAAAAAGGGCACCCAGGTACTCAAACTGCTGAACCCAATGTAAAGGCGCACCACCACAAAGCCATTGAAAAGGTCCTGGCAAACTTGAAGAGAACACCACAATCTTTGTTTTGTCAACACTGATGACCATTCCCGTTTGTTCACAAAACTCAGCAGCTGCATCAATCAAGCGTTGCAAATGAGCAGGTGTGGTGGCGAGCAAAGCAAAGTCATCGGCATAGCCTAGATCTGGTACACAACTGCCAGGACGCAACTGCGGGCCAACCCCAGGGCACCTCTGCAGCAAGTGCCTGTGCAGGCCATCTGCAAACAAGCCAAACAGCGTTGGGCTAAGGGGGCAACCCTGCTTCAATCCTGTCTCAGAGGGCAAACTAGGACCCTTCCTGCTCCCAATCTTAATGGCAACCGTAGAATTGGCATACAAAGACTGAATGGCAGAGAGCAGGCGGCCATCAATGCCCAGGCGACGCAGACTCTCCCAGAGCAACACCCGATTCACTCTGTCATAAGCACCCTTCAGATCAAGAAAGCAACAATACAAGGGCTGCTTAGCATGGTTTTGCCGGTCGATAAAATGCTGCAAGGTGAATAGCTGGTGGGCCGTAGACAGTTTTGGCCTAAAGCCAGCCTGTGTGGCTGCACGCAATCCAGCCCCCTCTGTGTACTTCAGAATACGAGAATTCAATATGCCAGCATACAAGCGCATGATGGGCTCAGTAACGGCAATGGGTCTATAATTGAGCATGTCAAGCTTGCTGCCTTTCTTGTGCACAGGGGTGATCAGGCTACCATTCACAGAGGGTGGCACTTGCCCAGCCACAAATGCAGAGTTCAGCACAGCCACCAAAGCAGGCGCCAGGACATTTTCCGGAGGAGGCATGCCTGGCGCCCGCTCATCTTTTGCATACCGAAACAGCTCAGCTGGTAAACCTTGCACTCCGGTGGCACGACCATTGTGTAAACTTTTGAGCCCAGCAAGCACCTCCCCAAGAGAGATGGGTGCATTGAGAGCATCAACATGGGCAACAGGAGCACTGGGCTGGACAGGGAAAGACAAGTGGGGCAGCTCAGCAATGAGTGGCAACTGCAAGTTTGCAACCCGCTTGAGATAGCCAGCCCACAATTGCACTGGCTTGAGCTGCTCAGGTATATCGGACTGCTGAGACTTGAGCCGCTTCCAGAAGGCTCGGGGGTCACTGTGCAAATCATCAAGCAGGCGGCGCAGTTGCGCGAGCCGGTGAGCGCGCCGTTTGTGGCGGACGGTGTTGTGGTAGGCACGCTCCAGCGCGCGCACTTCGGCTGGATCGCCCCCGCACCGCGCGCGGGCGCGGACGTCCCGTTTAAGCTGGCGGCACTCCGAATCGAAGAAGGGCGCGTCGGCACGCGCCTTGCGCTGATGGCGCCCGGTGCGGGCCGGCATGCTGTTCGCGGCTGCGGCCTCCCGGATCCCCGCCTCCAGGGTCTGAAAGGCTGCATCAAGTTCCCCAGCCACAGCATGGCCTGTGCAGGCGTCAAGACTTGCACTGGCAACATTGCGCAAAGCAGCAGCATACGCATTCCTAGCACTGGGCTGCCATTTCACTCGTGACAATGGCGCCCCAATACATGGTAAGGGAACACTGGCAGCCACATTCACTTGCAACGTCATCTCAATAGGATGATGATCAGAGTCTTTTCTACCAGTGTTCACAACAAGATGAGAAATCAAGGGGAGCGCATCAGCGGAAACGAGAACATGATCAGGTCTAGTTGCCTGAGTATGGGTTCTGGCCTTAAAGGTAGGCACTGCTTCAAGGTCTCCTAGCACTCTGCCAGAGCATATGAGCATGTCAGTTTCCTTGCAAAAATCTAACAGGCGCAGCCCATGAGCATTGACACCTTCATCAGTGCAGCCTCGAGTATTGCTGTCATCAGCGTCAGGCAAATTTGACACACGAGCATTGAAGTCTCCTGCCAGGATCACATTGCCCTGAGCACGAGCGGCAACAACTTCTGCACATAAGCCCGTAAATCGACTGGTCAGGTCCACAGTCTGCAATTGCCGGGAACCCGCTGGAGGCACATAGCTGGAGCCAATCAGCAGCGGTGTAGAGTCCCCCTCAAACTGCACTTTCACCCATAAGGCACTGTCAGTGTCTGACACCCAGTCTTGTGCGTGGTAATCACGGTGCTTCCGAACCGCAACAACAATGCCTTCACCCGCCTTGCCCTCTTCACTAGCAGCCGTGAAAGTCACAGAGTGGTGAGGCAAGATCGAGTCATCCCAGGTCAAGCAACGGGCCTCAGTCAGAAGTACAATATCGAACTGGTCAAGATAGGCTGCCATGTCCCACAAGGATATTTTGCTAGCATGTAAGCCATTGACATTCCAGGACAATATACGCAGTATATTGTATAGTATATATAGTATAATATACGCAGTATATTATAATATGTGTCTTGCATCCCGGAGGCCGGTTCAACCGGCTCCAGGGATTGTGCAAGCCTCCTGCATGCATGCGTGGAGATTAAGGGAATCATCACAATATTGATGGCTGGCCACTTTGCATGGATTCAGTCATAGAAGCGAGATGCATACAAAACGGAAAGCTTCCGGCTTGCATGTAACAGTGTCAAACTTGACGTGAAATTTCAGTATCCCAGATGGAGGCTGCGATAGCTAAACGAGAAGAGCACTTTAGAATCCAAGCGGATGGGCGCTGCCAGTGCTTGTTGAACGGTCATGTCTTCGGCTCCAATCCGCAGGACCTCTTGAAGTTCATCGGGTATGAAATTGTGATAATCGGCAAACTGATCATCAAGCGTACCAAGGGATTATGGCTCTTGCAGATCACCTGATCTGAACATCCAGGACTGGTTTTGCAGAGGTGCCAAATATCAAAGGCTATTGGCAAAAGCCGAAAATGAAAAGCAAATCAAACGATATGAACCCTTCATCCATACGTCCAAGAATTTTGGGTAAGTCTCGAACTTTCGACTGCTCGTTTCAGGCAGGAGTAGGTCAAATGCTTCTGCATCTGACTGCAATGACACACATTTTTTTCTGACTGCAGAGACAAAATGTACTGCAGTCTGACATGCCATTTGATGAACAAGAACCTGGCATCAATTGAAAGGCACGTTCAGGGAAAGAAGTACAGAAAGGCGAAGGGTAAGGCATCCTGCTCGAGCCTCGTGCAGCTTCCTGTCACAATCAAACAGGATTACTATGCCTGTTTGCTTGACATCTCCTCAGCAGAGGTGTGCATGTTCAGAGCTTCATGATAAGGGCGAGTTTGAGCTGATTGTGGAGCCAGACCTTGTTGAAGAGGACGAGGATGAAGACGAGGAGGAGGTAAGTGGTGTCCTGTCCTTGTCAAGTACTCATATGCATGCCCAACGGTACGTGGATTTAATCTGGGCACATCAGGATTCGAGGCTCTTGCTGACGGAGACTGTGAACAGTGGGACCTGTGCATTGAACTGCCTTCCAACAAAAGAGGTAGTGTGCAGACTGAGGCTCCCATGGATGCGGATATTACAATTCCTTCGCGCCTGCCAACCATGGAAGAGGAAGCAGGAGTGCAGGGAGACGAGGTTCCAGAAGTAAAAATCCAGCAGGCGCAAGCAAAGTGCGGCAGCCCTATGAGGTACGTCTCAGTTCCTGTACATTGTTTGAAGGGCATCTTGGATGATTTAGCCACATTTTTACGTTGAACCTGCTCTCACACGTCTTTGGAGATTAATACTGATTGCAGCTTTGGTGGAGCATACACTTTTGTTGATTGATTTGACAGGCGGAAGCAAAGGACAGCACATCACAAGAAAAAGCGTCAGAAAGCAATGCCTTGACAAGGATTTCCATCACCGTGGCTTGTGCGTCCTCTGGGATGCAGGCGGCTGCGGTATATCAAGTAATGAAGTTGAAACTTTGGGGCAGGCAAATTAAACACAGTGCATCGCACTACTTCTTCTAGTCTAGCTCTAGGGGCCACAAAATGTGTTGATCGTGTGCACTGGTGAAAATGCCATTGAAATGCCTACGAACGTAGTCTCACTGTACACGGGCTTGTGTTGGAAGTTGCATGCACAGCTGCATTTCACCTGGCTGATCAAAAATGATGTCTATGAGGCTGGCACTGAAACAGCAGATACTGTGATATTTCCAAGCATGCTGATCGGCAGAAGCTCTGCATTGGGATCATGGCGGCATGCCATTGTCCAAGTGCACGTGCGCGATTGGGGCTTTATTCAGTATGGCAATCTGAAGTCTTGCCGCCACTGCTAAAGCCGATCGGTTGTGCCGCCAAAGCTGAGTAGCGCATCAAAGTGCTTACCATGATGAGGTCTGCATGAGGTCTCAGTGCCATTTGTTGCTAACTTCATTCCTGATCAGATAGCGTGTTCAATGATATGTGACCCGAGTGCATATCCTCTGCAGGACTCGCAAATTGATCAATGAGGCATGAGGAGGCTGTGCATATGCTCGCATCAATGATCCTTCAAGCCAAAGATGTTCCAATTGCGGCATGGGATTGTGAACATTTTAAAAGAGTATCAACAATCTCGAAGTTTTATGAGGACCGTTTGCACACATGATGCCTACATCTAATACCGGTAAAGATGCTATGTAGTTTGAAATCAAAGCAGTCACACTAACCACTGATGCAGGGGAAATCTCGGCAAAGATGATGCAAGACTTTTGGTCACTAGGGGACCAGACAGCTGCATGTGCAAAGCACATGCAGTCCCACGGAGGATGTGGCTTTCTCTGCTCATTAAAGTTAGACTGTAGAAATGATATGTACCTCTCTGATGTCCCTGTTAACATTGCCAAGTTTCACCATTTGCTAAGGAACCTTTTCTAGATCTCTGCATTCTCCTGTGCCATCCCTACATGCCCGGTCTTTTCCAGACACGTAGATCACATTCAGAGCGGAGCTAGCTACGTCAAAGCAACACACCCCAGAGTCAATCCCAAGAACAAACACCTGATGCAGAATGCATCAGAGTGATTGCTCAATAAATGACCTGTCCCAACTCGGTCGATAGAGTACACCATGGCACCTGGGCTGTCAATCGGATACAAAAGATCTGGCAATAAACGCCGACGATCAGCTTCAGGAACATCCAGAGAGACTCTTCAGCCCAGACCAACAGAAAACAGCATGAAAGTATCTACATATATAGATTGCCGAGATAGACTGAATCGTCGGATGGCACCATAAAGGGATGAAAACTCCTTGTTGAGAGGCCAAGCCACCTGAAACCTCCGCCTCCTAGGACTCATTTCGGCCGAGCCTTTCATAATCTGCAGCATTCTGGATCTCAATCCTTTGACACCAACCGCTTCCCTCTAGAGCAACAAATGTGCATCATTCAGCAGGGAGCGCCCCTCCATCACGGACCACACACAAAGCCACATGCTGCCGCACTAATGATGCGCAGCTACTTGAAACTTACACTACTTCGGCACTTGCCGCTGAGCTGGAGACACCTCAGTTGTCACCAGGCCTCTGGCGTCTGGACTGGTAAGCGGTCTCTGGCTGCTGCCCAGCAGGACCCTCAAAGCCTGACGCGTCCCCTGCTCCTTGCATCCCCCTGCCGGGCTGCTGGAAGGCTGCTTGGGGAGCTGCTAGGCCCTCACCATATTCTGGCAACCTCCTACTAAGCTGCCTGCTGCTCAGGTCCGGCCCATATGCGAATGCCATGGATGGGTCCATATGGGCATACCCCTGGCGAGTCTGCTGCTGAAGCACCCCGCACACAGTGACTTCAGACGGCTCCAAGACAGGGTCCACTGCCACACTAATGAAACCATACTTCCAGCAGTCAAACAGTATGCAGGAAGGATCTTCAGACACCCACCTGCATTATAGTGCCTTCTCCCAAGCCAGATGGTGCCAGGCCCATTCCCATGGCCTGGCCCCCTCGCAGCAATGCCTGTTGCGCCTCAAGAGCGCCCCAACCCTGTTGCAATGCCAGGCCGTCCTGCTGCATTCCTCCCTGCACCAGGCAAGTGGCATGTGCTGCGGTGACCAACTAGTTCTCAAAAATAGCCATACAGCAGTTCTGGAAAAGTCCTTGCAAGCCGCACTTCATATAAAAGTCCGTAGTGCCACAAAGGAGGATACCAAGATGGTTCAAGCTGGGTCCAATGCAGGCGGAAAGGCAGGCGCGCACCATAAGCATGTGGAAGGCAGGCATGCCGCTGCCCAGTTGGCCGCCCAGACCTTGGAAACCCCCAGCAAGTCCTCGGCCGCCTGTCGCAGCCCACTGCTGCCCAAAGTCCTCGCCATACTCAAACTCTGGCAGGCCTTCCTGCGCGGGCCCCATAGCAGGCATTCCCTGCTTGCGGACATAGTGCGTGTGTCTCTCCTGGGTCAGGCTGATGGACTCAATGCGGTACCCGCTTATTTCACGGTTGCTCTGCGCTGCCGCCTTCTCTGCTGCCTATCACCGAGCATCCAAAACGTTGATCAAACACACTTTGTGTGACCGGATAATTTGCCAAAATACTGTGTGGGAATGTCTCCGGTCACCACACAGGTAATGGGCGACAGCGATGGCTCAACATGAGAGAGGGTAGACTCAGGACCTAGGATACAAGCAGTGTACCTGCTGAGTCGCGAAAGTGACAAAGCAGAAGTTCTTTCTGCGGTTCAGTGCTCTGTCCTTTGGAAAATAGACGTCAGCAACCTGCAGCGAGGCACTCAGTGTCAAACGGAAATTAGGCAACGATAAGCTGAGGCATCTGTATCGTTCCTTCATTGGGTACAAGAAGTCAATTGGGTACAAGACCTGCCACCGCAGGACTCAGTACGCTTGCTTGCATGATGGCTTGGGCAGCGTACCTGGCCCCATTGGCTGAAATGGTTGCGAACCATAGTTTCCGACACAGCAGTGGGTATGCCGCCAACATAAATTCGTGGCCCCCTCCCCTTGTCAGCTCCACCACCCTCGCCAACACTTCCCACCCCTTCTGGGTCACCTGCATTGCCAAAGTCTTGGCATCATGGGCGATGATGCTTGTCATGAAAAACAACGCCAGCAACAAACATCACAAGAAGCAGGCTCACCTCCAAAGTGCGGTAGGCCAGGAGAGGCCTCCCACCCTGGCCGTGCACCCTGCCAGGGCTGCATGCCAGGAAGTGCCTCACCTAGGGGCACTCCTCCTTCCTGTATCATCTGCTGCTGCTGCTGCTCTGGCCGAGGCCCCGCCAGATTGATGCGCACAGTCCTCCCATTGATGCGATGTTCTGAGCCCGCGGCGAGCTGCAACGTCAGGATATCTATCTCAGGTCACCCTTGTTGTATCGGCTGCTGTGGCAGGTGCATGCTCCACAAGTCATGCTCATTGACGGTGAAAATCCAGCTCAGTTGTCACTCGTTACTGCCTCCTGTGGTGAAGAGCAGCTGCCAGGGCAGATTCTCTCCAACACAAGGGGCTGCAGAGTCCCCACTGCAAAGGCACATTTCAGAATACCGAGCAGAGTAGATCGGATCACACACCGGCTGAGTTACAGAACGATCCAGGACTGAGTGATGGGACTGCCAAATTTTTGGCGCCTTGGGGACGTAGATATGTGACCGCTCTGCCACCAACTAGACTGCCAGAAGGTTGTCTGGACACCAGACCAACAGACAATTAAGTTTTCAAAGGACAATATTGACTGCTGTTGACTCTTATTGACTAGGTAACTTTCTAAGATTGACAGAGACGGAGTGCAACACACACGGGACAGGCACAGAAGAAACAGGTGCATCAGGGAGCTCGGACGCTAGGAGCTGCTGCACACTCTTTAACAAAGGCTTGCGACAAGGACCAGGTGACAGAACTCGGTGCAGACACAGCAAGAGCAAGCCACAGTCATGCAGAAAACCCAGCAGCTCTGTGGGCTGCAGCATAGGATGTGTCCAAGTAAATCTTACTGTCTGCCGTAGGCCTTCCTCGGTCTCGAATGTCACAAAACCGTAGCTCTTTCTCGCGCCGTTGCTGCACGCACAAAGAATGTGCGAAAATCTCAGTGCACAGCTGATGTCAACAGGCAAACCCAGTCAAGCAAATATTCCACAAGCGCTGTACAGACAGGGGGTAGGAAGTCTGCATGACTCACTGTCGATCTCGAGGGATGTACAGATCAATGACCGCCCCATACTGAGAGAAGTATTCATGTAGATGAGATTCAAGCAGACCCGGGCAGTGACACCAAAGTCTGTATCGGCCAGGAGAGAATGATTCACTTGGTACTGCTGCTCTCATACCGCATGAGGATGCACCCCACACCGCACCGCAGTACCTAGAATACCCCGGCGCTGGTCATCAGACAGCCCCCAGCGCAGCTCGGGGCACACACCAAAGCGGTAGCAAGGTTAACAATCCCCTTCGACTCCCCCTTCACTTGATGTCAACTTTCTTTCAGGATCTCACTTCCACCTGATTGTGGGCTGGTGAACTACTCCAGGCCACGACGTAAACGAATCCGCCCAGCTTACCCTTCAAGCCCCTCATACCAGAAGGGTCGCTGAATAAGAGGGTGACTCACCCATGGCAAGTGCTGCTGGATGTATGCGATCATGATCACCGTTTGTCAGGTCGTGATATAGCTTGATCTTTGTCAGCAATCGCATAGCCCACGGTAAGAGAACGTTAACGCGAAAGTGGCGCTCCGTGGTTACCCGTTTATCACGCTGTTGCGGCCCCGGGGGGAAGGGCCGCCCAGCGGCTGCAGCCCGGTCATGACTAATTAGACCTGTAAAGTCATGATGGTTTGCAGACATGTCAGCAGTGCGGTGCACCACCTGGTACTGCTACGCATACATGGAGGTGGCCATGTTGTCACTTCTGTGTGAACCAATGCAAATATCTCGACAGCTCTCCCAACTAATGGACATTGGATCTGCAGATCTGTTCTAGAACTCCTTGAATTTCTCATTGAGTGCCATGTCACATCACAGTGTTGCTTGATGTTACGACTTTATCGCAACGTTTATGAGCCTATAGACTAGCTAGGAGCTGCAACAAAGTGGCAGTCACGGACAGGTCACAACGCCTGCATGTCAGCTGTCCCAATGCATGCAAGCCCCTGCTGACAATGACCTACCCCTCAGCGGTGCATGTCAGGACCTGGCTGTCTTGATGCATACCATTCCCTGAAGTAAGAGCAGTTGTGCTGAACAAGTACCCAAACCTGGTGGTGGAAAGTGGACGACTTCAGTAATTTGTACCCTTCCAGACCCTCACCACTGATATCTGTGTGTTCACAATGACTGCATAAGATTTTGTGCAGGCTTTGAGTGGACAGCGTTGACTGAGTCTTTGGTGACCTCCAGCCTGGTCCATTCTTCGCAGCACCTGCAAAAGGCACCAAACGTCCATATTCAACCTGATTCAACCAATGCATTGAGTGACCACCAGAACGCCCCTCAATACTGGCAAGGTCCTTGTGGGGGCTGATCGGGAACTCAGCCTTGACGAATGACTCAGAAGCTCACCTGCCTTCCTTCCGCTTGCAGCAAGAGTTGCCTCAGACAGGCCCCCTTTCAGACAGCCCAATCCACCGCTTTTCCAGCTGCTGCTCTGTGGAGCGCTCCAATTCAAAGAAAGGCCCGAGGGCACACAGCGCACGTCCGAGCAGCGGAGGGCCTCAGCCACTTCAACATCCGGCAGGCAGATGATGTGCAGCTGAGGTGGGCTCCACTTGAACGGGGACGGAATTACTGTGGCGGCCTCCTTTGTTCTTCCTGCGCCACACAATATGGGTGTGTCAGCTACCGGCATCTACCCAGGGCAACATGTGTACGCAGCGGCCAGAGCGAATGCGGACCTGCAACTGCTCTCCACAAGGCTGCCCTTGCCTGATGGGCAACTTCCGTGGTGCAATGCGGCAGCGCGACTGTGAGGGATTGCATGTACAGGGGCTCTTCTAGTAGCTCGGACAGCATCGCCCCTTGCACGCCCATCACGTTCCATCGTGCCAGCTTATCACTGCGCAAAACATTACTCTTCTTGTCAAGGAGTGGAGAATACTGACACACAGCGCCCAGTCTGCCGTTTAACCTCGGCATTTTAAAGCGTACCTGCAACTCAGTGACATTGTGGGCTCCCCCCGTCCCGGCTTTCGCCTGAGCACTCCCTCTTGCTGCCGCTCCCCTTCCCTCTGTAAATCCATGGTAGTTCTGCCCGCGCCCTCCTGTGCATTTGGTGCGGAGGCACTCTCCGCGGTATTCTGAGCATTGCTGCTTTGCTCAACATCTTTGCTTCTGCGCTGGTCACCTGACCCCACAGGCTCCCCGACCTGCCCAACGTCTGCTGCCTGCGCTTGGGCTGCTTTCAGCCTCTTGGCCCCAGTTCTCCTCCACCTTGTGGCCTTTGGATGCTCGGAGTCTGTCCCGAAGGGTGCCTGGTTTGCAAAGATGCAGGCGTCGCCACATGGAGGCTGGCTGATGAACATGTGCAGCTGCCATCGCCCCCTCCTCCTATATGTGCCAGATGCAGTCCTCTCAAAAAGCGGCCAATGGACTCTGCGTTGCGTCGCAAGGGCTTTCCCAGCCTTGCTAGAGTGCTCCTGACCGAGAAACTGTGGGCGCAGCGTAGCCCTTAGCACAGGTTCGTCAGACTCTTCGGCAGATTCTGATGGCACAGTCTCCACTTCTGTATACAGCCAGCGCAGCAGAGCCCTCCGAGCAACCACCTGCATTCATAAACATTTCATACAGCACTCTTGTAGGAATGCAAAGCGCTGTGTGTTGAGACCCCAACCAAAAGGCTAGTGCATATAGTAAAACGCAGAAGAGGATGAAAGAGGAGTTCCATGTTGCACCACAGGCGCACCTCTGCATGGGAATCATTGAGCACTTCCCCGCTTGTGCTGCGCTTGCTGAACCCCAGGCACTTAGTTCCTGTCCCTATCGAGACCACATGCATGCTGGCTTGCCCGATGTCAGGCTGTAGCGTGGGCTGTTGCTGCCGCATGCCGAGCTCTTCATGGGTGACAACAAAGCCAGCGAGAACTGTGTGCTCATTGGGCTGTGGCTTCCCATTCTTTGGCAGCGCTTCATACTGTTTCAGAACAGCTGTCGCGATTGCCTTGCCAATGTCGGCGGTCTCAGATTCATCCATGACGAGCTACAGGCTGCTAAAGAGAACCCCTCTAAAAATACATGAGGGTTTCGTCACAAAGCCTTCTCGCCGTGCATGCCCTTTCTTGAAAGCCGGAATCGAGCAGGGCCGGCAGACCCTGGGTTTATGTAATGGATCTTGTCTGGTTCTGAGACACTATAATTGTGGCTGTGTCCGCAAAGTACAATGTCTGCTTTGGTTTCAGCAAGGATACGTTGCCAATCCTGAGAGCACAAGAGTCCTTTGATCAGCTGGCGTGGAAAGTGCAGCAGGTAACCATTCTAAGCTTCTGAGGGTCGTCAGTGGGAGCATACCGGCGAAATTTCCTTAGGGACGATGTGAATAATTAGTACTTGCCAGCCGCTGAATTCGAGCAGTCTGGTACAACGAAGCTCTTCTTTCACATGATCATCTACGTGACCTCGTACAGCTATTACAGGGGCAGCTTCTCCGAAAAATTTCAGAATTTCTGCACGTCAGCAAAATATCTGAGCCTTGACTGAGCACAGCACAACACAACACATCAGGGGACACCTATGGCAAGACATTGGAACGGTCCATCAGCTTGCCTTGGTGTCCACCGTGGTGTCCAACATAACCAGCATGCAGGATTGCTTCGACAGAATATTCGCAGAATGCTTTCCGAAGCACCTGCACGAGCAGAAATCTGCTTTATGTTCGATCTGCGTTAGATCATCTGCCAAAGAACGACACTTCTGAAGGGCACATGACTAGGGACGAAGATCACCTCATCAGCAACACCATGTGTGTCACTCACCAATCCCAATAGCATGGTATATTGGAGACACTTCCTCTCTTCCTCTGAGGCATGCGATGTATGTCAGCAAGAGTCTTTAGCTTCCTGGCTAATGGAAGCTGCTTAGGGACCAGTGATCTCCCTAAGATTTATCCCCAACATTGTGAAATTGTCTGCACGATCTGAAATCGTCATAATCGACAGACATAAAAGCACTGTGAACTTTGTATTGACGCTCATTGTATCGCAGACTACCTCTGTGCTGCTGGCATTTACAGATATGCACATGATGGCTACCCCTCTTGATGGTCTTCACATGCGGCAAATGAGGTGCGATGGGTTTATGTGTTCAAATATCGTTTCCTGTTGCATTTGAAGCATCTTTGATAATCATGTACTGACACCATTGCAGGTTCTCAGGAAGGTCTATCCACAGCATGGTACCTCGTCCTAGATCTAGACAGGTATCTTGCTGCTGCTTTTGTTAAAGGCAAAAACAAACTTGATCTAAGAGTTAACCTCCCTGAAGGGAAGGGATGTAATCAGTCCTCAGGGGACAGGTGCAAGAACTCAAGGGGCCTTTCTTATCCAGGTCGCCCGCGCCTCCAGGGAAGAAGCCATAGCAAACATGCAGTCATACAAAGCTGGCCTGACAAAGGCTTTGACCTCACGCGAAGACTCTCTTAGAGCAGGTATGCTGTTCTGTGTCATCTCATCCTGCACCTCCAGCGTCGAATAAATTTTGAAGGTTTTTGTTCTCTCATCCATGTTCTGAGGTCCGATCAGACCACAAGCAGAAAGGCTGAGTACTTTTGTTTTGAATGCCGGCAGAGGTGGCAGCAAAGGCAGCAACTGTAGAGGAGGGATCATCTGAACAGGCGACAACATTAGGCTTGAGAGAACTGAACAAGGATGATTACTACCCCTTTTTGAAAGAAAACGCTGACAAGCTGGTTATTGTCGATTTTTACACAGACTGGTGAGGCCATCGATCCTCTGCTGATACACAGGACGTCGCTTGTGGCCCCTTCTAGCTTGCTTCCTTGCCCTGGGAAGCTATAGAAAAGAGACTTCACCCCTCGAATCTCGTTACAGGTGTGGGCCATGCAAGCTGATGGTTCCCATTTTAGAGGAGTTGGCTCGTGAGTTGAAGGGCAGAGCAGAGATTGTAAAATTCAATTGTAACAAGAACAACAAGGAACTTGGCGTGTCCTTGGGAATCAAAGTGGCTCCAACCTTCCACCTCTATCGCGCCGAGAAACAGGTGCGATGGTGCGTCAAGCCTGCTGTAAACCAATCTGTGGTTGAAGTGGCATCATTTATCTTGGGCTGTGCGTGACTGGCCTTGCCTGTGCTGCAGGTGGCTATGATGACAGGTGCCAAGATTGATGAGCTGCGCGAGTTGATAGACAAGCATATTTAATGTTCTGGGTGCAGCCATGTGGGCCATTGCAATTCCAGAATACCTTGTGAGTGGACAACATTCAGTGACAGCCACGCTGTCACAGCATACTCTCAAACAAGCCAGGTAATGTTTCAATCGGAAGGATGCCATGCGCCGCATCTTGCTCGGGGTCATTGTATAGATGAGCAGGCCCATCTCAGAATGTCACTTAGAAGCTTGACATGCTGGATTTTTTAGGGCAATGCCATGATGGTTGTATCCCCTTTGACGAGAGAGTTGACTAAAGGATTCAAGAGGCGACCCGAGAATTTGAGTATAGAATTACAAAGTTGTTTTCCTTGTATGAGCACCCTTAAAATAGCTATGCAATTGTCACCACGCTGCCGACCAGATGTGGAGTAGCTCTGTGTTTGAAACTGGCAAGGACAGATGACAGTACTGTATTACGTTTGGGTCTGTCTGCTGATGAACACGTATTGATGAGACAGGCATGAACTGTGATTAATTAATATTCATAGTTATAGTGTACATGGACTACTAAAACACACTGGGCCACACTTTGCATTTTTGTAGGCATCTCATTGTTGCACACTGTGCTCCTTGACAGCTTCAGTCCATAAGGCCCATGGCCTTGAGAGCGTCTTCATCTTTGCCTGCATCTCTTCGAACCGAAGACCGCACAGCACGTGCCAATCTCTGCTTGGCCAGCTCTTCTGACCCCTTGCCCTCGGCCCCAAGACTACTCTTTGCTTTCAGAGCTGCGCGCCTCCGGGTGGTCACTGCAGGCGGCCCCCTGCCTGCTCCTCCATACCCCACCTGTGACAAAAGCAGCACACCACTGTGACATACTTGTGAGTATGTAATGCCTTTGATAATGACGATTATAATTATTACACGCTTTTCCTGCTAGAGGCTAGGTGCGTCTGCAATCCAGCAATGTTGAATGCCATGCTTGGACCAGGAGCCTTCAGAATCTCAGAGATTGCGGTGCTGTACCTGCTGGGAGCAATCGAAGTGAGCAGGCGCGCTGGCGTCTGCCGAGGCTCTGCTGGGGCGTTTGGGCACAGCGCCGCTGCTGGCCGCTCCGCCGGCCGCGGCCCCCCGGGTACGCTTGCGAAGGTTGCTGGCGCCGTGTGACAGGCCCGTGCTGTCGCCACTGTGCATCGACATGTCCTCCCCAGCCGATGCCTCTCCAGGCATGCTGCTCAGACCGCCTGGCAGCTGGCCCACTGAGCCGCCCTGACGGCCCGAGGTCGCCGACGAAGCTGCACAGCACACACGTATACCCGTTACCGCAAATAAATGCGCCAGTTCCACAGTATGCAAAATTGCCCCTGGGTTGCATGACTGAGAGCAAGGTTCGAGAGACAGCAGGCATGTAGGTTCTGCGCCACGGAGTACCTCTTTGTGCTGGGTGGGCAAAGACGTCCTGCTGAGAACTTGCAAGGTTGGGGAGCACGACAGCTTCCAGAAAGTTCCCCAGACGAGCAGCTGCCAGTGTCCACTCCGCAGCCTTGTTTCCAGCTTCTCCTGGCTGCGATCCCTGTCACATCAATGCAGGCCATCAAGCTCAGGTCGCACCAAAATAAGCTCACAGACAGAGTCAATAAAATTTCACAAAATTTCCACAACTCGCTGTGAGATTATACATTGTTGTCGCAGGTTGGCGAGACGATATCAGCTCCCACATTCTCCTGGTCTTCTGAGGGCTCTGGGCGCGAGAGGGCCTGCATCTTGCGCAGCCTGGACTTGCCCCTCCCTGGGCTCTGCAGCCCTGCATCATCCGCTGCACAGGCACAAGACAGCAGCTGTCAATACCGAGCTCTTCTGGCGCACCAGGGCATGCTCAAGAGCTGGGCACTGGGCATCTCTGCAATGAGCACAGGGAAGCGCTTCACCTGGAAGCTCTGGCCCAGCTCTGCTGCCAGCATCGAGCATAGCTTCCAGCGGGTCACAAGCAGCGCTCTTATCAGCCCCATTCGGCATCAGCAGAGCATCTTCCATTCGCTGCTGAGGTGCTGTCGGGTGCTTCTGGGTGCCCGCTCTGGCGCCAATGGCAGCCTTCAGCGTGCTGCTGCATTTCCTGGGGTCTGACGTGCTTGTGTGGCTCAACTTCCGCTGCAGAAGTGTCCCGTCCTGTAAGCAGCAGGCTCTTCAGCCTTTGTGTTCTTGAATCACATAGCTGCAATGGGTGTGATGGATCATGGTAGCACAACCATATGCCAACCTGCTGAGGACCAGAAGTCTGTTTGGCTGCAGTGCTCGCCCTGCTGGGCGCTGTGCTGCTGTCATTGGGTGCAGCAGGGTCTGCTCGGGCGGCTGCACGACCGGTGCCAGAAGGTGCTGCCTGCACAAAAGTATTCGGGCATCACACTGAGCATATCAGAAGTGGTTGCACGCATGCATCACAGCAACATAATGTTAGTGTGTATCTCGGGGCACACCTGCGGTTTGTGCTGTGTCGCTGCAGGGCGCACAGTCATCTCGAAGGGAAACTGTGTGGCTGTGTTCAATTCCTCCTCGCCAGGAGCAGGCAAAGGCGGCGCGAATCCACTCTCAGGAAGTAAGCACCCTGCGAGAGTTGTTGAGAATTCCACTCAAGCAGCCAAGCTGTCTTATGTAAACGCGCGGCTGGCAACTTCCCTGGTCTGAGATCATTGGCGGTTGCTTACCAGCAAGAGCGCTGTCCACCAGCCAGTCCGGTGTGACGGCGATGACGTCAAAGGCCCTTGCATGCTTCCACTTCTCACCCATGGCCTTCTGAATGATCAGGTGGCTGTTGTTGCGGCTCATGCGCTGCGTGTACTTGCCGCCCAAATGCTTCACCAGCTCCTTAATTGCCATCTTGGCATCCTCAGTCATGCCCGATGCACACACCCTGCATTGCAACCAATGACAGCCTATCATCTCTAACGATGCTGGGCGTGGGACACACTCAGCCTCCCATTCACAAAGATGACAGATGCCTGATCTCACTTGACACCGTCCATGCCGGGCATAGGCAGCTGGTAGGGCAGGGGCTTGCAGGTGACTCGGTCGCGGCCCAGCTGCTTCACAGGAGCGCCATATTCAATGCTGAGCTCCACCCAGTAGGGTGTGATGCGGTTGGCATCTGGCACTGCACACATAACAGGAAAATCATAAAACCGTTCATTGCATTTTCTGGCCTGAGGTCAAGGTCTCTATCTCCTCTTTAGAGTACAACAATCGCACAGCAAAGCCCTTACCCATCTTGAAGTCTGGCTGCCGCATGGCTTCCGCAAGTCGAGGAGGTGGGAACCCGAGAGGGCAGACTGCATACGCGGATGAAGGGCTAGCGACCAGGTTGATGCGCTTGGCATCAAAAGAACGTCCGCCAGCCTGCCTGATGAGCTCATGCACACGCGCTCTCTCTGCTGGGTCGTGCTCCAAAGCAGCCAGGCTGAACCAGCAGTCTCCCAAAGGACTGCGCTTTGAAGCTGCCTGGCCCCTTGCATGTCGAGATGCATCCCCTGTTGTTGCGCAACAATGTACCATAACTCACCCTCAAGGTGGTCAAAGGAGCATGAAACGCGGTCTTGTTTCAGTAACACAGGGTCACCACCTGATTTGCAAGGAGTTGAATCAACATGGACAAGTGATTTTGCCCTGTGTGCGCCACGTCCTTGCAATCTCAGTTGGACGCTCACCATCACAGCTACTGGCAGCTGGAAAGCCAGCCCTGCTCCCTTCCCGGTTGTCCAGCAGCTCACTGCCATCTCTGCTCTTCCGGGGCCCTGCTGCCAGAGCAGAGGCAGGGTTGAACAGCCACGGCCTGTCGTCTTCACGCATTCTGGATGCGCCGCATTGCCTCAACCATCCTGCGTCCAGCACGCGCACCAGGGCGCCGTGCTTCTGCTGGTGCTGCCTGATGCACTGCAGCTCATCCACCATCAGGTCTGAGCCCACCTGTGCAGACCATGATATTTGTCTTTAAGCAGACCTGTTGCATCACAGGAAAAGGGCTCCAACTGCAGCTTTTGCGCCTGCAACACTCCTGTCATCCCTTCAGCAATGAGAAAGAAGAGCAGCGCACCACAATGTGAGTGATGAGCGGGTTCAGATAAGGGTATCTGCAGGCACCGCCTTCGCGGCATATGCACGCGAGCTCCATGATCTCATTGCTTGCGCAGCATGCCAGGAATACCCGCAGTCCATCAAGGAAAGTGAAGGTCTCACTGGGCGGCCCCGCCACAAATTGCTGCCTGTCACCTGATGATTAGGAGCAAGCCACCTATATGCTTAGCGAGAAGCAAATGCAATCCTGCATTTTATGGCACATACTGGACAGTACTCCATGTAATAAGCATAATATCAGTACACAGTACCTGGCAAGGAACGTCTGGATTCAGGTGAGCGACCAGAACTGAAGGCGTCTGCGTCCGATTTTACAGGTTGCATGCTCGTGCTTGGCTGCGCTGTGTACTCTGCAGAGATTATTTGTTGCCCCACTGCCTTTGCGGCTTGTTCGGCAGCTTGCCTGCAAATTATGATAACACATTTGGATGGCTCATACGCTTGCCATCTCCACTCACTAGAATGCTGCAGGTAAGGGTACACATTGCTTTTGTCCAGAGGGATGTGTGAGCCATCAGTACCTGTTCGGCAGCACGCTGGATGTTGTTGGCTTATGTCCGGTGGACTTTGCAAGACTTTCTTGCTGCAAGCGTGTCTCCAAGGCTGCCGCATGGGCATCCTGTGGTTTTTTAGCAATCACATCGTAACACGTGGCAGCGGATGCATCCCCAGCTTTCTGTTGTTGCTGTGGTGGTAAACCAGAAGGCACCAAGAAGTCCTTCTCGTCTGCTGAATAGACACCAGTCTGCGCTGTCTCCTGAAGCCAGCTGTCCCACACAACAAGAATGGTGCCCCATAGATGTGCATGCCTGCGCCAAGACCACCTCACCTTTGACATTCCTTCAAGAGTCATCCATCAATGCATACATGCTCTTTCAGAATATTTATCATTAAAAATTGCTGAAGTTCACACCTTTCTTTCTCCGATATTGTGCGGGGTCCTTCGCATCCTTTTATGATCAAGTGGGTGCATGCTTTGGTCATGTTCTTGGAGTAGACGCCATGCCCTTGCTGGATCACTCTGCCCAGGCTCTCCTTCTCAGCAGCATTATGACCTGACGTTGATATTGTCAGACCCTCGAATGGCCCTAGCTCATGGCCCATCAATGGTACCTGCATGATGTCAATGCTGCATCAGGGAAGCTGCTTGCTGTCATTTGATGGCATAACACTTGTATAGTGTCAAATTATGCTCACCATCCGGCCAGCACTATGACACGCCCAAACCCATGTGGGTCTGACTACGGGCACAGCCGGCACTGAGGTCTTGGCACCCTGTACAACCAGCACTCTCCAGATTTCATTTGACGCTATGCAAGGCAAAAGCAGCAGGATGGGGACACTTGATTGGTGCAGCGCGCAGCCACGATACTCCAAATATCAACGATTTGGCGCCAGATCGTCTCACCTTGTATTCTGTGCTCTGCACAGATATTGCGACATAAATCTGTGGCTCATCTTTCTGTTCAGAGAGGATGCCACCAAGCTCTTGTACTAATTGTTCAAGCTCTCTTCGCTCCTGCGGAAACCAAGCGATTCAGATGGTGTTTTTGCAGCATATTCCACAATCTCTTGGGGGCAAAAGAACTTGCAACGTCTTCCTTTGCTGGTTCTTACCTGTCCTCTGCCCATAGCTGTGCAGCAAATGGACTTTCTTTCGAAGACTGACATTTGACTAGTGTGGGATTTGTCTTTCAGTTTGTTTTTCCAGGCGTGGGCTATCTGCTGTCAAGATGTGGGCAATGCAGTTTATCACATGAAGCCGATTGACACTGGATTATACCGCTGGGACTCGATACACACAAGCAAGTGTTGTACAAAAAAGTGATACTTGATGTTCTGATCCTGAAGTGACTCCTTTCTTGGAGCCAGACTTCGACTGTCGGAATTTGCAATTTGCATGTGCCATACCAATAAACTGGCCCAAGTCCCTTGGAAGCTATGGGAGTTCAGGGTTGTCAAAACCCTCGGCACGCTTCTGCCCATCCACGTTGGTTGTGGCCTCTGTCTGTGATCTGTGAGCAGCCTGCCAGAATTCCCGGAAAGTGCTGCATCTGGGACTTCATTGACGCAGGTCTTTCTGACTTCTGTGTGAAGCCATCGAGTTTGTACACTTCAGACGTCACCTCAATGATATCCAAGGCGTGGAGCATGCGCTATGCATTGATGCGGGCACAGTTGGGTTTGGAAGAGACGGTAACGCATCTTACCAGCAGCACAGGGAGCCTTTCTGATGCAATCGCGAAGGGGTTGGAGGTGTATCGCAAGGAGCTTACCCAAACGATATTTTTTACAGGCAAGCAGACACTTTTAGAAGATTATCGTGGGAAGATTGTCAATATATCGTAAGATAGTGTTTTGTTCTCTGTGAAGCGCGTCAAGCGTTTTTCTCAGGCACCACAAGGCACCTACAACAAACTCAGTGTGCTGACAACCATATCTGTCTGTCTCAGTATATGTCATTTTTTGTTTCACATGACGATCGGTGCATTAAACCACAAAGGTGTTCGTGATTCCAACACTGGCTTTATACCTGATCAATTTCAGCACTAGAAACACACTTCACTGCTCATGCTTCCCGCTCTCTTCCTACAAGCATTCCTGAACGCTCAATCCCTGAATTTGCCTTGCAGGTGCAGCCATGGCTCCTACACTGAACAGTAAAGCGACCAAGTCCAACTCAGGGGACTCAGCAGTGGACCGGTTGCTGATGCGCTGCATGCCGCGAGCGTCCCTTCGGTCCATCTTCTCAGGGGACGTGGTGGCCTTCAATTCCCCGCTGGCGCCTGCGGGGGGCCAGGAGAACATCATGGTGCGCCGCGTGGCGGCAGTGGAAGGAGATGAGCTCATCACAGATGACCCTGCCGACGCCAGCTTCACCATTCCAGAGGGTGTGCATTCTGCTTGCTCTGCACTCCCGTAAGAAGAGCTGTATAGATGTTGGTCAGTCCTGCAGGCCTTGGGATGTAGCTGGTTTGTGGGGTGTGTGCCTGCAGCATTTCCAACTCGAATGTGAAAGGTATTTCTTCTTCACACACAGGCCGATGCTGGGTCTTGGCAGACAATGAGGAGCTGAAACCTCCCGACGTGATTGACAGCCGGACATTCGGGCCCCTGCCAGTGGAGAACATTGTGGGGCGAATTGTCTACTATGTGCGGCAGAATGATCATGGGGTGGTGGAGAACAGCAAGACTGCCATGGCAGCAGATGCTGCTGTGCTGGAAGCTGAGCTTGACCTGGAGAAGCTCAGGGAGTCGTGAGATTTGAAGATTTGGAGAGGGAGTCTGTATAATATTTGTCGCCCAACCAGCAGGGATCATGTTGTGTCTTGAGGGATGTCACTGCCTGTACTTGTCGCCCAGCAAAGGAGCTAGTAGGTATGTCACAAAAAACTGGACACGAGAAGTTGACCGTGATACAGAAAGCAAGGCTGGACAAGTGTTGTTTGAGCGCAGAGAGTTTCAGCACGCATGGGACATTTCACGGGGTACCGTTTCATCTTCTGTGGCTCGCATTAGCTCGTGCCAGTCACAATATCAAGAATTGAATGGATGCAAATTTACATTTGGGATCAAAGCCGCATCTGCTGGCAGTTACCTCACGAGGCCGGGTGGAATACAATGGCTAGAACAGAGCAGTTGTCCCTGCATCGTCTCACACGTACAGCCTGGAACGACAAACACACTTGGTGTTGGAGTCTCGCCATTGGCTCAAGCTGTGTACACATGTGAATGCCCCTAGACGATGGAATATCCTGAATTTCTAAGGGCTTAAGCATGGATTAGTAACCTCACCTCATTGATGAGTCGCTCACAAATGTTCTTGACAGGTCTGCCATCATTGATGTGCCTCATAACTGCTGATAATGCCTCATCAGGATTGAAGACACCAAAGAAGCCATCACAGCCCAGCAGCAGGAACCTGTCTCGGTCTGTGATCTTAAATACCTGGACAGCAAGAACAACCAGCATACTGTGCATCAGAGACAAGCCTGTCATATCATGCAAGACACCTGATATCACAAAGCGATCGGGCAGTGCTGTGCTCTGCCAAAAGATAAGGAACAAATTTGAGCACCACTGCAATCTGCAGAGTAGACTACCTTCATGTCAGGCACTGCAGACATTCCTGCCGACTTGTACAGAGGGTCGCCAAATGATCGAGAAACCTCGACCCTGCCCCCAAGCCTGCCGTCTTTTGATACAAAGCCGCCTGACTTCTCGATCCGCGTCCTCTCCTGAGGATAGATTGCTTTATGATCGCGCGTCAGGGTGATGGCTTTCGGGGCCCCTCCCTCAGAAGGAATTCTTCCCAAAACACACTTTGCATCTCCTGCACAAAGGAGACATCTGATATATGGTCACAAAGCTTGAGTGAAATTACATCAAGTGAGTGGGGCTAAATTCAATAGACTCAGAACCACCTATGTTGGCCACAATGGCAGTGTCTCCAAGGATCCAGGCTGCTGCGCATGTGGCACCATCCTGCCATTCATTCCGCTTACACATCTCCAGCAGCACCGCATCAGTGCTCTGAAATCCCTCTGACACAGCCTGCCGTCTGCTTTTTGCATTGCTGCTCCTCTCCTGCAAAAAGATTTCACTCAGATCCTGAAAGACATTTCTTGTACTCAGCGCACTTGCAAAGAAAAAAGGACATGCAGTCTGAGTCGAGCGGCTTACAAGACCAGCAGCTAGCACATGCTTGTGTAGCTCTTCACTAGCAGCTGCGGCCACCTTGACACCTCCATGGCCATCAAAGACAGCAAAGAATGACACCCTGTTCCCACCCATACCGGTCTAGACTGTTGGCTCAAATCCCAGACAACAAAGCTGAAAAGGTTGCTGATCGTGACAGATAAACGGAATGCAGTCTGTGCCTCGATTCTTGCTCGTTGCCACAGTGGACAGTACAGACATCTGCAGAAGCCAGGAAACATTTCAAAGCCCACGAACCGAACGATGGGCGCACTGGACCGCAACCAATATCTAATATCCGTGAATTTTTACCTTCCATATCTACTCTACTGCCTCGATCATGGGCGGAAGCTGCTGTAAAATGGGTTCTAGGCGAGTGGGTCGTTTCCAATCTTGACTTCTTTCGGCCAGCCTCTACGTTGTCTTGATCGTCACACAAAGTATCTTTGGTAGGAGGAACAAATAGACAAGCAGAGGACGATATTTTTCCTTCATGGGGTCTCTTGCGGGTGTATATTTCCAGGTCATCCTGAACCGAGCCCATTGGAAGATGATTCCACTAATTTTTGTGCGTGTTCTATGTCACTCGTGTCCGAGTGACCAAGGCTATTTTCAACATCCCTAATTTCAGATGTGAAGTCTGGATAGATGAATAGAGGAAGATGTCTGTCTAGGGTAGAAATAAATGGTGACAGGGGTCTCTGGGAATCTAGACGACGAACGAACAGTCTTTTGTTGTAACGGTGCTGGTACCAGCACCAACATGAATACTGGAGATGCAAGAATTCCAAAGACCTTTCAGTGAATTTGCTGCTAATTGGTAGACATACCCTTGCATCATGGGAGCACAGTCTGCCATCGTGCTTATCATGACTGTCTAGCCTGTAGACAGTCATTGACTGGATCCTCAGACTACTCTTCAAGATCGGCAACCCAACGGCCATAGGGCATACACGCAAGGCGTCTGCAGCCATGTCTGCGGGGCCTACAAATGTCTGCAGCTGAGGTTGCGGGCTGTTATGCATGGCCCCGGTGAATCAGGCTGTCAGACGAATTTATCCATTACACAAGTTGAACTTGCAGCGTTCCTGACAAGTGAAAAAAAAAACCTGAAAAAAAGAAGCACCAGGCCGGGGAATGTGAACCCCGACTCAACTGGTGCATCTTTTTCAAGCAGAACATATTCTCACGTCACTTGCAATTTAGCAATGACTGGATCTGTAGTTACGTGGTTATGTAGAGCAGTTTGGGTCATGAAGCATGCACTGTGCGTTGTTGTTGCAGCTGTGCAGCTCATGATCTTGAATTTTGAAAGTCATGATAATGAACATGCATGCCAATCGATTACTAATTAGTAATTAGAACATTACTTGTGACCACCTTAAATTTGAAGCAAGCACTGAGCGTCCTGTAACAGGACTTGAAACATTCTCCATTGGCAATCTACTGTGGCCTGGACCAAAGAAGGCATAGGATTAACTGATTATCATGATGGACATTCTGGATGCGACTGGTGCCTAACCGTCAGGCCGTTGACTATCACGGTGTGACACGGTCGCTGCATGCGCATGGCATTCCTCTGTGACAGGCCTCCGAAGGCTTGCAGTCATTTGGACTGAACATGATCATCATCACTTGTACGGTAATAATGCTTTACTTGCATTGCGTAGATCATGCGTTCAGTGAAATGAATTGCTTCAGTACTGAATGGTGCATATATCTCATCAGTGATCCGCTGGCTCTTCAAGGGGCCATGCGTTGTTCAAGCATCCCAGCCATTCTGATTTGGCTTAGACGCCCAAGGTGAGAGCCCGCAGACCTGCAAGGCAGAGAACTTAAAGTGATTAAGGGGGAAAACATGCAACAGCTGGTAATGATGGGAGCTGGCACAAAGCACATGACGATGCACAAGCTTCAGCCACTTACAAACCTGCATACCTGGTGTCCTGGTCACCAATAAAAGACTTGGCTGTAAACATGTTGTACTCACCTGGCATCTTGTTGCCCTCAATGAGCTCCAGGCTGGCCCCGCCTCCAGTGGAGATGTGTGTAAAGTCTTCATGCGCACAACCTGCTGCCTTGACAGCCGACACGGAGTCTCCGCCACCTATGATCGTGATTGCTCCCCGCTTTGTTGCTGCTGCAATGGCCTGGAGGAACAGCAGGACGTTCATCATGCCCACACATCTCTATTTGAGAATGTGCATAGGATAAGTACTCGAAATATCTGTGCACCAACCTTTGCCATGGCATACGTGCCCTTTGAGAATTCCGGCACCTCAAATTTTCCCAAGGGTCCATTCCAAAAGATTGTGCCAGCATCTGCATGCACCAGACCAAATTTTGAGGATTAGCAGGACATGTCAGACTTGTCACACATGCGCCTTGATTAAGGGCACGTTTGAACTATCCTAGGTTTTACCTGCGAGCGCATCAGCAAAAAGCTGCTGACTTGCTGGACCGATGTCGCCTCCGTGGAAACCGTTTGAAATTATTGGCTGCAGCAACAAGGATTCAAAAATCTCAATGCTCAGCCTTGCCAGTACATTTGATGAATATCCTGCAAGCATGGCAGCTTGCTACCATGTTTCTCCTGAAAGCACACCTTTCCAGATCCAAAGTCCATCGTCCAGACAATCTTGGTCTGTGCACCTTGTTCAAGCTCTTCAGCCACCACTTGGTCGATGGGCAGGTACAGCTCTTTGTGCAGCTCGGCTGCCTTCCTCTCCATCTCTAGCGCTTCCTGCAACAATTTGCAACGCTCACGATACAGCATCCTCCGCACAGATGAATATGCCTGTGGCGGTGCTCGGCTGCATTGTCGCAGGCAACAGGCACTGACGTGGTTGGGGCTGGTGTACTGTCCAGCTCAGCTTCAACTAGCAAGGAAAGGGTAGAGAGTGCAAACCATGCTAGAGCAAGAATTACACATATGCACATTATATTTAGCAGGGTCACCTCCACTCGATGGGCTTCCTCGATCTCAGTGTCGCCCACAGACACACCCTTGGCCTTGAGGAACGTGAAGGCCATCTTGCCCCCAATGATCAGCTTGTCAGCCTTGTCAATGAGGATGCTGATTATGTGCAGCTTGTCAACCACCTTTGCGCCACCTGCACATTGCTGTTCACTTAAAGTGGCAGTCATCATGAGGAAAACTTGAGCACTCCATTGCAGCAGGTGTTGTAGTTTGTCACGTACACAAGAGCAGCAGGTCAACACAGGTCATGGTGGCACAGATGCCCCTCACCCAACACGACGACAAAAGGCCGTTTGGGGACATCAATGCTCCGAGCAAGGCACAGCACTTCCTTTCTGACGAGCGGGCCAGGGTAGGACTTCGGTACAAATTTTGTGATGCCCTGCAACATAGCACCTTCTTCAATGCATCTCAATTATTCTCTCAAAAATCAAACAACTGCTGCATAGCTGACAATCTTTCTGATAAGAATCTTGGTGATGGTGGAAACTTCGAAACTTCAAAACTTCAAAAGCATCGAGGTGCCTGAAAGCGTACCGTCACACTAGCCTGGTTGCGATGCGAGACTCCAAAAGCATCCATGATGAAGACTTCAGCACCAGTGCTCTTTGCAAGCGCTTCGGCAAATGCGTCGTCGTTTTGAGTGTCGCCCTGCTGGGAAGCAAGTACTTGGGCAACACTCCTTGAAGTATTGAGCGAACATGGATGAAAAGCAGGTCAGCTGATGCAGCAATATGCATCACACAAATGCAGAGTGTAGGCTGGGGAAGCAAACCTTGTGAAAGCGGGTATTTTCAAGCAAGAGCACCTGCACAGGTTGCAATTCATTTTATAGTCCCGGAGCAGAGCGACTATGTGCAACGTTGGCTTCTAACCGTTGGGGTGAACTCCTAGTAAGGCAACAACGAGATTGTGCAAATTAAGGGCTCGCACTTGGCCCGGTTTCATCGTGCCAATCCGAGCTGAGACAGCGTCTCCAATGCAGTCTTCTGCCAGGCCCACAAAGGCATCGCCCAAAATGTCCTTCAGTGCCGCCGCCACAGGCGCCAGCGAGGCTTTTGCCTTCATCTCATCCCACGTCTGTTTGCCAGGGTCTGGCCTACAAGATAATGTGCCCTCTTAGAGAAGACTGGGTTTGTACGTGACATCTTGCATGTCATGCACACATTGGCCGCAGTGTGGCAAGGCAGAGCCACACCTGCCCATGTGACTGGCCAGTATCAGAATGGCGCCACCTTTCCTCAGTAGATCGATGGTCGGAACTGTGGCTCTTATCCTGTACACGTGCAGCGCAGATGAGCACTGGTGAAGGCATTAGATGTGCACAAAAGCACTTGGATCACTCAATTACGCGACATACCAAAGTTTGCGCACCTTGTATCGTCAGCAATCTGTTTTCCAGAGAGTGGGACATTGAAGTCCGCTCTCATCAGAACCCTCTGCCCATTGAAATCAAGCTTCGAGATGTCCTTATCCGACGTGAGCAGGATATCGATAGCTTGCTGGCGCGTCTGCAAGACAAGGAAGCAATACTGCTCAACCAAGCACACGCACCTGCTATGAGGGAAAAGCTAGGTTTGCAAGTGGAGCCCTAACATGGCAATCTTGAGTACCCTTGCACTCGGCATGCGGGAAGATGCAGGGGTGGGGCAACTTGCTAGGTATTAAACATGCACAGCTTACTAGATGATGATTTGATAGATCGAGAGGGAAACTCGACGTACCAGAGTCCGATGAAGAGAACGTTCACCCATCTCACTGCATGCTATTCGGTATCGAGATTTAATCTTTGTCAGCTCTTAACCAGGATCGATCCAACAGAGTGTACGTTATTGTCTTCTGTCTCGCACTATCTTGATGATGCTGAGTTCAGGCTCTGTCGACATTTTCGGAAGCCCTGCCCAGTCAGCCCACGTGGGTCTGAGGTGGCTTACAACGCAGACTTCCGGAAGGCCAGAGAAAACCTCAGAAAGTGCTGCTCAGCATCGGAAATCTTAGTATATCTTCCTTTGCTTCGGACTTAATTGTTGCTCTTGGTCCACCGAGGTTCATTCGTGCACCGCGCAATCTTTTGCACCTGTCTCCTGTGTGACCTAAGACGCGACAGGCAACGATGGTGAAGGTAAGCTACCGTCCATCCCTTTGATGATTTTTTGCCGGTCTAATATTCATATACACTGTACTCCATTCGTCACCCGTGGCAACGTTATGTTTTGTGTGAATGTGATGTTCTCGAGCACTACGGAGGTTTATATATCAGCCGCCTTGCTTTGTGAGCTGGGAATCAACATTATCATTTTCCCTCGCTTGGTACTCTTAGCAATCTCCTCGAGAGCTTTGACTGTGAATCACCGAAGTAAGCAGTTGACTAGGGCAAGGGTGTCATGCCTTTGCCACCGTCGTCATTTCCTGGTCACAGCTGTCATCATTGGGGTGCTGAGATGCCATTTTTCCACAGTTTTGTTTTGTTTTGCGGGCGCAAGGAATGGCAGTGCAACTGATCGCTGCATGTCAGTCAGGCTCCTCATGTCCTTGGACCTTACTCACAGCTCGTGTTATTGGCATCATGTGCTGACTGAGCAGGTTGGCATCAATGGGTTCGGCCGCATTGGGCGCTTGGTCTTCCGTGCAGCCCAGGCACACCCTGACATGGAAGTCGTGGCGATCAATGACCCCTTCATCGACATTGCCTATGCGAAGGCAAGCACATGATCCCCCTGTATTCCTCTTCTACTTGCCTGACAGCCATGCTCATCCCCTTGATGCTGCCATGTACGACACACATATAAGATGAGCCTGAGGATGTGTCCCGCTTCTGCCGTGCAGTACATGCTCAAGTACGACTCCACCCACGGCCGCTTTGAGGGGGACATCACCGGAGCAGAGGACGAATTCATAGTGAAGGGCAAGAAGGTGACTGTGTTCCAAAGCATGAAGGCGGACGAAATCCCATGGGGCGAGGCCGGCGCAGAGTACATTGTGGAGTCCACCGGTGTCTTCACAGATCTGGCCAAGGCCGGTGCACATCTCAAGGGCGGCGCCAAGAAGGTCCAGAACTCCAATCATTATCATGCACCAAACATTGCTGTGGCTCTCATTGCTGTGCAGTGTTGAAAATGCGATTGTTACATATGCGCTGCTTCTGATGTCACTCTGACGTTGTGGTGTGCCCAGGTCATCATCTCTGCCCCGTCAGCCGATGCACCGATGTTTGTGATGGGCGTGAATGAGACGAAATATGACCCCAAGACCATGGTGCGCTTTCTTGCTTCAACTTCATATCTGTGCAATCAATGCAGGTGACTGTTTGCGGTGCACAGCTAGCCATTGCTCATGGGACACCGCCAGTCTCCTGTGTGCTGATTTACTCTGCATGCTACCACAGAATGTCATCTCCAACGCCTCATGCACAACAAACTGCCTGGCACCTCTGGTGAAGGTCGTCCACAACAAATTCGGCATCAAGGAGGTGTGTAGCAATCTGCAGGCCCTTTCATGTCCTTACCAAGGGCGTTGCAATTCTGCAGATGTTCTTGCCATTAAATAATCCGGTGTCAATTGATGCATGGGCAGCTGCATGTCTGGTGCTTTGCTGTAGTGTGAGTGCAACTGCTCTCACTAGTTCCTTCACATGCAGGGTTTGATGACGACTGTGCACGCCACGACGGCCACTCAGAAGACAGTAGATGGCCCGTCCAAGAAGGATTGGCGTGGCGGCCGCAGCGCAAGCACCAACATCATCCCATCCTCCACCGGAGCAGCCAAAGCCGTAGGCAAGGTCTTCCCGGCCCTCAACGGCAAATTGACAGGCATGGCTTTCAGGTGGGAGTCTCTCCTTAGCAGATTTCTACCTCCCAACAGCAAATCTGGCCTCACATAAATACTGCACAGACTTGTGGTTCTTAGTTTTGCCACGCTGGTGATCCTTTGCAGTTGCCTTGATTGGGCCGATAAAGCTGCGGTGAGCTTTAGGCGCTGAAGTGGGTTTGTTGGCGTGGACAGGGTGCCCACAACAGATGTGTCTGTGGTTGATCTGACCTGTGTCCTGGAGAAGGAGGCCACCTATGCCGAGATCATGGCAGCGCTCAAGGCAGCCTCTGAGAATGAGCTCAAGGGCATCGTGGGCTACACAGAAGAGCAGGTGCGTGTTGCCAAATGTTTCTGTGGTCACAGTCAGAAGTGCATCAAGATCATCAATATTGTTATTACTCTATGCATCTATTGGGTGCACGGAAAGTTGTGCACGCAGAGTGCGGCCCGGATTCCTTTGCCCAGAAATATCAATACTTGTCTGCTCTGATGTAGGTTGTCTCAAGCGACTTCATCACAGACACCCACTCCTCTATTGTGGACGCAAAGGCAGGCATTCAACTGTCACCGACATTTGTCAAGGTGGGCTTCATATCAAGCTCGGTGTTTGGATCTTATTCTCTGTGCATAGTGAACACATGCAGACTTCCTGAAGCTCTAGGTGCGCAGCTAAGATTTTCTCTTGTTGTGCAGCTGATCTCCTGGTACGACAATGAGATGGGCTACAGCACAAGGGTGTGCGACCTGATCCGCTACATTTCTGCCCGCGACGCAGAGTAGGCTTGATCATGTCAGAAGGCTGCAGCTCCACGGCTGCAGCTCTAGGGTGAAGCATCAACTAGGTGTCTTCTGGTGTAGGTTTCCTGCTGGTTCTCATTTGTGTGTGTTGTTCAGGAGTTTGGGTTGTAAATGAGCTTCTCACTTGGCTGGATCTTCTGGCAAACGAGCGTCAAGTAACTAGGTGGTAGAGAGTCTTAGCTTGGTCTGCAGAATGGAGTTCTGAGAATGCATGCTTTGTCCAGAAGCCTTTGATTTCCTACTGAAGTTGGTCATAACAATTGTACCATGTGGCATGGTGTCATGTTAAGGTTTGCAACTGCAGCTGCAGATTCGTGCAGGTAACACTAGGGTCACTGACAATGGCATTTGCAAGAATAGTGCTTTAGCTTGGTAATTTCTGCATCAATCGATTTAATACAGCGGGTTGAGATGGAGTCTGCTCTTGCTATATAGGGTAAAGGAAACGACGAGGGTTCTATCAAATAAGCTAAAACTAGGTGGGATCACTCCGTCAACTACTCTGTGCTACTACTGATCATCATCTTCGTCCTCATCATACCCAAAGTCGGTGGTGAACTGTATATACTGCCCACTGAGCAGGAAGTATGCAGCAATAGCAAGACCAGCGCCAGCAAGCCACATCTGATTGCCGCGCCTCCACTCTTTGTCCTTCGCGCTCAATTCCTTCTTCTCTCTGCAGCATTCCCAAACATGCCCACCTCAGACTAGCCTCATGCCACCAAAGAGTATAACACTATTGCATTCTTTAAGTCAGGCAGAGCAACTCCATCAACAAGACAGCTCCATCAACCAGGGCCGCTGCAGACCTCTGTGCCTGTGAGGATGTGGATGCTTCCTCAGCACGCTGTGCCCAGGCAGTGGATGTCATGGGCGGCGCTGTGGGCAGCGGAGCAGAGAAGACTTCCCGGCTGATGCGTTCTACATAAGCCACAAGTGTTGGATGGCCCGCCAGCTGCAAGTCATGTCTGAATGCTCAATTCCCCTAGATACAATCGCATCTCCATGGTGCACTCCCAGCTAATATTCTGGCACAGAAATAGAGCCCTCATCCTTTTTCAGAATGAGTGTCATAATTCACCTTTTGTCTGAGTTCTGGAGCAGACACTGGCGCGCCATGATGAAAGGCTAAGTGAGCAAAAATGGCGGCATCTAAGCTGCTCGGCCTGCTGCCAAAGAAGTAGCTGCCCTTGACGCTGTTTGACCGCAACTGCTCCTCCAACGCCGCATACACACGACCTGCGTCCTCATAAACCTGCAGTGCATGCCAGACGTTTTGCTGCCTACATCGGTATCAAACAAGCCACAGTGCCAGATGCATGCCAACAGTTGCGATGAAATAATCTTAGCGCACATGTCACAAGTCTCCTAGAGGCTCCCCAAGATCACCTGTGCTTGCGTGGTGCCTTCAAACTTCCGCATGATTGCCCTTCGCTGGTTCCATGGGAGCCAATAATTCAGTGGCAGTGGCAAGCCCGCCGCATATGCCGCCCGTGTATGCCTGTTGTAGCTCTCGGCCTCGCACCATGTTGTGTACAGAGTTGCAGGCTCCAGCTTGGCCTCCACAAGTGCTGTGAAGGCCAACAACTCCGCTTTCTGCAGACATGCTGAGAGATCAGCCAATTGATTAGGCAGATCTTGATACAACAAAGGGGAAGAGGTTGCTCGGCTTGCCTGGACAGCCGAAAGATGTGCATCCAGATCAGAGCCATGGGACTGAAGATACTTTGTAATGGCTCTGGCCGACGCAAACTCGTCCCCCTCGCCCTCAATCAAGTCCAGTCCATGCTCTAAGGCCGGAAGTTGCCCTGCAGGATCAATGTGTGAGTACGTGATCGTATTCTATTGTTCACGTGAGGCTCGCAATGATGACATGTGGCAAGGCCTCACCTGAAGGGGAGGTACTTGAATTTGTGCACTCATCTGCTGAGAACGGTACCCTGCCAAGCCGTAGATGTGCCTGCAAAGAAGGCATGCCAGACAAGTAGTGATTTTTCCCAGCAGGATTTGATTGGATATAGAACAAAAAATATTGTACGCAATACATAAAGGTTTACTGCAGGTAAGGTCACGACTACATAGTGTCACCTCCACTTGGATGCATGCAGCAGAAATTGACGGCAGACCCCAGTTTGGCACCCATTTGTACAGCCTGTACGACGGGGCAGTGTCCATCTAAACGTCAATAAATCCTTTTGAAATCCTCGATGCTTGCAAATCTTCTGATCGTTCTGCATTGCAGAGGCCCAGCAAGCACATGTGCCAGCTCAGCAAGCCGAGGGAGAAGGAGAGCAGATTGATCAGAATGCTAAGGCGAGAGCGATCACAGAAATTTCAGCTTGGTGTTGATAAAAACCGTAAGATATTGACAGCAACAATTTATTTGACGGAGTGATGTAGTATATTATATGGGACACATACAATGTCTGAGCCATGAATGCAGTACGACGGTGACAGCATAATGTTTAGCAGTGATCAGACATCTACGCAGTTCTCACCTGCATTAAGATTCCACAGAGAACTTGGGATCGCACCGAAACGGGTATTTCTTGGTTCTGGTATGCCTTGATCTGCCTCTCTCCCTGTACAAGTGCTTGGCTTGTGCGTTGAGATATGCGCTGTTGTGCAGGAGGCATCTCGCTTCAACGAGACATTTGCCCGGAAGCTTTCGGTGGAGAATGTGCTGCAAGGACACGAAGGATGTGTGAATAGACTTGCATGGAACGAGGAAGGCACTCTCCTTGCGTCTGGATCAGATGACAGAAGGGTAGGATGGGTTTCTTCATTATTCAGCTCTCCGATGTGCTGCCTACATCCCAACGTTCTAAAGCCTCGTGCCTGTCGAGTCATATCTAGGAAGCCCTTTGCAAAGGCTGATTTTCTGAGCTCGTTTGCAGGTGCTCCTGTGGCATTACCCAGACAGCAACCTAGCGCCAGTGGTGCTCAAGACGCCCCACTTGGCAAACATCTTCGGTGTGCGCATCCTGCCATGCTCTGGGAACAGGCGCATTGTGACCGGGGCCATGGACTGCAGTGTCCAGCTGCATGTGCTCGATGCCTCGCCTTCAACGTATGCCAGGGCAAAACGGGAGCAGCGCACTGTGAGATGGGTGCCTGACGAGGGCAATGAGCCCGTTCCCTTGCACACCACCAAGTACCTGTGCCACTCCAAGAGAGTGAAGGTGAGGATGATTCATGTTTGACATTTTCAGTCTTGTCGACACGCCGAGAGCAAGCAATTTGTCAAAAAGTGCACACCCGAGCGCGCTGTGGGGGTCATGAAGGGTGTGGAAGTGGCGCCGCGGGATCCCCATGTCTTCTGGTCTGTGAGCGAAGATGGGGACGTACGGCAGTTTGACACTCGCAGCAGGTGCCACCCATATCATTGCTGCCCTCAGCGCTGTCAGTCTGCAACAGCAGGCAGGGTGAACCCGGGCCGAATGCGGCAAGGCCATGGTGTCTAATCACCTTGAAATGTGTGCAGGACGAGCACACAGGATGAGGAGGAAAGCCCCAATGTGCTCCTGTCCCTGAAGCGCAGCAGTGCAGCTGATGACGTGGAGCTGAAGTGCATGGCTATCAACAAGGTGAGTCTTGCTTCCCACTCACTTTGGCATACCTTGGAGCAAATCTTGAAAGTTCCCAGTATTTTTTGTTCTTGATGCAGGTGAGGCCGAATGAAATGGCAGTGGGAGCGCACGACCAGTACATCCGCATCTTTGACAGGCGCATGCTGTGCACAGGTATGCTGTGCTTTTGCTGATGTAGGAATCCCTTTTGTAGTTCTTGGTAGAATAGCTCACGCGACTGATGCTGGGTGACAGGGCCCCCGAGGAGCGCGCGTGTGTACGCGAAGCCAATGCTCATGCTCGGCCCGCCCCACCTCTGTCTAGGTGAGGCGCAGCCTGTAACGAAGTATGCATGCCATTTTTTGGAACCAAAGAAGCCCTGATGGTCAACAATACATGTTTTATTGCACAGAAGCAATATGTTGTGCCACAAGATTTGTGAATGGTCTCACAGGCGACAAGAAGCGTGGCAGGTCCAGGCAGCACACCACGGGGGTCTCCTTCGGAGCCAGGGGGGACAAGGTAGTGGCATCCTACCATGGCGACCACGCCTACTCCTTTGACATCACACGCAGCTCACAGGAGGCAGCTGAGAGTGCGCTTGCATATCCTGCAGCACCATCCCAGCCGCACCTCAGCAGGCCAGCTGCAAGCAATAGCCACCAGGAGGTGTGCAGCTCTTCGGGCAGAGGCGACAGCGCACAGTTCACCCCCTGCACCTTGGGCAGCGAGTGCGCATCATCTCGCCCTCCTTGTTTTCCTTTAATAATTACAAGGGCTGAAGACTCATCAATGAGAGCCCGTGTGTGGTAATCGAGCTGTATTGGTCACAGGATGGTGGCGCAGCTGTCCAAGAAGGCAGAGGGCTGCAAGAGCGCAGGCAACCACGCCTACTTTGAGAAGGACTTTGCCAAGGCAGTGCGGCTGTACAGCGACGCTATCCATTATGCCCCAGGCTCCGCGCTGCTGTACTCGAACCGCTCTGCGGCATTGCTGGGGCGTGGATGGCAAGGGGACGCTTGGTTCGCTCTTCAGGACTCCGAGCAGGCTCTTCGCATCAACGCCTCCAGCTCCAAGGCTGTCTACCGCCGCATACAGGCCCTCAGAGCTCTTGGCCTGCTCGAGGTGACTTGCCTCCTCTTCCCTGTCCGAAACTTTTCTGCCATGTGGACAAATTTGTGGGAGGGTATTCCAGGAGATGTATCTGTGCTGGGGAATAAGGCTGCGTCAATGCGCTGGATGTATGCACTGGTAGCAGGAAAAGCGTAGATTCCAATGCAGCCGTGCGGAATGTGCAGGAAGCAGCAGCGTCGATGGAGCAGTTTGAGGGCGAATTCCCCGACATGCAGAAGGACGCGAAGCGGCTGCGCGAGACGATCGAGGAGGACCTGGCGGAGGTCCGCAAGAAGGCCGAGCTGCGCCGCACGCAGTCCGCTGCCCGCCGCCGCGCCCAGGCGGAGATGCGCCAAAACGCGGCCCGGCACCGCAGGCGGCAGACAGACGCCACAGCCGACTCGAATGGCGCCGTCGCCGCCACCGCCGCCCCCCGCCCGCCAACCCCCCGGCCCCCTGTGAACCCCTTCCTTGAGGCCAGCATGCACCTGGCAGAGGCGGGGCCTGCGGCAGGGAGTCCGGCAGCCAGCAGCGCGGCGCAGCAGGCAGACTTAGATGCGGGTGCAGAGTTGGGACGCAGGCCTGGCAGAGAGGAGGCCTTCACGTTGGACTCTGCCCGGAGCGGCGAGGGCACACGGAGTGATGGTCCTTCTGCCCTTCTGACGGGCCCAACCAGGCAGCAGCCATCGTCTGCAAGGGAAGTGCCCAGCCACCAGGATAGTGATGAGGTTGTGCCCGGGCCACCCTCCGGGTCTCCACCTGGACCTGGGGGTGATTTCCAAGCAGGCTCTGCAGCAACTCGTGGATCAGTAGAGCGCACAGCCCTGGATAGGGCGCTCTTGGAGTACAGGCAGCATGATAATGGGGATGCGGGAGCATCAAACGCACAGGATAGTCGTTTGCCGTGGGAGGACAACTCGGTGCGCTCTACTCTCACCCACACTTTTGTGAGACAGTTGCAAGGATCAAGTTCTGCATGGGTGCTGCCTGCTTCTGCAATTGCTTTGCCGATTTTGCTGCCAGCTGAACTGATGTCATGTGGCCATGTCCCGCAGGCGGGGGGCCATGGGATGGATGTTGATACTAACCGAGGTGAGGTTGGGGATGGCGTTTTCAACCTACCTGCTGATGTCTGGGAGGCTGACAGTGGAGCAGAGAGTGATGATGAGCCCATGAGCGAGGACGACACGCAAATGTAAGCGCCCAGCAAGCCTCTCTTGTGCACCGCATGTCATTTTAGAATTCAGGGGACATTCTTGCCCAAGGATCGAGTGTCATTTGTCTTTCTGACATGTTGATGAGGTCATGCAGGGATGAGCACGAATTAGAAGTGGAGGTCCTTAGGGACAAGTCCTCATATGCAGCTTTCAGCACTGCGAGTGTGCCGGAGGGGCGGCGCCTATTGCAGCGCTACATGGGCCACTGCAACATCCAGACAGATATCAAGGAAGTGACTTTCCTGGGCGACAACGATGAGCTTGTTGCAGCAGGTGAGCATGAGCAGCCATTCATGAGTTTGCCTCCTGGCAATGCATGCGAAGGTTAATTTGTACCGGGCTCTGGTGGGATTGCCGGTGTATACCTCTCCTGTGCTAATCCTGTGCTATGCATGCCAAGATGAACCTGTCTGATGTGTGCAGGGAGCGATGACGGCCGCATCTTCATCTACGCTGCAAAGAGCGGGCTTCCCATTGTCGCGCTGGAGGCTGATGAGGATGTGGCCAACTGCGTTGCGCCCCACCCGAGTCTGCCGGTGCTGGCGACCTCCGGCATTGAGTCTGCCGTGCGGCTGTGGTCGCCCAAGGGCCCTGCTGTCAACCCCGATCTGTCCCAGGAAGTGGCCGCCAACCAGGTGGACACATTCCCCTTGCCACACTCCTGGCGTACTGTATATTAATAGTACGATTTGTGTACCCACGGCTGGCTGCAGGTTGGCGCTGACAGTGCGGATTTGCATGCTGCAGCCAAGGTCTGTGGGCATTGTGCACCCATGGCTGGCTGTCCTCCCATGCTGACTGTGTGGTTTCTGCTGCTGCAGCCCAGGTCATCTATTCTCTGGGCATTGTATTGTGGGAGAAGCCACTTCAGGGCATTGGGGATGGAGGATGAATGGGTGCATCATGTGTGTGTGCGCGCAGGACCGCATGCGTGCAGGGCCCAGCTTCGGTGCGCGGCTCAACCCGCGGCTGCTGGCGGCCATCACCCAGAACCCAGAGCTGCTGCAGGTCATCATGTCGCGCACGCGAGTGGCCGGCCTCTCCAGCGAGCAGGAGCTTGCAGGCGCGGAGCAGGATCAAGACGGCCCTGGGGCCTGCTCTATCAGCTAGATCGCATGATCAGGAACAAATGAACCCCTGTACATTATGAATGCACTGTGTGCTAGTATGCATTGTAGATGATACCTGTACATTGCGAAACTGTTACTAGCTAGGGACAATTCTGTGGCTGTCTGAAACAAGCTTGCTGCAATGACTGGTATCACAATGTCTGCATCATCAACTTGGCCTTTTAGCAATACATGAGCTCCCTGAAAACCACTTAGTGCCACTAGGACTTCACTGGCCTCTCCTACTCATGTTGATCAGGCAATGAATGTAGATATGTTTGGCACAACATGCATCATGCTATGTTCAAGGGGCCCAGTTTCCATTCGTTCTGACCAAAATCTTGATCATTGAAACATCTGCAAAGAGATCCGCAACTCGTTAAATGCTCCTTGCACTCCTGAAGTGTAGAATGTCCTCTGGAATTGTCATCTGCACCAAGGGGACGATCCTTACAGACAACCACGATGCGGCATGCAAGAGTCTTGCAATATGCTAAGGAACATGACAACAATGGTCAAAAGTGTGTGCCTCACCTCTTTTCTGCTGCAGCGGAGCTTTCCATTTCTGCAAAAGATATGTCAGTTGCTTAATGCTCTGCCTCATATCCACGAAAGCAATCAATGTAGTCCTGGACTAGCTTCTGGATTCTGCTGGCTTCATCAATAAGGAATGAAGCATCCGCTGCACCACTATGTGTCCGCAGAATCTTATCCACCACCTTCTGCAGCACCTTCTTGTACATGTCTTTGTCCAAGACCTGCACAGCTAGAGCTCAGAAACCACATCTTGAAATAACCGAAGCTGAGCTACAGTGCATTCCTGTGGGAAGCATTCACCTGGGAGTGATACAAAGGGTTGAGGATAGCCTGCAGACACAACAAGCCATGAGACCCTGAGTCATTGTCATATTGTGAATTGTCTTTCGTCAAGGATAGCTCATACATGCGTGGGATTGGCGAATCACAGAGCTCGTAGGATTGCCGTGCCTTGACAAAGTGAAGGGTCGCCTGCCTCAATTCTTCCTCCCCTAAGCTGACTTGAACTTCACCGCGCTCTTTGTGCGATGAAATGGGAGAAATCTCCCTCTCATCATGGCTATCTGATTCGGCGCCAGAGGCAGCTTCCCAATCAATGTCTGCAGTCTTCAGCACTAGCGCCGGACTCTTGATCGCACTCCCATCCACTTTGCTTCGCTTTGCCTTGTCCGCATCTAGACTGGCTGGCAGGCTCTTTCGTTTGACTGGACAATCTTCTGGATGTTGCTCAGGATTGCTCTTTTCAGCTCCTTCAGACTCTGGATCATTCTTCGGATCCGATGGAACATGTGTCTCTGCCTTGGTTTCTTCACGGGCAGCCTGCGGCAATGCCTCTGTGGGCAGGAATGCGTGGTCTGCAGAAGTGCGCGCAGCCTTATTCATGTACACCTGTGATTAGCAAGTTTAATGAGAGCGGACTGACGCCACCATTTTTTACATTGGATCGTTTGTGCACCAACCCACTGTCTTACAGGAGGTCAGCAATGAAATGCTACCTGCTTGCTGGAAGCACTCCTGAAGATACTGAGCTCCTGAGCCAGAGCTGCAGAGACGGCATTTCTTCGCGCAGATGCTGCCTCTAGTTGCCTCACTCCCTCTACACTGACTTCAATGCCAGCTTGCTCCAGAAGGTTAGCCAAGTGCTGGCCTGCCAGACGATCGGCCACTCCCTGCAAATAGGGTGATCCAGCATGCTATGAGGTGTTTTGGGATGACAGCGTTTATTGTCATTTTTGTGACGCAAGAAAATGAGCATCGTTCCATTGACAGGCATGCATGGTGGGACAAGCGGCATATGCAGACCTGACGGGCTACGCGCGGTATACTAGAGCGTGGAACATACTGCACTATTGGGCGCTCATGTACCGTCAGCCCGTCATGGATCAACCTCTCGGCAAGCATTCCAGACAGAGGCTGTCTGCCTTCTGCACGTGCTGCTGTCTGGGTGGCGCTCGGGGCTTCTGTGTATGTTGAGTTGCTAGGAGCCTCAGGGAGCTCGTCTTCTTGCTCTGAGCAAGCTTGTTGTGCCGCTCTGAGTATCAATTCCCTGCTGTTGAGTCCAAAACTGGGTGCTGAAGTGGTTGCGTTCAGCAATGCCTCAACCTCTTCGAGCCCTGATCCAGCTTGTGATTCCATTTCAGTATTTTACAAGGCCTTTAAGAGACAAATCACGATTTATAAAGAGTGATGGGCACAAGGAGTGATCAGATCTGGTTGATCAGGTAAGAATTTCAGTGGCTAACTTGCGAGAAAAGGGTGAAAATTGTCAAGCTGATCAGCAATGCCCAATCCTCAAATAAAATTGATTGCCATGAGATCCCACTGAAGCAAAGACTTGGCTCCCATCGCAAGGGCAGCTGCTGAGTCATCGCCATCGATGATGTCCAAATCTGGCATCGCAGCACGGCGCAGGCATCCAGATGAAGCATCTTCAGCAATGCGGACGCGGGATTCGAGATATTGGCTTGCTCGCTAAGATACCACAAAGAACAATCGTTCCTGACTGTTTTCCCGAGTGCCTTCTTTCACTTGTTTTGGTTCCTTCCCCAAACCTTACTTCGGACTTGCATCACCCGTTTGCAAACGTCGTAAAGACGATACCATCTTAGATCTGTCGCCGAGGCACAATGGAAGCGTTTGAAGACTTTCATTTCGCAGTGGTGCGTTCGGTGCCCTGCAACCGTACGTAAACTGCAAGTAGCCGCCATGCGATGCCTCATCTTCGCCTCTTGATGAGCTGTCATGTACTGCAGGAGTACCCCCTTGCTCCTCTTGAGGAGGATTGCAAGCTGTTAGGTTCCCTTTTGGATGACTGTCTACGAATCGAAGTGGGGGATCACCTATTCTCAAAGGCAAGTACTAGATTCAATGCCGTGGCGTTATTGAGCCAAGTACTATTGCTTTTCATCCTTCCCCCTTTTGCATTCTGACATGGCATGAATGTGGACAGCTGGAAACCGTTCGTACTCTGGCACACTGCGCTTCTGGACTTTCCCAAAAGGGCGACAAGGAAGCATCCAACTACCTGTCTGAACGTATGGCGGACGAGCTGAAGGGCCTGCCTCTGGATGAAGCAGTTCCACTCACTCGCGCCTGTGGTAAGCCTGTTTCCCGCATGGCTCATGCAGTTCCTTGGGATGTCAACTTCCTGCTGACCGTGGTTGTCTGCCGCAGGACACTACCTCAACTTGACACAGATAGCCGAGACTCACCACAGGTGCATGTCGACCGAAACGTGCAAATTGATACAGCTTGTCCGTACTCCACATGCTGCTTGGACTACATTTTCCCCCGCACTATGACCCCGCACTATGATAAAGAGCTGGTGATGTTGCAGTGTGAGGACTAGCAGAATTGAGGGAGTCGCTACGAAGACATTCGATGAGGTCTTTGGGCAGCTCATATCTCAAGGATGGACACAGGACCAACTGTTTGAGGCGGTGTGCAAGCAGGTGCGTGTACAACTAGCAGCCTGTTGCCCAGCTTATGGGTCCCCAAACAAATGTTGAAGGATTTTCTGATATACCACTGTCTGTTGATCGACACAGAGGACAGAGGTGGTCTTGACGGCACATCCCACGCAAGTCAACAGGCGGACTCTCCAGTACAAGCACACGCGCATAGCCGCCCTGCTTGCACAGAACGACAGGTGACCTCCTCGTGTCAGACCTTCTACAACACAGCAGATACCGACGTGCACAAGACGGCTGAGATGTTCTCCCTTGCTGCTCCAGGCCAGATACCACGCAGGAGGAGAAGGAGAACACAATAGCCGACATCGTTCGGGAGATCACATCGCTGTGGCAGACGGATGAGCTCAGAAGGCACAAGCCCACGCCAGTGGATGGTGAGCGCCTCCTCAGGTTCCTCACGAGACAGGCCTTCGAGCAAGCTTGCCTTGCCTTATGGCACAGCAGATATAAGGAAGCTTGAGAGCGTTTGAGTGGCAGACAGAATCGTTGGTGGATTCTGATGGTGCAATGGCGCTGTGCAGAGGCGCGCGGAGGATTGCATATAGTGGAGCAATCGCTGTGGGCGGCGGTGCCAAGTTTCCTGCGGCGGCTGAGCGCCGCGCTGAAGAAGCACACCGGGCGGGAGCTGCCCATCGGCCCGGCACCCCTCAACTTCGGCTCCTGGATGGGCGGAGACCGGGATGGCAACCCAAACGTCACCGCCTCTGTGCGTGCTGGCCCCTGCTCCTGCTTCTCTGCTGCTCACACAATTTAGGGGCACTTGATCTGGGATTTTTAACAATCAAGACATCTAATAGCACCTGCATAGGAAAATGGTGGAGGGTAGGGGCCACAGCATGAGCTCATGTGTGTTCCTGTTGGAGTGCAGGTGACACACAAAGTGGCCTGCCTTGCGCGCTGGATGGCCGCTGACCTGTACCTGCGCGAGGTGGACGTGCTGCGTTTCGAGCTCTCCCAGAACCACGCCTCAGACGAGGTGCTTACCCCCTTCTAGCTGCTTGTGAACAGCTGTGTGCCTGTGTCAGACAGGGATACTAACTACTTCGGGGGTTGTATTATCAATCCTGCATCTCAAAAACATCTAGAGCGGCTGCACTGAATATTTATTGCGGAATAGGTGTGGCGCATGGCAAAGGAGATCACAGAGTCGCACCAAGCCGATGGCCACACAGCGCCCCCAGCAACGGGGAATGGCGACCTGGCGACTCCAAGCGCCCCCCTCAGGCACTACGCGCGCTCTCGCGGCGAGGGCAGCAGCCTAGCAGCAGCCTCAGATGGCAATCTGGCCGCCAAGGTCTGCCACCCGGACACCTTGAACATGCTCTTTGGCGCCCATGTGACCAGCCCAGCCTGCAGCTGTCGACAGTGATGTGTACCTGGGCTGAGAAGTTTGATGGGCGCATGCAGATGCGGGTGACCCACCGCTTTGCGCCACAGAGGCAGATGGACGGCCATGACACCACCCACGACCCTGCAGGCATGCCAATTGCGCCGGGGATGGGGCCATTCATCCTGCGATCTGACGGCCAGCGCATGGAGGTGGGCTCTGTTTGAACACCCGGGCAAAAGTTTAAATATCCTGATAGCAACCCCCAGCATGCTCAGACTTATTTTTAAGCCAGTGCGATCTCAAGGAGAACGGGAAGCGTGGTTTCATTAATAGTAAACAAGTGTGTGATGTGTTGTCCTTTTGTGTGGCAACAGGTTGGCTCTCCGCCGTCAGAGCTGATCTGGAGTCCGACCGCAGCGGACGCTTCAAGGAGCAACTCCCTTGACATGAGTGCACCTCACACACCCATGCGCGGCAACTCCTCAACAGACCACTCTTCAGCTTCCTCACCAAACCTCGTGCCCTCCTCTCCTAAGGCAAGCCTCATCCTGCATAATCCTTCCTTGCCTGTGAAACTCTATTTTAAGAATAGCAATCACCTTACTGAGAGCACATCCTCGGTGCAGCCCCAGCTGGGGGGTATGTTTTGAGGCTCAGCTGCTTTGCTGCACATGCAGGCGAATGGGAATGGGAATGGGAGCTCGGGCGGAATGCGAGCATCCAGCAGTGCAGATTTAAAGCAGCAGGCGTTCGCAGCTGGAGTGCAGAAGAGCGCCCTATCTGACTCCCTGTCATGGCGCCTGGACAGCCACGGCAAAGCTGTGTCACCCGACACCATCAAAAAGAGGGGCCTGAAGGTGACCAGTGCTACCCTGTGTGCCTCTAAACCATTTCATACTGTAGCTCATATGCATTTGTGTCAGGCGTCATGCCTGCTGCGGATCCAATTTACGGCATGAGCCTGTTGACAGTCTTGTGGTGTGCGACAGGCTGCAAGGTACCACAAAACTTCCATTGACGCACTGCTCCATCCCAGGCACCATGGCGCCACGCCCTACAGGATTGTCCTCGGAGACGTGAGTGCCCTGCCACACAAGCACCTTTTGCATGCCTTTTGGATGTCTAAAATTGCATCACCATGGAGGAGCCTTGCTTGTATGTGCACGCCGAGTTGACGGGGACTCTGGAGGGGAGAAGAGGAAACAGAAGTGGAAGATCAAGAAGAGGCCTGGCGCGGTGTGTGCAGGTGCGACAGAAGCTGGTGAACACGCGCAAGCGCATGGAGGACATTCTGCAGGGTGGCCTGCAGAATGACGACGATGAGGGGTACGAGACCACGGATGCCCTCGCGCAGCCCCTCCTCTCCTGCTACTGGTCCCTCTGGGAATGCGGCAGCGGCATCGTCGCCGAAGGTGCTAATAAAACTCATGTCTGCTAATATACGCCACTTGCTATCACGCTGCATAGCCCTTTATCTTATGCAGGGCATGTATTTCAATGTCTGTTTTGCAACCTACACCAGGCCTCGCGGGCTGTCTTGCCCATGTGAGAGGAAACAAAGCCTGAAGAGTTGCATTCCCAGCGTCAAGGAAGTGAAAATAGCCTTTTGTGCACAGGGCGGCTGCTGGACCTGCTGAGGCGTCTGTCCTGCTTCGGCCTGGGCCTGATGAAGATGGACCTGCGGCAGGAGAGCAGCCGCCACACCGACGCCCTCGGAGCCGTCACCAAGTGCGTGCTTCCTTCCACTGACTCTCCCATCCCCACACCCCTGAAGCAGCGCTTTGATGATTCATCACTCACATCCAAGCTGCATTGATTCGATGTGGAGGTATATGGTTGGTGCAGGTACCTGGGCGTTGGCGACTACAGCAACTGGAACGAGGACGAGCGCATTGCCTGGCTGGTGCAAGAGCTGGAGAGCAAGCGCCCGCTGGTGCCTCCTTCCATGCCCATGACCAGCGAGGTCAAGGAGGTGGGTTCTTTGGTGCCCCTGCAGCCTGCCACATTATCCAAATTTTTGTTATTCGCTTATGTGTGCCTGTCAAATCATGAAACAAACTGCAGAAGTGCAGGATTCAGCTGTGTGGAGTGTGGCTTGCAGGTGATAGACACGCTGAAGGTGGCGGCAGAGGTGGGGCCGGAGAGCGTATCTGCATATGTCATCTCCATGGCCACGCACGCATCGGACGTGCTCGCTGTTGAGCTCCTCAAGCGAGAGGCCTGGCTCATGGTGGGCACTGATACCGTTCTCCTGCATTTTTTATTGCCACATGTACGCATCATTGCGCCTTTGCGCCAATCGATGTAGCAAGGACCAACCGCATGCCCACAGATATAAGCACGGGCACTGGGGAGAAGAAGGTGTGTGAGCAGCCACTAAAGTAGTAATACTCACTAGTCCTGGTATTTGCTTCTTATGAGTATTTATTATGAGTATTTATTCCTGGGTTGCAGGCGGCCGCGGACCGCACGAGCAGCCGCCACAAGGAGGCGCAGCCGTTGCCGCTGGTGCCGCTGCGGGTGGTGCCGCTGTTTGAGACGCTGGACGACCTGGACAACGCCGGCGCCGCACTCAAGCGCCTCATCAACCTGCCCTGGTACCGTAAGCAGCTCAGGTGCGGCGCATCACAGCCCCGCCATGCTGTACTTGCCACATGAAAGCTTGTGACCGTTGCATGCAAGGTTGTGCTTGTCACGGATGCGAGTTGCATCATGGTAATCCTGGGCCGGAGGATATTTCCCTTTGGAATTGTGAGTCATCTCATCTCCCACCTCTGGCGCTGGCTCTGCCTTGATATTTGCGTTCCTCCTCTCTATGCAGGGAAAATCAAGTGATTTTGGAAGTGTGTGGGTCCATGAGATGTGCGCAAGGTTGCAGAATGTGAGGATTGGTGAGTGTGTGGCGCCAGGGAGCTGCATGGGGACCATCAGGAGGTGATGCTAGGCTACAGCGACTCCGGCAAGGATGCCGGTCGCCTCGCCGCCGCCTGGGCCCTCTACAAGTGCCAGGAGCAGCTCGTCCAGGTGCTGCACTCCCTCGTTGCGCCTAGCACCCTGCATGTAGCCTCAAAATCTTCATCGAAAAAGCACATTGCCTTACTGCCCCTTCCATTGGTCAGTGTCACCAGTGTCCCAGCGCGGCTGGTGTCTGAGGCATCCGCTTAAAACGGGCAGGTGTGCAAGGAGGCCGGGGTGCAGCTGACGCTGTTCCACGGCCGCGGCGGCACGGTTGGGCGCGGGGGCGGCCCCTCCCACCTGGCCATCCAGTCTCAGCCGCCCGGCAGCGTGCAGGGCAGCCTCCGCATCACCGAGCAGGCGAGCTCCTCAATTCTCAGCAGCTCTACTGCATTGCTGCAATGGGGGGAGCAGAATCACCGTCTTTTTTTCACCTTGACTGTCATCAGCAGGATTTACATGTCCTCAAAGTCAAGTTCTTTGCCATGGTGAGAAGGACTTTGTGGTGATGAGGTATGGGCTGTGTGTGCAGGGGGAGATGGTGCAGACGAAGTTTGGCATACCGGCGGTGGCGGGGCGGCAGATGGAGGTGCTGAGCACGGCGGTGCTGCTGGCCACGCTGTCCCCGCCCAAGCCCCCGCGCAAGGCCGAGTGGCGCAGCCTCATGGACCAGCTCTCCAAAATATCATGCGAGGCCTACCGCTCTGTGCGTGCTTCTCCTGCTCCCTTGCTTGCAAAACGTCGGAATACCCCAACACACCGTAGAAGTCTTTTAGCCGAATGACAATTCCGTGTAGGCCAATGGGTCATGGTTTCAGCATGGTGGGCATAGGAAGGCCTGCCTTTGCTAGAACGGCGACCCAGCACTAGAGGCGAACTGGACACTACCTGCTTTTGATTTAAAGGGCTTGTGACAGAGGTCCTCATGAGTCTCCAAGGCGAAAGCTATTATTATTGTACGAAGGGTTTTGAGGGACAACAAGGCAGTCTGGGCCTGACAAAAGAATGGGTGTGTCGGGCGCAGTTTGTGTTCCAGCACCCGGACTTTGTGCCGTACTTCCGCGCAGCCACGCCCGAGGAGGAGCTGGCCAACCTCAACATCGGCAGCCGCCCCAGCCGCCGCAAAACGGTACTTTTGAGATTCCAAGCAACAGTTCCCACCTTACTAAATCCGATGGACCTCTCAGTTGCTCCTGACCTGTACTGCGGCAAGCAGGATTGTGCGTACCAGGGCTGAGAAAGGTGGTGGGCACACAGGGCGGTGGTGTGGAGACGCTGCGAGCGATCCCCTGGATCTTTGCATGGACGCAGACGCGCCTCGTGCTGCCTGCCTGGCTGGGCGTGGGCACTGCCGTGCAGGCGCTGACGGAGCAGGCACGCCCAATCCGCTATTTTCCTGCTGGTCTTCCTTGCGCTTGCGCAGTCTTGACGCTTTTAAATGACCTGAAGTCACGTCCATGCTGTGCATGTGACCACACAGTGTTACCGATCCTGGTGTTCAGTCCAATTCATGTACCAAAAGACACTGTGCAGCCCAGCTGGATAACCAAGCAAATCTCCTGGAGCGAGACGTGTGGCTCAGAGGGTCGCAGAATTGATGGACGCGGAGAAGAGAGAATCAACATGTTGCACGTGCTACTGTGCAGGGCAAGAGGGCGGATCTGAGGGAGATGTACCAGGAGTGGCCCTTCTTCCAGTCGACCATCGACCTGATAGAGATGATCCTGGCCAAGGCGGACATGCGCATCGCCGCGCTGTACGATGAGCACCTGGTGCACAACCCATCCCAACGCGCTCTTGGCGCAGTCATCCGTGAACGCTTCATGGCCACCGTCCACGCCGTCCTGCAGGTGCTTGGCTTTCACCACACCGCACCGCTCCCTCCCCGCGGCCCATGCTCGCTCACTTGCCAAGTGCATCTTGCCTTGAACCTGCCATCCTTGTAAGCAGGGTGCTGAGGGGACGCCTGCTACCTGTCACATCGTTCTATGAATTCGACCTGACTGTTGTGCTCGCTACTCAAAGATTATGATTGCTGCCAGACAAGGAACAACATGTTCTGATGCAAGGAGTTGTGCTGTGCTGGACAGTCCAAGTTTGTGAGGGAGGCTCTCGGACAGGATCGATGTCTGACTGGTAAGATGGTGCTTGCTGCAGGTGACGGGGCATCAGCACCTGTGCCAGAACAACCCCACTCTGCGCAGGCTGATCGAGATGCGCAACCCCTACATCGACCCCATCAACATTCTCCAGGTGCTGCCCACCCTCTTGCCCAACATCTTTGCATCGCTGGCTCTTTTTATGTCTGGAAATAAAAATGTTCTTTCCCGCTTCTGCAGCCGTTCAGTGTGCCCAACGGTCTGTCATCTGAAGGGGGTGCCTTGCCACGTCTAGGTGGAGATTTTGCGGCGACTGAGGGAAGACCCCGAGGACCGCTCCCTCCGAGATGCGCTGCTGGTCACCATCAATGGCATTGCTGCAGGTATGCGCTCTTCCTCTATGTCTCGATCACCACTTGCAGACCTTGCGCCATGCAATTTTATGCTGTTTTCAGAATGACAAAAGTTTTCCACGGCGAAAGTACAGGGCATGTCAAGAATGGTACAGATTATCTGTCTTGTCTGACGCAGGCATGAGAAACACAGGGTAGGAAGTAAATGGCCCCAAGGCCCACCTCAGTTGGTCCTTTCAGCTCACTCTAGAATTGAGCTGTGGAGAGATCAACTGGATCCAGTAGATACTCAGATACGGGTTTAACAGTTTTCTTCGTTGCTGTGACTTCTGCTAAGCATTGAATGCAGTCAGATAAGCGCGCATGCGCTGCGAAGCTCAGAATACAAATTGACTATAGTTGACTATAGTTAGCTAATGTCAATGTCATTGTACATAGCCCTTAAATTGTTCGTTGTGCTTGAACTGGTGCATTGTCCTCAACTGTCAGGCCGGCCGGCCCATTGTGCTGGATGTGTGATGCCTAAAGTCATACTGTATGGTAGGTGACCTGACCATAGGCCAAGGAAAATTTGTAAAGACATGCACGGCAGACTTAGTTGCTAAGTACACGACATACAACGCAGCTAGCTGATATGATGAGTATTTAAATAACAATTAACCCCCGGTACCCAGTGCCACTTGCCAACATTGTACAAATCTGTAACATTCAAATATGCCTTGCTGTCAAGGTTGGCTACTTCTCCTTTCTGCTGAATACTACATTACTCTATGGGAGTCCAAATTGCAACAGGCTGAGAACTCAATTAGTTCTGCGCTTGCCCACTTTCCAGAGCAAGACTGCTGCACAGGCGCTTGTGATCGTGCTTCATGATCATACACACTGAGCTGAAGTTGCCGCCATGTCTGCCTCGACAATAATTTCCTTCTCTGCACGTTGGTTGCCTCCAGGACTCCTGTACAGTTATTTCCATGCATAATGGCTCGGTGATTTGTCACGCATAAGGAAATGTTGCAGCAGTAGGTTCAAAAGATTAGTAAAGCGTTTGACCAGCAACAAGCGTGCATTGAACTGTGTGGGGACAGTGCGCACGTGTGTTCTGAAGGGCCTCTGGTTTCCTGCTTCTGCGCCTTGAGCCACTTGGGGCTGAATTCCACCGGCAGTGCATCTATCTTGGCAGCAAGGATGAAGTCATATATCGACAGCCCTTTGATGGCATGTGTCGAAACCACCACCTGCAATGCGGCGGTAGTGGCGTTTTGTCACTAATATTGATGTCATGTGCCCTATTGCAGTGACCACCAAATCTTCATGCGTCTGATCAGAACATCACCTGCACATCCCTGTAGTTTGTGAGATGCAGGTCTGGATGATGTCCCTCGACCTCTGCCACCTCCATCACTCTATTGAAGAAGGAGATGGCTGCAACACAGCCACCCAATAGCCCTGAAAGTATCCGAATTAGACCAGCAATGCATATCAAGAACGAGCAGGCCACGGAGCAACACACCTTCTTTGAAGTTTCTAGCTACAAAGCTTTTGGAGATGCTGGTGACACTCCCATCAATCTTCCAGTCGGGCACAGATATCAGGTGTTTAAAGATCTCCTCTCGTGGGAGCCTGGGAGTGTCTCTGCACGTCCAAATTACGACGTCTTTGGTCTCAAAAGTAATTTCAGTGCGTTGAACGTTATTAGAATGGGACAAACAAGTGTTGTGTAGGACAAGCCGCTAATGGTTGTTTGCATTTGTGAGAGGCATGTCGTCCCGCAATTTGGTCGAGGCAGACCTGCCACACACTCCGGCGCAGGATTGAAGACGCAGGTCTTCGCTGCCTGAAGCGCTATGCTGATCTCGAGTGAGCATCACGAGCGGCAAAAGCTGGCGTTGGCCCAGATCAAATCCTGAAATGCTCCTAGGCACCTTTAGAGCAACGACACCAAATCTTGCAAAGTGCATAACAGATAAAAAGAGCAGTTGTTTTTGCCTGATCTGGAGGAACTGCAAGTTGTCCAAGTGCAATTTCGGCAGCTGGGCATTCCAATCTTGGAAATTCTGTGGGTGGATCTGGCCATGGGGTACTTCACTTGATCGCCCTTGACCTGACGACTTACGCGAAGTTGCATGCAGGTGTTGACGTTTCTGCAAAATTTGCTGCGTGCGCACGTGGGATCAGGTTATTAGAGGGTCATCGTAGCTAGTGAACGAGGCAATGGATAATCTGAGCGTCCCGCACGTGCACCGCGGTCCACCGCACAACTGACCTACAAGCTTGAGCTCATTTGGCCGCGCAATTAGCGGCTAAGCTGGCCGGTCACGGCAACCCGATTCTTGCCTGCCAATGCAGTAATTCGCATGTGCGGGAGGATGTGCATGCATGCACGTCATGTTGCGGACCATGCCAGCCCTAGGGAGGCCTGGACTCCTGGCAACTTGCCTTATTTGAAGACGACTGTTGTTTTAAAAAGAGCTCATTGCATTGTCACAGAATATGAATGGGCAGTACAAATTGAAGTGCATTCTGACATATCAACGCCGAATCATTGCTGATGCAAGCCGACAGGCCGACTGGGTCCTACTGTAGGTCTGTGGAGACACAGGAACTTGGCGGCACCTGAAGCAGTGCATAACATAAACACACTGATGACACTAATTGACTACAGAGACAAGCAAGTTGTTATGCTCTGCTCCTGACTCCTCACACAACTGTGACTCGGCATTAATAGATGCCCGCTTCACCAGAACGGCAATGGCCTGAAGCAATCCCTCACATGTACCCAGATCTGTCTAGCTCAGATTCCTCAGCACTGAAGGTCCTTTCATCAGACACCCGAAGTGTACCAGTCACTCAGCAATCCTGACTTACCCTGTCCTTGGCATGACTTCAGACGGCAATCTCCCTCTGAAGTCCAAGCGCTTCTAGTCCTGTCGAGAATCGATCGGCGCTTCAATTCACCAAGCGCGGCTCTGCTCAAGGTAGGAGCACGCCCGACTTTGTGGAATAGGCGGCAGCAGCAGCCTGCAGCTTCTGAATGGCGGGCACATATGCAAAGGCGGCATAGAATTTGGCGACAGCGCCCAGAGGGGTGGTGGGATTGCTGTTGGCCAGCTTCAGCAGCAGTGGGTAGAGGGGCTGAGTCGCCGCCCTGCGCAGCACATACTTGCTTTGGACGTCCCTCTTATCAGAAATTACTCTTTATGTTTGCTCCAAATTGAGCAAACTTTGCTGGAAGATTAGGCAAGCAAAAATCTCCTCTGAATTAGAGATTGTCTGTTGAGCCTGATCATGCGTCAGACTCTGGACGACCGCGCGTGTTTGATGTTGAAGAGCAGCCCAAATTCACGCAACGTGATGATCATCAGAGGAGGGTGGTGCATGTTGGGCTGTGCAGCCTTTAAATGGGTGAGAGCGCACGCAAGGTTGACGACAGTGTCCGGGCCCTCGACTGCCGGGATGAGGGACGCCTGTGCAGCAGCAAATTGCGCGATGGCAGTCGGCGACTGCAGCAGCGTCTGCAAGGTACCGAACACCGCAAGAAGCCCCAGGGTCGGCACGCCTGCTCACAAATTGCCAACATGTCCAGCGCAGCAATTATTCTCCGCTCTCCAGCATTCCAGTGACATACTCAGTCTTGCAAGTGGAAATCACCACCGCCGTTGCAGCACTGTGCAGATTTTGTTGATTGCATCATGAAAAATGGAACTATTGGAAGTAGGCACCTTGGGTCTCCAGGCTGGTGCCGCCCTTTGGGTAGGGGGCGCCTGGCATGTACTGGGGCACCCACGACTTCACAAAGGCTGTGCGGCCGGCCACATCTGCCTTGAAGCCGGCCGGCTTTGTCAGCGTCCAGCTGTCAAACACCTTGCCTGTGATGCTGCTCACCATCTGTGCAGCACCCACCTCCTTGCACATTTCCCTCCTCGTGGTGTGCAGATGTCACGAAAATGTACAGCAGCATGACTGTGAATTCCAATAAGCGGGCGCCTCACCTCGCATGCAAAGGCGGTGGCTGTGACATCGCATCTGAGGTACCCGTGCTCCAGCGCCACAGTCTGCACATGCCCTCAACGAGTCAGCGTTTTCCACAATAAGTCCATGTCCTGTCAGACAAGGTGAAACAAAAGCTTAGGGCCCAAGTGTGGTAGGGGTGATTACCTCCCAGTACGGGGGGATGTAGGGGTTTGGAAGGTAGGACAGGCTGAAGCCAGCGTTGCCGAGGACAACATGGACTGGGCCACCGAGGCTGCCATCCGCCAGCTTGGCCTGGCAGGTGCCGTTGTAGACGGGGCAGGTGCGCTCGTACACGTGGTCATGACCGTGGAATGTCACATCCACCTGCAATCACAGGCCGGAGTCAAATTGCTGTGAAGCGCCTCAATGAGCATACGAGCAACATCCGGGCTGGTGCACAAAAGTCTGCAGACCCTGCCTCCCTGTGCAGGGCACTCAGAGTCCCAAAGTTTCTCAAATGAACCTTTCTTGGACACCAAGGAATCTCTGTCAGCTGCTCCTTTCGATCAGTATGGAGTCAATTTTGGCGGTGCCTGTCTAAGCAGGACGCTTGATGGCTGCCTGCATGTAAGTTTGATCTTCACAGCGCGTGTGTATACCTGGTACTTGGCAAGGAGGGGCTCGAGGGCATTGCGCAGGTCCTGGCCCACGCTGACCACACTGCCGCCGATGGATGTGGTGTAGATGGGGCGGTGACCGTCTGCAGCAAACATCCCTCAGCACTCAATTCTGGATGTGCTCTGCTGGTCTGATGCAGCACGTGAGGCTCCATGAACACAGCAGACAATGTCATGCAGTATTGTTGTACAAGCCTGTGAGTTTTGTGGGGATCAGCTAAAGGAATGGCAGCAGCCGGTGATTTAAGAGCTAGGCCACTGAGGGGTGCGGGCAGTGACTCACTCAGGACCACCCTGCACACAAGCACACCCACGTCAGCCCATCCCCACCATCTGTACAAGGTCATGAGTGTAGACCAAATCCTCGAAACATGCCAAATGCCAGTGAAATTGCGCAGCATGGTGTGACGCTGCGATCAACTGCGGCCAGATCTGCCTCAATGAACCTGCGCATTCCAGGGCAAATTTTCTTACCAAACATATTCCACTACACTGCTGATGTTAAGGACTGCAACAGCACAACATGCAGGCCGTGTAGACTTAAAAAAGTGGGAGGCTTGTACTTGTACTGGGCGGAGCCTGGGGAGAAGTCGATTTCGGTGCTGTAGCCGATGACGTGGATGCTGCCGTGGTCAAAGCTGTACCAGGAGGGGTCGCTGGGCACAAAGTTGGGGTTGCCGCTGGACTGCAGCCGCCGCGCGTACGGGATGCTGCACTCGCCTGCGCAGCACACTCTACTGCTTTGAAATACTACCGGCCGCAGCAAGTTCACATGAGGCCAGGGCACCAGAAGAGAATGCACTGCAAGAAATGGCATTGCCTGACCTCTGTTGCTGCAGACATACTCGCGGACGCTTCCTATGTTCCTACAAAGCAAAAATGTTCCTGTTCTTCAGGAGCAACACAGAGGTTCTTGGGGCTTCCAGTGGATACCAAGGCATGCTGCGTCAGTTCATCCTTTCTTCAAAGGCGGGGGCGGGATAAATACTATCTTGCATCGTGCCCACGGTCGGTTAGGTCTTGCATGGATTTGGTGAAACCATCAGGGGTGAAGATTTATATCAGCCTTTACCTGCAGCTTGTGTGCAGTCGCACCTTGCCTCTTGGGTGGAAAAGCATGCAACGATATTAAGTTTAGGATAGAGGCGGCCAGTGCAGCATCCCTGCGCTTTGAGGGGGGCGTACCTCCGGAGTCGGCGTTCTGGTTGTCGTAACGGTCCCCCGTGAAGGGCTGGTCGCGCTCGTGGTTGCCCTCTACTAACATCCACGGCACAATGCCCCCGATCGCCGTCATGGAATCCATGTACACGTCCCACGACGAGATCTCCCCCCTGCCCGCATGCCACAGGTCGAGGTGTTGCCAGCAAGGGTCCAACCTCTTTCACGTATAATACCTTAGATACTTTTGATGGTGATCTATGAATAAAGGGAATCTATAAAAAAGGTAGGTTATGTATGTGAAAGGTGCTAATTTATGCTAAAAGTACTTTGGCTGTTCTGAGAACAGTGCATTCTCTGCATCCTTCATGCTACTAAGGCTGCTAGAGAGCTCGCAACTAACTCACTGTCACCAGCATCATGAGCACCGCTGCTCAGACACTATGGGAGATCCTGAACACATATTCACAATGTATCTCCTGCACTCGCACCAGCTGCTTCAATGGGAATATTGGTGCAAGCACCTGGCGTAGCAGACGTCGCCGTTGAGCAGGAAGAGGGAGCGGTCGGCAGAGTCGGCGACGAGGCCTGACAGGGTGTTGAGTGCGCTGCCCTGCTGGCTGGTGTCCTGCGTAAGCAGGTTGTAGATGAGCGCGGTGAGGCCCTGCAGCGTGTTGTGGGGCGCCGTGTCTAGTGGGTTGGGGACCGCCAGCGCGCCGTCTGTGGCCGCCTGCGTCCACTCATACTCCACAGAGCCGTCCACCTGCACCCGGCGACCTTCACTCTCAGAATCCTGTTGACGCGCAGAGCCACATATTACACTGGTGAAGGGTCTGCAGTTCCGCTCACAGCTCATGCATGCTCACAGCTTATGGTCTGTTCTCTGCCCATGACAGGGAGGCTCCTTCTGAGCAGTACAGTATATCATCTGCAGACCTGCAGCATGCATGCCAGTGGTTGCTGGCGTGGCATTCCTTGAGGATTGTTATCTGCAAAAGATCTGGGGGAGCATAGGAGGGCACCTGTGCGTGGCCGTGATCGGCGATGACCAGCATCTTGACGGTGCCGGAAGGTCCCTCGGCAGGCGCGGTCCTAAAGGACAGCTGCTCGCCCATCCCCATTTTCTGTGCCACAGACAGCCATTATTATTATTTCACATTACATGCTTTTCCTGCCATGAGGCAAGGTGCGTCCTGCAGACAAGCTGCAATATAGACACTACCTCGTGTTGGACACCCAGCCATGCAATCATTCGAATCTGCCCTTTGATGCGGTCACAAAAGAAAATTTGACATGTTAAGGAAGGAGGATAGTTGCTGCTCACCACATCTCCGTAGATGTAGTAGTAGACAGTGTCCGGCTTCAGGCCAGTCAGCTTCACATAGTTGAGGGTACCTGCACACGGCGCCAGCTCATCATCACTGCTTACTACACTTTGCAAAAATGCTGGGTGAAGATTAGCCAAAGCAGCTCGCACCGGGGTCCACAAAGCCGGTGTCGTTGGCTGGGACGCCGCACATGTCTGACGCCTTGTACGTGGTGGTGCTCCCGACAGCAACCTGCACACCGAAATGTGCAATGGGAAAACAGCGTTGCATGAAGATTACGGTACAAGGAAAATTGCCTGTGGAGAGTAACATATTGTCATTGATCCGTGCAGGCCATCATCTTTGACTAAGTGGGTCCACTGTTGTGGTCGGAACGCACCTCCAGCAGCTTGCCCGAGTCAGTGCCATAGAGCACAGTGGGAATGCCGGCGTCCCGCGTGCTCCACTGCACGAGAACCTCTCTGCATGCAATCCACATGATGCTCTTCAGCCAATCCCTTCTCACACACCCATGATGCAACAGACATTCTTCACATCCACAAGCCCACAATTCTGATATGTTAATGCATTTCTCAAGATTGTTTCTAGAAAGGAGTGCAAGGGCGGTACCCCTGATTCTTGGTGAGGGCGAGGTGCACTTGGGTGGGCTCGTTGTAGTTCTTGAATGGGACGGCGTCGCTGGCGGCTGCCAGAGCGGCACCATTGAAGAAGCCGTTGGCGACTGTGGCGTTGCTGAAGAAATAGAAAAGCAGCGGCCGCCGCTGGTTGATCACCCGGAAACTGCACAACACAATCAGCCACACTCAACAAAATAGTCTCCTAGTTTCATGCAGTGCAGCTTCATTGCACCCTCTCACTCTTCATCGCCGCCATCGCTGTAAGCAGCAATTGCGGCTGGTGCATGCAGGAGTGTACGAGGAGAAGAGCAGGGAGAGTGTGCCAGACCTGAAGCTCGTCTTCCCCGAGGTGAGGTAGGCTGAGTCCCCATTGGCCCACTTGTACTTGATCAGGCGGTGGAGGCCGATGGTGGGGTCTGCAGGGTCCTGCAGGTAGATGGCCAGTGCATCGTACGCCGTCGGCTTTGCCACTCCGCTCACTGTCACTCCCACCCAGTCGCCATCCTTCACCTATAGGGAGCCACATGTGTCATCAGGGCTGCAGTGAGGCGGTCTCTCATACAACTCAGTGGCACTCTGCAGCATAATAGCTCTCCGAGTCCATTAATTGATAGCCGCTTGAAGGTGCCTGGTGACTCAGTTGTCTAGCATGCAAAATGGCTTGGGTACCAAAGTTTGGCTGACTCCACATCAATTAATACCTCAGTGACATTGAGCGCTAGACTGATGCCGTTTGCCGGGGGCTTGGCAGATGCATCTAGTGTTGGCAGGAATCCGCGCGCAACGGATGAGACTACAGTCTTGGGCGCTCTCAGCGCATTGAGGACATCCTTGGTGAGCGAGGGGAGAGTCACTTTGGAGGCCAGCTCGCTGGAGGCCACCAGGTCAAGCTTCTGATTCTGCAAGTGCAGTCAAATCCTAATCTTCAGTGCTGCTTCTAGAGGGAACTCCCTCCGGATACTGCGGTTGTTTTCCGCGCATTTCTCTAACAAAGGTGATTGTCTGAGGTTCTTGCATTAATTTGAGTACTGTATAGATGGTGATGGGGATCGTCTTGTGGGGAGCCGTGATGGGTGTCCTCTCACCTGGTCATCAGCCGATGCTACAGCACCCAAAAGAAAGCAAATAATCAGGATGCACTTTGTGTGTGAGACACAACGGGACGCCATCCTGCTTGCCCCTCAGGTGTGACCGACGACTGCAACCTGCCGGGGTCGCCAGATATTGTAGCCTGGGCAGCGACACAACACCTTATGAATGCTCCAAAGATATGCTCAATTAAAGTGTGCAATATTGCCGCGTTTAACATTTTTGGGACGGGCCAAACGTCTGTATCTCTCGGGCAGATGCCGGGTGTGCGGAAACACAGAGGAACTTCCGCAACGCACCTGATGTCACTCACGATGTGCCGTATAGGTGTACTCGGATTTGCTAAGCCTACCTCCGCTCTCAGTCAGTATGCAGGATCCAGGGATCGAGCTGCTCAATTCAAATGCAGGAATATGGGAATCTTAAATTCATATGCCATTCGTAAGGCAGAAGACGTGCCCGAACCGGGTAGCTAGGAAGATTGGTGCTGAACTAAGCGGCTGTTTACAATGCTCAACTTGCACACTCTCATTGACAACAGGTGCAAGTTGCCAAATCAGTGAGCTGTCCTTCTAATAAACATCCTGTGTCCTCCAGATCCACAGGACCTATCTCGATTTAGTGGCTAGCCATGGGGAAAGCCATATATAAACATTTTGTCAGCCCAAGATCCAGCTGATAATGATGGGGCTTGGACCACCCTCCAACAAACATTTGCTTTTTTGGGACCTGACCCTCAACAAGTATGCAAAGGTAAAGAACCTGTCGAATCGCATGTCAGGCTCTAGTAGACGTCTGCATCTGCAAAGGAAATAACAATAAAACTATGATCATTTGAAGCATGCAAAAGTATGGGTGCACCTCTGCAGTCGCTACTGCCCACACCCGCACCAACTGTACATGCGATCTTCACTGATGAATACTATGCACACTGGCCTCGTAGAATGTACAGAAAACATGTACACACTGGTATTCAGCATGTTGCAGCTTGTGACACCACTCTCTGCCTAGCACATTCTGCTTCTGGCTGTGGGCACGCACTAGCCTAGAACCATGGGTGCCAGGTGGGGTCCATGCGGCAGAGGTTGCGCGGGTTCAGGGCCGATTCCACCAGCTCCTGTGCGCCCCTCTGCACACTCGCCGGCACACCCTGCGCACATGCATGCTCGCTCACAGATCCTTCAATCAAAAGCCTACATCCCCAGGAGCCCACACACATCTCCAACAGCATTCTCAATGATACCCGTGGACCTTGCTGGCCGCTGGATGCTTGCCTCAACCAGAAAGCTTTCAGATTAGGAGGAATGCACACATGCAGGCAACACGAGCACGCTTTTGCACGCTTATAGAGGACACTGTTGGATGCTGTTGAGATGGAGATGCAGAAGAGAGGAAGAAAGGGGGTTGAAAAAGGGATGGGCGCGCACCTCCTGGGGCCGGCTGGGGGCGACGTGGCCCATGCGCTTGAGGCACTGGTCGATGTTGTGGTCGACGAGCTGCTTGAGCTGCGGGTGGCGCCAGGCCCCCCCGCGCTGCTGCCGCCGCTGGCTCCACGCCGTTATGTCGTCCCGGAAGAACAGCGCCAGCAGATCCGCCAGGTTGTTGTTCGGGCCCAGCACCGCCTGCAGGGGTCAACATTTGACACCTCAGCACACCCTTCTGAGCCATGCACCAATGTTCCTGACTTGGGCAGGCAGAAGGTGACATCTGCTTGATAGGATGAAGGACCATGCTGCTTGACATTTCACTCCAGAATGTGCACGGGTCAATTACTGGGCCAAGCTTTGAGAAGAGAGAAGGCTGAACTGCAGGGGGTGGGTGTGTGTGCGCACCTGGGCGGCGGCGGCCATGGCGGAAACAAAGACGCCCTCGATGCCAAAGGGCGTGAAGAAGGTGTGCAGGTTGCGCGTAAGGCGGAAGGGCACCGGCTCGCTGCGCTCCAGCATGCCGCGCTGGTCGTAGACCGGGTAGAAGTCGATCTGGAACGTCTTGCCCGATGCGCGCGCAAACAGGATCTTGTACGGCGTGCGGCCCCCGATCAACAGCATGTGCGACAGCAGACCTGTGCGTGCAGCAGACCCATCTTATGTATCATGCTCACATGACAGCACTGCAAAGTCCCCCGCCCAAACACCACTCTTGAACATCAGAATGTGTTGCCAAACCAATTTGCAGCATTATAAAGACAGTCACAGCAGTTGCAGAGGTGCTGTCCGCACGCGGGAGGAAGACAGGAGCGCTCACCGGACAGCGCCATCTGGGTGCAGAACTGCTTCTTGAAGGCCCAGAGGTGATTGCTGGTGGGCAGCGTCTTGTACATGTACTGGCTGAACACCGTTTCCGTCACCAAACGCGTCTCTATCTCGTGGTACGCCTGCGCACACCAACCCAAGCTCACACTCACGCTTTTACAGACCCAGAGAAGCCTAGGACTCGCTAAACCATAGAAGGAAAGTGCAAGGTGAGCAGAGCAAAGAGGGAGGCGGGGGCGCACCTGAAGGCGGATTTCGCCGTTGGGGTCGGAGATGAGGTTGCCGGAGGGGGAGCAGCAGCGCTTTTTGAAGTGCGCGATGGGCATGTCCGCCTCGCGCCCGTAGCGCGCGCAGTTGACCTCGTACGCCTCCCCGTAGCTGCAGTAGCTCAGCTCCTCCTCCACCAGCCGCACCTACAAAAAATTCCACACAATTCCATCACCACCACTTTTCCAGAGTCAATACAATCTCAGGATCAACACCAATAAATACAACCGTCATGATGTATTGACAGAATGTATCATGTCAACAGAAGAAGTTTCATCTAGACAGCGCCTGCGAAGCGCTCATTCCCAAAGAACCTCGATGTGTGTACAGGGGAGATGGTGCGCGCACCTGGGGGTAGACGGGGACGATGATGGGGGTGTGCCAGGCGAGGTGGCGGCGGCGGGACTGTGGGTGCTTGTCCAGGAGCCGGTTCATGTTGCGCAGCAGCTGCATCATGCGCTCGTCCGCAGCGCCTGCATATGATTCTAGCTCGTCAGCCGCTGCTGGGTCATGCCAGGTCATGTATATGTAACTTGCATCCTTATTTCCTTTTTACTTACCCTGTTTCACAGATAGTGACAGAAAGGTTTTATTGCTGCTCCCCTTTCTGCTGCAAAAGTTCTAGGCAGGTTGTCCCTCGCTTATACATGCAATGGCATCTGCAGCATCCCCATGGGAATGCATTGAACTGACTAATTTAGGGTGATTGAGTATGAGGGCAGGGCTGTGGCGGGGTCCGCACCGGAGGTGTTGGACCAGTGCTGGCCGGTCTGGACGAGGAAGTGGACGGTTTTGCCGTCGGAGCCGTGGAGCGCGAGGCGGCGGTAGGAGGTGGCGTGGCGGCGCACGATGCCCACGTTGGAGCCGATGCGCTCCAGGAACACCACCGACTCCGGCGCCACCTCCGCGCCCCCCAGGTACTGCCCCGGCATCTCCACATCCGTGAACGCCTGCTCCTGCACAGCAATATACCATCTCTCTCAGCCGTCTGCTTTCTTCTACACATTCTTCCCTCTCAAACCCAGCAACACCTACTTTCCAGAGATCGGCAGGTTAAGGGCGCCGGGAGACGATGCTACTGTGCAGCTCTGCAGTTTTGCTGGCCTGGGGAGGCTTCCTTCCGCCAGCACTCACAGGAAGATAGCAGACAATGGGAGGGCAGGAGGACGTGCCTGGAGGTTGCGGGCCTCGTCCTCGAGGCGAAGGTGGGGGGGCATGGAGTCCTCGACGGTGCTCTGCAGCGTTGCGCGCCACTGCTTGAGCCGCCCGCTCAGCTCGCCCAGCGTGGCCGGCCAGCCGGGCGAGGCCGGGTCCAGGTCGCGCACAAACTGGTCCCGGTACTCGCCCATCAGCCGCCCGTGCCGCGCCATGTGCTCGTTGCTGAAGCACGCCTTGCACACGCCTGCACCATGCCACATAGACCGGCACCTCAGTGCCCCTCCTTCACACGCGCAAGCACAGTCGTGCATACTGTCATGACAACTGGGTACGGATGTTGAGTTCCCCACCTGACAGCTCCTTCTTGAGCGAGGCAGGGACCTCAGCGTTGTTGGAGAAGGGCATCTTGTAGCAGCGGTGCAGCAGCGCATGCACAACAGCCAGCAGCCGCTCCTCTGCCTTGGGCACAAACCGCGTCCCTGCAAGAAATTATTGCTTTCCTTCAGTGCCATACTCTCACCAAATGAGAATCACGCCTTTGCGCTCGAGACCCAAGCAAACAGCAGCCATGTAGAAACACATAGAGGTTGTATCAAAAGCGGTGCCGCCATTGCACCGGGGAGTCGAGTGTGAAGTGTGCGAGGCGCACCGATCTCGGACATCATGAGCTCGAGGGAGCCAGTGGAGTGGGGGTGCTTGCTGCGCAGCAGGTCCATGATCTCCTTGCCGGCCTCAAACGCCACCACCTCGGGCGGCTTCTCCAGCGGCTTGGCCGCCTGCCCGCTCGGGCTGCTGCCGTCCGCCGCCCTTGCTCCCTCGCCCGCCGGCGCCTCGCTGTCCACCACTGCGCGCACACAGGCAAGAAATCACACAAGGTAAAATTTACTTTCCATGGGCCATGCATGACCTGGCTCTCGAGCCTAAACTGAAGCCAGAGTGAACAGTGCCACACGTATTCTTGTCTCCTTTGCTACAAGCAACCGATGCGCCAAGCTCAAGTCAAATTTTTCTGTGCATATGGCTCAGCAGCAACTACTCTGCAGCCACATTTAACAAGGGCTTATGGGAAATTTCAGCACAGCCAACGCACCGTTGCCGGAGGACCGGACTTCCCGGGCGGCGCTGTCGGTGTCCATGCCGTTGGCGGCCTGACCGGCGCCGGAGACCGCGCCGCCGGCGCCGCCGGAGCTGAGGGACGCGGTGGGGCCGCCGCCGGGGAGCGCCCCCGTTGACGCGGCGCTGGCCGAGGGCTGGTCTGCCAGCAGGCTGGGCGTGGCCGGCATGGCCCCGCTGCTCGTGCGCGCCGCCTGCCTCACCTCCTGCACCGCCTTCACCGCGGCCTGCAGCGGATTTGACAGATGATGATCACTCAGGTCAAAGCAGACCCAGAAACGCAGCAGCTGATGCTAATTTCACGCTGCTATGTCCCCATGTCGATAATCAAAGCAGAATTGGCTGTCTGGGGTATCGACTAGAGCAGCCTGCTGGGGCTCCCACAGACACGTCCTCAGTTGAAGCACACCAGACAATGCAGCAGGTCATGTAGAATGCAAGCTGCTATGTCTGTAGACAATACCCCCATGTCGACAAGTACAGCACACTTGATAAGCTGTCTAAGGTCCCGATTGGCAGGAAGGCTGCTCGAGCAGCAGGGGATGAGAATGGAGGGATAGTGCACCTCTCGCAGGGAGAGGAGGATGGTGCGCAGGCCGTAGTAGACCGCCTGGGGGTATGTGGTGGCCAGCTGTGCGAGCAGGTCCTTCACCAGCGCGGCCTCCGGCCGCTGCAGGCTAGTCTGCAGCTGCGGCAGCCACGGCAGCCACACATTCAGCGGCACCTGCATTTCCACACAAATAGTAACGACTCAGTGCTGTGCACCATAGCTCAGCTTCCATACGGTAGTAGCAGTCTGCACATTTAAGTTCCCTGGACATGCGCGTAATCTGCTCATGGGAAGGCCTCTTGTTTGCATAGTACAGGGTGCCTTGGTGTGTTGCACACAAATGCAACCAAGTAGAGTAGAAAGAGGAGAAAGAGGAGCGCACCTGGCGGCTGTTCTTGCGGATGGCCTGCGTGACAGCGCCGGTGGAGTCGTGGAAGGAGAAGAGCGTGAGGATGCGCGGCATCATGGCCCGCGCGGGTGCACTGCCGTGCCTGATGGCTTGCATGTAGCACACCACCGCATTCTCCAGCCAGCTTGCCTCGCTCCCATTCGCCTTGGCCTGGACACAACCCCACTGCCATCCTCGAACCAACTCGTCGTACTGAGGGAATTCATACCCTGCTGAGCTTCACCATAGTACCCACCACTTGTGGTTGTGCGTTGCAGTGCTGTCACACAGCCAATCAGCAACACATCTGTAAGGGGGGCAGACCAAAAAGGCTCACCCTGCTGTCGCAGAAGTCTCCCCAGGACAGCCAGCCGGCAGCCAGCTGGGGCCACAGGGACAGCGACGTGGAGAAGGCGCGGTTGGCCGCTTCGGGGTCGTTCAGCGCCCGGTGGAACAAGCCCTCCAGCCGGAACAGCTCAGCCTGCGCATGCGCATCCTATGCCTTCAGCCAAAATCCAGAATGCGAAAAATTGCCACTTATGAAACTTGTTATCCAGGCCCGCAACATCCAAACATAGGTGACACATCAATCTTGATATATCCTTCAGCAGTTACTTAAAATGATTTGCTGATTTCTGTATGCTGTGTCACATATGCGCTAAGCCCGCAAACATGTGGATGCTGCAGGAATTTACGTGATTACATATATGACAAGATCTGCTGCCAGCATTTGTTCAACCTCAACCTCAAGCATGCAGTTGCTAGAAGTGTCAGTGTGAGGTGGGTGAATGGGGTGTCACCTGGTGGGGTGTCTGGAAGTAGTCCAGGTTCTGGCCGGAGAGCAGGTTGAGGCCGGCGATGAGCTGGTCGGGCTGCTCCAGGAAGGCCTGCGCCTGCTCTCGGATCTTCACAAACGCCTCCTGCACCTCCATCGCGTTGAAGCCGTACTGCGTCGCGATGATGTTCTTGCACACCTCGGGGCAGTCGTGCTTGCGCGCTATCGCCGCCAGCCGGTTCACCGACCTGCACACCAGACAGCAAGCCGCAATTTGAATCCCTGCATGCTTCATGTTCACACCCCACGTGGCGTCGCACCATGGAGATGTATTCTATAATGTGCTTATCGCTTTTGCAGGCGCTCCCTTTGCTACTCAGGTTAATAGGGAGTGCTTATTACACTCACACACTACATTCCTACCTTATACTCAGGGGCACAAACTCCAAGGTCAAAAAGCACATCAGAAGGGCCCGGCAACGGCAAAGGGGCGAACCAGGCCTTGTCGCGGTAGCCGAGCTGGTGCAGGTGGGGCGCCATATCACCAACGTTCTTGAAGGCGTTGATGACGACGTTGTAGATGGCGTTGCGCCAGTTGAGGACGTCCGCCCAAGTGCCCAGCGGCTCCCACTCGTTCGGCGTGCGCAGCCGCCACGTCTCCAGGATGTCCTGATGCACAATCCGCCACGTCAGACACACACCCCAGCCATACCAGAAATTTTCTTCTACTACATGAAGTAAATATAATAATATAAAGACATGAGTATACATTCACAAACTTTTCTACTCAGCACAAGCTCGCATGGCCCGACTGATGTACAAAATTGCAGTTTTGAAGCCTAGATTTTGGGATTATGCTTCAGGGCAAAATAGTCTGTGCCGCCAGCATTATGAAGGGGGAAATGAAAGAAGGCCTGCCTTGAGCTCGGAATACTGGTGGTTGGGTTGCGGCTGGCCGAGGTCCATGAGGATGCGCGTGCTCTCCGTCAGCTCCACCAGCCGCTGGAAGCATGCCAGCTGCTGCAGCTGCGGCCACACGCCCACCTCCGGCAGCTGCCACCACCTGCATAGCACATGCCCCAACACTCAGCCCTCATCCCTGGTATTTGATCAGCTATGCTCTGCAAAAACGGCGCATTGCGACTGCTAACAAGCTGTCCCTGCAGCCACAGTGTATAGTAATGACGGCCAGACTTGATTCTGTAAAGAATAACGAAAAGTGCTGACGGCTGATCATGCAGCCACAGTGTTGATGGCCAGAGAATGAGAGGCGTGCGGTGCGCACTTTTCAAGCGCCTTGCCAATGCCGGCGCTGGTGTGCTTGTCGCCCTCAATGATGTCGCCCTCCTGCAGCTTCACGTAGGTGCGGATCATCTCCGACTGCGGCGTATCCTCCACCTGGATCAGACCCCCACGCATCCTGTCAGCACCACACACCCGCCAGGCAGCACCATCTTTCTACCCTCACAATAAGGACTAGTGGCATGCAACGCAAACTAGTGCTATTTAGTGTTCAGGTGGCAGTGTGTGTGAGGTTGTGTGCGCACGCTGGCCTAGCCACCTTCACAATAAGGACTAACAGCATGCAGACTATTGCTATTCAGTGTTCAAGGTTGCAGTGTGTGGGAGGTTTGTGTGGGAGGCTTGTGTGCGCACGTTGGCCTTGGGCAGGACGATGTCCTTGAGGCGCATCCAGTCGTGCAGGCGCCAGAGGCACTCGGCCATCTGCGCGTAGTTCTCCGTCACGCTCGCGTACTCGGCCACCACCTCCCACTGGCTCAGCTCCGCCGCGCACGCCAGATACTGCTTCGTCCACTGCGCCTGCTCCCCCTTGCTTGGCACACCCCTCCCATCTGCAGCGCACACAACCACCCTCAGCCTGCCTCACTTTATTTATACCGGCAAGAAAAAGGACTTTCAGATTGCCACAGGTCTCAATTCAGAGCATGCAGGAAGAAGTGCCGAGTGTGCACTACAAAAATCACTGCAAACATTGCTGCTCTGTCCATTGTGGCGACAAGAACAGAAGAGGGAAAATGAGAGAAAGAAGAGAGGAAGAAGACAAGAGAAGAAAAGGAGGGAAACGAGAGATTACCTGCGGAGAGGGGAGGGAACTGGTTGTTGGCGGCCTTGCGGATGGCGTCCAGCAGGTAGTCCTGCCCCTGCTGCAGCACGCCGTGCTGGATGCACGACAGCGCCGCGCGCGTCTCCTCGGCCGCGCCGCGCCGCTTCCACAGCCCAAACAACACGTCCTCCTCGTTCAGCATGCTGTACAGCTCTGCCAGCGCGTCAAAGCACCTCGTCTCCTGCAAAATACAGATAGACTCAAGTAAAGCAGGGCCACCTTCGACCATCTATGGCACCATACTTTATAGGCAAAATCTGGCCAAATCATCCAACACATGGACCCGAAAGCCTGGCACAGATCAGAGGTCAAATCAGAGCCAGGTGCAGATTACAGTGCCACAGTGTATGCAGAGGGTGAAGGACAGACGGCTTATGGGAGCATGAGGGGGTGGACTGCGCACAGTGGGGAAGAGCATGACGTGGGATTCCAGCAGGGGGATGGCGATGTGCCAGGCGTTGTAGGTCTTCCCCAGGAACTTTATGAGCTCCGAGGGAATCTTGGGCTGCGGCTGGCTCAGCGAGATGCCTTCGAGCAGCGCCTACACAAGCACACAGTCCATGATCTACTATTCTGAGCAGGTTGTCGCAGCACGGCTTGTCAACAGCAGCAGGAATTTCAGGGCTCCTGTACTCAACAGGTTACAGGGACCCGAGCTAACTCTCAAAGTTGAGTGAGAGCGATGCATGCACGAAAGGACAGGTTCACATCTGATGGAGAGAGCGCCATACCTGCACAACATTGGGGCGCTGCTGTGCCTGGCGCAGGTGGTACTCCTTAGAGAGCAGGGCGATGATGGGCTTGGCCAGCTGGATCTGCTGCTCCTTCTTCTCGGACAGCGTGGCCCACACGATGGGGAACACCAGCACCCACAGGTGGCATGCCATGTGCGCGTCGCCGTGCGCCACCTCCGTCACCGTGCTCACCATGTCCTGCACCTCGTATGAGCCTGCGCGCAAAATTGCGTGCAAAATTGAAGGCCCCATCAGAAACGCTCTTGGACTATTCTTTGGACTGCGCACTCTGGGCATGTGTAATAAGACTGGAAGAAAACCATATGGCACATCTGGGAAAGCTCGTGCAGCATTGCAGGGGTGTCAGCACATCTCAGAAGGAATAAAAGGCGGTGCCCACCTTCTTTGTAGAGGAAGCGGAGGTGTTCCCGCATCAGCTCGTCGACAGCCTCTGGGATGGCGAGCCCTGACGTTGCCTCCCTCAGCATGGGCCCGGCCGGCACCTTGGGCTCCTCTATGCCCTGCGCTGCCACCTCTGCCGGCCGCTCGGCCGCGTCCGCGCCGTCCGGTGGAGGACCCGGCGGCTGTGTGCATGTCACACAATACCGCTCAGCCCCATGCGAGTACTGGATAGAGATTGCTGGGCGTAGGAGCGGTGTGCCATCGCAGCACACTCGAGACACATTGGCTCTTTATTGCCAAATTAATGCAGATTTTGACATCAGGATCAAAAGAGACAAGGCACACCTGTGGCCATTGCGGAAGCTGAATACCAGCATTCCCGCCGGTTGTGGAAAGGCCAGACTGCATGGAGAGCAGCGTGGGCAGCTGGATGGCCCCGGACTGCGTCTTGGGTAGCCCCTGGGGCACAGGCGGCGGAGGAGCCATCTCCCCCGAGCCTGAAGGCAGACAAAACACACAGCATGGAGACATGAAACATGAGCAATGGTTTTTCCCCAAAACTATCACTCACAAATATGAAAGCTTTCCATGTTCCCATTTCAGCCTTGTGGGCGACTTGATCAGCTCTAGCTCTTCGGGAGATGGGATTTTTTGAGATTTTTTGACACCTTGTTCCTCTGGCCTTCTTCTGCCCTTTCTTCGTTCTTTAGATTTGACATGCTCACCTGATGCGCCGGCATGCGCATGGGCCGCGATGGGGACAACAGGGCCCGGCAGAGCGCCGTTGGGTTGCTGCGCAGCCGCTTCGCTCGGCCGAGCGCCCACAGCCGCAGGCGCGCCAGGCTCCATCTTGGGGCCCGGCAGAGCGTGCGGCGCGGCAGGCGGCGGGATCTGACCTGGCAGCGGCTGTGGCACAGGCGGTGCAGCCATGGCGCCTGCCTGCTGGCCTGCCTCCTCTGGCTTTGGATCCACATCCATTGGCTGCCCCTGCAATGCACGTAGCCGTATCTTGCCAGGTATGTCAACAGTTCAATCGAGTGCTAAGAGAGCAGCATGCAGCACGCAGAGAGACAAGGATTACCAGAGGCAGTTGCACGATCGGCTCAAAATTTCAAGACATCAGCACACATTTCAAGACAATGTCCCCCAATGAACCTGCAATGAAGACCTACCTGCTGCTGCAGATCAGTGCCGGGCTCGGTTTTGGGCACTGCTTGGGATGCATCTGGTGCGGGAGGCTGCTGGGCAGTGGATGCCGGCATGTCGCTATTCTCGACCGGGGCCGCCACAGCGCCGTCGGCTGCTGGCTGGCCGCCAGGAGGGGCAGCGATGGCGGCCTGTAGAGCAGGCGGCTGCTGCTGCTGCTGCTGCTGCTGAGGGGCAGGCGACTGGTGGGGCTTGAGGTGGAAAATGTTCTGCTTGGTCTGCGCCAGCAGCGCGGGTATCTGGGCGGAGTTGGGCGCCAACTTGATGGGCTCCTTCTCCACCAGGACCGCCAGAACCAGGTCCTGGACCAGCAAATGATACTTCAGACACTTCATCGTGAATCTCTCCTCGAATCACCATGGCACTGATGGTGTCCAGGAGCACTGCCTCAAGACGCCAGTCTCCCAAAAGGCATGATGCAGTAAATACCAGTAATGTCAAATAGAAGCAAAGGTAGGGAAAGAGCGCACGCACCAGGCCCTGCTTGAGCCAGAAGGTGTCGGCAAGGTGCTCCCAGTCCTGGCTGCACACGATGAAGCGCAGGCGGTCAAAGAGTGTGACCGGGATGGCGCTGTTGTACAGGTCGAAGAACTTGCGGCGCATGGCCGGGTCGCTCGCGCGCAGGCCCAGCAGGAACACACGCTCCACCTTGTCAAACACATCCACGCGCAGCCCATCGCCCTGTTCACAATGCAGAGCGCTCACACGTCAAATCAAGGCTGGATACAAACGCCATATTGCATGCAATCCCAGGTATACACTGCCTCACTAATTTCTTCAAGACAGTTTTTCCGGCAAGCCTGGTTGCAGCAGCACCTTTAGAATGTTATCACCACAAGGGCTTGCACTACTACAAGACCAGAGCTCAGTTGAGTACAGCTGGGTCTATGTACAGGAGGGCGAGTGATGGCTGTCTTGCCTGTACAAGGTTGGTGGAGGTGCAGAGGCTGTGGATCATTTCGAGGAAGGTGGACTCCCAGCGCTGCTGCAGGGGGCCCCGCGTCCACCCGTTGCGCGCCAGCGACGCCAGCCGCTGCAGGAACAGGATTGCCTCCTGCGCACCCCAACCATATTTTGAGACCCCAGTTTCCAAGCAGACCCCCTTGCCTTTATTAGCAGGCTTCTCTGCTTCCACTAGCTACGCCAGGTGTCCACACAAGTAGTCGAGGGATCCTATCAGCCCTGGCGAGACAAGAAAGTGGACAGAAATAAGTGCGGCTGATGGCGACATACTGCAATGCTTGCCTGAAAACGCAACCTTCAGCTGCACTTTTGCAATCAGTGTGTATCAATGAAGCAGGCATGGTTGGGGGCGCCACAGGGGTTGAGCGCGGACCTTCTCGGTGAGGCTGACGAGCTCGGGGGGCTTGTTGGGGGCGGCGGAATGTGGCTGGGGGTTGAGCAGCCAGGAGCGGACGATGGTGAGGATGCCCATGAGGATGGCGGGGTCGGTGTGCTTAGCAGCATTGCCCGTGATGAGCAGCACGAGCGTCTGCAGGAAGAGCTTCTTGCGGTCCGCCTGCATCAGCACCTTGTTGGCCGCCAGCTTGAGCGCTGCCAGCGTCGCCCACGTCAGCGTCCCGTACTCCGGCTCCCCCATGTCGCCGCCCTCCCTGCAGCCGTCGCCTCTCAAATGTTCATCACTGTTGCCTTCTTCAGGTGCACTGCAATATTGTAGTCTTTTGCAACTGAGCATGGAGGCAGAAAGCACTTCGTGTACGCAGCAGCGAGAAAATGGCTGGAACAAATATGTGTTGGCCATGGATATATTATTTGCACGCTCAGGCAACCCTCCATGCATGGAGCCGGGAGAAGGAGTAGTCAAGAATGACCAAAACCCGGTCCACTCTCCCTGCTCAAACATTGGCAGGGACCACATCTACCAGAAGGGCAGGAACGAAACGCGGGGAATGAGTGGCACAAACCTGGGGCTGCGGCCGAGGGGTTGGCGGGTGGGGTCGAGGACGAGGCCACCGGGAGAGGCGTGATCGCGCGCCACGCGGTTCAGCAGCTTCACCAGCAGCGGCGTGAACCGCGCCACGTAGTCCGGCGCAAACGCCTCCAGCGTGGACAGCACGCGCAACGACGCGCAGACACCCAGCAGCCCGGCCGGCGATGCGGGCGTCAGCGGCACGTTCTGGTTGTAGGCCTGCGTCAGGTGGTGCTGCATGATCTCATGCACACGGTGGTTCACCTCCTGCAAGAGCACATTTTCCCGCGCTCAGATACTCATTTCATGCAAAAATCCTGTGGTGAAAAGCTAGAGTTGTCGATCATTTCGCCATTTTGTGCTCACTTCCGATGTAACTCAAGTATTCCGACAAGCCTGTCCTTTTTGGGGAGATTTTGTGAGGATCTGCCACTGGTGATACTAGGCTGATTATTCAAATGAAGAGGAACATGGCACCTGGCCTGTCATATATGCACTTCCAGGAGAAATGCACAAAGTGAGTGAGTGGCAGGCAGGATTGATGGTGGTCAGCACGCACCGAGACTTGGGGAGGGATGGTGGGGGGCGGCTCGTTGGTCTTGGGGACGGTGTAGAATTCCTTGTACAGTCTCTCGAGCATGTCGCACAGTAGCGAGACGACCGTGTTGTGCGAGCTGGTGAAGGCCGGCTCCAGCACATAGATCAGCGCCTGGTGCGACACCTGCATGAACAACGTCGGCTGCACCACCAGCGCCTGCTTCATCAGCTTCAGCCCTGCGCCAGCACAATAGCCCCTGCTCAGGAAAGATATGGGACTGTATTAATTCCCCATTTTCTAATCTTCCTTCATATCTTTCATCAGATCTCATCGTGAGATGGCAACAGGGTGCAAGGTGACTGGCAACAAGAGAGACCGGTACTGCAACAATCAAACAAGACACTGCCCCCCTTCCTAGCAGTTGCTATTGCTTGTCCAGAGATTCATTGCACCATCTAAATCTCACGCCAACAACTCATTGCTCCTCGGCTCTAATTTTGTTGCACTGCCTCACATCCCGCCCACAAAGTCTTAAAATCAGGGCGCAGCGCCAAGGGGAGTGCAGCACCTGTGACGAGGGCTGGAGGGGGGTCCTGGTTGTGGGCGATGTTGGACTCGAGCAGCTTGTTGATGAAATTGATTTTGATAGGCACATTGGGCCAGAGCGACAGGGCCTCCCCGAACAGCGCCAGGGTGTGCTTGTGCAGCGTCTGGTACTCGGCCTCCTTGTGGCCGTCGCCCAGCAGGAAGGCCATGCGGATGAGGAACACCAGCACCATCTCCTGCATCGTCGGCGTCAGCTTGCAGTCCTCGTCCGCGCTCGAGCTCCTGCGACACACCCAGACACTTTTGTTGGGAGCCTATCAGGACAGCTCTCGACCCTGACAAGTGCAGTTGCTCTCAGGAAATGTTAAGTAACGCGGTTGTTGCTTGAATACAGCCAGTCAAGAGTCAACTCTTGTGAGGCAATGTGCGCCCGCACTGGCGGTCAGGATCACCAGCAGGACCTCCGCGGATTCAGGCATAATCACCTTCCAATATTTAGAGATTTAGACGTATAAAGTTGATAACAAGAAAAACGCTTGCCTGGCTTGTGCCAGCGAGGGGTCGACATCAGCGAGGACCTGCGCCTCGGCGGCTGCATTGGCGGCGGCGCCCGCAGAGCCGGAGGCCTCGGGCCCCGCCGGCTGCTGCGCCGCCTGCTGATCGGGCGCGGCCTGGCCGTTTGAGGGCGTGCCCTCCGTGCGCGGCTGCTTGGCCGGCCGTCCTTCCTCGGCAGCCTCCACTTCCTCCTGCTCATGCAAACCCCACCCACCCGTCATTTCCCAGCACAAGGCTGATATTGTGTGATGCACCCTTGCGCTTGACAGAGAACCCCTGCAACAGGGTGGAGTTATGACCTCACCTTGATCTCGGTGGGAATGCCAGAGCCGCCCTCCCGGCGCCGTTTGAGCGAAATTGGCTCTGCCTGGGACGCGTCAGCTGCCTGCAGCATCAACAAGATCCACGTGAGCAAACATAGCAGTACTGGCATTTGTTCTGCAAGTTTGTTCGTCCCCATTGCCCCACGATGAACAACAAAAAATGACAAGGAGCTTGGCTGGATCTCACCGCGGTGGGTGCAGCTTCGCTCTCGGCGATGCGCCGCTGCTCCCAGTGCACAACGAGGCCGGCCAGATCGAGCGACAGGCGGCGGTTCTCCAGCGTTGCGTTCTGAGGCAGGCCCAGCTTCATCAGCCCGTTGACCATCTGCGTCATGAACTGCGTCCTGCACAACACCCCACAGCAGAAAGTTGTCAAGCAGCCAGCTACATCCCGCCAACTCATACACACAGAAAGGGATCCCCCCAAATATGTAGATGGGTGAGATTGCTGATGTCGTCAAGGGGATAGAGCCTTTTCCAAGAATCTTTGGAGTGGGCTGCAAGCCCTCAAAATAAAGCGCTCAGATTTTATTGACGAGTGGGTACTTCAGTGAGAAAGTAGCGAGAGTGCATGGGAGGCTGCTGACCTGGAAGAGTAGAAGAGGTCGGCGTGGCGCACGATGAGCTGCCAGATGTGGATGAGGTGGGGCATGGAGTGGCCCTCCTCCACCAGCACCTTTTTGGTGTAGCGCACCCAGATCGGGTACTTGGCGTCCCCCGGTGCCAGCCGCCGCACGAGCGCGGGCGTCAGCGTGTCCAGCGCCTGCCGCACCAGCACCCTCCGCCCGTCCGGCTGGCATGTCCGCAGCAGCGCTACAAACACCTGCGCATGCCATTCCAATATTAGTCCCAATAGCATGGCAGCATGCGGCGATGGAATACTCCAGACCTAAATGCCTTAAATGACCTCTTGGTTTGGCACGCTAGTACATGACATACAAGGCAGGACCGCTCGGCGCACCACATACACAAAAGAAACCGGTACGTGCATGCCCCGACCAGTTACGGAGCGTTAATCGTCCTGTGGTGTAGAGATCTTTGCCGGCTTGCCAGTGTCTTCAGCGTCTTTGGTACAAAGGCAAGCAGCGGAGTCCTCAACAACAAGCATGTCTGGACCGGGAAGGTGGGCTTGAAGATAGGGCTTGCGGCTAGATTAGATAACGGAACGCACCTGCAGGACAATCTTCTCGGGGGCCTGGTAGGCGTCGAGGAAGTGACAGACGTTGAGGAAGGCGTAGTACTTGGCGGCGCTGTCGTCGCGCTTGAGGTGGTTCCAGCCGAACTTGATGAGCTCCTTGCGGTGCTGCACCAGCTGCTGCGGCGCGCGCCGGATCAGCAGCGTCGCCAGCTGCAGCAGCTCCATCTTCATGCCCTCCCCGTACGCGCCTGCGAATGAATTGCGTATGCAATAGTTACTTTGATATGCAGCAGTCACCTTTGTAAGCTCTGATATTGCTTTTTGTCAGGCCTATGTGCATATGCAACAATCGCCTTGATATGCACCAGTCTTCTTGGTAAAGTTGATGCCCACATGCCTGCTCAGTGATATGAACCATTGGCAACTCAGCCATGACAAGCACAGCCCTGACACCAGATGCATGCCTGCTTTCTTTCAGTTGATATACACCGGGCTATGAGGGACCTGCAGCCTCGCCTCCCTTGATCCTTTCAAGAATGAGAGGGGTAGTGAGATTGGTGCGCACTGGCGAGGTCGTCAGGGGGGTCGAACATGATGGTGACCATGGTGGTAAGGGCGTCGTCGTCCACGATGGCCTTCCCGGCCTCGTAGCCGGCCTCCAGCATGGGCAGAACCAACAGGCTCGCCGCCTGCACCAGCTGCTCCTGCGGCCGGCTCTGCTGCTGGAATACCTCCAGGAAGTGCCGCAGTATCTGCGCGCGCACAATACACTCACGTCAATCCCTCACCTCATACAATCTTATACCAGTGTATTCTAGTACTCGCTATTCCAAGAGAAATCTATTCTTGTATTCTATACTTCCAAGGGAAAGCTGGCAGTATTGACAAGTTAGCTGGGTTCCCTTATGCTTTCCCAACACCACTTGATTGTTTTGCAAAATTTCCAAGTTGAGAGGATGCAATCCAGATGCAGGATGCAGCAACATGCAAGACAGCAGCGAGGGGCGTGCCTGGCGCTTCTCTTCGAGGGAGTAGGTCTGGGCGACGGTGGTCTTGAGGTAGTCCTTGAGGAAGGCGAAGTCGACGCGCGTGCGCACGGTGAAGATGTCCAGCAGGTCGAACAGGGGCCCCACAAGGTCGTGATGGCGGCTTAGATAGGACAGCAGCGCCTTGGCCAGTCGCTTGCTCTCATACAGCTGCGCCCTCTCCAGCCGCTCCTCATCCTCCACCCTGCACCAGTCATGCTATGTGAGACGGTGCTCCACCTACAAGTCATGTAGTCAGTGAAGACCACAGTAATACCTGTGCCACGCCATGCTTGGATCGTTACTTCTCTGAAACGTCCTACATGCACCCATTGCTGTCCCTGGATAATTTAAATGGCAAGGAGTCCCAAGCATGCACAGAATTGGAAAAATCTGTCCATCACAGATATCAGAACAGCTGGACCCTGCAAGTACAAAGAAGACATGGCATGTGTAAGATGACATGTGCTGCTTTTGAAAGTAAAGTTTGCATCAGAAGTAATTGGGAGCTGGCAGCGTGCCTGCTGCGCCGATCCTGCGAATTCCACTGGTGCAGCAGCAGCTCGAACAGCGGCTGGGGCAGCCACTCCGGCAGCAGCTTGGTCACGATGGCGATCAGGTGCACCGCGTGGAAATGCGCAGCCACCTTCGCCTTCTCATCCTGCACGCACACTCACACCTCTGCTGCGTCCTGTGCATTATGTAAGTATTTGGAGCCTAAGGCCTTAGATGACCTCAAAGTGGGGCAACATGCAATATTGCTACCGCTGTCATCGTTACACCCCTGGCATTCTCTGCTAACTCTTTTGAACTATTTACCTCTTTACTGCCCATGTCTCCATGCCTGGGTCGGGCCATGTTCCCATCCATCAACTTGAAGACAAGGGGAGAGGGACGGCTCTCCTGGTGCTTGGTGATACCCAAGGGTTCCCAAACCTGGGCTGCTGCGTGTAAGAGGCAATTACCTGAATCTGCTCTGGTGTAAGCTGCTCTGGCGGGGGCGGGGCCACAAAAGGGAAATTGATGAGCTCGGCAAGCTTGTCGGAGGAGGCGGCCAGCTGGCTGAGCAGGGGCTGGCCCAGGGGCGAGCGTAGAATGTCGATGAAGCGGTGGATGTAGCTCGGGTTGGCCATGCGCTTCCTCTCAAGGAAGTACGTCACCGCCTGCCCACCCGCACACACTTTTTTAGTGCGAGTTCCTTTAAGTCTGTCTTTCACAAGGTAGAGGAAACCTTGGGATAGGCCAATTTGCAAGGTTGCCATACAGAAGTTGCTGATTACTATAGGTTTGTGTGTAAGAATATTAATAATAACAATGTTCTCTTTTGACCCGATGGCACCAGATGCCTCCAGGTGCAGTACTTGTGCTGCGATACACAGGCAAACTAACCATCCTGGCTCAGTGTATGGGATGTAATGTGCGCCTTCTTTCCTAGTCAACTCCTTTGTGTCTTTTTCTTCTACAAATGGTGACCAAGCTTGCACGAAATGAGGCCAAAGGTGAGATAATGGAGGGGAGCACCTCTTCCGGGTACTTGTTGAGGAACCTGGCGAGGGGCTCCCTGTAGGGGGACCACATCTTGGTGGGCTCTGTGTTGGACGGCATCTGCGCCAGCGCACCCTCCAGCTCTATCATCAGCACCACCAGCCCAGGCCGCTCCTGCTTCACGGATAACATTTCTTTCAAGCCTCCAGAAGCACCATTCAAGATGACTACACATACTGGTGGAGGAAGTGCGAGAAGACTAGAAAACAACAATCCAGTCTTGCCATACATAGTCCTTAAGGACTAGAAAGTATGATAATAAAAACAGACATAAAATAATATAAAAGGTTCTTTGAAGGGCACAAAAGTACCATTTTTGGGCTCCACTCGTGCCAATCCATTATTTAAGGTGCAAAGGTGGAAGATCGGAAGTTGTGAGGTGGCCCTGCAGGATCAATCAGGGAGCGCACCCCTGACTCCAGGAATTTGACAGCGGGAGGAGGCAGCAGGTGGAACAGGTCCAGGATGGCAGCAGCGATGTGGCACTCCTGGCCGGGCTCCCACGAGTGCGTGACTTGCAGCAGCTTCTCTGGCTCCAGCCACTTTTTGAGGTGGTCAATCAGCTTCTCCCCTGTGCAGCCCCACAGCATATCATACCTCTCCTCTATAAAAAGGCAACACAAGTTCCAATTTGCAAACGAGATCAGCACTGCAGGATTGAAGGTGCCGCACCAAGTGTGACGTTGAACCAGCTTGCCAGCAGATTGAGAAGCCGTGCCAGGCCTCGCAGCAGGGGAAGCTTGAGCTTGTTGTAGTATGCCAGATTGACCAGGATCGGGCGCAAGCTCGTCTGCAGCACATACAAGGCGCTCTCGAAAAGACCAGATAAATGCTAATGCTGTGGGTTTGAAATGTCTGACAAGACACCGATTGCAGAATCGACAATAAAAAGGTGTGCAAAAATGTGTACCTGCAACAGGTGCTTGGGCATCTTCTGGTGCGCAATCACAGCGGACAGCCCCTCCTGGGACATGCACACCGCCACCTCATTGGAGCTGGTCAGGTGCTTGAAGAAAATCTGGATGATGCGCCCGCGCAGCTCTGCAAGGTCCCCACTATCCCTGCACAAAACGCCATCATGTCAATTTTGCAAACTTCCAAGGACACGTTGGAATATAGTCCTGATGTCAAACATCTAAAAAGGCAATCTTATAGGGAGAAAAGGAAAAATACCGACCTGAAGTCGTCCCACTGCATGGCGGCGCACAGCATGGACAGGCAGACGGAGCGAAGCTGATCTGCAACCTTGGTGGTGTCGCCGGACACGCGCTGCAGGCCGGCCAGCTGGGCCGTTAAATTGGCATCATCCATTTCCGACAGCACATAAGCGTCCGAAATAACCATGACCACTTCCTGCACCACACAAAAAAGGTTTTCAGCATTGCAAACACAGCAGATGCACTTTACATGACAGGCAATTCATTCACTTGAGAGGATTGGTTGGAGCCTGCAAATCCCGATAGACTTGAAAGACAGTTGGGATATGAACAGGCACTGACCTGCGAGAGGGGTAGCAAAGGCGGTTTCTGCTGCATGCAGTAGGTGAAGGCGGCCGCGTTGCCGATCTGCAGGTTGGCGTGCTTGAGCGGCATCAGCCGCCGCTTCTCCAGCGGCGGGGACAGCTTCTCCAGCAGCGGCTTCAGCAGCTGCGCCGATGTGCGCCCGCTCGCCTTGCACACAACCTGCCACAGGCACACAGATGCATCATGACCCTGCCCTGGTCACCGAAGTTAGCACAGCCTTTCTCTGCCAAGAGAGGGAACCTGCGTCTGTAGACGAGCTGCAAGTACGAGCTGCCAATATGCTGAGGCATGGCAAATTTGCCAGACTCATGCAAGACCAAGCACGGTGCTCAGTACATCTACAATTCATACAAATTCCCATCAGCTGGGGCGCACCCTCTTGACTGCAATCAAATAAGCGCATTGACGCAAAAGAAGGTCTGAGCAGTTCAAGACAGCAGCAGGGAGGCGGGAGTGGTTGGGGCTTGCCTTCAGGCACTCGTCTGCCAGCTTGCGCAGGGCTTCAGAGGAGCGGGGGCTCAGCAGCTCGTGCGAGACCACCTGCACGACGCCTGCAAGCGTCCGGTCAGTGCCTTCGTCCAGGGGCTCCATGCTCGGAGCCTTGTCTGCGGCACTCTCCTCCTTACTGCCACGTGGAGAGATGTCCTCAGCCGCTGCCCCGCCCGGAGATATTGCCATCTCCTGCAAACGACAACCATTCTTATTCAATGATTTTCGAATGAGAAGCATTGCAAAAGAGCCCAAAAGGGATTTTGTACAGGGGCTCAAGACATTTAATTTGCCAGTCATTGCCAGTCAATTGCACAGCAAACAGCATAGACATGGTGGAAACGTAGCGCTGCCCCAAGAATGCCCTACACGTCTCCAGGAGGCTCACCGCCGATACGCTGGAGGACATGCGGGGCAGGCTGATGGGCGGCTGCTCCCCAGCAGCCGCAGGTGCAACATCGGCAGCAGCCGTTGGCGCCGGTGCAGCTGCAGCAGGCTGCTCAGGTTCCTGAAAAGCAGAGAGACCCCGCAGTCAAGGACCTGGTGAGAATTAGAGCGCTGTATACTGCACACCCACCTTAGCATTTTTTTCTGCACATTGAGTAGGACAAGATTACATGCTGGGGTATAGAGACCACAATGCCCACCTTAGCGTTAGGCATTGGTGTGTCCTGGCCAGCGCCAGCAGCCTCATCCTTCGCCTCAACCGCTGAAGTTCCCTCCGTGACAGACGTGCCCTCCGCTCCCACTCGCTGCGAGCTGGCCTTTACCTCAGCCTGCAGAATCACAGCAAAGAGAGTTTTCTTAGCACCCCAATTTCTTGATTTACACCTGACAAACATTGCAGTGAGAGTCAACATGATCTGCTTGCATCTTCAATGCTGTCGTAAACAGTTTGCCAGCATGCATGAGGCTAGGAATGAATTTGACGCCGTGCGCGCACCGGGGTGGGCAGGGGGCGGCCCTCAATGAGGCAGCGGTGGAGGAGGCCGGTGAGGGTGGCGCGCAGCTCCTGCACCTGGCTAATGGCGTGCTCCGGCAGCCCGCGCATCACAGTCAGCAGCGCGCGCACACACAGCGGCAGCCGCGCCCGCAGTTGCACCGCCGGCAGCCTGCACCCCAGCAGAAACGCTGTCTTATAGTCCCGCTCAACAGCAGACAAGGCCACACAAAATAGGTAGTAAGTTCAGTGGGAGAGCCACTGTGGGAATGCTTTTCTGTCATAACAACTGCCTGGACATTTGGAGTGAGCGTGTTGCAAAGACATGAAGTAGAGGAAGAACCAATGGATGGGTTTGGATGCAGATGTAAGAAAAGGGAGATGAGAGGCGCACTTCTTGGCGAGGAGGCCGACCGCGGCAAGGCCGCCGATGCGCGTGGCCCACGAGTCACCATAGCAGCAGTGCAGCACTCGAGCCAGCAGCTCATCCAGGGACGCCGGCCAGGATCCTTCTGCGCCTGCAGACAATAGCACCTCCAGTGATTTTACGCACTTTGGGATCCTTATAGAACCCTCATCTGCTACCAATGCATATGATGGAGAAGAGTAATATGATGGAGGTACATGCTTGTGGTGGGCACTCACTGCTGACAGTTGGACGCTTTGGGCTGCCAGGTCTGGGGGTGGTCTCCTTCTGTGCGGCAGGGTCTGCTGTGCCGTTCTCTGTGGCAGCCCCAGCCGCAGTGGTCTCCTACCAAAACCAGCCACATGTCACGTATGCTTCCAGATTGAATATGCAACTGCCTCTGCCGCAGCACAACAATCAAATATGTCCCTGCATGCGAAACACAAAACCCTGCGTACCTGTGCGGGAGATGCTGCATCCACATTCATCGGCTCTGCAGGGGAGACATCATCGGCAGCCGATGCCTCCTCTGGACCGCCTGCCTTGCTCAGCTCGTTCTGGGTTTCGGTGACCAGCATGAGCGTGTCCACAAACGCCTCAATGCCCTTGACTGCTGCATCCACCCGATCTGCATCCTCCTCTGACAGAACCTGCAGAGATACTTCCTTTTGGTCAACAGCACGACCATCGAGTTATGTCTCTTCAAGCAGGAGCTCCCCCTTTACAACCCATGAAACTATGCAGACCACAAAGAAGGTAAGGTATCCCTTCCCCATCACAAACCTTTGTGATGATGGAGCAAGAGAATAATATGGGAAGCTTGAGTGAGGGCCCATACCTCGACGAGGGCGTCCAGGAAGATGTGGGGGTCGAGCTCCTTGAGGCTGGACATGCGAGCGGTGCGCGAGGTCTCCGTGCCGGCGGGCACAGAGGGCAGCGGGGCGCTGGCGCCGGCGGCGAAGAGCAGAGCAAAGTGGCGGCAGACTCCGAGCGTGTAGTCGGCGCCCTGCGGCTGCAGGTCCTTGTCGGCGGACGCCGCGATGACTGATGTGATGAGCTGGCGCAGCACCTGCCGCTCCGCCAGCAGCTGCGTCTTGGTCTTCACGCCCATCTCCGTCACTGCCGGGGTCGGCTCTATGTGCGGCGGCGCCTGCACCACACCCGCCCTCACAAACAATCACACACGGTACCTCACGAGAAACCGCAATTGGGGGCTGTAAACTGCAATTGTCCTGGACTCCTCATGGAAGCAGGCCCTTTGCAATGCACCAGCCTGTTGGCCGAAGCCAACCCTCTTGCAACTACCACCGTGTCAGACATCGTACATCCTGCTCCCATCGGTGCAATGCAAGGATACAGTCCTTTTAGACAGCAGGAATGTGAAAGGATGGTGCACCTGGTTGCCGAAGAGCATGGAGGTGAGCTTGTCCATGGAAGTGCCAGGCAGCTCGGAGTCGTCCGGCGAGCGCAGGTTGAGCACGCTGGCCAGGCAGATGTGCAGGAACCGCAGTGCCTCGCGCTTCTCGTGCACACTCTGCTTGCCTGCAAAGCACATGCACTCGTCCCTCAGCACCGCCCGTGAACCATACTTCACATCACATGCATACACCAAATTCTTATGTTGTCACATAAGGGTGTTTTGCAGACAGCAACACAAGACCATTCACTGCTGCTCGTTCTTCACGATTCAGGGAGAGAGGAGGAGGAAAAGGGAGCGCACTGGTGGGGGCGAGCAGGCTCTGGGAGGAGAGGGCGAGGCAGCGGTCCAGGGGGACGAGGAAGGAGGTGGAGGGCTGGAAGGTGAGAATGAGGCGCAGGCCGTGCTCGGGGTTGTCCTTCAGGTCCAGCTCCAGGGGGTCCTTCAGGAACCGCCTGTTGCGCCCTCCCAGCTTGCCCAGCAGCGCCAGCGCCTGCACGATAAGGATGTAGTTTGAATCTTCACACACGATTTGCAGATTACGGCAACAGCACAGTGCAATACCATGTTTGCGTTTCTTCACAAATGTCAGCAAGTTGAATGGACAGGCAATTCCAAGTCTGCAGGGAACTTATAATCCTTGCAGAAGCTCGATGTGAAGCATGAGGCAACCCACAGTGCAATTTGCAACGTGTAGGGAGCCTGAGTCAACTTACTGTGACGGCTCGCTCTACGACTGAAAACTATAAAAATGGGCTGAGATGTCAAACGGAAAAAAAACATCCCATAGGTGCTGGGCAAGGGGGCACCTTGGCGGAGAAGTTGTAGGGGAGGGGCCGCAGGTGGGACCAGAGGGCGCGCATGAGCTGGGGGATGACGGGCAGCATGGCGGGCTCCAGGAACTCGGGGTTGAGGGAGTCCACCCAATACTCCAGCGTTCGGATGGACAGCGTCACCAGCGCCTCGTTCCCGCTCAGCGCAGCCACCAGCGGCGCCATCAGCCGCCCCAGCACCGACAAGATCTCCGACAGCCTGCGCCATGTACGAACCTCAGTCTGCCGTGCTGCGACATGTGATGAACAGAATTGCCTGTCACTCATGGACTAGCTCACAGAAATTCACGATCAGTTTCCACCCCCGGCATGAAGTGTACAGGGTTGCTTGGTAGGCACAGATGCACCTTGTGAGTCAGGCTATGTCAACAGGGCTGGTACAGCGGGCAAGCACTGCAATCAGTTTCATCAGATCGTCACACAAGCCCCCCACCGGATGTGTCATGCCCATATCATCCCTTGCGCCTGAAAAGGAGAACCTCGCAGACGCCTGGGCTGCACCCTTTTATCCAAGGGGCATATCAGCGATGGCAAAGGGGAGTGTGAGACTGCGCAGGGAAGCAAGAGGGCGATTTGACACCTGCAGGGCATGATGAGGAGGAGCTCGAGCAGAGCGCTCTTGTAGGGGCCAGAGCGTGGGCCCTCCAGGAGCGCGGTGAGGTGGTCGATGGTGGGCACCAGCAGCGGCGGGTTGGTGACGCCGACACCCGACCCCGTGAACAGCGCGCACAGCGATTCCCCGCTTGCCACGCCGTTCACCACCGCTCCCCCCTGCTGTCGCAGCATCTGCGCGCACACACCACCAGCGCGCATCTTACATCCACTCTTGAGGGTTTAACAAGTTTGATTGTAGTCATCTAGATCATAAACCCACCTTCTGGTCCACATAACACACCAATATTTGTGGAACTTTTTTCCCACATTAGGGAGTAAAGCAACCTGAACATTTTCCACAAGAGGGCAGCACACACAGCATGCTCGCTCTGCCATGCTTCAATCAACTAGGCACTGAAAAGGGCCTCGTTGGATAGAGTAGGTAGGAGAAGGTTGCAAGAATCATACAGACTGCAAGCAACGGTCAAATATTGCACACAGATGGCAACTGCAAGGCGGGCGCACCGAAATGGCCCTGAAGAGGGCGAGAAGCAGGTCGAGGTAGCCCTCCTTGGCGGTGGAGTTGTGCAGCCGGGCCAGCGTCTTGCTGACTAGCTCATGAAAAAAGGGAGCCAGGACCCCCTCCAGGCCTGGGAACTTGGTCAGCGCGTCCAGGAACAGATTCAGCAGCTTCAGCGTCAGCTCCCCCTCCTGCATAGCGCGTCCGAGTCAGAACAACCTCCACCGGCACCCTTCTTATTGCATGCGTAACCGCTTTTGAGTGGCAAGAGTCAGGAATTGTGTTCAAGAAGGGAGCTAGGTGTTGCACCTTTGAGAAGGGGTCATCGAGCGTAGCCAGCCGATCATGGACGACTGAATGGAGAAGGACCTGCACCAGACGAGGGGATGTCAGCAACAGTTGAGTTCTGCAGGGGTACGAGGTGAAGTAAATAGAGGAGGGCAAGTGCATACAGCCAGCTAGGATGGTGGCCTCCAATTGTACCTGGGCGAAGGGTGGTCCAATGGGCGGGCTCGCGAAGAGAGTGCCCACCACCCGCAGCAGCCTGGGGTTCTCGATGATGGCATCAAAGAAGCGCGGCATCTGCAGTGAGAACACCTCGATGACGTCCCGGGGGTTCTGCATCACACACACACAAGACACAAACTCAACACCAGCAACACATGGGCCGGCACCGCCTTATAGATTAAGCACCAGATACCCCTCGCTGCCCAATATGTCAAAAATATGGTGATAAGAATGGCACCTTTCATGGGAACAGTGTACCCAATCGGCTCTGCAGGGGATACAAAATGCAAATGTCTCAAGACAGGTGCTCTGACAGGTGTCCTGGCGGAAAGAGGGAAACAGTCGCACCGTGAGCACGGTGAACATGTCGGCGAAGGTGTCATAGATGTCGGCGTGGCGATCGTAGACGCGCGGCTCCTGGCCGGCACGGTCGCCGTAGAGCTGCAGGCAGGGCAGCCCGCGCTTGATCGTGCGCGTCGCCAGCCGAATCTCCGCCTCCCGCAGGCCCATGCTCGGCTGCGCACGCGCGCTTACAAACTTTAGAATCGGCTCGTGCCGGTGCCGTGGAACATCCCAAACCAACCTGACAGAAGGAGCAAATGTGCCCCATGCATGAGATCGTGCTGCTGTCAAAGATCACTTACCAATGCGATGGTTGCAGAATGAAGTATATTGCAGTGTCAATAACTGAATTGGAGGATGTGGGACCCACCAGTTGGGGTGTGCCTGGCTGGGAGCTGACGATGGTGTTGCCATAGTTGGTGATGCTGTACAGCAGCGTCTTCATCCCCATGATCAGCGTGGACAGGATCAGCTTCGCGTCGGACACCTGCCCACACCTCAACCCTCAGCCACAATACTTTCTAGGCGTCTCACGCCTGTTTTGGTAGAATGCAAGGTTGAGATTTTACAATATACACCTTTCATGCAGGTTGCTGAGTGCAGACACTGTGGCGCAGTGCAGCACCTGCTTGTCGTGCTCGCTCCTCTCCTGGATGTAGAGCACCTTCAAGCGGGGGACCTCGGGAGGCTTTGCAGGGATGCTCTGCTTGGCAGCGTCGGCCTGGGAATCTTGCGCCTTGGGGACGCCGGCTGCAGCCCCCTGACCACCTTCTGGCGCAGGAAATGCAGCTGCGGCAGCAGCTGTCGCAGGGGCAGCGCCCTGTGGTTGATCAGCGGGGGGTGCTGCTTGGGCGGGCGCAGCATCGCCCGCACTGGCCGCAGCTGCTTCGCTCGCCTTTGCCTCTGCTTCTGCCTTCACCTGCAGAGCCTCCCTCTCCGCTACTGCAAGTAGCATTCGCGCAAAGATAAGCATCATCCTCTGTTGTTCTTGTGCATGTTGCAGTGACAGATCGCCATGCCTCAATTCTTGGGCTCCAGCGCTCGCCTCGAGTGTCATATCAGATTTATCAGGAGTCTTTTCAAAGACTGCAACAAGACCTTCTGCACAGGGGCAGTTAGGATTATTTGGGACTGCACCGTAGGAGAGGAGAAGGGGCAGGCGGTGGTGCAGGCTGGACAGCTTGGAGGTGAAGGCGTCCAGGATGCCGGCCAGCAGCTGCCGGTGCGCCTCGGCTGAGCGCACATCGGCGCGCCGCGCAAAGACAACCTCCACCAGGTTCAGCAGCAGCCGCACGCTCGTGCACTCCACGCTCACCGGCAGCGTGCTGTCATGCAGGTTCCTGCAGCACAATTGCCGCTCAGCATGCTGGTGTTAAGTTTCATCGTACCATGCCAATATTGTTGGGTAGATGAGTAAAGCCACACAAACGCCCATTACTCTATTTTGGAGGACGTGAGAATACGCATCCTCAAGCGGAGAAAGGAACGGGTGTGATGTCATGCATTCTAAAACATGAGGAGGCAATTTCACACACTTGCAGGGGTTGACATCTGCCAAAGTTCGAAAGGAAATGCCCATTTGGAGCATCGAGGCGCAGGGGCGCGCCTGCAGAAGAGGTAGATGACGCGGGAGAGGTGGGCGAAGGTGAGATCGCTGCGCACATGGTGCACCAGCTCGGCGAGCATGGAGAAGGCAAGCGGCCGCAGCTCTGTCTGGCACTGCCGCCCACGGCCCACCAGCGTCTCCTCCTTCAGCAGCGTCTCCAGCTCGCCCAGGAAACCTGCGCAAACAACCACCCTATGATAATCAACATGATGTATGCTGAGTTTACAATGCTCTCGTCATGAGCAGTGTAACTAAGGGACTTCCCTGTGCAAGGTGCAAGCAAAGACACATGCTTTCGATGCATTCCCCTGCATTTGTCCTGTGCCAAAAATGCATGGGCGTGCCATTACTGGAGCCGAGCTCAAGGGCGCTCGGCTGAGAACATCCAAGCTTTGGCTCGTCCGTGTCAGGCGCAGTGTTGGCATTTGGAGCACGCAACAGGGCAGCAGATGTTACCTCCTCGCACAGAGGTGGTCAGGACGTGGCGAGTTGCAATGAGCAGCTCCCTGCGCATCTGGACAGAGTCTGGGCAGGCCTGCAGCGCCCTGACCAGCGAGGTGGAAATGGACTCCTGCACCAGGGGCACAAGCAAAGATTGAAGATCAACAGACTGATGCACGGTCAGCAAGTAGGTGCTGTAAGCCCGAAACAGAAATGCCAGTGATCTATGTCAGAAGCAATGTGGGGATGTGGCGAACCTGATGGGGTCGGATCACCCCCGGGAACTGGCGCAGGAGGTACGTCAGGAAGCTCAGGATCTTGACCTGGGCGTTCCTGAAATCTGAGGCAAGCGCCTTCAGCTTGTTATCCTGCTGCACGGCTGCTGGCAGGCCTGCCACAGTATGCCCATATCAGCGCAAGATCAGGTGCATGAGGACTGTCATCAACCAGGCCATAGGTTGTTGTTCGTGAGTAATATGTTTGCTGTGGCACAATCAAAGATCGGTGAGGTGAAGATGGAGCGCACCTGGCAGCGACACTGCATTGACCATAAGAGGAGCCAGCACCGGCACATACTGGTTCACTGAGCGCGAGTAGAGGTTGATGAGGAACATCACTGCAGAGCAACCAATGTCTAGTCAACATGATGCAAATCATCACACAGTGATGCAGGAGAACGACAAGGAATCATTGATGGATGGGGGTCCCAAATAGTGAACATGGCCACCTTGGATGGGCGTCTCGGCAACAATCTTGAATGACTGCGTTGTGGGGATGATGTCCTGCATCTGTCGCCCCTCTGGACCAGGCTCAAAGTAGTTTTTGTAGCTAGCACTCACGCCCTCAAACACCTGGAGATCCAGCCGACAAGCGTGACAAACATTGCAGCTCATCAGCACACAAGCTGGAAGGAAACGGTAACGAAAGCATACTACAAAAGTCATTCTGAGATGGGCTCTTGCCTTCTTGACAAATTCCATGAATGGCGGCACAAGCTCTTCCAGGTTGGGCCGGAATGCCTTGTGCAGGTCGAAGGTGATGCGGAGGCATAGCAAACCATTCTCCTCATTGTCAGTATTGAGCACATTGAGTGCAGCTTGCATGAGCACGACTGCGTGCGGCCGCAGGAAGTCATTGTGCGGCAACCTGCACATTGCTGACAGCTTAGAGAATATAAAGTCCCTGTGCTCCAGATTGAGTAGAACAGCCTTGCACCTCACCTCAAGACTGGTGCATTCAGTGGCTCAATAACAGGATATGAGGGGACCGCTATGCATGTATCAATTGTTCATGCCATAAAGTGGGACATGCCTGTTGAGGATTTCTAGGACCACGTTGCGCAGCTTGTGCTCCGCATTGTCTTTAAAGGAAGGTGGTACAGTCTGCAACAGGTTCAGGAAGGGAGCCATGAAGTGTCGCAAGAACTTCCCATACTCCTGTGTGTGCACCAACTCGATGCTCTCGCGGATCTCTGTCATCCTGGCGAGCTGCTGCTCGACTCCTGGTCACCCACAGAAGCACCAGATCAGAACCAGTGTCACTGCCTCACCAGCTTGCACATACGCCCTCGGTGCCTTATTGATATGTACATGACCTTTTGAAGCCACCAAAAAATTTGACAGGCTGGCCTAAGCATCAGGAAGACCTATCAGCCTACACTATAGTGTGAGATGGCCGGTCGTCATAAAAGAAAATGGCGATGCATGCCACACTGAAAGCAAATAATCCATGCTATTCATAAGTGCGATGAATCGAAAGATGCTGCACTACACGACGAGCTTCCGATGCAGCAAATGCGCCGTGCTGATGGACAAAGTAAGGAAAATATTTAATGCTTCGACAACTGGCGCACTGCGGCCGGAAACGCGAACCCGTTGCTAGGTTTGCTTCAATATCTATTGATTGGCAAAAAGGGACGGGTCGATGCAGGCCCGTGTCGGACTCAACCAAGAAAGAGTACGCCCAATGCCTATGATCTTTGATAGGCATGCATGGAGGCACGGACAACAGGCAGATACTCTTCTCACCAGCATCAGGAGCCTGGAGAGCCTGTGCAAGGCCCTCAAAGTCAGAGCTGGCGAGCATCTTTGTCATACTGCTTCCTCACAGAAATTCCAAGCTGAAGAGGTCTAGCGGGCAGCCGGGCCATCTTTCAGCCATGGCCGTCCATAGCGGCAATTATTAGCATCTTTCCTAACATTTGTTCGCCCTTGTTTGGGGGTGAGCCATCGCAATAGTACCCGATCGGCCATCCGTCTTTTACTGCATTGTGCCTTAGTAATAATTACTCATCACAATGGCGAGAATCCAAACCTTCTCGGCGACAGAAAAGTTTGAGCTTCTGGTCTGTAAAGGTATAACTCACTTGTTTTTTATCTGGCTGCAGGCTCGCATAGCGAGCTTGACATATATCGCCACAGAACATGGTTGCATGGCCGTATGCAGCTTCCGACGGCATCTCCTGTGCAGTATCCCAGGCAATGAGGGTAAGAAGAAATTGAAGAAGACGATTATTGCCTTAGAAGCCGTTTAAATCGTCACCGAGAACCCTCTCCAGAATTTTGCAAGTTTTCTTGACAAGGGATCACTTTCTCCCATGGAGGATCCACCGTTCGCCGCAACCTCAGCATTAGCAAGCCTGGATTGCAAGCACCATGCATCATATGCCGAGACAGATGTAGTGTCAACGAAACCATTCACACCTATCACACTGGCCAGGAAGGATCCTGCAGCTCAGGCCGCATCAGGCTGCAGCGCTGCAAGGTCAGAGCTCCGTCAGTCAACCAACATGTATCAGGAGATATACATTAGCACGACTTGTGACAGGAAACGATAGATACATGCCATGCCATGCCCGCGACCAGAATACCGATTTCTTTAACACCGGAGCAGGATGTGCCACCAAGGATCCAGAATAGGCCAGGACAACCCAAGAATACAGCAGAAAAAAACAGCTCTTTGCCACCCTGATCATCCACAAGCACCAACGAGGTACATATCATAACGAGCTCCTCTCCGTGCTGGCTTCTCACTATAGTACTTACTAAAAGTAAGGAAACCTTGCTTTTTGGGGTTGGGCAGTAGATTCAGTAGCAATTTGATTTAATGTGGAGCGTGGCCGGGGAGCCCATAGGCCTGGTGCGGGTGGCGTTATTATCGTGCAGCTGCTTTTTGGTTAGGCCCCTGTGCTGGCCAGGCCAGTCACCAGTTGCACTGTAGAGGCCTCTGTGAACAACTTCGCGGCAAGCGCGGCCTTCTCAAATGTATGTGTCAGGAGCGCCTGCCTGCAAAGCACTGTAGTGGCTGTCTTGGCAAGATGTGCATGATGGTACCACCGCGGACATGATAGTAGCACCGGCCGGTGTGGCACAAGCAAGGCCTGATTAGCTAGCGATCAGTGATTGTGAGGACACCCGAAACCACAACAGCAAAGCTGCACACTAATATATTTTGGGGAAATTCACTGGGCCCATACATGCGAGTTCTACCAAAATATTCCATGCCATGTTGACTGAAGTTGAGATCCAAGTTGATGTAGCTACTGAAGTTCCTATAGGAATGTTAAGCTTTTCTTGGTACTTTTTCAGGACTCGTCACCAATGCCTTTGGTGAAAGCTCCAGTCATCCAGGGAGACCAGAAGGGGTCAGCCCATAGCAAGCATAATGCAGAGGAGCAGAGGGCACGTGGCAATGCTGAACGCCAGGTGGGGCCTCTGAATCTTCCTGAAATGGGCAATAGCAAACATGCTCGCAGCAAATGTCCAGGCCACAACTTGTCAGAGACAGTGAACTAACCATTGCACTCAATTGCAGGGCGAGGAGGGCATGAAGAGGGCGAAAGTGGACCTCTAAGTTTAGGGTACGCAATAGGCATACAAATTGTACGCACTGCGGCACTCCGCTTAGAAATTCACACACAGTAAATCACCAGACAAGCATTTCTTGGTGATGTGCAGGAGACAATTATAGATGCCCACAATATGTATGCAATTGCTAGAGTCTCAGGCCTAATATATAACGTTTGCACATCAAGCCCTTGAAGGTCTGGCCTGGCCCAAGGTCAGGCCTGCAACATCAGCTGAGGTTGGTGCAGTAGGTTGCACATGTATCTTGATCTGATCTAAAATAGCTGGCAACTGTAAGGAATTTAAAAGGAATTTTGCATGCCATGTCTCCGCTATATGATCCAGTCCCTCCAAAACATGCTGTTCATGTTGCCAAGAAAATGACAGATGGACATGTTGCTGCATGCAGGGGAATTAGCTCAGATGTAGGGGGCTTGATGCCCCATTCTCCACTTTTTTTAAGCAGAATAGGTGCATCAATTGTTTTGCTTTGCTTTTGATTTGGGGAAGCATGAAATTTGCATACTCACAGCAATCCCAGATCTCTTGAAAATGGCTGCAATATTTTGGTTTGAGGAACTCCATGCTCTGCAGATCTCTTCACTCCAAGAGCACCAGTCGGCTCTTCGGTCTTCTAACACTCCGAGACCCTCGACAATGGAGCATCATAGCGCTCGATGCCATATCACGGTTTGCCCTGCTTGGAACTTCATCCTATTGTCATGTCACATCTGTATCAGAACACTCTAGTAAAGCGACACGATGCGTGTGATTGCCAGGAGCGATGACCTTATCAATCAGGCCGTACTATCTTCAACCCCTTTGGACACCATCCGCGCCTTGGATGACATCTCAGACACGGTGGGACTCCCTGGACTGCAGATCGGCATGCCCTCTAATTTCTGAGATATACAGTCAATCCTGCTCCTGTCAGGACAGAAAATGACTCAAAAACGCTAGGATTCGTGATCCAATCCGAAAATTTCTGTTTGACGAGCAGCTGATTGATGGACTCTGTGCACTAACTGCAGATCTGCCAGGCGTATGACACAGCAGAGTTCTGCAGGAATGTGCATTCGTGCCCAGAATGGCAGGAGGCCGCCACGCAGGCCTGCATTGTCCTTGGAGGTGACCACCCTGCGATCTGCTGCATTACATAGCCCCGGCATGCAGCCTCATATCTACTCCTCATGAGCTCTTGGTGCTGGTGCGCAATGCAGCCCAAGTGGAGAAGCTAAACACAAACGAGAGCTTGTATGGCGCACTGGTCAGAGCACTGGATTGCCATGAGCAAACAGCTGCGCACTCTGCTCCAGCTTCAGAGTACGAGCAGCGACCCGGCTTGCTGACAGCGGAGGCCCTGCGGGTTGGCCGATCCCTGCGCCATGACATGGAGAAGGCCGGCATCCACCTGCCACATGACAAGCGCAGCCGCCTGACAGAGCTCGTCGGGCAGGAGAGATGCCTTGGCATGGCCATCGGTCAGCGACTCACCTCAATCTCCTGATGAACTGCATGTCTTGTTCCAGTCTGCATGTTGTTCAGCATGCACCTGCCATTCTGCCCTGCACTCCCTGTAGTGGCGGTCATTGTCTTTTTTAGGCGGTTCTCTAGGAGAGTAAGAGAACAGCAAGTTGAATGAAGGTGTTGAGAGGTGTTGCTGGGCTGTGGGAGCAGGCCAGAACCTGACGGACGTGTCAAAGCTGGGCCACGTGGACCTGGACATAAATGGGGAGGGGGGCGTGCTGCTGCAGTCGCGCATGAACTCGCTGGCGCCCAGCAGAAGCGGCCGCAGGGTGTCTCTGGGCAGCCACGCGCTCAGCGGGCTGCTGCAGTGGGAGCACAGCGCTAAGAACCGGCAGAAGGTCAGGCCCTCTTTGATGTAGCCTTTAACTGTGCTGCGCCCCCGCACGGTGCAGGATCAGCAACTGCATCCTGCACTGATCGCATACGTATTGCACAAAACTTAGCTTGTGGTCTCAAGCCCCTCTTTATGCATGGTGCTCAGAGCAGAATCGTGCGCTGTCAGAAAATTTGAGAGGCTGTTAGGGGGGCCGGTTGACAGGACTGTACAGAAAGAGACGTGCGGTGTTAAGGAACTGTACAGAAGGTTGTGCTCTTTCTTGATAACCGTGGAGAAGACACATAAGAATTGGTGCAGACCGTTCTCCTTCTTGATCTTGGGTGGAGAAGACGTTTATAAATTTGCACACAGGCGTATGTGGCGGGCTACTGCTCGCCCCGGGAGAACCTGGCGCTCCTGGAGCAGCTGCTGGGCGCGCGCCAGGAGATGGCGGCGCTCGTTGGGGCGCGCAGCTACGCGCACCACAATCTGCGCGATGCCACTCTGGCCGGCTCGCCCGAGGCCGTGCACTCCTTCCTGCTCGACCTGGCCGCCGCCATCCAGCCCAAAGTGCGTAGCCCATCGGTCTTGGGGGCTCAACGAATTCTGCTGAAGGACAGGCAATTCTCTTGCACTGTGTCTCACGCAGTGCATCTCTCGCGTGTATCCTGCTAAGGGGACCCTCGAGCCCTAAAGTCTCGAGGGGCCAATCAAGATTATGCGTATGATGCATGCATGCCAGCCACGCTTCAAGCCATGAGCTTCAAGCCATGAGCTTCAAGCCATGAGCAGCCGCTTCTGGCTTTGAGCTTGATCACAAGATTGTGTGCTTCATAATTGTTTGCAGCTGCGCTGCAGCTTTGCAAGGATAAGAGGCTGACTGGACGTCAGACATGCCAAGTTGTGAGTGAGCTGGAGGTGTGTGTAGGTGGAGGAGGAGGTTGAGCTGCTGCGGAGGTACAAGGCAAAACATCTGGGCAAGGCGGTGGCAGATGTCCAGCTGGATGCCTGGGACCGTCTCTACTACATGGCCATGGCCAAGGCACGCTCCCTACCCTTCACGCAATCCCTCAATGCGCTGTGTCTCTGTCAAGAGCTGACGATGAAAACACAGAGCTCAGCAGCATGTTCAAATTGTCTCAGCGGACATAAGTTGTGACCCTGCATTTCGTTGCCCGCCTTGCAATGCCAGAACATCCTGGGCTGACAACAGGCGTAAGGTGCAAAAGCATTGCAGCAGAGGGCAAATATTTGGCTTGGTTGTCACAGGCCGAGGAATACCCGTTGGATCAGTTAGAGGTGGCGGCCTACTTTCACCTGCAGCACTGCATCGACGGCTTTGGGCAGCTGCTGAAGACCCTCATGGGCGTGTCACTCACGAAGGTCCCTCTAGCACCGGGTCGGTTCTCGCTCCACTGCTCACCAGCCGACGTATATCTCAACCTCTGTCTTCAACGGCCATTCTCTTGTGGCTGAACTTCAACGTGACATGCTGTCATCGTTGTGGCGTGTGAGAGCTGTGATGGTGGTTGCTGCAGGGGAGGCTTGGGCGGACAACATCCAGAAGCTGACGCTGGTGCACGAGGATGAGGGCCCTCTGGGGACCATCTACCTGGATCTGCAACCCCGGTGCGGCTGACTAGATCACCACCCTGCGGGCTTTCCACCCACTATCTGGCAGAGCAGCAGTCTGAGTGTCTCATTGGCCCATGCCTGCAGACATTCGCCATCCAATTGTACTTTGGTTCTGATTAGCTCTGATCATTTATGTCAATGTGACACACCCCTTGCTGTCTGAGGGATGTCTGGCGGACACCGCGTCAAACACGATCAGGAGTCTTCATGAACATGCTGCCTTCCTCAGGCCTGATGCCGCGGCAAATTTTCCTTACAGTCACTGCGGGTGCCACTATTCTGCTTTGTGAGGAGGTTTGTGCGGCTTGGTCAGGCGCGGGAAGGTGGCGGGGGCGTCGCACTTCACGCTGCGCTGCGGCCGGCGGCTGGTGGACGGCAGCTACCAGGCTCCCATCGTGGCGGTCGTGTGCAGCTTCGCTGTGTCGTCCGGCGGCCTGCTCAGCCCCGACCAGGCGCAGACGCTGTTCCACGAGTTCGGCCATGCCCTGCACTCACTGCTCTCCCGCACCCACTTCCAACACCACTCCGGTGTGCGCACTGAATGTCTCTCACCTCACGCATGTGTTTTGAGAAGGGGTACACAGAGGATTGGGCGCCTGATAATTTCAATGCAGCCTTGTTGGCTGGCAAAGATCCAATTTCAGCTCAGGGTTCCTGGTGCCTCCTCCTGCATTCTATGGAGCCTTCAGGTCTCCAAGTGCAAATGCGCCGGCGCTAAATTATACACCTGGAAAGGCTCGAGGTTGTCAGGCATATATTGCCCATGTTTGGCTTCAAGGAGTGTAATGGGTCATTGCTGCAGGGACGCGGGGCCCTATGGATCTGATGGAGGTTCCCTCGCACGTGACGGAGCATTTCGCGCGCAGCCCCCATTCGCTGCGCGCGTTCATGCACCACCACATCAGCGGCCGGCCCATGCCAGCGCCCCTTGTGCAGCGCCTGCGCGCCTCCCAGCGCCTCTTTGAAGCCATCAACCTCCAACAGCAGGTGCTTCCTACTTCTCCATCCCCTTCAGCTTGCCCTATAGAATGCATGCCTCGCCGATGGATGTCCCTTTCAGCTTGCCCTATGGAATGCCTGTCTTGCCGATGGTTGCCCCTTTCAGCTTGCCTATATATTGCATGTCTTGTCGGTGAGCCTCAATGCGCCAAGTCCGTTCTCCCGGTGGAGCCCCAGAGTCATGTGTGCGAGGTGTGGCAGGTGGTGGATGCCCTGATTGACCAGAGGCTGCATGGGCCGCGGAGCATGGGAGGCGCTAGCAGCTCTGACATTGTAAGCGAGGTCATGCAGGAGCACTCTGTGTTTCCCTTCGTCCCCGGCACATTCCCACAAGCCAGGTGAACAGCCCGCCTCCATACAAACGGCATCATCCAAATGCACCACAGAGTCCATGTCTCTCACTGCAACAACCAAGCAACCCGCCTGCTTCATTGTATAAAGTCATTCTGAAGAGGACGTATTAGACAAGGATCATTTCCTTGCTACGCAGGTTCCACCATCTTGTGGGTTATGGTGCGACGTACTACTCCTACCTGTATGCGCAAGCTCTGTCATCAGCTATCTGGCAGCAGCACTTTGCCAATGGGCAGATCAACCGGTCGTCAGGCGATCACATACGGCGCACAATGCTGCAGTGTGGCAGTGCACGGGAACCTGCACACTATGTGCATGGGATGCTGGGTGATAGCCATCTTGTTCCAGTGAATGGGGGTTTCAAGCCTGAAATCTCCAGCCTGTTGAAGGACCTTGGGTTAGAATGATAGAGTAGAATAGACTAGAGAGCAGTATTGCGCTTGTGTTTTTTGGGCTTCTGTCTGGCAACAAAGATGTTGCATGCACTCCTTGACATGCAAAGAAATTGAGCTGCAGTCTAATATGGCAAACTAGGTTCACAGCACGCCATTGTCCCTTATGATGTTGCCGCTCTAGATGCATATGCATGGCAACAAGCAGAACTGCAGCTGCTTGTTTAGAGAGGATGGGTGTCATTTGGTGCCAAAAGCAGCAACTGTGGTAGTGCTACCACAGGGTGAATAACAGAAAAGCTCACACTGCCTATGCTTCTTATGCGTTTGCATGTCGCTGGTTCCGACCTAGCTTTTACCTCAAGACATTTCTTTTCAACAATATCAAAACACACATGCCAGCACAATTGGCGCTCCACACAACAAAAGCTGTAGGAAATCTCTGAGAAGTTAATACTTGAATGTTTCACTGCATCCACTTTGCAGTCACCTTGTTGCATGATAAGCAAGCGCACAATCACTGTATCGCCTACTCCTGTTGAGATGTCATGTTTGCCAGATGCGCTGCATTTCCAAATCCAATGGGCGGCATTGGCCACGGCAGCCGTCGCCCGTGCGGGTCAATCTTCAGGTCTCCAATGAGCAGCAGACCACTCAGGACCCCTTCTTTCCGCTCATCATCATCTGGCACCTCCCCCATTGCCTGCACAGGTCCACTAAAGACTTCAAACACTGACAGTGGCTACGTAGTATACTCTGCAAGTGCTTTCCAGTTGGACTCGGACAGCCTGATCTCAGACTGTGAGAGAACAATTCTTGGCCTGAATGGAAATAAGCTGTGCAATGCCCTCCTGGAGGCTCACCTTTGCCACATTGAACTGCAGCATGGCAGCATACTCCAAGGAGTCAGGAAGGCCCAGGTCAGCTGTTTGCAGTGCCGAGGAGGCTGGCAGACGCAGTTCACCCTCTGTGCCAACCGGCGAGCTTTCCACGGGCGACGCCCCAGTGCTGCCCTGCCCCTCTCTGGAATTGCTGCTCACAGCCTGGCCCGGCACGCGCCTGAACTTCCCAGCAAGAACAGGCATGCCCAAGCCCTGCAAGCAACAGCACGACAAAACTCACAACTGCCGCCAGTAATAACAATCACACAGCCCTCCATGCTTCTGAGATTTCATGCTGCACTACACAGGATTATAAACTTAGGTGCACTGTGTGCAGCCAGCGTTCTTGCAGGGAAGCTTCTCACCTTGGCCACAGCGGCTGTGATCAAGTCGCTGATCATTGCATGGACCGACTGCATCATGCTGCTGTTCAGCTTGCTCCAGTCCACTGCCACATCGGTGCTGTTGCTCAAGCCACTGGCCCCACCGCCTTCAGAGCTTGCAGCCCTTGCGGAATGTACTGCCTGGCTGCTGTTGGACATTGAAGGCGCACTTGACTCTGCTTCTTCTGAGCTCAGAATGGCCTGCGCTGGCATCGCACTTGCTGCACCATCATTGGCTTGCCGCTCTAATCCAGCGGGAGGCTTGATTTCATGCCCTGCAGCATCTGAAGCAGCTGCAGGCCGCTCGACCGGCTTTTTCTTTTGCCGCCTGATTCTGCCCAGCAGCGCGCGGATCCGCGATGTCGGCTTCCTCTTTGGCGGCTGCTCTTGGCGGGCGGCTGGATGCATTCTGTTGCCCATGGCCTCATCTGGCACGCTGTGCTCTGCTGCACTGTAGCTGCTGGGACCATCGCTTGATGTGTCTGCACTGCTACTCCTCTCATGATCGGGCCTGCCGCTCGCTGAGATTGCATTCTGAGAGCGCGCGCCGTCAGAACTCTGCGCCTCTGCGGGCTTATCTGCATCATCTGTTCTTGCGGCTGACTCACCATTGCTGCCAGCTGGCCTGCTCTGCGCGTCAACTCCATCAGAGCCTGCAGCAGATCCCCTGCCCTCTCCTGAGGCGCCGCCGGCCTGGCTGCGTGCAGCGGCATGGGCGGCTGCAGACAGCATCCTCTGATTCCAGGTGTTGGCGTCGTGCGTGAAGCGGTCCAGAGCATGCACGCTGATGGCAGGCTCGTTCAAAAGCCCCAGCGCATCGCGCCCTGCGCGCAACACGCAACACTTCCATGCTGCGCCGTTTGACACCCTCAAGCTGACCCATAGAATGTCCCAAATCAAACAAATCAGGTCTGGTCCGGTCCACGTCAGCCATCAGATCAAGGTTGACGTACGGCTATGGAAGGCCAGGCATCAAGAAAACAAGAAATGCTGTATGCTAGAGGAGGAGCAAGAGGGGCAGCACCAATGGGCGTTTTGCTATAGAGCGTGTCTGCAACATCACAGGCCCACTCGGCTGCATGCGCTCCCAAAGAGAACACGCCCACTGCTGCGCTGACCAGCACACCGCCCACGCCCTGAACCACCAAACACCCAGCTATAGTGAACACCTCCCTCCCTTTTCACTTATCCCTAAACTCTCCATAGACCAGCACGGAGTTCTTCAAGAGAATTGTGCACATTCCTGTGTCTAGATGCCCAGAAAGAGAAGGGGACTGAATAGGTCCGGGTCACACCGTGGGCAGCGTGCCAGAAGCGGCGGCGTCACCGCCGGTGCCGCGGCCGCCGCCCTCGCCCAGCTCCTGCAGGAACTCGCGCACTTCCGGCGGCTCGTCCATGCCCTCCTCATCCTCGCTCGGGCCACCCTGCTGCGGCGGCAGCGCCGGCGGCGGCGCGACGCCTGTAGAAAGGCACAATCAACCCCCGGCATTACTTTCAGGTTCCCCTGGCCTTTCCACACGCCCGCATTGCACAGCGGCTCCGCAACAGAGCACAAGCTCAGCAGCAAGCATATGGTAGGAATTTGGAGGACCCCCCTTGGCACTGGACGGCACGTGGGTCTCCCAAATAGGTCATCAAAGCACTATCATGTCTTTTCATGCAATGCTTGGGGGTTGTGTGGGCTGGCGGCATGGAGGTTTTGGCACACCTGCCAGCCGGGCGGCAACCACCTCGCACAACTGGCGCACCTCCCTCCTCTCGGATTTTCGCCGCCCCATTTCCCACCGGTACTGGATTGCCTTCATGGCTGACTGCCGGCACAGACACAAAGATTAAGCCACACAATTATCCATCTATTTTCCCAATCTGCATATACAAATGAGCAGTGACATGTTGAAATGTTGCTCGTCACAGGACAGGTGTCGGCTTGTAATGAGAGATGTCAAAGAGCGCACCCAGGTGGCATGGAGCTGCTCCTTGGACAGGAACAGCGGAGAGAAGTCAACCCGGCCAACGGAGGTGGGCAGTGTCAGGGACAAGCCGGGGATCTTGAAGACTGGCAGTGAGCCTGCCGGGAGCGCTGCCTCTTTCCCACGCGCAGCTGTGCGGCTGTCACTGTCGCTGGTGCTCGTGCTTGCGCCTGCCTGCCTGCTCTGCGCCTGCTCCTCTGTGCGCTTCTCTGCAGCCTTGCCCTGTTGAGACATAAACGCCACTTTGTGCTCATCCCAAATGACTGTCCAGCAGTGGAGAAGGAAGTGGACAGACAGCAGGTGCTAGCCAAGCTATTTGACAAATAAATCAGTTGTGCCTCAATACGATATGTTGCCGTGTACCTGTGCAGGGTCGGAGGCAAAGCAGCACCAGGGCGGCTTGTCCTGCAGGTAGTTGAGGGCATGCACAAGCGGCAGGGCCAGGGGCAGCCCCTTCTGAGACGCGGCTGGCTTCTTTCCCTGAACGGGCCAAGGCCCGCGCCCGCTGTGCACATGCACCTTGCTCACACTCTCTTCCGGCATGCCCATACGCCGCAGCCGCTCCCTCGCGCGCTGTGTGGCCTCGTTCTCTGTCCCACGTCCAGTGCCTTAATGTGAGTCTAATTAGCTTTGTCGGCTGGCAAAGATGTGATATTCTCTCTCTCTCTCTCTCTCTCTCTCTCTCTCTCTCTCTCTCTCTCTCTCTCTCTATCTCTGTCTCTGTCTCTCTCATGAGTCCCATAGGTAACACAGCTGATTCTGTGCAACTTGTCAATTGTGTGGCACGGTGTGCATGAACGGTGCAATGCATGACTAATCACATCAAGTGCTTGGCCAGCTCCCACCAGCACCAGGATTTGAGCGACGTGGGAAGCTGTATTGCGATGGCAGCAGGAAAATGGGGAGCCTTGGGATTTTCCTCCTCACAGTTGACTCCAACTCCTTTCTCGCCCTGTCAGCTGCTTGAGGCAGGTCGCCTGATGCAACATAAATCATCTTAGCGTGTGGAACAGTCTTGAAGGGTGTCGCATGGCATGGTAATGCAAATGTAAGCGCAGCTATGGGAGATTCCCCGGTTACCAGTGGGAGACGGAGACAGAGCCTTGGCCGGCAATATACCGAATATATTTTGCTGTGAGCATGCTTGCAGAGCAGCCTTTTCTGACACCCAGAATGCCACCTTCCCTTCCTGCACAAGACAAATAAATTATATACGGTACAAGGGGAATCGAATGTAACGAGATGCAAGGAACGAGGACAAGAAATGAGCGGACCTGCATGGCCACAATGTCCTGGAATGCCACGCTGGGAGGGCCATATCTGTGGGCGAGCTCCCGCTGATCACTTATCAACCTCTGCGCGCCCAGTGGAGACTGTGCAAAGTACTCCTTTACGTCCTGTGCAGTCATCTTTGGGCCATAGCGCTCTCCAGTGAAGGCCCTGAGGCAGGCAGACTGGCGTGATCGTGTGCAGGACTTATAGTGTTGGCACAACTCCATCAATTGCCGCTGAACTTGCACGATCTGAAACTCAGAATGGTGATTACGCACTCCTCGCGTGCCGCGGCATAGACATTGCCAACAGTGATTGCTGGGACGATGCCCTCAGAGCTGCCCCTTTCTGCCATGCTGTACGTCACACTGAAGTCCAGCCGGGGGTGCATGAAGCCTGCTCTTGCTGCCGGCTGTTCTCCAGCGCCACTTTCCTCTGGCAACCCCTCTTCCATGTGTCTGCCCTCCACATGGCGCGATGGGCTGGCAGGGTGTGCTGATTCAATGCTGAACTTTGCATGCCTGTTTAATTTATTGTGGAAAGGCCTGCAGAAGACCGGTGTGTTTAGTGCAGAAAGCAAAAGTAGGCTCCTGGCCGTGGTGCTCAATAACTCTGCAGATTATGGCATGCACTTAGCCTGGTCTCCAGGAAACTACCAAAAGAAATTTTTGAGGGCAGGGAAGATGGGAAGATATATGCAGAACGCAAGAGGGTGTGGCACCCAGGTGATCTAGCAAGCACGCACCTAGTGTTGGTCCTTTCGAGGCTTAGAGTTGATGACACGAAAGCAATGTTGGATTTTCCTACTTCAAGAGTAATTCTGGGTGCCAAAGTGAGCGGCAAAGCTCTGAGATCAGGACTGCAATAGTCGATTTCGAAGTTCAATCGAGAGCCCATTTTCTATTTTTGCCTTTCACTATATCATGGATACCTCATTTTGTCATTGAGGAATGTCTCTTCTTCATGTCTACGCCGTTCTGTTTATTGAATCCGGAGAGAATGTGCTGCTTCTGTAAATAGCATGCTGGTGTCCAATCGGGGACGGCGTGCCCGACTTTCCAATGTTTTTCCTTTGGAACTTGGAAGCCAATGGGATATTACAAATCTGCTCTCGTATATGAACGTTACAATACAGGAATTATGTTTCAATCGTGAGAGCTTCTTCATAAGATGCCCATGGTAATCAAGTGTGACGTGCTTGCAACTTCCTGCTCCAGCTCATACACAAATCCCAAAGGATCCTGTAATTGTCCTCTTGAAGGTCGTAGCTTCCTTGCATCGAGTCGATGGGCTCTGAAGCCTAGGCTCCAACGCTGGACCCGTGACAGTATTGGAGATGGAGAACTGCTGGACAGGGCTCTGCCCTCAGATCTGAAGGTAAATCTCGTATTAACCTCTTAATCAAAGTCAGTGAGTTCGACGTGACTCATGCCGCTGATTTGAGCGCGTTTCCTTGGACTACAGGGCGTGATGGAAACCAGGAGATCACCTCAGGTCTTTCGTTCTCGTTGTCGGGCGTCAGCAACGACCAGCAGCACTTTACAGCCTGATGTACAGACTGAGTCTGAGGATAACATGTACGTCTGAACGCTATCGCAAAGATTTTATTTACCACCCATGGCTACACGTCATGCCTGCATTTTTCAACGGCACATAGTAAGGAATCAGTCTCTATGCCTACAAACAGGCATTTTATGGGATTTCCTTATGTCCACCCAGGCATGGACGTGGCAAGGTGGTCGTAGTGGGAGCAGGACCAGCTGGGACTTTGGCGGCAATATACCTGGCACGGCAGAACTACAATGTGGAGGTGAGATGTTGTTGCTTAGAGAGCCGCACCGGCTAATAAGTCTGAATAGCACAGCTTGTCAGTGGGGCTTCAACTGGCGTGTGCACCCATCAGGTGTATGAGCAGCGAGCAAAGCCTGACCCGGTGAATCGCAACTTGGACCGCTCCTACCACCTTGCCATGTCCCATAGAGGAATGGGCGCTGTAGAAAAGGTAGGGACACAAGCCATGCAATACGCCTCACTGTTACCATTCATTGCTTGAGCAGCATGTTGACCCGGCAACAGACTTCAGATCGCCTGGCATCAAAGTTATTTGCATGCAAGGTGGGTGTGGACATGAGTCGCTTCCGAGAGTTTCCCTATCGGGGCAGCCTGCTGCAGCTTCAGAACGGCGCAGTGCAGGAGGTTTTCCACGAGCCCATCAGCGCCAAGGTGATGCTCCTGAAGCCAGGAGCGCCGCCATTACATTCCAGTAGTTCGCATGCATCTAATTGGCCACTTTTATTGGCAATGTAAGAAGGGTGAATCACTTGACAGGTGCTGGTCGAGCGCATGGAGCTGGTGCTGCACATTGTGAACGAGGCAGCTCGTCTGGTGCCCTCAGGCCGCATCACCTTCCACTGGTCACATGCCTGCAAGGTATAACTTGGCCCCGCTGATCTCTGGTATCTCGTTTTGAATTCCCGAATTGCATTGCCTGTTAATTGGGCGTGCATATGTACAGCACATTACACTGAATACTTGCTGTGCATCATGTCACTGCTGGGGTGTAACTGCAGGAGGTGAATGTGAAGGGTCAGCAAGCAATCTTTACAGATGAATCTGGGAATGCAGTGCATGTGAACTACGATCTGCTTGTGGGTGCAGACGGGGTGAACAGCAAAGTCAGGTATGCACTGAACTGAATTGATGGCGTACTTGAAGATCATCCTGCAGTCCATTTGTATTGAACAACTTACGCAGATCTCATACCTCCCCTGTGGTGCTGCAGGGCAGAGCTGCAAAGACAGATCGCTGGTTTCCGGCAGGAATGGTTCGGGAAAATGCACCGCATCGACAAGTTCTTTCACCGCGTCAAACCCCCAGCAGGCACCCATCTGGACACCCACAGAGGTGTGTTGTGCATGAAACATAAAGATACAGCAGTTTCACAATTATTGCAGTTTCTTAAGTATTAAGAGGGCCAGCTATTGAGAGCCTCCTGATGCAGGGGAATTGGATGATTCAGCCACTGTCCTGCGCTTTTACTACATTGACAGCCCTCCGCCGCTCTCCGTTGGCCTCTTCTTCATCCATAACCATGCAGATGGCAGCTACTCAGGTGGGAGGATGCACCCGTACCCTCTTTGCACGTACACACGACGCCGGATGCCACTAAAAATTTATATTGCAAGACCCCTCTGCTCAGGAAACGGCTTGCAGGCGGCATCTCTTTCACACGGGCGGACTACACGGATGAGGGCAGTGGCGGCAGCCTCAAGACAGCAGAGGACTTTGAGGCGGCGATGCGCGGCTTGACCATGTACCCAGAGGTGCGGCCATGCTTGAGCTTGCTGCAGATTCCCTGCTGCAATCAGCATGAGGGTGTTCACAAGTGCATTCCCTGAGGATCACCAGACAGGAGCAGTGACGTGCATTCCTCTGAACCCTAAGGCCTCAGATGACCTATTATGTGGGGCACCCGATTACATGACGTTCAGTGACATGGCCTGGGCCGGCATGCATGCATGCATGCATGCTGCACTCAGTGGCGCTATTGCTTGCGCACTCACCAACAGGATCTTGGCTGTGGGGCAGGCGATGAGGCGGGAGATGGCGGGTCAGTTTGCGGAGCGGCCGTGGTACACGAGCGGGAGCACGCTGGTGCTGTCGCGGCTGACGGCGCCGCGCGCCGTGCTGCTGGGTGACGCCGCGCACGCCGTCTCCGCTGCCTTCGGCCAGGGTGTCAACTCCGCGCTCGAGGCGCGCCTCCGTCCCTCCCCTGCCACATGGTCCTTCTCACACGCGCTCATCATGCGCTGGGAAGACCTGCTAATGTCTGGCAGTGTGCAGAGGGACAATGCAACTGCAAGAATGATCGGCACTGCACCAATTGGGTGCAGTAATTGCCCCATCTCTTTCGTGTCACTGTGTGACAGCGGGTCCTCAAATGCCAGCTGCAGTGCCAATTACAGTAGCGGAATGCTCAGCTGCTCTGGCTTGCCAAAGATCACCTGGAGGATTCAGAGAGAACAAGGGAGTATTGGAGATCAGGGCGGAGCATGAGGCCATGATTTTGGCGGTGTGCAGGATTGTGCGGTGCTGGGGGACATTGTGTCGGCGGCCCCTGATGATCTGGACTGCGCCCTAGAACGCTATGAGAGGCAGCGCAAGCCAGACGCGCACGCACTGGCCACCATGGACCACCAGGTGCGCAGCATTTGCCACCTGTTTGCCACCCCATCTCCATAAAGGGAATGGCTTTGCAGCAAGTCTGTGCAATAATGTGCGGGCTTGATGGATATTTGCTTCGTCAACAATAGCTGTGATCATTGACAATGAAGGGAGGTCTTGAGCAGGCATATTGTGCCTCTATACAGGCGGAGGCGTTTGCAGGCTTCAGGGGGAAGTGGAATTTGAGCTACTGGATCTTCCAGACACACCTTGCAGTGAACGGGTGGCACCACCGCACATGGCCGCAGCACTTTGGCGACCCAAACCTTGTCCCCATGATGACGATTCAGCGCTCGCCCTATTCTGCCATCTACAACCGCATCAAGCGACCCTTCTTCATCATCTTGATCTCTGTCCTGGTGGCTCTGCTGTCCATTGCCACCAAGCTGCTTCGCGTGCTGGCAGCCCGATAGAGGGAAGATATAGCACAGAGGAATGGCTGTACGGATGATCTCATGCCCTGAGAATTGCAGCTGTACTGTGTGCTTTAAAGGATTGTCGTAGAGTAGATGGATTGTACTGGTTGTTCTTGGGAGAAAACTTGGCATGCATGAGACTTTGTATTTTTGTACCAATGAATATGAGTAAGACTGGCTGCTTGTGCATATATTGGAATGTTGTGCACTGTGACTTGACTCGCCTCTTTGTATGATCAACGAAGCTAGACAGCCATGCGCAACCTTAGGGCAGGTGGGTTTAAAAAGATGAGCCGAGAAATTAGCAGCGCTAGCGCTATGCATTTTGCATTTTTATTACAATGAGCAATACTTTCTAAACTGGCAAGATATATCCGCCTGCATGACTATGATTCCAAGCACCTCAACTGTTCACATCCGTTCACAGACGCTTGTCCTTGATGATTTGCTTGCTGAATGCTGCCGTACAAAACAATATATTAAAAGTCAATGCCTGATATCACAACTTCTCCAGAACTCTGAGCTTGGCAGAGCGACTGCGAGGATTGGAGGCAGCCTCCTGTTCCTGGGCCAGCAGAGGCCGCTTGGTGATGATCCGCGCAACTGCTGGCCGCACATCACTGGCACCAGACATGCTGTCCAGCTGCCACCTGGGCCCATGCTGCTCATCTTCCGGAGTGGCCCTCCCAGCCGCTCTCAAAAACGCCCACTTCACCGCCCTGTCCTCCAGTGAGTGGAAAGAGATGATCGCTAGGCGCCCCCCTGGCTCCAGCGCTTCAATTGCATCCGGGATGGCCGCCTCCAAAGCGCCCAGCTCGTCGTTCACAGCAATCCGCAAGGCCTGCATGCAATCGCACAGCTATAGCTCAGGTGGCCTGACTCAGACTGGCATGTGGGATGAGCGGACTAAGTCGTCATAGTGGGACGAGCGAGCCGCATAGAGTTCCTGGAAGGCAGATCGGGCGCCTCATGACCCATGCGTGCCATGCAGTATCCTGCACAGCCCAGAGTCAGCGCACCTGAAACACACGCGTGGCTGGGTGTATTTGTTTGCCGCCAGACTGCCGCCGCCCTGTCCCCCTGCTCCTCCCCTGGAAGCCGATCGCTGCTGCCAGCTGCAGTGTCGTCCGTATTGGCTTCTCCTCCCGCACCTACAGGCACACCATACAAATATTAATCACCTTACCACCAAATTTTGGAGGTTACTTTGGTCATGAGAAGCACATTGTGGCTTGTCATTGGGCAGGGACCCAGAGATTGCTGGGGCAGGTCACCTCGACAATTTTGTGTGCGATGTGGCGCCAGGCGCGCTCCTCGCCATACTCTTTGAAGATGCGCCCCAGGGCCGCTTCGGACCAGCAGTTGACGATCTCCTCAGCGCTGCTGACCGCTGAGGGGCCCATGCGCATGTCCAACGGCCCATCCTGGGCGAAGCTGAAGCCCCGCTCTGCAGTGTCCACCTGTGCATGGATTCATGCTGTGAAGCATGAAGGCTGCGAAGCCTGCTGGCTGGCATTTTGAAATCAAAATAAGTGCTGGGCAGGCTTGACATCAAGTGTGATTTCTTCTATTCTAGCATGGGCGACATGCGAGCATATCACAGAGACAAATCGGTCACTTTGGTGGGCCATCTTGCCTGCATGGAAGACATCCCAAGATCTAACAAAATGCCGCTGACGGCGCCAGCCGCTTCTCCCCCTTCCGCATCTCTCAGGTGCTGGCTGATCCCCCTGAAGTCTCCCTGTACAGAATGAACATGTCGCCAATTGGAGGTGCACGATTAAAGGTGAGACACTCACCGTGAGAGGGCAACACGAGCCGTCACTTAACGCACCAGCACTTGCTGGAGCTTGACACCACTGTTTGCACCCACTTTTGCCTGCTCCAAGCGCTTTTGCGCGATTGCATGGGCGATAGGGTCTTTGTCGATGCCAATCAGCAGCTGCATGTCTGGGTGCTGGGACAGGACAGCTGCTGAATGACCTCCAGCTCCTAGCGTGCCATCCACAAAAGTGCGCATGGGCCTTCCCCGAAATGCAAGCAGCACCTGCAGGGAAGCTATTTGCCTGAGATTTCATATCCAGGATTGCACGGGCTGGAAGGGAGCTGGATTCAGTAATGGTGCCATCAAGTCATTTGGAAGGACAGACCTCATCAAGAAGGACAGGGACGTGTGATACTTCATCATCCGTATCGCTTGTAGAAGCTCCATTCTGACTGTTCTGTCGATCATCGAGTGCTTGATGGTCGGATACCGGTAGTGATCTAGCGGCACCAGAGTCTGCAATATCACTGGCTGCGTGGTGGCGACATCTTGAATGTTGAGTGAATCGTTTCAACAAAGGTGCACACAAACGAGATTGTGGATGAAATTCTCGCTGTCCTGTGCCTCGCTTGAAGGAGCTGCAGCAGATTGAAGGGATCTGGGTGTGCAGGGCTAAAGCACTCTGAACGCAATGTCCAAGCCTCATAAGACCGGCTAGGGGCTTGACACGAATTCTCAGAGCACGAGAACGTTCGAAATCAGCCGTGAAGCGATCAGGTTCGAAGTAATGAAGCCCAACGTGCATGTGCCACCATGTGCAATCACATGCCATTCTGAGGAAGGATTTTCAAGCTGTTACTGTCTGCACATTGCCATGGGGATCAAGCACATTGGTCTGTCAAACCTCACAAAGCACTACCAGTCACACAGTGGTTATTGGAGCATCAACAGCTGCCGGACTTGTCGGCCACGGCGGCTCAGAAGGCTTCCATGATGGTTCAGTCACTGACCATATACATGGTGACTACACCAGGAATGCATGTCCTCGCAGCCGTCAACAATCAAGAGCTGCCACCATCATCATGCAAGGCATGCTCAAACAATACACTTGCTTACACTGAGCTCACTCTCACACACAAAATGGGCCGACCATGATGATGAATTGTAAAAGTATCATGCACCGTGGGGTGACCATGTTGGGAGATATTCACTGCTTCACAAAGAAGGCCTTCACGTAATACTGGTAAGTTTGCTTGTAGTAATACACCTATCTGCCGGACAATTCCACGCTCCTTATGACGAGCCATTCGTGCTGTTGCCCTTGGATGGTGGAGCGTCCGGCACCTGCCAAACATCTTCAAACCTCAAGCGCCATAACAATACGGTATACAAGCGTTTTGAATATATTTCGGCAGTGGTAAAGGATGGACACGAGCAATGAGGTTGCGAAAGCAGGCCCAGACATGCACCTTGGGGGAGTCCTCCTTGGTCTGTGTGGTTGTGGGCGCCCTGGACTGCAAGTCACCACCACCCTGCTGCCTCTCTGAGAGCCGGGAAGCCTTCTTTGCCGCCTCCTGCGCCTTCAGGGCCCTGGCATGTGCACACAGAGAACCGATGAGGCCCTTCCTCGACAGCACACACAGACAAACACCAAAGGAGAGCATAACCGAGCGGCATGTTCGAGCGCAAATACAAGATAAATCACACGGCTAGGCAGAGGGTCACATGAACTTATCGCCCTTCTTCTTGCCGCGGCTGCCCTGCTTGGGGGCCTCGCTCCTGGCAGCAGGCTGCTCAGGAGTCACGTCAATCACATCGCCGCTGCTTGAGGCCCTGGGAGACCGGCGCGCATTCAAGTCCTTTCCTGCGCGCAACAAAGCCTATGCGCTTACACCCACACAGTGCCCATGCTGCTGGACCTGCTACTGGGACACTTGCTGTTTGCCAGTCTGTCTCCCAGGTCCTGTGGTCAAGGACTGGGCTGCAACTGCTAGCATGGAAACTTTTGCAGGCCTCAAGAGATATGGCTGTAAGACGCAGTGTGGGTTGTGTGAGCTGAGGTTGTCGGCAGCCGCACACATGCAGCGTGGCTGCGCGTACTAACCCAGCAGTCACTCTTGCAAACGCGTATACCGCGCACGAGGGGCTTGCTCTGTCGTGAGCGGTAATATTATTTGCACGGCGCCGATGCAGCTAAGGAGAAGGGACACCCAGTCTCACCTGTGGGCCGCAGGTCCTCTACACTACTCCTCGCGTTGACGACGGTGCCTGTGCCTGCAGACGCCAGGGCCGGCGGCTGTATGGTCTTCTTGAGCCATAACTGCAGCAGCAATAAATTAATCTTGATGGCCGGCCCTTATTGCCAAAGTCACAGCTGCGCAGGTGCAACAAAGATGCAATGACATGCTCCGCGGCAATCAGCTAAAGAACAGAAAGAGCACACCTGCTGTGCTGTGCTGAGGACATTGTTGATGAACCAGTAGATGGTCAGACCAGATGGGACGTTGAGGGAAAACCAGCCTGCACATATGCGCAGCACGCCGTCAGCAAACCATAGCACAATGTAGCAACACTGTGAATTTCCGTTTGCCCAGATATATGTAGAGAGGGAGTTCAAATACCCACCGATCATGAGGGGCAAGAATTTGAGGATCCACTGTGCTGACTGCTGGGAGGGATCCTCAGACGGCGGGCTGATGATCTTTTGTGACACGTACTGCGACACGATCAGCAGCACTGGCAGGACGAGGTAGGCCGAGGCATCGTGCCACCCGATGGGAGGTGCTCCATTCACCAGAGGGAAGAGCCAGCTTCCTGCGCCCTGGCAAATTGCAGGATATTCTCAGTGAGACATCGATTGTCCCGCCTTGGTCACAGCGGACCCTTCAGGTGAGAGATGTAAAAGGAAATGTCCCGGGCCTAAGGTTGTTCATGTGCGGATGGGCAGCCACACTGCACCGTAGGATGGCCACAGGTGGCGTTCTATCTAGCAAAGACCTTCAAATACCCCAGCGCGAGAACTAAGAACTCGCCCTGGGGCCCTGGCTCTGCAATCTTGATATATCAGCTTGTCAACAAGGGCTTCCACTTCAAATAGACAGCGTGGAAAGCCTTGCTCACCGCTTTCTGCGCGGCAAGGGTGGTGGGCCCAGCAAGGGAAGGGATCCAAAAGAAGCCCTCTGAGAGTAGCCCCTCGTCTGCCACATTGGAGAGCGCTCTGTAGAGCCCAATCCAGACTGGCAGAGTGATGAGCGTGGGCAGGCAGCCAGCCAGAGGGTTGACCTTTGCTTCTTGGTACAGCTTTGCAACCTCGATCTGGAACCCCGCACACAATTAGGCTTCTGTTTGCTCAGGCATGTGTTCACATGCCAAGAGCGCGAACAACAGCTCGGTTTGAAATCGAAATCAGTGCTGTCTCAAATCACCTGTGCCTCCTGTGGGTCCCTGCCCTTGTACTTCTCCTGGATTTCCTTCACCCGCGGCTGCAGCGCCTGAATGGCCACTGTGCTCTCCACCTGGTAATGCACATCACATTGACTCAGTTCAATAAATTTAAGGACCGACGCTCAGAGAGAGGAGCATGCATTTAAGGGACACTCTCAGTGAGGGAGAGGGTCTTACCTGTTTCTTTGAGAGCGGGAAGGTCAAAGCCTTAACGAAGATTGTCAAAAGAATGATGGAGAATCCATAAGAATAAGGCACATGCAGCTTGTCCAGCCCAGTGTCCAGGACCTGTACCAGAAGTTATCATGCTCAGGATGCTTCCAGATACAGCACAAGCGTCCTCCATTATACTCAAGCGCTGCTTTGAGAGAAAGCAGGAGACAGAGACGGCTACCTTCAAAACGGTCTCAAAAGGCCCTGTGAAGAAGCCAAACCATCCATTGTCCCGCTGCACCGCTTCTGCAGCTGCATCTGTGGCTGATTGCACAGCTGTAGCTGAGGATACGATTGCATCTGCAGCCTTATCACCCACCGCTTGTGCTGCAGAGGATGCAGCTGTGTCTGCTAGTGTCATGAGTGACACTGTCAGCTTGGCCGCAATCTGGTCCAGAGCTGAAGGCGCTCTGCATGAATGAAACAAATATCAAAGACATGGCTCTGGAGTGACTGAAAGGCGCTGCTCAGGATTAAACATGGTAGCACACAGGTTCAGGCCAGGATGTTCACCCAGCAGCTGCCCCGCTCATAGCCTCAGCAGCATGCAGCAGTGGGCCCTCAAATCCATGGAGGGAAGACTGCACGCCCACTGGATGCCTGCATCTTCTGTTGGGCAAAGATACAAATCTGCTGTGTGATCCTGCACAGGTTGTGCACAGTCAGCACAGATAGAAACCATGCACTTCATGGGGAACCAAGAAATCGAGAGAAAACTGTCCTTTGTGTCGTACCAGAACGATTTCGACATACATGCCGACATTTCGCAAGCACAACGCCAGCACAGTACAAGCACAGCAACAGTCCTGCGAATGCCAGCACATGCCTAGACCTCAAAGCAAAGTAGACATCGGACTTGAGTACCTGATGACTTTAAAAAGCTTGAGGAAAGTGGCCTGAGGAACTCCGTATTCCTGGATGACCATACCAAAATTGTCAGAGTTCTGTGCAGCCCTTGCCGACACGCACCAAAGAGGAAGACTAGCACAAAAATGAATCATAATTCCCGGTGGCTTGTAGTGGTAGCTGATTATAAGGCTACAATACACAAAGCAGACGGCAGAGCGCATACGGATCGCAGTTGTGACAGGACAGCTCACCTCAAGGATTGAGGCCCGCAGGTGCACGAGATAGCCATCAGAAAGTCAACTCTTACGTTGAATGTTTTGTGCAATAAACAGAATAAAACTGATCGCGACCTGGTGCAGACTCATGCGCTTTGAGCAAAAGATGAAAGAGCATTCGGCTGCTTTGCCTGCAAGTGTTGCCCCAAAGTACTGGAGCGATTGGGTGACTGGATGTGGATGAGGCGCAGCAGTGTGGACGCAGCATTTCATACATTGGCCGTTTTTCCGCCTTTGTCGGTAAATTAACTTCTAATTTATGCTGGAATGCGTGCGTACTACTTGTTAGAAATACTCCTTCAAGTTTGTGTGTTGTCATCGCACTCGCATATTTACTATCAGTGATCAAAAAAGAATCTAATGCAGCGCTCTGTGAATAATTTAAATACCAGTATACCATCAATATCAGGCAGATTCGAGGGTCCACACCGGCTGCACCAAAGTTGGACAGCACTGAAAGGCAAAGCAGTATTTCAGCACAAGTCTCACACACGAGCAAGGTACGACTGATGAAGAGCCCTTCATTGACACCCAGTAGTTTCAAGATATTTGTAGGTCCAACATGCAAAAGGGCTGACCGCTGAATGGGTATGTGCAGGCCATCGGATCGCCAGTTTTCTGTCATATCAGCAGCATCCCAGCGATCGTCTTTGACATTCAGGCAAAGATGGCTCTCGGCACAGCATGATATAAATGAGAAAGTTGGGCAGCTGCGATCATGGTTCCTGTGAGTTTCCTTCACGCTTCCTGGGGCTAGCTGTGGCCCACAGAGCTCAACCTTGGACACTTGTGAAATGTGGCTGAGCTTCAGACTGCCAGGCTTATTTGGTCAGAAGGACATTCTATGTAGGGAACCCATGACCTGTGTGCATGCAGGTCATTGCCACCAATCGTTGCGGTGCTGAACATCATTGCCATGATCCGGCACTTCATGGATCCATATGTGCAAAAATATCAAGCAATCACAGACAACATTGACGCATGGTGGGGAGTGAGGAAAGAAAGGTACCTCCATTCCCTAGTTGTCCTCCTTGTGAATGACTTCAATGTCTTGCTTCTCCATGGAACTGCCGGGCGCTGGGTGATAAAAGTGCATGCTGCTTTGTGCAGGTACCGTGAGTTCATTGGGGAGGAGACAAAGAGGAAATGGCAATGGCAGCGGCGCAATGAGGAAGAAGCCAAGTTCTGGGCGGGCATCGTGCAGGGCATCATAGGTCAGTACTGCCCATTTGCCTGTAGATTGAGGGCTTTTCGTGTACCAACATGTATTGCCTGAGCTTGGCAGTCAAATTTGATCTTCTGGGGCATGACATTGGCTTCTGCAATGCAGGCATCCTGGTCACGATCTTGTGGGAAACCATCACCCCTGTCAGCTTTGTCATCGCTGTGCTGCCGCCGCTGTGGGTGGCCTGGGCGCTCAATGGCAACATCTTCAAGTCCCCCATTTTCTACACGCTGCTTCTGATGTTTCCCCTCAAATTCCCTATTGGCTATTCCATCCGATGGATCTAGAGATTCCGGAGTAGAGCTGCAAGCCCTCCTATTGAGTGAGTGGGGGTATGTTGCATAGCTGCCACAATTGGTATGTCTTATACAGTATGTTTGGCTTTCCCTGAGCAGTGTAAGGAATGCTGTTGATACTGGCGGCCTCTCTAGCTCCGCTGAGTTTTGTAAGTCATTGCATCTGTCATCTTTTTTACCCGCAATGCTTGATGAGTCTCATGAGGTGATTAAACGGCTGTTCCTACGAGCAGATGCTGGTCCAAGAAAGCATCAATCTGTGCATCCAGACCATGGGAGACAGAATGGCCCAGACCCTCCTCAAAGTACACTTGGAAGTGATTCAGAGCCCCTGCTGCTTCATAAGCATCTCTGGTCTGCTGGACGGCTTCCTCTAGGCCCCTGATAGGGCATCTTGGATCAAGCTCGCCATTGGCTATCAGAAATGGTCGAGGAGCTAGGCAGGGCAGCGAGTGCGGCGCATCAAACCCCTGGCAAGACAACACTTGCATTAGATCCGAGGCATTGTGCGTCAGAAGAATGCACAAAGTGGAACAATGCACAAGAGAAGGCATGGCCTCAGAAAAGCAGATTCAAGTATAGGCTCACCTCCAGCAAACCAGGCATGATGCGATTCCACACAGTCCTCACAACTTCGGCGTCCACAGCCGGCTTTCCCAAGTCAGAAGCAGCCGCAGCAAATACACGGGGGATGGTGCCAACGCGCGCATGCCAGCTGTCATTCTCAACAGCCCATCCGAAGTTCTGCCAAGTGCACAGAGAAGTGATGTATCTCACCACATGCAGCGTTAACAATTCTGCTGACCTCCAAGTATGTGAACAGAGAGCAATGACACCAGGTCAATTATTCTGCCACGAGCCCCTTCTCTGTGTCCTCTTTTGGGTGTGCTAGTGCCTCGCACCTGCACACCGATCATTGGCGCAGCCACAGCAATTCGTTCATCCAGGGCGGCAGTGAGCCAGGAGTGCATGCCCCCCAAGCTGATCCCAGTCATTCCGATCCTGCTGCTGTCTGTGTCGGGTCGCGTCTCCAGGTAATCCAGCAGAATAATCAAGTCCCACACATTGTCCAGCAGAAACGGCCGCTCCTTCCCATCCCTCCATGCCCTGCAAGCAACCCACTGGTGTGAATTATATTTCATTTGAAATGTAGGGAGTTAGGACTGCATCTCCACAGTCTCTTGTTTTGGCGCCTGGGGCTGACCTTCACTCCTGCCTGTCTGTAGGTGTGCCCCAACCCTCAACTAGCCATATTTTTGTGCACGTATCCATTAAGGTCATGTAGTGCTCCTGGGCCAGGGGATCATTGTATTGCTGCATAATGTGCACTTGCGCAGTAGCCCTTCCTCTTATCTCCCTGGCGCTCGCACTGCGTTGATGTCTGCATACCTCATTCGCTAATTCAAGTTCAAATTCACAAGCACTACTGCTAACAAGTCCTCAAAGTCCCTGGTGATGCAGCTGCCGCGCTCAGGATGAAAAAGTCGGAATGTCCTCTTGCCACTACATCGCGCACCTCACCAGGGCGTCCTCATAGCAGTGGCGACCAGCTTGGCCGGGCAAAGAGCGGCGACCGTGATAGCGGCAGTCGATGGCTGCTGTCAGGTAGCCGCGCTGCGCTGCCAGCTCCATCCTGCCATGCATTTGCTCCAAGTTGCCTCCTGCCATGCAGCAATATGTCATCCATGCCACAGCACATCTGCAGTTTGTGCAGCGCTAACTAGGGTTGGTCAGCATGGTCAGGATGTGTTAGAAGGGAATGATCTGGTCATGCAACATATTGAGCAGTGCCAGGTGTGCAGAAGTTGGGGGAGCATGTGCCCATACCTGTGGCATGCAGATAAATAATGACGGGAAGTCGGCTCGAAGCAGACACCGGTTTGACGATGCGCAACGGGACCCATGCCTGTGAGCTTTCTGCCTCTTCTGACCTGTACTCGAGCTCCTCCACGTGATACTCTGAGTCAACACAGCCACAGCTGTCAGCACTGGCGAGGGATTGCTTGGTTTGGTCTGAAGTATTCTGTCATTAGAGACAAAGATAGGTCGTTCACCTTGAGAAGAGGGCACAGAAAAATTGTCGTCATCCCGAATCGGGAACGTTGCATTACTTTGAGGAATTCTATCCTCTTGGGGCCTCTTTGCCTTTCTCACCTGGTCCCACAGCAAAAATGTGAGTACTCTTTCTTGGCATATTGAGAGGTGATGAAAAGCGTGAAGCAGGAGCAGCAAAGGCTTGGAAAACTTGAGCCCACCTGCAATGCTGGTTTTGTGCGCCCACGAGACACTGCTTCGTGCAGGATCGTACGCATGCGCTGCTGCCTCGTGAGCAGATGTGCTGCAGGCATGACTCGATCCTGTCGATGACGTTGAATGTTCCTGGCCACAAATAGACAAAGAGAACACCTTTTCAGAAGTTAATGGCTGAGTCTTCGAGTAGATATCTATAAGGAAACCGGTCCAAGAAACGAATGAGTACTTTTCTACAGGACTAAAACGTGGAGATCGTTTGTGAAGAGAATTGAAGAGATCTCTTAAACCAAGTCAAACACGATATCAGTGTACGAAATAATACAATGAAAGCCGGATCTGTCTTAAGTTGCTCAAGGATCTGTCACTCTCACAACAGGGGTCTTCAGATCCCTGTGAACATGAAACCCTCACGAGATATATATATCGATCGTTCGCGCAGTTTCCATCAATGCTCAATGCAGTGCTTCAATCACTGTCGTTGCAAGCGGCAAGGCACAGACATGATGAATATTAAGCATCGATGAGCTCGCAATGCGAGCGATGATTATTATATAGTTTTCAAACTGACTTGTCTGCTGCAGCCCTGGTAATACTGTACAGTGATTCGCAATAGTTGGTGTTGTGGGGCCATCAGCCGCCATTGATTAGTTTTAGCCAAATATGAGGGGCAACCCGATGATTACAAAAACTGAACGAGGGGGTATTGGATGTATGAGGGCCAACGATGGTGGTCTCACAACCCACAAGTCTGTTTCAATAGTTGCCCTCTTGTTCGTCAGTATTTTGCTCTTCTCCTGCCAGCTTATCACCAGGTGGTGAGCGGCGTTCACCAGTGAAGAGATTTAAAAGGCCGATCTGAGCCCTTACAGGCGGTAGCAGAACCTGCTACTTTTGATGATTCCAATCTGAGAAGGCGAAAGTCTGAGGTGGAGGGAGTAGAGTACTTTGCATGAATGAGGTGCAGGCGACTATTGAGAAATGGCCGATGATGACCAGATTGATCTCCCTAGCAGAACTTCTGCTCTGAGGGTTCTTACACTTGATCTGAGGGCCTTCTACAATTCATTACCTAGAAAATTTATAATTCCATTGACAACCTGGAAAAGTTTCCTGCCTTAATCAGCCTGTAATGTTATCATTCGGTTCTGTTGCCTGCTTGGCAGCCTTTGCTCGTGCCCTTTTCTTCTCCCTCTTGGTCTTCTCTTTTGCTCTGTGCTCAGCATCATCCATGTGTTGCTGCTTCTGGCGCAGCTTCTTGGCCCTTTTCCTTGCTCTTCTCTCTTCCTCTGAAAGCCCTGCCTCCTCGTTGGATCTGTGCGTATCCAGATTCTCACTGCCCTCCCCAGATCCAGTAGCTATCACACGGTCACCTACAGGTTGCTCTGAAGGTTTGCTGCTTGGGCCGTCTCGACGCTCCTCATGTTTCTGCTTCCCTGCAGCCATATTCCGCTTGGCAGGAGCCAGAGAGCTGACTGCTTTGAAAGCTCGCAGCACCCTTGTGACTGTGCCCACAGGACGCCTGTCATCCAAGCCGCTGCCACTGCTCTCAGGCAATGCAATGTTCTTTTGTGCGGCCAGCGCCGCCGACGCCGCATGCTGCAGGATGGACTCTCCGTCCACAGCTGCAGCCTCTGCCTTCCTCAACAGCTGCGCCGAATTGCAGGAGACACCTTATGATCTGCAGGATCCTTTTAATTGACTTTCAGGACTCCAGTGGCGGCCACAGCAACTGGGAGACTAGGAACCATGTACTTTTCCTGCATTACAAGGATTCGGCACAAGCATCTTCACCTCCGTCTCATCCTCATCATTGACTGGTGGCCTGCCATGGCCAATTCGTTGAAGAGGTGCCTTGTGCTGCTGGGGCTGCAGCTTGCGATTAATTCCTTGTGCCTTAAACTTTGCCGTTCGGGGAGTCGTTTTGAAGAGCTGGACCTTGCTGCTGCAGCACATTGAACAGAATATTGACACTGGGACAGAGCAGAACAAGCATCCATTGACAAGGCAATAGCGCTGAAATGCACACCTGTCTTCATCCTCGGCGGGAGTGGGAGTGTTCTGCAGGACAGCAAAAGTACCCAACTTCTGCTCAAAAGCGCTGTCAAGCCGCTGCTCTAAGGCTTTCCGGAGCTGTCACATTTGATAGCAGCAATTCAGAAACAAAAAGACATGATAGAGTTTGAATATTTCACATGGAGCAGGCACTTGGGGAGCAAAGGGAAGCACTGCAAGGAGGCAAGGACCTCACCGTTTGCTGGAAATGCTCTGGCAAAGACTCTTCCCCTTCCTCTGCAGTATTTGTGGCTTTTGTAGTTCTTCCTTGTCTTCCTCCATCAATCTGGGGTGCAATATTGGTATCAGCTTGTTTCTAGTACACGGGTCGATCTGCCTTGCTATATCACAGAATCGAGACGTCTTGTCCATATCTATTTCTGTTTGATGGTGATGCTGGACCTTCGAGGATTTGTGCCCACGTTTCTTCGTTAGATCTTCAAAGCTGACAGCGACAGCTTTAAATGCTGCAAGGTCTTCCTCGTCTGATGATGTTTCGAATTGACGGTGGTTGATGCCCATCTTGTACGATAATGAAACAAATTCTGATGGATCATCTGTTCATGTGAGAGGCATTTTTGGGCCCTGCAGTGCGACTCTTGTACTAAACGACAAGCTTTGTTTCGACTGTCCTGAGACACCTTTCCCAACTTTCAAAGCTGAGTGGAACGAGGGAACCTATCAGACATTACTTATTGCCAAGGAGATTGACAAAGAGGAGAGGGGGCGAATGACTCGTAGGAACCTGGAGGTAAGCAAGAACACGGTGTTCCCATCTCCCCCAAAGGACATGCAAGAACATACAAGGCACTGCGAGCGCCAAATGCAACTGGACAAGTGATTAATTTTGAACAAAAACACAAAATAGTGAGGAGCAAAACAGGTGAAGGAACCTGGAGCTTGCTTGGAAGGGACCCTAGAGGTGCTGGTCTGGCCCTTCAGAGGCATGGATGAAGGAATGAATTTACAAGAACCCAGGCTGAAAAGCTCAGGTGGATGGTGCATTACAAAAGAGATGCTGAGGTAGCTGCTGTTGCTGCTGAGAGGCCCAGCCATATTTTACAAGCCAGCCAGTTGGCTAGAGCTAGCCTAGCAGTGCCCGGGCCTGCATGCACACGGCCAAGCTGGGCTGCCAACATGCAATGTTCAACTCAACTTTGCAACCCATTGCTCGCTGCAGTAACTTGAATTATTAAAAGTATTCAGTTCTACACACGGCACCGTGCAGTCATATCAGTGCAGGAGTTGAGGACAGCTAGCGGCCATGATGAACTTCTTGAAGAGCACATGCGCTTTTCAAAAAGTCCCACAGCAATGACATATGTGCACTGGCTCAGATATCATTGATCAGAGATGATCCACCAAAGGTACCGCGACATTCTATACAACCACGACATGTCCATGCTCGGTAGTACAGTATCATGATGATTGCCATGTGGAATCAGCTCAGGACAAACACCTCATACTAGCCACCGCATGCCTACCATGCATGCCCTGCATCTTCGTGGCAGTCCACAGTGTGCACAATCCATTAAGCTATCTGTAATGACCAACGATGACCCAGAATAGATGTTACCAGTCAACTGAATCTCATTTGAATTTCATCTCATGAGATTATCGTTCGCTCATGTGTTCTTTCCTAGCCACCTGTGTTTGCAAATGTAAAAAGAGCCTGGGACGCTCACCAGCCAGCCCTCAAAGAACTCTTCAAGCCCATATGTTCTCATCCCAAAGATGGACTGTACGCTACAAAACAGTTGCGCATGCTCTGCCCAGCTGACATTGAACCCATCATCCCTGTTGTTATCACCGTGCACCAAGTACCCAGTCCACAGTCCTCTTTCAGCTGTTGCACAGGCATTAAAATTCCCAAAGGGGCCATTTGGCTGGACGTTACAAACCTCACAGCCTATTCACGCCTGAGGCACGCTCTGACGCCTAGTCTGAGGGGTCGGGGCTGTCGCACAAGCACTGGATAATTCCCAAAATGTGCCTGGACGCTAAGATATCACCTGATTATACGCCTGAGGCCTAGAACAGTCTATTCGGAGGGCTCGGGGCTGTCGCAGAAGGAGTTGGGGGCGGGCGATGGCTGCGGCGTGGGCGTGTGTAGGAAAACGCGCAGGTGCGGGCAACAGGCGCGCAGGCGGGCAGGCGCGGATGCCGGCACCTCGCTGTGCTGCGCGTCCAGCGTCTCCAGCTCCGCGCAGCTGCAGAACGCGCGCTCCAGCAGCTGCCCCGGCAGCACCCTACGCGCGGCAGATAACCCTCCGTCATGAACTGCTTGCTTGTGCCAGAAGTGCGCGATAACGTCCCAGACATCCCGTCACTGTGGCTGTGAGAGAATGGACTTGTCTGCGTTCATGACTACCACAATGAAGAACCGCCGGGTGGAGAATTTTGTAGACCTAGGACAGCTGCACACTGGAGGTTGTTATAGGGGAGCGCACTTGCAGGCCTGGACGTAGGCGGTGAGGAGGGCGGGGCAGCGCAGCTCGAGGCAGCGTAGCTCGGCGGTGTTGTTGACGTCCAGCGATGTCAGCGACGGCAGCGCCAGAGCCAGGCTACGCACGCCCGAGAGCCCGAGTCGCAGCGTTTGCAGCCCTGCAAGCACACACACCCCATGCCAAACTCACTAAACTTACTTAACTTACGCCACTTCCTTTGCACTGCCCAACACGTGAACCCCTTTCGGAAAGCCCACCAGGCCACTTCAAATCCACCTCAACTCGCGTGATGTACAGTCCCCTGACCCTCCAGAGCATCAGTTTCGTATTTGTTAAGATGCTGATGCCCAGGACATGCAGCAAGAGGCTCACTCCTTACGATGCACAGTAAATGGATTCTCCCTCTTGGATTCACCCGGGCAGATCTGAGATGCTGACAGAAAAGGGTGAGCGGCAGAGAGACACTCACCAGAGACGGAGACAGGGACCTGGGTCCAGGCGGTGTCGGAGGAGGAGGGGGGCGAGTACATGTTGGCGGAGAGCAGGCGCTGCTGCGTGTCGGCGTCGGCGGGCGACGCCGGCTGCAGGCCCAGCCAGCAGGAGCGCAGCTTCTTGCAGCCCACCGCCGACAGCGACTGCAGCGCCAACGTCGCCGCCCCCGCCGCGTGCAGCCCGCCCCATATGTCCTGCGTCGCTCCCGCGCACCCGTTTATTGCCAGCACCTGCGCATCGGTGCACCCCACTCCTGTCACTCACTTGTTTTGTGCGACGCCACATTCCTTCCGCAGACCCCAGAATGTCGACATGCGCAGTAGTAACAAATCCCCATCAGGCAAGTGCTTACATGTCAACTCATGCAGTCGTGAAGAACTTCCCCAGACTGAATTTTCTTTTGGAAGTTGCCATGTAACACGTCATTGTCATAATACTGCACGGCCGACGCATTTCAACTGGTTAATGCTACATGTGGGCATGCCCTTTTGAAGCACTGTACGAGACAGTTGGACCTTTGGGTGGACGGCTCTGCCAAAGGGCAGGGCATGAGGTTACCAGGTTGATGGGCGGCCATACCTGGAGGGTGGAGCCTCTGGAGATGACGTTGGAGAGGACGCTGGTGGAGAGTGAGCAGTAGCTGACATCCAGCTCCTTCAAGCTGGTCAGCGCGTGCCACCTCTTCGCCGCCTGCACACCACGCCAGCACACCTTTTACAGTGTGACCTAGAATTCCCAAAGCTGGGGATAGGTGGTGCTGTCTGATGCTGAAGAGCGCTGACATCAAAGGAACAATGTGCGCTTTGGACAACTGGGAAGGACTCCAAAGCATTCTTATGCATGGCTTCCAGATTGGAGCATGGCAAGAGCTTGGCCAATCTGAGGCTCTGGAGCAAAGACAGCAAAGGGAACGCACGCGCACCTTGGACTGGGAGGGCCCCGAAGGGGACACGGCGTCGTCGGTGTCCATGCTGGCGGCGTGGCGGCTCTCTACGGGCGGCAGCAGCGCGTTGAGTGCGTCCTCGCGCAAGCACGCGCACGACGACAGCTTCAGCGTCTCCAGCCCCGGGCAGGCCGCAAACACCAGGTCCAGATCCTGCACACCCAATCAATCATCAACATCAAGTTTGTGGCATTAGACAGGCCTTGCACGGCTTACACACCCCTGCTACGTTGCTTCTGAGTCACCCCACTGCCTGCCCTGCTGACAATCACTTCGCACCACAAAGAGTCTTTCCGTTTCTGTTTGGAAACACCGCCCACTTGATGGTGCGACGTCTGCACAAGGGGCGCTTCTCTCGCCAGAACGAGGAGAAGGGGCCAGAAAGGAGCGGGCTGGGGGAGGCATGCACGGCAAGTGGAGGCGTGTCCACCCCGTGTGCTTGTTCTGCTGGGATTCCAGTGACATCCATTTGCACACTGGCGTCCAGATGAACCAGGAGGCGTGCCTGGATCTCGGTGTAGGAGAGGTCGAGGAGGCGCAGGGTGTGGAGGGTGCCCAGGGCCTCCAGCGCGGCGCCGTCTAGGTGGGAGCAGACGGAGAGCACGAGGGTGTGCAGCGGCGGCGCGCTCTTGACCACCCAGGCCAGCGCGCTGCGTCCCAGGCGCCCGCAGAAGGTCGCGTCCAGGCACTCCAGCGCCGGACAGTCCAGCACCAGCGACGACAGCATCCCACAGCCCCTGCCACAGCCATGAGCGATGTCAGGTCTTGTCAGACCTTCTTCATCCTGCTAAGATTGATCCCTGCAGTAGGACATCCACCGACATCCCAAAACACACAATTGGCCATGCCACAACGACCAGGTTCCCAAGGAAACTGCTTGGTCGGAAGATGCAATACGAAATCTGGGTGGATGGCTTCCTTGGTGTGAAGACCAGAAAAGTTCGCCGGAACTTGACTATACATCCTCTTTTGGACAAAGGAGGGTTCAGCAAAAAAAATTTGCATTTAACAGTGATCATGAGTGACTGTATGAGTGGGCCACTAGCAGGTGGGGAGCTGGGCGCACTTGAGGTCAAGGGTGCGCAGGACGGGGGCGTTGAGGGCGAGGGAGGTCAGGTGCGGGCAGGTGCCCAGCGACAGGCTGGTCATGCCGATGGCTTGCAGGTCGATGCTCAGCAGGTCGTTGCACTCCTCCAGCTGCCGTGCACACCACACCCACCTCAGCAATTGTAGAAATGTCGATTCTTAGTTCCCGCAGTAAAGGGCCCCACAAAGGTCCTTGCAGGACCAAGTGCTAGAAGTAATGAACAAACCCATGGGATAAACCCAGGCATAAATAGGTAGGGCAAAGAATGGCAGCGGTGCACACACCTGGAGGACCTGCAGGGAGGGGCAGTTGAGGACGAGGTTCTTTAGGCCGCGGCAGTTGGCCAGGCTCAGGCGCTCAATGCTGGAGCTCACCAAATTCGCCTTCTTCAGCCCGCTGCAGTTGTGCAGGCTCAGGCACCTGCACTCCACCCACTCTCATTATCAATTCAGCCCTAAGACACAAGCCCAAGGTGCGCTTTCTGGATCACAGGCCCTCACACGGGCGGTGCGCCACTGCGCCATTGGATGCAAGACAGGGCGCAAAATGTAACTCCTTTGCCCTGTGTCCTAACTCACTATTTTATGGCTCAGAGGGTGGCATAAGGATATATCCGGCTGTGAGGGGAGTGGCTTAGAGAAGTCCATTCAGGCACAACCAAAAGAACAGAAAGGCATTCACTGTGAGTCTGACACACGCAGAAGGATGTGTCAGGCAGCAGCATGCCCTCACACCCTGATTCCAAGAGCACTAACTGCAAGTCTAGGCGGAGGTGTGGAGGTGAGGAGGAGGACTCTAATGATACAGACATTCCAAGATTAATCAGAGCGAGTTTAATTAGGAGGGAACGCACCGCAGACGGGGGCAGCCGCCACGCAGGGGCAGGTGCGTGTAGCGGGGGGGCAGCTGCTGGGTGGGCAGCGTGCCGTCGCCAAGCGTGCGCAGCACCTCATCTCCTAGTAAATCACAGGACTCGAAGTGTGCCTCGCGCAGGTAGGGGCAGGCCAGGATCGCGTGCTCCAGCGAGGGGCATGCGCGCCAGACCAGCTTGGTCATGGCGTTGGAGGCCAGCACCACCCGCTTCAGCACCTGCGGCTTTCTGACCTCCACACCGCCCGCCGGGGCGACACCCTCTATTGCGCGCAATGAGGAGCTTGCCTCCGCGCCCAGCTCCACATTCTCCAGCCACAGGCACTGCAGGTCCACCTGCGCATGCAACCTGCCTGTCAGCATCCCTGCATCCCACTAACGGTGTACGTCAACCTATTGTTGACTGAGGTGCAGCCCTGAGTCTCACAAGGTGAAGGAGGAGCGACGAGAAATCACTGCAGGGAATGGGTCTGTTGCCATACCATTGCCGTCAATTCAACAACAAGAGCGCATAGCAAAGTTCTCAGAAAATTGACTTCTGCAGCGATAGAGCGAGCAGCGGGGGTGGCGCACGGTTGCGAGGGCGCGGCAGTGGCGGAGGGAGATGCTGCGTAGGCGCGGCAGCGACAGTGTGAGGTGCGTGAGCAGGCCACAGTGGTCCAGGTTCAGCGACTCCAGGTTGGTCCACCGCTCCAGCGCAGGCACCTGACAGAAGCTCAAATTCAGATGCTCAAATCTAGATCAAAGGCTGCGAATCGCCCATTGTGGGGAGCTTCCACCAGGCAGGGAAGGCCCAGAACCGGCACCAGGAGACCATACCCCGCTTGCTGCGCATGCTGCGCAAGTGCACGGGATACGCAGCAAATTCCACCGACCACATCACCACAACCCAGTGTATATTCTTGCGCAGACACTCCTCAATAATGCAAAGGCCCTCGATGGTCTCGTTGGGATGACAGCATTTGCATCTTGAAAAGGTGAGTAACCAGCACTTTATAGAGGTGAGAGAGGACAGACAGGAGCGCACCGCGGTGGCGGGCGCGATGCAGTCGCAGCTGCTCAGGTCGAGGTGGCGCAGCTCTGGGAAGCCCTGCATCGCGTTCAGTGTGAGGCCTGGGCAGCCGGCCGCGCGCAGGCTCGTCAGGTGCACGCATGCTAGGCCCACCTGCACCACAATTCACCATAAGAATCTCTTGTTGCTTCTCTGACACCTCATAAACACTGAACTCTCACTACAACGAGAGTATGATCGCTATACAAGCGCAAGTGCATGCGCAACATGACATCAAGGTGATTTGTCATTGCATGGGGGTGTGTACAACTACAACTTTTGGCACTGCGGAGTTGCAAAATACTTTGTCCGAGCCAGGCCTCTTTTCCACGCATCCTTGCCATGCACGCTGTCACAGGGTGCCCAACCAAGGGGTTACCCGGTAACGTAGGACCACAAGAACGCAGATACTGGCAAGCGGGGGCGCGTACCTCTCGGAGGGTGTCGTCAGACAGCGGGACGCTGTAGCTGACGTCGAGGGACTTGAGCATGGTGAGGCGGGTGAGCGCAGCGCGCAGGCCCACGTCGGCGATCTTCTGGCAGTCGCGCAGCTCCAGGGAGGCCAGCGCGGGCGTGGCAAAGGCCAGTGACAGGAAGGAGCAGCTCTCGATCAACAGCTCGCGCAGCGCCATGCAGCGCACCACCAATCGGCTGCCGCGGCACTTTCGAAGCACCAGCCTCGGCAGCGTCGCGTGCGACAGGAGCACCTCTGTCTGCGCGCACACACACATGTGCTCAGATGCACAAAAGACAATGTGTTGTGAGACAACGGCACGCACCGATTGCACCCATATTCTTGCTTGTATAAAGCTCCTCCCTGTTGGAGGGAATTTGTGAGAGCTATCTACAGGTACATGTGGTTGAGAGCGGCGTAGAGATATTACCATGCTGGAGCGGCCGTGTGGCCAAATGACTCTTTGATTTGTCCTCCATTGTTGCAATAATACATGCTTTCCTAGACTTGACACGGGCTTGCTGTCTGCTAGCTTTCCGCTGAATAGGTTTTTGATCAATAGTATACCGACCCCGGGGGCTTGTGATGGAGATAACCCACGAGCCAAGTGATCGCAAAGGCAAATCTACCTGATGTCGATTGGCCAAAAAAAAAGTTGTTGTGAGACATTGCTGCGCACGGACTGTACCCTTATTGCTGCTCGTGTAAAGCTCCTCCCCATTTGTTTTGAGAGGGAGCTATCTACAGGCATGTGTGATCAAGAATGGCGCAGAGTTATTACCATGCTGGAGCGGCCGAGGTCGGCTTGAGAGACACTCCACTGCTGTAGGGATGGAAGGTTGGTGTGGACTTGCAACAGCTCTGGTTCGCTGAGGCAGCCTCCTCCCATGCTCAGCTCCCGCAAGCTGCAGGGCGCAGAGGTTGCCTCACACTCCACTTGACCGGTGAACTGAAAGAGCTCTTGCTGATCAGGACTCTGGCCAGAAGGCGCTGGAGAAACTGGTGGAGCCAAGCGTACCTTTTGAGGCACACGAGGAGCGCCAGCAGCGAGCGTGCTGTCTGTTGGACGCCTGTGATATTGAGCGAAAGGATATGGGGATGCCTCTTGACGATGCCCAGCAGCTGCATGCACACAAGCGGGTATTGAACGGTGTCTTACTGAGAAGGACTTCACATGCGCCTTATATTGTCCTGCCCCCACGGAAATGGCAACTTGAACTAGTGGGCTGTCGGTGGAAGCGTTCGTGTAATTAAACACCCCCACCCTCTCCTCCCCAAGATGATGCAACAACATACGTTATGCCTGTGGCTGGCTACAACATTTGTGCAGCCAGACAAAGACATGCACATTTGGGCACGCTGACATTTCATGTGCACATGCAAAGCAATCCCAAACAATCTGACTTCGTAGGTTCGTCCCCATGACAAGGTCAAGACGCAGACAGAACGCGTGCCTCCTCTTGTCGAATGCTCCGGTGCTGGAAGTCCAATGTCCTCCAAAACTCGTCACTCTCCGCCACTGCATACCACTGCTTGCACGAGGCTCCGACACGAATGAGATCCGGCAGGTCGAGTTGCGAGAACAACAATCTGAGGATGTCTGGATTGCGGAGCACCCCCTCGACCGCATCACCGCTTGAGGGCGCAAAAACCGGGACTGCATTCATTTCAGTATCCATATGAGCAGGAGCGGTCATTGTTTTGTTGACACTAAGACTAGAGCCTATTGTCGAGAGCAGTGATGATTCTTGAGGCTGATGAAGCTAGGGTTCTCGATGTTCGGAACCCACAGACAAGGGAATTGAATGCTACCCCATTGGAATTTGTGGCCCGGTTGAAATTTCATAGAAAGGTATTCTTGTTTGGGCCTGTCGACACCTGCCGCCATGTCGGTTTCAATGCGCCCCTCCGCCTTCTGTGGCAGCCGCAACATGACTGCCAAGGTGAGTTGGGTTCTGAGGAGTGTTCGGCTGGCATCTAGGTTTGCGCAGCCACTGTTCTTTTTGTTTGTTTTCGCGCGTTTCTATTTCGAGTCTTCCGTTAAATTTGACGTGCGCTTTTCTGCAGGCCAACTACGCCGTCCAGCCCGTGGTTGTACGCGCCAACCGCTCGCAGGTGGGAATTGAGAGAATGGTCTCTCACGTGAACCAGGGGTTCACGTGGACAAAAGAGCAAGCTGTGATCTTTTGTCGAAGAAAATGTCCAAGGGGTTACGTTGTAGCGTTTCGTCATAGTGATTACGATGGTTTTGCCGCCAGAGGCTCTGTCGATGCACCTTCTTCCAGAACAATGATTGATCTGACCCTTCATATTTGCTGTTTCTGCTGCAGAGGCGGAGGTGTTGCATCGTCATCAGTGCTTACGCACAGAGGGCTGAGTACATCTGGTGCGCCTGTGCTGCTGCCCGTTAAATTCCAGTGTCTGCACCTGGCTCAAGTGATCTCAATGGATGTCTGGCTCCCAAGCACGCTGGCTGGGCAATCTCAATCATGGACAGAATGCATCTGTGTATTATAAAGATTGCCAGTTTATTGCTTCCTTGTTGCCAACAGGGCTGATGGTCTGGAGGGGAGCCCCGCCAAGGTGAGGGTCCTTGGCTCAGCACCAGGCAACAGTCAATTTTTATTGCTGCAGTGATAGGACTGATGTGTACTGCATTACTGATCTTCTCACTAATGGCGACTCTGTAGGTATTGAACTTTTATTTTACCATCCCATGCTTGATGCAGGGCACCGTGTTCAACGAGATGCGCTCCAAGACAAAGGTCATCCAGCAGCCGATCACCACCTTCGAGCCCAAGGACTTCCCCGACTGGTCATTCGATGGCTCCTCCACCGGCCAGGCCGAGGGCAACAACTCCGACTGCATCCTCAAGTGAGCCGCCCAGCCCTTGCTTGCACTAATGCCCGTCGCTCTTGAGTACAATATTTCTGCTTGCCGCGGTTGATGATAGACTGACAGAGCATGTGTGCCTGCACTGCAGCCCCGTGGCGGTCTACCCCGACCCCATCCGCGGAGGAGACGACGGTGCGCTCCTCAGCTTTTGTAAATGTATATGTTCACTTTGTTTGCGCTACAATGCTCTGACCATCGTTGTTCACCTGCATGTCCCCTGAGGCCATTTCTATCCGTCTGAGGGTGCTTGTGGTGGCGCTGCAGTGCTGATTGTGTGCGACGTGCTCAACCCGGACGGCACCCCCCACGACACCAACACCCGCGCCCAGCTGGTGGAGCTCCTCACTCCAGACGTGGTCGCGGAGCAGCCCCTCTACGGCTTCGAGCAGGTCCGTGCTTTCTCCTCCTACACCTCTCCAAAGACACCCAATTCACCTCGCAGTGACTGTCTCTTGCACCGGTTCAGAGGTGCTTGTCCTGACGGTTTCCTGCATCAACCCAGAGATGCTTGTCCTGCACTGAATGAGAGGTTCTAGTATATTGTGTGTTTTGCATGGACCCAGATATGTTTGTCCTGAATGTCTCTTGGCCTGGCCCAAAAACGTTTCATTGAATGACCCTTGCACTCATTCAGAAACACCTGTCCACAGGTGGTTCTTGTGTGATCGCCTGGGGCATCTTGTGACGGGGGCATGTGTGCGAGTGCAGGAGTACACGATGCTGAACAAGTCTGGGCAGGTGTACGGCTGGCCCAACGGCGGCTTCCCCTTCCCCCAGGGCCCCTTCTACTGCGGTGTCGGCTCAGAGTCCGTCTATGGCCGCCCCCTGGCCGAGGCCCACATGGACGCTTGCATCAAGGTCCTTCTTCTCCCTTTCTTCATGGACCCACACAATGAGAAATATGTCTCACAGGTGTCATTGCAGAATTCTGCAGTCAGATCCTGCATTGCACACGTCCTGGTTCCTGCAAACTGCCCTAGCTTCGCAATCTTCCAGAGTGGAAGGCAGATACCTTCACTAGAATTGTGGATTACTACATATGATTGCATTGCCAGTGCTGGCCACAGAGCAGCCGTTGTCAACTGCCTGTGCAGTATTCCCAGCGACCACCTGCGCTCTCAGCAAGCTGTGGGATATTGTGTCTGACGCCAGAAAGTTTCGACTGCAGGCGGGCCTGATCATCAGCGGCATCAATGCTGAGGTGATGCCTGGGCAGTGGGAGTTCCAGATCGGCCCCGTGGGCCCCACCGAGGTGGGTGACCAGGTCATGGCCGCCCGCTGGCTGCTGCACCGCCTCGGAGAGAACTTCGGCATCGTCTCCACCTTCGCCCCCAAGCCCGTCAAGGGTGACTGGAACGGTGCGCCCCCTTTGCGCACCTTGCAATTCCCTTGAAGCCATAAGGCACCAGCTGAACCTGAAACACTTGGAAAGAGCGCACGTGATAGGATAGGACAAGCAGGCACGCATAGACAGGGATGGCTCGGGTATTGGGGCACCCAGACTTGTTAAGTATTGAGAGACAGGACATGGGCAGAAATAGCTTCACCTTCATTCAGGCAGCATCGTGTTCAATGCAACGCGAGCTCAGCCTGCACAAGTGCCCAGGGAAAGCCAAAGCCGCGCTGCATTTGTGCATCTCAAGGACTAAGAGAGCTGCTGGCGTGCAGGCACTGGCGCGCACACCAACTTCTCCACGGAGTCCATGCGCAACGAGGGCGGCATGAAGGCCATCCTGGAGGCCATCGAGCGCCTGTCCAAGACCCACCCCGAGCACATCAGCCAGTACGGCACCGGTGAGTCCTCTCACCCGCTCCTCACCTGTTATTGTGACCCCCCTCAGTACATACTGTCGTGCTTTGAACATGGGGGGACTGTGTGGGCTTGACTTGTTTCCTTGTTTGGGTGTCATGCTGGAGGACAGTGTGGGTTCTACTGGGTGTCATGTGGCGCGGTGTTGATGCTTGCACCGTGTCATTAAGGAAGTGGGCGTTCTTGTCTTGTGGGATAAGGAAAGGCGTCGAGGAATCCATGTAATGGGTGCGGTGTTGTGCAGGCAACGAGGAGCGCCTGACCGGCAAGCACGAGACGTGCGACATGAACACCTTCAGGTATGGTGTGGCTGACCGCGGCTCGTCCATCCGCATCCCCCTCCCAGTCCAGGTAAGCAGCCTTCCACTTCCTTCTTGAGCAACTGCCAATGATAGCTGGTGCATGCCTGGTTTCCTGCTGCATTCTGATGTTGTTCAGGAGCGTGTGGGCCTGACATGTGCTGTGTGGCTGTGCAGCTGAAGGGCTATGGCTACCTTGAGGACAGAAGGCCTGCTGCCAATGTGAGCGCTCCTACCTGCATCACCCGTCTTTTGCCACAGTAGTCTGTCTTGGTTCATGTGTTGTGGTCCTTTGTTTTCTGTCCTGCTCCGCAATTTCAATGCACCAAAAAGACTGCATGTGAGGCCCAAGGATTTGTTGACATGCAATGTGAGATTGAGATCCTTTTGTGTTGCAGGTGGACCCTTACACTGTGGCGCGCCTTCTTATCAAGACCATCCTCAAGTGAGACCACTGACACCGCCGTCACGGTGACAGATTAAGAGGATGCGGATATTCCTTTGAATACTAAAGAGAATTCCTTGGCGCAGAAGGCGCTCTTAGAGCAGCTCCACATCGCGAGCAATTGTCCCAGGCCTGTTGCTTTCTGCTCAAAGAATTGTTGTGTTGCAGATATGCTGTTGTCTTGTTGCGAACTGCCTCGAGCCTGCAGATCTCTGTTTTCCTGTTCTGGAACGGTTTTTGGCGTCGGCAGTGAACAAAAATCTGTGCGAATGCCTTCCATTGAGCTTTGAGAGAACATTGCCAGCACTGCTAGCAAGGTTGTACCTAGTGTGGTCCTGAGAAGAGCACTGTGTAATTACAAGCCGTTGTTCTTGCTCATTTACTGCAAAATCCCCACGCAACATGTTTGGCATGCACCACATACAGGACGCATTCTCTTCTTGCTGGCAACTTCACAATCTCCTTGCATGTTAGCCTGTCCCACGCACTATGGGATTAGTCGCACAGGTGCAACTTGACTAATTGTCAACAAAAACTCACACAACCTCGCTGTGCTGGGCAGTAGGGTGAAACCTTCAGGAATAGAAAGGAAGCAGAAAAAACCTGCATTGAGCCTCCAGGTAACTTGAATTAAATGTCCATAAGAGAAACTATCTACCAAAAGTTGCACAGGGCATGAGCAGGCTGTCAACTATCTCGAGGTTCCATGAAATGAGGGCACGCAAACACATCACTCAGAAACATTCTGCTCTTATCGCTCACCTGCATAAAACAACTGCCACAAAAAGAACCACTACAGGTGAAAAATCGCAAGCACTGCTGCCTATCTACCCAGAACACTCCTCACGCAGCAGCAGACACCGGGAAGGGTGGCGCCTGGCTGCGCTTATCATCCCGGGCCTGCACGGGCTGCGCAAATACAACAACAACGGTGCAGTCATCGAGCTTGCCGCCGCGCGGCTGCCAGCGCTTCCAAATCGGCAGCACGCCCGCCGCGGCCGCCTCCACAATGAAGGGCGAGCGGTAGCGGTCATCCAATGCATTCTTGCGCGCCGCCTGCGCCAGCGTGCGCGCCAGCGCCTCTGCTGTGAATGACGTCCTGTGCGGCTGCGCCTGCAGCAGCACCACCTTTAGCTTCAACTTTCATCAAGGGAAATGGGCATGTGATTGCAGCCGGCCACCTTGGCACAGTTTGCCAGCAACCAGATGCCATACTAGCCTAGGTGTCATTCTCCAGCACGTTCTTCCTGGTAGCATTTTCACTCATAATACAGTCGCTCATAACACAGAATCTGGGAGACGCAAAAAGAGACCTGCAGAGAACAGGGACCATGCCAATAACAGAGCAGAGCAAGTGGCATGCAGACCTTCGCGTGCACGTCCTTAGGTGGGTACAAGAGCTGGGCAGCATGCAACAAGGGAGGGTTGCAGGGACAGATTTGGACAGGTTACACGGAGCAATGCAGTGGGTGGTGGTTGCCAGAGAGCAGGGTGGACGAGGAGCAGACCTTGATGTGCTCCCGGACGATGCTCTCCAGCTGGGAGTCCCACATGTTGTCGAAGAGGCCGTCGCTGCCCAGCACCAGGATGTCGCCTGGCAGCAGGCCTACCTCGTACACATCTGCGTCGTCCGGGGAGTCCGCCTCGGGCCAGCGCACCTGGGACGCCAGCTGGAAGGGGCAGTTGAAGCTGTGCTGCTGGGCCTGCACATCATGATTTGTTCCTGTGACGGTTGATGGTGCATGCACTGCATGTAGCTTACTGTATCCCCACTGGGTAACGAATCTTACACGGCTGCGGGTGCATGCACTGCATGGAGGTGGACTTGAGAAAGAGAGGTTGTTATGGCTAGGGGCGCATACACGCATTAAGCTGGCTGTACAAGAGTAGCTATTCAGATGGTGGTGCATGTACTGCATGAAGCTTACTGTACAAGAGAGGCTGTTATGGCTGGGGCTGCATGCGCTGTGATATGCTGGAAATGAAAAAGAGCCCAGGAAAAAAACTTTCCAGGGAAAAAGTGGAGCACCTCGCTGGCAAAGATGCAGTCGCCCTGGCGGATCAAGCGGAAGCCACTGTCGCCAACGCTGGCGATCTGGGGCAGCCATGCACCACCGTTACAGCCTTAAAGAGTGCATGCATTTTTCCTGTGAAACGAAAAGAGGACTGCTATTGCGAAAGTGGACTTCATGTACATTTTGGAAACGCACACCTCACAGACATTGGGCGGGTGCATGACAGCCACCACGGCAGTGGTGGATCCATCTGTGTCATTGGTGTGGGTATTGGCATGCTTCAAGACACCCATCGCCCCCTGCTCAGACCCCAGCCCCATCTCCACTCCCTCCTGCGCGTGGCGCATCAGCTTCCTGGCACACACCACACCCTCCCATGTTATCACCCTTCAAGCCATCACGATTCTCGTGCGCCCATACACACGCAGGCTTGCTTCACAGAGCAAGATCCTGTCAAGATGTGCCAAAAACGCGTGGTTACACATGTCTTGAATTCAAGATGAAGCTGAGTTATTGGCACGTGGATGCTCTGCAATCACATGCGGGTCAAGATGAAAGGGTGTCAACACCAAGGGAGCCCAACACAACCAAGAGTCATCTACGAATCTCGTTTGCATGTGATAAATCCCCTGCTGCAAGGGATATTGCAAATAGATGTGAAGAGGCCCATGAGGTGTGCAAGCACCTGGAGTACAGGGCAGCGTTCACGCCGTCTTTCGCCCAGCCGCTGACGCCGTCTGCAACGCCCACAGCGCCGCAGAAGGCCGTGCTGGTGAAGAATGCATCCTCGCCCCCCGTCGAAGCCTTCGCCGGGTGAGGCAGGTTGATGCCTCCTGCCAGCAGCTCCAGCTGTGTGATGCTGGCCTCCTCTGCGCCTACCACTGTCTCAACTATCTCCATCTCTGGTCGTTCTGCGTAATGCCCGTTCATGCTCTTCCCGTTCATCATGTGCGGCTCTTCCTCTGCTGCGCCATTCCACATGCGGCTGGCAAGCTCTGCTACTTCCTCTCCCTCGCGCTGCCTCTCATCTGTCACTACCGTGTGTGGTGAGGCCAATGCCCCTTCTGCACCAGCACTGTCCTCAAAGCTATCGCTGGAGCTTGCAGCTGCGCCAGACTCTCTGCGCTGTTCCAGCGTGCTGTCATCTATACTTGCAGTTTTAGAAGGAGCGTCTGTGCTCTCTGCTGCGGCAGGGGTGTCCGGGGTCTGTCTCAGCTTGAGGCCGGCCAGCTGCGCGCGCATCTCCTCTGCTTCCAAGCTCATTGCATTATAGCTGTACAGTTCTGACGCCATCTGCCGCAGAGCCCTCAAGTTTTGCACCTGCTCAAAGCCAGCCATCCACACTCAACTTTGCCGATCTACTGCTGGCACAGGATTGAATTCGTCTTAATCACTGAGTGAACATGCCATACACCGTGGCATTGGGCAAGTAATATATTGTAGTCTTGCTGATGACTGGATGCCGCGCCATGATGGAAAGAGCCCAGTCTGCTCACCTCCTCTTTGACAATCCTTGCCCTGAGCTCTGTTGGAGCTTTCAGAATCCGCGCCTGTGCCTGATCAATCCGAACCTGTAGCTGATCCGCTATGCTTCTCTGCTGCAAGGCAGCCTCTGCGTCCAGCGCCTCTCCCAGTGAGACTGCATCAACATCTCGTTGAACGTCCTCGTCGGTGGTGGGCCGCTCTTTCTCAGTCCTGGCGCTCCTAAATGCAGATCATGCATGATGAGTGCATAGAGTTTCACGCAACGCCACCAGGTGGGGAGCTTCAGCCTGCCATCTGGCTAAATGGACAATGAGATGAAAGATGATCACAAGTAAACTCCGGCTGACCTTGCTGTCAACCGTTGCCAGGTTGCCAGGAGTAGAACTGCAGCACCAAGCAGTATACCCATAGCCAGCTTCGATGGTCCTGAGTCATTCTGCCTCGCTGGAGCGTCTGTTGTCACCTATGAAACGAACTTATTCGTTATCAGCGCAGACAGATGGTGAGAGACCGCAGTCTCTGCCTGATTTGTCAAGCGATATGCTGCCAGACAGCCATTGGTACACATGCTACAGGACGTAGCTGTAAGGCAAGCGACGTTGTGGAAGTCAAGAATTCATGTGCGATGTGTACCAGTCTGGTATCACCAGACAGAGGAAACATCACTTGATCAGGTGTACACAGGACGCTTCGCAATCAATACCTGCAGTACACTTTGCTTCTGTGAGTGACGATCAAACAATGTGAAGGGATTCTTGAACGACAGCCGTCGCACAGGCCTCTTTTGCTGGGCTCCCGGGTCTTGGTGCGCTTGGTGCGCCCAAACCAGATTTGGGGATGAAGCCCTCTGGACGCCGATGCCGCGATGCGTGCTGCTGAATGCAAGCCTCATCTTCACCTCACAACTTTCGCATGTTTTGCACAGATTATGTGGCCTTGCAAACGGTCAGCTCTTGGATCCAAATTTTTCGCCATCCCGCCATTGGCTGAGTCACAGAATCAGAAAAGAATAGGTTTCCCCCCTTAGGAAAGGGTGCGTTATAAATTGTAGCAGGGCTCGAAGCACCTGCCATATCGCAGCAAATATTAGAGTCTCTTGAGGTGATCGAGCCAGTCTGGGTTTCTCATCAGGGGGACTCCGCGGATCAGGGACATAAGGGGCACCTAGGACCGTCATGAGCCGGCTGGGCCGCTTACCCTGGAGATTGGCCACCAGGGCACTCTGCAGTCCCTGTTCAGTCCAAGTGACAGTCAGTGCACAGCCTCCCCTTCTGAGCAGGCTAGTAAGTGATCTGTTCTTATTGCCCATTCCAGGATATACCACGCCTTACTGCAGGTCATTGAAAGCCATCTCAATATTTTTTTGCGAGGTCCTGAGAATACCTGCTGGGACAGACATTTGTACCTTCCAGTGTATCCCTCGTAGATTGGTAGCGTTGTCGATCTTTGAGTAGCAGTGGAAGACCTGCAGACACACAGGGCCCCATCCAGGCCTGAAAGGCTTTGCTTAGGGCTCGATTCAGTGTGTCTCAAAGACGTAAACTTGTCTTCGGTAGGAGTGGGATTGTGGTGCTGGAGGGGTCTGTTTCTCTTTTATCTTATGTGCCTTACACTTTGAATCCATTCCCAGGAGGTTTTATGCAGCTGACAGCTGACACTGACAATGCCACATCCTTTCCTTGTCAAGTCCTGACCTTTTGGGAGTGTTGGAATACCTCAAGCCGGGCTGACGGTCATTGGGCAATGCTGCAGGCATCAGCGGTGCAGAGTATAGACTACAGGAGCTCCTGGCATAAGGAACTTCACACAACTGGCCCAACGTTTGCTTCGGGTGATGTGACCCTCGACCTGGAACATGCAACAGGTCTTGAGAGGTACGTACTTGTTGAACGTAATATAATTTTTCCAGCACATTTCGTGCTTTGGCATTGTGCATCCGTTGTTCTTCAGCAGTATGTATGGGAGCCTCTGGTTGTACAGGGCTGAAATGGAGGGGCAGCTGCACAACAAAGACATCTTCCATGAGGACTGGTACGTTCCACATGTTTGTATCTTGATAATGGTCGTCCCTATTACTCATGCCAGTGTCAGGACGTTAGTTGCTTCTTGTACCTTGATACTGCACATGCTCTGTCCACCTCGACAGTAGTATCTCTAGTTGTCCTCAGCTGAAGAATGCTGCATGTGTCATGTGCAGGCTGGATGCCCCTTTTGGCACAGAGGACAAACCCGTGGAGGTGACGTCATCATTCTCAGAGCGCATAGTGGGCGTGCCTGACCCCTATGATGACTCGATCATCTGGTGGGGCCACATTGAGGAGGGACAGCCACCCAAGCAGCTGGTGGAGGGCGGGGAGTTCTTTGTGTTGAAGCGTGTGGGAGGCGACAGCCACGGTCACTGATGAGGATACCAGCTGGGAGTTGCTGCTATTTGTAGGAGCACGATAGAGGCTGTCCGCCTGCGTCTGAGATTCAGACTGGGTCCTCATGCTTGGAAGTGCACAGTGTGAAAGGATAGCAGCAGACATGCCTACATTTTGCCAGAGTTTGCTGCAGATGCTCACTGCTCAATTTAAGATATATTCATCAGCCAGCAGTCATTCATCTTGCTCGAGCAGCATGTAGGAAATGGTCCCAAATTCAAAACTGCAACAACTTTCATGGCTACTATGAATGCTGAAGGGAAGAACAATTGCCAAAGTCCAGGCACTCTTCCCACTCAAAGTTGAATTTCAACCAGATAATAGATACAATTGCCGCCATACGGCATCATGCTGCATAGAATCAATCTATTAGACTGTGCAATCAGCCATGACATTTGAAAGGCACGTTGACTCACGAAGAATCACACGTGCAATAACTATCAATTTTATCACATACTGCAGCAACTGTTGCACACGTCAACCATTGCAACGGCAAGCCATGCTTCAGAAAGCATCATCCACTTAATAGGTGTTATTCCATGATGTACATAAGCAGCAGGCTTCCATCTAAAGTGGAACTCTGGAGATCTTGCGGGTCATCGTATTATACTGCACAACATTGATGCTGCAACTGTTTCTCAACTTTCACCAGTGCGAGCCATACTTGCGGCCATCTGGGCGTTTCTGGCCCTGAATGGTGACAACTATTGACCGAGAGCCCCCATAGTTCCTGTGCTCATTTAGATATAACCCTGCGGACGCATACTGAAATCTCTGAGATTGAACTGAGGGGTTGCTCCGCTGACATTAATTTACAGGGTTGCTTTTTTTTACTTCAAGAAACTGCTCCTCAGCAGAACACTAGAGCAGAAGACCAGCAAAGACTTTTACCTTGCCAAGTCCCAAGACCAAGTCGACCTTGCTGTACTGGGATGCTCAGACTGGGGCCCATGAGCGAAGACTGCAAGCAGAATTCGAGTCAACTTGCAATTCCACTATTGCGCTAGATAGCATGTTCACCGGGCCTCAACCTTCTTGCTTGGCATTAGGGCACCAAAGCACTGGAGGGGCTCTCAGCACGTCCTTATCCATGTGCTCACAATCAGATTCATGAATCTCACCTTCACATGCGCTGGCATGTCATCCAACCCTTCATCCAGATGTCTGTAATGATGTCCCTCCGGCACGATCTTGTCCAGCGCATCCTGCATAACCCCCATCAACAATCACAACACGAGGCAAGCCTGGTTGCCAAACACTAATCAGTGACAAAACACACATGCAATACGAAGGATGAAGTGCAACAGAGGAGATCGCAGGGAAGGAGGGACTGCATACATTGAGGTCCAGAGGAACATCAGGGCTGGCGTTCTCGTTGATAGTCAATGATGCACTGGTGTGTTGGACTGCAATGGCAGGTCATCGTTCAGTGCATGAAGGATCATCTCGTGGCGGTGCATCATCAGGCAAGTATTGAAGCGCAAATCACATTTGCGCTCTGCAATGAAGATCCACTGTACTTACTGAAGAAGTTTGCCATGCCAACCTCAAAGCTGCTGAGCTCGGGGACCTGCTGCATGATATGCCAGGTGATCACATGACAACCTCTGCTCATAGCTGGCAGTGTGACCGTCTTCTGGAACCTGCATGCATGCACTGCTTAGCAAGAAGCGGTGGTGGAAGCTTGTAATCATTGTAGCTAGTTTTTGGGGACTAGTCTAAGAGGGTATGCAGCGCGCACCACTCTGTCTGCACTGCAGCTGTGTCCACTGCTGATGCTTTCACTGTTGCACAGTACAGATGTTTCAGGCAAAGAACAACACAACAATATTACCAATCAGAATACAGAATATAGAATACAGACAGCTGCGAACCAGGCCCTTCCTCATATGAAAAGACCTACCTGAGACATGACCTCCCCTACAGCTGCGCCCGGATCCAGAGCTCTTTCGGACAAATCGAAAGCAATATGTGCATTTCCAACACAATCGGGGCCCCTGTCGAGCAGGAAGGGCAGAGGATCGTGCTGCAGATGAGCAGGGCACGGCTTGCCCTCGCGTGCGAGAGAGTCCTGCTGATGTCAAAAGTTGCATGTCACACCAGAAATATGAGGTTGTGGTTTTTTGACCCGGTGAATTGTCTCACAGTCTTGTGCTTCTTGATGCCCAAATTATTCTGTACTCACGCCGAGTGAGGCACAACATTCAGTATCGACGAAACCCTTGATGGCAGTATGTCCATATATTGCACACACAGCAGGTACTGAACACAAAATCAAGGGTGGATCTGAATGATCTGCCATTTCGGACGAGTACTCCAATATCATATCGACCCCCGCAAAGTCAACTCGGTGTTTGACCGCTTTTCATTTTGCTCTCCGCATATCAAGCGCACGTTGAACTCTTATTTCCTTTTCATACTATTATCCGTCCACTAAATTTGGTAGCTTCTCTTGGCGACTGTTCTTCTTCTCTCCAGTGACCATCTGGTTGTTTACAATCAGAGTGCCCACTTTCGATGATACTGATCTGTGGTAGACGTCCACAGTTTCTGAGACATTTGGATTTTTTTTGTCATCTACAGGAAACGATCGTGGGATCCAAGGAATAGTTGGCCAAAAATGAGCAGAATCCCAATATTTGGCACAACGATTGAAACGGATGCGATGTCTTTGGCACCAAATCCTTACTGTAATTATAGTGATTTGGAATCTGCATCTCGTCGAAGACTGCTGTATGAGGGGGCTGCCGCAGAAGTTGCAGACACGATGTTGGCATTTCTGAGAAGTCATAGGAAAGTAAGTGTCAGATTGTTTGTCTGAAAATCAAGAAATGATGAAAAAATTGCTTTTCGGATTATTTGAAGAGTTGATCTTGCTGCTGTCTCTTCAATCTCCACCGGGTGCAAACATCTTGTTACATAGCCATTTAATTGTACTCGCTTGCGCAGGGTGGCTTGGATCCAGCAGAGGCAGAGAAGCTTCAAAGGCAAATTCAAAAGGCCCTGTGGCTGCACCCGCAAGGCACAAAGGAGGGGGTTGAAGAGGCCGTGGCGTACCTCGTCCAGGTCAGGATGTCAGCACTTATTGTCCTGAAGGCATGCACACCATTCGTAAATTCCTACCCCAGACAACTCAGCTCTTTTTCAGTGTTATTATTGATCGTACTGTTGCAGGTGCTGTCAGACGTGTATGGCGTTCCTTTAAAGCCGCTGCATCCAGATACGCAGCCTCAGGATAAATTTTCTCAGCAGCCTGAGGAGGGACAGCTGCCACAGGCCAGAAGCCCAGCTCTGCTGCCACAGCCATACGCAGTCAGAACGGCAGTGCCGGCGCAGTTTGCACACACACAGCCGCTCCCAGAGCCATCGAGCCAGCTGGCGAGGCCCGTTCGCCAGGATACAGCCACCCAGACTACAGACGACCAAGGAAGCCAAGACGGGGAGCAAGCCAGCCTTGAAGAGCAGAGGGACGACGCCTTGCCCAGTTCAAATCGCACCTTACCGCCGCAGGCTAATGCAGCGCCCAGCTTGACCGCTGACAGGCCCTCCTTGGTTGTGACCCCACCACAAGGGGCGCCGGTAGAGCAGCACCTTGACCGGTACTACCTTGCCGCCGCTGGAAGGGAGCTGGACATCTTGACGCAACTCATGGGCGGGCAAGGAACCAGCAGCGCTCCTGTGCCTGCGCAACATCATCTCCCAGCCTTGGCAGAGCTGCCCAGGCCCAGCAAGCCTCCAGCCAGACAGAGGGAGCGGCCAGCAGGGCGTAAGACTGAATCTCTTCCCCGCACAAGTGCGACACCACCGCAGAAGAGGCCACCGACACAGCAATCCAGGCCTAGCACTCCTGCAGGCGCAACAGATGCTGAGCCTAGACCTTTGCAGCTTGCTCAAAGTCTGGAGCATGCAGCAGTGCCAGGCAGGGCAGCAGGTGTCCAGGAGCAGACTTTGGCGCCCTCAGAAGCTCCTCAAAATGCAGCGGGAGCTCAGCAGCAGATTCCTTGGGGCCAAGGCGCCTGGATGGAGCAGATCGCGGCTGTGGCGGCTGCAGCAGCGTCAGCCGCCACTGCGGCTGTGCACGCGCAGCACATGCACGAAGCTGATCGGCTGCCACCGCCCTCTGGATACAACCAGTCGACGCTTCCTGAAGCTCCCAGCAAGCCACAGCTGTCACTGCAGCTTCTGGAGATGCCTGGCAGCAGCATGGCGCCTGCAGGAATTGGACCAGCTGTACCAGCCAGCGCCAGTGCTGAGGGTGACAAGGCACTTGGTCAGGGGCCGGAAATTGCCCCGCAACCGAGCAGTTCAAGCCAGCCAGCCAGCGTGCAGAGGCATGTTGTCGAGCGCAGTGTACAGACAGAGGGGGAGACCACAGGCAGTGCACTTATGACAGCCGCAGTTTCTGCCCAGGAACATGTCCCTCAAAGCCGCTCACTGCATTTAGAGAGGCCCATAGCTGGAACGCCCATGCACAGCTCTGAAGAGGCACCCAGGCCATCAGTTGCTCCCGAGCCAATCACGACAGCCCATCTTGAGCAGGCTACGAGGAGCTTCCACTCAGCGAGCGCCCATCCCTTTGGACCCCTCACACAACCGCTGCGTTTCCAGGTTTGCGCACATCACCAACCCTCCCCATTCAGGAATGAGTGATGGTCTGTACGCTCCTCAATTGTTGCTGCATATTTTTGCTTGACACTTCTGTATCTTTGTGTTCCTGTCAGGCTCTGCAGTACCCGGCAATTTTTAGGTGGCCACCATCCATGCATGCGCCGGCAGCTCCGCCCCTGCCGCAGCAACACGGCTGGAGTCTTGGCCACACACGCGCAGCAACTTCTGCTGTACCCCAGGCACCAGCATTTGCAGGTGATAAAGACAGCTGTTGACATACCCCAACACTGCCTTTCATTGAAGGCTGGTACTGTGAATTTACCTGCACCTACATTCGATACGTGGCATGCAGGTCCCAAAGGCGCCGCATCTCCACGTCAGCCGCAAGTGATGCGGCCAGACATCATGGAGAGGTGACCTCCCCTTCATAACGGGCAGGTTATTTCCTTGTGGTTACAGCCACAGGGACAGTTCCATGACTTCGTGCCATTTGACTTAGATGTGTGCGCAGGGTTGAGGGGCAGGCAGGCTTGCCTGTCTTTGACTACACAAAGGCTAGGGCAGCATTGCAGGAGCTGCAAAAGGCACCAGAATCAGGAGTAGCAACAGCAGGTGCTTTCAAAGCCTGGACGCATTGTCCACTTCAGAATCCACACAGTGAATTTCTTGCTGCGAAGCCTGTCTGCCAGGTAGAGTTCTGAAATGGACATTGACGTGTGTTGCCATCTATGCAGGAGCTCGCGCGGCCGGCCGACAAAGTGCAGCACATAAAGCTGCAGACAGCAGCCACCTTGCCAGTGGTCCTGCCACAAAGCAAGGTGCACACAACACTGCCTTCCCGAACACAAAAGTCTACCTGCCTCCACTGTGACCTTGCCAAGCCATTTCAAGGACATCGCATCACATGCCACGAATGTGTGGCCTCAAGGGAAAAGTTACCGTTGCAATGGAACGACAAGCACCACAATAGACAAGTTGGGAGATCATTGGGTGCAGCTGCTGCAGGTCCCAGGAGGACACCACAGGCTCCGTCGCCAACGCCGAATGCACGGTCTGATGTGCGCAAGCGCGCAGTCTCACCAGGGCGGCCGGCCTCTGCCAGGCCGGCCACGCCGCCGGGCTTCGCGCCGGCGCCGGCGCCCAAGCGGCCGCACTTAGCGTTCGGCACGAGGGCTGCACCACTGCCCAGCGCTCCCTCACCCGGTCAGAGTCCGCTCCCCTGCTGCCCTCACAGCAGGACTGAGTACAGATAAGCCTCATGAGAAGTGCAGCTGCAATGTCTGTGCTAGCACAGCGTGTGCATTTAAGCAAGGCTACTGCCTCCAGCGATTGACACTTTGCCAAGCCTGTAGCACCATCTTGGCGCATGGGAAAGTACTGTTGGCCGCTTTTGAAAAGCTTTGGCTGTCTAATTTTGTTCCCACCATGAACAGTGGTTCAATATTGGACATGAATTTAGTGGTGCGGCGTGTGCAGGCACGCCAGCCCCTCCTGCCTTTGTGCCGCGCGTTGCAAGCCTCAGTGTTGGCGAAAGGCAGGCAGCTCCAGCCCCTCAGAAGCTTTGTCCACAACCTGCCAGCGCCCAGGCAAAAGGTGACTGCATAGCAAGATTAGTTTCCTCTTCTTTCCTGCAGCATCGATGTGCCATTTGTGGGCAAGTGAGTAACTACTGGACAGTGTGAGCACACCGGGCAATATTATGTTGCAAGGCAAGATTTAAGGGCGTTGTATTGGACTAAGCCTTACTGTGTTGGGAGCAGGGGAGGCGAGACACAAAAGGCCAGCGCTGCCAGAAGAGGCACAGCAGGAGGGCCCGGCACACAGGCGCGACGAAACCCTCCATGCATTGGCCGCCCTGCTGCTGCAGCCCCGGACGCTGCAGCTGCTGCAGCCGGAGCGCGAGAGCGCTTGCCCGTCGTCCAGCGACGATGAAGCACAGCCGCACATGCGTGACTCTGCGGCCACGCCGCCACCCGTGCACTCGCATGCAGAGCCCAAAGCAGCTATGGGCGATTTGCGCGTCATGGCTGACAAGAGCATCCAGTGCAGCCCTGAGAGGGATAGCAGAGCATCCAGCTCGCACGGAACAGATCAGCGACCGCATGAGCCGGCTGTGTCAGAGCATGCACCGGAAGAGCAGCTGTCGCAGCGTGCCCTCGTGGAAAAGGGAACACAGCAGCACCCTGTGATAGTGGACAGGGAGGTACAGAGCGCCCCCGAGGCCTCAGAGGCGGCTCAGCTGGAGTCGCTGCGCGAGACCCTCGTGGAGCACATCGCCGAGGCAGTGGCTGCCAGGCTGCTCGACAGCCGCAGCCTCAGCCAGCCCGCTGCGGAGAAGGCCAGCCCAGCAGACTCATTTACTGATGAGGCCACGGAGGCGGAGGCGATTGGTGCCGCTGATGCAAGCTGCACATCACAGATCGTCGTGGATCATAGCGGCCAGATCAGCGGTGCTGATGTGGCTGGCAGTGAGCTACCAGAAACGGCTGCCAAAGACAGCGCCGAGGCTTGCCCATCGCTAGCTGAAGAAGAGGCAAATCTGCAGGCGGAGAAGGCGCCTTCTGATGCAGCAGAGCCCAGCGGGGAAGAGGGTCCCACGCAGGGGACAGGAAAGGCCCAAGGCACACAGACGCAGCAGACGTCTGGTCAAGAGGAGGTCACAGAGACAGCGGGGTCCTGGATCGAGCAGTGGCGCGGGCGGCTGACGCAGCAGGAGATGGAGCAGGCGGCGCAGGATGTCATCACCGAGGAGCTGGCGCGGCTGCTGGACTCTTGGGACGGCGCCCACGGCTCCCTTCCCTCCGCGCTGCACGGCCTCGCCCAACGCCGCATCTCCCCGACGCCCACAAGGGATCATCAAAATCCACTCGCAAGCGAAGCTGCTGGCGCGGCAGCACACCCTTTCCTGGGCTCCAGCAAGAGGACCTCTACCGGGCCGGGAGGGGTCGCCCCTGTCCCGCAAGACCGGGAAGCGGAGGAAACATCCGCAGAACAGCACCATGCCGCGTGTCAGCAGGTTGCTGGCGGCAGCAGTGCAGAGGATTTTGAGCGCCACCTGGCGGCAGAGGAGGCAGCGCGCGGTGTGCAGGCGCGCGTGCAGGAGCTGCTGCAGCGGCAGCAGGAGGCGGAGATTGACCCGCTGCTGCACGCTGTCCTGGACTCGCTAGCGGAGGCCTCGCTGAAGCGCATCTGTGCGCGCAGCCCGCAGCAGAGCGCCTCTCCGCAGCGCGCCCCGATCGCCGTCCAAGCCCGACACACCCAGGCAGCCGACAGGCACTTCACTCCAGGGAGCAGCACTGCTCACCGGCAGGGCAGCCCCAGCAGGCGTGCTGCAGAGAGAGATGCCAGCAACGCTGTGCCAAGATGGGGTGGGGGCTTCTGGCGGCCTGTCCAGCCGCAGCATGGGCATGCAGGCGGCAGGCCAGAGAGGGCGGGCAGGGCTGACAGGGCCAAGTCCTTGGAGCGGCTGAAGCGCCGGCGGCAGACGGCGCAGCGCCGGGACACAGCACTTCAGAGAGACGCCGCAGTCCAGACCTCAGATCTCCCTGACGGCACCAATGCGCAGCCACAGGAGAGTGAGGTTTTGGAGCATGCCCCGGAAAGGGTGTTCTACGGAGCGCGTAGAGCACATGCAGAAAATGAGGGAGTCCTCCGGGGACCGTATGGGATGGTGGATGCATCTGACGGCTTGTCGGGCTCGGCCGCGGCGGATCAGTCGCGGCCGGCGTCTCCAGACCTGCAGGAGCAGCATCGCTCGAGGGCCTGGTCTGAGGATGAGGACGAGGCGCAAACGCGCGATCACCCGCTGAGGCTGCTGCAGCGACCCCGGCCGCCGGACAACTCCCGGCCGCATGGCAGCCTGCCGGGTGCTGCTGCAGGTATATTCCCATAATTACACATATTTGGCAGTTGCCAGTCTGTGAGATATTCTTGGAGGGTGTGAACAGTCTGTGGTCATGTGCAAGACAATTGTTGAACAATGTTCATGAGTGAGCGGTGGTGTTGCAGGGCATTGTGAGGATGTCAGGAGCATGAGGGACGCGCATGGAGAGCGCAGATGGGGCGTGCCCAAGCCTCCGAGGGTGCACAGCCCTCCAGCCCACCTGATGACCAGGTGCGTGAACATAGCTTCCAATATTGCATTACATGTTTCACTGCACTGGTCAGAGTCAACACCGCCTGACAAATGGATAAAATTGCCATTTTTTGAAAGCCTTAAAGATGAGTACAAAGGCTGCTAAGAATACGCTGACCAATGGATGCTAAGAGCTCATTTAAAGGCCTGGCGGTGCTCGTTATGGCAGGCGGGAGCTGTATGCTGCAAGGCGCCGGCGCTTGGTGGCTGAGGCGGGTCTCACAGATCCGCTGCTGTTCTCCTCCACATCCACATGCGCCAGCATCAGCGTCTCCGACACCTCATCGACGCTCCTGACTCAGCAGCACGACATCAGCAATGCTCCCCCTGCCGGCGCATTCGACAGCAGCCCAGCGCGCATTTTGCGCTCAGCGGCCTCAGCATCCTGGCCAGCTGCATGCTCAGACAGTCATGCCAGCAGCAGCATCACAGAGCCGTCACATGAGGCCAGCTGGTCGGCGCTGACAGACATATCCGCAGAGTCCTCCAGTTCTACAGTGGAAAGTGTGACAATCCTATCAGACGATGGGAGCTCTAGTGTGGCGCACAGCAGTATGACATCCACGCCACCGGCTTCAGCCCCTGAGGAGGGCGATGAATGGAGTGAGGGACGAGTGGCAGTGAGTGTGCATGAGCACCTCCAGCAGCGCATGGCAACACTGCAAATATGATTCAATGACCGCCGCTGTTTCAGGTTGCAAAATGATCAAGGCAGCCCAATTGTAATCTTGGAAAACGCCTGATCCCGCTCTTGTACCAGATGGGAAATTGTGAGAGACACAGTGTGAGGAGATGCTCTTGTACTGCAGTATTGTCACAACACAGCAGGGTCATGTGAGATTTAATTTGCTGCAGCTCTAGCCGTCACGGTAGTGGTAGGGGTGGTCGCTAAATCAAAAGTCGAGAGCAGTACATGTATGTCTTCTGGGAATTACTGGTGATGATGTCTTCTGAGATCTCAGATTGACTCTAGAGGGACATGATCATGACTTGGACAGAGTTTATTATTGAATTGTGCTATTGTGTAAGTTGGGATTTCATGCCATTGTTGTGTGCACATCCGAGCACGGGATCATGAAGTGCAAAAGCTGTGTAGAATTTTGCAACCATAATTTACAAGAGACGGCATTGGGTCCAGTCAGCCTGAATCAATCCCCTGAGGGTATCTCCCAGCGGCAGATTTGTGCACACAGATGGCCTGTCAGCATAGGTTTCAAGGTGCATGAACCCCGCAAATGCCTCAGCCGCACTCTTATAGCACGCCATGCTGGCTCTGGGCCCCGTCTGCCCGTAGCCTGAGATCCTCGTGTACATCACATCTGGCTTCATATCCTGCAGCAGATTCACAGCTGTACAGAGCACTCAAAGCCCTGCAAACGCAGCACTCTCTTGTACTTGTCAGCCTGCATGCAAGAAAGCAGAAGACAGTAAAGGCTGAGGGGCTGGAAATATATTTTAAGGGCCGAGTTTCCACTTTTCCATGACGCCCAGCCTGAATTTTTTAATGAGCTTTCAATGGGTACGTCAGAGCAGTTGGCCAAAATCCGCAAGAATTCCTACCCCTTCGGTTTGTGCAGATCCACAGTCATGCACCGCCTGTTGCGCCCTAGGTGGTGCATGTTGCACCCCTATGTAAGGAACCCCTTTCTTCATTCTGCGTGAGCAGCAAATGTGATGCCATGCGGAACATGTGTCAGGGTCGATGTTTTGAGAACTTTTGCTTCTGGATGAGCAAGCAGGTTTGCAAAGGGGCCATCTGAAAGCAGCTTACATAGCTATGCCATGATGATCAGAGCAAGGCGCCGGCCGGCAAACATGGTGACAGAGGTGGAAAGGAGCAAAAGGTGTGTGTAGGTGTTGGGGAAGTCCTCCAGCTGGACGTCTCCAGCTGGAGCTCCAGGTCCAGCTCCAGCTCCAGCTCCAGCTCCAGCTCCAGCTCCAGCTCCAGCTCCAGCTCCAGCTCCAGCTCCAGGCCAGGCCCCACCCCGTACCACCGTTAGAGGTACAGTGGGAGCGGGGCCCGGCACCCAGAAAAGTAACCCTAATCTAACCCTAATCTGGACTGGGACGTCCCAGGAATTGAACAGGCGACCTCTGGGTCGGGTACCTCACGGGGGCTTGTCGGCGATTCACCCGGTCCTCGGTGACCTTCTTGCAATTTCGATGCTACATGTACCGACCGCTCACGGCGTGTGTGAGCGCTGTTGTTGTGTTTCAAAGAGCAAGTCAAATGGAGAAAGGAAGCATGTTACAACGTCATTTCTTGTCAGGTATCGTTCGTTTTCCACAGCCCAATGCAGCTGCTATGTGATGGCAGACATACAGGGTTTAGCAGATGCAGCCTTTCCTGCTGTACAGTGACAAGGTTAAGTGGTTTTGCGTTGTGCAGATGTGAAAGCAGCATTGTGGAGTGGTCACTGAAGGTTATAAGGTTTGAGATCCCCCATTGTCAAAAGGCGTCGAAGAAAAGGACGTCCACCGAAACGGAAAATCAGTGCTTTTGATAAATTTGGTGTTAGAAGAGTACAAAGAGGGACTCTGGAGGTCAATCGCCCATCTAGATGTCTTGTTTTGACCTGTTATGTTCGAAAAGTGTTTCTAGGAAAGTTTCGCAGAAGGCATTAACGAGAACTAGCAAAATAATCCGCATCCACTTATGCTCACCTACATCAAACAGACAAAGAGGAATGCTGATGTTAGCGAAATGAATTGTACACCAGCTGGATATCTTTTGGGGAATGACTTCACAAGGCGTCTACAGCAGGGCAGCCATTGCATGCCTAGTGACCTGCCACTCATGCATTTCCAGACAGTCTCAGCCTGGTAACAGAAAACAGAATGTCTGGGGATGTTCATGGAGTCATTTGGAAAACTCGCCTTGAGTGATGCACGGGCACACCTGGCGGTAGAACGCGGATCACAGGCGGGTGAGGCCTGGGGCCGGCGGGTTCAATGCGGCGGGGTATGAGGAGGTGCTCACGCGACTGGTGGTGGATCAGCCGCCGCGGCCGCCGCAGCCGACCACGTCTCCCAGCTCACCAAGGCCCTCACCACGTAGCCCAGCGCACGGATGCGGCTCGTTTGACGCCGCCATCGTGCATGCACCCCCGTTGCTTTGTGTCTGGCTTCAGAACGCATCGTTTGGTGCTTTACAAAGTCCAAAGGACCTCCTGTGATGAGGGCTGCAGAGAGCAACGAAGCCTGCTGTTGTAAGACACTTATGTGCTTGGGAATATAGTCTGCTGCGGGATTATTGATGATGTCGTATGCCAAAGGAGCCTGCCTTGTGGGTCTTCAAATCTGAGGTGTATTGTGTATCACATTATAAATCATTTTCCAAGTGTGAGGCGAGGGGTTCTGTGATGCAGACCTGCAAAATATTTTCCCCTGAACTCAATAGGACTGTGTCTCTGCGCGCAGGACTCGTTCCTGCACCACTTTGGCGGCAGCGGCAAGGGGACGGCAAACGTGAGGGCGACACTTGCGCGATACCCGCTGCGCAGCCGCGCGCTGGAGCCCTGGTACCACACGCTATCCTACGTGGTTGACATCGCCTCCGGACAGGCGCACTCCATCGTCAGCTAGCACCCTCCCTCGTCCTGCTCATGGCCATCTACGCCGATCCCTCCAAGTATGCTTCGCCACCCTTCTGCCCCTTGGGCCATCATTCCCTAAGAACAGGCTTTGCAGGATGCCATCAATGCATGAAACCAGTCATTGCAAATGGAGCATGAGGCTAGCCAGGAGGTCTTTCAGAGCACGTGCTTGCATGCTCAGCTAGGATATTACGAATTCGGATTTGTAATCCAGAGGACCCAACTGAACCACTGCATCTGGACTTACACACGCGGAGCAAAGCTTATCGAAATAACTCACTGATCTCCTGATGATTCTATGCGTTGGAGTACAGCGCCATTTTGAGCTCTAATGGCAGGATTCGGACATCTGTTCCGCAATCAAGCATCCTCTTACGCAGCTTACCGGCCAACCTATCCTTCTGGCCTTTACGAAGTGATCTATGATTTTGCAAAACTAGCCTCATATGACTCAGCACTCGATCTTGCGACGGGAAGTGGACAGGCTGCAGCCGTGCTCTCTCGCAAGTTCCAACGGGTGCTCTTCCAGCATTGATGATCACGTGATACATCTCTGCATGCATTCATGCTTGATTTGATAAATCAATGTGAGTCAATCACTACACGTTGAGCATCTTCCCCGTGCGCCCAGGTCGTGGCGCTTGACCAGTCCGAACAGCAGCTAAAAGAAGCTGTACGGCTACCCAACATCGAGTATGGCCACGCCAGCGCTGAAGAGACAGGCGTGCCGGGTGGCAGCGTTAATCTTGTGACAGTCGCACAGGCTCTGCACTGGTGAGCCCAGGACCACCTGCAAAGGAAGTTAGCTTCCTTTGTACCTGTCCAGTACAGACCTGGACATCTAACAGCCCACACCTGTCCCACAGGTTTGACCTGCCTGCGTTCTACAGAGAGGTCCGAAGGGTTCTGCGGCCTGAAGGTGCATTTGCTGCTTGGGGGTATGACCTTTGCGAATTCAAGGGCAATGATGCGGCAAATGCGGCACTGGAAGCCCTCTATAACGGCACTCTGGGACCCTACTGGTCAGACAGACGGCGCCTCATCGAGAAGCAGTACAAAGGTGAGCTTGAGCTGCTCTTCATTAGCAAGCCAGGAAGTACACTCGCACAATGGTGAAATGTGTGCACGTGGGTGGATTGCAATTGTTTGCCGCATACTGATAATGCAATTCTCCCTTGGCATGCGCAGGACTCGAGCCTGGCCCTGAGCATTTTGGAGAGGTGAAGCGTGTCATCCTGGACACCATGAGTGCAGAGATGTCTGTGTCTGCCTTGGTAAGGCAGCTGCGCAACCCTGTCGTGTTCACTGCCTGTCAAACTATAAACTTTCTTTGCTGCATGGTCAGTGCACTGCAATCTTATCGCAATTATCAGGCATTGTAGTGAGCTGTGAGGCCTTGTGAACATTCATCCGGATAAGATCCCTTTGAAGAAGTCTAGTGTGGTGCAGATTGGATACCTCAGCAGCTGGTCTGCGTATGCGACGTACAGAGAGCAGCATCCTGACCTGCCAGATCCTCTGATCAAGTTCAAGGGGGCTTACAAGGCTGCCTTCGGCTTCACAAGTGACGAGGACAAGGCCACTGTGTACTGGCCGCTCTTTGTGGTCCTGGCAAAGGATCCCCACCCCTTGAAGTAGAGGGCCATTTGCTCGATGTTCGGCTTGTTTCCTGTCTGTTATTTTTCTGTGAATCCTCAGATCTGCCCAGGATATCTCTGTGTACTGGGCTACATAGCACTGGCTAAGGTACTGCCTGCTTTGAGACTAGTTCCACCCTGACGGCGAGTCCGGTTGTTTTGGTGTTCATATGCATGCTTGCTGCTGAACTGCACTTTCTGCTACTTGTTGCTGACAGTGCCAGGCTGTTAAGAAATATCCAGCTTGACTTTGTACTCCAAAGCTTTATGCGCTTGGTAATGAAAATTGCCACGAGCTAGAATCACCTGTAAATGTTTAGATCGATTTCATCACCATCGATGATATCATTAATTGCAGACAAGGTGCTTGACAGTGATACAATGTAAGGCTGTTCCCGGGGTGCTGGCAAATCACGACCCAGTTCCATTGAGGCTGCAAATAGTGTCAATAATATGGTCACTGCCCTCTCATGTGGTGTCGTGAAATGCTTCTTTACAATGCTGAATGCTGAATATGTCAATAAGCAATGCAGGATGATCTAGAAGAATGACACAATCTTGGGACGAGGGACATCTTCATCATCAGATTCGCTGCTGCCCTCCTCTTGACTGTTATCCCCACTATACTCCACCAAACCACCAAGTCCTGCGCAGGCCACAGCCCAGTCACTCACCACTCAGGATTGGTCAGCTCCCTCACAATGAAGTTGTCCTGCATTTGAGTTGACATCAACATTTTAGAAGTGCTGCAGATACACAGCGCGAGGTGTACCTGCAGCATTTTCTTCTTTACTTTCCTCCCTTTCACTTTTTGAGCCTTCATGACTGTATTCTGCAGACTCGGCTGAGGCATGTGCAGCTGCGACATCTGCAGTTGCTATGGTTTCATGCGAGCGCTCATGCGCGCTGGCATCTTCTTCGTCCTCCACTGGTTTCAAGCCGATAGAAGGAGGCACCCACCCTGCAATGCAGGCGCCAGAATATAACTGACCCATTAGGTCTGACGCTTGGATTTGAACCTGTGTGTCTTTGCTGCATATCACATGCACACGAGCTTGACTGAAAAAATCAAGACAGCATCACCTAGAGAACTCTTGTTTAGACTTTAGAAGGCATTTGTTTGCAGCGCACCACCGATGCTGAGGGGCACGTCATCCTTGCGAGCTCGTGCTACCAGCTCTGCATGGGACACCTGGGCTGCTCGTGCGGCTGCTTCTGCTGCAGCTGCCGCAGCTGCATCCTCCCCCCTTCCCCTTCCGCCCCTTCCGCGCCCTGTGCCACCTTGCCAAAGCCACAGCTGAAACTATGAGGACAACACCTTCTATGTGCCCGATGCCTGGGAGGCAGGCAAAACACTAATAATTTTTACTGAGCAAGCCCTTAGATGATGAGGAGCCGCAGCTGCACCTGTCATTCCTCTTCCCGCCCCTCGTGCTGGCGCTGGTTGTGGCAGCCGGCCAGGCACGCCTGTGGATCCAGCATGGTGATAGCCCATGCTGTGGCCCTGTTGCTGCGGCAGGCCAGAAGGCGAGGGGTCATCAAAGGACGCCGGTTCGGCCGGGGGCGGTCGCGTGGGCAGCGTTCTGGCCCCTGCCCGCCCACTCAGACTGCCATCATTTGCCCATGCTGCTGCAGCCTGCCACAGGAATGCGGAGTCAGACTCCCAACTAGAGATGGTCCGCACTTGGACCTTGTATTACTCAAACACACATATCTAAGGCTCTCTCGTTTATCGACTTCTAAGAATATTAGTGTTTTGAGCTCCCCAGCCTGGATGTCCATTCCTCAATCTTGATTTGGCCAGGGCATATCCTGGCGCCATCGCATTGGCGATCATCTCCCCAGTATTGCGCGGGCTAAATTACCGCCCCTGGGGCTGCATTTCCAGGGGCTCAAGTACCGCCCCTGGAAATGCATGCTGTTAGCATGGGTTGAATAAAGAGATGCAGCAGACTGCCCATTGTGTTGGGATATGATTGAAAGGCGCACCAGAGCAGCCTCAGCAGCGCCACGGCTTGCCCCCATCTGCAGGTCCCGCAATCGCCTGGCTTCCTCCTTGGCAAGAGCCTTCTTGTGTGTTGGGCCGTTCAAGTGCTGCTGGTACAGCGCATCTCCACTGAAATTGGCCTGCACAGTGGTGCCGTCATGACATCTAGGCATGGCCCTGTCTTGAGGTGATCAAGGTGATCCTCTGCACGCATATCACCAGACCCCAGATGAGGGGTGGATACCTGGCACAGATCGCAGCGCAGCATACGCGGCCCACCAAGGGCAGCAGCTCTCTCCACAGCGGCACTTGCTGCCGATGCAGGACCTAAAGCCACTCCACCCGTTGCATTTTCTGGGACTACACGCTTGCCATAAAGGTCACCCCCACTCTCCTGACCAGCCTGCATTTGCACAAACATCACATTCCCCAACAATGCTCCAGCTGAAGCCAAAGATCTAGTTGAAGAAGTCCAAGTTGTCCCGTTGGAACGATTCAAATGTACACGTGCAGACCAGCAACACAAAACATCTTTGCGTAGCAGAAGTACACAAGATGGCATGTCGCACCGCGCGCTCCAGCCTGCCCTGATTTCGCCTGGCATCACGACTATGCATTGACTTTTTCAAATTCTCCATCTGCACAGACAGGGACGCGGAATTTCCACGTCTGCTCATGGTGGCAAGTTGGGATTGGAACTTCGCTCTTTGCCAATACGATCCGAGTATAACAAATTCTGATTTATATGAAACAGAAGAAATAAAAGGGCCTGGTATCAATAACCAATCGATATGACACGCATCGACCAACGCAAGGTATTTCTTGCATGCGCCCGCACATGACTGGCACATGACTTGCACATGGCCTTAAATTTGCAATTCTGGAGAAACCTTGGAGTCAATGGATCGAACGAGACATTTAACCTTGCTAAATTGCTATTCTTTGGCTAGACGTGAGGCCGGTGAAGTGACGATCTCTCCATCCGGCTCAAAACAAACCTGGCACACATCTTGAAATCCTTAGAAGCGGATGTTTCACCCTGTTAGGTGATTCATCTCAGGAAAATTGCTGAAATCGAGAACAGTGCATTTAAAGTATCTGTGCTGTCCCTATGCCATCTCCAAGCGTCAAGCAGATGCCTGACTGAACGGGGAGCAACAGCATAAGTTGAAAAGGAAGGAAACAATGAGGAGCCAATCACCTCAGACACCTGAGCGTGCTCGACATTCGAGGTGGAAAGATAGTAATTGCTTTAAGGTCTAGTGAAGAGCTGATTCACAGCAGTAGCAAGGCAGCAGTCGACCTGCAAAGGTCAATACAGCCAGCTCCAAACCGACAATTCCTGTATCTGCGATGCTCACACTGCACATGCATGTGGTCTTTGCAGGAATCCTAGTGGTGTGTCCAAGGTGGTTTCGTTTGCCGATGACGACAGCAGTAATTCCAGCTCTCGCCAGTACTCTCCTGCTGCCCTCGAACAAATCGACAGGTAACTTGTGTCTGCCCTATCAGCAAGTATACTTTATAATATTGTGCTTGTCATAGGTCTACCATTGGAGCCAACTAGCTTCAAATTGCTCAAAGGGGAGCTTGTTGTATTGAACAGTGGCAAGAAGCGCCGAGCTACTCCCGCCGGCAAATTCAACGCTCTGTTCCGACGCGGGACGCCCAAGACGGGCAATGCTCCGGAGGCGTCGGCCCGATCCACAGCCAGGCGGTCCTACCATAACAGGACGGCCTCCAATGAAGCGCTCACAACCTCCAGTAGGGTTAAGGAAGAAGCCTGTGTGCTGTCATTGACACTGCAGTCATAAGTATCCAAGCAGGTTCTGCAGAGTTGGAAAGAGCCCATCTGAAAGTATACCACCGCATCCTTGAAGATTATGTGAGCCGGCATCTGCTGGTAGCCTCCCGAGATACCAGCTCAGACAAGTTCAAGAATGCGGTGGACTACCAGGGACCAGGAAGACTGCTGCCAGGCTGTCAATTAGATGACGTGTTCCTGCTTTTTTTTGCAAGGCTGAGGGTGTGGGGGCTGGTGCAGCCGGAGCTGGAGTGAGGCTGGGGGGACTGGCCACGTTTGAGAACGGGGACTTTGACCTGAGGAGCGACCTGCACAGCCTGACGGAGAAGGGCATCGATGTGCTGCGCACCGACCTGGCAGCCCTGGACCTGGAGTGCGCCGAGGAGCTGCGCAAGTCTGTGCACGCCAACTACACACACTTCATCACCGCCTCCCAGGTTTGTGCACCCACTTTCTTGACGTATTCTGACCTTCTTTGTTTTCTGGCCTATCTTGACATGCTGAGGGCGAATGAAGACATACCATATACACCAAATAAATGAATTTGGTGACTAGGTGCTTGATGGGAGTATGCATCGACCCCTCTGCATTGGCTGCCTCCTGGACACATTGCTATAAGGCAGAAGGTGTGCAATGAGTGTGAACAGGCCACTATGCGTCGGCCCGATACGAACTCACGGAGGAGTGACAAAGGACCCATGTGTGCATCTTGTGCAGGGCGTAGGGAAGCTGGACTCTGAGATGGGGGTCCTGCGCAACTACCTGACCACGTCATCGGTGCTGGTGACCGCGCTCAAGGACGTGGCCGCCACGCGCGCAGCGCCTCTCACAGCTGCCCCCAAACGCGAAGCCGCCACCTCTACCAGCGCTGACATCGATTGGACGCAGACCACTGAGGGCCTCAGGTAGCCAGCTGCTTATCGGACCTTGCATACATGGAGCAAGACCTTTCCATGCCAGCCTGTTGGGCAGCACAGGGCAACTTGATAGGCCCTGGTTTTGGCAGCACTGCTGGCAGGATGGAGGGTAATGGGCAGCAAAGCAGTGGAAACGGGGAGATGGAGAGTCACAATGAAACCGAAAGGAAATGGGTATTTTGTGCAATGTCTTAAAAGTCTGCTGCCTGTGAGAGGGCAAGTGGTGTGCGCAGGTGGGCGGACTCGTTGGACGAGGTTGATGTGACGATAGCGGAGAGGCGTCCGCTGGATGCGCTGCAGGCGCTGCGGCGGGTGGAGAAGATGCTGACGCGGCCGCCCTCCCCCCAGTCCGACCCCCTCCACCTCAACAAAATTGTCCAGGGTGGGGCCCCGTCGTCGAATTCCTCTTGTTTATCGCGCAGAACACCAGGTGAAAATGGCGCCACTGCTCTGCACTGGGATGCCCTAGCGGGCTGCAGGGGGTGCAACTCGAGAGACTGCGGTCATACGTGACTTGAAATTCTTCAGGGCGCACATGTGTCGCATGTCAGGAGCAGCTACTCTCTGGCTTCAACTCCATGCCTGGTACTGGCTTGTCATACCCAGTGGTTCCAGAGGAATTCAAACAAACCCAGGGACCCATCCGGAAATGCATGTTGCGGGATTAATAGGGGCATACTATTGGGAGCCGGAGAAGACAGTCTTAAAATGGCAAAATCGCGTGTGCAGAGGCGCGGGCAGAGCGGCAGCTGGGGCAGCTGGAGGAGCGGCAGGCGCAGCTGGCGGCCATGTGCGAGTCAGCGCTGGTGGAGGCGGCTTCCGGGCACCTGCCGGCGGACGGCGGCGCGAGCGAGCTGCGGCTGGCGGCCGGCGTGCTGGCCTCCGTGGCCGGCAGCCCCCACGCCGCGCACCGGCTGCTGGCCGCGCACTCCGCCCGCCTCAAACGCGCCCAACAAGCCCTGCTTAAACCCCAGAACACCGGTGCGGACCTCTGTGGGACCCTGCCAGCCTCCCAAGATGCCTTGCACCATTATGAGTGTTTTTTTAGGGGACTGTGAAACTCCTGTAAATTACTCAAATTGTTCTCTGATTGTTTCAAAGCTTCCATAATTCACAGGAACCAGATGTGCTGGCTTTTGGCATGGTCCATGCATTACTGCGTTTTGGTGGCATGCCCGCATTGCACTTCGACCTTGCGATTGCAGGGACATTGGATCGGGACTCATTTCAAGCAATTTACATGACCATCAAGAGTGTATATCATGGGGGCAACTGTGAAATTGTGAAAAAATTTCAATGGACTGCTGATCGACAGGTGGGAGCGATGTGGATGGGACGGAGTACGCAGGTGCACTGTCACAGCGGGTGTTCCAGACAGTCGCATCGGCCGCGGATGACATGGCGGCAGTCTTTGCTGACGACACACCCGAGCTGTCATCGCTCTTTGTCGTCTGGGCGCTGCAGGTACTTTCAGTATTCCCCTTGCTGCTGCCAACAGCTTCTGAGTTTTTCTATAAGTTCTACACCTGACAAGCATAAGGGACCCTCCGCTTGATTTCCAGGAATTCCTTAGCATCGATTTCAAGCCCCTCGTTGAATGCACGTGCTAGGCATATTACTATTTTGCCTTGTATGTGCATCGACAGCCTGTGACCATGTTAACATGATTGCGAAACTTGGGTTGTGCAGGAGACGCAGCGGGGCGCGCTGCTGATAAAGCGGCACGCGCTGTCGCCGTTTGCGGCGCCGGCGGGCCTGAGCAGCACGGTGCAGTGCTGCAGCCTGGCGCTGGTTCACTGCCGCGCGCTGCAGGCCTCCCACAGCCTCGCCCTCGCACCCTCCCTCCTGCGCGAGCTCTGGCCCGCCTGCGACCAGGTCACCCCCGCTGCCCTGCCCCGGCTTGTTCACATTCTGGGCTGTGCTGACTTGCTCTCACTCTCAAGATGTGGTCGTAAAGAGGCACCTGCTCCCGGTCATGTGTATCCGGGACCCTGCTGATCTGCTCTCACGTTGAAGGATGCCATCATGACGTGGCATCTGCTCCAGGCCATCCAGATCATGGGTTGTGGTCATCTGCTCTCACACTTAGGATGTGGTCATAAAGAGGCACCTGCTCCCGGCTATGTGTATCATGGACTCTGCTGACATGCTCTCACACTGACGAATGAGGTCTTGACGGGGCACCTGTATATCTTGTCTGAACCATGCTGATCCGCTTTTCAAAATTAATGAGCCTGTAAAGATGCACCTGAGGCCCTGCTCTCGCCCTTCTGTTTCCTACTTTTCTGGTGGCAATGACAGAAAAGGGGCCTTGAAGATGTCTGGAGATATCCTGATTGGCATGCGTTGTGCTGCAGAGCTTGGGGCAATGGTGCCTTATGTGATGTCTTTGCTGGAGTGCTTTGACTGCTTTTGACTAGTTAACATGTGAGAGAGGGATGAAAGTGTGCCAAGTTGAATGCTCTCTGGGGCGTCGTCAAGATGATGAGAAGCTTATGCCACGGAATGTGTGGGTGTCAGGTATTGGATCGGCGGTTGCGGCGCATAGCGGATGAGTTGCGGCTGAGCGTAGCGGACGAGATTGACCGGATTGCGGCGCAGGGCCTGCCTTCTTCCGAGGAAACCGGCTGGGCCCAGCTCACTGCCGCCTTCCCCTCAGCAGACAACCTGCTCGATGAGATCCAGGTGCACTGCTTCTCTAGCTTGAAGTATATGCAAGCACATGGCTGTGGCGTGCAACAGCGATGGGCAGTGATTTCTTTTTGGAGCATATGACCGCAGAAACCTTACTGAAGCAGACAGAGGTATTCCTTGAACTATTGCTGCTCCACATTATCTTATATCAGGAGGGCACACCCGCATTCTTTTGTGCATTAGGTTGCCTGTTACGCATGCAGGCAGTTGTTCAGATCCTGGCTCCGCTGGCTGGACCGCGCGTGGCAGAGGCGCTGCGCAAAACTGTCAATGAGATGTTTGGCGTTTACACCCAAGCGCTGGCGGCTGGGTTTGCAAAGTACACCAGGCCTGACGGCACTCTTCCACCTCGATTAGGTGGGTCTCTGCATCCTTTCAGGGATTTGCAATATCCAGCCACGATTGCATGCACGTATGCAACATCATTATTTAGTGCTTGTAAGCCCGGGGATCATTGTTTTCTATCTGCATGAACTTCACTTGCGGGGCTACCCTTATATTCATCTCGGCGCTCGCTCTGCCTTGATGTGTGCATTTTACTTTCTCATTAGGCTGTTTTTGTCTGCTTGAAGTGCAAGATGTGCACTTCAAGCTGCTCTATTTGATCAAATATCATGTGTGGTGCATCTGCACAGGGCCTGCGGCTGAGCCGGCCATGGAGATAGCTGCGTCGCTCGTGGAACAATTCTTGCCAGAGTTGATGGTGCCACTGGCTGACAAGTGCGGCAGCAATCTTGATATGGCGGAGATGATGCGGCTGATTGACTGCCTGGCTGGTGAGCTGGGCATGCAACGAGCCGAACAATGAAACACTGTTGACTGTTGATTAGATTAGTTTACCATTTGTAGATGCGAAAATACTTGCATGCAGAAGGCGTATGCCTTCTGCCAAGCTTTCAAAAATGAACACTTTTGGTGTGAGAAGGGTTCAAAGTGGGACTGTGGAGTCCAATGGCCTATCGAGCTGTCTTGTTTTGACCTGACCTGTAAAAACCAGCATTAATTTCCTATTTCGGGGACGCCCTCCTCTTCGACGCTTTTCGACAATGGGTGCAATCTTTAGAACCTTCAGTGACCACTCCACAATGGCAGCACGCATGATGCTTGCACCTCTGTACATTCTTATAAATAACCATGTTCGACACTGTACAGCAGGAAAGGCTGCATCTGCCAAGCACTGTGTGTTTGCCTTTGCACACGAGCGCTCGCTAGTTTTGAAGTCTGGAAAAACGAACGATTTCCAAGCACACATCACGTGAAAACGGTTTCTTTTCCCAGATAACTTGCTCTTTAAAACACAACAGCGCTCATATACGCCGTGAAATCTGAGCGGTTGGTACTTGTAGCATCGAAATTGCAAGAATGTCACCGAGGACCGGGTGATTTGCCGACAAGCCCCCGTGAGGTACCCGACCAACGGTGCTCAAGGTCGCCTGTTCGATTCCCTGTCTCAGCAGGTTTAGATTTCGCAGATTTTTCGGATGCCCAGCCGGGCCCCGCCCCCAGTACAGCCGCTGACGGTGGAGGGGTGGGGCCTGGCTACCTGCAGCTGGAGGACTTCCCCAACACCTACACACACCTTTTGCTCCTTTCCACCTCTGTCACCATGTTTGCCGGCCGGCGCCGTTCTTCGGTCTATGGCACACATCAAGACTCTCTTGCCATGACGCTTTAGAGAGCACTGCATATTACATGAACGCATGCACCGTTATCTTTTTGTTGAAGCTGGCTTTGAACATTGTCCAATTTCTGCATGCATATGTCTGTGCCTGCAGATGGAAGCCCCACAATCTTGGGAGTGATTGTAGAAGTTGATGAGACCCTGCATTCTAGAAGCATGTTCCAACTATAGCTTACCAGAAGCAATATACGTATACGGCTCGTTCAATGTGCCCGGAGCAGCTGTCACTCAAAACAAGTATCCAACCAAATCTCAATTGTACACAACACTGATGTCACACTGAACGTTAAATTTACACAGTCTCGAGCTGCACAATGCCCTTGCATGCTGACTGCAAAGACTGGCAAGTTTCAAGCTTGCAATTGCTGCTCAATTGAGGTGCCAAGCTCTCATGGGCCTAACATCAGATCATCCGTTGAAGCCCAGGTCACCTAGAGGCAGCAGTGGGTCTGTCGCCGTGAAGAGGGCAAACAACCTCTGAGATGCCTTGGGCCCCACTCTTTGGGTCCCGCCCGGGGGCTTGAGATCCGCCACAAGATTCTCCTTCTCCCTCTGGCTCCTGCAGATAACATGCATGCCATTCTGACAGAGGCGCAACAACATGCCCATGCAGGTGAAGACAGTGTTGACGGGAGCACTTGATCGGCTTTTGGAGGAACGGCAACCATGAAAGTGAGTTTATGTGGTGCTGCCGCCAGCGTTGGCTGACATGATGCAAAGGGCATCTTGACGACTAAGGATGGCTCTTCAGGATGGTTCGCTCATTTAACATTGATGGTCCCTCTCCCTGCTGATTAGATGCAAATCCACCCTCGCACAATCCTTCCTGAACACCTGTGCTGTGAGTGCATTGCATGCAAGGAAGAGAAAGGGTGGCGAGGCACACTTGGAGGGGTCGGCGTAGATGGCCATGAGCTGGCCGAGGGAGGGGTGCTGGCTGACGATGGAGTGCGCCTGTCCGGGGGCGATGTCAACCACGTAGGACAGCGCATGGTACCAGGGCTCCAGCGCGCGGCTGCGCAGCGGGTACCGAGCAAGCGTGGCTCTCACGTTCGCCGTCCCCTTGCCGCTGCCGCCAAACTGGTGCAGGAACGAGTCCTGCACGTGCGGAGACACACATCCATTGAGAGTTTATCTGATAGTGGGAAGGTCCCCTTTATAGAAGCCCATGCCCCACACCGGAAGCAAAAGTCTGTTGAGAACCCCAATTCCTGAGAGTTGAAGGCCCACGTGGCAGGCTTGCTCAACATGCAACGTCAGACACAGGGACCTCTGCAGCAGACCACAAGGTGATGCACCGATATGTCCTAAGATAGCAAGATCCCTTGAGCAATGCAGCCCACATCAGATGAGGTCCTTGAACTTTGTAATGCAGCAACTGTCATGCTTTTAAGCAGGACAAAGGGTCCACAGAGGGGTGCATTGCTAATGGCAGCGTCAGGTGGGGCGCAGCCGTGCGCACCTGCACTTTGAAGGGCTGCGTGGCGAGGGCCTTGGTGAGCTGGGAGACATGGTCGGCGGCGGCTGCGGCGTCGGCCACGCAGCGGTGGCGCACCCCCGGCTGATCCACCACCAGACGCGCCAACACCTCCTCATACCCCGCCGCGTTGAAGCCGCCGCCTCCCGGGCCCAGCCGCCTGTAGTCCGCGTTCTGCCGCCGCCTGCGCCAGTGCACCACTCGGGGTGAGTCTTCCAGGTGGTCCCATTAAAACTTCCCAGACGAGCTGTCTCTTGGCAAAGAAGCCTGATGAGCTCTTGAGCAGCAGGTCACTGGGCTTCCAACTGCCTTCTAAGGTGAAAGGCCTTGTGAGATAGCAGCTTTTTAACCAGCTTTGAGCTTGCTGAGCTCAACAGAATCAAGCGAGAGATGTAAGCCACTTATACAGATAAGAAATACATTGAACCAAGATGGCAGTGCGCACTTGAGGTAGCTGTGCAGCCCCTCGATCAGCATCCCCAGGGTGTGGCCTGGATGCGCCGCGGCCACCCTCGCCAACACATTCTCCAGAGTGTCTTTCTCCAGCAGCGCCACCAGCTCCTCCCCCTGCACTTCAATTTGCCCAATGAGAGACCATTATGTCCTCGGCTTGCCCTTTCAATTTGAGCGAGCACGACTATGAGAAAAAGTTCAAAGGGATGGAATGGCGCACCATGATGTACAGCAGCACATAGGGAACGTCCTCGTGCTGCGGTGCATCGCCCTCGGCATCCACTGCCTGACTCGCCTGCTGCATGCAAGCACCCTCACGCATACGATTGACAATCAATGTGGATCAGACAAGCTCGAATTGCACACAGTCACTGGCCAATGCTGTGCTCAGGCCATGCTTTTGCACAGTATATCGGGTGTTTTTGACTGCAACAGAGGATGATGAGCGTCCACGGCACAATGGCGGCTGACTACAGATCTGAAACATGACTAGTCAAGTTCCATATACAGTACGCACCTAATCCTATGGATTGGAAATCGCGTGTAATTTTATAATTTAAGTAATGATATAGTCATATGTAATTCAGCCAGCACCAGCAATGCTCAGCTGGGGTGCTGGGAGATATTATTAGCTGGGCTGGCAGGGCGTGCCTGCGAGGCCTCTCCGTCTGCGCTGCGGCGGTACACGCGGCGTTTCCAAGTGAGGGACCGCAGCGCCGGCCCGAGCGGCAGCGGCCCGCCCAGGTTTACCTCGTAGCGGTACTCGTCGGCGATGAGTCGCTCCATGATGCGCAGCGTGGTCGCATGGTTCATCGCCGCCGGGCACAACACCGGCAGAATGTCCTCCAGCGCGCTCTTGCCTGTACGCGCAGCACCCCTGTCAGGACGGCTGTGGGGAGTGGGCATCAACCGGGGACTTCTGACAGCCATAAAAGGTGGCGGCTAATTGACTGGAGCCCACTCCTAAATGGAATTTCAAAAGGTAAGTGTCCAGGACGGTTGCTGGGTGAGTCATTGGGCAGGACAGTTGGCCTGTCACATTAACCTGCTGGGAAGTTGGACAGCAGCATGTATTCAGCAAAGGATGCCTGCTGAGCTACTCAAAAGAGCTGCGGGACAATGCTCTCACCGTTTTCTCGCTGCCTGTCCAGCCGCTCTTGAGCCTTTCGTTGCTTTTCCTCCTCCCTGCGCACAAATAACAACAGTCCTGAGATGCATTGTGACTTTAGTAAATAGACTTCAGCTGTCGCGAAGGTGCATCAAATCAGACGCGTACTTCTGTGCAGCCTTCTCTTGCTTTGCGCGCTCTCTGGCTGCCTTCTTTTCCTGCTTCTCTACTTCCTTTGCTGCAGCGGCTTCCGCCCTCTCCTCAGCCGTCTTGCCCCGCGCCCGCCGCCTACACCATCACAAATGCAACCCTCATCCAAATGTAAATTTCACCCTCTCATCCCTTATTACAACCATTGGCAATGGCAGATTCAAGAGTTGGGGAGACTCTCTTGTGTCCAGGGAATTGTTGGAGTGTTTCTCTGTAGCTATACTTTTGGGGCCTTGGAGGTGAGTCTGGCTCGAGGTCGCTGCTGTGCTGGGCAGGCGGTGAGGCGGGCATGAGTGGGCTGCCAGGCCTAGGCTCATCTGGGGCGGCAAGCGTGGGATCTTGCTGCTCTGGCGCCTCTGCCGCATCATGCTGGCTAGGATCCTGCTGTGATGCGTCGAAAGTCTGCGAATGCAAAAGCCATAAAAGAAACTTAGGCTTTGGCAAGCAGGCGGCAACATTGCATCTGCAAGCTTTAACACTCCATGCTCAATAATCCTGCAGAAGGCCGACGCAATCTAGCAGGTGTCCTTGTGCACACCTGTCCCTCATCATATGAAGCAAGGTACTGGGGTCTCTGACGTTTTCGCTGCCCCCGAGCGTGCCCACTACCCTCTACTTCTACATCAACGTGATGGGTCTCGGAACCTGCATTCAGATGCGGGATCTCAGTCGCAAAAGTGCTTTCCAAGGACTTTGCTGTGTCATAGGATCATCTCTGGCAGGGCGTCTTGCGGACCTGCCCACCGACGACCAGGCGGGTGTGAGTGAGTCCTTTGAGGTTGAGCGGTCTCAGGTGACGACGTTAAGTCGAAAAGGTCGTCACCAGGCAATTCCTGGGGCCTGAAAGGCACACGTACCTTCATATACATCGATGGGCACCAAGGGCCACAAATTCAGGAGAGGAACTACAGAATCTCTTCCTGATGCTATCAACATTGATCCTGCTCGCTGTTTTGGAGGCCAATTTATAATATATGCTTTAGAAGCCAAGGCATCGAACATCAGAGAGGCATATTTCGCACTTTGGCGCTTGAAGAGCGATGGAGTCCCTCAATCCCAAGTCTGCAAGCAATTCTTCCTCATCTTCTGACATCATCTTGATGAGATGTAGAGGTAGGACGAGTCGTGCAAAGGCTCTGTAGTGCAACTAAGTGAATTTAAGATTGTATTCTTCTGCACACTATCGTCCTGAAGATTAAGAACCAATCTGCATAGAATTGTTCAAAGCAGCTAAAGATGGCAGAACTTCATTCAAGGGACCATGAGGATGAGCTCTCAAAAGCATCAGGGCAGGTCACAATTGGACGGCTTGTCCAAGAATTTCCATCGGAGGTGGTGCAGCTTCATCCCCAGATGCCGTAATCTTCGAAGCTTCAAAGCGAGAGGCATGAAGCAAAACTTTTAAAAAAAATAGTCAAGTAAGATGGGAGGGCTGTGTGGTCTGTGTGGTGGATCATCCGTCAACGGAAAAAAGACAGGTGAGTACCTTTCTGTTGTGCGTAAGTTTCGATGCATCTGCGCAGCAATTGCCACTTCAAAAACAGCCCATCTTGTTTCGTTTTATTAAAGAGATATGACAATTCATCAATGTGTGCTATTTCTGTGCAATCTGTTCATACTACCATCGTGATGGTGCTGCTTGTTCGGCAACCTTTCAGTTGAGAGCCCTTCAGAGACAACGGTCAAGGCGGCACCCTCGCCCAGCACCCAAAATCCTCATGCAATTCACCGTCTCATGCTCCTCGTGGACGAAAGGGCCCGCGACAGCGACCTGAATAAGGCTGTAAGAAGGCTGCGCATGCAGGGCCAGCATGAGGTTCTGGTAAGTCTGCCCTTGCATCCTGAACTTACCGCGAATGCAGACAGAGCACAGTGTTTCATTTGGTAGCAGCAAGCGTCTCCTGGGGCTTGGGGAATTTCAGCAGCTCTGAGCGATAAGGTGGGTTACGCGCAGATTCATGAGCTGAAGAAAGACGGCGATGCAGAGAAACATGTCCGCGCAGCCTTTGACGGAGCTGCCATGAGTCCTGCTGAGAAGACCATACATGTCTTTGTGGCCTGCGGCGGTGATGCCACCGTCAATGCAGGTACGCACATGCATCCCTCGAGGTCAATGTGTCTAGCTCGCAAACACAAGATGGTCAGCTGTGCGCTGGAAGAGTGATGAGATTGTCATTTGACAAGGAAGCTTGTTTGGTGTACTGGCAGTTGCTGGCGCGCTCATAGGATGCGCAGCGCCGAAGAATTGCTGCATGGCGGTTGTGCCTCGTGGCCCGGGCCCCCATGACTTTGCCACCTTCCTGAATCTGCCTCTCAATGCCACTGAAGCGCTGGACATCGCCGCAAATGGCGACAGCGAACCCATTGACATCGGGCTCCTCAACAAAAGCCAGGTGCGTTTCCTGCATCTTCCTTGGCTCTTGGCCAAACAGATTGCACCAAATTTAATCAGCGTTCTCTCTGTTTGTGTTGGGATGGTGCTTGCTGGACTCCTTTAATGTGTTGACTTGCCTCTTTGACACCATTGATTTCCCTGCAGGTCTTTCTCAACATGGTTGTGGCTGGTTTCGCTGCCGAGCTGGATCCCAACGACGAGGCAGCAGCAGCGCCGGAAGCATACTACCCTGCGCTCGCAACAATCATCAGCCCATCAAAGGACACAGTCACAGCAGAGGGGTGCCGAGATGACAGGCAGACCACTGAAATAAACGGCGCCCTGGCATTGCTTGCCGTTGGCAACGGCGCTCACTTCTCAGGTGGGCATAATACTCCTTTCCTCCTGGAGAACCTCACCCCTTGAGCTCCAAGACAGTAGTGAAATTTCTATTGTTGGAGGGTCCCGGCCTGCACACATGCGCATCTCATAGCCCTCAATTGATGTCCAATATTTGGGATGGCAGGCGCGAACTTGGACGATGGTCTTTTGGAGGTCCTGTATGCCATGGACCTATCCAATGAGCAGGTACATCCCCTCGAAGCAGCTCTGAAACTTTGGCAGCTCAGCCAGACACTTGACACGTGCAGAGGCTGACGCCTCTGTCAGACATTCACGCAGAATCCAAAGATTCTTGCTGACTACGCCCCTCTGTGCGTAGGCAGAGCTGCTGGCGCAGGGCTTGGCGACAGGCAGCAACTCAACGAACCTGCAGCAGGACATGCACAGCATGCACGTCCCCTGGCTGGAAGTGCATGCCCCGGGCGGCCTGCAGGTATGCACTACATGACACATCCATGCCAACAAACGGCAGCAATCCTACTCCCCAAACCATTACATCACTGAGCCCTGAAGCGGGCGGAGATGGGTGCCCTTCTGGGCGCCTCAATGTTGGAGGTCAGCATTTCCGGAGCCAAGCTTGGGGTTCATGCTTACACCCCAGTCTCCCTTACTCCTGATCAATGATCACCTGTCATGAATGAAGTCTCTGAAGCAGCAGCTCAAAGGGGTGGCCTGTGGTGTGCAGCTGCGAGTGGATGGGCAGGTGCTGTTTGAGGAGGATGTGCGGTTTGAGGTGCTGCAGCGGCGCCTGCGGCTGGCGATGCCCAGCGGCGCCAACCAGGCGCGGCCCAGCCGCAGAGACCTCATCCAGCAGGCCAGGATGACGAGGCACGCGCGCAGCATCTCTGACAGCAGCCGTGGCTCGGGGAAGAACGCCTAAGAAGTGGCTGACAAGAAAATGCCTGCAGAGTTGAAGGGCCCAGGTTCCATTTGTACCGTCAGAGTTTGGATGTCTGGCAAGCGTTGTTGCTGGTGGCCATTGCCGCAGAGAACATGTTGAGGCTAGGACTCCGAGTCCCCGGAGGTCTCAGGGAGGTTGGGGCATTCATTGCTACACTTAATGCGCATTTTGAGGTGACACTGTACATTTTTTATTTCTAATTGTAAAGATGAGGTGTCAGTCGATGCAGAGCAGCATCTGATCCAACAGAATTGTACTTGCCAATGACTCGCATGGAACATGCTAGCTAGTGCACTATAGTGCAGTGTAGCAGTGTGTCAGCAGGTTCCACTGGCACCGCCGGTGCCGCACGGTGCGGCACCGGACAGTGGCCTCATGCTAGTAGTAGACGATCCTCGCGAGGGCAGGCTAAATCAACAATGGCTGCAGGCAGCATGCTTAAAAAAATTAGTAGCAGCCCACAGCAGATTGCTCAATATTCAGAATCTGCTGGCTTTAGGATCTCCTGCCCTGCAGATATCGGTAAGAACAGGTCTTATAACCTGAGGGTCCTGAAAGGGAATTGTTGTAGAGAGTTTGCACATGTTCCACATGGTTCCATGACTACAGCAGCATCTCGAAAGTGCCCTTCTGAAAGGTCAAGTACTCACACAGCAATCATCGTCCAAATCCTACCGCCTGTGGCTCACATTTGAACTCATCTGGTCAAGATGTGCAACGTTCCTTCCGGTGCCGAGGCCTACGGTAGCCTGTATGCTGCTAGCAGTTCCGACGGGGTGAGTGCGAGATCTTAACAGCATGATATGATAAGCACTTCCGCCTGCATAGGTGCCTTGGGTCCAATAGATATCGATCTCGAGACGCTCCTTCTGGTCTCAGAAGGCAGACTTTTGTGGGTTGGCGGAAACCCTCGGCCACGGGCATCGCGACTGATCTCTTTATACTTCCTAGTGCTGTCTATGTTTTTATCGCATGACCTGACTAGATAACTGTAGTTGATTACTCGGAGAACCCTAGATAGTGCAGTCTCCGCGAGGACTGCAACGGCGGGGCAGCATCACCTTAGATCGCGTTTGAATGGAATACGCGTTTGTGGAGGGTTCCACTAAATTTGTTGGATTATCTGAGGTTCAAGGGCACGTGTCCCATACTGCGATCGTTTCATGCAGGCACAGTATAGCGGAATGCCAGCTTTTGAGTATTAAGTCCAGGAGCGGTTGGCATGGCATGGCTTTAATGAAAATATCTGCGCAACAGCATCAGATCAGCCCCATAACAGTGGCAAGGGAACGATGTGACGTCCAGTGAGCATTTCGACCGAATGTGCAAATGAGGACTGGACCTGTGGATAAGATCGATTTGGTCATTCTGATTGGGAACCTTTCATAGCACAGGTGCTGCGCTTGGGCAACATCGTCCCTGACTTCACGGCAGACACCACTCATGGACCCATGAAGTTTCACGAGTGGATCGATGGATCCTGGGCAATCCTCTTCTCGCACCCGGCTGACTTCACTGTGCGCCCCTGGGAAGATGCTGTGACCTGTTTTGTGTTTGGGCAGGTCCGCTGTCAGTTTCATTGTTGCTGGCCAGCCTCTGACTGTGCTGAAGTGTTGGACAGAACTTGTCTGAGCACTTTCGGGTCCAACTCCTGTCTGGTTGCCCTTTGAGGCCGAAGTTTCTGTAGGAAAGCAGGTCAAGCAGGTTTACATGAAGCTCTGTACAGCAAAGAGAATGACACGGGGTTTGTTCTTGCAGCCCGTCTGCACCACAGAGATTGGTCGTCTGGCCCTGAAGTACGACGAGCTGAAGTCAAAGGGGGTCAAGCTGGCAACCCTGTCCTGTGACCCGGTAAGCAGATGATTGCATTTGTGCTAGCTCGCTGGTCTTAGTAAAATCATACTTTCTCTTCTGCACGATGCTGCACTGCTTGTCAGACATATTGTTGTGCATGCACACAGGTTGAATCCCATACGAAGTGGCTGGACGATGTTGTGGCGCACTGTGAGAACAAGGTATGCCCACAATCAATCCCATGCTTGTGCATGTCGCATACCACAATTTTGTCATAGAGTAGGAATCTTATATGAGTGTTTGCATGGATGTTGTGCAGGTCACCATCGACTTCCCCATTATCGCAGACCCCACGCGCGAGATTGCTGTGAAGTGAGTGCTCTTCCTTAGCTTCTCAAATTGTCAAATGCGCAAATGCGCTGGGTGCTCGCGCAGACATACCTCCTCTTAATCCCTGTGACTGCTGATAAATATCAGCGTTCGTGTAGGAAAGAATATACTTGATTGATGTGCAGGTATGGCATGATTGACCCTGAGCTGAAGGACAAGGAGGGTCTGCCCCTGACCTGCCGCGCTGTCTTCATCATTGGTGCGAAACCCCATCCTGCTGGGCCTTAGGAAGTTCTACTCTTGGTCTCACCAATGTTTGTAGGGTGGCTGTGCAAGCAGCTCGCCTGAAAGGCAGTCAGCAGCAACAAGTAATCCAGTGCAGGCAAGGAAATGCATGGGTAAAAACGGAGCCGGATTTCATTTTCAAAGGTGCACCTTTCAGAGATGGTTGTGCTTGTTGTGGAGCAGGCCCCGACAAGAAGCTGAAGCTGTCTTTGAACTACCCGGCGTCCGTGGGCCGCAACATGGACGAGATCACTCGCGTCATCGATGCCCTGCAGCTCTCAGCCAAATACTCTGTGGTGCGTGCACACACCCTTCGCCGCACGCCACCTCGAAGCCCATCACAATTCACCCCATGAATACAAGAAGACTGCAAGTGGCTGTCCTTCTTGCTCTCATTCAAGTGGATCTTGCATGTTGTGCACTGGAAAGCTTTTAGAAGACAGAGAAAAGGCAGATGAAAAGGCAGAGCTAGCGCCATTGATTGGAGAAGAAGGGCTGCGCCACAAGTCAAACATGCCAGGAACAGTCCTATATTCCCCTTCAAATTATCAGGGCTGATGGGTGGCTGTGAACGTGCTGCGCAGGCGACGCCGGCAAACTGGCCCAACAACCACGAGAGCATCGGCAAGAAGGGACAGGCCTTCCTGCTGCCCACAGTGACGCCCGAGGACGCCAAAAAGTACTTCCCCAACCACACCTCCTGCCTCGTTCCTTCTGGCATCGATTATTTGAGATTAACTCCCATCGAGAACCTGTCTACCAAGTGAGCCGCGCTCTACTTTGACAAGTGCCACGTAGCGGTGCAAGATGACAGAAAGGGCGGGTGTTCAGAACGGGCTTCGGGGACGGTAAATTAGTATCTTATCGGCAGCGCAAGGGACCGTACGTGTCAAATTGCATTCTGAATGACCGTCCTCGGGGACATGTGATACTGGCGTGGGCGCCGACTGTTCACAAGTCAAGAGTCAGTCTGGGGAAGTGGGCGCTTGCATGTGTACACCGGGGAGCAAATTTGTGGGAGGCTCAAGTCCTCCTGCCATTCGTTAGACAATAAATGCGAGCAAGCATCCCTGCAGTCCCAACTGAGGGTGGTGACTTGCAAAATTCTTTAATGGATGGTGGTGTTTGTCGCCATGTAGCTGCATGATTGCACAAGCCTTACACTAATCTTCTTCCTGTTTGTGGCGATGCCGCATGGTGTGAGGGGCTTACTATTGCATATCTTTTGTATGTTGACCGCTGAGGCGACTAACAACGAAGGCCAGTTGTATCACTACCGTCAAATGATCATTATTGGGTTGGTGTCACGTCGTGATCTACCCTAATGACTTCAGATCGTTCATTGGTGTCATCGTGTTGCAGGCATAACCAATCTGAAGTTGTAATCAAGGTTTGTTTTTGTGATGCTGGCCCAACAGAGACGCTATAAAATGAGTTTCATTGAAGGTGCTGATCACGAGGATTGCATTTCACATCTGTACAGTAACCGTCCATGCTTACATTACTGGCAGATCCAGATCATGATTAGCAGCAAGAGGCCTGGGTCACGGAGAGCAACCGCTGCTATGACAGCCGATGACATCCGATGCGAGTCACTTGCAGACCTAGCCAGCTGATCATGATCAGGGCATGCAAGGTCTGTCTGTGTGCACGCTACCAATTCTGTTTATGATGCCACAGTTGGCATCTGCTGCTCCTTCATGGCTGTATCGTGGTTACTTCTTCTTACAAGCGAAGCCCAACTTGGGCTGCCCAAGCTGGCACCTTGGGGTCTATGAAATTTCCCTCCCCCAGTCAATGATGTGATGACGTGAACCCTTTTTCAAATTCATCTGTTGATTGTCTGCATGTGATTGAGATCGACTTATTCTCATCCTCTACCTTCAGGAATTTCATTCTGTCACCGAACCATCTATCGAGAGTATTCATACAGGCCCAGCTTGGGTTGGATCATTGGCTTGGCGGGCCCTACAAAAGAATATTGGGCAGATATGTTGACCTCAAGCGTCCAGATGGAGACGATCATGGATCTGGTGGATGAAGCGAAATATTTCCTTATTCACCAATAAATTTGGCGCATCCAGGTGCTTGCCCCCAACTCTTCGCAGTCTTGTATATTTCAAGATTCTCCATCGGTTAGGTGGGAGTATTGACCTTTTCTGCTTAGTGGCATGTATGCAGCGTTGATCAAGATAACAGGAACATCGAGAAAGTGGTGCGTGCGAAGGCATGCTCAGGCATATTGTCTGTAGCAACTTGTTTTCCTGGACATCTCTGATGGCATAATCGATGTATACTCGCAGGCAGGCATGCGAAATGCGGCTGGCAAGTCTGCTTTTCCTGTTCCTGATCAGCCTGCCATACGCCTTGGCCTCACATCAGTGGGTGCCTGTGGAGAGTGTGGGGCAGCACAGGGGAGGCTACAACAGGTGGACCACGCGTCGGCTGCTCTATTCTCTGCGGATGAGTTTGAGGGGAGGCCGTACAACGCCGATACCTAAGACTGAAATCCCTGCAGTGAAAATGAAAGCAGTGGAACAGCCAAAAGTGAAGGCGCCTGACAGCAACAGCCGCTGGGAAAGCCGGCTGCCTATATTTGTGATAGGGCTGAAGCACCGGGAAGAGGAGCGCCTCGCAAAGTTTCTGTTGAAGCTGCGCTGGTACCAGGACTTGCATGTGGTGGATGCCGTGGATGGGCGCACAGTGGAGCCCACTGAAAAGATGACCAGCGGGGAGGTGTGCTCCTCATAACGTCCCCGCTGCATCTGAGCCGCTCCGGCACTTGCCCTCTCAGGATCTCTGGACCCAGAACTTTGTGCTGTCCTGCTGTTTGCCACAGTGTCCCAGTTTAACAGAGAATTGCTGTTTTTTTTATCCTTAGATGTGCAGCACAATTGCTCATCTGCAAGCTGGAAACTTATCATGTGTGTGATGCATGCAGATTGGCTGTTTTGAGTCCCATCGCAAGGCGTGGAAGAGGGTGGTGGATGAGGAGGTGAGGCAGGCCATCATCATGGAGGATGATGCGGACGTGGACCTGTCCCTGCACATGAAGAAGGTTGCAGCGTTCGTAGCGGAGGCACCGTCCGACTGGCAGGTTCTCTACCTGGGCATCAACAATGACAAGGTGCCTGTCTCCAGCATACTCAAAAATTCTCAGATGATTCCCAGAGCAAGAATGTGGTCTTGATTCGCCCGCATGTAATACCGCTTTGCAAGATGCCTGAGAGCATCAGCCAAAGTATCAACATCTCCAGCCTGCCAGCATCCATGCACGATCAGATTTCTCCAGACGCAACAAACAAGAGATTCCCCAACTGTGCAAAACCCATCCTCTCACCTCCAGACAGTGCCGATGAGAGAGCTTCCCACTCCCTATAAGTACATAATTGCAAATTAACTCCCTGAGCAGAGCAGAGCAAAACATGCTGCGGTGCATGGGTGCGCAGGACATCCGCAATGTGACGGCGACAGTGGCAGAGCCGGTGCACTACATAATGGGCACGCATGCCTACGTAATAAAAATGAGCGTGGCGGCACGGTTGCATGCGCTGAGCGAGAAGCCCCCGTACAAGGATGTCTACAAGCCGGTGGACATGTGGCTGACGGAGCAGGGGCTGAAGATCTATGTCATCAATCCGCCGCTGGTCAAGCAGCGCAACTTTGGCGACACCGACACTCAGGGCATCCGCGTGAAGACCCTCAACGCCACCCGCCTGCTCCTCTGACACAGGCAGCATTTGCACTTTTACTGGGGTTGATTTGCAGCACCAGCTGAAGGATATTCAGGGTAGAGTGCATATGGATATTGAGCATTGCTGACTGCAGTATGTTGGTCCTGTACGATGGCAAGTTGCTGAATTCGGGATTGCATCACAGGTTACTGCTGAACATCGAGTGTATGTAGATGTAGGAATGTGCACCCTGACGAGGTCGACGTGGCAGTAAAAATTTGTCATGATTTAAGCCGGAAGACCATATGGACCAATGCACTAAAATTGAGACAATTACAGAAAAGAATGGGATTGTACTAGTACTTGCAACAATTGTGGAGAATCAGAAAAGTATTGTGTGCTGTAAGCACTATTACAATCAGCTGCATGCTAGTTGAATCCTACCACTCGGCCAAGCGCTTGCTAGCACTGTTTCATGCGGCAAGTACCATTTACAACAAACCCCCTAACAACTTTATCTCCTGAGTTGCGGATTTGTTCAGCACCACGTTTTTGACACGCCACAGCAAAGATCCTTCCTAACTAGCTCACAAGGGCTCAGGCTTAGTGTTCCTACTTAAAATGATGCGCAGACAGCAAGAACAGCAAAGTCCTAGATCTATGGCAGCTGATGTCTCACAACATGGCGTCACATGCACAATCGGAAAGATTGACAAGAAAACCACAATCATGCAGCTGCAGGCCACTTCCAGCTCCACTGAGCCTGCAGCACAATGACATAAATCTATGCAGCTTGGGAAGCCAAGGCGGCCAGAGCACTCTGTTGATCCTGCGGCAGGGCGGTGAGGAGCGCGCTGACATTGCAATTGGTCTGCATCTGCGCAAGGCTGTGCGCCACGTTCCTGCGGACGCCCTCTGCCACGGCCTCTACTGTCAGCACTGCCCCCAGCACCTGCATGCCACCATACACTTTGAGAGAGGGGAGAACGCAAGACATGGAGGCATTGCGAGCGCCAAAGTAGGAGGAAGGGCTGCCTCGTGGTGTGCATAGAGTGTATCGGACAAAACAAACATCTCCCGGCTCAGGAGCACTAATGATCACATTGCATGCATGCAGTAAAGTGTGGCTAGATGAGAGATAGGGCACACCTACAGTCATGCAAAAATGAAGATCAGCCTAAACTTTTGAACCTGTTCAAAGAGTCCGGCTGTTTGGTGGCAGCTGCCAACGAGGCCCCAAGCCGCCTTGTGCGCCACTAGAGCAACAGGCTACAGGAATATACAAATAGGCAGCCATTGTGCGAGTGCCACAGCACACAGAGCAGCCCAGAAAGAACTCAGGCACCACAGAATTTTGCGCAAGAGGTGAAGTGGCATGTCTTGCGAAGGGTGGGTACCTGCAGGATCTGGGGCAGGAGTGGGGCGACTCGGGGGCTGGTGTCGGGGTGCAGCAGCAGGCCGCAGAGCGACCCATACACTGCCTCTGCCTCATCCAGATCCTCCTGCAGCGGCAGCGCCCCCAGCAGCACTGGCACCACCTGCGCCCCCATGTGCAACCATGTCGAAATATCTCCCTGTCGGATATGCACACTAGATCACTTCCATATGCCTTCTTGAAATTGTGCTATCTCGATGTGGAACGCATTTGGATCCTGAAGCTGGCCACTGCGCCCCCAAGTGCAACCATGCCAAACAAGTGGCGCCCACAGCGGCCGCAAGGCCAATCGACCCTGGAGGGTTTGTTGCTGATCACCCCTGGTTAAATTCACCACCCAATGTCTCAGGGGGGTCCATTATATATACTCCACCAAAGCCGAGTGATCACTTGAAGTCGATTGGTCAAAAGATTCCCTGATTGGCGATATATGCCTGACCAAATTTCCCAAGCCTTCTTGCCATGGTCTTTTCTCGATGTGCAACACATCTGCATCATGGAGTTGGCCGATGGCTAGTGAATCAGATGTCATGTGCACACGTTCACCTTCCTAGCATCACAGCTGACACGTGCAAGCATTTGCGCAGCCCCTTAATCCATTGCAATGCTGAGAGCTCCTGCTGTCCTTCTAAAAGCCAATGCAAACGTCAAAGCAAGTTTTGCCAAGCACGGAGTCGGGGCTGGTACCTGCTCCAGGGGTGTCTGTGCGCCGAGGGTGGCGATGACGCGGCCGACGGCGCCGGCTGCATTGTCACGGGTGCCGGCATCCTCTTCTGCCCGGAACAGCGGGTGCAGCGCCTGCGCATCAACAACATCTCCCTTCACCACAAGCACTGATGCACCATTCAGAACCCATCAACGCTCCTACCGTTACATCTAGAGATAAGTTATCAACTTTTCTGACCAGCTCTGCATGCTGCTGCACGACCACGCAGCCCGCCAGGCATAGAATCTTCACCGCACTTCAACCATATAATTTCAGTGGATTTGTGAGTTCAGGGGGTTAAGGCCGTACCTGAAGGAGGTTGGGGAGGTGGGGGGCGGCGGCGGCAGGCACGGCCTGCACGAGGACGCCGGCGGCAAAGGCGGCATTGCGGCGGTTGGCGGCCGAGTCGTGGCGCAGCTCGCGCAGCAGCATCGGCCATATGCGGCCCGCGTACGGCACCATGTGGGCCCCCAGCTCCCTGGCCACCTCCGCCAGCGCTCCTGCGCATGCCAAAATGCATGTCGCTCAAGTAGCACGCCTTGTAAAGCATACATTCACAGGCCAGACGGTGCTGGCACCGGCTGCTGTCAAAGGCCAGCGTCCTTGAAACAGCCAGCACCGCGTGAAAAGCCCCTGTGCGAGCGCTGGCTGGTCAACGCACCAGCGCTGGCTGGTCAACGCCAGCTTCTAGGTGACACAATCTGACCATGCCTCTATAATGCATGACAGGCTGGCTCGTGAAACAGTTCAAAAACAGCACGAATGAAACAGCCAGACGAAAAAAAAGAGGCAGCTCACCGACACCGGCGGCGCGGATGGCGTCGGGTTGGGAGGCGCGCGTCCACTTGAGCAGCACGTCGGCATGATACTGCGCGAAGATGGGCGCGTACGAGTCCGGCCCCAGAGCGCGCGCCAGGATCGGCAGCGCATCCCCCACCGCCACCAGCAGGTTCTCGTCCGGGTTCTCCTGCACACATCAGCTAGTCAGATTTGTATCAATTTGTCATTAATTTGATTGTGAAAGGGTCCAGCATGTTCCTCCTGACTGCTGCTCCTGCATGAGACGTCTGAGAATTGTGGCACAGGATGTAGGATGATGTTGTCAGCTTATCAGCACCCACCTCGCTCTCCTCCTCATCCTCCAGCGGCTCCTCGTCATCGCTCTCTGCCACCTGGCACAGCGCCTCCCCTCGCGCCACCTATGCACCAATCCCTCCCTCCTTGGACAACCGCTCTCAAGGAAGCTTGGAGTGCGAACGGCAGTGCAACATGAGCATTACTCTCTTTCAAATGTAACTCATAGCGCTGTTCAATGCCGGAAATGGTGGACTGTTTTGCCTTACGAGCTAATCCTCCTAGATTTGAGCGGGGATCAGATGTGACAAGGCCCTCGGATCTGAGCATTACTTTTATACCAGTAATCCTGATGAATGGGCAGACGTTGCTGACGGCTTTGATGAGGCCGGGAGTTATACACAATAATCCTGATGGAAGGGCAGACCTTGGTGACGGCTTTAATGAGGCCGTCAAGGTGCTTTGCGCAGGCGGTGGGGCCGCAGCCGCGCACGATTTCGGCGGCGGCGGTGACTGCGACGCTGACGGCCTCCTTGTCGTCGTCCTTCTCCACGGCCTGCAGCAGCGCCGGCATCGCCTCGTCCACCACATGCGCCGTGTGGGGCGACACCTCACCTGCAACCCCACTCATCTCTTACTTTTACGCTGGACATAAACCTCGCTTTCCCCTCTGAATCCAAACGTACTTTCTCTCCACCACTTCCTCAGGGAAAGAACAGGTCCACGATGCATACCTCTCCTGCACAGCCCATATGCCCGCATTCTACCCAGCTCAAAATAACCCTCACTACCAACTCTCAAGTTCAGATCTCTTTTCTCTCAAAGATTAGCTCAGGAGCTGACATGGGGCGGTACAGGTCTGACAGGCTGGCGTGAGTGCAAACAGTCTCGAGTGCCCTTCCATGAAGCTGGTACGGTGATACTTGAAAATTGACCTGAATATGCAGGGGTATACAAGCGATTTTGCACACCTTGGGCGCTGGCTGGGAAGGCCTTGGTGGTGGCGGCGACCAGGAAGGATAGCGCCTCGTAGGCCTGCTCGCGCACATCATCGTGGAAGTAGGACGCCATGCGCAGCAGCACCGCCAGCGTCTGCTCTATGTACGGCGCAAAATGCGCCAGCGTCTCCCTTGCATACACCCCCAGCGCCTGCGTCGCCGCTGCCTTCTCATCCAGCACACCTGCAACAGAATTGAAAATCGATTTTTAGTAATTAGAAAAGCAATTTATTTCTCTTGAGCCACCGGATGAAAGGGATGGATTTGTTTGTAGCAACAATTCCTAGTCAAGACCGCAACTCAGACTCGCTGCACATCCAGTACATTGCCATCAATGACTCCACATCCATAGCTGCAAAACACTGTTCCAAGAACAGGCATAGATGCCACTCTTCGCATGCAGCAGCTGCTGTGCAGAGGTATCCAAGTGTCACTTGAAGTGCCATCCTAATTTGCGCGCGGAGAGAGAGCTTGCCGGTAGAATCAATAGCTATGCATTCTGTCTCACCCGCCGGCTCAATTTGGGCTCTGTACCATCGCTATGGGCAGTCATTCTTGACCTTGGCGGAGCGGAAAGTGGTGTTACAAGACCAGCTTTGCATGCATATCAAAGCGGGCACAAGGCAGCCAGGGGCAAAGGCCGCGCCTGTTCTGACATTGAGCCTGCGTGAGGGGTCCTCGTCATCTTCCTCGTCATCATCCTCATCTGCCTCGTCATCTGACCCGATCGACTCGCTCTTTGTCTCCGCCGTTCCCTCCTCGTCTGAATTGTCCTCCGCCACGCCGTCGTCCTGTTGCCACGCCAGGCACGAGTTGCAGCTTGCATGCCCAAAAGTCATGTTCTCATTAATATGTGTGTCTCCCTCAATGGACCAAGCCGTTTGGATGCATTGTCCTCACACGGGCATGGTGAGGTGCTGTTGGCATGTCCTGTGATTGCAACAGAGCTGCACCATTTTCTCCCTCAAGGCAATCCTCTAAGCTTATATAAGAAGCAAGTAGAGTGGTCCGTACATTGGCGCTTGTCTCTAGTCTTCACTTTTATGTGAATTTGACGTTGTTTCACGCTACCCAGCCCCTGCTTTTGCAGCTCGATTGATATTGGGCAGGCCATAACACGATTGGGCCATTTTCTCGGGTGCTCCTCTAGATTGGGCGGACTAAAGAAAGAGCGGAACAGGGCTGCGCCGCACCTGGGAGCAGGATGCGATGGCGGCCTGCACAGCGCTGGGCAGGAAGGGGGTGAAGTCTTCGCCCAGCGCCTCTGCCAGGTGGCCCAGCATGCCATTCGTGTACTCCCTCAACTCCGTGCTGTCCAGCGCCATGCCCTGCACAGGAGGCCACTCCGCTGAGCACTCCAACACCTTCATAGCTTGCTGGCTTCTACAGTGTACCATTGTCAAGGTAAACCGTTTCAGTGTATGATGATGCTTACTTGGAGAGCAAATACACACCTGCAGGGCCACTGCCACAAAGTCGGGGATGGAGGCGCCCATCGCTTCCTTGCCCACGTTGCATGCGATGATGCCCACTGCCTCTGTCGCGCGAGCCCGGCACGGCAGCATATCGCTCTGCGAGGCACACAAAATACAGGCACTGGGATCATGGGCTCTCCTGGCGCAATGCAAAAGATAAGCTCTGACTGAGCTGAGTGAAATGCACTGACTCTCCTTCCGTGGCCACTTGAAAAAGAAAATCTTTTTAGCAGTCGGCTGCTTGGACAAACACTGTGGACGCTCACCTCGGTGATGTTCATGTAGGATCGTAGCAGGGGTAGGACGGCAGCTGCGTACGGGCGGAACCCGGTGCGGGCTGCGGCGGCTGCGGAGGAGATTGCGCCAAGCGCACTCAGCTGCGACTCCACGCTGCCTCGCCGGCCCAGCACCTCGCTCAACCGCGCCAAAAGTGGCTCCAAAAACTCCGTTATCTCCTCCTCTGCACTCCACACCCTCACATCACTCCCGTGTGACACCCTACCGTCTGCACTCCACCCTTCCATAAATGCATCAAGCAACTCAGGCTTTGTGTGCAACGGGCAAGGCCAAGATGGGCGTTCCGTGGAACGGTTTGGAATCCCGGCAAACTGAGTGCCTTCGATGGGGCCCCTTCCCGAGTCAACCGCAATTTGCAGCTAGTTATGTTTACAGGAAGATGCTAATGCCACAGGCAACTTCTGTGTGGTGCAAGCATGGATGCTGCGCAGGTGCGTACCAAGGTGCTCGCAGAAGGAGTCGAGGGCGTAGCAGGCCTGCTGCTGCAGGGTGGGGTTGTCTTCGGCCATGGCGGCAAAGACGCAGGGCAGCGCCTCGCGCGCGTGCGCACTCATCTCCGGCTGGCAGTTGCCCGCCAGCTCCCCCAGCGCAAACATGGCCTGCCCCCGCACCTTAGCCTCGCCGTCTCTGGCGCCCGTTCCCACAATCTACACCAAGCGCAAGCAAGGCAATCAAATCCCATGAAAATCTTTACATTACACATGCCTGTCACTCACTTTCCCACCATCAGAGATCTGAGATCTAAGATCTCAGGGAATCGATGCTAGCATGCATCTTGCACGGCCCCTCTGGGAAGCATACTGATGCAGGGCCCTGGCTTTCATTGAGCGTATACAACACCTGCAAGATGGCTGGGAGGTGCTTCCGCACAGCGTCGGCGCAGCCTTCGGCAACGTCCACGATGACTGTGCATGCCGCCGCTCGCTGCAGGGGGTCTGGAGACTGGATGGCGGTCTGTGCAAAGGAGAGCGCCTCCGGCAGCACGTGCTTGGACGGCAGGTTCAGGGCCAGCACATCCAGCGCCTGCATACATCACAACTAACTATATGGACTGCATGATGATTCTGCCTGTGCGCAGATGCAAGGGGGGAAGTTATGTGCTGCGGCAGAATGATGTGGTTAAAGTCAGAAAATGCACCTGGGCTGCAAACTTTGAGGCCGACTGCTGGTCGTCATTGTCATGCTCTGGCGGCTCGGGCTCGGCACACAACCCACAGAGCGCTGAGACCACCGGCCGCACTGTGCCGGACTTTGCCAGCTGCTTCGGCTTGTACCTGGCCAGCCATTCCACCACCTGCAAGCACATTCAAATCACAATTATTGAACACCATGGTTCCTTAGGCGACCATGGCTGATGCCAAAGCCGGATCCGCAGGAAGAAGAGCAGGGAGTGCATATGGAGCAATTAGGACCAGGTCAGGGAGGTCACACCTGCAGGGTCATCTCCCGGGTGGCCAGGTCATAGGAGGTTGTGGTGGTGACCTGCATGCACCAGCGCACCAGGTCCGGCATGACCGGCCCCATCACAGGTGCAGGCGCCTCTATGAGGTCAATGAACAACTCGCACGCATCGATCGCCGCCTGCTCCTCCCCGCTGGCCAGCCCCATCTGCGCCATCTGCACCACAAGCACACAGAACTATTTCAGATAACACTCTTGCTCTTGCTTTCATTAAGTGCATCACTGGCATGCAGTACATGCTTTCGCAATGCGGGAAGCCTTACCTTAAAATGCCCAGCTTGGCAACGCAGAAGAGGCTGTGAAGCTGGGGGTCAAAAGCCTATGCAAGACCACCTCTGATAAGGTACAGAAGCTGAAACGGGGACATTGGAGCTAGAACAATTTTTGTGCTGGGGAGGGGAGGGGTGGCCCACCTGCAGCAGGGAGGGCACGAGCTCCCGGAACAAGCGGACCTCGGGCTCCTCGCCGACCCACTGCACCAGAGTGGACACTGCATCCAGCGCCTCTGCGCGCACCCGGGCGCTGCTATCCCTGAGCCCCGCCGACGCCACCTGCACCAGCGCCCCAAAGTGCGGCCGCATGTACTCGCCTGCACCATGCGCATTACTCACCATTTAGTAGCATTACTATGCCGGCACCGTAGGTCACTATGGTTTGCCGTTTGTTTCAGGTCCCACTTCCAAGCAATAGGACAGACCAGGGAGGCCTCACAGCACATCACCGTGGGCCCAGCCACACATCATGGAACCCGCATTAGATGCCAATTAAGGGAAGCTGATGGATGACAGAATCAAAGGTGTGGGCTGGGACCACACCGATCGTCTCTGTGAGGGAGCACAGCAGCACGAGGGCGGTCTCGCGGTGCGCCTCATTGGCGCTCTGCGTGCACTGGTGCAGCCAGGGCAGCAGCGTGGGCCAGTCCCCAGCCGGCACGTCCGTCTGCGAGATGGTCGCCACCACTATTGACAGCGCTCGCCGGACACTCGTAACCGGCTCGGCCGACAGAGCCTCCAGCAGCCCCACCTTGAGGCTGTCCTGAGCCTGTGCCAGACACTTGCAACATAAGGATCTGACTCATCTTTATACTACGTTGGTATGCCCATGACGTCACCTTAGGTTCCTGGAGAATGTCATGCATGGCACAGCATTACCTGCTTGGGGAGTTGGCGCCAGTGAGTTTTCATGCTCTTTCGCAGCGTCTGAGACCCCAGCAGGCGCACTTCTGCGCTCTCTGACTGCCGCACAGTGGACAGCAGCATCAGCAGAATGTCCCGCTGCTTGCACAGTGCCTGCACAGTTCACTTACACTCATTTATGGTATCAGACCCTCAGTGGTGTCTCCAGCATGCAGGCTCTGTGCTGGGTGCGAGATATTCCAAAGCATGTCGCGGATGAAATGTGCGACTTGTGGTGATCAGTCAAATTTGCAGCTGACCTTCAGAGCAGCCTCAGCCTGGGCTCTGCGCATATTCTCTGGTGACAGACATGCTGAAAGGATGCTTTCAAGATCATGCTGTCCATTCGCCATTGCTTATGTTCTCACCGGAGTTCTCTTGTCCTGCACACCACACACGGGGAATTGGCATACAGTATTGTAACTATGATTACTACGAAAAAGGCAACTACATCTCAGGAGGCAGAGTTTGCACCTGGTTTGCTTGTATAAGGAGTCAGTCGTCCTCTGGGCGAGGCACAGGTTTGTTGGAGTAATCCTCTAGATCAATCTTCGCTTTAAATCTCTGCGCATCACCACTCCAAGTGAGTCACTCCATCAATTCTTCAAGGTGGCAGCCAAGAGCCCTGAGGTTGGCTTTGTCACACTGGATGGCTTTATACATAGATGCTCACCTGCAGCTCTTCCTCTAAGCTTGCCTGGGGCTTGCTCAGCTGCGACTCCAATCCCAACTCTGCTGCTTTATTCTGAGCGTCCTGTAACATTAGCAGTTGTCGAGGCCCTCACATTGTGCACGACTATTCAGGTGCAGGCTTATCCAGAAAATGGTGTACAATATAGCGTCATCACTTTTAATTTCTCACGTGCCTTGATATCGAACTTTCCTTGCAGGAGCTTAGACAGGAACAAAGAGCCACCAGTGACTAAAAGCAGCATCGGCAGACCAATTCGGAAGAAAGCATCGCTCTGCCTAGGCATTCTGCATACCCTGCAATCATTTGAAAGCTTTAAATGTGCGAAAGCCAGCCATGATGAATGCTCTCGGTCATGTGCTTTCACCAATGTTCACAACGTGCAGTAGGCACAGAGAAGTACTTGGACTCAACTATTCGATCACTTCGATCGGTAGTGTGAGTAAATATGCAAAGTCAAATTTTCGCTGATTCATAACATTCATCGGAGGGAAGACAGACAGAAATAACAAACAAGTAAGCGCGTGCACCTTCGTGCATCTAGTCTCAGCCAATTGTTGTGTCAAGATGTCGAGCTCCAGTACTCTAGTGAGAACTTTTCTTCCTTTTTTGGTGCAGACAAATGTATTTAAGGGTCTTTGCGATTGCTGCTGCTGTTGCTCGCATCAAATGACGCCCAGGCCCACCTGCCAATATTGGCCACCCTGCGGCTGCTTCCGGTACTGCTTCCTCATTGTGAACCTCTCTCTCCCAATTTCAGATACTTCTGCCAAAATTGTAAATTGTTGTATCAGTTGCGCCTCATAATGCTGGACGTCAATCTTTTCCGAGAAGGTAAGATGATGGGTACTCTTGTTTGTGAATGTTCAGGGCAATGCAACGCACTATATCTCGTTCCAAGATCCCCTTTCTAATCTCTTTGGAATCTAGTTGCTTGCTGATCAACCATGTGGGTTCTCCACACCGCTGCTGCTTGCTACTGCAGGGAAGGGAGGCAATCCGGACCTCATCAGGGAATCACAGCGACGCCGATTCGCCGATGTTACCTTGGTTGATAAGATCATAGATCTGGACAAGCAATGGCGTGATGGTATGTTTGCTTTGACAGCTGCTTGCGCCCTCTTTGCATGCTCAGGAGGTGCCCATGTTGAAGCCTTCGTGTTTCTTACACGCAGCTGTGTACAATATGGAGCGCTTGAAGACAGAATTCAATGCTCTCAACAAGGCGATCGGGGTGAAGCGCAAGGTAAGCCAGCCCTTGCAGTCTGCTGGTGGCTTGAAGCCGACTGACAACACTCCTGCAGCATACTAAGATCTGGCATGCTGCATGCACACTTGATCTTTCCAAACTATGGCATGTTGACATTCTGTGACACAGTTTGATGTTGCTGCTTATTGCATAGGCAAAGGAGGACACAGCAGAGCTGCAGGAGAAGAGCAAGGGGCTGAAAGCAGACATTGTGGCGGCAGAGGAGAATGTGAAAGCAGCAGAGAAGACCCGGGACAAGACCATCATGCTCATAGGCAACCTCGTGCCCGACTCTGTGCCAGTCAGCAATGACGAGGTGGGCAAGCCTGCTTTTCCATGAGACCTGAACTAATACGCTGCATGTGAGCGATGACTCCTGTCATAAAGCTACCGTGTGTGAAGGCTACCTGTGATCTATCCCCAGGTGGACAATGTGGTGGTGAAGACATATGGCGAGCCAAGGGAGGAGGATGGTCTGCGGAATCATGTGGACCTGGTGCAGATGCTGGACATTGTTGACCTGGAGGCAGGCACCATGGTTGCAGGTGCGCACTCCTGTGGTGGCCAGTCAAGGTGGCTTGCATTTAGCCAAATCACCGCAAGGCAGATCTTTGTGCTTTCATTGGCGCTCGCACTGCCTTGTCTGTCTTGCATCGACTCTTGACTTGCTTTGATTTCATGAATGAGCACATCAGCAACAAAATGTAGACTTTCCAAGCTCTTACCACAGTGAAGACACCATGACTGGCTGATGAAGACCCAATTGAGTTCTGATGCATGCATGCATGATCATGGCAGGTGGGCGCGGCTTCTACCTGAAGAATGAGGGCGTGCTGCTGAACCAGGCAATCATACAGGCAGCCCTGCACCATGGCTATGCTCGAAAGTGTCAGCCAGTGATGACTCCCTTCTTCATGCGTCAAGACATCATGGCAGAGTGCGCTCAGCTAGAGCAATTCGATGAGGAACTCTATAAGGTCACTGGTGAGTATTACAACCCGACACCTCAATGTTGACCATATGTCTAGCGCTGAAATTGTTCCTCTGCAGGAGATCTAGGAGTTTCTCCGGGGCTGATCTTTATGCTGATGCTGGTGTGTATCACTCTACAGGGGAGGGAGATGACAAGTACCTGATTGCCACATCAGAGCAGCCGCTGTGCGCAATGCACAGGAAGCTGTGGTTTGAGGAAAGCCAACTGCCCCTGAAGTATATAGGCTACTCCACATGCTTCCGCAAAGAGGCCGGCAGCCATGGGCGGGACACTCTTGGCATTTTCAGGTCAGCTGGCTGCCATCATTTTGATGTGCAGAGGACAGGACTTCCATATGATCCTGTGGTGGGAAGTGCATGCGACACAGCATCCCTAATCAATATGTGTCTCATGGTGCAGAATACACCAGTTTGAGAAAGTCGAGCAGTTCTTCGTGACCTCGCCTGACAATGATGCGTCATGGGCCGCCTTGGAAGAGATGCTCACCAATGCAGAGGACTTCTATCAAGCGCTGGAAGTCCCCTACCACGTGAGTATTGACTTCCACCGCCATGGATGATCCATGTGGATGGCATTATTGGTTCAATTTTCTTGGTGATGCATGCCACTCGCTTGACGTGTGGATTTTGGATCAGTGGAAAAGCAATTTATGGGAAATTGTGCTGTGTTGGTGATCACAGGTGGTGAACATCGTCAGCGGGGAGCTGAACAATGCGGCAGCAAAGAAGTACGACCTTGAAGCATGGTTTCCAGCCTCGAAGAAGTATCGGGAGCTGGTGTCCTGCTCAAACTGCACAGACTACCAGGTGAGTTGTTTAGGCTCCCTTCAATTGAAAACCTACACTGGCGCTCGCACTGACTCTCATGTATGCATTCTCTCCTGTTTCAGATGAGCTCCTGTGCACCAACTCTGTTGAGCTACCTGAGGGTGCGGGAGTTTGCGCCTCTTGTTCATCTTGGTCGTTTTGGAATGATGCCAAGGGCCAGTGTTATGCTGGGAGCAGGCACGGCGATTGGAGGTGCGCATGCGGACGCCCAAAGTGCCAGGCAGCGATCTGAACCGCAAGGAGTATGTGCACATGCTCAACTGCACGCTGTCTGCAACTGAGCGCACCCTGTGCTGTCTACTGGAAAACTACCAGACTCCCGATGGCGTGAGGTACGTTTAAAATACATCTCGCTTGTTGCTACATTGCATTGCTTCGCTGCCTGCAGCGCAGCTGTAATTAAAACAGAGGGAGCATGGCTGCACACACCTTGTGAATGCAAAGGCAGAAATTGAACAGTCGTCCCCCGTGCAGGGTGCCCAAGGTTCTGCAGAAATTCATGCCGGGAGAACTGGACTTCATCCCATTCAGGAAGACATTTGACGCCAAGGGCAAGCTGGTGCCAAAGTAGCGGAAGCTGCGAGCTTGATTCCTTTTTGTTGCATGCTAGTGTACGTGGCTTTTGATAATGTTTGTGTAACACGTCTGGGCAGTTCTGCTGAGCGAGCTTCATCTGTATGCGCTGTGAGGCTGCGTTTGTAATGATACAAGGACCGTGACTACTTTACAAGGAAAATCATGTATAACAGAAACTCTTGTGCAATTGCTTTTTATTTTGCACGCGTGGCGCACAAACAACAACAGAATTCCTAGGACAGCATCCTCTGAGCACCCTTCACACAAAGCCTCACAGATCCTCAGCTAGCACAGTTTCAAATGAGAACGGCATGAATTTGTATCCATCCCCTGCACGCACAAAATGAGCGGTGAGACCTTGTGATGCATGCGACTATTGAGGGCACAAAACCTTTCGAAGTCCTTTGCATGGCAATCACTGCATAGATTCTCTCTTGAGAGGATGGAAGTTGAGGACTCACCATGGTAAAACTTGTTCTGGAACTCCACCCAGTGCAGACGCAGCGCATGCAGGAAAGCTGACAGGGTCTCCATGAGCATCAGCACGCCCAGCGTTGCAAGAGCAAACACAAAGAAGCCTGCAGCCCAGCACAACAGAATTACAATCAGCCCACGGTGTCTTTCAGTTGTAAGCTTGCAAGTTGTATGCACCTGTCCAGGAGGATCTGCATCAGGAATCCCATGGAGATTCACTGCTGAATTAAGTCAAAAGAACGCAGTACCATCACACGGGTGCCTCACCTATGAAGACAGCGACCCAGGAGTTGTACTTGATGGCGGTCATGAGGACGCGGTCATAGAACACGGCGGACAGCTGCGAGTGCGCCAGCGACAGCGCCCACAGCCGCAGGTAGCTGGCAGTGTTGCTGACAGCTCCCAGCACAAACTCGATGGTGTGGATCATCTGCAGCACAACAGCCCTTGCCTGCTCAGGGAAAGCTCACACAAGCAGACAATTCGAATGCTTCTCAAAAGTGAGATAGCATGCAGGAAGGCGTGAAGGCAACACCTTCTCTTCTAACAGGTGGCTGGCAAATTGAAGGATGCTCTGGGAGGACAGCGCTCCCTCACACGAATACGCCAAATCCTGATGAAAAAGACAGATCATATGCCTTGTGTGTGGGAGCCTGACAGGAGGTTGGCACAGGAGGACAGGGAACGCCGCGTACCTGGTGCACCATGACCTCGCCAAAGTCAAACTCCTCCTCATGCTCGTGCGCGGGGGCGGCCATGCGCAGGACGCCGCTCTCCTCGTCCTCGTCGTGGGGCGACACGCGCCCGTACTCCTCCAGCTGCGCCGCGCGCGCCTTGAACCGCTTCTGCAGGATCAGCGGCTTGGGCAGCAGCATTATCGGCACGCTCACCAGCGCTACCAGCACCAAAAACACCTGCGCCGCATCACAGTTCTCATTGATAATAAACACAGGAACAGTCCTGCCAGCTTCCTTAAAAGTGCGCCAGCTTGCCAGATGCAAAGCTTCCCTTTCCCTGAACACCTGGAGGCAATATAATAAATATGCCCTGCGAGCTGATGAGCGATCCGTCTTACCCCCAACAGGCCCGACTATATCATGCAGCATAAGGCTCTTTATTTAAGAGGGCCCAATTCTGCCAACAGAGCTATCCTGACAGCTGCTTCAATATGACCACATGCGTGGGGAGGTGTGCGCACCTGCAGGGGCCCCTGCCCGGTGAACATGATGTTCTCGGGGCAGGTGAGCTTGCCGGAGACGGGGTCGGCGCACGCGAGGCCGTTGGTGCCGGGGCTGAGGAACATGTAGATCATGACGTGGTAGAGGTCGGCGGTGGACCCGGAGATCCACTTGCCCACAATGAGCAGGCAGAGGTAGCCGAAGAGGCCGTTGAGGAAGATCATCTGGGGGATGAACTCGCAGTAGGTGGACAGGCTGTCCCGGAAGTAGCGCTGGTTCAGGTAGGACAGCACTATACCGCCGTTCATCTGGATCACGCCTGCGCAGGAGCAGTGGTGCGAGTCAAAATGAGCCATAACGGTCAAAACCACGCTCCGCAATGTGGAAGTGCTGGAGTCACCAGACCAGTGCATGCACTTGGCTTAAGGGGGGGTCCAACGTCTCAAGTGGAGTGCATACCATCTGAAAAAAGTGCTAAGTCAAATCACTTGATTGCCATGTGGGTAGGCCCACACTTTCCCATCACAAAAGGATGGTTCCTAATTGCTCACCAAGAAGGATGGAGATCTTCATCTTGACAGAGTTGAGGAACTGCAGCTCCGTGCGAGTGCCCTTCCAGGTAGGGTCCACTCCAAATGGGTATGGGGACTTGGAGTTCATGGCCAGGCCATCAGAGTACGCTGCCGGGCACAGCGCCGGATCAAAGTGCATCTTCACCCTGTCCGTGACCTGGTACATGCACAGCAGAAAGTAAGCGCCCTGACATGTGCATGAAAGGTCATTTTGCCAACAGGCACTTGTTTGCAGGCAACCCAGAAAGTTAGTAGCACAGCCATGGAGTATAGGGCAGTAAGCTTAGAAAGACACCCACCGCAGCGTTTGTGGGGCAAGCCCAGTGCCCAGATCCAAAGACACTCAGTGGAATGGCGAAGGCTTCATTGTAGATCAGACCAGTGTAGATGGAGAAAATGGACATCAGCAGGATGCAGTAACGGCCTGCGCACAGCTATGCTTGTGAGACCCTGTGACCAAACCAAGCCTCATCAACACTCTTTCAAAGACGCGTTTCAGCAATTGTGGAAGTGTGAAAAACATACCGCCAAAGCACATCTCCACCATCTCATTGAGGGTGGTGCGCCCCAGTGCCTTCTCATTCAGCACCAGGTACAGGGCGAACAGCAGCATCAGGAAGCCGTGGCCCACATCGCCAAACATGACGGCGAACAAGAAGGGAAACGTGACGATGGTGAAGATCTACGCCAAAACCCAGTCGTCAGAAGCTGCTCACACCCAGTAGTTGGTGCCCTGATCGTATTTATATATGCAGGCCCTAGTCAGCACAGACAACACATAGGAACAGGCTCTACAGTGTACGAGAGTAGCAGAGAACACACCGCTGGGTTTGCTTCCCTGTATCTTGCAATACCATAGGCGTCCACAATCTCCTGGAAACAGCTGGTGACCTTCGAGGTGGCAAAGTATGTGGGCGGCATCTCGTATGTGACCAGCGGCTGAAAGATGGTCGTCACCTGCCAGACACAACCAAAAAATAAACAAACTATATCCCCATATGGCTCAAGATTGGGGAAGCACCACCAAGATGGGCACCATCAAACAAATCTCACAAATCAATTCAAGACGGAATGCAAGACACTACAAGGTCGTGTGAGCACCAAGAAAGGAGAGGTAGGGCTGCAATGACTGCACATCAGGGCGCCACAATCAGCACCATGCACAGCCCTGCAAGGTATTCTGTGCCTTCCGTGGGACCTCTTTTGAGGTCATATACTGATGGAATGAAGCGTGCTCTACAGCGGAAAATGCACATCATGGATGCGGGGGAAGTGTGCTGACCGAGGCTGAGGTGGAGTGGGACACTACAAATAATTGCGAGCAACAAGAAGGGAAGAAGGGCTGCACTCACTGCAAGACAGGGAACCACCACAGCACAGCAGGCGGGCTCTATAGTGGACATATCAGGGTGTGGGTCAAGGAAAAGTGGGCTGACCGAGGCTGAGGTGGAGTGGGCGGCCTCTCGCAGGGCCTCATGCACGCGCGGCTTGGCAGAGACGGGGCACCAGGCCTCGGCCACGAGCACCTTGCGTGTAACGTCCACGCTGCACTTGTTGAGCACGTGGTAGATCGCCTTCTCGCGCTTCACCTGGGCTATCCACGCCTGCAGCGTCGCCCCCAGCGTCTGCAGCACGTTGTCCCTGTGCCGCTCGCCTGCACATGCCACCGTGTACACTTCAGTATCATGCACAGCCCTGCATTGGGGTACCCAAAGGTGACCTTTGAACCTCCAAAGCTGATTTCTGCAGTAGCACGCGTATGGATTGGGGCGGGCCATGGAGCCTTCATACGTCACCGCCTTCTCCAGGGCATCTCTTCAACAAAAATCCTGATGAAAAAAAGCAGTAAAACAAATGAGCATCCCATGGATTCATTGACTTGGTGCATGCGCATGGGCTGCACCTGCTTCGATGGTGGTCTGCAGCTCGCGCAGGCGGGCGGTGACCTCAGCGTTCATCTGGCGTTGGCGCGTCGGGTCCTCTGGGAAGGGGTAGCGGTTCGCGCTGAACGCCTCGCAGATCTGCGCATGCCGGGAGTCAATTACCGCCAATATGCTTGAGGCAACCTTCTGGTAGGTCTCATCCATCCATTGCCAATATCAGTCTGCTCCTCCTAACCATACAGGACTCCGAAGATGGCGCAAGTGCACACCTTGAGGATCTTGGTCCGGGCCCTCTCTCCGGCAAAGAACACCACGAAGACTGCCTTCTCCACCTTCTCGGTGGTGGTGGGATCCACGACAGCCCCCACGGACGACCACTTCAGGTACATGTTGCCGCGCGTGGCCCGGAAGAGCAGCCGCTCAAAGGCGTTCAACTTGTCCTCAGGGATGGTGCCCGCCACAAAGCCCAGCCGCATGCTCTTGGGCTCTGGCGCGCCACCCTCTGGCAGCAGCGGAGCACCTATATCGGACCCACCTGCAGTTGGATCCCCAGTCTCTTTTCCTGGAAGCGCAGTGTTACTTTCCTATATCTGTGATTGCCATGCATGCACCGACCTGGCCTCACCCCTGGCCTTAGTCTAAGTCTGATGCAGGACAAGCATCCCTTCCACCCTGAAGGAGAGATGCACGAGAGGACAACCATTCAACAGGCAGGCTCCAACATACCGTCTGCTGGCCGCGTCTCGAAGGCAGATGCCGATGCGCGATGCTGCGCGTCGTCAAAGAAAGCAGAGGCCTTCTCCAAGACCAGCTGCAGCTCCACAAGCTCACTGAAGCTGCGCGCTAGCCGCTCTGCATTCGCATTCACCTCGAGCAGCTCCCTTTCCAGCTCCTCCAGCTTCCCCTGTCCACATCCAAAGGAGAGTGAGTAATTGCGTACTTGCATGGGGGATAACACGAGCATTGTAGGAGCGCAAGTTCGTTCATCTCACCTCGAGCTCATCAAAATCAAATTCCCTCTCGGCACCTAGTCGCGTCCCTGTGATGAGTCCAGACTTTTCCACCTGTGAGACAGCACACAGGGGAAAAATTAGCTGACTACAAGATGAGTGAAGAAGTAAAGTCTACACAAAGTAAATTCATCCTTAGCATCAGGGACTGCTGCAAACCATGCACTTGCCTGGTCTGAGAAGAACCTCAGCTTCCTCGCCATGTCATCACACCTTTTCACCTGCGTATCATGTGCATGCTTTCAGTGATATTATGAATATGGCGTAAGTCATGATGTTCTAGGTCTACTGACTAGGCACATCGCAATTACTCGATACGTGACACCTCACGGTAGGGCACAGGCGATCTCCACGAAGATATTGAGAGAGCAAGCTCCCACCGTGTACAGAATTCGCAGACAGACAATTCAAGCGGTAAGGTTTTCCTGGTAAAGAAACAACGTACCTGATTGGCGAACGTTCTTTGAAACGCAGATTTGTCCGAGTTTAGGTCCTTGAACTGCAGCAGCCCAACCTCCCCCAATGCAGCTATGGTGTCATGCGCCGATTCTGCTGGCATCATCAGCTGCGAAATGCACATTCGAAATTAGTTGACACAGGATCGACGCAAGGCAACAGAGTAAAGTTTCCAACAATCAGATGAAGCCCTTCGCACCTGCATGAGCTGCATCTCCTCGCTGCGAAAGTTCTTCATGATGGCTCGAGTTCTACAAGGAAACTTCCTTTGTGCGATGCCGAGGTTGGCCACTCACTGCTTCGTACGAGAGTCCAGAGAGGACACAGTGACCTAAAGTGCCCTTGTCAATCTTATAGGGGCCGGTGCTCTTAAGCCCCAGTCACACTATGCTCTAGCTTACCATTAATGACGCAGAATGTATTGCTCAATGGCCTTGAGGCCGTCCCTGATCCTGACATTGTCCAGTCTTCATGACTAGGGAAATTTATTAGTCCAGGATATTTATCACTGCCCTCACGCTTTCGTTTAAACAGGGTATAAATTTAGGGCAAGCCTAGGGTGACGACCACGCGTAGGGTGACGACCACGCGAGATGCAGAATTCTCTGTCTCTTCTCAGATATATTACATTGTTTGTGGAGGGAAAGCACCAAGCAGAAGCAAAAGTCGCCTTAGGGATTTTGATTTGTGAGACCCAACGGCAAAGGCTTGTTGGAAAGACTTAGTATACAGGAACTTTGATCCACGTTGCCTAAGCTAGTACCACGGCAGACTGCCCATTCTTCCCAACGGTCGAAGATTTTCGCTGCATTGTCTCCGTTTATCTTTTCTTGGCTTCCTACGGGCACCTTGTTTTTGGGAACTGGCCAGATCACAAGCGTTCGACTCCTTACCGGAATTTGACGCTGCTGGCCTGAAAGCGGAAGGTTCATACGCATGTCTGCAACATGGGCAACGTTGTAATAAGTGACCTAAGCCACTAAGCCACCCCGCTTCAGCTCGCTTGGACAAGTCATCATCACCATTGCTGTGCACACGAGCTTGTAGTCTAGGCATTGGGATCAGGTGCAGTATTTAGATAAAGAAGGACTTCAGGGAACAATATGACGAAGACATTTTCCCCAAAGGCCCCAGGGGCCTACAGCAGCGCTGAGTCACCACCACGCATGATGTTTCCTAGCGCAGTTTCAGCTCCAGCCACCAGCAGTGATTGGGCTGCCACAGAACAATTGCGCCAGAAGGCAGCAGATAGAGCGCGACCCAACAGATCTGGTGTGTTTCCTTCCCATTTTGAGCCCTAGCCCTTCAAGGTAGTCGTGACTTTACACGGGATACTTGCTTGGACAGCAGCGATACTATCTGTATGTTGAGAAGGTGTCCTGTGCACTATCAGGCTACTACAAAGGAGAAGGCAACTCCTCCCCGTCTCTGGACAGGTCAGCCTCGTTACTGGAAGAGGGAAGAGCGGGAGCCAGCCCTTCTAAACACACTTTCAGCATTGAACAGCCTTCCGCAGCAGGTGCATGGAAAATAATCTTGGAGCTTGGACATGCCTTGTACCCGACTGACTTTCATCAAGGCTGGCAAGCAAGTGGACAGGCAGAACAGCTGGAGCATGGCTTTGTTGATGGCCATGTGGCATTTAGTGTTTGCTGTGTGTGCAGAGGAACCACAGGACATTCCACTCATACACGTCAGATGGGGTGAGGATGGTGCTGAGGTCAGCGCAAACCCCAGCCATGCCAGGTTCGCCAACCTTGCACCCCCCTTGTCTCCTCATGTCCAGAACACTGTCCACCACCACCAAGGTCTTCCCTGGGGCACCTGTGCTTGTGTGCGGGGCTGAGATCTGCAGCGTCCACTGCTGAGCTGGTGAATGTTCCTGGCAGAGATCTCCGCGCAGTCGAGCCCGGCACACCGCCGCGCGACCACCGCAGCCCGGCCAAGAATTATCCGACGCCGGAGCCGTCAGCGAATCCGTACCAGGAGGAACCCGTAGTGGGCAGGAAATGGAGAGGCAGCTGGGGAGGTGGCCTGCTATCTGCGCCCTCCAAGCGCTCACGTTGCCCCAAGCCCTGCACAGTCTTCATCACCATTCTGGTCCTGCTCGCCGTGCTGCTGATCGGCCTAACCATCGGCCACTTTGTGGCCCCCTACGTCAGAACCATGGTGTGCCTGCCCCTCCCCTTGCTTTCTGACAGCCTCCCTTTTCCTTCAGAGAAGCCCATGCTGCTTTCTGCGCAGCTGTCGTCCAATGAACAGGGGCTCCAACGTGCGCATGTACTTCTGCACACAATGTTGATCTGTTCGCTCGACCTTCTGACAAATGTCCGGATGGTGTCGCATGGTGACCTGTCAGCTTGACTTGATCAGACACGTTTGACATATACATGGTTGCTGTGCGTGCAGACCTACTTGCATGCGCCTGCACCGGCGCCGGGCTTGGAGGCGGTCCCTGCAGCGGCGGGCATGGACAGATCTGGCGGCCAGGACGGAAGCAGCATAGAAGGCGTGGGCATCGGGCTACAGACGGACTACCCATCAACGATTCCGGCAGATGGGACTTCTGTCACCCCCACGAGAAATCCCTTCCTCGACGGGGCAAAAAGGCAGGGGTCGGGATCCACCACACTGACCCCGGACGGCCAGGGCCCTTAATTCTTGAAGGAAGATTGTTCAGCTGCTGTCAGTGTACATATGAAAGACCTGGTTTGGAGAAGGACCTTGACCTGATGTGGCAAGCTTTATTTCCAAATCAGGCAGACCCCATCAAAGGACATGTCCTTGTGAGAGGAAGAGCCAAAGATTCCGTTTACAGAGTGGCATCAGGAATGTTGACAAGACAAGGATGCCGCTGAAATGTTGAGACATCCTAGGATTGCTCAGCAGGCTATGCTTTTGCATCCAGAGTACATGTAAATAATTTTGCTTGATGAATCTTTTGAATGTTACACACATCTGTCTTCACAGAGTTAGTGCATCTCTGTGTATCATTTCCTTAATTTGACTTGGCTGAGTCAGCCTGAGCACTGATACTGTAGTAGAAAAATGTAATTATCAGAATCACAACCACATTTTATGACCTTCTTGCGCTGTACTTGGACCCATGAAACTGAATGAGAGCATCCCATAAGAGCATCTTCTGAAACGTTCGCAATTTGACAGCTTGAAGCTCAAGATAGCTCAGTACAGGAGGGCTCTGCTTGTTGTACTCAGGGGTGCTCGCTTCTATGCAACCACTGTCCTCCAGTAATTGGATCGCCTGCCCAAACACATTTTGCAACTAATTACACCAGACAGTGCTCTTTTCATCTTAATTATCGACGTTTGAAAGTCACACTACTAGCACCATGATTTATCAAGCACAAAAGTAGAGCAGCGGGTCCCACCTCCATGTAGTGCTCCTCTAACGCAGGGAAGTAGCCACCATCTTCATCCGGCAAACTTGATGCCAGGATGTGCAGGTCTTCCAAAATATGACTGTAGCCTGGCGAGCTCAAAAGCTGCATGGCACAACACGGTTTCTGTTGCAAGCTGCATGAGTGCTGCACATTCCAGATCTATTCCAGACGACCGAAGTGAAGGCTTTTCTTCTGCATGCAAGAGAGCTGGCATTACCTCTTCACAGCGTTTTGCCAGTGCTTGTGTGGCATACCATTGCCCTCTTGACCCTCCGCCAGAGAGGTCGGTCAGAGCAGCAAACAGGCGGTCATCCAGTCTGCTTCCAGCTGAGAACTGTTCAAAGACACGCTCTGTCACTCCCTTTGATTTATAATGCAAGTGCCACTTGTCATTTATCAACATATTCAGAGCGCCACAGTATATCATCAGGAGCACTGCAAGAAACAATGGGTAGCACTTGCCTTCACAAGGTCAGCCTTGTCTTCCACATCGATGTGCAGAGGACCCGCTGCAGCTGCATCAGAGGCATTTTGAGCAGCCTGTATGGCTCTGTCAATGCGGTCTTCGATCTCCAATTTTTCCTCTGGAAATCTCTGGTAAAGCAAGTCAACCACAGGTGCTTACACAATGCTAAAAGATGCAACACTGAATTTGACATGGATTCCGGTACGCGGAATGGAGAATTAAACAATGCAGACCATGAGATGCGCACACCTCTGGGGTGCAGGAAGCCACTGCCCAGTGCACTGCTTCAGAGATGCTCTGGAACAGTATAACCTGCTCAAACTGGTTGCGGGTTGGCCTGCAAACATTAACAGCCCTCAGCACATGCTGTAAGACAACTCTTGGCTCACGACCGGGATTTTTTGCATGACCATTCTTGGCAGAAGGCGCTATATCACTGGCGCAAGGTGTACATATAGGAAGGGAAATTGAACTCACACAAAGCCATAGTGCAGCAAAAATTGGGAGCCTGGCTCTGCGCTGTAGGAGAGCCAGGTATCCTCCCCAGCCTCAATGTCCTTGGTGGCCGAAACAACCATTTCCCAGTCTCCGCCTTGGGAATTTCCTGGGCGCACAATGTCCCACCTGCACACTTTGCGCATCACTGATTGCTGCCACCAAACATGTCTCTGTTAATTGGGCAGCTGGGACTGAGTCAATACATGTGCCTCACCTGACATTGTCTTCGGTTTCTGACTCATCAGAGAGCAGAAATGAACACTCCTTCCCTCGATGATTGAGCATGTCTACCAGGGGCATCAGCATGTTTATGCTGATGTCATCATCTCCTTGCTTTCCAGGCACTGAAAATGCCCTGGAGTGAGCCACCTGCCAACATCAGATTGAAAGGATTCGCAAGAGGTGCTATATATGTGCAGCAGGAATGTCCATAACAGCGGGGTTTTCCTTGTTTACGTTGCACGCACCGAAATAGCCCATCTGAAGTCTGCTTCTGTGGCGGTCCCGATGATCTGGATGTCCTTGATCTTTGCATATTCAGTCGGGGCTCTCTGCTTTGCTTTCCTCAGGTCGCACTCAGCCACAGACCCTTGAAGAGCGCCGTACAACTCCTCAGGGAAACTTCCATAAAGAGACGGTACCTCCTCAGGCAAGACCTGTTCCCCAGCAATGTCCATGTCAAGTGCATGTTATTGGGCAAATCCTTTCAGCAGAATTCGGGTAAAGCTGGTCTCACCTGGAGCCAGGGATACCGCTGTGAGCTGTCTCCCTTGTTTCTCTCCTGCAGCAGCTGCACTGCTAGACGAGACACCTCCAAAAGATCGTCTCCCAGCTCATCCGGTGCTTGATCAATGATGCCGAGCCGAAGGGGTACATTTAGCAGGGACTCTCCTTGAGCCACACCCTGCACTGAGCTGCCACAGCTCAAAAGTTCTGCGTACAGTATCCAGATCCCTAAAGATGAAATTGTCAGGCCTCCTTCACTGCTGGTAGCGTGACCAGCAAGAGGAAAGTGGATATCGTTGTAAAGGAGAGAACAGATCTAGCACCTTGGTGCACATCAAGCCTCGCTCTCCGCTCTCAGTAGTGTACAGAGCAATTTTGCTGTCTTCTTCACCGATGCCTCTGACCCCGTTCGCCCTCAGCCAAGACTGGAAGTTCTGGAGGTCTGTCCCAAATGCTGCCGATTCTTGGGATGTCTGTGAGCATCTTGTTCTCATATGCAATCTCATATGCCGTCTTGGTGCCCCACGGAAGATCGTGTGTGACGTGCATAAGGTTCCATTGAGGCTGTGGCTTGACATGCCGTGCAGCTGGTGCTGCCCCTGGAAACTGCCACATGGCAACATTCTGCAAGCCTTGAGAAGAAGAAACCAAAACCAAAAACAATCACAAAAGTGGCTCTACAAATCTACTCGGTGTCTTCAGTACTGTCTCTTACTTCCGATGCATGACATTGGGTCCAGACATGATGCATTGTTCCTACGCCCTCAGGAGTGGTTAGCGCGTTCAGAAGAATGTCTCTGCAATTCTACACAATTCGTTGCCACTCTCGCCTCGGCATCCTGCTCGATGAATGCAAGTGCTGTTAACATTAGTCATATCCCCAACACCTGGCACCCAGAGATGCTGCAATTGTGCAGCATTGTACTCAGATTTTATCTGCAGTGTGGTAGCAGAGGGCTTGGTTGAGCGATGCAAACATTTCCGAAGCTCGACAATTGCCGGAAGCAGACAAGTCGAGCACTGTGTACTGCCTAGCTTTTGCGAAAAAGGAGAAAGGAAGGAAATGTGGGGTGGTGGTGGGAGGAGGCGTATTCTTTCGAAAGATTATACTCTGTTGAGAGATGATCAGGATGCTGATGACATTGAAATTGGGCAGCAGAGAAATGGCGCCAGTGCATGGAGACTTGTCAGTCTGGCAAAGAAAGAAGCGTTAGTGAGACCCTTAGCTTGACCCCGGGACAAAACTACCAAATTTAGACCCTGTCACATCATTTACGTTGTCAGATAAAGAGAGCTTCAGTCCTCTCCCTGTCATATTGAGGATCTTGATCTGAACGTAGGTGCTTTTTCTTGGGACGCTTGCGTTGGTCGTGGGATCCTTGGCGACAGTGGCAGTCCCCAAGCTTGCAGGAGAGCTCATCGATGTTTGCATCAACTATGCAAAGGAGGAGAGTTCTGGGGACGTGGCAAAACGTGTGCTCAACCAGAAGCTCTTCCAGATCATTGGTATCCTTGCAGTTGGCGGGGTTGCAACCGGTATCAGGAGCTGGTGCGTTACCACATATCTTCTCTCAACATAGCGCAGTGTACTTGGTCCTGACAGATTTTGCAGAATCACCGCACTCCAGCTTGTGATGCATGGAAGCCATGGCATGCTCCTGGCGCCCACCGATGTACCTTGTGTGGTGCAGGCTGTTCAATGCCAGCGCGGAGAAGGTAATGTGGCGGCTGCGGAACAATCTCTTCTCTCACATAATTCTACAGGAGGTGGGATTTTTTGACCGTGTGCGGACAGGGGAGCTCATGAATAGGCTGTCCGAGGTGAGCCGCAGCTCTCATCCATACATGCTACGTGCCTGCACATTTCATCTCACTTGTTAGCAATTATCCCTTACAAATTGCTGTGCTGCACGCAGGACACAAGGCTCATGAAGAGCGCTGGAACAATTTCCATATCTATCGCACTGCGGTCATCGGTGGTGGCCAGCTTTGGCCTGGTTCTGATGTTTATGACGTCCCCGCTGCTGTCGGCTCTGACACTGGCATGCCTGCCATTCCTACTGGTGTCCTTCCGCATCTTCAGCAAGCTCAACATGAAGTACACGGCCGAGATGCTGACAGCCTCTGCACAGGCCGCCACCGTGGCTGAGGAGTGCTTCGGCTCTATTCGCACGGTGAGAGCCTTGGTTGCGCATTGCAAGAGACATGCATATAATAATTTGTACCTGTGCGAGATCTAGAGAGCCGTGTATGGCATCACCTGTATGCCGTGCAAGCTGCTGAGTGGAAGGATTGTTGGGTGCTACGCAGGTGCGGTCTTTTGCAAAGGAGACAGCATCAACAGAGAGATATGGCGGAGCGCAAGGGCAGGTTTTGCAATGGGGCCTCAAGTCGGCGCGCGCTTCCGGCTTTTTCTTTGGGTTCAACTCCATCATAGGCACTGGCTCCATCGTGACAGTGCTCTGGTTTGGAGCTCGCCAGGTAGGCCCATGGCTTACAATTAGTAATGATATCAATGCATGCGCATTGTTGAAGGATTAGTCTGTAACTATTGGTTCACCATGCATCAACACCAGGGATATGGCTGTGCAGGTCGTTGATGGAAAGCTCTCGGCTGGTCAGCTGAGTTCTTTTGTCATCTACGCCCTCTATGTGGGCACAAATGTTGGCGCCCTGGCTGGCGTGATTTCCAATCTGATCCAGGTAAGCACGAGAACTTTGCACCTGTGTTTTTTTCATGAGACCGGCAATTCTGAATGTGTTTGCTTGCTATCCTTGGATGAGGGTTGAGTTTTTTCTGGGGATGTGCATACTGAATCTGTATTGCTGCACTGTGGCAGGCTGTTGGTGCAAGCAGAAGAGTGTTTGAGCTGCTGGATCGGCATGCTCGTCAGAAGCCATCTGGCAATGAGAAGCCCATGGGCTCCCCAGAGGGAGGAGAAATTGTCTTCGACAATGCCTGGTGCACAACGCATCACTCAGCACGCAATATCAATTCCTCATATCACTACAGTTTGAACTATTTCATTCTTGCTGTCATGGCTCACCAAGGGAACAATGCATGTTTGTGGGCTGACGCTACGCTTTTGCTGCAGGTTTGCCTATCCCAGTCGGCCGGATGTGCAGGTTCTCAAAGGGCTCAGCCTCCGTGTGCAGCGAGGTCAGAAGTTTGCCTTGGTGGGCGCTTCTGGCGGCGGCAAGTCGACCATTGTGAATCTCATACAGCGCTTTTATGATCCTCAGGTGCACTCCATTCTTCACATGTAGTGCTGTTCTGCATCTTTGCTGCCCACTTTTTGGGTTGAGAAAGATTCCAAACTCGTGTGGGTAAGATGGCTGAGGGAGTTGTGTGTGTGCGTTAGAGAGGAGCAATCATGCTGGATGGAGTGCACCTTCCTGAAATTCAGCATGAGTGGCTGCATTCCCAGGTGCCAACTGATCTTCAGATTAAAACCTGTTCCTTGTCTCCTGAAATAGCAGGAAAGTCTGGTCTGACGGTTTCACAGAATAGGAACAACATGCTTGTGTGGTCGCAGGTGTCCATCGTCAGTCAAGAGCCCATCTTGTTTGCAGAGTCCATTCTTTACAACATCACTTTCGGCGTCCAAGATCCGTCATCCATCTCACTGGCTCAGGTGCGCTGTTGTGCATGTTCACACCCCTCAGGAGTGCCGCACTGCATACTGCTCAATTACATGCAACATGCTCCTCTCAATCCAAAGCGCATGCAGCATAAGATTCAGGCCTCTTCAAACTTTGCTGTATGCGCTGTCCAACGAAGAGATTTTGAAAAGAATCTGGTCAAGGCATGCAGAAATGAGTGAACGCCAGCCTAGAACATGTGCAGCAGATTGGGGATCCGTATCAAATTCTTTTCTTGGGGCCTCTCAAATACACAGTAAATGCAATCTTGATGTGATGATGGATTTGAATAATAAAATTGTGAAGGAATTTGTGGTGGGCGGCAGGTGGAGGAGGCTGCCAAGCTGGCGAATGCGTTTGAGTTTATCCAGGCGTTTCCCCAGGGGTTCCACACCAAGGTGGGCGAGCGCGGCATCCGCCTGAGCGGCGGCCAGAAGCAGCGCGTGGCCATCGCGCGCGCCATCCTCACCAAGCCCCGCATCCTCCTCCTCGACGAGGTGACCCTCTCCCCTCTTCCTCCCTGCTACCTTCAGGGACGCTCTTCCCTCTGATCGGCCCCTGCCTTCTTCATCAGCATCATAAGCAGGCTGCGCATTGTGGCCTCGCGGTGAGAAGTCTTGTGGGCACTGCTTTAATCAGATGCAATGAGAGCAATGAGAGTTCAAGCGGAGGTTGGCTTTGCTGCCCTCAGCTGCTTATCATGCCCACCCGCCACCATACTTCAACTGGCCTCCTTCAGCTATAGCAGTTCTTGGCCCGGAGACTCCTGCTGTGCAGAGTTCTCTGTCTTGGATATTTCCCGTTGGGGTTACTTAGTTATAACTCGGTATATTTTAGTGTGTGCCTTGTATTTCCTGACTGTTGTCCAGTTATGCGGGTTTGCCAACCAAGTATGTGTGCTTCAAGGGGAACTGTCCTCCACTGGCTCCAGCAGGATACCTTCAAGCATACAAGGGGTACAGACACCGCCCAGCAGCCTCCCATGAAACTCACCAGGGAGTCAACAATATTGAAAGGGGTCGCACTGCGCAGGCGACGAGCGCGCTGGACGCGGAGAGCGAGGCGCTGGTGCAGGAGGCGCTGGAGAGAGTGGAGGCAGGCCGCACAGTGGTAGTTATCGCGCACCGCCTCTCCACCGTCAAGACCGCTTCCACCGTCGCCGTTATTGAAAGCGGCGTCATTGTCGAGCGCGGCACGCACTCCGAGTTGCTCGCCAAGGGTGCGCCCGCAATCCCTCTCCTTTGTGCCACGTGCGCTTTGGACTAAAGTGAGCATGTTGCATGTAATTTGGACAGCATGCAGCGTGGCACTTTCGAGGGCTCTACTTACCCCTCGTGTGCTGCTTCTGTCAATTGGTCTGCCCTGTCTTGCTCTCCGAGCCCTGCACCTCGGAGTGTCTGGTACCAGCAGCCCACAGACACAATTGTGCCTGCGTTTCTTTAAATTAGGCTGCACCGAGCTTGATGCGGATTCTTTTTTGTGGCAGGTGGTGCCTATGCTGTGCTGGTGCGACGGCAGCTGTCCAGCGCCAACCATGAGTCATCCTCGTCCCTGGCGTCCATTGACGAAGAGGCCGAGGCTGTGCCAGATGACAATGCCGACCTCATGAATCGCACAGAGACGGGCAAGCAGCCCTGACCTTGTGCTGTTCTCAAGTACAACAGCAGTCGGAGTGCTGAGAGCTCTGTTGATCACGGCATGCTCACGCGCGCAAAATTCCCTAATTCTAAAGTGAAAGTATGCTCGGCTATGCAGGCGCACTTGTGGATGATCTCATAGGTGGCCTGGTGTCAGACTCGGTGGGCCGCCAATACAGCGGGCGCTTGGGCAGAAACAACAAAGGAGCACAGAAGACCGCGAATGGCAATCTGATGGATGTCTGATGTCCAAGAAAGTGCCCATGAGGCATCTACATGGCAACATTGTTGGAGAGTATGTTGTCATTTATTGTGCTATTCAAGGTCTGGACTGAGCACTTGAATATTCATAAGTAGGTCAAGACAATCTTTTGGATAGTAGCCGCAAACCTCTTCTATGGCGGAACTTTGGAATTGATCTTTGCAGATTATGTGGGAATATTGTATAGGTTTCTGCTGCCTTTCAACTATGGGCCTCATGCACAAGTCTGGCAGACTGGAACAGCCTCTTAGGGTATGCTATGTTCCAAGTTTATGCTTTACAGGTCTTTCCCATGTGCACATTGTCCTAAAAGAGTGGGAGTCTACTTGTATTCATGCAGTGTCCAATTTGCGGGCTTGCCTTTTGGTAGGATATAATTAGTGCCTTTGCTGAGACTGCCGAACAAACTTAGCTAGGACCAAGCTCTAAATCAGTATCTGCAAGAAGATTTACGCCCACTGATAATAAATTGTAAGTGTTTGCAGATCAGGTAACCTTACAGATGCTGCAGTCTATACAGAGCACGACCCTGCACAGGCCTACATGCCATGCAATCACTGGTTCACTTGCACATTCTCCTTATGCCTGTGCAGCATCGATCCCATGTCCCTGACTGGTGCTGCTTGCGCCTTGGCCCTGACTCTGTCCAACAGAGTTCCTGCCGCTGGGGTGGGCTGTCTCCTCGGCACAGACGCTGCTCGAGGCCCCTGCCTGCTGTTGCTCTCCAGCATGTCGCAGCGTGCACGTTGCAGCTGCGCAAGATAATCCTCATATGTGCCTCGCAAGTGCTCATGTAGAGACGCCTGCAATATCAGGATTGTGTCATTGGATCAGGACGTTGGCTCTTTGCGCAAGAAGACCTGTTGGCCTGCATTTGATGTTCCAATCTGCCTGCCATACTTGCAATGCTGCTCATCTCGCTGTCACAAGCTTGCTGCGAATGAGATGAGATGCCAATGAGTACATCTGCTTAGTTAAGGCTACAGTACTATTAGGTCCGGACAGCCACCAACCTTGAAGGCTTTGGTGCTGGACTCGAGGTGTGCAGGCAGAGACAACAGGGTCCAAGTGACACTGTCCATCCTTTCTGGGCTTGGCAGGTGTGTCGGGAGGATGACCACTGTTATGTAGCCCGCGAATTTGCTGTCCTGCTGCCAGCATGGGTGGCTGGAGATGTCGAACAAGGGAGCTTGCTGTAGCAGAACACAGGGCACTCACTTCTGCCGGCACAGAATTCCTCATGCTTGAAGGAATTTCACTGATGTCTCAGAAAGTTTGGAATGCACTCCTCAGACAGCTCACAGCAGTAATAACCGCAGAGCGCTATGGAACTCACCCCTGGATGTGTGAAAGTGATCTGAGGGCCGCTGCCAATGCTGTTCAGGTGCCGGGCCTCTGCGCACTCCTGCAACATGGGCACAGAGTGGGTCTATGCTGTTGATAAAATATGTCTGGCACATGCAAAAATCACACTGTATCCGACCAGCTCAATCACAAGGTAACTTAATCACCTGGGCAAATGCTGTGGTCAGCGCATCATCTGATGTGCCCCTGAGGTACATTGGAAACAGGGCTGTCAGGCGATCAGGCCGGCCTTCCACAAAGAATGGCTGTCCTGGTCGGCACAGCACTGCCTCCTGGCATTCTAAGAGTGTTCCATCAACCAGCCTTCCCAACATTGACCTGCAGAAAACTATGCAGAGCTTCAGATACAGCAAAGAGGGACAGTTTTTGGCAGGAAGTTCTGTGAACGACAGCGGATGTTGGCAAGCAAAATCAGCCCTCACCTCAACACAGCACCAGTAATGTACATGCGCATGCTTGCAAGCTTCTCCAAGCTGATGTTTCTCTGCTGTGGCTCCTGATCACGAAGGGCTGCAAGAGAGACCTGCTCAGGGGCACAGTCGTTAGGCAGTCAAGAGGCGGTGTCATCATTGCAAGTAACAAAGGGGACAGAACACGTTGTCACCTGCAAAGTGAGCTGGAAATCTGGTTCAGGGTGCTCTATTATCGTTGCAAAGCCTTGGTATGCCTCTATCAGGGCTAGGCTTGCTATCAGAGAGATGGTGTAAGAATACTTGAATGACAAACTGAGGCATTCGGGATCTGCCTTTGATCTAGACAAGTGATACTGACAGTCATCAAATTCGTGGACGGAGGTCTCAATTCGGTTTTTGATGTTGCCAGTTTCCAGTGCTTCAGCAATGAAGGCAAACACTGCTTTATTAGCACTCGGGAGAGTTGCTGCTGCCATCTGGCTGCTGTCTTACTTTATGATAGACGGTAATGTTGCATTCCAACAGAATTACACTAAGTCCGCCAATGATGCACCCGTTCTGCCTCAGAAAAGACCAGCCATCTTGATCTGCTCTTGCACCAGGTAGGTCAATTTCCCACGTCAACGTATAAAAGCGTCGTGATGATTGATCCTACGTCCCACAAACTTTATTTATAGAGCTGATATTGACACCGATGAATCAGAGAAAATCGAGATCCGTCAAAATTGAAACCAGCTTCCGTCGCAAACCCTTCAATTCAAAATCCATTTGCAAACCCTCAAAATTTTCCTTTCGAGGGAACTGCATTAGACTCGGCTTTGTGGCACAGATTGGACGGGACATTTGATCCATAAAAGGTCACACTTCCTCGTGTTGGTCCAATTGTGAGGACAACACTGCGATTGTAGCTATGTCACGCCAGGTTCTGAGACTGTTGCCTCAATTGAGGACCAGTCTGTGCAGAGGAAACTTGGCCAGCAGTTCTTGCGCACTCCCTCACTCGTTTCTTAGCAGAGGATTTGCTGATGAAGCCTCACTCTCCAAGACTCCTCTGTACGACTTCCATGTGGAGTATGGAGGTGGTGCACTTTTTGCTCCCCCCTCTGTCGAATTCGTCTGGCTGATCGGAGTGTCGTGACACTCCAAACAACGTCACATCTGCATAAATGTACAATTTATAATCCTCAATTCCAATATCAAGACAAATATGTTCTCTATGATCCAATTATGAGACTGTATTGATGGTGTCCAGGGAAAATGGTCCCCTTCGCTGGCTGGTCCATGCCAATCCAATACAAGGATTCCATCATGGATGCCACAAAGCATTGCAGAGAGAATGGTTCCATTTTCGATGTGTCCCACATGTGCGGCCTGACTCTCAAGGTAAGGCTAATGTTCAGAGGTTTGTGAGCAGATCTGCTGGTACTCATGGTCTGGAGGAACTCAGACGTGACAGCCTGCAGGGGAAAGATGCTGTTGCATTCTTGGAGAAGCTGGTGGTTGGCGATGTGGCGGGCATCAAGAATGGATCAGGCAGCTTGAGCGTCTTCACGAACGAGCAGGGTGGCATCATCGATGACACTGTCATCACCAAGGTATGAAGACGCATGCGAAGACTGCAAGCGTTTAATATTATAAGGACAGAAAGTTGAGGTAAATGGCTGCTGTGCACCTGGGTGTACTTCAAGATTAAGAACCAAATTTGGTCACAGACTTACCTCCCTGCAGGTGGCAGACGACGAGATCTACCTCGTCGTGAACGCAGGATGCCGCGAAAAGGACTTGGCCCATATCGGCAAACACTTGGACAAGTACAAGGTACAGAACCACTCTGTCACCCATGTGTCGCATTACCAATTGCATCTTTCAATCACTGAAATGTCCTGCTCTTAATCAGGAATTCTGCCATCGTTGTGGTCATGGTATCTTTCACATACCATGAACCTGTTAGAAGCTTGCTTGTCGCCCAAGAACAAAGTGACGCATGCAAAATGTGCAACAGAGCGAAGGTGGTGCCGTGGAGATGACAGTGCACGACGACCGCTCGCTGCTCGCGCTGCAAGGCCCGGCAGCGGTGGAGACGCTGCAGCCGCTGGTCGACGTGGACCTGTCCAAGGTGTACTTCAGCGACTTCCACAAGCTCAACATCGCCGGCATCCCCTGCTACCTCACCCGCACTGGGTGCGCCCTTACCACCTCTGTCAACCCTATTCGTCCCCTCTTGACACCCCAAGAAAGTGAAATACTATTGCATGCGGCACTAGATACTTCAGTTGGGGATACCTCCAGCCACAGAGTGCCATTGCATGCTGCACTATGAAAGTCAACAGGGAACAGAGGTCTGGTCACTTGCATGCCTCCAGGTAAAGTGGGCAATTTGGATTGGGGGCCAGAGGTTTCTGACCTGCATGTTTGCAGGTACACTGGGGAGGACGGCTTTGAGATCTCGGCGCCGGACGAGAAGGCGCTGGAGCTGACCAAGAAGCTGCTGGAGAACCCGCGCATCCGCATGTGCGGCCTCGGCGCGCGCGACTCACTCCGCCTCGAAGCCGGCCTCTGCCTCTACGGTGCGCACACTCTCCGATTTTGTTCAGATTGCTGCAGAGGCCATCTGGCCTTGAAATTTCCTCATGCTGGAAGGTGTTTTGTTTTCATCGAAGAGGTTTGATGGGGTTTGTGCAGGGAATGACCTGGATGAGGGGAAGACTCCAGTGGAGGCTGGTCTCACGTGGACCATCGGCAAGCGCAGACGCGAGGCATGCGACTTCCTGGGCGGAGAGGTGCGCTTCTTTGGCTCATAGAACTTCTGGGCTCATAAACTTGCGTTATTTCTATAAAACTATCACTAGCTTTATCTGCCAGAGGAAAGGTGAGTCTGCAGACAAGCTGCATGTAAAGGCTGCCGCAAGTCCTGCCCCTTGTTGGACTTGCCGGATGTAGATATGACCCAATCAACCGTGGGCGCGGTGCTCAATGTCTACAGTGCCCCCCACCAGCCGGGGCCTTTCTGCATCGTGACATCTAAATCCACAATCGGAGCTTGCCTGCCTGCTGATGGACTGTGCGCTGTGCAGGTCATCAAGAAGCAGCTGGCGGAGGGTGTGTCCCAGAGGCGGGTGGGCCTGGTCTCCACCGGCGCCCCTGCCAGGCAGCACAGCAAGATTTTCACCATGGAGGGCAAGGAGGTGGGCAGACCTGACCCATCCCTTGCTCTTGCACGGCTCCACAAAGACCCCATTTGTGACTGTCCGGCATGATGCAGCAATACTGGGTACAATGCTGTTGTGAAACAAATGATTGATGATGAATGATACTGTGCAGAAACCTCAAGTGTCACAGATCGCAGATCAAGTGCTTTGGTTGCAGAACGTGCTTATGCAGGCCATTTGCTGCCAGGTCTTCCTTGACAGGATATTGATATGGATGCTGGTGCAGGTTGGCGAGGTGACGAGCGGAGCCTTCAGCCCGTGCCTGAAGAAGAACATTGCCATGGGCTACGTGGAGAAGGCATACGCCAAGTCAGGCACGGAGCTGCAGGTGGAAGTGCGCGGCAAAATCAACCCCGCCGTCGTCACCAAGATGCCCTTCGTTCCCAACACCTACTTCAAGGCGCCCACTGCCGCCTCCTAGGCAGCACGAGCTCCTGGGTTTCTATTGCGGACAGTACGCGTCTGTACACAGATCTAGGACACCAGGATTATGGCCTGCAAATTTAAGTGGCAGGCACGAACTCTCAATTTCGTTGAGTATGCTTGAGCGAGGGAGCGAGCAGAGAGTTCTGTGTTTTGAAGGGTACTGATGCTAGCCAGAGGATGATGATGTAGCGGAGGACAATGCAACCTTTTGTGTCAGAATTACTTGGTTCAGGAGTATTTTGAGCATTATTGATACTGAGTAGCAACAGACACAACTGACCAGTGGTGTAGGATTTCTGCAGGTAAATATGCATCAACTTTGCAGATCATTTGAGCTTGGTGCTGGAATTGCGCCAGCCTGGCCTGCCCATTGGGCATATCCAAGCTGGTCCAACACCCGGGATGGTTGTATACAGCTGTTATGTGCAATTGCGAGCCATGCCTCATGGGACATTGCAGCATGCTGCGGCAGTGTCATCATGCATGATCATGCTGAAAACCGCCGGGGCCCTGGCCTGATCAGCCTGGTCATCATGAGGCATCATGATGCATGGTCATATGACTCCCCAAGGCGGCCAGCCATCACATCAGTCATTGCGCAGCCGATCGCAGTGTCTGGAACTCGTTGAGCGGTACATTGTGGGATGTCCTGGAGCAAGGCTCACAAATCTGTGGGAAGCTGATGGCGAAGCTGCATGCCACCGCCTCGTCAACTTTGCCGTTCAAATCAATGGCTCCCCCACACGTGTCAAGGCCATGACGCCCGACCGACCCCACCGCGGGGAACTCGCCCGCAAAGGAGCTAAAAGTCCCCGCATTGCTGCCTGTGATACCTTTGAGTAACAATTCGCCTGTCCTTTAGCCATATCCTGGCACATCCTGTCACATTCGGTAGAATCTGCCGCATTCTTGATCCTTTGTGAGGACTTCGACTTTTTCCTAGGCTACTTCAGCTTCTTTGTACAAAATCCAGAATGGTAAGGGTGCTTGAGCGTGTGATTCAGCTCAAATTGCTTATACAATGTGTGACATTCAATATGCTCTCCGTACCAATGTTTTATGCACTCATTTGTTTGCCCAACTTGCAAGCTTCGTGAAAACGCACCCTGAGTGAACAGTTGAATTTTTTTTGCGTTCATCCCGTGTGCGCGGATTAGATCAGTATTTTGTTGTGTTACAGAGCTACTCAAAGCGCATTGCCAACGCCAAGAGCGACAAGTACCACAACAACATCCATAAGCGCGGAAAGGTGTGGGATGGCAAGGAGGTGCGTTTTTACTCACCAATCTCCCCCATCATTGTCGCTAATGAGAAATTCAACCTGTAATAATTGAATGCTTGTGTCCTGCGCAATTGCTGTGGCTTTCTACTATGAGAAAGTGAAATTTTGCCAGTCTCAAATCAGGCTGCAGTATTCAGCTGTGCGATTCCTCTGAACATGATGTCCTGCACATGCAGAAGTCCAAGACGTCAGTTTCTGCTGGGCCTTGGCTGCTAGGCTTCTTCGCATTCGTCTTGGTGGGATCTGGTAAGTTTCAAGCACCGCTGCAGATGTGTGTCTTCCTTGCTGACCTGTGCTGACCTGTACCACCCAATGTGCAGGGCAACGTTACCGATCACTTACACTATCCCTTTTCTGTGCGCAGCTGTCCTGCAGGTCATCAGGACAGCCAACAATGGGACGCCTTTCTAGGCTAGGAGGAGCCATGCCTGAGGTGTACAGTCTCATGATGGGTATATTTCAACAGGGCAGAAGCAAACCAGCACATGTGCATTACTTGACTGAAGTTCATGTCTTGTATGGCATCATGGAATATTTTGAACCACCCACTGTCTGCAATAACGATGGTGTATCAGAAGTCACTTCCCATCATTGGGCGCCTTTTTTCTGACAGCTAGTAATGCCTGCTGTGGGCTGAGATGATCTCCTGTCGCTTCAAGTGAACATTCATCGCCGTTTTTGGTGCTGCAATCACCTTTTGCCCAAGTTCTGGGCATATTGTTGCCCATCAAGTCCGCTGTGCATGCATATATGTCTGAACTCAAGACTCTCAAGAGGAAATGAGGTGATGCTGATCTGAGAAACTCTCATGAGAAAGTCAATGAAGAACCAGATGTCAGATATGTTATGTATATAATGTAGCATTGCAGCAAAGGGAAAGCAAAAACAGCAATGCATACACATTGTGATTCCTGCAGCAAAAATTTGTCTAGACATGCAATGGCGTGTCCAGATGGGCCATCTGCAGCTGGCCACAGGACTCAGCAGGATGTGCTTCTTGTGCACCAGCTCTGCAGGGCAATTCTGAACCGCCACGAAGCATTTGCCAAATGTCTAAAGTTTTACATCGTGGCAATGAGGAGACAACCATGGCCAAGCCTGTAGGCTGCAAAATTTCAATCTTCACAAAATCAACTTCACTTCCACGCAATCGCAGCTGTTCAAAGCTTGAATATGCATCTTATTCCAACGCAGTTAGCCTCAAGAACAGGTCATCATTCCATGGGGCACCGACACTTGTGAGCCCGTCATCCATTATGTGGCACAGACGACCCAAAAGCTTTCAATGAGCAGACACTACAGCGAGTGGTTCTCAGAGCATCCTCCCGCAATTTGACTGCACCCCTCTTGATCGTGCAGAAAGAGTCTGCAAATGCAAAAATAAAGCTGCGAGGCTACGGCCTGATGCACACACTTTCTGCCAAGAATGCGCGAAGTAGATCTATGAGACGACTTGAATGGCTGCTGGAGACCCCATGCATAACCGCCTCTGCAGCATACTGCTTTGGTCTTAAAAGGTAATGCTATGAGGGCCAGGATTTCAGGGTGCTTCTACCTGCCCTTGACATCCACAAGCTCCACGTCAAAGTTGAGCGTTGCGTTGGGGGGGATGGCCCCCCGCACACCGCTGGTTCCGTAGGCCATCTGCGGGGGGACTGTCAGCCGCCGCTTGTCCCCCACGCGCATGCCCACCACACCCCGGTCCCAGCCCTTGATCACCTCTCCCACGCCTGCGTCACACAGATTGCATGATGTATGAGTCAGCCTTCACTGTTCCGTGAGCCCACGCAATGTCTATCTTGCCTCCCTCTCTTCTGCTCTTCTCTGGGTCTTCCGGGTAGATGCCAAGAAAGGCAAGGGTGGCACGGTTTATTTTGTCACCCCAAGTGGCTGCAGGGCAATGCCTCGGCGGACGCAAGCCTGCCTTGCTCATCGAAAGAGGCCCAGGAAGAATATCCGTTTCTGATGAGCTGGAGGACTCTTGCTGACACGTCTAATTGTTACAGTGGACTGCTGACTGGACTGCAAGTCTACCACTTACTAAGCCGCCAGTAAACAGATCAAAGAACCTGATGGACAGTGTCACACGAGCCATGGCAGCCAGAGCTGTGCCCCTCAAGAGACACATCTTAAACAAATTGCATGATGGAAGGGAACATGAAAAGGCTCGTTGCAGAGATGTAGCGCTCACCCAGGCGGAAGGAGAAGGTCTTGTTGCCCTTGGTCTCGTCGAAGACCTTGCCGCTCTTGGCCAGAGTGCCGCGGTAGCGCACTCCCACCTTCTGACCCAACTTGGCCAGCTGTAGCAGAGCAAACACAGCGAAACTCAATTGGAGCTGCCAAACATGCAAAGAAACGGACAAGAAGGTAGGCAGTCGCCATTCAAAGCACGGTCGTTTACAGAACGCCGTGCCATGGCCATAAATATCTTAGCGCTGGAAGGTGCACATGGTGCTTAAAAGTCACAGGGGTGGGGAGGGATGAGCACCTTGCCATCAGGAGCGCCCATGTGTGTCTCCTCGATGATGAAGCCGTTGTCAAATTTCTTGATGCTCGGCCGTCCGTTCTTGATGGGAATCGCTCTTGCCGCAGCATCTTCTTCTGCAACATGCACCGCACATTGTTGATCATGATGCAAGCAGGGAAGCATGACACATCAGTAATGCTACTGAGTGTGGCCCCCTGGGAATCCCGACAAATGCATACCTCCAGCCCCTTCATCAACAGCAGTTGCCTCTGTCCCGTTGCCATTCTTTCCCTTCTTTGGCTGGAGGGGCTCAGCGTGCCAGGTGCTCAGCAGAGACGCACCAGTGCCGTTCTTGCCCTTCTTTGCCTTCTTGCCAGCAGCAGGCTGTGCCTCCTCCTCCTGTTGGTGACAGCAAACACCATAATTACAATTTACTTGTGGCTTAGCAAAGAAAAACCATCAGCAATTTGTGGTGGTCATGTTGTGCATGCAAGCATTAAAGCTCAGAGGTGAATGGGGTCAAGAGCTGCACCTGTTCCCGCGCTGCTGGTGCCTCTTTGACCGCAACATCCGCAGCAGTCTTCTTGTTCCTACACATACAAAACTCCTGTCAGCAATGAGCTTCACTATCTACAACAACATGCGCATCACGGGATCTGCAGGTAGATCAGATCACACACAACGACAGCGCGTCGTGTCCCAAGAACCTGCAAAATTCTGTTGCTGCAGTCCATTAGCTCACCTCTTGGTTGCAGCACCGCCCTGCTTGGCCTCGTCCGCGGCCTTCCTCTTGCCGGCCTTCTCAGCCTCCGGTCCAGTCACCTGGATCACCCTCGGCGCCTCGCCCCCAGGAATCATGTCCTCCACATCTTCCTCATCTTCCTCCTCTTCATCCTCCTCTTCATCATCCTCTTCCTCCTCATCTTCCTGCATGAGTCCCAAGCATGTGTAAGTGGACGCTTGCTCAGCTTCCACAGCGCATGCGGCAATGCCTAGAAGGGACACCCTGAAGAATGACATAACAGTAGGGATGCATAAGGCAAGCTATCAGGGATGCCATTCCTGGTTGCAATGCAAAAGCTTGTTTCAACAAACGTGAGCTTGGAAGAGGAGAGCCAGCGCACATCACTGTCAGCCTTCTCGGTGCCATCATCGTTCAGCTCCACGATGGTGATGTTGTTCTCATCATCAGGCCCCAAGATCATCATGCCCTCTTCGTCGTCATCAGTGTCTTCTTCCTGGTCATCATCCTCGTCATCATCTTCCTGAATGCCAGAACAAAATGAAGCTGGCAACCTTCCTTGCCAATCTTATTGGGGTGAAGCTCGCGACAAGTCTTGCTCTATTGCATGTGGTATTTCTGCCCATTAATCGTCTCAATACTTGAGAGACTGAGTGCCCCCATGACCGAGCCAGGCCTGTTTCTGCATCCTGCCGTTCCTTTTAGGTGTTTTCATATCAAGCAGGTCAGGGTGGCACCTTAGGGTCCAGTGGATTTCAAGTACACATGCTGGTCCTGACCCCGCTTCTCATACGGGCATAGTGCTACAGCAGTGCAACAAGCCTGGTGCATGCGGAGTGGGTACATGCAGGAATTAAGCAGCTGAAGGGGGTGCGCACACCTCGTCATCACTGGCCTCCTCAAACTTGATCTTGGAGGGGAAGCGGGAGGAGCGCTGGTACTGCTCAAGGGCAGCAGCCTCCTCTGGAGACAGGTCCATCAGCAGCTCCTCATCGTCTTCCTCATCTTCTTCCTCATCAGTGGATGTTTCCGCTGAAAAACCAAAATCACACTCTCTCAGCCAACTTTGCTCCGCTGCCAGATGTTGAAGTACTGATGACTTAGTTAAGAAGAGCAATGCCCAAGTGGCCAGCTGCCTGTCGTTGAGAAAGCAGAAAACAAAGCGGAGCGAGCCCCAAAAGGGGCAGGCACACACCTTCCTCGTACTCGGGCATGTAGTAGCCAGTCAGATGCACCGCAGCTGAGCCCTGGACCTTAAACTCGGTGTAGTGATCAAAGACAAGGTCCAGGCTCTGTGACTCTGTGGCGCCCTCGCGCAGCGTGCACAGCAGCACTTCTTCGTCGCCATCCTCTCCCATGGTGCAAGTCAGCCCCACCTTCGATCCATTGTCGGCATCCATGGACAGCGTTGCCTGTAATGTTGCCAGGGAAATCTATTGGAAAGAGCAGCTATGCTAGTACCTTCACGTGACATGGATCAGCACCTGGTGGGCCAAATTGGAAGAGCGCGCATGCTCAGCGGTATTAAACAAAATCCCGAAAGCACGATTCTTTATTTCCTAGCATGTAAGCTGTAGTGAGCCTGTGTGATGAGTAGGCTGTGATAAGCAAAGATGTGGAAAAAGGGCGTGGCGGCCGTTGCTTGCGATTAGTCATATGGATGAGCTGCAGAACTCAATAATTTTATTTTCTGAAGGTAACATTCGGCTCGTGAGAAGAGCGGAGTCCCTTGGCGGCACTGCCAATACTGACACCTAGCCGGATCCTGAAGTCACGCCATACAAGGCGCGCCCAGCAAGATTGTTTGCGTAGTCAATTCTACCTGTGACAGATGCAATTTCGCATCCACTGGCGGGGGCACGAACGGCTGCGCCTTGCCAGGCTGGACTACGACACCCCAGAAGGTGCTCTCCATCTTGTATATGCAACTCTCAAAGGAGCTCCTTTTCCTCTTTCTCACCAACAAAACTACACGTAGCAATGTGCTTCAGGACAATCAAGACGCCGCCTGCCTTTGCAAATGGTCACGGAATCAAACTTTGCGGCCAGGTCTTCGAAATGTCGATATGTTGAGACCCTGCAAGTTACATGTCAGGGGAATTCAGGGTTTGAAGGCACTCCTTGACAAGGAGTCCTTGTCGTGCAATTTCCATCCAATTTCAGCTTGATATATATTTGAGACATTCAAGAGGTGTTGATAGGCGGAAACAGCGAGTTTGCGTTGATGTCGCATCGGAAGATTTTCCACTAGATCAGCGTTTGCACCTGGTGTCTTCACGCACAATTAATTTATTCTGCAGGTGGAAAGAAGACATACTGTCAGCCACTTGAGTTTGACGATTTAAGGAGAATTATCGTGCATCTTGGTCTGAATTTATGGAGGGAAGTCTTTATGAGTGATCTAGCCGTGATCTGGCGTTGGGGAAAGCATGGCTGCCAGGGATGTTCTTGAATCAGGAGATGCTGATGCGGCAGTCTCCGATAGAGCTGCCTCGAATGGGGTAGGCAGCGGACCTTGTGCAGACATGGCCTCCGTTGTAGTTAGTGAGCAAGAACAGGCAGCCTGCAGAGTAGAGGCCATCAGCCCAGACGAGAACAATGGCGATCCAGCGGCAGACGTACAAGCAAAACTGTCCAAAAATCAGCAGAAGAAGCTGAAAAAGCAGGCAGCGTTCGAAGCTAAGAAGGCTGCCAAGAAGCTGGAGGAGAAGGCTGCAAAGAGGGTGCATCAGGAGAAGAAGCTGGCTGAGGTGCATAAGATGATTGCTGGCATGACTGATGAGGAAAGGCAGGCTTGGGAAGAGCAAATGTCTCAGAAACGGCAGGTACGATGGGTCAGCAGGAATCACTTGCTTAGAAACTGGCAACACAGAGAGTACTTGAATAATCTGGTCACAAAGTTGCTTGTAAAGAATTTTGTCGGCATCAGGACTATGTGCAGGTCATGCCGGCTTCAGTGCAGGACGGCTGATGTCTCAAACCCTGCAGGCCCCCCTGTAGCGGATTGAAAGATGAGGGATGGAACTGGCATGCAGGCAAGAAAGCAAAGTGCTCTGGAGAGGAAGACCCGGCTGCAGCAGGCGCAGAGCGAGGGCCAGCGCATCTTGATAGACCTGGACTTTGCAGACAAGATGACGCCTACAGAGGTCAAGAGCCTGTGCCAGCAGCTGCTGCACTGCTACGGTGCCAACACACGAGCACGAATCCCTGCCCAGCTCATCTTCACCAGCCTTCAGGTGGGGAGAAAACACATTGCCTGTACGCCTGTGATCTGAGCATTTTTGTCACAGCATCTGATGGGAAAGAGAATAGGATGACACTGACACTGACACAGGCTGCTGAAGCAGGGAATCATGTCAGAGCAGCTGCATAAGCAAGCCTCCGGTTTAGACAATTGGGTGGTCACCCTCCATGCTGAGCCATACATGACAGCTTTCCAGGACAATCTGTCAGATCTCGTCTATCTCACAGCAGGTTTGTTTTCGCCCCTTGTACAATCTCTAACGTCTCATTATCTAGGTATGAGTGTGACTTTGATCTTGGATATTCTTCGTGCTATTATTTGATGCCGTATGCTTGCCAATGCAGATTCGCCGAATGAGCTCACATCCCTGGACCCCAGCAAAGCCTACATCATTGGGGGCATAGTTGACCGGAACCGCCACAAAAATGTCTGCTACAACAAGGCTGTGAGCCAGGGCATAGCCACAGCTCGACTGCCTATTGATGAGTACATGCAGATGAGCAGCTCGCCTGTGATTACTGTCAACCAGGTGCGCAGCCTGCTTGTTCCAAAGCCTTTCATGTAATTTTATCTGCATGGATCAGGCATGGCACATGACAAGTCCTTAGCATACCATGTGGGTTGATGGCTGTTTGTTCTTGGACAGGTCTTCACAATCCTTGTCAACTATCTGGATCACAAGGATTGGGGTACTGCCTTTGAAACGACCATACCGCAGCGGAAGAAGTTAGAGGGCCCCAGCATTGGCAAAAGAAAGCACAAAATTGAGGATGAGTGCGCGCAAGATGACAACGAGCAGGATGCAGCACACATTGACAAGAAGAGCAAGCTGGAGAGCAGCATTGAGGCATGATGTGATTCCTCTTGTCTTGAGTGTGATATGTAATCAGGCGTAGTGCTCCAAACGCACATGACAAAAACAATCGACACCAATATGCCCCAAATGGTATCATTAGGCCAATGCATGAATGCCAACTTATATGTTTACACTGCATCACCCAATCCTTGTACACATGTGCAGTCCTGGTCTCCTGACTCCAGCAGACAATCAGACATTCTGGCGAGGTCAATCAAAGCACATCGAACACCTTCAAGGAACTCTCTGTCATTATCACTAGCCTTGTCGCGCTGTTGTCATGCAAGCCAGCCTGCAGAGCGGCTCCAATCACATTTTCGTGTTTAGCCAAGCCCAGGTCCAACACCTACAACAAGAAAAGCTTCTTTAGCTTAACACCAGCAGCCAGGCGCCTGTCCGCAACTGCAAGGGGGCACACATTCTGAGTCAACATAGCATGCATGCCAGATCTGCATGTGCTCATAGTATCATCATGATGTGTATAATTACCTGATGGGTGCCGTTTGGGATGTCACTCGGGACAGCATAGTATATGAAGGCAAACTTGTTCGCCTCCACAATGACAGCGGCCACCTTCTGCCCAGGATTTCCAAGCAGGACAAATTTTCGCTGCGTTTTCCCTGCAATGGTTCAAATCAACACTCAAGTCAACAAGGTGTTATGGACAAGGTGTGCTTCCTGCAACGAGGACCTGAACAGGATTCTGCTCTTGAGAGTGCATGCGCACCTGTTGCCACATAAGCAAAGGCCGGCACTGAGGCTACATGCTCGAGAGTGAAAGGTGTAGACTCAGCGCTGTTGCAGGTGAGAGAGACAACCGCAGTGTCCACATCATCGATGAGGCCCAAGAGGGCCGAATTCCTGAGGGCATTGGTAACATGCGTCAGTTCTGTCCTTCAGCAGGAATATATCTGACAAAATCTCAGTGCAAGTGGGTACCCTGCCACAGCAGGCTTTTGCCCCTCTGTGAAATCCTTCGAACAGCTCCAACATATTTACCTGTCGATGCCTGATGCCTGAGAAGTCAGCAGCTTGTATGGGGAGCATGAGACCTCATTGACAAGACGTGGCTGCGCATTCAGAGCTTCCTGCTGGGGTGAGGCCTCTGCTGACTCTGCTGCTGCTGCATACAGCTGCACATCATCCTTGCTGGGAGTGGGAGGCTCAATGCCGGCTGCTGGTCTGCATGAAAAGTAATGCACAACGCACTCTGGCTCTAGAGTTGTCGCCTCATCAGCTGGACTTGCCTGAAGCACACACACACGTAGTCTCACTGAGTACTGGATTGCAAGTGTAAGATTCCATCAGAAGTGTGGATGTACTTTCAATCTGCGATGCACGGTATTGCCATAGCCATATCATTGGATTACCTCAGAGTACAGGTCTGAGAAAACGTTACTGACTGGCCCAGATGCGGGCTCCTGGGCCTCTGATGTGTACTGAGCCAGCCGATCAGCAGCTGCTCGCAGTGTCCTCGGACTCGGCACATCATCATCCAGATCCATTGCAGCATCTGCGCTTTGCAGGTGCAGGTATTTGCCACCCTTGGAAACCTATCCCAAACCCGAGCAGCCCTTCAGCTTGTGGTAGTACGTGCTAGCTGCTGAGGCATGGAGTATGTGAAGAAAAAATGCTCCTAGGAAAGGGCACAATGATCACCGTCAGGGAGTCCACTGGCTCCCAAGCCTGGATTGCTGCCAGCTGGCGCATGGGGATCTGCTGGGTCGTAAGCCATTGCCACGGCATCATCCTTGGCAGATACGACAACCTGCACATGAGAGCTCACCTCAGCACAGGCTAAAATGAAGGCAGACCTGTGATGCATGCATGCATAAAAGCATAATGAAAGCATGTGCATAAATCAGAGGACCCACCGCTTGTGGCGGCAATTTGCTCTGACCCAGCGGATGTAAGGCCTCCAGGTGTGCTACGCGGGCCTTAAGGTCATAAGCAACCGTTGCCAGATGCAGTTGGCATGATGCTGGATGCTCGTTGGTCTTTTCTTTGATCGACCACAGCACCACGCGCAGGATCCCTGTCACACAGCATATCTTAGTGGCACTTAAATCCCAAGCATTTATTACTTTCGTTTCATATGAGGTATGAAGGCCCCTGAAATCATGCAATCCAACGGGGTGGTCAGAACGATGATTGCTGATGCTATGGCTCTGGGGCCCTCACCTGGAAGGACGTGATAGGCTGCTTCGACAATGAAGGGTTGCAAAGCGGGTCTTGCTGAGTTCACAGATACAGAGACAACTGTGGATTCCCTCGCTTCGGCAATCATCACCTGCACACATGTCCATCGACATCACTCTGAGACATGTGCAACCTGCTGGACAGATCGGGCGTTGTTTGTCAACCAAGTGGGAGCCCAAGTGTTCACCATGTCGCCATGGCCATTGGATGCAATGAACAGTCTGGGCGCTTCACTGCCCTGGTGTTGATCATCTGGGATCTGCACAGCCGCCACCGAGCACTCTAGATCTGGGGCAGCAACAACCCCAGGTGCAGTGACCTGTTCTGGTGTGCCAAGGGCTGTGACAACATAGCAATAAATCTCGGTCTTCTAAGTCTTAGAGCGCTTAAACAACAAAAATCAAGCAGAATGTTCTACTTGGACGAGATGTGTGTTCAAGTACTGTTCCTGTGGACTGATGCACAAGATGTTTTACTTGCCTCGTGGGACATGGATACGATTAATGATCTCACCTGCCAGTCGATTGAATCCCAAGGAGCTTGAATATCTATACAAGTTGAGATCGTCGGAGTCGGTCAGGAATGTGTACAGAATCTCTCCGTCCTGATACACATGATTGGCCAGCAGAGCTAGCCGGGTATGCAAGTAATCATAGCTTTCTTGCTCTTTCCTGCGCACGCAACCTGGAAGAGGAACGTCTTCTACGAGGGATGCAGGTGGACCAGAGCCAAGCCTCCAACTCGAAAAGACATTGTTTGTGAATGCCCGGTTAAGTTTCACTTCGGAAGCGGTCATTATTCAACACCACAAGGAGAGTTGTATCGATAGTAACCTTGCCTGCTGATTTAAATTTTCAAGTGCAGCTTGAACTGAACTGGAAATGAGATGCCACACGCTGAATGGAAAATGCATGTGCTGGCATCTTCATGCATTGTCAGATCACAGATCCTTGGACTTCGAAATTTCTAAAGGATCCTCGTCCTCAGGATTCAAATGCCACCCGACATTTGATTGCAACGAATGTTAGACTCTTAGGAGTGATTGCTTCGTAGAAGAAAATATCTGGCTTACTCCTCTGCAGCTTCACATGCCAGTTCTCAATCAGCTTTGAGACGTCTCGCAGCAGCGATGCTGGACAGCATGCCTGAGGTTAGGACATTCAGAGTTGTTTCAGCAGCAATATCAAGGGCAATCATGGCCTGTCGTCCAGCGGGGCATATCGCTGTGTCAGTGAAGCTTGTCAGTTCACAGCAGTGTGTGGACATTTCGGGTGCGATTAACATGTCTGCAGCCGAAGTTAAGATGCGTAGACGAAGTTTAATTTTGTCACATCAGAGATTGAGTATCCCTTTTCTGCAGTTGCTGATACAGGGCGAGCTTTCTCAGGAGCTCTGGAGGTGCTTCCATACTTTTCAGAGGCTATCACTGAGAAGGAATAGGCTAGAGCAGAGCCTCTTGACGAGCTTATTTCTGCAGGTGGCCTGGAGCTTCAATGTTCTGTCCAGCACAGGAGTGTTTGATGACTCCATTACTGTGCACATCCGAACAACAGGTATGCACGCACAGCGCATGTGCGTCCCATAGCTCCTTTTATTCTAGACATGCACCAAGTGACGGCTGTCTTTGCATGCAGGCCTTGATGAAACCTTGTGCAGAGAGTTTGCTGTCACAGCCAAGAGGGGCACCTCAGACCCCATGACGGGCCCCTTTCGGCCAGTCCCACATGTGACAGAGCTGCCATCCAGCGCAAAAGGCTGCCCAAATGGACAATTCAGCGGCTCAGAGGTGTCATTTGCAGTCACTGCAGACGCATGTCACTGGCTCGATCTGCTGAATGCTGTGCAAGCCGCTGTTGAGACAAGCCTCATGGTGGCGCCCCCTGCTAGTCTGGAGCAGAGGATCCAGGGCTTTGATGAGCATGTCCAGGTTTGCTGCAAGCATCCTTACCCATTGACATCTACTCTGTTTCAGGTTGACATGCATGTGTTTTATCTGCATCAGATGTGAGTTTCCCTTTGCCCAGGGCATGGGGTTGGAGCCATTGCCCAAGAAGATCCAATTTGCCCTGGAGCCTCCGCTGGACACCATGACACCTTCAGAGCGGCTGACGGAGGGTGATCAACATTCAGCAGGATCCAAACTCCACCTGTATTTCCAGTAAGCGCATGTGCCTGTGAATACTTGTCAAAGCAGCAAAGCATTATTCGCTCGCAGGCCTGCGCGCCTACTTCCTGGAGGCTCCTATGCCTGAGCCAGCAGAACTACTGCCAAGCAGCCAGGAGCCGGATACATCTCAGCAGACAGCCGTGTTTGTCAGCTCTGACCAGGCTGGCGCAGCACCAAGGCCAAGATCAGGTGCTCACCTCCCTGTTGCCATTTGGACATGCGCTCATGGCCATGCTTTTACTAGCAGACAGTGTCTGCAGTGAATTTGATACTCGGCAATGATGTGCTGCATGCAGCTACCTGGACAGCATGTGCTGGTCTGGTTACCAGTGGAGAACACGTGAACGTTGCTTTGCTTAATGACACTTCTGCAGAGCATCCAGGTACTTCCTAAGCTATTCCAACATACCAAACATGTGTGGCCATTACTGTGACTTCTCGCATGGATGCTTGATCTTCACGCATGCATCCTGATGTCAACGCATTGCTTGTGTTGGCACCAGGCGTCAAGCTCTTGCTGTTTGAGAACTACGGGTTGCTGCAACGCCCCCAAGATGGCATTCTGAAGGCACTGGAGAGAGTGGATTGGGTCCAATACAATATGCCCCTGGAGGTCCTGAATCCCATCACCTCATCATCTTCCTCACATCTTTTAAGGCATGTGAAGCAAGTGGACATGCTAAGGCCAGACTTTAATGCTTCAGTGGGACCTGAGCCGCTTCAAAACAGGAAGAAATGAGTGGGATGCATGTGTTGTCAGGGCATTGTGAAGCATGCAGATGGGAGCGCTACCCTCAAATTCGCGCAGACTGTGGATCAGAGCAGCACAGACATCCGGCTAATAGTGTTCCATCTGGTGTCATCAGAGTTGAGCTTCAAGAAGCCAAAGAAGGGGCTCATGCCCCCAGGTCTCTGGCTCCAGCTAGAGGTACATTGCATGAATTTTTAGCTGCCATGACCGTGTCCATTTCAAGCTCCTGCACACCAGATGAGGCCAGGCATGTGCGCTGTTTTCAAGTATCATGGCATGTGTGGCAGGCGAAGCTGGTGAAGAATGCAGTGGAAGATGCCCTTGGAAAACTGAAGCAGAGTCGGCCGCTGACCATGCAGAGTCCTTTTGAGCAGCGCATGGCTTGTTTGTCACATATCTCAAGGTACACGGCTGCAAAGTCAGTGTGCAGACAGCAGTGCTCCCATGATATATCTGTGACTTTCTATAAATGCTTGCACAGGAGCATTGCTGGCATCGTGTCCAGTAGTGACAACCCTGATTTTCAAAGGCAGGCTCTGCAGCTGGCCAACAGTTCTTTGGAGGACCTGCCCATCAAGATCCAGGCATGCCAATCTGTTGCTCAATGCTTAAGTGTTGTGTGTTTATTTTCTGATGCTAAACATTGCGCTCCAGGCACAATCACAGACTTTGCATTCTACCATGCAGGCATGCCTTGAGCAGATCGCGCTGGATGTCATGGCTGCTGCAGCCAACAGCTCTCAAGCAGCGGTGTCCCAGGGAGCAGATGCAGAGGTCGAGGCATGATGTATAGACATGGGAAATAAGGACTGGATGAGTTGTCAGAGTCCCTTTCTCAGAGTGCAAGGGACACTGTCAGCCAGCACCAATTAAGGCCTGCACAGGGTATGCAAGACAATGAAGCTCATACAGTATTATGAATGTGGAGCTCTGAAGATGGACATGCACATTAGGGGATTGAGAGGAAGGTTTTAAAAGTGAAGGATTCCAAGTGTTCAGAACAGATTCTGTCCACTTGCAAGGATGCTGGGTAATGAACATTATCAGGAATGGCAATTTCGATGATCCCCTTACAGGACAGCGTTCTCAATGATGCTAGAAGTAGATTAGAATCTATTGAAAGAGATGGACCTGCAGGTCAGCTGACCCAGACAGCCGGGGCACTAGTGGCTTCTCGCTTCTCTACCTGATCTGTCAGTCCAGTGGCTGTGCTGCGTCACACAAGGGCGCAGGCACAAGCTTCACCGAGAGTATCAGATCAACAAAGGGCAGCAAATGCATTTGCTGTGCAGATTTCTTGCAGTCTCTTGCAGTTTAGAGCTGTTGACAGAATTTCTGTGATGGCTTCTGGACAGAATTGAGCTTGCAATTTTGCAACTTCAAGCTTTCAGGGAAGCCCAGCTCGGGACGAAAACAGTCCTCAACTAAGCAGGCACCCCTTGTGCGCCATCTTTTGGGGCTTGGCAACTTCCTCGTCACTTTCTTCGAGGGCTGGGCCTTGCCCCCGCACAGGACTGCCCCAGGGCAGATCATCCAGACCCTGCTCTTCAATCTGCTCTGCTTCAGACTCACTAAACCCTGCTGCCTGCTCAAACAGGCTCTCTCTCACTGCTGCAACCTCGGCCTCAGACTGCTGCAAACTTGTCACATTTGCTTTTTTCCCCTCGCCGCTACACTCCAGGCCCTGATGATCCTTGTCACCTGCACCGGCCCTGCTGCGGTCTGCTGGCTGGGCTATGCTGCTTGCACAAGGGCCGGGCGCCGCTTCCTGCTTGTGCCCAGCCGAGGATCCCGCAGAGGGCCCGCCCGATCACGAGGCCTTGCCGTTTGCAATGTTCGAGTTCCCGCTGCCTGCCGTGGGCGCCTTGGCCTGATCAACACGGCACTCTGATCGTCACAGGGGGTCCAAGAAGTACAAGTACCAACACGCTCTCTTGTCTACACAGACAATGCACATTTCTTGCATAGGCCATACGATGTCCCTTTTGATCTGTAAAAAATATTTGTGTAGGGAATCAAACGACTCGACAGAGGATTTTCAACCATGACAATGCCCCAGAGGAGCCACACTATCTACCTATGTGCTTTGTCTGCATGGGACGTGCCTGCAAGTCGTCACGTAACATGTTGCAAGCCAAAGTGACTATGTGCCCCTTAGACTGCGCCAGGCCTGATCAGATACCATATAATAGGATGCTCCACCCAGAGGTCAAACTAGCCTTAGATGACATAACATAGTATTGGGGGGATAATTGCATGGAGTTTGTGCAGACACTCACCGGCAGGTTTGGCTGGGAGGCGATGGAGTTTGTGTGCAGGAGATTTCGCGACATGCCGGCATTGACTGACGGCTGGCCAATGGTGTGACCCATATTCCGGTCGTCCATATTCTGCTCCTCGTACTCCTGGTCATCCGCCATGCCCGCTGTCGCCTGCCACACCCATCAGCAATGACAACATCAATTTTGATACTACTAAGATATAAAAAAGGTCTACACGACATGTCTAGTGAGTGCTCTCGAAACAAGAAAGCCCATGCAGGTATTACTACACAGGGTCAGCTCATGCATGCATGGACCCCTTCTCAGCCAATCACTCTTCCCAGCACCCTCTCCAGCACATGTGTACTTGACATATCTCAGTGCTGCGGACAGTAAATTCACTGCTGATCCACCCTTACTGCATGCGTTTTGGGCAGGTCATCACTCGGTTGTACATCACTGCTGATCATGCTTTATTTGCGCTGTCGGTGGGGTTAATGCAAGAATGGGAGGGAGCATTGCTGCTGTTCAGCCCAGAGAGTGTTGACCTTCATCATGTCCATGAGTGACTTGGGCCTGATGGCCTTGATGCCGCCGCCCAATTCGTCCACTGACAAAATCTGCGTATGCAAATGTGCCGCATCAGCATCCTTCAGGCAGTACAGCACCCGCAAAAAACATCACAGCAGGATTTCAATCAATCAACGCAGTACGACACAATTCCAGCAGAAGTCACACCGCCCAGCTACCCAGCTGCTACTCTTTCAATCTTATGATCTCCACAAGAAAGGGAAAATTTGCATGCTTTGTGACTTGTGATACAGTAGACAGTGGGGAAGGTTGTGGGGCTCCCACCTTCACAACAAATGCATCGCTGATCATCTGGACGACCACAATGTGGTCGTTGGGGTTCACGAGCCCCACTCTCAAGCTCATCTGGACGGCCTCATGGAGCAGAGTCTCACCTGCATCAAGCACATTACACACCTCAGCACGCTCGAGTCGCACAGGAGCAGGCTGACTTGCAGGTCCACCTTCACAGCCCCTTTGGTGGAAGAATGAGCACAAACAATGCATCTGGAATTGCTCTGAACATGATATTCAAATGAAAGCTGCCAGAACAAATTTTTGTTGTTTTGCCTGCAGCAGATCTTATTTCCATGAGACACAGCGCCCTCCAGAAGGGTAATCAGCGAGTACAAGGGACCGAGTCAGGACTGCCATCAAGCAGCACTGCTCTTGCATGTCATGTAATTGGGATGCCTTACTTAAAAGGTCATCTGAGGCCTCAACTCCAGTGACTTACAAAGGGTATCAAGTGAGTACAAGGGACCGACCCAGGACTGCCATAAAGCAGCCCTGTCTTGTAACTAAAATGCCCTACTTCAGGGGTCATGTGAGGCCTCAAAGTCCAGAGAAACTTGCAAAGGGCGGGGGAGAGGGTCACCGGAGGGGGATGGCGCGGCGAGGACTGGCAGCAGGCCGCGCTGGATCTGGCACTGGCGCGCGACGCCGCGGCCGACGAGCTGGAAGCGCATGCCGTCGTTCTTCAGCTGCGGGATGACCAGCGTCAGGATGGGCATGGGCGGCCGGTACTTGCTCACCAGGCTCGCCGTCTGACCTGCGCACAAACCCACCGCAGCAAAACCCTCAGCCTGCTGTCAAGGACGGGAATCAACAATTATTTGCGAGTTGGTCATCAGGGTCCCCTGTACCGTATCATCAGAAAAGATATAATCTAACCTTGCAGAAGTCCTTGATAGATACACAATCTATCTCAGTTTCTTTTAGGCGGCACATTTCTTTTCTTGACCCCCGGTCTGCATACAGGCTGCGCACCAGGACTCAAAATCCCAAACAGAAGTCTGCATGCAGGCTGCTCACCGAAGAAATGCAGGTCAAACACGCTCAATACGTGTCCATGCAGGAGAGCAGGGAGGGGCCAGGGATCGCACCGGACTGCGTGTAGACGATGATGAGCTTAGCGCCGACCTTGTCGGCGGCGCGGACGGCGGAGGATGCAATGGACTCCAGCTTGGAGAGGAGCGGGGCGCCTGTGTGCTGGCGCGCAAGCGACACGCTACTGCCCAGGGGGCGGCCCATGTCGGGCTCATGGCTGCCCAGAGAAGTCGCGCTGATGCTGCGCCCCAACGCCTCCATGCCCACATCCGTCTCCGCATCCAGCGCTTCCTGCGCGCGGGCACGGCTCCACTCAGAAATGGCGATTTGCGGTCTAGAAGAGGGCATTGCGTAAGCATCGGCAGTCATCATCAGTCCGCCCAATACTGGGGGCGGTGCTTGCCGAATTCAGAGCGCCAGCATATGGCCTGCCCAAATTGACATCGAGAAATGGAATTCGAGGATGGGGAGCTCGGAACAGTACCAATCTCACAACTCGATGAATGAAAGAGATTCAGGTACGTGTGTAATCCTGATACAAGATCCATGTGTGGAGCATCTCTAGTCAGTATGATCAGTACGCATCACCATGCACGTGGCAGGAAGGAAGTGGCATGCAAGTACAAGGCTGCTTGAGAAAATCTGGCTCAATGTTGCCATCGGCAGTGTAGCATACATGCACCCTTGCATGAGGGCATTGCCACGCACACAGCAGGGCAAGGACCTGGGGTTTCAGTGGAATGTTGCACCAGTCAAGATGGATGAAGGCCAGAGGCTTGCAACTGCATGCCCTCTTCATTGATTTGACCCATCTAAAAAAAGGGGTAGTCTGACGAAGGGAAAGGGTGGAGAGTGCTCACAGACATGAGGTGCTCGAAGTGGTAATTGTGGTCGAAGGCCTTCTCGGCCTGGCGGCAGATGGCCAGAATGGTCTGCACCGTCTGCACTGGGTACTTGCCCCGCAGCGTCTCTGCTCCCAGGAGAATTCCATCCACACCGTCCAGCACCGCATTTGCTACATCCGTCGCCTCAGCCCTGCTTGCACATGCATGCTGACACCCACAGCCACTATTTCTACTCCTAAGTTTGCACAATTTTTCAATCTATCCTACCTACTTCTTCTCCACCTTCGTAGGGCTCGATGAGTTCTTAGCCACAACGGTCCACCACGGGTTCTTTACGATTACAGATTTTCTGACGCCACTGCGGAGTGCCCCACGAAAGGGGTAGCGTCGGCACAGCGTAACCTTGCAAAATTTTTTTGCTTCCAAGAAAATGCTTGCGCACATGCCACGGCATGTGCTTCAAGGAGCAGGGGCGATCTGGAAAGGCATGCAATAAAAACCAGGCTTGCAGGGGCGGACCTAGTGGGGCGTGGGGTGTTGACCATGGTGTCGACGACACGTGTGATGAGGACTGGCTTGCCGATGAGGTTGCTGTTGGAGATGACAGCCTTCTGCACGAGCGCCATCTTCTCCGGCAGCACGTCCAAGCCCAGGTTGCCGCGGCTCATGATGATCGCGTCCGAGGCCTGGGCGATGCTCTGGAAGTTGAACAGCGACTGCCGCGTCTCGCACTTGGCCATCAGCTGCGCAGCAGCAGCACACAAATGCTTGTGCCTGGTAGTTTTTGAGAGCAAGGTGCACTCCTTGAACAGAAGCAAAGAGATCCACAAGGTTTTGAGCAATTTCACTCATATATCTGCACGCAGCTCGGCATGCAGCAGTGACCATGATCACTTGATCGCAGTTCAACCAACTTTTGATTAGGAAGGGCTCCCCTCTGCATGCTACCCTCTTTTGCTTCATCCCCAGCATGCATTGCAATTTGACACATTGGGCACGTGCACACCGAAGGAGCACTCCCGCTTACAGTGTTGCAACCATGCTCGGTGCACCAGGAGGCGGGCGCTGCAAGTGCGCACCTTGGTGGCGGTGTGGCCGATGGAGTCCAGGAACTCGCGCGCAGCGTGGACGTCATCGGCCTCGCGCACGAAGGACAGCGACACAAAGTCGATCTCGAAGTGCGACAGCAGCGCCTTGAGCGCCTTCTTGTCATAGTCGCTGAGGATCGGCAGATCGTTCTGCACGTTCTGCAGCGTGTTAGCCGAGCGCTCAGTGTGGAACACCGTCAGCAGCCCGTCCAGGTCAGCGCTGTTTCGCGCCGTGCATGACACGTCCTCCTTCCCAACCTCCTCCACCTGGCATAGCATTTTTAACATTGCAATCACAGCTTGACATGATTGTATCAAGATATTCAACTGGATCTAAATGCTCTCACATGGCTTGAAAGGCCCAGTATGCGCAAATAAGCTGCCAGAACTCATGGGAGCCCACCGAGCACGGCTTTGAAGCATACCTGGCAGTGATGCAGACAGAATGACCACCGGATTTTTTAAAAACCTGCAAATTTCATCGTGGTAGAGACTGTGGCTGCATTGCAAACCTACTCATGGGCAGATGGTGAAAATAGGAGGCTGCGCACCGTGAGGTAGCACGAGGACTCCTCGGAGCCAGTGACGAGGTAGCGGCCCAGGAAGATGGTGTCGCCCTTCTGCACCATGGATGTGAACTTGGGGTAGCTCACCGGCAGAGTGTTGCCGCTCAGTGTGGCGCCCTCCTTTGTCGTCAGGATCACCTGCACCAGGCAACCCATCCTCTCAGCCACAGTGTTTTTGCCAAACCCCCTGTGACACCTCTGACATGCGCGTCCGATGTGTGTGTTATTAGTGCTCGTGCTGTCCCCTGAGAACCCTGACATGCACCTCCTTCAATGTGCATGCTACTCGTGCTCATGCTGTCCTGTTGCACCCCTGAAATGCATCCGAAGTGCTTGTTATCAGTGCTCATGCGCTCAGGAGAGGGGCTACAGAGGCTTATTCGAGTGAAGTGCAGTACCGTGTCGTTGGCCTTGACACTGATGCCCTTCTCAAACTTGGGCCAGCCGTCCTCCTCGTCAGTGGTGGGCCGGTTCACAATCAGCTCCCTGCCAATAGTGTCCACCACGATCGCGCAGAGCTTGCGCGTCTTGCGCATGGCTTCCGCCAGGTTGGACAGGGACTTCTTGTGGAAGTCCAGGGAGCCCCACTGTACAGCATCATGCAAACAAGGCAATCAGACGGCGCCAGTGCGCTCACAGACATGTCAGGTTGCCAAGATGCTGTTTCTCCTCTTGCCAACAAGACAGCTGCTGAAGAACAGCACAAAAGGCAACGGGTGGGAATTTATGCAGGGGAATCTGTGTTGCGCACCGTGAGGTCAAGTCGAGCACAGGTTGCACCGGCATCCAAGATCCTGCACAGGGTGTCGACATCTCGGCAAGCAGGGCCGATTGTCACCACAACTGTGAGCAGCACAGAGTCGTCAAACAACCTGCACCGCTTGTGCAACCACAGGGACTTGCCCAGCCGTATGTCATTGATACCAAAGGGCGCTAAGACATGTGAGCTTGATAAGATACGCCCTTGATAATAGCAGCGCTCTGACAGAATGTGGCGCTTATGTCATGCAAAGTAGCTCTCCTGTACATTACTTGCTGTAGAGACACCCATTGACTCGTACTTAGCTCCTCAAGTTCAGCAGCACAAATCTCCCAGCAGAGTCGAGTCTAGGGTGTTGTATATAACTATCACACCATGTCGATTCTCTATGTCCATGTTATACTCTCTTTATACATATCATGAAACAGATCGAAGGCAGCATCCAGACAGACGCAATGGGTCCTTTGTCTTACCCTTCGTGGCCGTGAAGGCAACCTCGTCTGGATCCGCAGGCTCAATGATGGTTCTAAGATCCGTGTTCTTCAAGACATGTGTCTTGGCTTTCGTCGTCCTTCTGCTAGGAGCCATTGTGCTTTGCCCTTCTTTAACCTAGAAGCGTTGTGGCACTACCTGTGCGAACCACTGACTCAAACACTTAATATTTTGCACGCAAACAACTTTGGGACGTTTGAAAGGTTGCCACTGTGTCTCGCGAATGTGCAAGCTCTGGCACGCGATATTCGCAGGCATCCTGAGCCTCAACTCCAAACTCCGAAATAGTGAACGCACGTGGGCGCCAAAGTAGGCAACGCTGTTGAGCAGCTTCCAGAAAATTCGTAATTTGCGAGACCCAGGTCGTGCGTCTCTCTCTTTGAGATACAGCGCACCATGTCTCTTCCGATGCTTGTAAATTCTGTGCCCCAAATATCTAAAGCGACACTGCTGCAACAATCACGCACTGTTCCTTGCTGCTTCTTCCGGAAGCAAACACGGAGGGCTAGCAGTGCATCCTCTTCGACTGGAGCCACTGTGACGAACGCAACAATGAATGCACCACGGCAGGAACAAATGAGTCCCACTCAGGTTTTTAAGCGTCAATGGGAGATTTATCAAGTGGTGCGTTCTTCCTTCGTTGCAAGGATCACTTGATCACAAGATGCAGTGTACGCGCTGACAGGTCTGGGGGGGCAGCAACTTAAACATGGGTGTTTTCAGATACTGGATGGAGATTACCTGGAACACAAAGCCCTGTATGGTGCCCTTCAGCAGTACCTGCATCGAAAGGCTGCCAGTCGCCCTCTGAGGCTGCTGGACTTGGGATGTGGTGTGTTCTTTACATCATTCGCCTAGGATGCCCAGACCTACCCCAAAGCCACCAGCCGGCGCACATTTTTATTCCCCATCCTATGCCAATCACTACATCAAGACAGCCCACTCGTGTGTACATTGAGAAGTGTCTGCTAGGCAAGGCTCCTGGTGCAGATTTATCCAACCAAGCATAAGTGAGCTCTACTTGAACAGTATGAACGGCACAGAGCAGCACAAGTTTAAGCTGCGCATTTTCTTTTCAACAGGTGACTCTGATTACATATCCCGTGTCATCGAGGAGTGCGGAGGGCGTGCACTTGTAGCCTCCTACACCGGTGTGGATCTTTCAGCGCCCGCCATGGAGATCTCCAAGGAGAACATCCACAGGTGACTGGCCTTTCTGGATGATCGGCTAAGGAAGCAGTCCCAGTAAATGTTGTGCTTCTGCAGTCAGATAAATCTGCGGCCTGCATTGAGGGGAGTGCTTTCATGGTTGCTTCTAGGGCTTTGAAGGGCACAGATCAGGCGGAGTGGCACACGGCTGATTTCTTGTCCTTTGCCACGAGCTGCCAGGAGGAGTATGACTGCATCCTGATGAGCTTTGCCATGCATCACCTCACCTCCAATGAGAAAGCTGAGATCCTGGTGCAGTGCCATCGGTTGCTGCAAAACAGGTGTCGATTCTCTCTAAGGCTGTTGATTTATAAAAGATGCATTTGCACATCACGATGTTGTCCCGTGATCCCTGATAGTTTCTCCCCCAGCTCTTATGCCCTTTGTCCTGTTTAGCAGCGGTGGGGCCTTCCTGATGGTGGACATAATGCGCCAACCTGACGAGACCTTGACAGATTACCATGTGAGGAGCCAGCGAGACGTTGATCACAATTGGGTCGGCCTGACCCCAGAAGCTCGAGCCCCCTTCACAGATCACATGCTCAAGGTGAGCCGCCTTTCAATTTCCTGAATGAGTCACAGCAAATGTTTTTGTGTTTATAAGGGTGTGTGAGAGGACAGAGACTGTATGAAAGGAACATTCCGGCTTCATTTTTTCCTGACATGCTGTGACAATGCTGATTCTTTTACCTCGTGGATGCAGTATGACTTCCCAGAGACATTCGACTTGCTGGAAAGCATTTCAAAGGCGGCAGGTTTCAAGAATGTGACCATTCTTCATGCTGCTAGTAAGGGGATCTCGCAATGCTTGGCACTGGAATCGTGACGGCCTTGATCCTTCTGCTTGTCGTTTGACAAGCACCCATGTCTACATTCAAACAGATCAGGTGACCAGCGAGCAGCGCTGCCAGTTGGGCCAGCAGACTGCCTGCAATTCAATTTGACTTGCCCAGCTTCAGTACAACGATATGATCAGCTTGTAGTGAAGACATGTCTGTGTTGCTCGCCACGCGCTCCTGCAAGAGCACCAATTTGTGTTGGATGGTGCCTGCTTGAACACTGATCATCGCGCACTGATGGGGGATGTTGTCGCTTGCTTTTTTTGTAGACTGTTCTGGACCGTCCAAGCGACTTCAAGTCAATGAAGTTCACTGTGAACACCACTCAGGTCTCAAGGAAATCGCACACGTCAGGTGGACAGAGCCTCTGGTGGGCATGTAAAAAGGGTGAACTCTTTGTAATAAATGTAATCAATAAAAAATAATAACAGATCAATTGCAGCATGCGCTGCAGAGTTACCAAATGAAAGCCTGCATCCGTAGTCTTTGAAAAGAATGCCTCCATGACACAAGTGCTCCTCTGTTCCAGTGCTATGAAGCACTGCGTGGAGGGCCCGCACAAGGCAACACAAGCCTCTACAAAGCGGTCTACATCTGGCGTGCTCCCTCCCTGTTCCAAGGCCACTGATTGTGAGTTCAGCAAGCATTTATCATGAGATGCCTGTACCATGCTGCACTGCCTTAATCCTATGCAGGCCCACCTTCAATGTATTCCGCACTTGGAGTGCATGGGGTGAGGGCAGATTTCTACCTCGTCAATGTAGAGGCAGTCAGCAGCAATGAGAAAGTCGGGAGATATGCCAGAAAGGGAGTCAATGACCTGGAGACTATCAGGCTGGCCCCAATCAAATTCTACCACCTCCACAGAACACCGGTCCCTGCGCATCATACTAGAAGCAAGTTTGCACCCTCACATCATGACCCAGGTGTCTCCTGCAAAGACATTTGGAGGTGCGTAGGGTAGCTATTCGGCACCTTGCTCCGGCTGGCTGAAGCTGTGCGCATCCATTCTGCTGTACATTCTGCTGTACATTGTCTCGTAGAAGAGGAAGTACAGCTGGTCGGTCGCTAGCAACGACCTGCCAAGTAAATTCCCATGGAAGTCACCTCAATTCTCGGTATGGAAGCCACTGCTGCCACTTTGTCGCACAATTTCTCAGGTTTGACGAGGTTCATTCGCATGCATTTCTGAGCAGTATGTCAGGGTGCCAGACATCGGGGAGGTCCACCTTTGCTCCCTGTTTTGCGAGGAATATACTGGGCAGTCCTAGACCAGCCCCTAGTTCCATTACGGTGGCATCACACCAGGACAATTCCAGGCCAGCTGCAGAGCAAAGGGACCATCGATAGTCGACATCAAGCATCCATTGGGCGCACTACCATATGTTGGCTCCTACGAAAATATGACATCAGTCCAAGGATATACCCAGAAAGGCCGTCAGAACAAAAGATGCGTCCCACAGGCATGCTCCCACCCCCACGCGCTGCTCTGACAGAGCACCAGGCTGCACAGAGGACTGTTTACGTCAGTTTCTACCCGCACGCCCTACCCATCTTTGCAGTCTTCATTCTAAGGATGATTTGCTCCTGTGCTTATTTCTGCTGATCTGATCCCGTGGTCCAGACAGGTAAAAGTGGAGATTATAGGCTTAAGTTCTGTTTTATGATGACTTCTGTCCCAGCTGTCTTCACGCAAACTCGTATGGAGGAGTGGACGGCCCAACGATCAAGAGCATCGAGAGTTTTTATGACTGGTTGCCCATCCTCCCAACTGTGCAGGCAAGGTAGCAAAATTTGTGACGATAAGAAGTCCTGGTTCTTCCAACGTACAAATCACAGCCAAAAGAAGGCGCACCCCTCTAGCTGAATATGCATGCGTTCCTTCGGAAACCAAATCGAAGCAGTCCGAGTCCAAGGTTACAACTATCACCGTGGTGATCTCGAGAGCCCCAGGCAACGCATCACCGCACCATTGCTTGGAGATCTGGTGTCTGGTGTCTACGATTTCTCAACTTCATTCTAAACAACATCAAAGACTTTTCATCTCCCTTTTCTTTTTCTGGTAAAAAGCAAAGTGAAAAAGTGTAAAGTGACGTCAGCTTGCATGGTGTGAAAGTCGGCATGCAGAGCATGTTCGCATCAGCATTTTTCGCATTTTTCCTTCCCTGTCCAAGGACATCTTTGTGATCCGGTGGGGCCTGGGTCCTTCGGGATCCGGCTCCTCGACAATCATGGCAACATATATAATGGCTGGGCAAGGTGCTTCGATAGAGGCGGCCCGTTACAGTTAACGGCATCACCATAAACCACTGATCAACTGGGTCGGGCTTCAGCAGCCAGGCAACATCACAGGTTTCAATGAAAAGGATGTAATTTAACGACATAATCGCCGGGCACAAAGCGACGCTTCAACAGAGGCGGCCCTGACAGCAACAATGTGGGTATACAAAAGTGGAGCAGACAGAGGCCAGGCGATAGCGGCTGGAAAGCATAACAATAAATTGATCTTAATGACGCAGTAGTAAAAATATCTAGGACGGCCAAGCTTTGGTTGGGGCGGAAGAGGCAACAGCCGCCAGCCGCCATTACCAGTAAAAGAAGGATGCGACGGCTATTTGCATCATTGTCTGACGCGAAGAATCGACCGCAATAATAGAAATGGCCATGAGACCTTTTACAGAACAAGCAGATTTTGCAGTGTTGCGTTCTTGTGTGTGCCCTGCCAAACCCAGGCAGGATGTTCTGGGTCCTGGTCCAAACCTAGGACAAAGCGCGTACAAGCTGTATTGGGGCTTTTGAGGAGATCTCAGTCTAACCTCCTGCAGTTTTCACCTGATTGCAGCTCCTTGAACACCTGCCAGTCCAGGTGTGCCTTTGCAAACCACTCAGCTGTGCTCCTTGTGGGGGTACTTGATCCACAGTGCAAGTGCAGGTCTTAGGATCTGTTTGGTGACGTTGCATTGCTGGTTCGGTACGGGTCTACATGCTGCTGTGTAGTAGCTTAGCAATACAGGTGGCGGCAAGCATTGTGGGGCATTGGGTACCCCCCTTGCTTGTTTCACCGAGAAGCGCTGTTATTGCAAGGATCTGGGCAGTCTTTACAATGACAGCAAATGGCTGGACCCACCCGCAGCACGCACAATCTGTTTGGCCTGTGATTTGCGTCCATGTCCTGCCCTTGACTTGTCGCTGATTTGGACCGACATACATCCACAAGCAGCCTTGCAGTCCTTTTTGGCAGTTGATACTTGTCTGCGTGCTGGGATGCATATTTTCGAGTATTCATGACGTGTGTGCTACTGATGGTTTGAGATATGTGGGACGCTTAATCAGCCCTGTGTGGCTGGAAAAAGTGTAATCTCTCTCTCTCTCTCTCAGCTCCTTCAAGCAGTTGAGCTTTACATGTACCTTTACCAGTGATGACTGCCGTTTATTTTATTCAGTATATGTGGTCACAGCGACTGCCACTGGACACTGATGTCAGTTTGGTCAGGCTGCCGCGGCGGGCACTGCCCATGCTTGGCAAGCTGTCACTCACTGCCAGTGAATACGTCATGCAATTCCAGTCGATACTCTGCAAGCTAAAGCATGGCTGCAGGCGTCTGCAGAACAGAAGTTCGTGGTCATTATTGATACTTTCTGATCTTCAGCTTCTGCTACACTTCAAAGCTTATGTGCTTGCACAAGGCGGGTAGGCTTGAGTTTCATGAACATCATGGCCTTGATTTTGCCTCCTGTTCTGCACCCTCTGCCTGCCGAGCATCTGTCTGTTTGTCTGCCATTATGGTCCGCCCCGTGCCTTGTGCCACCATGAGGGATATCTGGAGCACTCCATAGACACCAACTGCGGCGACAAGAACCGCCCCGAGAGCTGCACAGAGGCGCAAGAGCATTGAGCTGACACTTAAAAAGACTACGAAGGATATTTCAAGTCAAAGTGTGATACACAAGAAGCCTTGCATGTCCGCCGGGAAGGATGAGATCTCACCCCCAAAGCCCATCAGGCCTACTGCAGCTGCAGCAGATGGTGGATCAGGGACCTGATCAGGATCTGCACCCGGCTGGCCTGATGCGCCTGCATGCAAAAGACTCTTCTTCACAGCATGACAGCATGACCTTACCAGTACTGTGGTGTGCTCCTTACTGCCTCTTAACACAAAGCAAAGGGCGACAGGAGGTCAGATCTCACACCGGCTTGATTTGAGGTGCACGTTCTACAAGAATGTACGGTAAAAGGGGTGCACTGGCTTCCCAGGCTCTTGTGCGCCAGTAGCATGCGCCTTAATGCCATCCCAAAGTCACAATCTGAAAGCTTTCCGATGATGGCTAGCACGGCTGCCTAGCTGATTATACACAAGGCCATTTATCACATCCCTCAAGGGAGAAATCAGCAACAAGCCCTTTTCTCTGATATGGACTATGTGTACGCGATGCTGCAGCGATAGGAAAGGTAGCAATCAATCAGCAACAAAGATAACAGGAGTACCCTTCCAAGATTTAAGTATCGAAAGATAAATCGCGACGGGAAGCTGATCTTCGTTGGTCAACTTGGATGCATGTGCACATCATGCAGCACATGACTTGAGCGAAAACGAATCCGTAAAATGTCTGGGTGGCCGTTACGGTTTCTCGCAGGCACAAGCAGCACACCGAAGTCACCTGCATTGTCAGCAAGTATAGATCTCTGCGCGACTGCTGCTCCGCCGTCACCAAGGAGCCTGTAAAGATGACTGCAAAAATTCCTGCCTTCACTGACATCGGCAAGGCCACTAGGGGTGGGCATGGTTTGGCTCTAGAAGCTGACCTGTATGTGCTTCACCGAGATGCTTTTATGGGTTAATGTTCCCGCTTGTGCTGTGCAGAATTGCTCTATGGCAGCAAATCTGGCGTCTTCCAATACAACCAGGCGCTCAACATCAGCACAAAGACCGCCGATGGAGTGGTGAGTCTTTAAAAGTAATCTAGCAGGCCAGGCTCCTGTCTGCTGCTGCTTGTAGATAGTTGATGGATCATTGCACTGGATTTGACGACCTGAATGTTTGGTGGTGTATTGCCAGGAATTCTCCGTCGTCACAGTGAAGAAGGAGGACAGGATCGAGGGAGCCCTAAAAGCAAACTATAAGACAAAGAAGTACGGCTTCACAGGCACATTCGGCTCCACTGGCCTGGTACGTACCTATTCTCTGCCTAAAAGGTTTTTCAAAACGTGGCTGCCACATCTCGCTGTGCAGAGAGCTGATGTGCAAGTTTGTTGGTGGTGCTTTGCACGCCTCCTTGTCTCTGCATGTGAATCCAGATCAGCAGGCCGCGAGGGAAAAACAATGAAAACAACATACAGCTGTAAATGTGGAACACCATTGATGCATAAACGTTTTGGCGTGCCTCAGGTCTCAACTTCCGTGGCGGTCTACAGTGTGGCCCCCGGCCTGGATGTCACTCTGTTTGGGACACTTCCAGATGTGCAGGGATCTGCCAAGGTAATTTTCCTTATGGCACCGTCTGTCCTTTCAGGTCTGTTCGTTGCATTATGCTCGAAAGATGGTGTCTAAAATTGTGCTGTATTGCTGCTTTTATGGATCAAGGGTCAACTGCTGTTCCTATTGGTAATTCTGAGCATTGTGCATGGCAGGTGTCTGCGGACTACGTGGTGCCGCACCTGACCCTTAAGACATCCGTGGGCCTCACCAACCAGCCCAAGGTGGACCTGGCGGCCACGACCGGCTACAAGGACATCGTCTTCGGTGGCGAGGCCACATATGACTCCGCCAAGGGTGACGTGACCAAGTGGGCAGCAGGAGCAGGTGATGTTTGCAAGGGATCCTGCCCTTGGTCTCAGTCTTTTGTGACTCCATACCTCTTTCATGAGCATGTCTTGTGAGATGACGCATGTTGCCAACCTTCATGCAAGTTGAAATTTGGCAATATCTTGATATTCTTTTTTATATGCTTTGTGATGATTGATGGTGGAGATCCCAGACATGCTGTTGTCCACTGAAGAACTCCAAGTGCTTGACATTCTTAAACCTTTGCTTGCAGAAATGGGATATGTACAGTATTCTCGGATTTTAATGAGTATTTGATTGGTTTGATTGGGTTTTTTTCAAGTGCTCTGCTGTTGGCCTTGTGCAGGCTACCAGCGCTTGGACTATGCCGTTGGAGTGCTCCTGAAGGACATGGGCAAGGTTATGACCGTCTCCTACGCCCACAACGTGGATGCCACAACCGCAGCCGGCGCAGAAGTGTCCAAGAGACTGGACGAGAAGGAGTTCACCACCTTCACTCTTGGGTGAGAACCCGTCTCTGTAATCTGAATCTAAAATCCTGTAGGCAAAGTCTTGGCGCAGTCTCTGTTTTGTGGATTGCAATGCTCAATTAGCTTTTCATTGGATCGGAGTTTCCCGACAATGAATGTCAGCGCACAAGGGGCATGTCACTGCAGGAGGAAATTGTGTATCGTGCGCTGAGATGATGGGTGGATGTGCACAGGCTGCAGAAGAGGTTGGAGAATGGGGCGCTGGCCAAGTTCCGCCTGGACAACGCAGGCATTGCCTCTGCCCTGTACGAGACCGAGCTGAAGCCCAACCACAAGCTGGCCATCTCCAGCCAGTTCAACGCCACCGACCTGAACAAGCCCCCCAAGCTGGGCTTTGCTCTGGACATCAAGAACTGAGGCGGAGCTCCGTCTCAGGCTTGATCAAAGCAAAGGCATGGATGCAAGTGGGCTGCCAGCCCAGCGGGCTCTGCCTGCTGCTGTGTTCAAGACCTACAAGAGCTGTGTCCTGCGTGGAAGTCACAATGTTGACATCCTCTCAGCAGCCTGCCAGGGTCCATTGCTGATCAAGATAAAGGGTGTGCATGGCCAGTGAGTGTAGCTGGACTTTAATGGATGTGAATGCTGCACGTGTAAGGCTTAGGATAGTTCAAGTCATGGTGGACTGCATGGAATATTAAGATCTTGGGATGTTTCACATGTCTTTGACAATACTTGTGCAGTGTTTTGCCCGCCATCAGAGTCTTTGATGTTTGGGGATTGTGTCTGGTAACAATGTCTCACGCATGGTGGATGGATAGTTGAAATTGTAAAGGAACCCGTTTACCTCCAATGTCCATGCATCGTCCATCTTTCACTGAATGAGATTCACCGCTGTACGTGTGCCCCTTGTGCACATATGCATATACGCACAGCATTGCAGACAGGCTTGATTGCGATTGCACCAATGATCCTAATTTCCAGTGGCATGTCGCCGCCCGATGGTCTTAATGAGAAATACGCTCGAGCTCATTGCACTGGCTGCTTACATGGACCAATCCAAGAAGAGAACAGTACTTGGGAAGGCTCTAGATCTAGAAAGCCATGATTCTGTACTCTCTGAATACTCGCCTTTTGCACAGTGGACTTTGATGGCATTTCACATAATCACAGGTATGCATCTCCTTCCCACAACATAATGAAACCTGTAGCTTTGCTACTTGGCCCTTGAAATTCAGAGCTACTCCATGCTGTCAATGATTGCCTTTGTGAACTCTGATGTTTTGGCCTTGCCGCCCAGGTCGCCTGTCAGGTACTTGCCATCCGCTATGGTGCCCAGCACGGCTTTCTGCAGAGCAAACATCCACACTGTATCACATCAACATGATGTTGCTGCAGAGACACATCCAGGCAATCTCCCAAAACTGCAATGCTTTGACGCATGCAGCTCGCAAGATGGTGATTCTTGGGAGGAGCCATTGGGCCAGATGTCCTTGCACATCTACTTGGGAGGAGCGCAGACGGTGTCAGAACCCCATTGATGCCAGTGTTTGGGCTGACCTGGATCCTGTCTGCGTGCTCGTTGAGGTTGAGGTGGCGGAGCATCATGACCCCGGAGAGCAGCAGGGCAGTCGGGTTGGCCTTGTCCTGCCCGGTAATGTCTGGCGCAGTTCCGTGCACAGCCTCCATCAGGGCCAAGCCGTTTGCCCCTGCACAGCACGGGTGATTGTAAGCAAGACTCGCCAATAGATTGCCAGCCACAACACCGCGAACGCGCACTGAAATGTGTGATGACATTTTCTGTCCAAACAGTTGCAGTCCCGACAGACAGCTGACACCACACCTGTGCAAAGCGTACGACATGTGCTTCAATGCAAGGAACGGTGGCACATAAAATGTCATACAACGCACCAATGTTGCCGGAGGGTGTGAGGCCCAGGCCTCCGATGAGGCCGGCGCACAGGTCGGAGATGATGTCGCCGTACAGGTTGGGCATGACCAGCACATCAAATTGCGCCGGGTTCTTCACCAGCTGCATGCATGCGTTATCCACGATCAGCTCCTCGTACTCTATGTCCGGGTGCTTCTCGTGTACCTGCGTGCACACATCCTCCACATCTCAGTGCTCCATTCCTCTGCCAGAGACTTCATTTACTGCGAAGCACTTCCCTGGGGCAGATATTTCACACCTCCTCTGAAAAGTCAGCCTTCTGCATACATAGGCAAATAAGAGTGGTGCGTACCTCTCTGCAGCACTTGATGAAGAGGCCGTCCGCCATCTTCATGATGTTTGCCTTGTGGATGGCGCTGACCTTCTTGCGGCCATTGTCACGCGCATACTTGAAGGCATACTCTGCCACGCGTGTGCTGGCATTCCTTGTGATGACCTGGCACACCATGACAAGCACCTTAATACCACAGAGTGTACCATGCCCAAAAGTTTATAGTGCCTTACTTTATGCTGCAGAGAGCTAGCAATTGACAGCGCACCTTCAGAGACTCCACCACGCCAGGAATGACCTCATGTTCCAGACCGCTGTACTCTCCCTCTGTGTTCTCACGGATCGTGATGAGGTTGACATCATCATACCTGCCAAGGTAAGCTGGAATTTCATATCTGGCTTCAGCAAGGATCTCAGCAGAACAAGCAGGTATGTCAGCTCATGTAGCCCAGAGTTGAAGCCTCAAGCAGGGATGCGCACTGACCTGGTCTTGTATCCGGGCAGTGAGAAGCATGGTCGGACATTAGCATACAGCTGCAGCTCTTTCCTCAGGGTCAGGTTGAGGGATCTGTGTCCCTTGCCGATGGGGGTTGCCATGGGACCCTTCAATCCTACGCGGTGTTTCTGCAGAGTACAGAGTCATGCCTCAAGACAAAGGCATGTCCTCTGTGGCATGTGCGCATGCATGCTTGGCAAGCACAGACATATAGTATCCTTGCTGTGGTGTAAGTAATGATAATAGCAATCAAAATCTGTACCCAGTATGCACAGCGGCCTGGGGCAACTAAGCAGCAGCCACCGCATACTACTGTTGCAGGTTTGATTGCAGGCATGATCAAAGTGCAAACGATCAAGCATCAATCAAAGAGCATCAGGACTACTGGATCCTGTCCCCAAATGAAAAAGTGTGTAGGTTTGCGCAGTTAGGGTGCACACCAGCACAGAGTCCAGATTTTCCCTCGTAACCATGCTGTTGGTGCGTGGATCCGCGACTTTGCCGATGTATTGCTCGTCCCAATCAATGGGGGCATCTGCAGCCGCAAAGATCTTCTGGACTGCCTCTGCAATCTCTGGTCCAATCCCATCTCCGGGAAATAGTGTGCAGGTAATGGTCTCGCCGCTGTACAGCCTGGTTGAAGTGGCAATACAGCTTGACGATTGCCCTCTGAGCACGTTGCTAGTTTGTAAGGCAGTCCTAACCGCTGAAACCGCACGCCTCATCTTGGTATTAAACCCTAACCAACACCTCTTCAATGGGCGGCAGGTAGCAGCGATCCAGTCGCTCTGATCCCTATGTCATGACCTGATCCTATCTTGACATTAGAGACACGCCAGGATATGTGCACGGTCATATTTGGTCAACACACCAGTTGGTGCCATGCCAAGAATAGTAGCTCGACGACCCCTTCCACAGGCGGTCGCCTCACCAGGCGAGACAAAACACAGACCTTGCTTCAACTCCGTGATTTTATTTGTTTAAAAGTCAGCGTAAGTTTTAGTTGATGAGAGCCATCGCCAATTGCGCAGCATGAGTGAGCTTGTGTCTTGACCTAAGCGCATCCCATAGTACCTGGAGAGAGTAGAGGACCCTTCATTGCATCATCGATACTCAGTGCTGCATCAGACATCCTCCATCCAGTATATCGCGCTATTTCAGCCAAAGGATCAGACATGTTGCGTCAAGCAAGGAAGTTGTTAGGGTTTTCCAGGACATTGCAGTCTTCCTTTCCCCCTGCCCTTGCTTCCCAACAGGTGAGATAGAAAAAACTCCTTTTTGAAATATAGTCACTCGATCTGCATGTCCATGACTGTGTCAAGCTCGGTTCGTTATTCATCACAAGTACATGTGGCCACCAATCCCTGCTGCTTCTGACTGCTACGTTGGGTTACAGACAAGGACAAAGATTACATATGTTCCATCACCTGGGGATGCAAGGCCACAGACGGTCACGCTGATCCCAGGCGATGGTATTGGCCCTGAGATCAGTGAGGCTGTCAAGGAAGTCTTTGAGGCCCTGAAGGCGCCCGTTGTCTGGGAACAGTGAGTCTCATTCTCCCTCAAAATTTCCCATGGTCCCTTTGGAGGCATTGGCGATATTCCGTACGACAGATGCCTGCTTTTCTCTCCAAAAGAAGTTGTAACAGCTGCAGGAGTTCTAACCTGGGGGCTGAGACTGTCCTTCTGCCATGTGTGCAGGTTTGACAATGTTCATGGCAGCGACATCTATGGCAATCCAAATCTGGAGATTCCAGAAGAAGTGCTAGAATCAATCACACGAAATGGGGTGTGTTGTGACCCTTATCTCCCCTTTTGTACCTACATTCATCGTTTCTCACCCACTCACTTATAGTCCCTAAATCCAAATCCAAGACATTCCTCCCTTTTCATTTGATGTGCCCGGTGCAGGTGTGCCTCAAAGGGACCCTGTTCACCCCACTCTCTGCCAATAACACAAGCACACAGAGTCTCAATGTGCAGCTGCGCAAAACGCTAGATCTGCATGTCAACCTGGTGCATGGCTGGACCATGCCAGGCGTCCCCTCTCGCTTCTCGGACATAGACATCGTTGTCATCAGGTGTGTTTGTGGCATCAATGTGCAGGGTGACGGGCATCGTTTCAGCTGTCAGTGTCCTGAGTAGAGCAGCATGTCTGACTTGGGCAACTTTCCATGCAGAGAAAACACAGAAGGCGAGTATGCCGGGCTGGAGCACGAGGTTGTCCCGGACGTTGTGGAGAGCCTGAAGATTATTACAGAGGTGCGGTGCATATCTGTGCTTATGATCGCTCCTGCCGACGTGCTTGCAAGTATTCACATAAAGTGAGAAAAATGATAGTGACTGTGGGGCAATGTGTGCACAGGAGAAGTCACGGAGAACAGTGGAGTACGCCTTTGGCTATGCCTACTTGAACAACCGCAAGAAGGTCACGGCTGTGCACAAAGCCAACATCATGAAGCTCAGTGACGGCCTCTTCTTGAGGGTGCAGCCCGCTACCAGACCCCAACTTTGCATTGCCTCTTATACTAGATTAACGCACCTCATTTCTTGGGCATCTTGTCTTTGGTCCCTTATGCTGCAATGGTATGCTTGTCATCTGGAGCCTGACAAGAATTGCTCTGGCTTTTCACCACAGGAGTTCAACAAGGTGGCCAAGAAGTACCCCAGCATCAAGGTGAGTTTCTGTGGTTGGATTGCTTCCATTTAATATCAGACTTACAAGGGAGACTAAACAATACAAACAAACGATGACCATCTGACACAAAGGGAAGACTGACCTGACTTGTGTTGGACAGGCGGAGGCCATGATTGTCGACAACACATGCATGCAGCTGGTCAGCAACCCGCAGCAATTTGACGTGATGGTCACACCCAACCTCTACGGCAACCTCGTCATGAACGTGGTGACCCATCCTTCCTCTCCCAACAAAGCCGTCATGCTCAGCTCAACCCACATTCTCACACCATTCTATGGTCCTGCACCCTGCTGGCAGAAGTGCAGCTCAGTCTAGGGGTTCCTGCACAACTGGTGTGTGTCTTTATCTGCAGACCCCTTTCTGCTGCACGTCTTTCAGGCAGGCTGATGCATGTGTGAGGGAGATGGGCCCAAGAAAGTATCTCCACATCGCTTCCAACCAGTTTTAGGGCTCATGCCTGACGCCGATTGTCACACTCGACGCCCTGCATGGCGCCCAAGAGCTGGGGTGTGAGAGGGACTTGCTGTGGGCAGGTGGCGGGGTTGACGGGCGGCCCGGGGCTGTTCCCGGGCGTGAACGTGGGGGAGAATGTGGCCATCTTTGAGCAGGGAGCGCGTCACGTGGCCAAGGACATCGCCGGCATGGGCGTGGCCAACCCCAGCGCCGCCCTGCTGTCAGCCGCCATGATGCTGCGCCACCTCAACCTGCCGGGCTTCTCCGACAGGTATTACCCCGCTGATCCCACCTTGCTGCTGCACCTGCGTTAGGCAGGCTGTCACTTGTATGAACAGACCCCTCAGAGCGCACAGAACACAGTGACTGCTGTGCATCTTGTATGTAGCATGTGGCGGACGCAGGTGACTCCGCTTGCCTGCTTTTGTGATGTTGCTTGTCCTCCGACAGGCTTGAGCGCGCGGTGCTGAACACCATCAGCAACGAGGCGGACTCCATCAAAACGCCCGACATTGGCGGCACCGGCACAACGCGCAGCTTCGTCAACTCCATCATTGAGAAGCTGTGAGGGCATGCGGCGACGCATGCTCGGAGTTCTGTATTTGTCGGGGAGAGAATTCTTTTGCTACAGCTGAGCAGATGCGGTCGTTGCTCCTGTTGTGACACTAGTTCCTGTCTCTATCTGGTTCGGTATGTGGGGTCCTGATACTCATGTATGCTGCACTGAGACACAGCAGCCTAAGTAGGGTGATCTTGTTGGATGCTATCTGCCATGAGTGACTTAACAAGCCCTGCCCACTTGTCAGCCTGAGGTAGAAGACAACGGGTCCTCTATTATATACTACAGGCATGTGAAAACCAGAAAATTTTCAAGACTTTCCCAGTCAACAATTAAAAATTGCCTCACCAGGGCCGCCCGCGCGGCGCCGCTAAGGATTATGAGAGCTTGCAATAATGGTGATCGCTAGGCCACAAGGTAGTGCTACAGACATTGGGTGATAGAGTTGTCCGGCCTGCTGCCATGCCCGGGCACTGGCAGTCATATCTGTTTTCACTGACGCCGGCGGCTTGCAGGGCAACTCCGAGTGAGTCACTTGGCGAATGATATATGCAGTCCTTCGCTAAGCCTCCTGTGCAGCATTTGCAGCGAGCACCTTGTGTTGAAGAAAAATTGAAATGGTGCTCCAACAGCTTTTGTTTACTCCACCATTCCATTCCATTCCATCCTCCCAATAGGAATATTCAGCACCTTTAGCACAGGAACGCCACATGACAGTCATGCCCCCACGCAGCCCACCGTGGCGCTACACATCATTTTTGTCTGCGTGCAATACAAGCATACCAATTGCAAGAACGTAGCCCGAGCCAGCCGGCACTCTCTGTTGTTGCACATCCAGACCAGGGCTTGTTCTGCCCTTGTTGCTACACTAGGAGTAGGTGAGGCATATATTGTAGACCTAGGGAATGGCAAGCTTTGGAGAGGCTCCAGCCGGCGATTCGGCCAAGGGCGCGAAGATCTTCAAGACCAAGTGTGCTCAGTGCCACGTTGCGGAGAAGGGCGGCGGCCACAAGCAGGTGCGGTGGTCCTGCCCTAACCAGTTTGAGCACATCATTACAGTTGCCAAAAGGGCAAACACTTGATCACAAGCAGCAAATTGGAATGAAGTAGGTCAGCTTCAGATGATTGATATGCGGAGACCATTATCATGTGCGTGGGCTAAAGTGTATAAAAATAACTTCGGTGGAGGATGGAAGCTTCCTGGAATATGGGCAAGGTCAAGTATATGTGAGGAAAAATTCACAAAGGAGCGCTGCAATGCAGGGCCCGAATCTGGGAGGGATTTTTGGGAGGCAGTCAGGCACCACTGAGGGATTCTCCTACTCAAAGGCTAACAAGGAGAAGGCTGTGCACTGGGAGGAGAACACCCTCTATGACTACCTCTTAAACCCGAAGAAGTACATCCCAGGTGAGCATGAGGGCAGCCAGAGGCTTTCCATAAGTGTGCAGATTGTGATTGCGCATGTTTGGGACCGGACGATGCTCTTAGTGTCACAGGTACAGCTGTGGTCATTAGCTGCCTGGGCGTAGCTGAGTGCGAATTATTGCTTGGGTTGACAGGCACAAAGATGGTGTTTGCTGGCTTGAAGAAGCCCCAGGACCGCGCGGATCTCATCGCCTACCTGAAGGACGCCACTGCTTAAGAGAAGCTTTGATTGGCTTCTGTCAGCGCCTGACCTCCTGCGCATTGCAGTTGGTTGCACCACAACAGCTTAGAATTCCACCTGTCTCATTCGCCCCAGTATCGAGGGTTACATTGTAATGGCGTGGATACTCAGTTCTGCAAGGTCTGAACTTGGGTTCTCATCTGTCATTGCCTTTGGGGATTGAGCACACGCTGTCTGATTGGACCTGAAGTGATTGCAATACTGTCTCTCGGTGTTACAATTATTTTGAACAAGCAAGGTGCTTTGAGCAATGCTTACTGGTGGGTTCAGGGTGATGCCAGTGCCCTGAATTAGATAATAATTCTGTGGATCGTCTTTCTCTAGTGCACAAATTTAATTTTGTGTGTGGCAATAGTAAGCTAGCTGTCTCGCGGACACATGGTAAGCCATTACAAGCTTGAAGCATGCAGTCATACTTCAATCCGTGCATGATGTACCGTACCTGATGGTGACCAGCCTGAAGAGAAGTCAAGGGATAATGATGCTTCAGTTAGTTGCAGAAGGACCTTGAACTTGAGCCTCTCTAGTGCAGCTCTACACACATGTGCCAAAGAGCGATCCAATATATGCAGGACACCTTGTGCTGCCTAGGCACCATCAGTGATGCACTGCATATAGCATGCACTCTTTTTGAGCAGTGATGCAGCAGCTCTAGATGATAATCGTGCTTCCTGCACAAAGAGACTGTGGAGTGTGGCTTGCATGGAATTTTCAACGCACTCCAAGCCACCTCCCGATCAGACGACTCGAAATAAGAACTTCTAAGTCTTGACGAGGAGGTTGGCAGTTTCACGCCAAACAATCGCGCTCCCCTTCTCGTGGCTGCATCATGCTCGCCACTCTGTACACATGCTGAATTTCCAACGCCTATTAGCGCTCAAATCCAATTGGGATCCAAAGTATGCTGGGGCAAAACCATTGGTGCTTGATCTGCTGAACGCCTGCCAGGCTGGTAGGAAGGCAGGGATGCAAAGACTGGGTGGCTCAGCCATGGGACCGCCCACTCTTGAAGAATTGCCTTTTGCAGATTGCCACCTCCAATCAGCAAGGAAAGTAGTAGTAGTAGAAGGAAAGAGAATGGAAGGGCACACTGGCAAGTCTGCGACTCGATTTACAGACATCTAATCTTTCATAAGAAAGAGAGTGGCAAAGTGCCGCCTCATCTGCTCTTCCCTCCCCGTATTCTTCTCCTATAGCTCCAATTCTGTACCCAAAGAACGGAATTTTGAGGTATGTGTCCTTTGGTTATGCCAACCAAGGACTGCAGGAGCAGTCTGGTCTGTCTATACCAAAAATAATATAATTTCAGGTTCTCCAGGAGAAGCTTCGAGGTAGTCTAAGTGTTTCGTTCTCTTTTGCTGGCCATATTGTTGCTGAAGCTGCTTCACTGGCAGTCGTTGAGCACGTCAGACCTAGGCATCCTGATGCTGCAATGGCAGTAGAAGTCAAGTCGCTGCTGCAGTCGCCACTGCACGTGAACGATCGCTCATAAGAATGCATCTTCTCGGTCAAATATACTAATGATCAGCTTAGGATGGAGCTCAAAGCCGTCACAACCGTAGCGGCCGGTGGCAGCCTGGCAATTAACCGGTTACACCAAACCTATAGTTTGTGTGGACAGCGCCAGCGAGTGGGGCATGTAGAATCACCATCATTAAAGATGTTGAGAAGAAGAGGGCGACGGTCACCATGATCACCGGAGGTCCTCCCGCTGGGTCCGCACGGTTCCCCCCCTACCGCTGGATAACATGCGTCTCTGGCAGCCACACCAAGACAACAACTTTGGGAGTGATACCTCTCCACGATGGCACCTGTTGTACAGGCGTCTTTGGGGAGTTCCGCCCTGGTGGCAAACAGAACGATGCAGGTAGAACCGGAGTCCCTGACTTTTCTCAAAGCTTGTTGCGAAATCTTCGTTCTTGTGGGTGTCAAAAGTGCCCCTAAGTGCCCCTAGGGCAATTACGACACATGATCGTGAGTGCATGAAACTTGATAGTGCTATTTATGATTACGATGTGTAGCTGCAGCAGGGGTCGTGTCTCTCAGTGTCTTTTCAGGAATGCTCTCCTTGTTTAGGCTTTTGTGACAAGAGCTCTGATGTGCCAAAGGTCGATCACCATACGTTTTACCGTTCAAATTGTCAATCTTGTGCAGGCATCGCACGCCTCCTGCTCGGCATTCTGCAAGGGGGGAGCTGTGCTGGTGTTGCAGCCTAGGCGACGATCTCCTGTGGGAGCTTTGGTGATCAGGGCAGCGTCAAAGGCCACATACGAGGGGTACTTCTCAGCAGAACCAGCAGAAAGGTTGCGGCTCAACAACCTCTCCCCACAGCCTGGTGCCAGAAGGCCCAACAAGAGGAAGGGGCGCGGATATGGAGCTGGCCAGGTGGGATTTTGTAATTGATCTACTTCGCTTGACAAAGTCTTATGCAGTCCTCCTGGATAAAGCCGGATGGGATGATGGCTGGTCCGTCTCTGCTGAGGAAGATCAAGGAGACACAAAGTCAGCTTCCTGACCAGATGCTGTTTTGGGGCAGGGTGGCAGCTGTGGGTTTGGCATGAGGGGTCAGAAGTCGCGGTCTGGCAGTGGCACACGCCCAGGCTTCCAGGGTGGTCAGACACCGCTGTACAGGCAGATGCCCAAGCTGCGTGGTATTGCTGGAGGTGCGCTGCTTCCCATCTCTCAAACTCCCCTCCTTGTTAATATTTTTCAAGCAAAGCCCCGCTGTGCCTTCACAGTGTGCAAGTGTTGTACTGTATTTTTCCTGAGCTTGTGCGCACAATTGAAAAAGCCTGCAGCAGCACGTAACTGTCACTGCTGCACAGCGAGTAGAGGAGGAAGCGCATCTTCTGAGGTCATGCCTTCACATTGCTGCTGGACCTGCTTATCTGTCATCTGTTGTTGCTGCAGGCATGAGCGCTGGCATCCCCAGATTTGTGACCGTCAACCTGCGGCAGCTCAACGAGAAGTTCCAGGAGGGAGAGGAGGTGTCTCTGGAGACGCTGCAGCAGAAGAACCTGCTCAACCTGTCCGGACGGGAAGCCTCCTTGCCGCTCAAGGTGTGCTGCCTTTCCAGTCCCTGCACTGGAGTCATGTCCTGATTTGAGCGCCAAGCGCAGGCACATCAGTGGCGCATCTGCTGCTTCGGGCAACACTGGCATGGACACCCTTGATTGGAATGCCCTACAAACGATGGTGTACTCCTCCTGCATGAATGCTGAAGGTAGAGTGGCTTGTGTGGTGCTGCAGATCTTGGGCGATGGCGAGCTCAAATTGTCTCTGAAGGTGCACGCAACACAGTTCTCAGCGTCGGCCCGCACCAAGATCGAGGCGGCAGGCGGCACAATTGTGGATGTGGCCCCGAAAATCAAGTGGACGAGGGCGCTTGGCAAGGAGCGCAAGGCAGCAGCTGAGGCAGCACCCAAGCCGACCAAGACAGTTGAGTAAGCAGTGTTAACAAAATGCAGGACCAGCCTTTGCGCCTAGCTGGCTGTGGATAATGCTGTGGGTGTGCACTGTTGACAGCTGTACTTGGCACATGCGACCCGGCATGACATTGAGACAGAGACAAAGATCCGTGCTTCTCTATGTGGGATGTGTTGGCAGAGTTTGATAAAAGAGTACTCCGGGATCCCAAAAGAACGCATCATTATTGTCTTTTGGCACGTGCAAGACCCTGCTGTTTTTTTGATTTCCACAATATTGGCTAGAAAAGATACTCATACTTATGCAGGACAACAATGTTTACAAAATTGTAATAGACAGATTTGCTATCTATATTTGCCAGCTGGCAGGCAGACAATGCCTTCACTCCAAGCTCAACCACACATAAATTTTGCCTGCCTCAGATGCATCAATGTCTATGATGGAAGCATATTCAAACATAAATTATGATGCGCATGTGCTAGATAGCACCACCATGAATAGCTTGTGTCAAGACTTCCTCCCTCTCAATTGGGCTTCGCTGTAGGTTGAACCCATAAGGAGTAGCTCGAGCTCGCCAGGACCCCAAAAAAAACAATTACGGCCTCTCTTGACAGACATCAGTGTCTCAGCCAGGACACATGATACGGTAATACACTCTACATAATAGATGCGCCCGATGTTGGGAGTAGCAGTATACAAGTACAGGGGCAACAGGGCTTGGCCACACTAATGTCAATTCCTCAGCTGCTGGAGGCGCAAGCAGCAGACATTGTCGCCGCCACCAAGCCAGGCTCTTCTTTCAAAGCCCACACCGTGGCGCTCAAGCTTGTCAAACCTGTCCTCCAGCATGCACATCGAGTCACACATTCAAACATGTGGCCAATCTCTCCTCTGAAATGCTCCAGCAAATTTGAGTAATGCAACTAAGGGGTGAGTGGGGTGAGAGACCCACCAAACAGCATCCTGGCTGCAACAACAGCACTCCAGCAGCTGCTCTGCGCCTTCCTCGGCAAAGACATTGTTGTACAGGCAAGAGTGTATCTCCAGCTGCGCGGACCTGCAGGCCATCACATAATTTCTTGCTCTCAGCGGCTGCCATGTTGATCTCCAACAGCCAGTGCCTCATGAAAGAAGGGCTGTTTTGACATCGCTCTGTAAACTGCACCTCTCATCTTCCTTAACGTCGCTGGTGGCAAAGGACCGGCCCAAGTCGAGCTTGAGCGCCCTTAAGCGCCGCACAGAAGATGCGAAAGGGTCGCGCGTGAACAGTAGGGAGAAACGCAACAGGTAGCTGAGGAGCGCAGACGACCTGTCGCCTGCCTGCGCCCTGATGATGTCCAAGACTTCCTGGAGAACACATATATCCATTCGATACAACAAACTGTTATTGAAACTCTTGATGAAGCTGCAAAGGGAGAATATGTCCTGCACTGCGAAGATGCTTCCATGCACCTGATCATTCCTGATGAAGGGCTGCAGGACTCTGTAACTCGCCAGCATCAAGCAGGCAACCTGCGGCACGCCATATCAATTTAGGACTTCCGTGACTTTTACAGTCCTGTTTGGGCATCTTATGTGGCGAGAAGATCTGTGCATGCCTGCAGGTGAGTCTGTGCACGGTCGTCCACTACTTTGTCAGCATGTCTCGTCAAAATGTTCTGGTAATTTCCTTCGGTCAAGCGAGCTATCTCCTGATCACGGCCCTGGAGATTGGGATACTTCCTGCACCAGATCAGAGCTGACTGTTTGGTCTTCATGAGTTTCCAAGAAGTCTAGACCCCATGCTTTGGTACTTTCAAAGAGGCTTTCACTCGACTCGTATGTAGAGGGAGCACCTTGAATTTGCAGCCAAACTCGCAAACCACCATTTTCTGTTTTGATTTTCGAGCCATTCCCGTGATCCAGGGAAGGCCCTATCCAGCCAGTGTTTTTCTTGATGCTCTTCTCTCTCCACCCAGCTCGTCGATCTAATCGGAGCGCTGCTCGGGTCCCTGTCACTTCCAGACGTGAAGTAGTGCGAGTATATTCTTTTGCAATTACATGAAGTGTCCGATGATTGGTGCGCCCTGACTGCAAGTGAGTGCACACTTGCGATTCTTTTTAGCATTGCCTCTATGGTGTTGAGCACGACTGTCAATCAGCAACAAATAGTGTTTATAGGTTCCGGAGAGTCGCAAACATTCCCAGATTTGCTGTTCAAGCTTCATCTCAAGGTTTACGTTGGTGTTGACGTCAACATGCATGTTTCTGATGATGTTACAGCGTAACGCCCACCATCACCTTCGATGCATTCGAGTCCTTTTGACGATTTCTTTCCTAAGCAAACCTTGCCGATATCGACGATATACTTCTCGTTATGGACGACGATGGTAAGCAAGGTCTCGAGGAAGACGATCTGCTGGATGACGCCGAGGTGGATGCTCTGATCAGGGAAACGATCGTGTTGACGCTGGGGAGTGACAGCCAATTTGATCACAACAACATGAATCAGTGGACAAACGAAATTATTGAAGGGTGCTTGAAGAGGTTAGCGGGCCTTGGCAAGCCTTTTAAATATGTGGTGACCTGCAACTTGGCCCAAAAGGTGAGGTCTGTTGGCACGCAATGAAAGTGGTCACGAATGTTAGTCTAATTTAGTCTCGGAGAACATAGGTACCTGGTGACCTTTTGCAGGTTGGAGCTGGGCTTCATTCTGCCTGCACAGCACGTTGGAACGACAAAACAGATGGGAAGCTGACAGTGCAGTGGGAAAATAGGACAGTCTTGGTGCTTGCCACAGCATACTGGCTGGCAGTGTAGTCCACCTCTGGGACCTGCTCAACATCCTCCCAATTGCTTGATTTTTAACTTTGAAATTTAATGATCTGAGCACTGATGAAGCACTGCAAGCCTCTGACTTACATGCACATCTGGCAGACAAATCTCACTTGGACACATGTGCTCAGCACCATGCATGATGGGGCAAAGTCAATCGCTCTATGGCTGTGGTCCATCCATTGGAGTGACAGTGCTAGAGCCTGCCTCATTGTAACCTCCATAAGGGAGCAGCAAGCATCCAACAGCACTTTTCAACGCACACTGTCATTGCATCTCCTTGAAAATTTTTGCCAGAGGGTTCCAGCTCTGCACGTCATGCCAGGTCACTGGCCAAATTGTTCACCTAATACACCCCATGACCTGCTCACACATGCCACATCCCCAGATTGATTAGGCTTGCACGTCAGGCCTCAGGGCCGATCATGTTTGGCAGAGTGGCAGCTGAGTCGTCGCTAGCGTGGGTTGCAGCTGCTGCAATTGGGGCCTGCATGGCCTCCTGATGCACAGGGCCAGAGGCAGTGTGCATCGCTCCAGGCTCCGCAGATGGCATCTGCATGTCCACGTGGGCCTGCTGCTCCGGTGCCTGGACATAGCCTGAGATAGTGTTACTTGCAGGGCTTTCTTGCGGCGCCTGTGGGGCGCTGGACTGGGCGGCCCACTGCTGCGGCCTGATGCTGGCTGCATGCACCAGCAGCAGCCCCTTGCGCAGCGTGGCCACCTCCTGCTGCAGCTGCTGGATGCTCTGGGTGCACTCACCAACATCCCTCCTGCAATCACCGCAAACTGCTTACCAAGTAGTGATGTCCCACTTGCCACGGGATGATGAAAGAGTAATATGCCCTGCTTCTTGCTTATTTATCACATGTCAGGGGCACAGCAGTGCCGCAGCAAAGCAGCAAGGAAAGCCCCAAAACAGAACAGGAATAGCCCCAGAACATGATTGTTGCTTCTCTGGAAGCAAAGCATGATGTTGGGCCGGACAGGACCACACCTGAGTTGGGGCACCTCGGAGTGGGTGGTAGCAAGGGCCTCGAAGCGGCCGCGCATCTCTTCCACATTGGCGGCCGTCTCCTGCTCGACGGTGCTCACGCGCCGGGAAGCCCCGTCGGCGAGCGAGGCAGCCTCGCGCACGTGGGAAGCCAGCAGCTGTATGAAGCCCGACCCCTCCTGCCGCACCTCCTCAAACTCGGCGTTGCTGGCGCTCTGCAGCTCTGCCACTTGCGCCTGCGTATCAAGCACTCGCCACAATGAGCATCATTATTATTATTTTCATCACATGCTTTTTCTGCCAGAGGTAAGGTGCGTCTGCAGAGAAGCTGCAGGTAATCGCTGCCACAATCCTAACCCCTTGTTGGACTCGACAGATCCAAGCAAGACCCAATCAACCGTGGGCACGGTGCTCAAAATCTACACCGCCCACCGCCAGCCGGGGCCTAGGGAGCATACACCAGCAATAATTTCTGCCCGCCAATGACATTTCATCACTCTAAACGCTCCTCCATCGTTGTGCATGTGCATCACATCCCCTTGATAATGACAGTAAAGCACCGTGAAAACACATTAAGTCCCCTTGCAGATTAATCAAATCCCCTTGGAGGACATGGCATGGCGGACCTGCAGAGCGGAGACTTGCTGCTGCAGGCGCCAGCACTGTGAGCAGGCAGTAGCGGCTTCGGGTGAGGCTTCGCTTGCAGGCTTGGCGTCCGCCATCGCCTGCTGCGCCTCCTGCCGGGCAGCCGCCAGCAGCCGCCGCAGCTTGCGCACCTCCCGGAACTCCCCTGCCAGCGCCGTCGCATCCTGCTGCAGCTCCTCCTCCTCTGCACGGCGCAATTGGGAAAATTATTCTACTGTGCATGTTTGTTGGGCTACAAGGTCTTCCATCAGATTGATCCCTGCTGCTGCAAAATGAGCTGTGTTGTGCACAAACTGCCCACACGCGCAGGACACACAAGTGAAACTCTTGAACAAGCAGCCACGAAAGAATGCATCATACATCATAATTTGCACCAGCTCACTCCAAGCCACACTGAATGACGCCATGCCAAGCTACATGCTTGAAAAGCGCTGATCGAGCTGCAATAAGGATCATGCCTGTCTGGGCGGATGCAGGTGACTGCAGCCAGTACTCCATGTGGCCCTCCGTGTTGTGCCGCCGGCGCAGCTTGTCTCCTTGCATCGTCACTGTCTTGTCCGCCAGATGCTTGAGGAGGTGGTCCAGCAACCCAGTGTCCCCTGCAACCACACAGAGCATGCATGCCACGCCATAGCGCACCTCAGCACCACATTATGCTTGCAGTCACTTTGAGAATCCTTTAAGAAGATGATGGAGTAATCAAGTACCTACGGCCTTGCGGGCTTCTTCGCGCAGGGCAGGCCGCAGCACACAGCGGTCCGATGAGGTGGCAGACATGGCGCGCAGAATGTGCACCAGGGCCGCCACAGCACCATCATACCGCTCTCGGCTCCACCTACAAGATTACGCTTCTCTCACATTCGTGCCAACCAACGTGTGGCCACAGCAGGGCATTTTATAGTAATTCTTTGAGCATTTGCAGTACACCATCGAGACCAAGAAATCCTCAAGGCGCTATTATACAGTTGAGATCCTCAACTTGAGAAGGACTGCTGCATGCACCCCACCTGCCATAGTGGAGATCCTTCTTGCCCTCATGCTTGCTCTCGCTGGGCTGCATCGAAGTGACGCTAGTTGTGCTCTGGGTCACCTCTGTCACAAGGGAGCCGGACGCCTTCCTCCTCAGCCTCTCACTCTGCCACCCCATGCCCTTGTGTCAACTCCAAAAGTTTCACGTTCCATTGAGACAAGATCTTGCTGCTCACAGATGAGCCCACAGAACAGCCCAGAATACGGCATGCAAGGTGGCAGCAGCACCTTGACAGGGGTCTGGTGGGCTCGCTGCTCCATCTGCACTGCCCGTTCCACATTGCGCTCAAAATCGCGCACCGCAACCTGCAGCTCGGCCGGACTGGTGATTGAGCGGACATGCATGCTCCAAGAATCCACGTCCACCATCTGCACGAAAGAGATCTGTGAGGTGCATGACTTGCAAAAGGTTCTGTCAATGTTGTTGATTCCCGGGAATAGCTGAGATCAGATAAAAAGTACGACAAAGGCTTGGAATTGAGAGTGGAGATAAGATGGAGCCAGTGCCACCTCTGAGTTGTCAGGATAGTCCAGGTTGATCCAGTCCTCCAGATGAACCATGGCATCGGCAATGCCATACACACTCCGAGCAGACCGGCAACTCTCCTCCCAGGCAGTCCTCTCCAACAGCCACCCTTTATGCATCATCTGCAGCACAGCATGATTGTTGGCCATCTGTTCATTCGGTCTATGAAAATTGCGCATGAGCAGACAGGAACGGAGAACAGGCAGCAACAAAATTGGTGCAGCCCCGACACAAACATCCAGCTGGGAAGGCTTCCCCACCTCCATGGGAATGCTCCGTGACAAGGCAATCAGTGCACCTCCCAAATTTTGCATTGGGTGGCTTGCGCCGTTGGTTCTCGGGCTGAGGCTGGGAGCCCTGGAGGTTCCCCCAGATGCTGCCAGCTGTGCCATGCCTGCGGCTGCTTCAGCCTCTGAGGACGCTCCTGCATTCTACATGACCAGGAATGCAATGAGAGACCCTTGATACAAGCTGCTCTCCATTTCAGCTCGCCATCTCTTGCACCAAACCACTGAAAATGCAAGCACGTCCATATGAGGAAAAATAATGAATTTGGATGAAAGGTCTTTTACCTTAAATTCTCTCCCTGCCATGATATATACGATCAAGACTACAGATCTCGTCTCTGTCGTTTCGTGAAAAGTATAGCAGTTCCAGCCCTTTGATGGTTTCCGATCTTTCAATCAATCCTTTCTTGTTGAGTTCGAGCACAATCTGCATGCTCACTGTGATGAGTGAGACGAGAATACAGGCCAGTCAGCAGGTAAAATGCATTCGAGCACGGGCAAAGTCAGCGTTTCAAGCACCTAACGACAGCGACTGGGTATTGTACATACAATATAAAACTCCACACAAGTCACCGCACAAGTTCACCTGGCTGCTGCGCTCAACAGATCGTGCTCCAAGCCGAAATGCATGTGATAAGTGACTTCTGCTCAGAGATCCCTCTAACGACGAGCTCGGTCAGATTACACATCTCATTGGGAAAAACTGTATACTTTGGATTTGGTGCCGCAACGATGTCGGGAACATCCAGTGCGACCGCCTTCATCCATTGATTATTTTCAGCAGAAAAAAGCGCCTAGATAGGCAACCTCAAGTTTTTCAAATATTGGCCAAGTCGTTCCCTGGAAGAAGTTGGGAAGAACGCAACCAATATTCTGAATACAATTACCACGTGAATTGGTATCTCACGTGATCGGACTTGCTGCCTCGCTCTATATTCTCATCATCAATGTTTGTGAGGGCTGTTTCTCCTTAGACAGACATCGCTCTCTGTATAGTTGTTGCAAGGAAAATCGGGTAAAGTATCAAACATAATTGTTTCTTGGATGTGATTTGTCCTTCAGTGTGCGGATCAGCACCTCTGGCCACTGGACTGTTGAGAGAGTTTCTACAGATCACATGGAAACCGGTGCATTGAAACACACCTCACATCAAGGAGAGCAAGAAGAGCATTATTCCCAAGACAGTAAGCTACTGATTATATCAATGAAGTCTCCCATGCGCATAGTTTTTATATTATTTGGCTCTTTGTCCTTTTCCAAGCACCTATCCTTTGAGACAACGCTTATGAATGCAAATTGCCACAGAGAGGCATGATGGAGCTTGGGCATGGAATACTTGGCTTCCATCCAGTGCAGCAATTCAACAGGTACAAGGTCAATACTTGTCTGAGCTTCGTTGTGCACTTGGTCCTTCCAGAGACTTGCCGAGAGGTTTCATTGTTCCTCACGGTCTGCATAGGCAGCAGTTGGAGCTTTACGTGATGTGCAGGAGCTCAAGGACTCCCTTCAGAAGGTACATGACTGCAAACTGCTTCATGCATCACAGAATTAGCGAATGCGACTAGGATTCCGGCTTGCAACCATGACGCTTGCAGCAGCACCAAACGCAAGCTGTGGTGGCATGCAGGCCCTGATTATTGATGGGACAGACACAGAAGAAGATGCAGAAGTTGCCGCCAGCAGTCAGCAAACCTCTGCTGAGGAAGAAGCGTCGCCAGAACGGAAGGCTGTACTGGACCGACTGGAAGGAGAGGAGAACCCTCTGGCAGCTGGCCTCAAGGTGATTGCCATAATTGTCCTGAATGTGACTCCTTACTGCACCCAACCAAATTGACAGGAAAGGCCTCATGCCCTTATTCTTTGGCTTGCAGGCCATGGATGATCATGTTGGGCTGCTTGCGGAAGGAGTCGCAAATTTAGCAGGGACACTCTGGGGTGGTGCACGCACAACCACTACACATGTGGCAGGACAGGTTAGTCACATCGATGACCAATCATTCTGCCACATGTGCGCCTTGTGCGACAAGGTTTGGTATGCGAGTCAACCCAGCTGCACAAATTGTGGAACAAGACGTCTCGTGACCTGTCTCTCGCTGTGCAGGTGGAAAGTAGCTTGAAGGTATGCGCTGTTGGGTAACCACTCCTTGACTTTATTCTGTCTTCAGATGAGACTATCACCTGGATGATCAAAAGGTGACATGCACTTGTTGCAACTCTGGATGCATGATCGTGTCTGCAGCACTTTGGGCAGTCTGCAATCCAGCTTTTGGATGGGGGCATGGACTTAAATGAGAAAGCTGTCAAAGAGGACCCCCTTTCTTTTGCAACGTGCTTCCATGGATGCGGCGGACCACAGAAGTGCGAGGTACATGCCTGGTCACATGACCACAATGCGCTGCCATATTTGCCTGTGTTCCATCCAACAGACCTGCGAGTGTTTTTTACTTCTGGTACTGATTGTAGCAATCTGCATGCATTCAGGAGCTTGAAGAGTTGAGTAGCCAAAGCGCAAGCCTCTGCAATCGCATTAGGGCGACTCTGGACACTGATGCATGCTCACAGATGGATCAGGAGCTGACAGCTTTGGCTCCAATATTTGAGATCAAGGTGCGCCAGGAATGGAATTGGGGCGTGAGTTTCTGCATTCGCGCTTTTTAATGATGGATTTGTGCCAGGATGTGTCAACGCTCCAGCCCAATGATATTTTCAGGAGGAGGAGAGGGTGGAGAGGGGGAATGAAGATAATGACAGTGCTGCCCCGATTGCCAAGGGCCATTTCAAAATCTTGGAATTTAGCAAGAAAGGTGTGAGGGCCTCCCTGTATGTGTGTTGATATCATGAGCACACCTCGCACATATATTGTTGTGCTTTGGAGTGTCACTGTCACCACCAAGTAGCACGGCAGCAAGCAGCGGGGCTTTGATAAAAGACATGTTTCCGTTCTTTCAGGCAGCGCGAGGGCTCAGAGACTCGAGCAGGACGGGCTTGCATCACCTGCTGACCTGGCCAAAATACAGTCAGCATGTGCACTCGCGCTGGCACGGCTTGCCACTCTGTGCATTGAGCGGCTGCTGGCACTTGGGCGCAGCCTGTTGGCACATGCGCGCAGCCGCCGCCCAGCCGAGGACTGCATCGATTGGCCCCTTGAGTCTGCCACCTCAGCAGGCATGCTGAGGGCTGAGGTACATCCCTGCTGCTCTATCAGGCAGCTGTAAAATTCACAAATGTTGCTCAGGACCATGGGATCAAGTCCCATGATCTGAAATCCAATTTTTAGCACGAGTTCCTCTGCAGGTGCTGCAGATGTTTGTGGCAATTGATGACCTGGCGCATGCTTACATGGCTGCTCTGCCCAAGGCTGCATCGGGGACGCAAGGAGGCAGTGCAGAGGAGATGAGAGGAGGAACAGTTGACCAATTGCTGATTGGCCCGGAGGTGACCACCCTTCTCCCGCGTCATATGCTTTCCACAAAGAGAATTGCACATATAGATGTCTGCAGTTCCTGCACAATCAACAAAGACAGTCTGTGTGTGAATTGTTTATCACCTCAAATTCTGTGGCACCAAAAGCATGCTACTGTGCTTTATGCAGGACCATGCAGATCCCTCAACAGAGACAGAGAATTCGGGTGGCACTGTGGACCATTCAGAAGAACAGGCCTGTTGAAAGCTTCTTGACTTCATGTTGCAATTGTGAAAAATATTGCGCATGCATGGTTGTGGAAGCTGAGAATAACTGGCCTGAATGGACGCTCTCTGTTGATATTGCAGGAGAAAGAATTTCACGCCTCAATACAGGAGATAACTAAAGGGGAGCCAGCAGCTGTTGAAGGCCTCAAAGAGCCTGACATGTCTGTAACTCTTGAAGTATTGGCAGGTTGCTGCTCAGCAGCCAAAGCACAGCTCTATGAATCTTTCTGTAGGCTGCTGTATGTTGTTCTCCTGTCTGCCCAGCCACAAGCAGACTTACAAAATCTGGAAGTCTTATGAGAATTCCAAAAATGGCTTCGTGTTGCGCGTTTTACATGTTTACGTAGATTGGCATTATGGATTTTTTGGATGATGTTGTAAACCAGGTACAGGTGCATACAGACTGTCGTGACCCCCAGTTCCAAAGGAAAGTCACCGTAACAGAAGAAAGCAAAAGACCAAAATCACAGTGTACGTTGTCAAAGGACGGTTCCTAGGAGGCCTGGGAGGGACTTCTGTGTTTGACATTAACAATCGGTCTGAATGGACTTGTGTACTTCAAAGGCTGCAGGAATTAAACAAGAAAATCAAGGCTTTGCACCAGTCTTGACGAAAAGCTTTGACAGACTCAGGCAAGGCGAAGCTTGTTGCCTCTCTCTATGTCTGCTGCCCAGAGTGCTGCCCCAATGATTGTTGTAAAATTGAGAATCCAGCTCAAAATTGGCACGAATCCCAATCCAAATGCCACCATTCCAAACGACCGGAAGCTCCAGCGATTCTCATATGCAATGGCTGCCTGCTCTTCCCATGTGGTCACCCCCTTCTGCACAGAATTCACAAGGACATCCTCCAGTCAGCTCCATTGGTAGATCATCAACATTGCCTGTATGAGATGTCTCCGACCCTCTGCCAGGAACTCAAGAGCAGATTGGGCACAGCATGTAGAGTTGCTGAATGAAACCAACCTTGTTGAGGTAGGGCTTGAGTGCATTCATAGCATAGCTTCTGCTGTTCCCAGCCTTCAAGAGCTTGCCGCCTGCCGGGAAGATGAGCTTTGCAGGGGCGTTTATCAGCCTCCTGGGGAGCCTCTGCACATACAGCACAGACATGTCAGCTGTGCATCCGGAAATAACAAAGCATTCAACTTCTTGACTGTGAGCATTTGAAGGAGCCTTTCTTTCTCCAAAGCCTGGCAACACCATCAAGCCAGCTGATATTTAATTATATGACTGCAGGGCTGAATGCTCGACACTGTCAGGGTGCACTCTTGCACGCACCTTCCACCAAGGGTCACTAGAAGGCGGGGGTGTGAAGATCCACAAGAGAACCTTCACAGGAGGTGGTGCTTTCTTTGTGCGATCTTGGATCTTCTGGGCAAGATCACTGCCACCCTTTTTCAAGTTGCCTGCCTCGGCATGCTTCACCACCAGGCGCTGCAGCTGCTGCTTCTCTGTATTGTTCAAAGGCAGCACTGGTCGTGTTGGCCCAAGCTGACTTGAGAGCACACCATCAAAGACTTGCTTGTGATGTCCCTCGACCAGGCGATCGGATACCCTGTGAGCGAGCAAGCTTTTCAAGACTGGCCATGTGATGCAGTCAGGCACATGGACGGTGGATGTGTTTGTGAACAATTTGAAGAAGTGATACTCACCAGTATATTGGGACCAGAAGCTCGAGGACTGTCAGCCCTGTAAAATAATCCAAACATATTATGCTATTTTGCTTTGTTACATACTAGCATCAGCATGGAAAACAACAAGCAGGCGACAGACCTGCACCACAGAGACAGATCGGATATAGATCATTGCAACTCACCCAGGACTTTTGCCAGCGTCTGAGGGTCCTTGAGCGGGTAAACCACTCCTAAGACGGGATACAGAGATGGATGCATGGTTGCGATTGCGTCTCTGTGGCTTTGCGTTGCATTTCCGTTCGGTCTGCGTTCTGATGGCAGCTGCCAGGAAGCTTCTTAAGTTCCAAATTTGTGCAAGCCAAAAGAGGCCCACATGTTGGGCCAAGGGCTGAAGAAACAACCATTCGTGTGGCCTGGGTCCTTCGGGATCCGGCTCCTCGACAATCATGGCAACATATATAATGGCTGGGCAAGGTGCTTCGATAGAGGCGGCCCTTTACAGTTAACGGCATCACCATAAACCACTGATCAACTGGGTCGGGCTTCAGCAGCCAGGCAACATCACAGAGGTTTCAATGAAAAGGATGTAATTAGACGAAATCTTCGCCGGGCACAAAGCGACGCTTCAACAGAGGCGGCCCTGACAGCAACAATGTGGGTATACAAATGTGGAGCAGACAGAGGCCAGGCGATAGCGGCTGGGAAGCATACAATAAATTGATCTTAATGACGCAGTAGTAAAAATATCTAGGACGGCCAAGCTTTGGTTGGGGCGGAAGAGGCAACAGCCGCCAGCCGCCATTACCAGTAAAAGAAGGATGCGACGGCTGTTTGCATCATTGTCTGACGCGAAGAATCGACCGCAATAATAGAAATGGCCATGAGACCTTTTACAGAACAAGCAGATTTTGCGGTGTTGCGTTCGTGTGTGTGCCCTGCCAAACCCAGGCAGGATGTTCAGGGTCCTGGTCCAAACCTAGGACAAAGCGCGTACAAGCTGTATTGGGGCTTTTGAGGAGATCTCAGTCTAACCTCCTGCAGTTTTCACCTGATTGCAGCTCCTTGAACACCTGCCAGTCCAGGTGTGCCTTTGCAAACCACTCAGCTGTGCTCCTTGTGGGGGTACTTGATCCACAGTGCAAGTGCAGGTCTTAGGATTTGTTTGGTGATCTTGCATTGCTGGTTCGGTACGGGTCTACATGCTGCTGTGTAGTAGCTTAGCAATACAGGTGGCGGCAAGCATTGTGGGGCATTGGGTACCCCCCTTGCTTGTTTCACCGAGAAGCGCTGTTATTGCAAGGATCTGGGCAGTCTTTACAATGACAGCAAATGGCTGGACCCACCCGCAGCACGCACAATCTGTTTGGCCTGTGATTTGCGTCCATGTCCTGCCCTTGACTTGTCGCTGATTTGGACCGACATACATCCACAAGCAGCCTTGCAGTCCTTTTTGGCAGTTGATACTTGTCTGCGTGCTGGGATGCATATTTTCGAGTATTCATGACGTGTGTGCTACTGATGGTTTGAGATATGTGGGACGCTTAATCAGCCCTGTGTGGCTGGAAAAAGTGTAATCTCTCTCTCTCTCTCTCTTCGTGTGCAAGCTGAGTGCTCGGAGATCACTCTTTGATCCTGAAACCTTATTTTAAAGAGAAGGTGGTCTGCAAGGCACCAGGCCTACACTGAAGCCTTGAGGCACCTTCAAGTTGCTACAGTGTGTTTCGACTAGAACTCAACCAATTGGCCTGGAGGTTGGCCTGCCAGAGTGGCTACGTGGCTGCCCACGCTATGCAGTGCATTCACTGAGTCCTGCTGCATGTGGCAACTTTTTTTGTGCCAGAAAATTGTGGTTGCCAGTGCCTGACTTCAACATTTCCAAAGTCAGCCTCAGCTAGCTTGCTATATAGCTGTTCATGAAGCTAGCTATTCAGGCCCTGGGCAGGCGCAATCAAGCGTACGGTCTTCAAACCATTGGCCCTCAGGAATTGACAGATAAAGGTCCACAAATTCCGGCATCAATCAAGAATGTGAGTGTAGCTTACTGAGTCACTTAGTCAAGGAGCATACTGGCATTGTCATGCCAGCCTGACTCTCTGAAATGAAGTCACACTCCCATGAGGTGGTCTCATCATGTTTGGCGCCAGATCTGGTCAGCTTTGCCTGCAGCTGACATCCCTTCAATAAAAGTGTGCCACATTGTCAACTAGAGACGCTCTATGTGACTTCTCTGCGAGCCATGTCTACTGGATTCACAGGTGCCGGCAATTGGCGGCGCATTCCTGAGATGCGGAATCATGCAATGTTGTTGCTGGAGATGTTCAGAGGGGATAACATGTCTGCCTTCAAGATGGCTGCTATCATGGAGTCCCAGAATTTCTCCACGTCCACAGTCTGCAGTGCATTACAATCATGGACTTACGAGCTCATCAATGTCAAGAATGGCAATCATCTTGGCAAACTTTGAAAGCCATTCAGACAAAGGCACTCAATTATTTTGCCTTCAAAAGACTGCAGTGAATGGCATACCAGGGCAACAGACGCATTTTCTGGAAGTGCGTTCTGTCTCCTGTGTATGTCACAGACGGTCTGGCCAGCGCTCAATGTGCTGCATGTCTCAATGTCCACGCGCATCCTCCTCACCTGAAGACAGGCCCAAGCAAGTGACTCCTGGAAGCTGCCCAGTGCTGGGCATGCCAAGCATCGCCCACTTTGCTCAATGGTACAGTCCCCCATAGCCAACCATGAGTAGTCCCCTCGGCTTGAATTTCTGAGACTATATCAAGATGTCAAGGCTCTGGTGTCTCACCGTGAAGGCAGAGGGGCAGGCAACGTAGAAGACAGCGAGAGGGTCGTGCAGCGGGGGGTGCTCAAAATTGAACACCTCCTTGTAGGTCTGTGCGAAGAACAGCAGGAGCTTCTGCATGAGCTGCAGGAAGGGGGTCTGCCTCTGTGCAATGCGCAGCAGCACAGCCGGCGTGGCCAGGGCTGTGTGAGTGACCTCTAATGGTACCATTGTCAGACTGCGGACACCCGCCTCAAACACCACCTTTGCTGCCTCTGGGTCTGTCTGCAGCACAATAGCAAGACCCTTACACCAGAGATGGTCTGCACATGGATCTTGGGTAACATATATATATACGTATCTGAGTCTCTTTCATTCATCAAATTGCGAAGTTCCAAGCTCCCCAGCCTTTATTTTCATTCTGGATGTCGATATGCCATAGTGGGCAGGCCACATCCTGGCGCCCTCACAACAGTGAAACAGGCAGAAGTGATAAAATACGCAGATATTGGTTTGAAACAATGCTGATCACTCCCTGAGCAAGACGAGGCTTGCTGCAGTTCGTGTTGATCACAAAAGGCTCCTCACCTGCATGTTGAACTCCACAACAGGTCCAGTGTTGCCACTCCCAATGCAGCCGCCCATGAGCACTACCTCTATCATGGGTATGACTTCAGGGTACAGCAGCAGTAGCAGTGCGGCATTTGTGAGAGCTCCCGTGCACACCAGGCACACAGGACGGCCCCTGCAAGCACACAACAGGATAAGGAGAACACATTAATGACAGCAGCTCATGCGAAGGGCAGGTGCTAACACCGACAGTGACATCACAGGGAGATCCAGTGAGGTGGCAGGACATCTGGACCTTTTTGCAAATTGTGCAGATATGCGCTCAAACATGAGCATGACTGCTTTCTGTGGCAGTGGGCTGCCAACAGCATAGTCCTGCATGCTGCCGCCCTCTGCGAATTCGAGCCCCGACTCGCCATGGATCTCTGGGCAGAGCAAAGGCGGCCGCAGGAGAGGTTTTCCCTGGCCTTGTACAACATCTGCAATAGATGTGTGATGTCAATTGGTCTGCATAATAAATAAGACAAGAACTTTGCAATTCTCCTGACAAAATGCAACATACTACAGTTTTAGAAGATGGCAAGGCACAGCACCTATGCTGGACAGTCCTGAAGCTGTGAGCGTTCCAAGGGCATTCAATGTGACCTTCTCCACGACCTGGTTGCCAGCAACGGTGGACACCCCCAGCAGGTTCAGGAGCTTGTCGTAGCCTGTAGGTACAACAATAAAAGGAATTAGGCATGTGTCCAATCATAACCACTGAAGGCACATCCTAGGCCATTTTTACCACATCCATACTGAGAAGGGTCTTGCGATAATTTAAAATCCTCCTGGATCAACAAGACTTGGAATGCCGATGTGTACCAGCTAAAATGATCGCCAGAGCGTCGTCGTGACCAGGATCGCAATCAAGCCAGACATCTCTCACATTGTCATCCATACTCAAACCTTTCTCCCTTCTCTGCTGTCTCGTGGCAGTTTGGAAAGACCAACTTCACCTGACGTCATCAACAGCCACGTCATGATGGAAACGAGTTCCGGAAGAGGAAGTTCCTTCCGTTTCGGGGTTTCGGAAAGCTGCTTTCGGTGGTGAAGCGTCGATGTTAGGAAGTTGTTTCTGGAGCGATCAGGACACGGCAGTCGTATGGATCTCGATCGGTCAACAATTTTCACAGTGCTTTGAACGGCACTTTGATCTCGACGAAAACATCGGCTGTGCGCTGCCGATGCCTGTTTGATCTGGCAATTATCAGTTGCAAAACCAAATGTTGCTTCTTCCACCCAATTTTCTCAAACAGGAAGACAAGGCTGTTGAGTTCTTGAGCGGCATTTTCCAGTTTTTGGGAGGTGCTGTTGTGCTCATTGGTGGTTTTGCAGCGTCCTCTCTTGCGGTAGGTCCACAGCTTGACCTATTCATATTTGTTTGATGTCCAGTATTGTTGCAAGTAGGCAGAGTTGTGGATATGCGTAGCCTGAAACCCTTGGCTTGCTGTCTGCAGTACCACCCTTCCAGACATGCATCCATCTCATGGCTCATACCAGTGTATGTGGCTCCCATGATTGGTGCATATATACTCACCACGGCCTATATCTTCCGGACAGTAGTCGCAGCTAACAGAGACTTTGCCGAAAGGCTCTTCGAGTGGGAAACAGCCGGGCCAACGAGAGACTCCAAGCCACGGCTTAGGTGAGTCAGATCCTAACAATGATGCAGCCTCGTGCACCCTGTGTCTGCCAAACCCTTTGCGGGGATTGTGACGTGGGTTGTGCGATGCGCAGATGGTTTGCTTTCCAGCCCAGGAACATCCTGTGGTGGGGTGGTATGATTTTGTCTCTGGGAGGTGTCATGTTTGACTTTGCGACGACTGCGCGGCTCGCTGGCCAATTTTGGACCGTGCACTACACCGCCATGCAGTCGGTGCGAATTCCTTGTCCAAGAACCTCATGACCCTTGTTCAAGTGCACCCCTTGCTGAGCATTCATGTATCCACCTCTTTGAGTACTGACGCTGAAGCTTCTTGCAGTTGATACTGGAGAAAATTGCTCCAGCTGCGGCTGGAATGCTGTTTCTGGTGGGCTCTGGCTGTTACATTGCCAAGGAGGTTGGATGGATGGTATCAAAAGGTAGGCCTTCATGCTTTGTTTGTTTTCCCATGACCCTGCAGAGCTGATCTTTTTGATAGCATCAGCCTCTGGCGTCCCTGACATGCTCTTCTTCTGCAGGTGCCATGTGTCCGCCTACGCGCAAGGATTGGAAAAGCCCCAAGTTCTGGATGAACTTCACCACGTTCTGGGTATGCCTCACTGCCTGCATCAGCAATATAATGCATCCTCATTCTCCAATACACAAGAGGCCAGCAACTGTGTACTTCCTGTGATTTTCAGATATCATGAGACCGACTTCTCCACTAAAGATGCAATGTATGACTCGTTTGCGCTCCGGCAAGTTGTCTGGTTGGCGTCCTTAAACAGCAAGGGAGACGGCTGGGTGGAAAGGGGTTCTGAGCTGGTTGTGCTATCGTGGCCGCAGGGGAGCACTATGTACTTTGGGGCTGCCTTTCTCCCCATCATGTATGCGAACCTGCTGCCGCGCAGCTTCCGTCTGTGCCAAGCCATCGGCTATGGTGTGGGGTCTCTGATGCTGATGGCGGGCGGCGTTCTGATGATCGTGAAGATGGCAACAAGGGAGGATGACTCCGAGGTTGCGCTGCACCAGAAAGTGGAGCATGATGACATGGAGGCAATAAACAGCAAGCTGCTGGCCATGGCTGAGGTCCTGGGGCACAGCCGTGACAAGCTGTCTTATCAGCAACAGCCTCAGAGCGCTGGTGTTTCACCGGCGCCCAAGCTGAGCCCAGGAGTGAACCGATGACCAGTGAGTGGTGGCTCTGTAGCTGCTGGGTTTGAAGCATCGATGCACAGCATTGTTTGTACACTACATTCAAATGTGCGAGGGTGGACGGGGCAAGAGGGTTGTGGGAGAACTCAGAACTGTCATCTGTCTTGTTGCACTGGTATTTGTTTGACGTCGAGAAGTTCAGAACGCTTGCGCTCAGTATCTTGAGGTGTTACAGGTAGCCACTGCCAGTGGTGGCTTCAAGCTGACAAACTCCAGCAGTGCTGGAAAGCTTGGAAAGTGTACAGCATTATCAAAGTAATCAATAACCATTGTACGCTCCAGTGTGGGGCAAGCGCATCCATCAAAGTCCCAGAGCCTCAAGGCCGTGTTCCCAAGTCTGATTGGTCAGAAATCATTGTAATGTACACTTGATGTTGTCTGGTCTTGTACCAAGCCACCTGGCTGGAAGTGTGTCTTCCATTATATCAATCAATCATTCATTGTCCAGGCAATCGAGTAACTGAGGTATCATTAATGAGGCATAATCCGAGTACCCAGGAAGCAATTGCTTCAAACATGTGGTGTGACCCCAAGCAAGGCATGGACCTGGCAAAGTGAACGCAGAATAAGTGCATCAATCGATTGAATCCAACTAAATTATCATGGAACATAAACAAACAACAGATCTCAGTGTCAGGGCCGAAAGTGGCCAAGTGAGGAGAAAACAATCCACCACCCAGATGGACAGCCAAAATTGCATTGCAAACATGTCAATTTATTCCAGGATACTCAGATGGGACAGCTGACATTCATAATCCTGGTTGCGTAGGCTCAACTCAACAGCCCGCTGTAGGAAGCTGCTGCTCATCACAGGAGCACAGCTGGTTGGCTTGGGACATCACATTCATTTATGGCCTTGACAAAAACTCCATCTTGATACCTGCATCACCACAAACATGTCGGATGAGTTGTAAGCACAGAAGGGACAAGATGTGGAGAGTCAGGGTCTTGAAAACACAACATGCTGCGGGGTTTCTCGTTCATTCAGCACGTGAAGAAATTTTGAGCTGGTCTGACTCACCGCAATCACAGATCTGGTCAGTTGGAACTGTCTCAGTTGAGGCCAGTGAGCTCTTGCAGCAGATGGCGGCCAGTGCCGGCGTTACCGGGGCTGGGGTTGGAACTGTCACTTGGGTTTCTCTGGGGCCTGGCAAAGGCCGCGCCGTTGAACCCGGTTTGCTGTGAAAGGCACAGACACTGTCAGATATCAATGTATGACATGAGTAGGACAATACTGTCCACACTGACAACCAGGGGTGCAGGCAACCAACTGAAGGATTAGCAGAAGAGATCCGCAGAGCGCTGCCAATAACAACGAAAGCTGTGACTTTAGAAGGAGCCAGGCAACCCGTATTGCATACAATCTGGAGCCTTCAGTAATACAGGTTGATTTGATGGTGGTGGGCCTGGCATAAGAAGCTGCCTTTGACATGTTGACATCAAGGTAAAAAGAATTACCAGGATCTGGCGGCCCATGTTTTCGTTGCTGCCAATGGAAGCTGCATCTGCGCAACATCCGTGAAAGACTTAGCCATGAATCCCAAGTAAGTCAGCCAGGCCAACTCATCCTGGATCATGACCTCAGGAGCACCATGGGTACTAGCTGAGAACAAACAAAACAAGGGGAATGCAGACATCATGGCAGAGCGAGCAGACAACGAATGGAAGGGGCTGTGGTGACAGGATGGGGGCCAGGGCTGACCTGAGATATCAGCATTGCTGACTGTGCTGAGGAGATGGCGGCCTGTAGGTACAGGGGTTGGAGAGGAATCCCTGTTCCTATCCTCGCCACAGCCAGGCCCCACCAGGCAGCGGCTGTTGGCGGGTCTAGCATAAGCAGCACCGTTGAAACCGAATTGCTGCACGCAGCAGATCAACACTGTTTGAGTAGAGCGTCCCCAATTCATGTACAGGTACATGACATCTGCTGCAGATTGAGGGAAGTTGAAACCTATCGTGTTAGCTTTAGGTGAGCAGCTGGTCATATCAGGCAAGTCCACAGATCGATGTGCCAAGGAAAGAAAGCTTGAAGAATTCTTGCGTCAGGCGTTCTAGGAATGATGAGGAGCTGTCCTTACCAGCATGTGCCGTCCCGGTTGCTTGCTGTTGCTCGTGTGCGCTGCACCTGCGTGAAAACGCGCAGTGAACCCTACGAGATCCACTGAGACAATGCAAGACATAAATAAACCAATCACGAACACGGATCCTTCCCATGATCGCCCATCTTGACCCTAGTTCCTGTGAATGTGTGTCACGGAAATGCCCGTGCAAACCCAACCAAACTTCTCTGATCATTTCTTGGTTGACATGTAGGCCATGTGGAGTAATGCATACCCAGATGAGCTGCACTGAGGAGGATAGCGACGACGAAGAGGGGAATTGATCCGTTCGCCATTTCTGTGAGAAAAGCAGCACGCCCGCTCAATCCCGGGGAGTACACGTCTGAGCAAAGCAACAAATGAAATAACGTGGTGCCAAGGCACCGATCAACATTACTTGATGTTTTATGTAAACACACGAGAGGCGCGAATCCCGCTGACTCAGGATCCACGCACCTTTGTAGAAGATAGCACGCACTGTCTTAGAACCTTTGAAGCCTGGAGATATCGAATGCTCAGCGGGTTCTATTTGCATTGCGAGGGTGCAAATCTTCAATTTCAATATGAACACATTCCTAGGGCTGCCTTACGCAACTTCCTTGGACTTGCGGCCGAATGTGACGCAGAACCCGGCGTCACGGAAGCACGTGAAGCCAAGACAGGCTCGTCTGGTCATGCCTAGAGCACCATTGGGCGCACCCGATCCATGACCCTTTCCTTCCATCTCTCTCTCGATGCTTAAATTCATGCTTGATGGTGCGACGAAGGGCATGCGCTCATGCCTGCAGCGAACTGCATGCATGCGCATGCCCTGCAGGCATGGGCTCTCCGCAGCTACTTATGATCGATCATCGATTATTGGGCCCACACCCGCCGGGGTGGCACACTGGCAGCCGAGCTGGGTGGCGCGGCCGAGCTGGGCTGGGTGCACAACGCGGCTATAAAAGGCGGCCCCCGCGGACATGCTTGCATCCATGTAAGTGGCAAGGACTGCTTTTACTTCAACAGAATTGCAATCTACACACTGGTCACTATGCACAAAGGCAGCAGTGATGCTCAGCTGTGGAGCACACTGCAATACTGCAGAGCACCATGCCATCTTTGGCAGTGCGCATCCTACTTCTGCGCTCTCTCCTGAGGAAAGGCTTCTGATAATGCTGCACTGCAGCGTCCTATGCACTGCATATGAATCTATAAATTGTACTCTTCAATTCTATGGCTCTGACAATGTGGACAGAGCTATGCTGCCTGCAGAGTCACCCTTGAGACGGTCTTCTGTGAGGCTCCCATACTGAGCTTCTGCCTCTTGATCTAGGGACATTTTCACAAAAAGCAGCAGGCCACCCATCCAGAAGCAACAGCTTCCCAATCCAAACCCAATGGCATTCTCCACATAGAATACTATTGTGTCCAGATTTGGGACCATCCCAAATACGCCGCTTGCAAAGAATCCCACTCCTCCCCTGCATAAAAGTAAGGTGCAATTACGAAGCAACCTCAGCATGCATCTGACTCGATGAAAGTACAGGTGCAAAATAAGTGAGAGGTCTACTTTTGGTAGCGCACCAGAAATTCAGCCAATTCACCCAGTAATCAAGGCTGGCCAAATCGTTCCTACTTGTTGGTACTAAAATACCTGTGTACACCAATGAAAGCTTAGATGCCAGTTTCCTCTGCTTGACAGCAATACTACTTGTAGTTTGATGCTCTTCGCCAAGTACCCAGGATGCAGAAATGAGCATGCATATGCAGTGTCCCAGTCTATGCGAAAACATGCTTGCCTTCCAAAAAGCGCCAGCCCTTGCTCTCCAGCACAAAGGAAGCTCCGCCCAGGAGAAACCCCACTCCTCCCACCAGAAATGTGACTCTCTCCAGAACAAGCTTGCACAGCATGCATGATGAAATTGTAACAAACTGCCAAAAGAACCTTCTCACTGGGCCGACCCATGCATTTGAGACCAGTTGTCAGATATTTACCTGAGCAGTTGGGGACAACACCACACTCTCAAACTGATCAGCCAGACTGACTGTCGTGCCAATATTGTACCTGCTCGCACCAGAACCACTTTCCTGCAAGTTGCTTGCAGCGCCCATGCATACTAACACTTAGACTTTCAGCATGTGTTTGTGCAGCTGGTGGGCGTACTCACAGGACTGCTCCGAACGTGTAAACAACCCCTCCCCACCAGGCAACGCTCCGAGATTTAATCCCCAGCCATCTGTATTTAGGCCTCGTGTTGAGATCAGGCTGCACCTTCCAGGAGGAGTAGTTCTCTTGGAATCTTTCATTCTGTGCTGCAACGGTTATAAGGAAGCATCCCAATGTGAATAGATAGCTTCCCAGACAAAAGGTGACATACACCAGCCATGTGTAAGCACTGGTGAGCCCAGCTTTAGGCTTCACCTCCAGCTGCACAGACAAGACAAGACACTATGGGTGCTGACTAAGTCATTCCTTATGCAGTGCATGCTTCCAAGTGGCCTCAATCATCTGTTCAGATCATGACATGAACAAGTGCTGCGGTACCTGTGAGCTCCCACTGAAGCTCCCAATCACAAAACAAGTGCCTCCAAAAAAAGCAGCTCCGGCAATCCACCTTTGGGCAAAGTGCGTAGGTAGTCAGGACGCATTGCTGCGTTCGGGATATCATTCTTGCACCCACAAATTATCATGGGAAAGCATGTGGGTGATCGATCGAACTGGGTCCTTACCAGTCCACTGCTGATGGGGTTGTTTTATGGTACTTTGCAGGCTTCAGCAGAGCGTCGACAAGAATGAGTTTCTTCATCCCTGATCGAGCGGAACACCAGAAATTCTCTTATGAGAGTCCGTGCATGCCGGTATCCAGCAGAATTTTGGCCTGAGGCTGATCTCTCGAGACTTACAACTGCAAATTATCCATGGTACAGTATACCTTCCAAAAGATGTTTTGTCGACAGGATAAACCCCCTTCGTGTCAGAGTCGTCAATTTACGTCCTTCGATATGTTTAAGGAGCAACTCACAGAGATTCCCAACCAGCTTCCCACTCCTTGGAAACTGCAAGACGAAACCCCTGCATTATAACATGTTGCTCGGCTGAGGTAGGTTTTTGGACGATCATGATGAGATTGCTCTGTGCGAGACGCAACACATTAGCGCTCATCTCCCCATTGCTGTATTCCCTGTATATAGTGGTCTCCATCAACGCGATATTTGAGCCCTCTTAGCGTGTTCGTCAAATAGCATCTGCTTTCGAGGATTACAACTATTACGAACTTTTCAATTCAAGAAAGAGATGGTGATCAGATATCTGAGATAAATAACTTGTAGCTGATTGGATTAATCAGCAGTGCAAGGACTGGTCGATCTTCTCCAGCAAAACGTTGTTAAGGCCATCCTGCAAGGCACAAGCAGAGCGCGCCCATTCCAAAGCAAATCTCGGTTACATGGGTGTGATGGACAGAGCGCAGATTAATGATCGATTTGACTTAGGGCATGCCTGCTTTCGATCACCGCTACGCCTTCCAGTGCGTCCTCACAGGAAAGCAGGGCACCGCAGAGGAGCCACTTGTGAGCACAATTCACATGTGCGCCCCTTCCCTCACACCTGTATCAAATGTGTCATCTGTTTTGTTACTCCTGGTCTATCTTTGGCTGAATGAAAGAGCGTCGCATTGCGACACAGGACACAACTGCTCACATATCTGAGCCAGAGATTGTCTCATATCCTGATGAGACACAACGCTTGGAAAGGGATGGAAGTGACACAGCTTCCCCCTCTGGCATGGATTACCCGGGGTCAGTGACTGTCCCTGACTTTACGCCTTACAGAAACGGCAAAGGGTGCGTATCTGGGTTCTTCCAGGACATGCAAGCATACGTTCTCTCTGACCTGGCTACAGCTTGCTAGTTCTATAGCGTGACGCATGGCGTTCCCTCATCAGGCCAAGGACGTGGCCGAAGAAGGCAGAGATCTACATTGTGCGGACAGATGGCATGTCATGCTCGCGAGAGACCGTGAGAGGTGATCCACACATGATGCCTGCAAAATATTACCTTAACTCATGGTGCATGTCTTCTCTTTGGAGGTGTATTCTCAGCCGTCTGACATTCCTTGTGTTGCTCGCAGCTTCGGGTTGCTTGTCATTTGCCCACCCCAGCACACAGCAGCAGCTGCTCGTATGGAGGGAGCGGCCCAGATGGTGAGCATGCATTTCCTGCTGTGCCTATATGCTCCCTGCCGCGGTCCCACTGGTCAATCCAAGTTTTTAAGTCTTGCTGGGGCAGCCAGAGCTTGCTGCCTTCTGGCAGAGGAGCAATTTTTGTCAGAGGATGATTATTTGAAATAGCACGCAATTTGAAAATCATGGTCCCTCGGGCTGCGTTTAGGCACTATCTTACCGTTGTAGAAAGCCATTTTAAATGGACATCCGCTGTCATGATGTAACTTGAGCTGCGCGCTGTGTGCAGCGTGCTGGTGTTGAAGAAGCTGGGGGACGAGCAGTGGGACAGTTACCTGCGCGTGCTGCGCTACTTGGGAGCCGAGGAGGGCATGCGCGTCATTGTGGAGCCCCATGAGTACCTGAAGCTGGCCCAGCAGAGCGACCTTGACTTCGTGGACACCTACAACCATGATGAGGCCGGAAGGTGTGTCTCTGAGGCTTCAGAGAAGGTCCCTGGATAACAGGCAGTCAACAGTAGAAAAGTTTCTTTCTCCCTTGATACCAGGCTCTAGGCATGTCTCATGTGAATGTCGAGAGAAGAAGTGAAGAAGGCCTGCGCCACCTGAGCCTCCAGACACCCGGTGGAATCTTTTGGATTCCACACAGATATCGTATTGAAAAACTCTATTTTGCCGTATATCTCTTTTGAGGTCTGCATGGTGTGTTGCAGGTTGCATCAGCATGTGGACTTTGTCGTCTGCTTGGGAGGGGACGGCACGATATTGCATGCGTCTTCCCTGTTCCAGAGGGCCATTCCTCCTGTGGTGTCCTTCTCTGCCGGCTCTCTTGGGTTCCTCACAAATCTGAGCCTGAAGAATGTGGAGTCCGACCTGCACGCTGTCATCTACGGCTGCGAAGATCTGGACCAGTGCAGCCTTGGAGAAAAGGTCAGCTAACCCATATTTTGCATTTTTGTTCATTTCTTGGCATACCTTGTAATACTATTTTCCCAAGGTAATCCTGAGGAGTATGCCTCCTGATGCCACCTTCCATGGCTTTGCTGTGAGCTGACATACTGCAAATTGGCGTGGCATATGTTACAGTGTGGTGAAACTGGTCATGGCATCCAAGCACCCGAACTGTGCGTGGACTTTTTGAGGTGTCATGCAGATGAGTGGGGTGCACATAACGCTGCGCATGCGGCTGGAGTGCCGCATAGTGCGCCAGAACCAGAAAGACAACACGCCCCAGGAGCTGTACGAGGTGCTGAATGAGGTGGTGGTGGACCGGGGGGCCAACCCTTACCTGGCCAAGATCGAGTGCTGGGAGCGGGACACCCTCATCACCAAGGTGCCCGCCCTTTCTTCTCTTGTTTCTTTCTGCGCGCCTGCTCTGCGCTGCTCAAACTACTGCAGTGCATGCCTGGCTTCGATTTTTGTCGAGGCGGCGATCAGGACTTGTAGTCACGACTTGCAGGACTTGTCGAGTGGACTTTTTGTCATTGCCGTTCAGGTGCAAGCGGATGGAGTGATGTTGGCGACCCCCACGGGGAGTACAGCCTACTCGGTGGCAGCAGGAGGGTCCATGGTGCACCCCAACGTGCCGGCCATCCTCTTCACCCCGATCTGCCCGCACTCCCTCTCATTCAGGTGCAGACCCTGCTTCTTTCAGCCGAGGACCCACATATTGTGAAGCCTGTGCCGCAGACACACGCAAGTCGTTGACACTCAGACTCATGTCAGAAGCTAAAGTGCCTGCTTCTACCCCAGCCTTGGCCTCTGTTTCTGCCACTGGCGGTAACTTTTGACAGCGGGTGTTCATCGTGTTGGCCTGACAGCTGGTGTGCGTCTGGGGGTCCAGGCCGGTGGTGCTGCCAGACTATGCAGAGTTGGAGCTGCGTATTCCCGGGGATGCGCGCTGCCCGGCGTGGGTGTGCTTTGACGGGAAGCAGCGTCAGGAGCTGGCGCGGGGGGACTCTGTGCGCGTGCGCATGTCGACCAACCCCGTGCCGACCATCTCCAAGACTGACCAGACGCGCGACTGGTTCGCATCCCTCGAGCGCTGCTTCGGCTGGAACGACCGCGCCGAGCAGAAGCCGCTCGGCTACATCAACCGCGGCGACGGCTCATCCTGATTCTGGCGTTTGCATGCTGACAGGGGACTGCATGCCTTCCCTGGTTGCATGGCCGTGGTGCAGGGCCTGATTTGTATGGGCAGAGTTGGCAGGGTTTTGGTGCTGTCTGTGCTCCTGGAGACTTGGGTGCCTAGCATGAATTGAGGCGAGCTTGAATTCAACCCTTTTGGGATCTGAGGAGATTCCTGGAATTTAAAAAAAATCAAACTGAGAATATGGATATGTATGGTCAATAATGGCAAAGAACACAAAGTTGTTGCAAATCTTTGGATTGTTACATTGATGAAGAGAAGAGAGATGCAAGACACACATTGAGTGTGACTGGTTGATGCAGCAACTCGATATGCTCTTGCCAAGACAGAAAAATCTGCAGCAATGCATCACTGCATAATAATCTGCACCTTCAACACTCCCTTTGTCTGAGCTTTCTCAATCGCCTTCACGCCATCAGAAATATGGAATGTCTGTGTGACCATCTTTTCCAACAGCTGCTTCAATCTTGCGTCCTGCAGGGCTTCAAGAGCCGGCCCAAAGGGTCCACACCTGGGCATGCAAGACCATTTAAAGGAGCATTTTAAAAAGGACATGGTTGATCAGATTGACTGTTTTCAGCCGAGCAAGTGCTGAGAACGGCGTCATGAGGGTCCCATATCTGGGATGTGAAGTGACAGTACCTAGATCCTTGCAGGCGCTTCTCATTGACTACAATGTCGTTGGCAATGTTGCTCCACACAGGCATGTCAGGATCATTCAGTGCCGAGCACGTAGACTTCAGGATAAGAGTTCCCATTGGACGCGTCATGGCGCTTGCCAAAGTGATGCCTTGGGAGGATCCAGAGGCTTCGACAACAACGTCAAACTCCTGCAGTGACGGGCAGTCACTAAGCAGCCTGTTTCTGTGGGACATTCCCCTTTCAGCAGGTACTGTGAAAGTACATTGCAGCGGCTTCTACCTGTGCATGACAGCTGGATGTGGAGTCGTCCACCACCTCCCAAGAGCTCCCCTGTACAAGGCTGAGCTTGTGCTCGTGCTTGCCAAAATGCACAAGCCCGGTGTGGCCCTGAACAACAAGAGCTTGGGCGACAAGGAGGCCCAGCTTCCCATCCCCAATCACAGCCACCTTGTCCCCTTTTTGACTCACCTGAATGACAAGCAAGTGCGGTTGCGCGGCGCAGCAAGGAGCATTTCAGGAGCATCCAGCACTCTCTGATCAAAATGATGACAGGCATGCGGATATCGCATCGCTAAAGCATGCTCTTGTAGAGCATGAAATTACAGCGCAGAGTTGTTTGGATTAAGCACCTGCTGCTCGGCAATCCGGCACGCTGCTGCAAGGGGCTCCGCAAAGCATGCTTCCTTATCCGTAATTTGATCCGGCACAAGGTGCAAATTAACCACAGGAAGAGTCAGGTACTCTGCCATTGTCCCCTGCACATTGTATTTGTGTCGTTATGTCTCCGCATGCGGCCCTGATCAGAAGCTGGGGGTTCTTAGCAGCGCATGGCCAGGGTTTCCTTACGTTTCTCCCAATAATGCCCAAGACCGTCCGCCCTGGGGAATGGTTTCTGTTGAAGATCGGATCTGGATGAGCCTCAGCACCACTGCAGGCACAGTTGATCTCTCCCACCACCCGCTTGCCTTCAAGCTGCGGCCTTGAAGCACAACTTTCCACCACACCAACAAATTCGTGCCCAAGAATGTGGTCATAGCCTGCATCAAGACTGCCTTAGGCTTTTTCAATGCAGCACACGTCCTTACACATTACTGGAAAGCACACAGTGTGGTGCCAGGATCAGCTTGGAGGGCAAACCTGGGACATAGCCCTTCAATATTTCGAGGTCCTGCACATCGATACAACAAACTCTCTACTTGCTCAATCATCTAGTGTGCTGAAAGGCGAAGGATGCCGGGCTTAAACGCGATTCACCGTAGAACAGACGCCGGCTCTGATGACCCTGATGCTAGCTTCATCAGCAGCTGCAGTCGGCTTCTCGTGGTGCTTCTCCAGCAAAAGACCGCAAGACTCGGAAAACTTCAGTGCTTGCATCGTTACCATACCTGCATGGCAGAGTAAGAAACATCATTCGTCCAGATCTTGCTGTCAAAGTGTAGAGCGGCATGCGAACTGCCTGACCCACATTTCCTACACGGCACCAGAAAGATCGCAGCCAACAAGTTCTGACATCACTGTCAGACCCAAGCGTCAGAAAGCTAAGAATTCGGCGATCTATAGAGGTTCCAAGAGCACTTTTGTCGAGCATACCTCACGTAAATGCAAGCTGTGCTTTCTTTGGTACGACTCCTGCTGCTTGGATTGCAATCTTTGTCTCCTGTTTTGGTTCCACTCGACTTCTTATCCTCAAATATTGCCCTTCACGCCAAAACATGAGCAATTTGCGTTCTGGTGCTGAATGACGTCATCGTTAGTAATTAAGCTCCAGTCAAGATCTCTTCCTCTTCCTCCTGCGATCGCAGCTGGTGTACTTCCACTTAAGTATACTCACTACATTTGCTGAATGCGTTTGTTGAATCTGGTCCGATCGCAGTAATCACTGACAGTCGTTTGCAGCATGAACACAGCACACAGATCAATGCACGGCTGTCTTTCCACGTCATCTCAATTCTTGAATAATTTCGGGAGAACCAAGTGCTTTTCTAATGCTGTATTTTCTGGGAAGTGTTCAACAGCAGCGTTTGAGCCGAGGAGGAGGGTGAATGGGGTCTTGCAGCGATCGGGACTTGTTCGTGCGTCTGGAGAATCTCCTGACGCATCTCCGGCAAGCAGCATGTCAATTGATGAGGCATATGACCTCCTGGGCGTGAAGGAAGAGGCTGGATTTGATGAGATCATGAGTGCCAAAAACAGGCTGACGAGTGCGAGTCAGGGAGACAAGGACAAAATAGTGCAGGTGAGGCAAGAAGCAGGAGAAATGGAAAAGCTTGTCAAACTAATTTCTGCTCATCCACAGCAAGTGTGTTGGTGTGCTGTCTCTATCACTACCTTGGGTGTGTCCTCTAAATATAATGTAGCGCAGGTTGAGACAGCATACGACATTTTATTGATGCAAAGCATGAAAAAGAGGCTTTCCGGAGAGGGAGTTGCACAAAATGTGCGCTTTGCGGATGTGGCAAGGCGGAAGACCGTAAAACAGGTGTGCCACACTGCTACACTCGTTTGGAGATGGCCAAGAAGTTGAGGCGCAGGTCGTTGTCACCCTTGTTGGTCTGATGCATGGCTGCGATCTTCTGCAGGCACCTACTGCGCTTCAAAGTTTGCCTGTCAGAGTAGAGGCGCTGCCGACAAACACTGCTCTTCCTGTCTCAGCACTCTTCATCGGCTTGTCTATATGGACACTGGCACAGGTACAGAACACTTGCCCGTGCATGCAAGACCTCCACTTGTGCCGCGGTCCTCAGATCCTTGATTCATGGCCTCGATTACACTGTCAGTCTTCAAATTTTCTGTTGGCTGCTGGGCTTGCATGCAGGGGCTTGTAGATCCAGCAGGGAGGGTCTCCAATGATGCACCAGGGCTGCAGATCGCATTAGCACTGGGTGCATCTGTGTACCTGCTCACAGACAAGAAGAGGGTGGGCAGAGGTGAGGAGACGCCTTGTCAGCCACCCAGACAGCTTTGACTATTATATTTAATAGTCACATTCTGGAGACCTGTTGGGGGCCACCTGAGGTCAATGCCACAGGCTCTGGGGAAGCTAATTACTTTGGGAGGGTACTTAGTGGTGAGGCAAGTGGAGCAATTGTTTCTGTGGTGTCACCTTGCAGGCCGGGCGGTTGGCATCACAGTGGCTGGCCTGCTGCTGGGCGTGCTCATTGGTGGTGGACTGCAGAGTTGGCTGCGCGTCGATATTGTACCCATTGGGGTAGGTCTATCTGAAGCTTGACCTCAAGGCGCTCCAGTGCTTCTTCTTTCACAACACGAAGCTTCCATGAGCTCGTCATTATATTAAAGCGCGTGGATGGCTGAACAGTTATACTGGCTTCCTGGCAGGGTCTTGCCTCTCCTGCAGCATTCGTCAGTGAGTTTGGCATCCTGGCACTCTGGGCCAGCGTCTCCCTGTTGGCTTGAACATGAAGAATTTGCGAGTGGAGTGAAGATGCCTTGAGAAGCATGGGCCTAAGAATAACATTCTTACTTGGAATTCAACTGGAATTGTGCATTCTTCTGAAATGTTAGAACAAGCAGGTCGTACAATGGAGTTTCATGAGTAACTTTTGACCTCACCAAATAGGGACCTCTGCCAGGGTTTAGAGGTGCTTGCAGGAAGTGTACATTACAAGCACTGTACAATATATGTCCTTGAATAGCGAAAGCTAGCCATTTTAAGTGCTGATCCAACTTCCAAGCGAGTCAATTGAACATTAAAATACGCACCATGTCATATTCACCTTTGTTCTGGCCTTTCCACAAATACACAGCATGACGACAGTCAAACTTTGCAAGACAAAAACACAATGCTGCAATCTTGCACACCTCGTCAGCACCTCTTGTGCAGCCTCTAAAGCCTCTTGTGCAACATGTTCATTTTGCCCTCATGATGATGGCTGACAACGCAAAAGCTCCTTCTCAGACACAACGGAATACACGCATCTTTTTATACCCACACTGACTGGTCTCATTATTGGGCCTTGTGGAGGAACTCCTGGAGGTAGTCATATGCGAACCAGATCCCATCCAGGAGAAGCACTCCAGCTGCCTGCATTGCAGCACAATCCGATTGTTCTCAAAAAATCCAATCCTAGCACAACAAGCTAATGAGGCTGAATAAAGGGGTGCACACTTGCTGTGAGGACACTTACTCAGACCGGCATACAATACAATGGTGGTCCCTTGCACTGCGCTGAAAATCTCCCTCATGGAAGTCCTCTGGAAATGGTAAGTGGGATGCGCACCAGCTTGATGGGGCCAGAGGGACCGCCAAGGGCGCCAGCATTCTTCTCACGCTGCACATCATTCCAGCCGAGCAGCTCTGACAGGCCTCCAATGCCGCCATATCGCAGGTCGTCGGCACCCTTCACCGGCAGGTCTGGCTTCTTGGCTGTGTCAAGGCCGCCGTTCACCCATGCGATCGAGCTGTAGCCCGCGCGCGAGAGCTGCTCGGCAGCAGACAGTGACCTGCGCATGACAGCATCCAGAACCACGCTTGTTGCAATTCAACTACGCCAGGCCAACTCAGCGTTGACGAGACACTGTGTCTCATAATGACATGTCAACGACGCTGGAGACGCAACAGATTTGTAGGCCTCTACCCAAGCCGGGGCTGCCTTTCACACATCCCTAGTATACATGCTGTGGGTGCCCCATCTGGAGGTTATCTGCTTAGTAGTGACGAGAGGAATACACAGAGTTGAAGGGAGCGCACCGCAGACCCTTCTGGCAGGCGACGATGACCTTGGCATCCTTGGGGATCTTGGTCTGCACCTCGCGAAGGAACTGCTGGTTGGGAATCATGTGGCTGCCGCCCAGCCACCAGCCACCCAGCCCAAAGTTGGAGGCCTGCTTCAACAGATTCACAACGCTCCACTCTGTCTCAGGAATGTAGATGGGGACCTCGATGGACCCCTCAACTCCTGCCTGCACACATCCATCCTGTGATGGTCTTTTGTGCTGTTGGCTGCAATACGATAGCAGAAGCCTGCCACATTGTGCTCATTCGAAGGATGAAGGGGTTGGCATTGTGAGGGCGTGACTGAGCAAGACCTTGGCGACTTCGGTGGGCGGCCGGACGTCCAAGAACACCCAGCCCTCCTGCACGCGCACAGTAAACATGAGAGGCAATTGCCCTGATAGCTCTCACAATTGAAGACATGCATGTTCATGATCAGTTTTCTATTATTTCTCAAGCCCTTGCCGCATTGGTGTGGGCCAGGTATGTCTGTGGCGGAGGGCACACCTGCTTCAGCTCTCCAGCAGCCGCAGCGCTGATGCTCTTCACACGGCCATCCCGGATCTGCAAGAAACCAAGAAACATTGATTTCTTCCCAGACACATGCTCTGCCAGAAATAGGAAAACTTATGCACCTGCTGAGAGCAGGACGCCTTGAAATACCGAACCCTTACCTGGTCTTCCCATCGCTTTTCAGCATTCGCAAGCTCTGTTGTGTAGTCTCCACCAGAGGAGGGAGAAGTAGCAGCGCACAGCGGGCTCAGAACACGACGTTGAGCTTTCGCCACGGGCGCACGCCGTAAAGCATGGACCCTCCTTGGCTGAACACGTCCTGCGCATTGTTACACCAGTGTACGTGGTTGGGTGACTTGTTGATCCAAAAGAAGCTTGATCATATACCAGATGCTCGGCACCTTGGAACACTGCCTGCAACTCACTGCCCACTGATAGGATCGTGTTCAAGATACAATGAAAAGAAAAGCTTTGCATTCCTTCGCTCGTGTACGTTTGTTGTGTCAGAAGAAGAAAATTGCCCACCCTGCGCGGGGCTCTGAGTTGTGATCCTCGCTTGAATGCTCGAGCTCAAAGTCTGCTGAGCCATGCTGACCTTTGAAGAATTTTCGCCTGCCTGCAGCAAGTATTCCGGCAATTTCAACACCAGAAAGTGCGATCGGGCGTCCTTCTAAAGTCGAAATCTATCTATACACTCAGCTCTGATTGGACGCCGGGGAAATGAGATTGTGATCAGCACGTGCTGGCATGCTCCTGAGATCTTTCTGACCTGCTTGATTTTCCGATGTAATCTTCCTTCCTTCCTCCTAACTCAGCTAGGCCGTAAGGGGACTTAAAGGATTTGCCAAATCCGATTTGGGGCCATGTGAGGAGTCATTTCCCAGAAGTGCAATAAGAGCTCCCCTCCGATGCACTGGCATCCCGGATACTGTGGCCCAGGGATACGTCAGAGGATACTATGGCCCGGGGCCATATGTGATAGCACATATGTGCTATCGCGGTGTGCGTGCCGCAAGTAATTGTTCACAGCCTGCCAGGCTCACAGTGTGAGCGAATGGGGTGCACTGCAATTGGCAAGCTCACCATGCATGACCATGCCATGATTATGCCATTTAGGTCACAATTCTGGGTCATTGATTGCAAAGGCAATGCACACTTTTTACTGTGACAGTGAAACCAACAATTGCAAGCTACTTTGAGTTGCAGAGTCAGAGCTGCAGCTGCCGCAGTATTTCCTGGTTGGCAATCAATCTGTTCACATGCTAGGGTCAACACAACTTGATGACTGAGATTTGACCTCTGTGTCTCTGAGACACCAGTTGCTGTTTACATACTATATACTGCTGTCCAGTCAGCTTGTGTCCATGGCCTCCTCTGGCTCTCCTGCTATTACAGCCACGTCCACGCCGATCTTGTACAGCTTCTCCTTGACAACAGCTGCGAGCACAGGATATCACTTGAAAGCCATCGTGTAGTAATCTTACACATGTGCTATAATTTTCAGGAACAACAATGTTCCTGAGCAATGCAGGATCGCACAGAGCAAGCACATGCAAGGCAGGAAAAAGGCGCTTACGTGCTGTGCCTGCAGGGTACTTGACAGGGAACTTCCGCTCATATGTCTTGTCTTGCAAGCGCTGGTAGTTACGCAGGTACTCCACCTGCACCCACTCACAAGCATGTCATACTGCTGATGCACCAGACTTCTATTTCTGGTCTACGCACCGCAGCCAGGATAAAGCACAGGATGGCATCCTGTAATCAACCGTGTAGTTGACTTCGCAAAGGACCATCGCAATCTAAAATCGATTTTGTACCAGTGTCTTGCGCCCTGAAATATCAAAACACACTTGACAGAGGCATTGTAGGCACGCACCCCATCCTTGGTGATGATGCAGAGGTCAACATTGGACCCAGAGCCCAGATCGTTGAAGATGCCGGAGCGGATGGCGCGCGCAACAAGCTCCATGCCCTCCTCCTTGGTCAGGTCTTCCTTGTAGCCGTCCTCAAACACCGCCATCGCATTCAGAGACCCCGAGCCCATGGTGCAGTATGGCAGGCTGTCTGTGGAACCGTGGGGATACACCTGCAGAGCCATGCTCATGCCTCTCAGATCCTCTGAGCACACCGCCTTACAGCCTCAGAAGTATCAGAGGGCATGCTGCCCCATTGGTAAGCAATATCAAGCATGCACGCACTTCAATGACACAAAGACCTTGAAACGCACCGTGAACAGATGTGGCCCATTGAAGTCTACCCCGCCCAACACCAAAGCCGCACTGACATGGCCCTGGTACCTGTGGACACCAAAATCCCCTGATGGCAAGTTGGGATCCTGACAGGGTAAAACATGAAATATGTCTCAAGTATATGCTTGCTGCAGAGACAATTCATGCAAGGAGCTTGCGCGCACTTGAACAGATGAGTTTTCAGCATCGTCAAGGCTGTGATCACTCTAGATCCCCTCCCAGTTGCATAGCGATGCAACTCCAGTGACGATGAGATCATCCCTGCCGCACAGGCATGATTGGATCAGCACACATACTGGTCTCATTCTACTTCTTGATGCATTGAGATGAGTAGAGGAGGTACACAGATCACGCATGGACATACTTACCAGTCACGTTCTCGGTGTCAGCAGCTGTGCCAGCACCGCAGCAGTAGATGTTTGGAGCTATGTAGTGAATCTTTTCACAGTTTTTGTCAGCCACTGTTGTGTCAGAGGTTGATCTAGTGTCAGCACCGAGCACAACTCCATCCTGCAAGGATCACACATACCAAAGTAACAGATATCGTATAGCGTGCAATTTGAAAAGCACGAGATCAAAGATGCACTATTTCAGGATTCGTTGAAGAATCAGAGTTTGCTTCGTTGTACTCTCAACAGTTCCCAAACATCACGTGAGAAATTCTCATTCAGGAAGACAAAGAGCTACATGCCTTGAATATAAGACCAGCAATTGTAGTGCCTGTCTTGGTGAAGCGAGGCGGGTTGATGCCTCTGCCTTCGAGATAAGCGTTGCGACCACAAAGGTCAAATGCAAAGCCTCCCTGAGTCATAGAGGCACCAGGAAATCTGGAAGCTTGAATGTATATTTATATCTCCTAATATGGGCCAGCGACAGATTGAACAAGGGCCACAAGAGAGTGATGATGAAGTCTCGATCACTTCAAAAGACGTGAAAAGCCCGTTCCAGTCCCTACGTCCTTCAAGGACAACTATGTTCGTAATATAACTGTTGCGATTTTGCCGTCAGTGCATTCTGGAGGGCACTTCAATGCTTCCTGCAGGTCCGGCACCTCAGCGTTGCCTTATCTGGCAACCTGTTTGGGCACAGCTCATTCTCGCGCAAAGAACACAAATTCCCAAATTAAATCCTCCTGACAAATTTGCAATCCAGAGCGTGCTATTTTCTTGAAAGTTGGACACACCATTCCAATTAATTCCATTTGTTCAGGGTGTTGCAGACTGATGAACCCAATCACTTGTCTCCGAGCGCCCCTGGCACCCTTCATTTTACCTTAAAAGCCTAATATCTCTGACAACATCGGTTTTAAAAGCGATAAGTAGGCGCAAGGTTCAATGGCAGATATTGTGGACCCAACTGTTCCGGTGGTGAAAAACATGCTTTTGTTGGATTCTGAGGGGAAGCGTATTGCCGTTAAATACTATGGGAGCGACTGGTGAACGCAGCTTCTTCACTACAGTCATCGATAAATCTGCTGATTTCGTTACTTTGAACATGCTTTATCTTCCTGAGAGGAGGCGGATATCTTGATGATTCTCTGCTTTTGCAGGCCTACCGTGAATGCGCAGGCCACGTACGAGAAGTCTGTCTTCGCAAAAACAAACAGAACCCTGGCGAGAGGTGAAGGTGGGTATGATTTGGCACTTTCTTTTTCTGGGCTAGGAAGCTGATGGTTGCTTGATGGACTGCAAATTGCAATCAATCTCATGTTCTGCAGCTGAGATCACCATGTTTGACGATGTGATCGTCGTCTACAAGTTCATTGGGGACCTCATGTTCTTCGTCACTGGATCACAAGACGAGAACGAGCTCATCCTGTGCCAAGTGCTCCAGGGATTTTATGAGTCCATATCACTGCTGCTCAGGTCCGTCCAAATCCCAGATTGTCATGTTATATCACAAATTATCACATGCAACATATGACAAGATCTTGGTATTGAGGCTGTCACCTTAATCCACTCAACTGAGCACCTCTGTTGCAGGAGCGCTGTGGAGAAGAAGACAGTTTTGGAGAACCTGGACTTGGTCCTCCTGGTAATGGATGAGACTGTGGATGGCGGGTGAGAGCTAAAGTCATCCAACAGCTTAAATTGCAGAACAGTCTGATTTGCTGTCAACAAACAAGCCCGATATGATAGGCCCCGACATTTGCATTTTTCAGTGCTGCTATTGCTGTTCTAGGCTCATCCTGGAGACTGACCCTGCTACCATTGCCAGCCGAGTAGCAATGCGGGGTCCGGACGACAATCTATCCCTCACAGAGCAGGTGAACGTGTTGTCCACTTGCATTTCAGTGGTTCCTGCTGATAGCCATGCCTGAACATCTCTAAAATGCATGTGAAGCATCTCTAAACTCTGTGTTGTCGCTGCTGTTGCAGACTTTCTCCAGGGCCCTTGCAACAGCGAAGGAACAGCTGGCACGGTCCTTGTTGAAGTGACTTTGGCTGCCATTCGCGGGCCATGATGGCATAGTTACAGAGCATGATTGTGCTTGCAAAGCTGCTCAAATGGTTAGGCTGTTATGGTGACGGGAACTCATTGCAATGTCTTTACCGTACCAGCAAAGTATATCACAGATTGTGATCACCACATTTCGAGCTTTTTGTGAGGCTGGGCAGTCTGCAACTCGCCAAATTTGCCATTTATGGCCTAGTTGGCCCAAGGGGCAGGAAGACTGTGGAAATTCTTTTTGTCGTTGAAAGTAGTCAGCAGATATATGCAATGAGCACTGGATGCTATTACTGGGTTGGTGTTCCTAATGCCACATCCTCTGATATTTCCAGGAAACAGAGATTAATGTCTCTGCAGTGTGAAGTGTGCACACAGCAGGGGATGCTGCGCACATGCCTCTTGCACATGCACATGTGACGTACGATGATTTCATCATATATCGCCCAAAACAAATTCCCTCGTATGAGTGTGCCCTCTACAAGCACCTTCTGATGATATTCACCTTCCTATAAGGCCCGAAATGTTGCATCTGATGTGCACGTCATGCTGCTGCTGAAATGCACAATGCAGCTCTTCAGCAACGCTCAACACAGCAGCTCAAAAACAGGTACAGCTCACTCATTGTGACTTCAGTACTTGGGTGTCTTCAGAACTGCACCAGTGGCCCTGATAAGGGCATCCAAGGTCTGCAGGGCGCGCAGGTCTGCCTCTGGGAATCGCACGCTGCTGATCTTTGCGCTCTCTGGCAATTCTCTGAGCTTTCCCACCCAAGAGCTGAACAGCGGTCTCCTGCTGTCCTCATCGTCCGCCGGCTCCATTTGATACACAAACTGAAAAGCTTTCCTGCACACCGCACATGCCACGCACTTGTGGAAGATGTTAAGCATCTCTTCTGTCATGATATCCTCCTGACACATGGCCTGTGCAACAGGGCACGCATGGCAGCATGCACCACTGATTATTGAGGGGAAATGATCCATTGCTGAAACCTCACCTGAGATCTGCAGGAGTGGCCTCCACGGGTGAATTGAAGTGGGCAGAGATTATCCTCCTGAAGTCCCACTGAGCCATTTGTTCCACCCACTCCCTGGTCGCCCTGGGGATCTTGGTGAAGACCAGCACTTGGGTGACCGGCGAGCAGATGACTTTGTTGGCCACCGCTGCAAAGTTCTGGGGGTCTCGCAGGTGGTCCGGCGAGAAGTACAGAACCAGCAGAGACATTCGCCACCACCCTGTCACAGCAAACCTCTCAGGAGTCTATCTCAGCACCATTTCGCTGAGACCAACCAGTGAAATGTGGTGCAGCAGTGTAGCTCATTGCATGGAAGGTTCACTTCTGGGATTGTAGCAAGAAGCCTGGACCTTACCCAGTCTTTCTTGCTCCTCCATGCTTTGCAGGTTCCTTGGTGCATCCTTCCCGTACAACAAACGCACAAAAAGGTTGTCCTTCCCCGCGCGCTGCAATTTGGCTCTGTTGATCACCTGGGCGACAGCAGGATTGCTTTGGCACACAGGTCGCAATTGCCCAACATTCAGAACTTGCACCAGAGATTAAGAATGGCATATGCACAATAATCATGGCATGACACCCACCTCCGGAGGATCCTCAGACACATACACCACTGCATCGGTGACCAAGAGCGTCCGGGATGCCTTGTGGAAGAAAGCTGTCTGCAGATGAGAAAGAAAGGCATTTCAGCCCTTTTGCATCTTGTTGCATCACGTCATGCAACATATGCCAGGCTAACTTCACCATTTCCCTTGTTTGCCCAAAATGATATAGGTGACTGTTCTGTCCTTGAGAAGTCAAATTCTACCTCGCTGTATGGTGCGATGCCGATGCTCTCAGAAAGGGAGACATGCTCGAGCTCATCAGCCCATGGCAGATCTGTTGCATCGTTATGCAGCGTCTTTGCACCAAAGATGCCCAGAAGCGGCAGCGGAAAATTGATTGGCCATGACCATTGCCTGTGATCACCCAGCCAAAACTCTAGACATGCCAGGGACCTTCCGCAAATGTCACACCAACCAGTGGATACAGGACAGTTCCTGGCAATGAATTGCTGAAGGCAAGAACAAGTGTGTGGCCACTTACTCGGGAGAGACATAGACTTGTGCCCTGGGGAACTTCCGTTGAAACGCTGGCACAAAAACTTTGTGCTCGTATGCATGCGACGGCAGCACAATGTACTCAACAGGGGCCTCCAGCTCACGCAACAAGCCCAAACACTCACTGAAGGCACAGACATAAACTTGCTTAACATCTGACCAGCTGCTTTGAGGTCAAGCAATAAACAATCAATTAACAAGCAAAGAAACAGATCATACCTGGTTGGCGCAATAGGTGCATATACCCAGAGCCCTCCAGAACTCAATTTGATCACTGTCATTCTCACAACTGTTGCAACATTTGTTAATGCGAACGTCTGCTCTTGCTCAAATGTCCAGATAACACCTGGCTCTACCTGAGATATTGGCACAGAAAGCGCACTAGGTCCCAAGATCCATCATGCATGTTATTGCATCAAGCGTGTTTCACAATGGCCGTAAGACCAACACAGGAGGCACTGGTAGCAAACCTCGTTCCGGATTGTCTGTCGGGACAGTAAAGGGCCCAGAGGAAATGGGAAGCCTGTCACAAGGGAGAAAAACCTCCCATTGTTGGGTCCTGGGCCGTTTCCTGTGTCCCCTTGCTCAACCCTCCCATCGCTGTCTGGCTTTTGGCCTGTCAATGACTTAGCTGCTTGCTCCAGCTGAGACGGAGATCTGCAACATTGACATACGACTTTAAGTACGAAAGGGCATATTATTCTCCTTGATAGTGGTACAAGTGTAGCTATTTGCAGAAGTAAGTTGCAGGAGGCCAGCTCCGTACTTGTTCACTTGTGATCGCGTTATCAGTCGGCTCTGTCGGTGGCTCTTGAAGCGCATGTGTGGGAGTATTGGACATGCATGGAGAAATCCAGGGACATGGTGATCTAGAAGCGCTGGCTTTAGGGATGGTCTCATCGATGATGACTCTTGGAGTCTGACGTAAATATCTGCACGATATCGGTTGATCAATACACCAGATCAGAACGAGGTATTCTCCCACGAGGGGTGGCGCTTAACCGACACAAGCATCTCTACATATTCAGTAAATATTCTACATTGGTACGCAGCCTTGGATAGAAGTCTTCCCAAATGAAGATGTACGTCTTAAATTAGTCTGCAAAGCAATCACAATCCGAAAGACGCAAGTGACTGCTCTCCAAAGTGCCACAATCGGTGAAGGGCTTTCGTGCTTTCTAGATTTGCTGCTTCCCTCGAGGCAACTGCTCTGCGCGGGGAAGCTGCAGAGGTCCTGCTTTCAGACTTAGACATTCTTGTCAACTCATAAAAACCTGCATGTGATCATCTCTGATACGTAAACTTGATAATATGAAGGGGCCGATCCCGATCATTGAGTCGCTGCAGGGGAAGAGAGTGCTTGTGACAGGCGCGCTGCTTGCCCGATCTACGGAATTTTGCTGCATGGAGGTGATGATACGTCAAAAGACGTTGTGTAAGAATCTTGCTCTATGGTAATTACAGGTGGTTCGGCTGGCATCGGTAGAGCATCGGCCCTACAGTTTGACGCCAATGGATGCACTGTGGCCGTGCTGGGGAGGAGGTTGGAGCGGCTCCAAGCAGTGGTAAGCTTAGTGAAATCCTGTAGACGTTATTCAGCATATGAGAACTCACACGCAGTCATAAATAAGAGTGACAAACGCAATTCTCAGACCTACCAACAATCCATGGAAATGTGAGAGCTTTGCTTTATACCTCCTCTCTGCCTTCGAAGGTTGAGGAGATGAAGGATGGTCACGCTATTGTGGCAGACCTCACGAAGGAGGCAGACATGAAGCGTGCCATTGAGGAGGCCATCACCAAAATGGGTGGACTAGATATCCTTGTGAACAGGTGGCGTTATTGCCCAATGGAGTTTGTTGCTTGCATCATTGCCATGCAAATTGCATTAAAATATTTTCGGAGATGCAGTGGAACCAAAACTCTGCACTTGTGTGTGAACAGCGGTGGCGCCATGAACGATGAGATGGAAGGTCAGAGCGAGGATGCCATCCTGGCTGCCATCAAGCTGCACGTGACAGGCAACCTCACCCTCATACGAGCAGCTGAAGAGGAGCTGGTGAAAAACAAGGTGCCCAGTTCGAAGTTATGCTCCACGCTTGGGAAACCATCACGGGCGATTCATGTGATTCGATGCCAGCTAGCCTCAGAACTCACGTAGTGCTGGGTTGCAACAGGGGGCAGTCGTGAACGTCTCATCAGTCGCTGCGATCATACCATTCCCGAGCATGAACCCCTATTGCGTAGCCAAGGCGGCCCAGGACACACTCACGCGGAACCTTGCCCTGGAGTTTGCAACCAAGGGTGTGCGCATCAACTCGGTCCTGCCAGGTCAGAGCCCGGCAGCACCATCAACACTTCAGTCATGATTAGCCTGGTTTCTTGTAATAACAGTACCCTGGCCATCAAGTGGACACAAGAATGGGCTGAGAATAATATGTGCCTGCATATTGAAAGCTGTAGCGTATAACTAGTACAGATTGTTCTGCCCTGAGGCAAGCGTTCTTCAGTTTGCCCAATCTAGAAGAGCAACTGAGATAGGTGGGACAATCATGTTATGGCCTGCCCCAAGTTTAGATGGAGCTGCAAAAACATTGGCTAGGCAGCTAGAAACAACGTTGCTGAAACTCACAGCTAGATGACTAGTAGAGCTTAGGATTTTTACAAGGAAGTGCCTTCGTGCGGACCACTCTAGTTGCAGTTGCTCTGATGCTCAATAGCTGGGCCCGTTGTGCAGGTGCGATCAGGACAGAGGTGTTTGAGCAAATGGCGGAGAAGAATGGCATCACAGCTCAGCAGGTGGCAGATGAGCTGGCAGTCCGCCACGGCATGCAGCGTGTTGCAGAGCCAGAGGAGGTTGCAGCCCCCGTAGTCTTTCTCGCCTCGGATGCCGCCTCCTTCATCACTGGCGTCAATCTGCCAGTCGATGGAGCTGCAACGCTGGGCTTCTGGTTCAACGCCACCAAATTTCCAGGATAGCAGAAGTAGTAAAGCAGCACTCGTGCTGACAAAATAAAGAGACCCGGACACTTGACTCGATCAGCTGATTTTGGAGACCTCAGCTTTGACAACCTCTCAGCACTGCTAAATTACATGTACAGCGATCCCAAATATATTGCAGCCCAATTCTTTTGTGGCGGTCTTTACATGCAAAGCAAGTATCCTGCAAGATGCTGCTGTCCAGGCAAAGTTTGTATTTTGCACAATAACATGCACATAGATTAAACTTTGCACACACTGGGGTTTATTGAGTTTTTTTTTAACTTGAACAAATTTGAAGGTTGTACCCTCGTCTCAAATACATGCACCTCTCAGGGCCAAGCTTGCTAGGAGTCAATCATTGACATGATGTCCTGAGCAAGTGAGATCTTCCAAGCTTATTTACGATTTCCAAAGCACATCCAATGAAGACTTCATTATGAAGTGCTTTACTATAGCCGCTATACGCGGCGTTGCTCTGCAGAGCAATGTCTGGCAGCTGCCAGACTGCACTGGTGGCGAGGCGCTTTGTAAGAGTTCAATCACCCTTGCGTCTTGCCTCTGCGCTGCATGCAGATGGTGTGTTTGCACATGATCTTGAAACGGCCACTGTTGCTTACTGCACATCAATCTTGCGCTCGCGTGCTTTCTCTACCTGCAAGACACATCACCAGGCTCAATGGCTGTACTGTTGTCCCTAATATTCGATAAAACCTCTACTGCTTCAGAACTGACAAGCAGACATCATGCTCATGCTAGTGAGCAGGCGAGCAGTTTGCCACTTTGAGCACATCATGCATCATGTGGATGCCCCACAACCTTTGGGATGATGATGAGGAGTGAGCCATCGATGAACTCTGCCTTGGCCTTCTGCAGATTTGCAGAGGGTGGCAATCGGACCGAGCGCGGCTCGTAATTCTGGGAACGCTCCTTCCTGCAGCAGTGATTGCAGACAGTCAATTTCTGCACTGGATGAAGATGTGCACAGGTGCTGGTGCGAGTCAAATTTATTGCATTTGTGGCTTGAGGCATGCAGCAGTGATTGGTTTGATATGCAGCAATGCATGCGCAAAGCGACACACCTGAGCATCCGTTCCTGATCCTTCTCCTGCTGATTTCCCTCTTTCGCATCCAGCACTGACTTGTCCACAACGATGGCCAGGAGGCCGTTGTCAATATTCACCTGCCATGAAGTGATGTTAAACCCAAGTGCATGCATCTCAATGGGGCATACTGACCACGACAAGCAGACGTCCGCACCTTGACCTTGTCCTTTGGGATTCCAGGTATGTCAGCAGCCACAATAAAGGTCTTCTGAGTCTGCACCAGCACATGAACTCTAATGAAGGACGCATTCTAGAAGGTGCACCAGCCATGCATTGCCATTTGCAGCGTCATTGCCGAATATTGATGTCTATTATTGGCCACGCTTCGCCTGTAAAGCTGGATCAGAAGCAAGAAAAGTACCTCCTTGACATCAATTGGTATTGTTCGGGGCCTGTCGCCACGCGCTTCTCCTCCATCTGCCTGTTGCGCCATTGCTAGGAAACGGTCGGGAAGCAGCTTCTCACAATTGACCAGCAACTGGCCCTTTAACAGTATGCGGTGATCGTAGGCTTATCCCTTCGCAAATGGATCCACCGCGAAATGTGCTATTGACAGGAACTTTCTCCTCGGACAATTTATGAGCCGGTCGCTGTTTTTGGAAGCCCTGATCAAAACCCTTGGCAAGCTCAGGGTTTCAGCATGAGATGGACAATCACAAATCGAAGTGTGGGACAAAGCCATGTGCTCTCCTTTTCTTTTAGACTATCTAATTCTGATGCAGACTACAGGCATGAGTTTTCTCGAGCTTTAGCACGTTTGGAATACACGCACGCTCTACACTAGAAATTTTCAACACATGCTTCATCGATCCTAAGGTTTGTCAGGAGAGATCAGCTCCAAACTATTATTTGAGAAGTTATAGATTGCCAATGTTGAAGTCTCTGGCGTCAAGACAGCTGTCTGCCGCAGCACTGTTAGGAAAGACATGCTCGCTATCGTCGAGACACTGGCACAGACAAACGCGTATATTCGCAGGAGCAGCGCCCCCTGCCGCCACAGAACAGGTGTACATTAACCTCCAGTCGCTTTGCTGACCAGGGCACAGGCAGGGTATACATATGGCAGAGAATATGGACCATCCCTCAGTCTCCACTGTACTAGGTGTTGCATGTGCCCCTAAAAACGATCATGTGCTGCAGCCTGGGGCGCTAGATCGCAAAGTGGGGGTCAGTAGATCCCAGGAGAGCAAAGGGCTCATCGATGTGCAGCCAGTCAGAGGTATGCAATCAATTCTTGAGCTCGGACCTGGCTTTTGCGGTCCTATGAGTCTGCTGCTGCATGTCAGTAGCCTGCAAGTCGATGACATAGAGAATGGACTGTACTAAACAGGCACCCGGGACTTTGGCCCAGAGGAGTACCGACTGCGCCAGTGGCTGTTCAACGAGTTTGAGGCTGTCTCGCGGTTGTTTGGCTTTGAGCAATTTGAGACACCGGTCCTGGAGAGCGAGGACCTGTTTGTCCGGAAGGCAGGGGAGGAAATCACGCAGCAGCTGTACAATTTTGAGGTGGGCGCCTTGGCACTTTTGTTCAGCATCTGTGGCTTCTTCTGGGGGAAAAGACTTGCAGAAATCACTCACTAATACCATCGGTCTTTTCACAGGACAAAGGTGGGCGACGTGTGGCTCTGCGGCCAGAGTTGACACCGTCACTAGCGCGGCTAGTGCTGGCCCAGGGCGGGAAGTTGACGTTGCCGGCAAAGTGGTTCTCCATTGGGCAATGCTGGAGGTAGTTTGGCCTTTTCCAATGCTACATTGGCCAACAATGACTTTCAATTGTGCACAACGCAGTTCTCTAAGCATGTGTGTGGTGTGCAGATATGAACGCACAACGAGGGGCAGGAAGCGAGAGCATTTCCAATGGTATGCTGCTCACAGAGCCTTGAGATCTTGCTCATCATACATCTGTGTCTGGGATGCTCGGTGTAAAGTCAAAAAATGTGAGGCGCAAAGTGATGCTTTCATGTGCGGCAGGAACATGGACATTATTGGGGTGCCAGGCATAGCAGCAGAGGCGGAGCTGCTGGCAGCCATCGTGCTGTTTCTAGAGAGGGTGAATCTGTCCAGCGAGGACATTGTGATCAAGGTGTCCAGCCGCAAGGTGCTTCAAGCCATTCTGGAGCGATATACTGTGCCGGAAGACAGCGTTGGGCCTGTGTCTGTGGTGGTGGACAAGATGGAGAAGATCCCCCTTGAAAAGGTGGTCCCTCTTTCAATCTTTGATAACATGCAAGCACCTAGAAGACACCTGACACTGTGGCAAAAATGTGGACAATGGCATGCAAATGCATCAGTATCTTGCGCCATGATAGAAAGTCTTTAATGCATGCATGCATGACTGACATGCAACATGCAAGCGCATTAGGAGCTGGCATGAGCTTACTTGGCAAAGTGCCTAAAAGAGCACTATGGTTGACCCTTGTTTCCTTAGTCACTCTGCCAGGTGATATTGCACGCATGCAGTACATGCCCGATATGCACGCAACAGTAGCGGGCATGGCCACTTTTGGCACACTTACTCAAAGAGCTGACACCTGTCCCCTTTGTCGCTGTGCTGCCAGGTGGAGGAGGAGCTGTCTGCGCTGGGGTTGTCACCGGAGGCGAGCTCGGGGATCATAGCAGCGACGAGGGTGGGCAGCCTGGCAGAGCTGGAGCAGCTGCTGGGCGCAGGCAACGAGGCCGTGCGCGAGCTGCAGCAGCTCTTCAGCCTGGCCCAGGGCTATGGCTATGCCGACTACCTGCAGCTCGACACCAGCTGCGTGCGCGGCCTCGCCTACTACACAGGTGCGCTGCGGCCGCTGTGATTCTACGGGCATTCCACTCTGTCTGTCCATCCAGGCATGATTGCTGTTGCGTACCATGACATGGCAATGCATGAAAACCCTTGTGCCATCTTAAGTCTAGGGTGTGCGAGCAAAACTTCTGCGGCACTGGGTGCAGTTAATGCAAGAGGTGACTCCAGCATGAAGTGAAAGATGAATTGTGTTGATGTGCGGGTGGGATTCTGTCAGGGGTGGTTTTCGAGGGGCGGGATCGGGCGGGCCAGCTGCGCGCGATATTTGGCGGCGGCCGGTATGACCGGCTGCTGTCCACCTTTGGGGGCGAGCAGCGGCCCTGCGCCGGCTTTGGCTTTGGGGACTGCGTCATCGTTGAGCTGCTGAGGGACAAGGGTCTCTTGCCCTCCCCTGCCCATGAGGTGGGACTGTCTGTCACCCCTTCATACAATCACTAACCAATCATCAGCAAGTGAGGTTTGAAATATCTGCCTGCATGTTGGGTTCTGTGCTCTTTTTGTTTTTTTCCGCATCAAAAAATTGCAAGGGCTGGCTTTGCAGGTGGATGACCTGGTTGTGGTGATGGAGGAGGGCCTGCGAGAGCATGCAGCAGGGATTGCACAGCAGCTGCGAAAAGCAGGCAGAAGAGTTGACCTGGTGTTGGAATCAAAGAAGATGAAGTGGATCTTTAAGGTAAGCCACGCAATATCCTTGCTTGCAGCATTGAATGCCCTATCTATGCATGTTGTGGAATTGGCTGAGCTGAGCATCTAGTGTTTGTATGCAGAAATATAATGCAGTAAACCGCGCTGTACCCTTTCTTATATGAACAGCATTGCATGCTTTGTTTATGGGCGTTGTGAAAAGTGGCAGGGCTCAAAGCTGGTGGATTGTGCATTGTGCAGCAAGCGGAGAGGTGTGGAGCGAAGCGAATGGTCCTAGTGGCTCCTGATGAGTGGAAGCAGGGCCTGGTGAGAGTGAAGGATCAGGCAACTCGAGAGGAGAGCAATGTCCCTGTTGCAGAGCTTATGAATTTCTGAGCCCGCAAGGTTATCTGAGGTGCTTTTCTTGTACACATTTGTCTTTCTTAGCCAGAGGTTCATAATTATTAGAGCGCTCAAACTCAGCCATGCTGTTACAATCACTTTTCTACAATCACTTCTTCCTGTAATATCATAGCACCGCTCCTACAAGAACAGTTACAGACTGGACCAGTCTGTAACAGTCTGACTGGTCAATGTGGCACGCACGCACATGCAGCCAGAGCTCGCAAGCAGGGGTTCCTTTCATGCATGATTCTTCTTTGTAATTTTTACGTACAGCATAAGATGCACACGTTTCTTCAGCATGATCTCCAGCTCCTTGCGTGCGCTGGCACCAATCTCCCCAATAGCAGCGCCCTTCTTCCCCACAACAATGCGCCGAACCTGCGAACATCCAGTTACGGATCAGACAGACCGCGCTTCATTCGCAGGCCGCGCACTTGCGAATCGTCTAGTTGTCTTTCCAGGACATGGCCCACAATTGCATATTTGCATGCATACAGAGTTGCAGTTATTTGTTCACAACGATTTGCGTATTGGTTTCTCACCAAAGCAGTACAGATTTGTACATGCAAGGCACTTACCTGATCGCTGCGGACCATCAGGTTCTTCTCAATGCGGAGTGAGCCATCCATGAGCATCTTGAAGGAGACATCCTCAATCTGCACCTCGTAGGGAATCTCCTTGTACAGCCGCCGAAACACCTTCTCCTTCAACACCTGGCAACCCAGAGCCTCGTCTTTGAGCCATAAGTATCAGCTTCAATTATGCATACCATAGATCAAGGGATGCAGGCCACTTGCAAATGATCCCTGCCGAAGAGCAATAACTTTCAGTATTTCCTCGACGTCTTACGCCAAAGGGATGATCTCACCTCGCGCGCAATGTCATTGAGTGTCATGTCTGTACTCTCCCCAGCCTCCAGGGCCCATTTTCCAGGTGAACTCCTGCACACAAACATTCTTTCAAGGCCCAGCTCTGACGCACTGAAATATTCTTGAGCAGAATTCCCATCAATGCATTTTGCTGGTCTCACAAAAAGAATTCACTCACCTTGACAGCAGGTACTGGCGCAGTGCCGTCATGCCCACGCCATGCTTGGCGGAGATGCTGAAGGTGTCCTGGAATGGGTAGATGCTGTTCAGATGCTCGCCAAGCCGACTCAGATGGGGCCTCTCCTCCTTGGAGAGACGGTCAATCTGTGCATGCACAATGTTTGCCCACAATCCTTGCCTTCTTATGCTCTGAAACCGTCTTATCAGTGCTTCATGATCAAGAGTTCTGCTGCTCTCCAGGGCCACGCACATGTTTTGTTGGTGCTCAGGAGCCCCCTCTTGAAAGCTCCATGATGAGAATTCTGCTTTTCTGCACAACAGGCGTAACCAGCGCACCTTGTTCAGAAGCAGCAGGGCAGGCGGGGGGTCCCAGGATGGCAGGGGCCCTGCTGCCAGCTCCTCCACCAGTTGCAGCACCCGCTCATCCGGCTCTGTGATCTGCATGCACCCCACATGCCAAAAACAAACTCACGCTACACGACACCATTGTCCAATGCAATTTTCAAGCAGGGTCCGCTCGAAGGTCCTCCAAGCACACCCTGCACGCCTGCAGCCTGTGTTCCCGGCGCGGTCTTATAGTGCATGGCCTGCAGATTGGAGCCCAGTGAAGGAACTGTTTAATTCTACAAATGACAAAATACCAGTAGGAAGTGGCCTACCTGGCGATGCGCGTCGACAATGAAGAGCAGCATCTCACAGTCTGAGGCGGTGCCCCAGGCTGAGCGCACGCGCTTGGCATGCTGGTTGCCGCGCAGAAATCGCGTAGTCACAACACCCGGCGTGTCATACAGCGCCACCTGTGCAGGCCCCTCCGTGAAGGCCCCCAGCCTGGTCGCGTCCGTGGTGTTTGTCTTGCTGGAGACCGCCGACACCTGCACGCATGTCAGGCCTGATGTCAACGGATCAGAGGAACCCCTGCTCTCCAAAACTCTTAATGTACTGTTAATGTGGCAAAGATTCAGGATGTTGACCTCCTTGCGACCATGCAAATGAGCTTCAGGGGGGAGAGGTGCAGAAAGAGCCCTGAGGAGGGGATATGGAAAAACATAGGCTTTGGTTGTGTCACCTTGTGGCCGACGAGTGCGTTCGTGAGGGTGGACTTGCCAGAGTTAGGCACGCCCACAATGCCTGCCTGGAGCAGCCTCTGATCATTGATCGGCACTGTCTCCGCCCTTGCATCTTCATCTGCAGCCTCGAACTGATCTGCTTGAAGCATGTCATCCAGGGGCTCTATATCCTCTGTGCTTTCAGTGCTGACATCATGTGACCGCACGCGGGTCTGCTGCACCCGCCATTCGATGTCTGCGGCTGCATCAGGGATGTCACTGTCCTGGGAGGCCACATACCGCGGCCCTGCTGCCTCATCTGCCGCTGCCTGATGCTGCCCAAGCCCCCAACTACTATCCACCCGTGCATTGCTGAGATCCCTGGCCCCTTCTTCAACTACCCCATCTTGTGGCAATCCCTCTTCTCCGCTGTCCCTGTCCCACAATGCAGCAGAGGCAATCTCCTTTCCAGCATTCTCACCATCTGCGCGGCTTGCTGCAATGTCTGTCTGTCGCAGTTCCGCGCCCGGACGCCCGGAGTTGGAGCTTCTGACCTCTGTCTCGGACGCAGTTTCCTGGTCCTCCGACCCTTGCAGTGAATCCCACAGGAGAGGTTCTCTGGCAGGTGTAGGCTCGGCTTCGGAAAAGCCATCCTGAGCTGCAGGCGCAGGCAGCCGCACCGGTGCACACAGGATGGACAGCAGCCTGCGCGCCTCTGCGGAGTCCCCAAGCTCACTCGCATCAAAGTGGCTCGGGTCTGGAACTTCCTCCTCTTCTGCATCCTCTTCAGCTGCCTCAAACTCCTCTAGCTCTGCAGCGGCGCTATATAGCTGCCGAGGAGCCGCCCAGAAATCTTGCTCGGAAGCGGGTGCATATGGGCCTGCTTCAGGTGAAGCTGCCTGGGTGCCATTTCCTGTTGCATCTGCACTCTGATTTTGGCTCACAGCATCCGCGTGTGCCCGCTCAAAGGCACTGAGTCTCTCTCGAAGGCCACTGAGGAGTCTGGAGACATCGCTGCTGCTGGACATCTCTTCGCCGGCATTTTCTGTCTGTCCGGAGTTATCACCGTTTTGGCTATGCGGGATTGCCGATGTATGCTCCGCAGCTGCTCTTTCCTGTGGAAGCAGCCGCAGGATGGGCCCAAATCTGCGTTGGAACGAGAAGGCTCAGCTGGATTATGCGGCATGTAAATCGAGTGGATGATCATAATTATCAAGCTTAGCATGCAAACTGAATGAATCGGCGCTGCAGCCTCACACCTTAGTGCAGACCTGTTTGACAAGTGCCTCAACAAGGCGGAGTACCGAGACATTACTACACATTCAGAGAAAATGAGGTGTTTCCAGATTTACATAACGATGAGCTCACAAATAAGTATCCTTTATCTCTCTTCAAAACTTTCGGAAAACTTCCGAAAGGCGTCCCGGAACCTCCCAAACCCTAGGCCTACTAGCTAGGGCTAAGAAACGCATGCTGCGGGCTCTCCTTCCTTCCAGGATAACTAGAGCAAGAACTGAAATATATGCACAGGATAGTTTAGATTTCGTTACATTTGTTAGATGGATCGCTCACAGTATGCTAGCTCTCAATAAAATGAGTTGCCAACATCCGGATGCGTTCGTCCTCACTTGCAGTATTGTAGTGTGATCCAGAGAGTGTGCTGATATCACTACACATTACGCAGCGATCGAATTGCCGATTGGGTTGCATATCGGCACAGGCATGAATGCCGTTTCAAACTGCAGCAATGCCCTCAGCGTTGCTGACTGGCTGAAACTTCTAAAGGAGCCAGGCGATCACATTCACCAGGAATTCCTCAAAAGCAATGTTCGCAGCATGCTGCAGAGCGGGGTCAGTGTCCTTCACGGGGCGCCGAGTGTGGCAGAGTAAGCAGTTCCTGCTGTGTTGACTCAGCTAGCGGCACGCACAGCATGGCATTGTGGAACACGAATTCCACTTTAGTGTTGAGCAGAATCATTCACACTGTGACAGGTGTCACATGGCTCTTGAGCTGTTGGGATCCATATTGCTTGAGGAGTCCTACCTGCAGCTCTGCAATGGTGGGTACCTCGTGGGATCTGGATCTTACATCAACAGCAGTGATCATGAAGCCCTAAACTCGAAGGTGTCCTTGTAATGCTGAGCTGCATGCTTGGTGGAGAGAATGGAGACAACGGGGATGTTTGGCTTCGCAGAGAGGGACGAGGAGACCGCATTTCTGGCACTGCTCAATGCTCTTGACGCAGCTCCTGACAAGGTTTGATTCAACATCACAACCGGAAATAACCATTACAAATGCATGCCACCTTCATGTGAACTCACACCACCCATTTGTGGTTTACTGCAGCGAAGGGCAAAGCTGGCTCTATGGGGACTTTCGCGGATACAGATCCCGCCTGCTTTGATCCAGCCACATCTCATGAGAGTTCTCGAGCTCCTTGTTCCATACCTTACACTGGCAAGCATCCCCAGCAGGCACGTTCAGAAGTAGAGAGGCCCTGTGCACTAGTCTGCAATATGCGCGATGTCCATCTTTCCCTCTTGCTGACCCATGGCGATGTTGTGCAGGAGTTCTATATGCTCGCTGTATGCTGTCCTCATTGTGGAGAACTTTTCATCAAGCCTGAAAGATGGTATGAGGGAACATGCAGACATGTGGGCCCCGCATCTGTGGAGGTTGATGCTGGCTGAGCCGGAGGGAGCTGAGTACTGGGTAAGGGGGCCTGACTCAGGCCACATATTGTCATGCACATGCCTCAGGGGAAAATACATAATTTGAAAGAGACAACAAGGCAGATTGAGCGCCAGGGAGTAAGGTAACAGGGCTTACTTGTGCGTGGATCTCTGTGTGTGGTATATGCAGGCAGAAGAAGATCTCTATCATTGATGTGGAATATGTTGTTGGAGCATGCGAGGGCATTTGCAGATTACAGGCTTCTCACTTACACATGCGACTTCTTGTGTGCAGGTGGAGAAGCGGCAGGGGGAGTTTGAGAGGCTGCGAGCAGCAGCTCTAGATTGCATGAAGCAGATGCTGGACTTGCTCATGCGCAGTGATGGAGTGCTGGCAGCTGTGACGCCCTTGCAGAAACTCTTGGTTGATGACATGAAGGGATCTAGTGCTGGCAGCCTCTGTCCCGGCCAGGCTGCGTCTCCTGTCACCCCTGCGCACAGTGCCCCAAGCACTCCGAGAGGGAAACTTCCAGCCACCCATCAGGTGACTACTATTGACTTCATTTGCGCCAATGTCAGTTACTACTGTGCACGGAGACACAGTCAGTGACCTCCCTTTGTGCCTTATCAGGTCTGCCACGCGCAACCTGCTGCCTCTGCAGCGTCTGGTGGCGCAGCTTGGCAAGGAAAAGGTCTTGTGAACGTCTTGATCGGAATGTTTGCTGGGGACGCACCGCATGAGGCAATTGCAGCGCAAGAGGATGCAGCACACGCTGATGGCAGACAACATGTGCCACCGGCTGGGTGGGCTTCATACTCAGTGAGCTTGCAGAAAGCAAACTCATGCATTGACTGAGACTAGCACTGAAACTATATTGTATTAAGAAATCTGCTTCTGAGCAATAATATATGGTGCTTCTTTGGAGCGCAGGCTACCTGGAAACGTAACTGAGGGGAGGAAGAGAGCAGCTCTGGCCACGATCCCAGTGTTTCTTAGATTGCTAGGAGGCTTGGGGATCGTTACAAAAGGGGTGCACGGACCCGTCTGCAAGGTGAACACAATGATGACCTGTCAGAACGGCAACCTCAACAACAATACTTTTTTACTTGGACCGATGTGACTGTGGATGTGCAGGTTCTCACTGCAGCCTTGCAAAGCAACGACGAAGAGTTCATTGGCGCTGCATTTGAGAGCTTGCAGGTCCTAGCAGAAGCTCTGATATCGAGCAAGCTTGTAGCTGGCTCAGAGCCCAGGAAGATTGCGTTGAGCAATCCCATCCTAGTCATGCTGCGCAAGAAGAACCTTTCAGTGAAGAAGGTGCTCCACCTGGCCTTCCACACTTGCAGCACTTTGTGCTTGTACTTTGCAATATCATAATTATTTAACACCCATGCAGCTTATGCAACTTGCTTGCAAGTGGCGTGCGCAGATGGCGCTCGATACATGGGGACGTCTGCTGCTAGTGTCCTTTCCTGAGATTGAGAGGTGCAGCTGGGAGGCTTCTGATGAGGACAAGGAGCTCTTTGAGGCTTTTGTGGTCCCAGTGCTCTCTCTCTTGTCAATGTGGAACACCCGAAACCAGCTGCCATGTTTAGCTGGAAGCTCAGAAGTTCTCTCGCAGGTATCACCGCGCCTCCACCTTTTAGCTGTGTGTGTGTGTGTGGCACGTACATGCAGTGGAACAACCATTGCAATGCTAATTTCTACAGTCAACGTGCATATTGCACATGATGCTCAAGTTTTTGCATGATTTTATTTTACTTGTGCAGGTAGCAGAATGCCTGTGTCAGCTGAGACGACCAGACATTGTTCTACTCGTGGCTGAGGCACTTGCTGGAGAGCCATTCATGGGCAAGCTAGCGTCAATGCTTGCCCAGCATCCAGAACAGACGACCAACTGTCTACAAGCCTGCCTTCCTGGCATGTCAACATTTTTTACCCATGTCATCACAGTCGTGACGACAGCTGTGCCTACACTTGGACATGACCCTCACTGGAGCAAGGCATGACCCGCATACTGGGATTTCTGCAAACAAAGTGTGAACGTTGAGAAGTGAATTTGATAGACGCAGGTATTAACATGCAATGAGACTTACAGTGGAGTGCATCAATTTGGTGGTCAATATGTGTTCAAACAATGTACTGGTTTCTGGCAGGTGCTGATGCTCTACTGTACCAAGATTTTGGAGATTCCTGGCATTTTCACGAATGCCGAATGCCAAGAGACGAGCGTCAGCGCAGTCCTGCATGTGTTTGCCCAGTCTGCCATGACCACAGCAAGCCATCATCCCCAAGGTTTGCTTAGCTTGAGCATTCCCAAATGCCTTCATCGTCTTTAAGGATATTTTGCTTTGTTCTGCAATAACCGCATTGCCCATGATTTTGGTCTGATGCTTATGTATTTAAAATGTCCCAATATCTGACAAGCATGTTTTACATGCCAGATGCTGACATGACGGAAGTGTGTCACGCCTTGGACATCCTGAAAGCCGGCCTGACACCGGCTATGCTCTCATGTCCAGTACCAAGCTTGCCTAGCACAGTCCAACACATTTCAACTAGTAAGTTCTTTCTCTTATCAGGAATACATTACCATGCCATCCCTTGGTTGTCTGCCTTATTATAGCTGCTAAGTCCCCTACTTTCCTTCTCAGGCAGTAATTCTGGAGTGATTGAGGAGGCAACGCCGGCCAATGTGTACCTGTTGAGTTGCTGGGTCTACGTTATTCTTGTTGCTCCGTCACAACACAGAGCCACTTGTGTGGAGAAGATGCAAGACATGCTCGCAGCACTCGGTCAGTTGCTTCCTTCCACCCAACACAAAAGTAAAAAATCTGAGCCTAGTGGCCCTACTGTGTTGCTTCTGAATATTTGGGCGAAGCTCTTGAGATGTATCTGACCCTGAACAGAGGTTTTATTTTTGTGCGCAGACAAGAGTCCCGTGCCAGTGATGCATCTGCAGGCCTTGCTGAAGAGCCTGAAACACCACTTCCGAGCCACTGCGGATCTTGCATTCAGCAGGCAGAGCACCAAGGGAGATCAGGGCAGTGCAGGTGTCAGACAGCAGGGCAGCGCTGCCACATTCACATTCTCTCTGGTAGCGCACAGCCTGGGCTACCACCTAGCAAACACAGAGGAGTTTGAGGACAGCCCCGATGCAGCAGGCTCTGCCCTGCAGGACGCATGCGGCGCCCTGCTGCTGCCCATCAGCCACTGGGCAGGCCTGGCCAGCAGGGTGGCTTCTGAGGCCACTGCCGCTGTGCAGAACACCTCCTGCACTGGCAACAAGGACGCCAAGTCTGTCCTAGCAGGAAATTCCGAGGAGGGGGTCTGCGATCTCACCGACTCGCCGCCCCGCGCAGAGGCAGCCGCAGATGCAGCCGTCACACCTGAGAACAGCCGTCCCTCGGGCGGCGGCGGCGCTGAGAGGGGTCCTGGGAGCGAGGCTGGAGGAGCGCTGCTGGAGAATGAGGCGGCTGACATTGAGCAGGCATGGCAGGCGCTGCTCGATGGCATGCTGGCTGTGGCCGCGCGGAAGCGCTCCTTCAAGAAGGAGTACTGCGGCGACACTGCCCGGCGCATCACGGGCATCGCCGACAGGCTGCCGGTCAACCATACCGCTCTTGCCTGCCTGCAGCTGGCTTCCTGTGCTGCCCACGCACTCACCCGCCAGGTGGGGGGCCGTATGACAGCACGATGAATCAAGAGTGTTATATGCGCATCGACCGCATCAAATTGAAAAGTTAAACGGTGGTGACAGTGCGCGCTGAGGGGTGGAGGGAATCGCAGGTGCAGAAGTCGCTTCCTGGGAAACACGCCGTGGATTCTGCACAGCTCCGGCGGGAGCGGCTTGATGTGCTGAGGATGCTGGGTAGGATCCATGCTGCTGTTCTGCACTCTATGTTACCAGCAAGGATCTGCATGTCCTGGGTTGCCGCTATTGCCTACTTTTTCAAGAGCTCAAAGGTCTGCTAAAGTGACAGTCCATTTGTGCTGTGCAGGGGTGTTGCTGCAGCAGCTGCTAAAACACATAGAGCGGGACGCATCTCTGGCAGCTGCATGCGCGGCGCAGGTGATCAAAGCCCTTGCAGGGCTGCTCCGCCACGCATGGGAGGACTTCAAGGTCCTGGACATGTTAAAGCTGCTCGAGCCCTTGGGCGCTTGGCTGAAGGAGACCGGATCCTCAACAGCTGCCGATCTCGGTGAGCTGACTAAAATCATGTGTGACAGCAGGAAACAAATTAATTTGATTTACACCCCGAAAATGCCCGCATGCTCTGCCTTGTGTTTCTTGAAGCAGATGGCTTTTGGAAAGAGACAGACAGATTACATTGTTGTAGCCACACAGGGCTGATCATATGTCTTTGAATTGAAGCACTGTTGAAGCTGATGGCCTTTGAGAGAGAGAGAGAGGCTACAATGTTGCAGCCACACAGGGCTCAGATGTCTTTTCATGAAGGTGTGTTTGTGACATGCAGGCGGAGCACTTCGCAGCTGCTGGGGTGAGATGCTGTCGGCAGTGGCAGTTCAAGAGCAGCCCCAGAAGTCTCTCGCGGTGGCGCTGGCGCACCGGCCAGCCTACGCGAAGGACATGCTGCGGCCGCTGTGCAACGGCTTCACACATGATTGCGCGCAGATCCGAGCAGCCAGCCTGGAGCTCTGGCAGAACCCCAAGATCCAGTGCGCCCTTGGCAAACACCTTGCAGGTGACACCCTCCGCTGCCCCTTGCCTTGTATTGACTAACTTCTCAAGTAATGACGGTACAGTAAAGGAAGTCTGAATGACGGATCACCATTGTCTGTGAACACTGCTGCTCTTGCCTTTTATGGGTGTCTGCATGACAGGCTAAACATCAACAAGACTTGAAAGAATACATAGACAATGGCGGCCACTCATCTCTCTTAGTTGTGGGCGTTGCTGATGCCTATATTGGACCTTTGCTGCAATGTTCACTAGGACAATGAAAGAAGCCATTCAAATGCAATTGTCTGTGTGCAGGCTTGCCGCCTTTTGTGAATGAGTCGCTGGCGCGCGCCCAAGAGCTGGGCTTTGCGTCGCAGCCCAGTCAGCCAGCAGCGAAGCAGCAGCCCCACAAGGCTCCCCGGGCGCTCCTCAAACAGGCAGAGCCTCCAACCGTTGCTGCGCCTCAGGCCAAAGACCCGCAGCAGGTACCCGGCGCTTCACATGAGCCGGCACCTGTGCAGGAGCCTCCCACCACTGTTGCGCCTCCTGCTGAGGACCCGCAGCAGGGGCCCGACGCACCGGACGCGCCTGCACCTGTGGCGGAGCCCAAGAAGAGGCCTTCTAATCGCCTGTTCCAGGACACCCAGACGGAGTATGTGCGCATAGAGAGCGCCGGCAAGCGCCACCGCAAGAACCTGCTTACTGACCACCAGAGGGAGGTTGCCGCCCGCCACCGCTTAGGTAATTCCCTGGCATCTGCTTGTCAGATAGAAGACCATGGAATACCAATGTAGAATCTACCGTATGCTGAAGCTCTCCCGTTTGCTGTCCACTGGACAGCAGTCACGACACAAATGGTATTTGCAAAATGCTCAAAATAGTCAATTTGATGAAGTCCGCTGGTGTTTGCAGGCGTCGGGCGGGAGGGGGTGACCACATTCACCCGGCTGGACATCTCTCAGGACGCCTTCTCTCTGATCAATAACTCCAACACCCTGGACTCTGTGGGGAACACCTGCTCCGCGGCAGCTGATGGTGGCAAGGTGCGAAGCTACATGCATGCATTAAGTGCTTCCAGGAAATCTTGATTCACTGATTCTTGTGCACCTGACTCTGTATCAACAGCTTGTACGGGCTGCTGAATTGATGCTGCCTGTGTTCAGGGAGGGCCCACCGTTGGTCACTGTCATGGTTCCGAGGAAGCTGCAAATGTCAACGATAGCAGTGTCATGGAGCCTGTCAACGGGCACGCCGAGACTTCCGAAGCGCAGCTGCAAGCCAGCGAAGGCGCAGTGCACCCATCAGGTGCAGCTGACCAGGCTGGCCTGAGGGCTTCGTCTTCGCAAGCACCCATGGATATGGAAGCGCAGGAAGAAGCAGCCAAGCAGGATGCCACTGCCAATCAGCGAGGCAGCAAGTCTCTGCAGGAAGCCCCAGTCGCCGGCCAGGATATTACACAGAGCAGCAGCCAGCAGGAGCGTGCGCAGTCGCCAGGCACCGCCGCAGCAGTCTCCCCACGAGGCGCGCAGGCAACAGGCATCAGTCAGCAGCAGGGCCAGAGCCCTGTCCAGAGCACTCCACATGCAAGTGTGGCGGTTGCGGAGAGCGAGCGCGGCACGGATACGTCGCAGAAGCTGTCCAAGGGCAAGGAGAACAGCGGGAGGGCGCGCCGCCTGCCGCATGACCAGCGGCAGCAGCAGCACTGGAGGAAGAGGAGAAAGGCGGCCCAGCCAGTAGACCAGGCCCTGCCGGCAGCAACGGAGCCGCCAGGGATGCACACCTCTGCTGCTGCGGAGACACTCCAGGAAGATGTGTCCCCAGATGCGCAGCAGCCAGGGAGCGATGCTGCGGTCCCTGCAGCAGCGGCGGGTAGCAGTGTGGAGCATGTGACGGCACCTGCGCAGCCTGTGGAACAGCCAGGGACACAGCAGGAGCAGCAGCAGCAGCCGGGAAGCAGCGCGGCGCAGATGCAGTGCTCGGACAGCGCTCAACATGGACCCGACAGTGCAAATTGCATGGGAGCCGGCGATGGCATCTCAGGAGTGCCAGCAGAGGCGCAGACGGATCATGATGCGGCCTGTGCGGATGACATGATGCAGAGCACAGTGCCAGACTCCGACCATGAGGTTGCCCAGCCATGTTGCCCAGTGATGCAGCACAGATTGGCCGACGAGGCCGAGACTGGACCAGAAATGGGCAGTGTACCGCAGACCCTGCTGCAGACAGCACTAGCGGGTGCTGGCATGCCCGACGGCTGCACAGCTGTCCCTGCCACAGCCGCCGACCCTGCAAGCTGGGCTTTGCCTGCCTCTGCGCTGCAGGGAGGTGCAGAGCCAGAAGCAGGCCCTGCCGGGGCGCCCCCGGTGGAAGAGACTCCCGCCGCGCCTCTACCCATGTCAGAGGCTGATGTGCAGGTCCGGCCTTCTAACATATTTTGAGTCCCGAAGATATGCTCATCTCTTCTGTGGTCCCTTATTTCATAGGATCTGGGGAAATTCCTCGTCGACACTTCTTGGCTAAAGGATGGCGGTGGGTGTGCGCACAGGAGCTGCAGCTGACAGGGTTGACGCAGCAGCTGGGTCAAACGGCCAAGCTGGACAAGTGGACAGTGAAGCACACGTTACACCGGATGGAGCGCATGCTAGCTGAGTCACTCAAGGACCTTGAGAGCACCGTGCAATCTGTCATGCCAGATATCAAGTCCGTCGAGGTCCGTCCAGGCTCTTAACCTTTGCATAAGTGCAGCCTAGCGCCAATCAGGATTCTGTACTTCAAGAAAGAAACTCTCTTCGACTGAAGTCATCTGGTGCAATATTGCACCATTAATGCCCTGTTTGGTACACGAGTGTGTCATATGTGTCGGATGTGCATTGTGATCATTATGCAGGCCGGGGAGCGGATTGGCTTGCTACAGCAGCTTGATAAGCTGCAGCAGGCACTCATCAAAGGAGCTGGAAAACTTGGGGACGTGCGAAGTCAGCTCTACACTGACTGAGTTGTGCTGGAATGTTGTAACATCTCATGAATATCTGAATGCTGCTCGACGCTCTTGCCTGCAATGAATCAATTGAAAAAAAAATTGAAAACAATGATCTTGGTGAATGATAAGGCGGATGAACGCTGCAAGAACTCGGGAGTTTACGTGCATATGTGACGTGAATTGCCATCCTGATTGAGTTGAATTTCTTGCATGCATGCTTTCACTTGAGCAGTCAGACATGCTACCATCACTGATTGTAACACAGAAATTAAAGCTTTGCAATACAAAGACTGAGACTTCTGAGGTGCCCAGCACATTTATATAACGATGTGCCAGCAAGTAATGTAAGCTGAGCTTACTAAGCTCTAATCTACGGATTGAAAATTTCAAACAAGACACCCTCCCATTTGCAGGCAGTTCCAACTTTGTTCATCGGCTGTCCTACCAGATGCAAGTTCCCTGGGTTTCTACCGGTGACTTTATTTTGCAGGATACGAGCATTCATTGTGTGTCGCTCTCGCAGGACAGTACCCTATAACTCATCGTCGGAAAAGTCACTTTCCTCATCATCTGCAAGCTCATTTGGCAGCCGGTCCACCGTTCTTCCTGCCCCTTTTTGCCGCAAGTTTTGCAGTTTAATCGTCAACGCCTGCACGGCAACACACCGTTCCAAGTGCCTGCGCATGCAACAAGTGCTACCTCATGCAAGCTTCCTCCCAACAAGCAGATTACTCACCTGCTGCCTGCTGAACAGATCCGCTTGCTCTGCGGCTGAGAGAGGCTCCACTCGAGGCTGCCCTCGCCTCCTCCTTCTTCGGCGCCCTGGCGAAACCTTCCGCAATTCCTGCAAAGCACAGCAGACCTTATACTCTTTGTCACAAGTGATCCAAGACGGCCCAGATGCATGCATGCAGTGTATCGCCTGCTGCACATGCTGGGCCGGAAGCACAACCCACAGGCCAATGTGAAAAATCAAGACGCGCTGTGGTGTGCAGGAGCCCCACCTTGACGCGCTGAGAGATTTTCTCCAGCTCCCGCAAAACCCGTGTTTCTTCATCTCCCCTCCCTCTTAAAATACGGAGTCCCAACAAGCCTGCGCACCATTTTCTATCATTCAGTAGACTGAATGCAGCTGCTTGCGCCAAGACACAGGCCTCTGCTCCACTGTGAACTGTATCTGACATCAGGTCTGATCAACATCCTCTCACCCGCAGCAAGTACACCCACTCCAGCTCCCACAAGCTTTGCGATCTTATGCCAAGACGGCCTCTCGCTTCTTGTCTCAAGCCTTGCTCCTGCGCAACAAAAAAAGTGTCAAGACGTCTGCGACATAGACAAGACTGCCGTCAACAAGCACAGGATACCGTGGCATAATAAGGGTAGTTTTGAAGGATGACTGGCACCTGCATGCCTCTGAATTCTCTCCAGGACCACCATAGGAGCTCCACCATTTGCGATCTGCATACCAGCGCAAAGACAGTCTTAAAATCTGGATACTGAGGATACAGGCATGGCGGGCATGGTGAGATAGGCCATGCCAAGGGAGGCACTTCTTAACTTACATCCACACACTTCCCATCCTTCCAGAACTGCACTGTGGGCAGAGCTGCGATGTCCTCTGCCTCTGCAATACCCTGATGCATGCAGGGAGGTAATCAATGCTTTGGTAGGTCTGCAAAATTGTGGCGGTCATTATTTGGTCAGAAAGTAGTAAGAAGAGATCCATAATGTCAACTTAGCCATCCTCTTCACCTTGATGGCATCATTGTCCACGTCTAGCTCAGCAAAGACCACGTGCGTGTAGGCAGGTCTTGAAGAGATATCGTTGAGGAACGATCTCATTTGTTTGCATGGAGAGCTCCATGACTGCACAATGCAAGCAATCACGTGAGACAGCAGTCTGAATGGCTTTCGATCTTCAAGCAGATCAGACCAGCGATTCAAAGCTAGCACAGAATATCAAACGTCATCAGGGGCGTACAGCGAAGAAGTGAGCTACTAACAACTTGTCTCCGAGTTTGTTGAGCAATTTCTGCCACTGTGCGAGGTCCTTGATGCCCACAACACGTCCCCGCAATTTCTTCACAGCTTGACTTTTTCTTAATCTACTCCTCTGCATTTTAGCGCCAGCTAAAAGTGCTCCTTTATCCGAAAACTGTCTTTTTTTTATATAATTTCTAATGTTCTTGACTTTGCTGCTTTATCGCCAACGATTGCAATTGAATGGGAGTCATGCGACTGGATGGATGAGGATGTAGGGCAGCCAAAATGCGACAGCGACCCTGGATTGGAGGGGATTGGATATAACACTCAAAACCCTAAGCCCCAGTATCTCAACACGACGCCCTCAAAATTCGACGTGATGCGGTTGGTGAACATTGGATTGCCGGCCATGGAAGGTGAAAGCTGGCTCTGTCATTGTCCATGCCTATGACGGGGCTCAGCATTGCTGTTTGCCCAACTGCTCAACCCTAAGCTCCGCGAGACACATCCGGTGAACGAATCAATTTCGGCTGCACGCGGCAGTCTGATCATCATTGCTGGTGAAATCTTCTCTCAATATTTTTCAGTCTATCAAGGTTTGCTCACCATTCCTGTGTTGCGTTCGAGGTTTACTGAGCCTCCTGCCTGCTCATGATAGGTTTGTTCTGGAGAGGCTATCAGGCCAATCAGTGTAGAAAGCAAGTTGAAAGTCCTTGTATAACGAGAGGCATACATCGACCAAAGGTCTCCGAAAGTCTGCTGGTCAGAGATGGGCTTGTCCGTTGACATGGAAGGAGTTCCAGCAATATATGGCGTCATACTGGCTGGTGTGCCCAACTTGCATTTGCATCTCTAGATCGTCCCTGAAAACTAGCCGTACTAGTGCATATTTCCAGCTGCATGCTGTCAGGTCTACTGACTTGTTCTTGCACAACGACCATTGTTTGTGAGTCCTTACATGAGTATCTACTGTATGCAAATGGGAGATTCTCCAGTGCCTTGGTTCAAAATTGCTTACTGCCAACCTCAAGATACAACGCTGTGCCTCCCCTGCAGGGCTTGGATTTGTGGCATTTGAATTCTTCCTGACATATGGACCTCCTCATTCGTGGCTGAAGCTAGGATTCAAGGCCAACCCGAAGCTGCGTGTTGACCAGATAGACGAATGTATTAGGCAGGCCAAGAGCCGCTTGGTCGGGGCCCTGCACCTGCTCATCCAGGTGTGCTGCCTCTCAGTACCTCTCAGAGGCTTGCCATACACGGATGGCATGCTTGTGACACGCAACTCGCATTTGGCAGCTCGCAACAGTCAACTTATGTAAGGAGTTCAGCCATTGCTTGACAAGGCATCTGGTATTGCTGCAGATTCCTCTGGCCCTGTGGGTGATGGGCACACCGGAGGTCAATGCAAACAGGCTGCTGGCCAAGACGCCTGCCTCCATGCTGATGCTCTGCATTTCGGCCGGCTACTTCCTGTACGACGCCGCTGTGAGCATCCTGCGCTACGAGGGCATTGCCTACCTCATGCATGGCGTGGTGGCCTGCATCCTGTACACCTACGGGGCTCTCACAGGCTTCTTGAGCTACTACGGTGCGGCTGCAAGCACTGCTGCTGCGCCGTGCTGTGCTGAGGCTGTTCCGAAGAATTAGACCGTTGCTGAGACAACCCTCAGCTCGTATTGACCACTTTGCTGTGAGCCATGCCCTTTGCGACGCGAGTCAAGGGAATGGGAGCACCGTGCCAGAATAAAAGATGTGCTTGTGCTTGCAGGGGCTGCATTCCTGATGTGGGAGGTCAGCACGCCCTTTGTGTACATGAGGTGGTTCCTCTTCACTCTGGGCAAGTCCCAGTCAAAGGCATACATCGTCAATGGGCTCCTCATGGTCGCCACCTTCTTCATCTTTAGGAACATCATGGGCGTAGGTCAGCCACCTCCCCCACTTTCTCCTACTCTTTCTTATGTTGCACCCAGATTCCTCCTCCTCAATACAGATCTTCCTGTGGGTCAGCAGGATATTCTTATCAAACTGGCTGCATGGATGTTCAGATAAGTAAGATTGAGTCATGTGTTGGGTGCACTGTGCGTCAGCTGAGTTGTTTTTTTCGTTTGAATAGTGTCATTTCCTCTGAAGCCTCTCAATAGTGAGGTTGAGTCATTTGCTGGGGTGTGTGCAGCGATGTCCATAAATTTCTGGCATGTGAGCGGCAAGGAGCTGGCGCACCCGACCTCGGACCTGCTGCCGGCCGTGCTGTGGATGTACAGGCTCTCCTGCGTCTCCCTCAACTGCCTCAACGCCATGTGGTTCTACAAGATGTTCAAGGGCGCCGTCAAGGTGCTGTCCGGGCCCAAGAGCGCCGCTGACAATGTGCAGGGGGACACTGTGGTCGCAGTTGTCCACACAGACGCGCCAAACAAGAAGACCAGCTGATAATGGCCTCCCATTGCAGAGTGCTCAGTGTCCCTATAAGCAGATAAAGTGCAGTGCAATGAGCTGGGTGTCTGCGTGAGCTCGAGCAGATTATAGGGATGGTGTAGCATGCTGCAGCTTCCAGAGAGCAGGCGGCCTGGGGTCTGTGTCTTAGTTGTGTCCTGTGGGGAGAGGGAAATGATTGACTGGGGTGTTGCTCACCATCGCAGACCCTTTCTTGGCAGGTCGCACTTCAAATGATGTGCTGGTAGGTGAAGCAATGAGAGTGAGAGACGCATTGAGAGACGAGTGAACTTGTTGTGATGATTGTACGCATGCAATTGGTCTGACATATACGCTGCTTTTGAGTTTATGCTTGTCATGCCGAGCACATTGAATGCAGGTGCAGGACACATAGTTGGGCTTCCGAGCTCCTGGAGTCTATGGTCTGGGCATTCTTTACATGCATGTTTTGTGTTCAAGGCGTCTTCTTTGGCAAATGCACAAGTCGCAGAAAATCTGGCTGAATAGGTGCAAGGTGTTCTTCACTTTAAGATGCAACCTTGCATCTGTGTATCATGGGTGCTGGCAAATGTAACAAGAATCTGAAGATGCTGGCCAGTGCATACAAAACCGAGGATCACAAAGCAATAATTTCAAAACGACCTTGCGCATTAGGTCAACCATCTTGCACAATCCTTTGCATTAATGTCCCACTCTATTTCAATTGCAACACAACGCGTTATTGTTGCTTCTGCTATTCCTTCATGTCTGCCTTCTCTCTCACGAGTGTGTGTGTGTGTGTGTGTGTGTGTGTGTGTGTGTGTGTGTGTGTGTGTGTGTTTGTGTGTGTGTGTGTGTGTCGATAATTATAACTGCACGTGCACTGGAAGATATTTGAGCATCAGGATGTTGAAGCAGGCTTCTGCATGTACAAACGCAGTGTCAGAGGCACAGCAGATCTATGCTAAGCTGAGCAGCTTCTTCACGGCAGCCTCTGGATTGCCCTCCTTAACGAGAGACTCTCCCACCAAGATTGCACCGCACCCAGTGCTCTGCACAAATGCCACATGCTCCGGAGTGAAGATGCCACTCTCCCCAGCCATCAAGAACCCTCGCGCTATCACCTGCACCATCCAGTATTCCACATGAGTACAGTCTCACATGGGCATCATGTTGTGTGCCCCAATGGTGATATTTTCAAGTACGTTACAATTTAACAGTCATGTTTTCATGTATTGTTTCAGATATTTGGTAAAAGCAGCCAGGTTTCATCCTGAAGCATGTCTGACCTGCTGTCCAGCGCTGCTTTCCATGATCCTCCTGTTGTTCTCAATGTCGACCTCGAAGGTCTGCAGGTCGCGGTTGTTGATGCCCAGCATGACGTGGCTGCTGTCCAAGTCAAGCTTCAGCACCCGCTCCAGCTCTGCCCACCAGCCACACAGCATGTCAATCATCTTGACAACTTCCTCCTGCAGAGCCATGTATCCCCCACTTCTCCTGCAAACCCTTGACGCTTCAGGCCGAGCAGTCATTTGTCCTAAATGTTGCAGGAAACACTCACAAAATGACACGATTTGTTACTGATCCTGTAAATACGAGGAGGTGTTAGTAAATACCTTCCTGTGCCGCCATGATTCACAATCCGCAGGAACAAGTAGAAAAGAAGGATGCACTGTTTGGGGGCATCTGGCACTCACCTGCAATGGTGTGCACCTCCACAAGGACCTGCAGCCCGCACTTGCCGGCGGCCTTGGTCAGGTAGGCCAGGTCAGCGTTGGGCAGCACTGCTGCGATCAGCAGCACCGCATCGGCCCCGCTTGCGCGGGCCTTGAACAGCTGGTACGCCTCCACGATGAACTCCTTGCACAGGAGCGGGGTGGACACTCCCGCCGCGCGGATCTGCTTCAAGTAGTCAAAGCTGCCCTGGAAGTACTTGGCGTCCGTCAGCACCGACAGGCACGCCGCGCCGCCCGCCTCATATGCCTTTGCTATCTGCGCACACACCCAACCAGGCTTGAATGTGATATCCAAAGCAGACGCTCAAGGGCATTATGTGCCTCCACAGCTGTGCAATAGTGTTTTGGCAGCTTGCACGCTGGTGTGGAAAAGAGAGAAGCATTGAGGTGAAAGCAGGGCGAGCGCCAGTGCAATGTGAAACGGCTGCCTTGCAGTGTCATGCGCACCTCCCACACTGACGCTGCTCTTATATCCACTAAGATTACCGAGATAGTAAGCAATCCCCCAAAAATGACTGATTGCACTGTCTGATGACATATGCGATGATGTTTGAAGATGTGGTTGAACGGATGATCACCCTGACAGGGTCAAAGTCTGGCTGGATCACGCCGCGGCTGGGAGAGGCCTTCTTCACTTCGGCAATGAGGCCCGGCTTGCCTATCCGCTCGTTGGCTGCCCGCAGCGCTCCAATAAAGTCCCGCGAGGGAGCTGCGACCTTGATTTGCATTGACAACCTTGCCAGCGGTTCCTTCTCCTTCATCCGCACCATTTCCTGTGCCTTCCACCTGATGGTCCAACGCACACACCATGCCTCATTGCAGTGACAGACAACGTAGAGGGCCACATCCTGCATGCCAATATGTGTAATGCTTGATTGATAAATAGGCAAAGGGAGCCCACCAGATAATCTCTTCCAAGATGTTCCGTGGCTTGTTGTCCTCCGTTTGAGGGACCTCAAATTTCATAGCGCCGCATCTGCAACAAAAACAATAAATGAATCAACACTGCAGCACGCTTGAAGAAATTGCACCCAAAAGGATACACATGAAAGCAGCACACTGTTCAGTGGGTACGCTCTTCAGTAGATAGGCAACGTAAAGAGAAGAGACTGCTCACGGTTGCTGGGGGATGCCATCAGGAGCCCTCCGTCTTATCATTACTTCCTGATCTGATGGCGTCTGCCGGCAACACCAATCACACAACGTTTCAGATATAAGTAGTACACAGCTCTGCAGTACACTTCAGTACTCAGATCTAAGTCCCTACCTCTACAGATTGTGGAGCTTCAACAGCTTGGCAGCAAGTCCTCTGCCTGGAACCAACCGATAGTTGAGCCTGTCTCCTACAGCCAGCTGTGCTAAAGGCAGCAGGCTGCCGCTGCGGTATGATCGGTGTGCTGCGCCCCGCAAAGCAGCTAGTCTGGCGCATTGTTCGACAAAGATTTTGTGTACGGAAGGAACTTTACAAGGGGCCGATGATCTTTTGAATATTCAATAACTAGACCAGACGTAGCATGAGTTTCGTGAAGCGTGTCTGCTCAAAAGGGCAGCGTGTGCACCAACCCGGCACTATATATTCGTCTTAAACTGAATTTAGAAGGTTGATATTTGAGCATTGAGTTCCTATTCCTGGTCTGCTGCTCGCAGTGCCAGCCACTGCTGTAGTGAGTCACCCCTCTGACTCATCTCCTCATCATTGCTGGGCGTTTTCTGGGAAATTGCTTCCGGAATCACATCAATTCATCTCATCACATTCATGATCTTATGAATTGTATCCTGAAGAATTAGAATTAAGCACGATCAGCAGTTGCAATCCAAGGGTATGGGCTGGTGGTGAGGATCCTTCCAGAAGAGCTGAGGCAGCCAGACCCAGATATGGAGGCACCTGCTTCCGCAGCAGAAGAAGCTGCAAATAGTTCGCAACCAGAGCTCATCAAGATCAAAGTGAAGACTCTGGGACAGGCGTCTTACGATCTGGAAGTCGAGTCAGATGTGAGTATTGTTCCTCCCTTGGAGACCTTGAGATCGTATGATAGGCGTCAACACAGCAGATGTGCCTTTTGGGGAAGTTCACGGTGACATACAATACAATTGCCCTATGATCGGACTGATCATGGCTCAGTCTTTGATCTCATCAACAAGGCAGTGCCGTTTCAATCAATTATTCAAGTGCCTATTGACGCCTCAATTCATAAAATCGGTCCCCTGTATTCATGTACACCTTGTAATTAGGCTAGTGTAGCTGTCTGAACTCTTCATACTACCTTCCCCTGTTGTGTCCTTATCCTGCTTGGATTCCTTGTCCTGCTGGGCACTTTGCAGATGTCATGCTTGATGCCTTGTCATTCTATTGCAGGCTCTGATAAAGGATGTCAAGTCCCAGCTGACACAAGTCTCAAACATATCCGCAAGCCACCAGCGGCTTGTCTTCCGCGGCCGTGTCTTGAAGGACAACCAGCGCCTTTCCGCTTACAGTGCGCCTCTCTGATATCCGCCATTGTCATTATAAACATCCGTGTATGGTGCTCCCACTGGCGTGGCACCAGTTCTCAGGCTATTCCTTTCAAGACAGGCGAGCTATGCACAAGAATTGCATCCAGACCTAACATGCTGCATGGTCTTGACAGATGTGGTGGACGCCAGCGTTGTGCATCTGGTCACACGCCCGGTTGATACCTCCCAGCAGCCGCCACAGCCGAGCCAGCGGGACCGGCTGCCCAACGGAGGCGCTGGGCAGTTCACTGCAAACATGATGGGAGCGCAGGGAATGGGTGTCCCCATGGACATGAACGACTTCGGCTCAGTAAGCTCCACCTTTTCAGCATCAACTTTCAGATCCACTCCAGATTGCTCATGTATCAGTATTGTCGAATTTAGGTGGAAGTATTTTGTCATACATTGACCTTGTTGGCTGTGTGCAGTTCATTGCGAGCATGTTGCACACCATGGGGATCCAAGGGGCAGTCCACGTCACCCACACCACTGTGCCAAGCGATGCAGCAGGCAAGCCGCTCTGAAGACCCATGGAATTTTCGTGCCCATCATGCAGACTCCGCAGCTTCCTTTTTTCTTTCTGACATCTTAACGGGGATGCATGCTCGTGCTTTCTATTTTCCTAACTTACAAGTCACAGCGAATAATCACAAAGGGAATACTTGAATGAACATGTGTATGGCTTGGCAGGGACTGCATCCCCAGAGCAAGTGGCCCAGGCAGTGGCAGAGCAGATCTCACAGCAGGCCCGCCAGCAGAATGCAGAGGCAGGCGGGGAGGCCCCTGTCCCACTTCTGTCGGCCCTGCGCACCTACATGCAGCGCCTGAATGCCATGTACGAGGGTGATGCGTCTGCGAGGTTCCTCAACCTGCCGCCCATTGCAACAGGTATGTCTCCATGCATGCATATTGGTTCTTTACGCTTATTGGAACAATTCCTTACGCTGTTATAGACGATGAAACCTCATCAGATACATTGTCAGCATACTGTCCTAATATAATGGACGCTATGGCATGACATGAAGGGGTGATGAGTCTCACTGGATTCATTTGCCTCTGTAGGTGGCACGACGGTGTTCAATGTGCATCAGTATGCAGCTGCTGCCCGCGAGTTCATTGGCGAATGGGAGGGCCCTGATGAGGTTCGGCAGTTCATAGCCTCCTCAGCAGAGCCTAGCTTCAGCCACTGGCAGACTCAAGCCGACCCCAGTGCTGAAGCCCAACAGACACCAACAGCACCAGCTGCCGCCCAGGTAAAATCTGCTCTGTTCCCTTCGTCGTGTCTGATCTCGTAGAAAGTGAATGAAGCAACCTTGGATTCTGCTGCACTGGTAAGTGAATGTGCGCTCACACAACAACATCCTGCAAACATGCAGGGTGAGGCCACAGAGGGGCAGGACGGCGGAAGCAGCCAGCCGGCCGCAAGTGCTGCACAGCCCACTCCTGCACCAGCAGCGGTAATTTTGACTGCCTCATCCTATCCTGCCCTCGACATAACCTTTGCACCATCTCTGATTTCCTGATAAGCCCAGATCATCTGCCAAGAGTGCCTGGTGGGTAGATGCGTGCTGCATGTGCCTTGCAGGAAAGGCCATCGCGGCTAGCTGAGGCGGCGCAGGCAGCTGAGGGGGCAGCGCGGGCAAGTGAGACAGCTGCACGCGCTATGCAGGACGTCGCAGCGCAGGCAGCAGCAATGGCAGCGCAGCGCGACCCCCGCCGCAACGGCATGGACAACCCCTTTGGCGATTCCGATCCCCTGCACCCCAGCCTTGCGCGCCTCACTGGTGAGCTCCCCTTGACCGTACTCAATTTGCTGTACTGCCTGTGGAGCACAAGGCAAGCACTGTAATTCATTGCAAGGAAACATGCAATGTGCACTGCTTTGCGTACCTGCAGCACTCCCTCTATATGAGTGTCACAGCAACTTGCAGCTATCACTTTACAATTGTAAGTGCTGAGTTTGTGGTTGACTTTGGTGCATTGCAGAGATAGCCATGCACCAGCTGATGCGGGAGACTGCCAGGCACCTGCAGGCACAGGCAATCCCCAGGATCATCCAGAATAGGGTAGACCTGCAGGGACCCCTGCAGCAGGAGAGGCTCTTCACCAATGTGCGCACCCACCCTCTCGCTTCCCTCGAGCTCTATCCCCATAGTGCTCATGCTTGTTCACTTGCTCCACAATCTGGTCACTGGTTCTGACACAAGGCAACCCGTGTTTCTTCCCTTGCTGGTGCTTCCTCGAGCACTAAAAGATTAGCAGCGGGTAGAACATACTTGATTAATATTTCTATTGGTAGAAAAGGGACTCTTCCTGGAAAGTACTCTTTCTGAAAGCTGGTCCAGAATCCTGCAGCTGTAACGGCTCAAAGGTTCTGTCCTGGCTGATAGATGGTGTGGGGTGCTCAGTTTCTGGCACTCGTGGACCGTGATCTTGGCCGTGATTTGGCATAAAGGCAGAATTTACTTTGTTAGGGTTGACAGATTTTGTGTGGCGCACAGGAGGAGCTGGAAGGCTTGGCACAGGCGCTGCATGCGGAGGGAACGCTGCTGCTGGAGACAGCGCGCGCGGTTTCAGCGTACCTGCTGGCCCAGCGCAATAATTCTCCGGCGCCGCTCCTGTCTGCGACGGCGTACCACCTGCGCCCGGACGGCAGCGCGCCGGCCAACACGGTGCCCGCGGCGCTCAGTAATCGGCGACTGACGCAGGACCGCCGCAATGCAATTTTCCTCAACGGTCGACCGGCAGACGCCGCCGGCAATGCCGCGGGGGCCGGTCAGGTGAGCACTGTGCCGACATGTAGATGCAGCCCTCTTGCTTGAAAATTTTCCTATGCCAAACCATGTTGAGTATGTCTCTGTGTTTTATCTTTTATATCTGTGAGGTTTAATCAATTGACTAAACAATGACAGAAATGCTTCTGGCAGCATGTTCTTGAAGTCATTTCGGCAACACATCTGTGACAAGAAAGACTCCCACGTTAAGATTGATGGGTTGCAGCATTGTTCAGGCATGATGTACAATGCTTGCTGTTATGACTTTGTGACTCTGCGTTGCAGGCGGCTGGAGTGGGCGGCAGACCACCACACACGGGCACAACCGCACGCCGAGGCGCATTCAGAGGCCAGGTCGGAGGGCGCGGGACAGCCAACGCTGGACGCGGGGCTGGCAACGCGCAGCAGGCTCCCTTTGTTCTGTCACGGGGCTCGATGGCCTTGCCATTCCAGGCAATCCAAGCAATGATGGGTGGCTCTGCGCAGATCCCCATCGGCGGCCGCATGCTCCGCATCAATGAGCAGACAGAAGATCAGGTCTGTCTGATTGTATAGTCGTGTGTGTACAGCAATGTTGCTCTGATTTTGCCATGTTTCAGCACCTCCTGTGTAGTGAGAGCATGGAGACCGTATCTTGGTGTGACTTTAGGTGCATCCGCGCAGGGGAATACGATGTCCATCCAGATCGATGAGGGAGATGCGGTCACTGTCAGTCTGGAGCCTCTGGTCCAGGCCTTCGAGAACGTGTTCTCCCATATTCCTGGCATCGAACAGCTGCTCGGACCCCTTGGTCCTGGAGCCGCCAATGCTCCGCCAACAGCTGCCTCTCCTCAGGGTGTGCCATCTGGCACAAACATTGCAGAAGAAATGCATGCGTTTATTACGTACATTGCGAAGTCTTAGGCGAGGTTGACGCAGTGGCAGATCGAGGCACCTGCCTTCGGAAGGCTTGCAAGCCATGCAAGTGCTGCAGGTGCTGCAGATGCTGCAAGTGCAGCAAGCAATGCTTGCTCATATATTCATAATCAGTAGAAAGAATTGAAGGTGGAATGCTTCCTGGGTACATTTCTTGACATATGTTGTCTGTGCAGGGGCCACAAGTACCGGGGCTGCCCCAAGCGGCTCGGCCGCTCCTGCGGCTGCCGGCTCCACAGCTGCCGGCGGCGCTGCAGCTCCCACATCATTGCCTGCAGCAACCTCTGCCACTCCTGAGCAGCAGGGCAGGGACCAGAGCTTCTCTGCCCATCTGCCTGGGATCATGCAGCAGGTACTGTAGTACCTCTCACACAATGCTACTGCAATGCTCCCTTGCAATGTTTTCTGTTCCCCCCATGGTGCATGCGCAGCTTCACGTGGGTGATATTGTGTTGTGGCATGTGTGCAGGTCATTCCCATGTTTCTGAGCATGATGGCGGCAACAGGGCAGGGGGGCACGCCTGGCACCGCAGGGCAGGCTGCAGGGGCCGCCCCCAATGCGCAGAGGGGCGCCCAAGACGGCACCCAGCGCTTCACGCTGCCTCCCTTCATCATGGGCCCTGACAACGAGGTGCGCTCTTGCCCAATGCACGTTAGACTTGCCTGCATGCAGCACGCTGTCAGGAATTCCATGATCCTGGCTTTGCATGTCTGAGAACGCATCCTGGACATGTCTGCAACTGCCTGTAGTCACATGATCCTTTGCACGATTTGAAGGATGTATCGTTATTCCGGCAGGTGCTGGTGGATATTCAGGCGATAATGCAGGGCGGCAGTGCAGCAGCCCAGGAGGCGATGGGGCCAATATTGGACGGGCTTATGTTCAGCATGGGCCAGGCCGGCTTCCCCATGGCCCCAGCGTCCGGCGGCCCACAGGGAGACCGCGGCGCACCAAATGACATGCCACCGCAGCATCCTCTGCAGCCGGAGAGCCGGCGCGCCCAGTCAGCTGCTGCTGACAGGGCCCAAGGCGGCAGGTGGGCACACCCCTGATACCCAGCTTGTTCTGTATGTTGCAAAAGCGGTGTTTTTAGCCATTCTTTTGACATGTGCAATTTCACACAAGGTGCATTGCCGCACCTTGACACGCAAGCATGAAGCTGTTTCATGACAACAACACCCTACTTGGCGCTTGCACCGCCTAGTATGTTTTGCACTCTTTATTCGTTTAGTGAGGGTGATTTTTGCTATGAGCAGGCGGCGTCCGGGGGAGCACCCACTGGCAGAAGAGTCTGATGATGACGACGATGATGACGACGACATCTCAGGCCTCATGCGCGACTCAGACCCGGAGCTGAACCTGAACGGCGACTCAGACGAGCACAGCAGCCAGGCAGAGTCTGAGCCTTACTCAGATTATGAGGAGGATGATGATGATGATGAGGCGGATGACTCAGACGGTGACTCAGACGTGCCAGGCCTGGTGGATGACGAGGAGTCATCGGATGGGAAAGACGTTGATCGCAGCGAGGGGTGGCAGACTGCAGAGGAGGAGAGCGAGGATGAGGCCGAGAGGCGCGGCGGCAGCGACCATGGCCGCCGCGTCAGGAGCCGCCGGGTGGGTCTTGCTGTTTGTGACTTGCAATGAATTGCCTTGAGGAGGCAGGCTTTAGTACAATGACATCTTTGACACCGCGTCAGGAGCTGCCGGGAGGTTCTTGCTGTATTTGATTTGCAATGAATTGCCTTGAGTTGCTTTGACAGTTGCCATTGGACAAGGGCTTTTTTTTGAGCTTTGTGCGCATGTCTCATATCGAGATGGCCTACTCTTGCAGGATTCGCCGTCCCCCAAGGAGGACATGGCTGCCCAAGAAGAGCGCCCAGATGAGGTCACAAAGGTGCAGGTGAGCAGGCCTTCTCCTAGCTCGCTCACAATCATCTGTGACTGGTCCTCAGTCACGCCATCATTTGGACTCACAAGGGTGCTCTGCATGCTTTCCAGGAGAAGCAAGCGGCTACCACGGCCACTGCAGCTCCCAGCGCTCCGCCGGCGCCCTCCAACAGCATTCCTGTGCCGGCCCCGCACGCCAGGGCCGGCCCCCAGTCTTGGCCGCTGAGCGCCGAGCACTTTGATGACTCTGTGTCCCCGGCCGCATCGCCATCCCCGTCTGCGCCGATTGGCCTGCTTCCGCTGCCTCAGCGCCCCGGCCCCCCTCCTGCTGTCCTGGGCACCGGCCTGGCACTTCCCCAGCGCGGTACATTCCCCCCCCTGCATGCCCCTTCTGCAAGGGACCTTTAATCTAATAAAGGTCAACTAAGTGATTTAGAGTCCCCTGCTAACTGGGGATGCTTGCAAAGGGACAGATGCATTTTTAGCTTTCGAGGAGTGCCAATCCCACTTCATCGCAGAGGCTTTGATCAGCGTTTCTGCATTTGTGTGATGGCCACCTGCAGCGTTTGTGGCTCATGCAGGTGTGATACTCGCGCTTAACTTTGGAGTTGGCTTGCTCTTGCGATGAGCCAGATGGGAGACGTAGTGTTGACTGTATGTTCTCACCACAGGTGTGCGCGGCCGCGGACGTGGCCGTGGCGGCCGCTCAACCACCGCTGGACGCGGCTCATCCATGCCTGGGCAGACAGCATCTGCAGCCGCTGGCACTGCCTCAACAGCACCACCTGCGTCCTCGGCGCCGCTGGACACTAACCGCGCAGCAGGTTGCACAGCCGTTATTGTGCTCACAATTGACTTCTACACTTCATTTTCACCCTGCACCCAAGTGATCTGGCATTGAATCTACAAGATATGGCAAGTGTGCAGATTGTTGCAGGATGGGATGAACTTAGTGACACCTGCCCTGATGAATGCTGGTCTAATTGCGCAGGCGTGGAGGAGATTTCTCGCCAGGCTGGCAGCCGCACAGCACCAGGCTTCCCGCCAGAGATTGACAGCCTGATGAGCGAACTGTTTGGCGGTGGGGCAGGCCGCGGAGCCCCCGCAGGAGGTGCACCGCGCTCTGCTCGCGGCCCCGGAGCTGGCGGCTTGATGGATATCCTCCAGTCACCCGCGTTGCAGCAGATGTTCGGCGGAGGCCCTGGTCTGTCCCCAGCCTGTTGCAGTCCCATGCGTCTTGCACTTGCATCCTTCCTTTCATTGTCTGCATCCTTTCATTGTCTGCAGACCTTCTCATGGATGGGCTGGGCACATCTGGAACTGGCGACAGCTTGTTGCTGCTGTATTGAGTTGCCTTGGATGTGGCAGTGAGAACGACGTTTTGGTGCTAATAATATGTGCATGGCTGTAGGTGCGCCAGTCTCAGCAGCGCCTGTCAGCGGAGCGCCATCCGCGGCGCCTGCCGGCATGGGCCCGGGAGGGCTGATGGGCATGGTGAGCCAGCTGGCGCAGTCTCCGGCCATGCAGCAGATGGCGGAGCAGCTGGCCGGCCGCATGGATGCCGGTGGCGACCAGAGCGCGCCGTCTCTCGGCGGCCGCAGCCCCGGCGCTCGAGGCGAGGCTGCGCCGCCAGACTTTGGATCCTTCCTGCAGCAGATGCTCCCCATGGTGGGCCAGGCAAGTTGCACAATCCCTGCGAAGGATAAATGCATGTGTAACCTAGGCGTATCCTGGCCTGTGTCGCGTGCTTGATATCCAGAAACCAGAACAAGTCTTGCACGATTCCTTCATGTAAAGCAGGACGTGCACAAGCCTTTGCTGTGGAAGGGTCCTCAAGTCAGCACTTGGCGTAAGACTTAAGAATGGGGTGTATTTGGGTGTGCAGATGTTGGGTGGGGCACCTGAGGCACCCTCAAGCGAGAGTACTGGACGGGCGCTGAGCGGGCAGGCCACCGACAGTGGCGATGAGTTTGCGGCCCTCAATGCACTACCCCCTGCTGAGGCCAGTCACTGGCGCGAGACCATACTGTGAGCCCATCTTCCTCCAGCAGAAGACAATCAAGGATCCTCATTGCCTTGATGAGAGGTTATATGGATGAGAGATGTCACAGGTAAAAATTTGTTTCTAATTTTGCCATTTTGTGCTGTTGAGCAGGGCAGACCGGAGAGCCCAGGCTGATCGCCCAGCAGCTGCTCTGAGCTCCACCTACTTGGCAGGCTCTCGCAGTGCACGCTCTGCTGAGGGATGAAGGAACAATTTGATGTGCTCGAACTGAAGGCCATCAGACATTTGCCTATGAAAACCAACTATGGGAACCTCGGTGCATGAACTGTAAGATGTTAGGTATTGGTAAAAATAATTTGAAGAAAATGGTATGTTCTAACTAATTTGCAATGTGAGTGTGTAAACGAGAGTTAGTATGAGCAAAGATGGAAATTAATTGGGGATGCCGAGGTTCGGTGGCTGGCCGTGTGTGAATGTGCTGAAATTGGAAGGCCTGAATGTGTGCATGTGCATGTAAGCTATCTTGTTATCTGTGTCATGTGACATTGTGAGTGTTGCGTTCTTACAGAGGCATATGCCACATGTGCACATGAGCAAACATTATGATGATCTGACATTATGTGATCAATCTGACTTCAACTGTCAGGCTATAGTTGACTTCAACAGATTGCATCTAGATTTGAGATCTCAAATAGGAAGGTTGTGAGAGCAAACAAGTTCCCAGCAGATGGATTTTCTTTTCTGCAGCGGCAAAGAATACTTTAATCCTTGTTAAGTGCGTTTATGAGGACTCTCTCCTCAGAGCGCTGGAGTGTGGCCATGGTACTCTGCTTATTCTGTCTCATCCTGCGCAACATCCACACACTGACCCTTTTGCCCACCTGTGATCTTTTCATGCAACAGCTTATCTGCATGAGAAGTCAATGAGGCGTCTTGTTGTCCTACAAACTCACCTGCTGGTGTATTCCCCATCAAATTGTTTCTGCACGACATGCTGCGCTTTCTTCCTGGACATCCCATCCTTCATGAGCCGCATCTGCCGCCAAGCGAACACCCGGGCTGGGTGTGGCTGGAATGAGTTCAACTGCACAGGATAATGCTTTGCCTGCACCACATACAAACGTTGCTTCACAAACGCTACTTGATACAGCTGCAGCAAGAGGGAAAGCCGTGAGACAGAGGGATTTGACATGCACGCAATGCGCCAGAGCTGCAGGGTGCACAGGGAGGCTCACGTCTGGATTTCTGGCGTAGAAAGACTCTACAAGCCTGTCTTCAGGAAACTCGATAGGCTTCACTCTCTTTGTCCTCTCCCCTCTCTGGTGCGTGAATTTCACATTGCCTGGTAACTGGACTGCGTCCAAACTGAACCACAAAAAATAATTGCAATCAGATCAAGTTCACATACCCTACGTGGGTTGCAAGCTTGTGAAGGGGAGTCCAACTGAAGCTGCAGTGATGGGGACCAGTTAAGAAACTTACTTTTCCCAAGCGGTGAGCCACGCCGGCATCGGATGTCCTCCCAATTGGCACAAGCGGCGCATGTACTCGACAGTGTCCAGTGTGCTCTTAAATCGCCCCATGCCGACTTTGATCTATTTTGCAGTAGACAATCAGCAAAAGCAGGTTTTCTTATGAGTTGGCAAGCAAGGACTACTACCGTTTCAGCAACAATGCAAGTGAGAAGATGAAGGGTTACAAAGTTTGTAACACAAACAATCCTGCACTTGAAGTAAAGATCCAGCCACAGTCGGCAGATCATAACAAGCGTGGTTCCGGAAGATCATTTCGAAGTTTCCGACATGCATTCCTATCCAATTTGAAGCACCTTTCGCTTGAAGATGTGCAGAATTCCTGCTACTAAGCTACCATGATGTCCTGGACCTGTCTGAGAGGATCTCACTTTGTGTCAATACCGCCGATCCTGTTAGAGCAGGCACATCTTAACTGGCTGTCCTGTCATGCTGCACTGCCTGTCCCTCTCTGGAGAGGCCAATCAATCCGTAATACTCTATGTGCAAGATCTAGAGCGACTGGTGCAGTATCTGCCTTTACATGCGCCCCCTCAGAGTGAGCACCTGCTGAGCAGAGCACCCTGCCATCACAAAGTTTTAAATGAAATCTCCATGGTGTGTATAGGTACGACAGCAGACAACGTTTTCGGTGTCAGTGAGCCGGAGCTAGGAGAAGAAACGCATGCATCACCCTCAGCACCCAAGGTACGTGGTAGCGGTCACCAGTCTAGGCAGCCCTTTCACTGTTGCAGATGGTTGCCATGAAACGGAGACTTCTTGACCTGACAGCACAAAATAGATCTCATAGCGTGGTACATATCACCGCAGCAAGGAACTGGCAGATCAGCACATTCTGGTGGCATGCAGAACCCCAAGAAGAGGAGACTGGACGAGGTCTGCTTGGAGCAGTACCCAGAACACAGCCGCAGCGTTATCCAGTCCTGGATAGCGCAGGGCAAGGTGGCCATCAATGGAAGAGTCATCACAAAGGCTGGCACGCCAGTGGCCTCCACGTCCACTGTTGACATCACTGCCGTGGCCCCCAAATTTGTGTGCAGGTGAGGCGGCACCCCGGGCACATACTCAAACCTTCTGCTTTATATTGCAATCTTCCCAAGATTCCATCACTCAGCAACCACTCATAAAACAACATGCTTTGATGGGAGCAGGGCAGGGCTGAAGCTGGAAGGGGCGCTGGATCATTTTGGGCTGGATGTGTCGGGGATGAGGGTGCTGGACGCCGGTCTATCCACCGGAGGCTTCACGGACTGCCTGCTGCAGAGGGGCGCGACACATGTCATTGGGGTAGACGTGGGGTATGGACAGGTCAGCAAGTCCTGCCCTCTCGCCCCATGCTTCTCGGCTCGCAGCCATCACAGGCTCCAGCTTCCTCGCTGCTCAGTACTACACATTCAATTTAAATAGCCAGTGTTTTTCACCCCCAAATGCCACGAACTTGAGGCTGCACATCCAAGATCCTCATGGTCTGGGGAAGAGAAGGCCCTGTGGTGGCAGCCAAAGCCAGGCAAGGGCAGGAAGACACACATGCGCAGGAATGGTGGCAGGACACAATCAGGCAATTTGAAGGAGGTATACTGAAATGCAGCTTATCTGCAGACGCGCCTTGCCTCTGGCAGGAAAAGCGTGTAATAATAATAATGCTGATAATAGTGACATCCATGTGGCGGTGCCAGGTGGCGGAGAGGGTGCGGACGGACGCGCGAGTGACGGTGATGGAGCGCACGAATCTGCGCTACGTGCAGCTGGGGGATCTGCCTGAGGCGCTGCCGGTGGATTTGGCGACGCTGGACCTGTCATTCATATCGCTGCTCAAGGTTCTGCCGGCCGTTGTGGCGCTGCTGCAGCCGCGCGCACACCTGCTCGCCCTCATCAAGCCCCAGTTCGAGGCCGGCCGCGACGAGGTGCGCCAAAAGGCTCGAGTCTAAGCTGCAGATGGAGCTGGTGTCGACAGAAGGAAGGAATGCTAGAGCATGCATGTTATTAGTGCAAATAGCGAGGCTGTTGCGTTGATCTTTGCAGACAAGCGCTGCTGCTGCTGCATGTTACCGCGATGTGATTGAGAGTCAGGTCCCTCACCTGACTGCGCCTATCTGTGTCCCTCAGATGTTATCTCATTGTCCACATGCTGTATTACACTGACAATGGCAACCCGGCAGGACGGCTGTCCCTCAGAATCATGTCAACTCATCGCCCACGCACGTGGGAATACCAACAATGGCCTCCCGGCAGGAAGGCTGTTGGGGTCACGTTGGTGAACGATTAGTGATGCGCATCTGAGGTATCAGAGTGGAATTGCGACGGGCTCTGATGAACTCACGTTGAGACAGGCTCGCCGGTTGCTGTGCCTTTGAGGCAGGAAGATAGCCTTTCTGTGTGCCCCTGTTCAGGGCTGCGCATGTCATGCATCTTGCTGTTCCGTGCAAATGCCCTGACAGCGGCATTTTAGCTGAAGGGCATGTGGTGGTGAGTGCTGGTGTGGGTGCAGGTGGGGAAGGGCGGCATTGTGAAGGATGCGAGCATACACAGAAAGGTGATCGAGAAGGTCACAGCTGGCATCGAAGAGGCGGGTTTTGTGTCCAAGGGGTGCATTGAGTCTCCGCTAAAAGGCGCAGTGGGAGGCAATACAGAGTTTCTGGCCCTGTTTGAGAGGACTTCAGCACAATCTGGCAATGAATGACACAGAAGTTTTTGGATACAATAGCATGATGGTGCATGTGTTGCAAGGCATCTCTGTGTTCGTGTGACTGAACAGAATTTGAACGATTCTTGGAATCAAAGCTTCTGATTACACGAGGGGACCATTGTCACATCATAGTGTAACAGTAAGTGGAAAATCAGAGCTATGGCATTTCCGCATTGTTCAGCACAAGTTCACTCGCAAAACCAGAGGCACTTCAAGGAATCACACATACTACTTATGGCACTGGTGGCTTGCTTGCCACATGCAATGCTGTTTAATCATACAAAAAGGTCTGTCTAGACGCAACATAAGGAACAAACCAGAGTTGTTTGCATAAATTTCACCTATCAGATCTACACACCCTGAACTTGACCGAGCTGCTCAGAGCGTTGCTATTAACAACGGCGCTGTCTTCCGGTCTGCTGACCTACTGTAGCTGATCTGATCCCCTTTGAACACACTCTGCTGCAGCCCTGAGATGCTGCATCTACTCCACTGTGATGCTGTGCTGGCGGACCTTCTCCTCGACCTTGGGAATGTCCAGGCGCAAGACGCCATTCTCCATCTTGGCAGTGATTTTGCCAAGGTCTGCAGACTCCGGCAGCCTCACACGGCGCTGCACAAACTGCGAGCTGCGCTCCATCCTGCACACCCATGCATGATCGTCAGTACCTTGCTAGCCATCACAGCATCATGCATTTTTATTGTGATGGCAAACAGTGAAAGGAGAAGACATCTGCATGCAACTCAGCACCCCTACGTCTAGCAGCAGAAGGCCTTATATCATCTAGCTAGTGTCACGCCAAGTTTCACAGGAGAGGAGAACCCAGAGTTCGTGACATTAGGCAGGTTGCTGCTAGGCACAGCTTCCCCTCACCTGTGGTACTTGACACCTTCTTCCTCCTTCTCTTCGTTCTTGGAGGCGTTCTGCTCAACCGAGAGGCTCAGCACGTCTCCATCGATGTTCACCTTCACGTCCTTCTTCGACACGCCCGGCAAGTCGGCCTTCACTTCGAATGCCTTCGGTGTCTACAAACACAAGCAATAATCAAAATCAACATCAGAAGCAAGAAAGGAAGTCTTTGTTGCCTGCACAGACTTAAAATGCCACGCAACATGTCCACTACGGTTGAAAAAGTCCAGATCCTTCCAGAAGACATGCCGGAGAGATAGACAAAGCAAAGCAAAGGACTCGAAAAATATTATAGAACTTCGCTGCAGCACAAGAACTTCCCTATTGTCATCTAAGAAGATCCCAACACGCTTGATGCTGCTTTGTATAGCAGATATTACTTTTCAAACGTCGTCGAGATTGTGTTCTCCTGGATCAGGACAGCACCGTACCTCCTTGACGTCGATAGAAATGCCTCGATTGTATGTGCTGCCAGTATCAGGAGTCAAGCTTCCCCTGAGGCCCAGAGGGAGGCCAAAGTGGGCGAAGAAGTCGTTCTCGTCGAAGTTGCGCATCGCCAGCGACATCTTTCTTGTTGTCAGTGATTGGTCTCGAAGGTGCAAGAAATAGAATATGCGCACGATTGCTTGGAGCTGCAGACTATCTTTCAGCAAAAATTTATGTTTTGGATTCAACTCTGGAGTGCTTCTCCATTTATAGCTGTGAAATCGGGATTCTGGAAGCATCTGACGCCAGCTTCCGGAACCTTCTCGAAATTTCGAGAAGGACCGTGGAAGCTTCTACGGCGACAGCAGCGGATCTAGGGGGTCCCTCATTCCTTCGTGTGCATGCACTAGTGAAACCTCGTCTAGTGACATGTCCACTGCAGCCTGCATTGGAGATCCCCTCTGATAAGATGTCCATGCTGCTCGTAAGGTCTGGGCAATTGCCGTGCCGCAGCGCTAGCGTTTGTGAGATCTCCAGAGCTTGCTGCCTTGGAGGGCCGAGCGATGATCAGGAGTCATCGCTGCATTATGTTCTATGATCTAGGATTGCCAAGCCAGCAGTGCACCATGCTCAATGCCCCAGTGCATTGCAGTGCAGGCACCATGGTGCAACAGCAGGTGCATGTCCCATGACTGCAAGGAAACTTTCTGTTGAACAGATGTCTTGTCTGCAGTGCTACGCCCGGCGCGTAGGCACCGCTCTGTGACAGTGGCGTGTGCCCTATTGGGAATTTCTTGAATGCAGGATGAGAAGCACACATGAAGATTTTTGAGAAACAGAACTTTGTGGCTTCCATTTTTACAATGCGGATGGCCTGCGCTACACTTCCAAAACCAGACATACTCAGCTGGAACTGACAACTGCAATTTGGTTCTTAATGCATGACATAGTGCTTCACAGCACATAAATCGCACAAATGCCTCAGCCAGTGCGGAGACATGCTTCCCACATTCATTGAGCTGCAGTGTAGGACTCACGTTCATGCAGATCAAGAAAATAGTGAACTTCCATGTAGCCTCTGATAGGTGCCAACTGCCTCATGATATTTTGGATCAGGCTTGACTGCAAGCCATGTAGGTCAATTCCTGAGCCTGCTGCTCAATGATCTAGGCTCTCAATCTCTCAAGCTTTCCAATGATCCAGCACATGCAGATCATTCATGTTGCAAGCAACTGGCATGCAAGGAGCATGGATTCTGTGCGGCTTCTTGTGGTGGTACCGGTGTTGCTCTTGCTCAGGTCACGTTGATCTGCTGCTGCTGTGCTGCACCCTCGCGCTTGGGAACTGTGACCTTCAGGACCCCTGCACACACACCCCCAACTTATTAGACACCTCCAGATATGCACAAACCAAGCCATGCATCAAAGCTGGCAAAATCAAAGCTGATCAAAGATCAGCAGAGCCGTGCCACTGCTCTCACCATTGTCATAGGCAGCTGAGATCTTGCTGGGGTCAGCGCTGTCAGGCAGGCGGATCTGCAAGGCAATGCATCATTCACATCATCAGCCTATTGAATTCAGGTTAAAGCATGCACCATTTACTATGTGTGACATCAATAAGAACGGTTGCTGGAATGCAAGCATGCTCAGCGTGAGGGAGAGCATGTAGATGGATTGCTGGGATCCAAGCATGCGCTGTTCAGCATATAGGAGATCCTGCAGACAGGTTGCTGAGATGGGTGACTCACCCGGCGCTCCACAAAGCGGCGAGTGCGCTCCACCCTGCACCCACAGCAAGTCAGACTCAGTTCCTGACTACCAGCCCCTGTCATGCATCTCTTTTCACACCGTTCATCCCACAGCAGCATGCATGGCAGACACCATACTGTCTTGTTGAAGGCAACAGATGTGTCAGATTACATCATTGCAAATTGTGACATGCCTGTGGTACCGGACACCGGGCTCCTCCTTGACCTGCAGCCGGTTGAACATTCGAGTGAGAAAAGTGATTCTTTGCAGCACATGTTGAAGTGTAGCAGCAGCCATGGACGATAGAGCAGAAGAAACAGTGGTCCTAATTGCAAGACATTTGGAAGTGATGTAGGGTGCGGTTGGGGCCCACCTCCTCCTGGTTCACTGCAATCCTCAGCACATCCCCATCCACAGTCAAGACAACGTCCCCCTTGTCGACCCCTGCACGCACACTCTTGCATTTTATGTCCAAGGGGAAGCTCAGGAGTACAACACAGGCAAGCTCACAGCCCCAGCAGGCAGACTCATCAGCAGCATGTGGCACCGCAAGATCAAATAGGTAGATGGATCTGCCTTGATCAAGGCACCCAGGCTGAATGTTATTGAAAAGGGACCAGGATGAAGTTTGACAAGAGAAATGCGGCGATTGGTACCTGGAATGTCCGCAGTGATTTCGAAGCTCTTGTCGGTCTGCCAAGCACAAGGAACGCCTTGAGCGCAAGACCTTCAGTAGAAGGTGTAAACAGGGGCCCAAATTCGTTCAAGAGGCATTAAATAATTCTTTTGATATGCTTTCATATCTATTCCCTTCAATATCAGGTGTAGGGACACCAGATGCTCGGCAATGCATCATGACGCACGCGCAACACGCCGTGACAAGGAAAACATACTTTTGGTATTGGAGGACACTCGATCACATCAAAGAGATTTGTACCTCCGTGACATTGATCGGGATCGGGCGGAGGTTTGCGAGATCGCGGTCAGAGGTCAGTCTGTCGAGGATTCCCCCGAAAGGGCTGAGCGCGCTGAAGAAGTCGCTGTCGTTGGGTGCGATCAACGTTGACAGAGCCATCTTGACTATTTGTACTGAGAGAGAGTGTGTCGATATCGAGGTTGCAATCGCACTCCGCAATTTGTGGGTGTCTTGAGCAAGTCGGGCTAAAAATAGCAGCAGCAGGAGCATTGTCACAGCACAATCATGCAGATCTTTGGCCAATATCGGCTAGAATAATCTTGTAGATCGCACGTGCTGCAATTAAATATAATGACACCTCCAGAGTTTCTGTTGATGGCCTACACAATCAAGTCACCTGTTTTGCATCATATGTGCATGCAACCAAGCCCTGATCAGCAAAGCTTGTGAGGCCGTTGCACACGGAGCTGGCTGCAGCTGGCTGCAAATCTGCATGTTTTCCGGGCGACATCAAGTACTTCAATTTACAGACACTCAATTCACGCTGCATGAGAGCACCTCACCGCACATGTACATGCAGCAGCGGCTGGCAAGCACATCATGCTCTCACACTCGTCTCAGCTAGACAGCAGCTTTCCCTGCTTGTAAGCCCGCAAGTATGCTGCAAAGGAGCCGACAGTGGTCAATGCCGTCAGGCCACCAAGCGCCCACAGCAGGTCCTCGGGCGGCCACCCATACCAGGAATGTCCAATGCACCCCGCTATAAGACACAACTGAAACACGGTGTTCACTTTGCTGATATACAATGGCTGCACAAAGGCTGCAGGGGCCACCGCAGGCACTGGACTGTCTGCTGAACCAGCAGATTCATTTTGCTCTTTCTGGGGACCATTGTTGCTGTTGGCCATTGCCTGCGCACTCACATCGCCAGAAGATGCTACACCAGGGCCTAGCCGGAAAAATTCGGCCCATCCCACACCCTTCCTGCCCACCTGCATCACCATGCACAATATTATTCAATGCATTAAAACTTCAAATCTCGAACACATGCACAGCTTTCTGGTGTGTTCACCCAGTGCCCAAAACAGCCAAGAGAAAGACTATCGCACATGTGACATAAACCAGCGTGCTGACACACCTTACTGACTCTATCCACAAATGCCCCAGTCACCAGCAGCATGTCCCTGCCAATGATGATGCTTGCCAGTGCCACTGGCAGAGAGCCCTGCGAAGAAATCAGACAGGAAATCCCAACTCCATGCATGCAGCAATGCACATGAGCTTGATGCATGCATGCCATTTTTTTTGTGCATGCGGCAATACTGCTTTGCTGGCGGGCAATGTGGACCAGGCCGATTACCTGCTGAGCGAGTGCCCCCACAGTGCAGCACACCAGCACCTTGTCAGCCAGGGGGTCCAGGTAGGAGCCCAGCACAGAGCTCTGCCCGTAGTGCTTTGCTGCATACCCATCCGCCCAGTCACTTGCGCCCGCCACCCCCAGTAAGCCCAGAGCAGCTGCCCACTGCTCCTGCAGGATGAAGTAGGCCACAAAGGGGCCGCTGATCAGCCGCGCCATTGAGATGGCATTGGGGACATTCATCACGGCCTCGCGCGTCCACCCGGCTTCATGAAATGCCTGCAGCACAAAATTCTCAGTTCATGCATGCATGCAAGGTCATATGAGTTGTTTCCTTACATAGCAGAGAGGAGCAAAGGAGCAGGTGGTGCATACCTGCATGCCTGTCTTGACGGAGTCATTGGTCGTCCTGGACTGCTGTGCATGCTTCGGGCCGGTCTCATCATCTTCCTTTGGTGTAGTTGCCAGACCTGCGCCAGGACATGCACTGTTCTGCAAGGGTAACGCCAACCCATAATACTCTTTCACAAGACAAAGGATTCAATAATTCCGAGCGAGTTGTTGAAGCCCACCAGCTTGCTGGGAGAGGCTGTGCTGGACCAGCCGTGGAAAGATCCCTTGGCCATTCACAGGCCGACCCTCATCAGCTGCAAATCTGCTGGGTTTACTGGTGGTTGACCTGCTAGGAAGCCAGTTCTTCTGTGGCACAAGGCTGACGATCGGCTGCACAAGCTGTAGAGTGGAGCTGGTGCCAGTGAGCCTGGTGAGTATGGAGGATTGCGATTGTAACTGACAGTCGATACCCTGAGCAATGCTGCGTAATAGTAACGTCTGGCATCTTCTCTGTGCTGCTGACATTATCTCGATCTGGAGTATCTCAGGCGGATCCAAATGCCAGTGCCTCGAATACAATTATGCATCAATGGTCACTATGCAATTAAGAGACCTTGCGTCTTGAGCAAGACGAAAGCACTGAGAGATCTGACCGCATTCAGCGCAATCAATTTGCCAGGTCAGCTTTCCGTAACGCTAGCGCTCCCGTAATTGTCCAAGAGCGGCAAGAGCTGCTGCTGTGTCAGAATCTGAATCAGCAACACGTCCTCAACAGACTAGATGATCTTATTTCTCCCTTTCTTTACAGCTGAGGATATCCTCATCTTGTGCAAGCGAGTTTTGCATTGCTACTGCACTGCTCACGAGAATCCGAAATCACCTGAACTGTGAGAGACTTCACGTAACACCCGTGGGAACGATCCGTCACTCTTAAAAGTTTTGGGTGGTCGTATAATTAAGATAAATATCATAGACACACCGGACCGTGATCGTCTCGTTGTGGGTCCCTGCTTGGTTAATCCAATATGTGGCGTAGTTCTGGCTTGCGCCTGCAAGAAGAAATTGTGAGACAATGCTGTGCTCATGTCAAAGACAATGCAATTGGATCATTCTGTCGTTCGCTGACATCGGTGAGTTCTAACAATATCTCTGCTGCATCGAGCTGTCCTGTCCTTGCCATGCCTGTCCTGGATGCATGGAAGAAGCTTGTACTAAACATATCGCGTGCCAAAACAATCGAGCTTGGTGCCGAAACCCGAACTGCAGTGCTTTAGGTTCTCTCATTGCCGTTTTGTGGTGTGTGTTGCAGGCTTCAAGCAGCACTTTCCGTCACGCAGATATCCAGAAGAGCGTTGTGCCTTTTGAAGAGCCATCAGTCAACTTAGAGGTGCAATGTACCTGTTGCTGGCCTTGCATCTCCAGTCTCATGACTTACACATGCCTCGCTCATCAAGCTCATGTGCCCCAAAGTCTGTAGTGCTGGCTGCCGCAGGAACTGAAATTCGGTCAGGTCTTTACAGACCATCTCTTCATTGTCGAGCATGCAGAGGGTGCAGGATGGGGGCGGCCTCAGATCAGGCCCTTCTCCCAGGGCATCACGGTGCACCCCGCCGCCCAAGTCCTGCACTATGGCATGTGCTGCTTTGAGGGCATGAAGGCCTACCTTGGTGTTGACGGCCGAGGCCGCCTCTTCAGGTGGGAAGAGTTCCCTCTGCACTCCAAGAACAGCTTTTCACCATGCACCCTTTCCACATGGCTGACATTATAAGGAATCAAAGGGGTCATTCGCGCCTTGTGTGCCTGCAGGCCGGACCTCAACATGCAGCGCATGTACCGGTCCTCACGGCGCCTCATGCTGGCAGACTACGACCCAGGTGAGTGCAACATGTAGTCTGATGTTGTTGGCACTCACAATAAAACTCTCTCCAGTGTGCTTAAAAGGACTCTGTTCACGCCAGGGCCTGAGTGTCTCTACCTCATAAAACTAGAGCAGTCCACACATAGGCACGTGCTTGAACACATCCTGGTCTCTCATCTTCATCTACCTGTAGATTTGCAGTTTTTTCGAGCTCCCCAGCATCGAGAGCTCCGTCTTTGCAGCTCGATTTACATTAAGGAGGTTGTTCCCATGTTCTCAGGTGCTCCTCTAGATTGTGCAGACTAACTACCTTGTCTGTAGATGCCATGTGAATGTCTCGTTTGAGTAATGAAGGCATTGGGGGATTGGTGGTGCAGGCGAGCTGCTGGAGTGCCTGAAGGAGCTGCTGCGAGTGGACCACCAGTGGCTGCCGGAGAGGGAGGGCTACTCGCTCTACGTGCGCCCCTTCATGTTCAGCAGCGCTCACACGCTCGGCGTGGGGCGCCCCACCCGCTCCACCATCGCCATCACACTCTCCCCTGTGGGCCCCTACTTTGCTACAGGTGCGCCAACGTTCTTAGCATTAATTGTCAAATGAATGTTGCGTGGTGAAATTTGATTACAGTCCTTTTCAGAACCATAATCTTAGAACCACAATGGATCATGTTGGTTGTTTGTGGGAGCATCAGACATGCACGCACGCAACTGACACTGTGCACTGTTTCTCTCACCCACTTCATTGTTTTGATTGTTCTGTTCCAAAAATATCGCTCAGATATTTGATTGGCGTGTGCAGGTCTGACCCCCATCCAGCTGTTTCTGAGTGAGGAGCATGTGCGCGCCTGGCCCGGGGGTGTGGGCGACTGCAAGGTGTGTGCTGACATGAAACCTCTCATATTGCTTGTAAGAGTAAGCCTGTCTACGGAGATTCTCTAGTACATTTCCTTCATGAGAATCCTTGCAAAACTTGGTGTGAGGTGTGAGGAGTGCATCTGACAATTCTTCTCTTTTTATATGCGCAGGTTGGCAGCAACTACGCGCCCACAATCCTGCCGCAAGCAGAGGCACAGAGGAAGCATGGGACGCCCCAGGTCCTGTACACGCTGCCAAGCATTGACGGCAGCGATCCAGAAAGCGCAGTCATTTCAGAGTCCGGTGCCATGAATTGCTTCTTCCTTCTTGATAAGGTGAACACCATACTGCTGCTGCGCTTTTGTTGTCTGCCTCCTTTTTACACTCTGCAATGGTGACCGGGCAAGCGCTCGTGGTATATGCCCTTACAGATTCCTGCTGTGAACAGGCTGATGGCAGTGGGCTTGAGCTCACCACACCGCCGCTGGATGGGACTATTCTGCCAGGGGTCACGCGGGACTCCATTCTGGCTCTGGCGCGCGCTTGGAATGATATTGAGGTGGCAGAGAGGTACCTGACCATCAGGGAAATCAAGCAGGTAATGTTTCTTTTGACAAAATATTTTGAGCAGTACCTGCCTGATGCTTTGTGGGTGGGAGCTGCCGTATCATGTGGGCTGAAGCATGGGGCCTGACAATTGTCTGAAACCAATGCAACAGGCTTCAGAGGAGGGGCGGCTGAGAGAGATTTTTGGCTGTGGCACTGCCTGCATAGTGCAGCCAGTCAATGCTCTGATACGGGCCAATGGGGACGTCATTGCAGCGCCTTTCGATGCCAGCAGCACCTCTAGCATGACTGCCCGCATGACACACGCCCTCACTGACATTCAGTATGCCAGGCACGTCCGCCACAATTGTGCCTTACAGCCAGCGGGAAGCTTGTTGGCATCTTCAACTTGAACTCGTGGTAATTGCAGCCATGCATGGAGGTTTTCTGCATTCACCTTGGAGCTCGTTGCACGCTAGATTGAGCTTAATCACATTGCTGGTTGCAGGGTTCCCAGTGACTGGAGTGTGCCATTTGATGATGCAAAGATCGCGGACAAGGAGCTGTTCAGAGCTGAGGCATGAGTGAGCATTTTTATCTTGGTTGTACATGTATATGCTTGTACTTCAGCTAGAGGATGTGTACGATAAGACACTTGCATGCGCACTGATAGGGACGCACTGAAATTGGAATGGATTTTAGAGCTGTGAGCTGATGTTCATCCTTGAACACGTTGACATGTCCACGTAGCTTGTGTCATTGCAGGTTTGATTGCAGCGGCCTCAGGGCTTACATCAAATGTTTTGTATCTCTTTGGATGTCAGGGACTCTACGTACCTCTGTTTGCATGTATAGGGCATGTTTGAAGGAACACACTTGTGATCACTGGCACTGTTGAGAAGCACAATGCTCTCCACAAGAGAGACTTCTCACAGCGATTTCACTTGTTCACTCATATATGGTACATTGCATCCTCACACATCTAGAGCAACGAACGGACGTTCTATGCCCAAGTGTCTCCTTGCACTGCGCTGGCGCCCCCTCCTGTTCTTCCGGGCCACCTTCCATTTTTTCTTCAGCTGCTTGTCAACCACCTTCTCCCTCTCAATCCGCGCAGCTCGTTTCTCCGCCCAGGTCCAGCGTCGCTTCTCATCTGGCCAATCAAGCTGTTGTGGCACCTGCTGATGCCAATTGACTGCGGGGATTTCATGGCAAGTGCTGGCAGGTGTGGCTGAGGATGCATGCCCACTGTCCTCTGAACAATCTGGCCTGTCGCCAGAGCTCTCTGTCATCTCCATACCCACTTCACTGGCATGGCCCCCAGAGTTTCCCTGATTTTGGCACCCAGTCACAGCACCAGGGCTGCTTTCGGCTGCAGCGCTGTACTCCCGAGCCGACAACCCCAACGGCTGCCTTGAGCAGCAGACACCAGATAAACTGCCGGTTCCAGTAGGAAATCGCCTGCTCTGCGCCATGCTTGACAGCGACACTGTGCTGAAATTTTGGGCATGCGAGGGAGTGCTCATGCTGCTTTCTGTTTGGGTGCCATGTGCTGCACTACTGCTGCGGCGGAACAGCACATTCAGCACCCTCTGCATGTGCTGGCTCGGGGACGCGGCAACATCTACATACCGGTTGCCTGACCGACGGATGACAATCTGCACACCACCAGAATATTTCTATTTCAATGCCACATCTGCGTTCAGTCATCCAGGTAATGCGAGCAACCAGAACTTGCTGTTGTTGCTACATCTTCGCAATGTTAAGATGGGTGGTGCTCCCTGCGCAGGACTCATGATGCAGCAAAGGCTTCCACAAGCAGGCTTTAGGGGACAGCACTCTCAGCTGCACATACACGTGTGCACACCCAGGCCAGTGGCACCATCATGCAAGAGGGGTGGGCACTCATCAAGTTCTCAGAAGATCTTGGACTGCTTGGTATTCTGCCAACACACTCATGCGCACCCGGCAGCAGTGCAGAAGGAGGTGCGAGTCGCAGCGCAGCAGGCGATCCAGCTCTGCCTCATCAGCGTCCTGTTCAGGCGCGGGTGCATCTTTCAGAAGCTGCCGCAGGCGCAGCTGCGCAGGGGACCGTAAGCGCCCGTAACGGCCGTCCCCAACCACCGGCGCCCCCAGCTCCGCGCAGTGCTTCCGCAGCTGGTGCTTGCGCCCTGCGCATCAGCAGGAACACACCATCTGATAACACCGCAGTGTGAGAGCCATGTCCTTTACGCTGCTCTCAACTCTAACATTTTGCCTGCCTGTATCTTGTTAGGTCCAGTAACATGTGCTGCATGAAAGCATGCAGCACGCAATGACCTGCCTCTGTTGTGGCGCAGGCATGTGGCAGGGGATACGAGGTAGCGCAAGCGCTCCTCAATTCTATTTGGGAATATGTGTTACTGCCTGTGTCAGGGGACTGGACAGAGCAGCAACGGCAAACTCCAGGGGCATCAGCCAGAAGCATGCCTGTGACGGGCTGCAGAGCGAGCCAGGCAAAGCCCTCCGCAGAGCGGCCCAGCACCTCGTACTTGGTCAGGGCACGCTGGCCCGCGTCCCTGCCGCCTGGCCCCGGCAACCGGCCGCCGATGAAACCGCGGTCCTCCTGCAGACCGGGGCCGTCCTCCACTATGGCCTGGTAGTGCTTCTCGATGGAGGGTGCGCCTCTAAACGCGCGCGCCTGGCCGGCAGCCGCCGTCTGCAGGCCCTCTGCCGGCTGCCGGAAGGCCGCGGAGAGCCACGCCGCCGCGTCCACCGTGCGCGCAACCACCAGTGCGCCGCTGGTGTTGCGGTCCAGCCGGTGCACCAGCCTGCAGGCAAAAGATGTGAGGCAAAATGTTCATAACTAGCCTTTGTCTTGTATTGCCATTCTTCTGTTGTTAAGCCTGGTATTTCCTTGCGCCTAGCCTCACTGCAACTCTGTTTCTGATTCATAGTTCTGCAGGAATATTATCTCCTCCAGGTGATGTTGTGGCAGGGCGGCTGCATTTCCCATCCCACAGTAAGAAAACGTGGAAATATGTGACTGCACCCTTGATCTCCTTCATATCAAGCTGTAGCAGGGCGTGCATGCTTGCTATCTCAACTGAATAAAGTGTGGATCTACAGTGATGCATGCAGAGCCAAGTGCAAGGCTTCAGGGATTGTGCAAGTCAGGACCGGGTGAATTACCTGGGGGTTTCTGTGCTGCCCAGGCGAAGGTGGGGCAGGAGGGAGTCGAGGGAGACGTGGATTCCGTCCCCGCCCTGCACTGGAAGCCCTGCCGGTTTATTCAGCACCAGCAGCTCCGCGTCCGAGTGCAGGACGCGCCGCTGCACGTGCTCCGCCAGCTTCGCCTCCAGCTGCCGTATGCGCTTTGGCACAACCTCTGGCCATGTTGCAGCTTGTTCAGGAAACCCACATTCATAGATTTGGATCAATGTAATGGCTGAGTATACCTTAGCACATGCCTCAGGCAATGAGGTCTCTGAATGTCGGTTGTTTGATCACATGGTGTAGCCTTGCGGGTGAGGATGAAGCGTCATGCACCTGCATCTGACTCGAGCAGTTCCGCAGCAGAGGATCTCCCTAACCCTGGCTGCTCGTGATCTGGAGAGGTGGCCTTGGGAATCAGCAAGCGTGCTCCTTCAGGCAATAGCGTGCTGGCAGCCACACGCTTCAGTCCCTTGTCATCCTGATCAAACAGCCGCATGCGCCGCTGCCTTGCAAGCTTCCGCCTTGCTCCCTCTGACATTGCCGGTCCCCTCCGACGCATCCATTGCAACGCTGCAATCAAACCTTGCTTTACGACTTACAAGTGCGACCTCCATGTGCAGGACAAACTTGAGGACACTGTCTTTAGGGAAGCTGCTGGAAGGTGGCACCAAGCTACCTGTAGGCGCTGAGGAGCCGTCCAAGAAGCTGACAGGTGGCAGGATGTGGAATTGACGGCTCAAATGCTCAAGAGGACCTGCTACATGGCGTGAAAATGATACTCAAGACATGAAAGCAGTCTACCAGCAGGGGATCGCAAAGTCAAATGTTTCGACTTGAGACATACAGTCGCTAAAGAATGCATGAGTATATTGTTTCTCACATGTCTGCACAGGAGAGTCTCCATGTACCGCGATGTTTGACTCTACACTAGATTCAGTTGATAGCCACCTTGATCTGAAAGAGGATGAGACACGATCCAAACGCCTAGCGATCGAGCAGCGCATGCAGTGGATGCTATACGCAACTCAGACACGTGAGAAAGATGGAATGTGAAACAACAACAACAACAACTCCTGAAGAGGAAGCCTTCCAGGCAAAATTCAGATTGGCAGCTACCGCAGAGTGAGAAGCTGCACTCCCTTTCCTCACCCTTTGGATCATCTCTATGATGCTTGATCTCTGGATTGAATGCAGTCTAGCATCTCAAATGGCACCAGCTGCAGGAGTGGCGTTTGATGGGAGCGTCTGGGTCACGGCAGGGTCGTCCATAGGCCTTGGTGAGCGGAAAAGAAACCACACTTTATGGAACATCTGCTAGTTGACCACCAAAGTGATCCTGCCCTTGGCAATGATTTCATTCGAGGAATATGGCCATAATAATGTGATACTGAAGTCAGGTTGCGTGTGACAGTGGCTGGGGCTGCACTACTGACCGCTGCTGGAGGCTTTGCTCTTTCCCGTGCTGTTCAGGTAAGGAGGCAAGAGACAATCCTTAGGCATTACTTCCTGCTTAATATTCCCTCAATTGTTGAGAATCCAGACTGGAGCTTCACTGCACCTGGAGTGCATCTTATTATGCTAGATTGTACTGATTTGTTTGAGCTGTTGTCCGGGTCTGCAGCGCGGTGAGATTGGTAGGAGCTTTGCAGAGCCAGCAAAGCAGCAGCAGCGTGGCAGGACTATATTGAAAGTGGAGAGAGGCATGCAGCAACCCGCTGTGAAGCAGAGCGAGCCAGAGGCCCTGATCGCAGAGGAGAACACAAGGAAGAACGGCCAAGCATGAGTGTACACATGTGTGGCATGCAGCTGAGCTGCTGCACAGGTTTATAAAGAAGGTCCACTTTCCATTGCACTCAAACCTTTCCCGTGCGTGACATAGGTATTATGGCTCAGTACGTGCAGTGTCAACAATGGCGCAGCACGGCTCAATTTTGGCGCTCTTGCGAGCCTTGGTGATTGCCACAAAATAAGAAGTATGAAAGTGCAATGTGATCACAGCTAGCTCTTTACTTTGCTAGCTCTTTACTTTGCTAGCTCTTTACTTTGTTGGGCAACGGAATCAAATTCTGAAACGAGGGAAGGAATGGGATATCCTAATCGATTGGAGCAGACAAACTGGTACAGTGAGAGAAAAACAAGGTTTCTCTGCATGCAGACATGCTTGGATCCAGTTCATACATAGTGTTATTTACGCCCAGGCCACTATTTTCGGACTCAGCTTCATCCAACTTTACAGACAGAGAATTGAAATCCTCAATGTGTTACTTTGTTGTAATTCTGGCTGTTAAAAAGTATCCCTTGTCTCTCTTTATATACTGTAATGACTCTATAGTAGCTACTTGTCTCATCTCCGATCAATGTGAAGACCATCTCCAACGGCGGTCAGCAGTGAACCCTCAGACAAACCCCTCTCACAAGAAACCCCACTTAAACTGAAATTCCCAAGCAATATTGGAATACACTGGATCCTGCCAGCTAAATTTGCTGCCACTAAAACACCTGATAAAAAGGCAGGCATGCAAAATTAGGCCTGCCTGGGCTGAATATTGCTTCATATTCTTAATATGATGAGATGCAATTGCAGTTCTTCCTCACAGTGCATTTTTGAGCCCAGAATCGTTGGATTTATCTTTCCGATTGGCCTGCCCAGAGAAGCTCTGTTGAAAAATGAGAATTTCAGGCTCGCCCCACCACCCACAGCTGATCTTCCTTTGTGGCAGCAATCTGTCAGGCAGCACCCCTGCCACTCAGTGCTTGCCCGTTACTGGAATGCTGAGGTGCTTTCAGGTGCCTGCATTAGTCAGCACTCCTACATACACCGGATCTCTTGCCCAGCAATTTTGAACAACTGAAACTGGCAGCCATGCCGATATCAGGAAACAGTCAGCAGCCGTAGTGGGGGCATACCTCTTCCTGAGCCTCCTCCGAGTCATGCTCGTCGGTATTCTGTGTGGGCGCAGAGCCGCTGCGGCCGATGAGGACCATGGCAGCGATGGCGATGATGGAGCCTGCCAGCCCCGGCAGCGCATCCCTGCAGCCAGCCAGGAAGCCCTGTCCATTGCCTGCGCGCGCCTTGCTGCTGTCTGGGGTCCTGCAAATATTCAGCAAGAAACCACTGAGCTTGGTCTTGCTGCTGTCTAGGGTCCTGGAGTGATCCAAGCAAGACCCACTGAGCATCATTCAAGTCTCTGAGATCGGCGCAGCGCCCAAGACCCAGTCTGCAGCCGTCCGGCCATTACAGCAAAGGTACAGATTGCGCAAGGGCTTTTTGAACAAAACAATGATGGACTTGTGTTGTCTTAGCCTCACACTTGCTACAACAAGGGCATGCTTTTGTGAAAGGCCATTTGATGTTCCAATTTTTGGGTCTCCCAGGAGTGCTCGATCTGCAGGAAATTTCAATGGTTCATCTCCACTGGTGCTGAGCGCATGTGCATGGGCAGCACCTGGGGCGCATGATGGGCTGGGGCCGCAGGGGAAGCCCCTTGTAGGAGCTGCAGTCCACGGCCCATGCCTGCCGAGTGACCTCCACTGGCACCGGCAGCTTCAGGCCCAGAGGAGTTGTCACGCCAGAGCCGGAGCTGGAGGAGGAGCAGTTGGAGCCTGCAGAGCCGGGCCTCCTGTCCCTGGGCGCCGGCAGCCTGAACCCTGCCGAGGACGGCCGTCGGCTGCCTGCATGCACCATCAGTCATGCGTCATGTCAGCACTTTACTCATCAGTCCTCACCACCTGCACTTCCTGCATGTCTGGAGAGCGGTTTGCCCAGTGCCCTAGAGTTTTGCATTGATGGGTGAACAAGTGCCTGAGAACCCCGTTTTACTCATCAATTGCACTTGCATTTATGGCTTTCTTATTACCTGAAGCGTACCATTCTCTTGACGCTATGCTGCAAATTAGGAAGACTTGTGTGCTCTCAAGCTGCCCAGTAGACGAACTCGTATGGGCATTCACATTTCTCATGATTGACAAGCAAGATCTGGATAACATGTGCAAGAAATGTATCTTACCGGCAGAGGGCGGGCGGGGGCGCGCATCGGAGACGGGAGGGGTGGCAACGGCCAGGTCTGCGGCGGAGGGGTCGCTGTGGACGGAGAGAGTGGGGCTCAGCGCTGGCGCATCGTCGAGTGCCATGTCAAATACGCTGTCCTTGTCCCTCCCCGTGGGGCTGCTGTATGCGCTGTCTGTGCCTGTGTCCAATAATCATCTTCAGTGCTGCTCCTCATCCCTACAAAGGATAATGGCCTTGATGGCCAGCGCACATGGCTCTGGCATTGGCCGGGGGACTGACAAAATGTCTGCCCTTTGCATGAAGTGTTTTCCCCTACAGTACGGTTTAGGGGTGTGTGATGGGTACCAATACCTGCCGGCTTGACATCAGGGATGTGCTCCAGGTACAGTTCGCGCGAAAGGTTGCTCCTCTTCGGCTTGTGCACTGTCTCGGCAATCACCGTGCTCAGCCGCAAAGCCTGCGCGCAGAGGAACCTTATGTCATCATTTGCTGTGTTGCGGTAACTCAAGCTGTCACCGCGTGTTCTGGGCAACACAAACGGCAAACTATTTTGCATGCAGCATGGCAATTAGTCATCAGACTGTGTGTACCTTCTCGTAGCTGCGCGTGCGTGACATGGACTCTGCGCGCAGCTGCGCTTGCTCTCCCTTGCTGACAAACTCTGGGATTCCCTGCATGCCACCACACGGCATCTGAGCACCGCTGCTTTTTTTGCTCCACATCAGCACCCATCTGACTGCCCACATACAGGGTTATTCGGACATGACACAATAAGACTGATTCAGGCAGAGGGAGGAGGATTGGGTATTGCATTGTTGTGTGAGTGCATACCTTGACGCCCTGATCCACGCAGGCAGTTGCGAGGCTCCACAGCGCGTGACAGGTGGCAGTCACGTTTTTGCCAGTCAGTACGTCTGATGTGGCCACCAGATCGTCCTGCCTCAAGCCCAGCGCCTTGCAAGCCTGCTCCCAAGCCCATAAATGTGGAAGCCTGATCTAGTAGTGCACATGCATGCAGACGTCACTGTTTTAAAGTGAGGCTGATTGAGAAGAGAGCCACTGTGAGCTGCACTGTGAGCTGCCCTTCTTGCACTGAGAAGGTCACCTCCTGGAAGCGGTTGAGATCGTCCAGCATTGCAGAGTAGCGGCGCTCTCCAAACTCCTGAGGCAGGATCCTCTGCGGGGATGCAGCAGCATCTCAGAGCCCAGCCGCGTCAACAGCGACTTCATTAATGTATTTCTGAGCACAGTACCTTGCAAAAAGCAATGGTCATCAAGGAAGCAACTGGTAAGCTGTGAGTCTGCGCACCGTGTTACGTAAGCTGCGCCTGAACACATGCGCCAGGACAATATCTGCCACGCGACCCCTGCACAATCATCGGCAGCACCTCGATCGTCCTGAATGTCTTATGATAACAGGATCTGAGGCTCAGAGAGGCCGCACGGTCTTGTGTTATGGCAGGCAGTTGTTTTAGGCAGGGGGATGAGAGACTTACAGGACGCAGCCTGACATCAGAAGGGTAGCCAGCGAGGTGTCAGGGAGGCGCTGACGCAGAACCTGGGAAAGCCATTTCCTTGCTTGTCCCTGCAATCATGACAGTCACGTCGTACACTTGACATTCTTGCAAGGATAAAGGTGAGAACTAATTTGTCTACTCAACAAGGGCACATCCTACCTGCAGAAATGTTTCTGCCGCGTACTTGAAGTCTTGCTCCGCAGTAAACACCCTGTACGTTTCCAGCTCCTGCAAAGCCGTCAAATACTCATTATCAGGCGACACATGGTGACTCGGCATGCACGAGCCAAGCGCACCAAACGGCTCTGAAGACATTGATGCCGCTCATCAAAGAAATCTTTATCCTAGGTCAAAATTGCTGAGTGTGTTGTCTGGAATGATGCCTCAGCTATCTACATTCTATGCCTAAATGGGGTCCGTCCAACGGTCAGCATAACTTGCACTCCGTTCAGCGTTTGAGCCAGTACTCCACGATGTTCTGCCAAACATGGACTCGAAGATTCGGTTTGACCTCTATCATAATAGGACTGAGGCCGGGACGGGAAGGTTCTGTACCATCGCAGGCAAATTAGGCGAAGGTTGCGATGCAGGGGGCACTCTGACGTCCGAGAAGCTTGTGCCTTGCGATGAAGGATTTGAACAGACTGGTGTGGGTTTGTGCGGTTTATCGTTGCAGCTTTTGAGGCTCAAGGGCATATGAGCGTTGCATCTGTTCTTCCGAGGATCCGTGTTTCCCGCCATCAACGTGTCTGCGTGGTAGGGCGTTCCTATTTGCAGGTGGAAAAGTGAAGTGGACCATTGGTACGTGCCGGCTATTCCAGTGCAGCTGGTGTATTAAGTCTGCTTGTAACTGTCTGCTAGCAGGAGATGGCGCGCAGGCGATGACCCTCCATCCATCAATACGCATATCGCAGCTCGACGTTGATCAATGGTCATGACATCATCATGATGATACATGCTGGCGCAGCATGCATGATGCATGCACATGCCCGCCGGGGCGCGGTGCGCATGCGGTACGCCCGGCGCCGTGCCATCCACATTTGGAAAGCGCCGTGGGGACAGCCTTTACATGATTGCATAGTAAGTCCCCTCACACTTTAACACCTTCTCACATCTCGGGGTTTTTACGCTCAGATTCTCCTTCATTAGAGATTATGCAGACATGTCCTTCATGTAATGCCGCAAGCGGCCTCTGCCTTGATCAACGATTCATGAGCATCAATGTCAGCATGGCACGACGGCGCCATCAGATGATCATATAGCAGCCCTGGATTCCAGATGAACCCCTCATCTGTCAACGCATATGGATGCAGAGCATCTTGTCTGTTATTTGTGTCATGTCCTGCTGCGGCGGCCTCTCTTCTGCATCCTGCTGGATCTTGCTGGTGACTCATCCGTGGGTGATGCCGATGACTGAGCCGGATCCCCCGCCTGCACCAGAGTCTGAGCCTGGGCCCCAAGGCCTCTGAGGACAGTGTCAAGCTGCATCCTCATATCGTGACGGTGCCTGCGGAGAGACAAATGCCCCTGTCTTTTCCCAAAACGAAAATGGCTGCAGAACAAGACGCCTGCGCTTCTCAATCGCTGTGAAAACCCAGCCGCCGCCAGCATATATTTCTCATCCCACTTGTCAACCAAGGCACATGCACAAACAGATAATGAAAGAAAGTAGATACCTACATATAAAAATTGTTGCGAGATCAAAGTCACGCCATCGACGTGGCATGCGTTTTTACTGCTCCAGGAATAGAACAGCGTAGAGAGGGGGAGTGCGGGCCCCACCTTGCCCTTGTGGGCGCGTTTGCCGCGGCCCTCGGGGTTGCCGCCGGCCTCGGCTGCGTTGCGTGCCAGCAGCCTCTTCCTGGCCTCCTGCAGCGCGATCACCTCCATGCGCAGCATCAGCCATGCACCGCAGGTTTCGCGCGTCGGCATCTCCGGCGACGCAGTGGCCCCTACCTCTCCCAACAACGTCTCCACCGCCTTCTGGCTCCTGCACTCGGGCGATCGCAATGCTTAAAGGAGGCTCAACAATCTACTCCCGAAACTGTGTGATGATGTGACATGACAACCATCTTCTGGACCCTGCACTTGAGCAGTTGCCACATGTCATGTGACAGAGTGCCCCATGTAGAGATCAGACTTGCTCCTTCCTTGCATTAAATCACAAAAAGAGCTTGGGAGTCATGGAATTTTGCTCATCATTCTGCCTTTATGCTGACATCATTCATAGCCAGAGCCCACCTTTATTGTACGGTGCAAAGTGGGACAGACAGACCCAGTCTACAGATGCTGAACGCATACAAGGTACCTACAGAAAAGCAGTGAGCAGAGCAGTGGTGCAAGAGTCAGGGGTGAGCAGGCGCACTTGGCTCCGCCGCTGACTCGGTTGAGCTGGATGTTGCCGGTCTCGCGCGTCTGGGCGCCGCGCACATACACCCCGGGCTTGGCGGGCCACATGGGCGTGACCTCGATGTCAAACAGCGAGGACGTGCCCACGATTGGCACCTCTGACACCGCCGGGGGCACCACCACATTGGGCAGGGGCGGCGGCGGCGGTTGCGCAGGCACGTGCACTGCAGACACCGTCACACCGTCACTCGCAGACATGCACACTTGGGGCTGTGAGGGATGCGCAAGCATATATGGACCCACAAGTCTCTGGTTGGGTGAGCTTAAAATTTGACAAGCGCAGCTAGAAATAACATTTGGGCACAGGCGTGGGGGCAACTACCGCCCTATGCATGGCATCAATCCTAGGGCCGGTCCGACTGTGCAGTATGCTCTAATTAGTGACCTTCAGAATTAGCTTCACAGCTGAACTCTTTCTAATACCACATTAGGGGGCCACAATAGTCTGGTGTCGGAAGTTGGCGCCTCACCAGGTCTGACGGGCTGAGCTGCTGCTTTTCGAGCAGCGGCTTCCTGCCTCTGCGCAGCCTCAATCACTGCAGCTGCCTCCAGCACTTTGTTCTCCTCTGCATCTTGCAGCGACGTGCGCGCAAGCAGCATCTCAATCGCCTTCTTGCGATCCCTGCAGGTGGAATGCTCAAAGTCATTGCTGCAGAGTGCTCCAGAAGCGACCAACAATGTTGCGACACCAGCGTAATGATCAGCGGAAGGCTGTGGTCTGCTTACTTCTCGTGCTGAGCGTTGAAGGGATGCTTGACGATGATTTGATTTGCAATGCTCTCCTCAGAGCCTTCCCGGGCGATGGCGAGCGCTCGGGCCACAGCATAGTAGCGAGCTTTCAAGTCCTCGCAACACCTCGGCTTGCCGCCAGGAAACTGCATTGCACCAGCACCCAGCAATTGCAGCATGGTGCACAGAACAATTTCCACACTTTCAACAGCACTGCTTACATCATGAGCATGTCATCAGCAATCTTGGCAAGACAGGGGTGCCCACTCACCTCATACCGGTCTGTGATCACCAGGAAGCGCAGGTCAAACTGTTCGCACATGCTGATCAGAAAGTCTGTCTCTTCTCGGCTCCACTCCGGATCTTTGGGCACCACATTCGTCCACTCCTCCTCATCGTAGTTGTACACCATCATCTGCAGCAATTCATCCGACATCAGTCCTGATCATCTGGCAATGCAAGGGCAAATTGCCATTGGGGAAAAGGCGCTGCTGTCCTGCATAAGCCATGTGTAGTGTTGCGGGGAGAGAGAGCCTTCAAGCACCTTCTTGTTGTACTTTGCAAAGGAGTATTCTCCCTCATCTGCGGGCCTGATTTTGCCAGCAGGATCTTTGTGGCACTTCACCCAGTGCTCCAGCTTCAGGTCATCGGTCCTGGCAGGGTTGTGGAAGGGCTGCCACCGCCAAGTTATCTGCAGCAGCAGTTCTGTTAAGTCAAGCTGGCATCACCTGGATCATGTGCAATCACCATCCAGATGTGTTAGGGACCTGCCCAGAGCTGCGAGAGCGGTCTGTCAGTATAGCCTGCCAACTCATCGAAAGCTTGATCTGGGACTTTCACCTGGCCCTTGGCGGATGATTTCCGCTTTTGCTTTAGACCTTTGAGGTCCTCCTTTTTGCGCAGCTCCTCTGTCAGGACAGAGGGTACGATGGGGTGTGAACCACCAAGCAGAGCAAACGCCTCTCTGCTCATTCCCGCTGGTCGCTGCATACGTTCCTTTAGCTTTGCTGGTGCATCTGCCTTTTCTGCCGATGCAGCGCCCCTCGGCACCCCCAAAATGTCCCGGACATCGGCCATGACTTACATATACTCAGCAAAATTCTACATGCCTATGACAAAAGGAGGGGTTGGATCACCGATTGTAAAATCCATCAAGTGCACTGAGGCTATATAATACTCTAAGGCACCATGTGTTGGGGACGTTTTGTCTTGATCTTGGCACTAACAATAGACAGAACTCCTCCTGGGACTTTTTCCTTAGGAATGGAATGTGGGTCGTTTATTTACTTAAGGTTGATAAGGGATGCCTGTGCAATCGATATCTCTTCCCAAATAAAATCTTTGCTTTGCAGCTTACAAAATTTTCCAAACCACTCTGCTGACGCCATGTGCCGCCTCGATGAAGATGGATCGAAGGAGTTCCTGTTTGCGCCCTGCACTTGTAGAGTCGTGAGCATCTAGAGTTCATATTCTTTGGATCAAGTGGGGGACACCGATTGACGTCTTATTCTATTTGGATCTATTTGGCATTGCCAACACCTCCCTCACCATAGAAGCGGTGTATGATAGTTCTGGATCGGGAATTCATTGTAGCGGGGAAGGGAAAGTAACTTTGACATTATAGACATCGCTAGTTCTCGGATTTTCTAGCTGGTGCGACAAGACGCAAGACAGCCATGGCAGATGTCGTTGACAAGTTGGAGAAGATGGATGTAAAGGATAAGCCTGTCAAGAAGCCGAAAGCGCCAAAGCCGAAGAAGGAGCAGGCGCAACAGCCGGCAGGTATGAGCCATGGAATTTTGCTCGATTTGGAGTAGTGCCACACACTGGCTACAGGGCCTTCCAGGCTGTGGCAAGCCCAAAACTAGCAGTTAAGAGCGTTGTTATTGGGCAGGTGGGAAAGGGGAAAAGAAGAAGGAGACAAAGCTGGGCCTGAAGGCATCCAAGGCGGACAACTTTGGAGACTGGTACTCTGAGGTGGTCATTGAGTCTGAGATGATCAGCTACTATGATGTCTCAGGTACGTCACATGTTGAGCTCAGGATGATACCTGCAATACGGTACAGGGCTGAGTGATGACTTTCAGACACACCAACATCATGCTTCTCCTTGCAGGCTGCTATATTCTTCGCCCAAACTCCTTCTCCATTTGGGAGAGCATTACCGCCTTCTTTGACAAGGGCATCAAGGATCTTGGGGTCCAGAATGCCTACTTCCCCCTCTTTGTCACAGAAAATGCCCTCAACACTGAGAAGGACCACGTTGAAGGCTTTGCAGCGGAGGTAAGCGTACAGATCTCTCTTGGGTTAGCATGCTCACCTGCAGTCTCTCAAATGGCCATTGAACCGCTTGCACCCTTTGATGACACCTGTAGCAACGTCCCTGTGACAGTCATTGTGTGTACGCAGGTGGCCTGGGTGACAAAGTCAGGGCAGAGCGAATTGGATCGCCCCATTGCCATCCGCCCCACCAGTGAGACTGTCATGTACCCCTACTACGCACAGGCAGGCGCTCAATCCCCTGAAACTGAAATTGTCAAATGGCCTGGAGTGGGGAGGTCACTTGCATGCATGCAAAATTTTAGGTCGGGCTGGGGAGCCGGGTAGAGTGACGCCAGTGCAGTGCTAGGAGACACGAGCAAAAGCTTAATATTGGCCGTGCAGTGGATCCGGAGCCATAGAGACCTGCCATTGCGGCTGAACCAGTGGACGAATGTGGTGCGCTGGGAGTTCAAGCACCCGACGCCCTTCATCCGCACGCGCGAATTCTTGTGGCAGGAGGGCCACACCGCCTTTGCCACCAAGGCAGAGGCCGAGGAGGAGGTGCTCCAGATCCTGGACCTCTACTCCAGAGTCTACACCGACCTACTTGCTGTCCCAGTCTGCAAGGTCCGCCCACATGTGCATAGCCCAAAATGTTAGGGGTGATTGAACTACCCCAATTCAACTACCCCTAAAAATGTTGCCCATCATTGTCAGAGATGTGGTGTGCTTCTCAATGCGCCTCGCAAATGCTGCATTGGCCTTCTGCATCTGCGAGCCTGCATTGCACCAAGCCTCATTGTACCCTATCAGCAGCTGTACGATGCAGCATGGACATGATGACATGGTTTAAAGGAAGATATTTAATTGCTTCTTATGTTTGTGCTGATTGGATCTTGCCTGTAGGGGAAGAAGTCGGCGAAGGAGAAGTTTGCAGGCTCGCTGTACAGCACATCAGTGGAGGCATTTGTGCCGGCGACGGGGCGCGGGGTGCAGGGCGGTACCAGCCACTGCCTGGGCCAGAACTTCTCCAAGATGTTCAAGATTGAGTTTGAGGCGGACGACGGCAGCAAGCAGTTTGCCTGGCAGAACAGCTGGGGCCTGTCCACGCGCACCATCGGCGTCATGATCATGGTCCACGGAGACGACAAGGTGCCCATGCCCATTAAACCTTCTTTTACGCGTCCTAGATGGTGAAATGTGTGCCTCCACATGGCCAGCATGACATTACACTTATCCAGGTGTATGGTGATACCTGTTATATGCTGTAGACAACAGATGAAGGAAAATGCTGGGTTAGACTGCCCAACGGTGCTTCCCAATATCAGCTGAGGGGGTGCTGTAGCTGCTGTCAATTAGGGAAAGTGAAGGAGCGCAGTTGACAGAGATAATAGAAAGAGGTATGCAGACATGAAGGCAGAGCGAGCGTCAGGATATGTGTTCCTCTGGTCAATAGCACCAGATGACCTCTAGATGGGGCACCCTATCACAGCATGCATAGCAGGGATGCATAGAAGACAGGCCTGGCTCGGGCAGAAGGGGCACTAAAGACACTTGAGCCATGAGAGACAGGACATGGGCAGAAATACCATCACCTGCACCCGAGCAGTGTGTGACTTAAGTTTTGGCGCGCAGGGCATCGTGATGCCGCCGCGGGTGGCGCCGCTGCAGGTGATTGTGATCCCCATCCCGGCAGGCAGCATGTCAGACGCGCAGCGAGCAGAGCTGACCAGCACGACAGCAGACTTGGTGGCACAGCTGAAGCAGGCAGGCGTGCGCGTGCAGTGCGACGACCGCGACAACTACCGCCCCGGCTGGAAATACAACCACTGGGAGGTCAAGGTACAAATCACACTACCTTTGTACTCCCTGTACTCCATTGTACCTTTGTACTCCATCTACTTCATCATCAAGGTACCTGGGCTAGATGGAGATCTTTGTGGCTGGGTGCAGCGTTGTCCCTTGCGTGGATCAATGGTCTTGATATGATTGCGCGCTTGCGGACCTTGCGCGCTCACCATGAGCCGCAGAACGTTAAGCATGCATCCTTGAACAACTGGTGCTGTTTGCAAGGAAAGTTGTTGAGGCGTCATGTTCATTGAGGCATCATGTCCATTTCTGGCATGGTGCAGGGTGTGCCGATCCGGCTGGAGCTGGGGTTCAAGGACTTGGAAAAGAAGAGCGCAGTGCTGGCCCGGCGAGACACCGGCGCCAAAGAGACCGTCGCTCTGACTGATGTGGCAGCACGCGTCCCTGAACTGCTGGAGCAGATCCAGGTGCGCGCAGCTGCTTTGCCCTTTGAATATGAAGGACACCGTCTGTATGTCATGTATTGTGCAATTGCTGGCCAATCGAAGCAAAGGGAGGATGACTACTGCCATGCCGATTTTTCATTTGATTCCTGTGGTGCAGGCTGACATGTTGGCCAGATCCACTGCCGAATTTGAGGAGTGCAAGGAGACAGCCACAACATGGGATGAGTTCATGGCGGCACTTGACAGGAAGCACATGGTTCTGGCACCCTGGTAAGGCCTGGCTTTTCAGCACCAAGTGTCGCTTGTGCCAGATTTTCTCAGACTCTTCAAGACCTAGTCATATATATCCAATATCCTTCGCCACATGCTTGATACCCACCCACCCACCCACCCACCCATTCCCTTAATCAAATCATTCATATACTCAAAAGGGGGCCATGGTATAATCTGACACCTGCGAGGCAGCCCTTTCTCTCGTCATTGGCGCTCGGTCTGTCATCATGTTTGCACCCACTCTTGGCTTGGTCTGAGGCATTGTGGCGGTGACAGGGCGGATGAGGAGGAGATCGAGGAGGATGTGCGGAAACGCAGTGCGACTGCCGAGGCCATGGGCGCCAAGACACTGTGCATACCCCTGGAGCAGCCGGAGCTGCCGCCCGGCACCAAGTGCTTCGCGTCCGGCAAGGATGCTAAGAACTGGGCCCTCTGGGGCCGGTCATACTGAGCTTGGCTTAAGCCTCGCGTGCAGCAGCTTGGGATGTCTTTAATTTGATCAGCACTTTGCTCCAAATTTTGCTCGCTGTTGGGCTGATTCTGTGCTGGAAACAATAGACAAGGCGCCCTAAAGAGTTCTGCATTAGTCGCTGTTGTGCCTATTGTCCAAAAGAAGCTTGCTTGACAGTTTCAAGAAGGCAAGTTTGTCTGGGCAAGGGCTGTGGATCACCAATACTTCTGCCTGTCATTTTTACTGTGCAGTTTACTTACATTGTAACAACATTGTAATGGGAACGTGTCCTCAAAAGGGCGCAATATTCCTATGGCACAATTGCTGTCACACAGCCACTGCGCAGTGCCAATTGGCACCGATGCTTTAGCATTGCAAGGCATATGCATGCATGTGGAGCAGACTCTGCGGAGTCTGTGCACACTTAAGTTGCGCAACTTAGGCTTGGTACTCTGCGCCTGCTTTTTGCTGACACCTCAAAAGAGGCATGTTACAGCATGCCGGCATGTCTGGCCTTGTTTTGCACTTCCTTCATTCAGCACGCCTCCTTGGACCCGTGCAGAGGTCCGAGTGCGCACGAGCATTTCCATTTATTGATGGCCTGCTCCTGGCACGTGCCTTCATGGTGCCCGCATGCATGCATAAGAAGGATTCTCGGATGAGAGCTCGCTGTGCGCAAATAGACTGCTTCGAAAAGTCTGGCAGAAACAAGAACCTTTTAAGCGAGCCTAGCTTAAAAGTCCATTACCACGTAGGACCAAGGAAAACAAATTGCTGAGCCATCTGCATCGATTGACGCATTTAGTACATTTACCGCGCTTGCTGCATTGTTGCAAAATGTCATTATTCGTTTTGCTGGTCAGTGAAGCTGAGTGTGTGAGATCTCAAGGTTGACGCGCTCTTGTGGCTTTGGGGCATCTCTACACGGTTCACTGACTAAATCAGCAGCTAATCTACCAAATGATAGGTAAAATGACTGGTTCAGAGACTTAGATATAGATAAAGGATGTGAGATCACATCATTGTCCCTGGCCTGAGGCCACAGGATGCACCCATTCGGACCTGACACCCAACACAGACTGATCGAGGCTTTGACAGCTGTCCGTGAAGCCTTTGTAGACGCTCTCATATGGTTCAGCGACCTGTGCCTGGCGCTGTTCGACTGGCTTGCACAGGGCCAGGTAACACCATATAACCGTTGACATCTTACAACCTTGTTTGCTGAATAACTCCCTGCACAGCTGCAAAACTGATGTCTCTTTATTATCTGATGGTGATGGCTTCATCTGCAGCCTGCTGGCCCCGTGCATGCCCATTATTAGTCCCTGTGTGCCACTCAACAGAGCCACCCGGTGGATGTCATCAAGAAGGATGACGACCTGTGGAGCCCTCGGCATTCCCACATATCACCGGTGCAGCAGAGGTATTCAGCCGGCATGGCCTCTGAAGCAGCGTTCTTGTCTCACTTTCTGCCAGCCCCCGGCAACCACCCACCGCCCAGCGCGCAGCACATCTCCAGCTCCGCTCTGAGGGCTGACTTGCACCGGCACCGTCTACCAGGTAATCTCTGCAGTGCTGCTCATGAGAGTCAAACAGTGTACTCATGCATGCCTTGCATCATGCAGTTGCAAGAAGCTGAAGTGACATTTGTCCTGTGCAGGCCCTGGGCTAGCATCCTTTCCTGTGCCCCGGCTAGGAGAGGCTATTCTGCAGGATGGACGAGCAGCGGTGCAAGGGCACCATGGACCAAAGCCGGAGGCACCCCTTGGGGTTGCTTCGAGGCCTACCCCCTCCCAATCACAGCAGGCACTGCCCTACCAGCAAATGTACCAGCCGTACCCACCAAGCAGGTCTGGGAACATCACAGTCTGCCGCCTTGCCAAAACCCATCATCTCCTTGTCGCCTGCGTCTCTCCGGGAGACCACAGATGGTTCAGGGGTGCAATACAGTGAGGACTGTGCAATGACGGTCCTTTCCTGGTGCAAGGTCATCACAAGAACGGGGATTTGTCCGCAGGTTGACTGGCGTGCAGCACTCACAAGGCACTCGATTGATGGACATGGCAAGCAGCGGGCAGCCTCCGCATCTGCTGCATAGCCCTGCTCAGGCCACACTTCCAGCCAACATAGCCGTTCCTCACCACGTCCTTCCCCGGCCCAGCTACACACATCCAGCCCTCCTTCCGCACAGCAGCGCACCTCGCCACCTGCCAGCAGATACTGAAGCTGGTGCCGGCGCGGCAGAGCAGTCGGCTGCTTTGCCGTCAGCGCACACAGGCAGATTGCCAGCGCACCACTTCTCCCCGCCCCGCAGGCGGCCCTCCCTGCAGATGTCGCCTAACAGGCTCTCTGGCAGCGACGAGGCCCAGTTGCTGGCTGGCAGCATCGCAGATGCACCCTCACACGCTGCCAGTCAGGCTCCGGTGGTGTCCATACCGGCGATGGCGTCTGCGGCCAGCTTGCCCCTAATGCAGCTACCAGAGACCCACAGCGCAGCACTGAGCAGCGAAGTATACCAGGCAGTTGGGCCAGATGCAGAGCATGAGAGCAATGCAGCAGGCTTGCAGAGCGGCAGCTGGACAGCTTTGAGTGGAGCAGAAGCGGCCGGGGCTGGCTGGCTGAGTGCTATGGTCATGCCAGCCGACAGCAGGGGAAGGGCTGCGCCTGAAGATGTGGAGACAGGCGCTGCAGGCCAGTCTCAGATCAGGCACACTGCTGCATGGGGGCCTCCGATCGGCGCTCAGCAGACGCAAAGGGGTGAGAGAAAGAGCGCTTATCTCACACGTGCTATTGTCTCAATGTTTGTCGTAACTGTACCTTCAGAGTACTACTGTTTGCTCCTGAAAAGAATATCAGCATTAAGGAGTGACTCAGCGCAATGTTTGGTGCGCATCAGGCGAGTCACCAGAGAGGGCGGCGCAGCAGGCGGGCGAGGCGCTGAGTCCTGTGCAGATAAGACCCTTGGGCAGCGGACCTCCTGCAGGCATGCACCTCATCAACCCCGAGGAGATCACTCTCGGAGCGCTCATTGGCGAGGGCGGGTTTGGCAAGGTATTGCAATTCCCCGCTCCCCCCAATCCTGCACTATATTTTGCAGCAGCCCTTGAGGCTGGCATATGATGCAGCCATGCTTGCCAGCGACATAGGGATTGGGAAGGACGCTCTGCACCAGTCCTCGAATACTGAGCTCATGCATTGATGCAGACCGGCTAGCACCGTGCACTTAAATCTGAAATAGCATCTATGACGTGCTGGTTTTGAGGATTTTTATGGTGCATGCAGGTGTATTATGGGGATTGGGCAGGGCAGGAGGTGGCAGTCAAGGTGATGTCAGCAGAGGCAAGCCACCAGGCTGTGGTGCTGCAGGAGGTAAGTTTCACACCAGGACGCACAATAAGGCTGTGCATGCATGTGCGATGAAGGTGTTGCATGCGAGAGCAATGACTCTTGCTGACTGCTCCTGGTGCCACCGCAGTTCCAGAGGGAGGTTGTGACAATGACAATGCTGCCGGGCCACCCGCATGTGCTGCGGCTGCTGGGAGCATGCATCCAGCCGCCCCTCATGGCCCTCGTGACCCCCTACTGCCCCAAGTGCGGACTCCTCACCTCAAATCGCTACGCATCATAGGGGTCCTTGCTCTTTGCTATCGTGGAGCCAGGCACCCTCCTGGCCCCCAGTCACTTTACTCACCGAGACACTTATCTTCAGTCCCCACCATGGCGGTAAAAATATTCATCCGCCCAGTCTGCCAGTCACCTGCTGCCAGACAGAGAGGCATGCGTCGTCCTGTCCAACAGGCAGGCAGTGGTGGTATGGAATGGTCAGGGGGAACTCTGGGTGTGTGAGAAAAGTGATATGGCGCCAGGAGCAGATTCAGCATGGGATTGGCACAAAAGCTACCATCACTGCCAGTGCAACTTGAAAGGCAACGTGCAAAAAGGATTTGGATCACAAATTAATGACAATATTTGTGTCCAGAAGTTTTGCAGTCTTCAGCGTGGCATTTCTACGGGCACAAGAATCTTCTGAGAAGATATTTTCACCTGCACAGCTGGCCTCTCACCCGCTGCCAAGCAGAGATGTCATGTGTTGCCCTGTCCAGCAGGCACGACACTGATATATTTAGGGGAATCTATATCTAACTATCTATCTAGATTCCCCTGGTATATTGTGGACAAGGGGATTGATGGGTGTGTGCAGGGGTTCGCTGTATGCGCTGCTGCACTCGCCGACGGTGCAGCTGTCGTGGGGCCAGGTGGCGTTCATCTGCTGGGGGGCCGCCAAGGGCATGCACCACCTGCACTCCCACCACGTCATCCACCGCGACCTCAAGTCAGGTGCCCTTTCTCCCCCCCCCCTTCCTTCAACTTTCAGTTGACGCAACTCATGTCACAAATAGAGGCAGGCATCAGCAATCAAGGGTCTATTGATGCTACGGCCTCTTTCACATAGCTGGGCCAGAAGCCACGCAAGCCGTCCTGCGTCGCGGCACAGTGCAGTGAGAGCAGGATTTGAGGAGTCCTGCATCACAAGCTCCAGCCCATCAGCAGCAGGACACCGTAAAATTGTTCCTGCGAGCACACATTACAGGGTACTCTAGTTACTTTGCGTCCCCCACACATTACAGCATCAGAATAAGATGGTGTGTACAATGCACTGGAAGTTGGTTTCAAACTCAACAATTATCCCGTCAGCAGGCCTGATGGGATGAGGGACGAAAGAAGTGTTGTCACATGACGTGCCTTTGCAAGGGAGCCCTTTCTCCTAGCTTCTGGCGCTCGTTCTGCCTTGATGTCTGCACACCTCTTCTCTGAAGGGTGTATGATGCGCATGGGCAGGCAATCTGTTGGTGGAAGAATCGCTGTGCGTGCGCGTGGCGGACTTTGGGCTGGCACGAGTGATGCACGACCTGCACACGCTCACGGGCGGACTGGGCACCTTCCAGTGGATGGCGCCCGAAGTTCTGGCGCACCAGCGCTACTCCAAAAAGGCCGACGTCTACTCCTTCGCAGTCGTGCTCTGGGAGTGCACCGCGCGCCAGGTCCGCCGATTAACTCTCCCCCAAGAGCCCTTGATGGCGGACTTGCTTAGATCTGTAGAGGCTGTATGCAGGAACATTACCACTGCCGACCTGCGCCTTTAATGGATGTAACATGTTCTTCATGAAGGCCCACAAAGTAGTGTACGTTACCAGGCCGCCGGTCACTGAGGGGCATTGCAGCGTGATCAGGTTCTATCTGTCTTATATATGGTACTCTATTACTGGAGCTCCAACCGTTCAGCACAGCAGCTATCACGTGAAGGGAAAGTGCCAAAGGAGTGCTCGGCGACGCGTACGTGCTGAGATGGGAGGATGCATGCACATGCGCGCAGGTGCCATACGCTGGAGTGAGTGGCATTCAGGCGGCTTTGGCGGTGATGCACCGGGGACTGCGCCCGGACATCCCCGGCCACACGCCACCGGCGCTGGCATCGCTTATCCGCGACTGCTGGCAGCCCCTACCAGATCAGCGCCCCAGCTTTTCTGATGTGGCCGCCCGCCTGGAGGCCATGTACCGGGACTTCACCAGCACCTGATTTCTTTCTGGAAGAGATATGCTGACATCACATCAGTGCAAGCAACAGGGAGATAAGCGGAAGGGCTGCCTGATGATGATGCTTGCGAAAAGATTGTGAGAGGAGTGTTTGAGGAAGGGTCGTTGTCCAGTGAGATATGTGCCACCGGGCGAGCAATTCTTCTGTGTGATACTATCATCTTAGCAAAGTTGTCAAGAGCAAGAGAGGTGTGGCAGTAGCATGAGCGACAATAAATAAATAAATAAATGATGCGATATTGCTCACTTGCTCACTAGAAATCACATGCCATCGTTATATAACACTAGATATATCACTAGATGTGACTCTGCACATCGCTTTCACAGGACATGGAAGACACGTGTGCGCTATGTTCTTCAATAAAGTCAAATTAATTTGATGCCATCAGTGATGAAGCAAATATGCAACAATTAGGGTCATAGTGTAAGGACAGTACTACAACAAAAATCAGACATGTGCGGGCGATCATTCCTCAGTAGCACAGGGAGAGAAAATTGGCTCTCTTTGATCCTTGGTGCATCAAGTCATGACATTTCCTCTCTTGCATGTGCCGCTGTAAATACCCACTGTCATCGTTGAGCATATGCACCACGCAATTTGAAATCTCATGATGCTTTCTTAGTCCCAAAGAAGCCAAGCTTCACTGGCTTCAGGTTTGCCCTGGCAGGCCCGTTGATCACATTGCCGTATCTGTCAAAATGCGAGCCATGGCACGGGCAGTCAAAGGTGCCTTCATTTGGGTTCCACTGCACACACAGGAAATGATATTCGCTTCACACCTCATGCAACATACGCGCAAGCTGCTTTCAGACATCCATGTTCTGTAGCAGAAGAGCCCACGAGCTTTCTCTTGGGCGGCACCTAGCATTGAGGTTTCAATTGTGAGCAGAGCCAGACTCACCTGGACCACGCAGCCCATGTGGGGGCAGAGAGCACTGTACGTGTGCTTCTCGCCTTTCTCATCCACATACACAGCCACCTTCTCGACGCCCTTCTGCACCACAGCGCCGCTGCAGGGCTTCATGTCCTCAATGTCCTGCAGGTACAGCGGGTTGAGGTTTTCTCCCAGGCCCTTAGTCACGGTCATTCCGACTGAGACTAGCTCCTCCAGAGTGTTCATCGACACTGGCGGCCGCCGGCTTGGGCTGTAGATCTGCGCAGCACATGCTCAGAACATCAGCACGTCTCACAGTCCGTCTTCCAGATAATCAGACAAACATTGCTTTTCTCAGCATCACAGGGCATGCTGTCCAGGCTCTGCTCTGCACAGGTTCCACACCCTTGCATGGGAGATTTAATGTCCTCTTGCCTGTCACTAAATAAAAGTCTATGCCTCTCTTACGAGCAAGGAGGGTGAGTGCAACTGAAGTGAGTCAGCAACAAGCAAGGCCATACTGTGCAAGGCCATCACTGCAGTAATGAAGCACAAACTGACAACAAGCTGGGTCCATACCTTTGAAAACGGATTGTCCTTCCCAAGGATCTGGTCGGCAATAATGATGCCGGCCAGCGTGCCGCCTGTCATGCCTGTGAGCAATCCATCGAGGAGTCTTATGCGCAGCACGCTGTAGATTGCATCTTGAGCACTGCGCACACGAAAGTGCACATGCAAGGGAAATCATCTAGGGACTGAGGAGCACCTTGACCAGAGTCTGCGGTGGCTACATAGTATGTGGCGCCACCCTGGAAATCATTCAGTGGGTCCTTGCCGATGAGGTGCAGCATGTCAATGGGCTCAAACACCTGTGCAGAAATGAAAATGAAATTCAGAACCATCTGCTTTCACGGAATCATGCAGTGAGCTGGCTCTTGCTTCTGCAATGGTTGAAAAATTACTGTAAACTGTGCACCTGGCCGCTCCATTTGAAGACCACATCGCCGGCCTTTGTCCAGCGGGAGCGAGCCCACTCCTCCAGCTTTTTGAACTTATCCTGCAGATTTCAAAAAGCATTCCAGAATAAGACAGGCCACATGACTTTCTCCAAACACTGGCAGTTGCAGGTGTGATCCGCATCTTCACCTTTGATCTTCATCTTCATCTTTGAATTTCATCTTCACCTTTGATCTTCATCTTCATCTTTGAATTTCCCTGTGGACATGCAGGGTACATGCTGACTGTTAAGCCGGGCAGACTTGCCGAGTGAGGGTGGGGTGAGCACCTCATACTCCTTGGGCTTCACCCCGGTGTGGTGATCCTCCCCACCCACTACAAGGATGTTGCCCTCCCGCCGCACATAGTGGTAGGGCATGGCTGTGTCCCAGTACTGCCCCTCCTTAAATCCCTCCTGCATTGCTCAAAACACAGGGGTTCATACACTGTTTAAATACTATTTGCCAGCACCTGTGTGAGGACAGCCTTTGGCATGGCGTGCAGAATAATGAACCTCCTTCAAGACTGTCACATTACAGATTGCATGCAATAATCCCGGTTTTGGGGCAATGCTTGAGGAGGCATAATGTAGTGAGCAAAGTGACATGGGTGAAACCGTGTGAGTTTGCCATCTGAGTGAGATGATCTCAAAGGCAGCTTTGGGTGGTTCTGGTCAACCTCGGGAATGCGCAGGCCGACAACGTATGACCGGTAAGGCTCCTGGCGCGAGTGGATGGCCAGGTTGTGGTGGATGGGTGAATTGGTTGCCAGCACCACATTTGGCGCCTCCACAGTGAAATCATCGGTAGTGGTGACCTGGCGCACAGTCACCCGCCGACTGTCAGACCACTTCCCAGGCTCTCACGCTCCAATGCAGAATGTATCTGTATCCCAATCCTGTTAGCTGTCTGCACTCAGAGTGAACGAGCCAGAGTTGTCTTCGCGCATCCCTGCCTTGTGAGCCATGTCATTGACTGCCCCACTTACAGGTCATCTACGGCCTTAGAGTGCAGACCCATACAATTTCCTTGTGCAGATCTCAAGGGATTTATCTCTCAACACAAGCCCTCGTATTGGCTCAATCAACAAAAAAAAGTGCCAAAACACTGCTCCTGATCCACTGCAACACCTAGCATGTGCTGCAACGATTTTATTTGCTGTGCAGTATGGGCAGCTGTGGCTCACCTTGTTGCCCTTGGTCTGCATGACCTGGCTGTGCTCAAAGATGCGGCCGCCATACTTGTTGACAATGGCGTCTGCCAGGCCATTGAGGTAGTGCAATGGCTGGAAGTCTGCACAGTCTGGGAAGAGCAGTGCTTCGCGGATGCCTCCGACTGTGTGCTGCCCTCCTAAGTCTACCTGCAGTCAAGTAATTTCCTGTGACAAGCAACACCTGTAACAAATAATTTCCTTATGGTGACTTGTGTTTACTTGATCAGCCTGAAGCGCATCGTTAATATGCAAATGATTCCAGTTTTTCCTGTTTTTACATGCTCTTCCTGCCAGAAGCAAGGTGCATATGCAGATATGCTGCATGTGAAGGCTTTGGACACCGTACCCCTTGCTGGACTCGCCAGATCCAAGCAAGACCCAAACAGTAGTGGTCACTGTGCTCAGTATTATTTACACCGACCCGAGCCAGCCGGTGCCGCTGACCTCTACTTGTATCAGAATCAAGATGGTGGCATGGCTGTCGTCAGTAGGACATTGGGGGTCAAACAGAGTCACGCAGTCTCACCTTGCGTACACCGATCAAGCCAGCGCGGTTAGCAGCGTCCAGCTCCTTGTCAATCATTTCCATGTCGACCTTGGAGTCTGACTGAGGGAATAGATACCCGTCCGTCCTCTTGAATTCGCAGCTGATCCCCTCTGTTGCCACAGTCTGGGACCAGACACGAAACAACATGAGGACGCCACATTATCTTGAATTGCCAAGAAGAAAGACAAGGAAAATCTTCATAAATGCACGGCAGCCTGAGTATGGCATGTTGGAGAGCGTGAGAGTTCGCACATTTTCCACAAAGTCTATTGCGGTGCGGTGACTGTCGGCCACCCGGGACATGACATCTGCCCCAAACTGTTTCTCCACCTGATGGTAGTAGTCATCGTTCCACATCATGAGATGGGCTGTTGTCCTGCGAGATTTTCCATGCTGTAACTAGGCCAGAGTTGCTGGGAGCTGGCAGTTTCTCAGGGACATGCAACCAAAGGTGGCGGAGACGCTTGGAAGCTCACCTTCCCGTCTGACCGCTTCCACGGGACCTGCCGTCCAGGACGACAACTTTCTTGCCTGTGCATTCACATATATGTTGACATCAGCTTTGCAGATCCATGTCGTGGGTGACGGGATTGTGTGCAAAGCAAAATAGGGGCCATACCTTGCTTGCTCAAGCAATACGCAATGCTCAACCCATACATACCGGCTCCAATAACCACCGCATCTGCAGATATATTCTCTTGCAGGGAGGGGAACTTGTAAGTCTGCAGCAGGACACATCCTCGATTGTGATGCTGTTGCTCTGCTTGACGGGATAGACTCCAAATACTGTCTAAAAACTTGAAACTCACAAGTATAACATGAGAATTTTATCATCGAGACTGAAGGTATGTCTGAAAGTGAAGAGGCCCGAAACTACTAGGCCGTGAATAAGCCTTTGTGCCGCAGTGTTGGATAAGGACGGACCTGCTTCTCCTGCTCCCACACTGTGCGTGCCAACCCCGGAGGATGTTGAGAATCATCCCCGCTCATGGTGGGAAAATCACAAGCCATCTGATGTGCTGGGGCCGAAAATTGCGGCCTGAAGACAGCGGATTCAGTGATGGCCGATGGCACAAGGTGGGGTAGACAAGCACGCAGGTAGTGACCGACTTTAGAACGGACCAAAGCAAATCTGATCGCTTGCTGGAGAGCTCTCATGCTGACGAGGTTCGAGGCCTGAGCTGACCGCAAGGAATTTTGGATTCAGTGGAATTACGGAACACGGTGTGCTATTTTTGGACTATGTGTCCAAGGATTGTGCCCAGATTGACTAGGTGCTCGATGCGACGCAAATTCGATAAAATAAGGTGCAGCGAACGCAATTTTGGCCTCTGCAATCTTCTAATATCTGCTTTAATGGTGTTGCTCAAGTTGATTAGCCCAGGGGACAGCTCCTCTGTAGGCCCTCTGAAAGAAAAGCGCGTCAAGATCTACGATCCTATTCACTGCAATAATTCAATTAGCAAAAACAAATTTCTACTGGCAGATTTTAGGAATTGCCCAGAACACCACACATACACAAACTTAGATCAAATCAGACTTAATACAGGTGTATATCGACACTTCGTGATAGCAGCTCTGGTTGAGAGGCATCTCAATTGAATGCAGCAACCACAAAGAACACAATTCCAGTAAGCTCTGCGGAGGGAAGTGCTCCAAAGGCATATAATGATAATATATTACTGCTGCTGTGCTCAGCACACAGCCTGTGCAGAACAAGTCACAAAATATTGTGCCTTGGCACGGATTTCGTCAGTGGATCAGTTGCTCCACTCAAACTTCATTCACAATTTATCCGAACAAATGCGCCTCCTCCCTTCAGTTGCAGTCTGCACGTGCTGCCTTGTATACTTCTTCACAAGCACGCCAAACACTCAATTGGCACTCTTCACGCCAAACGTGCCGAGCTCAACTGGTTCCAGGTTGGACCTGGCAGGCCCATTGATGACATTGCCATGGTTGTCAAAGTGCGATCCATGGCATGGGCAGTCGAACGTGCCCTCGTTCGGGTTCCACTGCACGGACACAGGCCCATGTCAGCCAGAACATTAGCCTATCAAAGCGCTTGGACTTCATCATTGCTTTGTTTTCATTAATCCTTTAAATTCTATCAACTGCCAAGAGCATGAAGCCTCCTCTGCAGCCCTTAGCATACGCGTACAGAGCTACTTCTTGACAAAACAAAGTGTGACACAGCACAGCAGTGAGGTGCTGCTGTTGCAGAAGCAGCCTGCAAGATCTGATTTGAGCAGCAGTGAGAATTTTCAATGTGAAGCGGAGTCAAGTATTCACCTGCACCAAGCAGCCGAGGTGGGGGCAGACAGCGCGGTAGGCATGCTTGTCGCCCTTCTCATCCACGTACACAGCCACCTTTTCGAGGCCCTTCTGCACAACAGCGCCGCTGCAGGGCTGCAGCTTCTCAACGTCCTGCAGGTACAGCGGGTTGAGGTTCTCTCCCAAGGCCTGCGCCACTGTCTTCCCGTACTTGGCCAGATCCCCCAGAGTGTCCCCTGTCGCTGGCGGCAGCCGGCTTGGGCTGTAGATCTGCGCAAAGCACCCCAAGTGTGTGACTAACCTGCTTACTGAAGCATGACTAAGCCTACAACATTAGAAATGTGCAAGTATCTCCCCAAAAGCACTGCCTGACTCGCCAAGATGGGATGTCTTGTGTACAGACTGAGCTCCTCTACAAGGACATGCATGAATTTCATTGGATGACAAGAAGAGCGCACATCTGAGAAAGGATTCTGCTTTCCAAGGATCTGGTCGGCAACTATCATTCCAGCCAGTGTGCCGCTCGTGATGCCTGTCATGACACAGCCTCACTAAGCCTGTTTTCAAATATTCCTTCCAACAATAATATAATATGATATAATGACATGCTTCAGCATGGAACATGCATTGGATTTGGAGGCAGCACCTTGCCCAGAGTCCCCAGTGGCAATGTAGTATGTAGCGCCCAGTTGAACATCATTGAGTGGATCTTGGCCAATCAAGTGCAGCATGTCGATTGGTTCAACCACCTACATCAGTCCAAACCACATTAGCACCTGCACATCTGAATGCACACCCTCTTGCCCATGAACAGCCGCTAGTACTCTGCAGTAATCAACATACTGCGATGAGTATCTAGTCAAGAGCACGCAGCGGTCATGCAGCAGGTAGTTGAGGTGTTTAAAAGGGATGATGTGCACCTGGCCACTCCACTTGAAGACAACCTCTCCAGCCTGCGTCCAGCGAGAGCGAGCCCAGTCCTCCAGCTTCCTGAAGTTGTCCTGCAGAACCAAAGCAGCAGTGCACATTCATATTATTGTGAAAGCATTTTCTCGGTGTGGGGGTGAGCAGACAGCCCATCGACTGAACTTCTACAGCAGGCCTCCTTCCTGTTCGAGGTTACGTCTGCACAGCTTATAAGGGCATACTTTGGTGGGGCATGCATGCCAAGGGGTGCTCATGAGCATGTGAACAGCACCTCATACTCCTGGGGCTTGAGGCCAGTCCTGTGGTCTTCACCACCCACAACCAGAATGTTGCCTTCAGAAGGTCTCCTCATGCCTGACATTGTGGTACGGCGTTGCTGTGTCCCAGTACTGCCCCTCCTTGAACCCTTCCTGCGCAATTGAAGTTGAAAATCAGCGCCCAACAATTGTGCACCAAAGATACAAGTCAAGGAAGATGCTGCACAAGGGATGAGCTTGCAACAATTCGCGAGGCACAGAGCTATGAGTCACTGGACGTATTTTCAAGATAAGCAGAGCATGCATTGCACATATGTACTGCCCATCTTGGACAATTTTAGTGATGTAACGCCCAGTGCACTCAGGGTGCTCAGGGTTATTCCCAGTACAGGGCGCCACCTTGGGAATCTTGAAGCCCAGGGCGTAGGTGCGGTAGGGGTTCTGCCGAGAGATGACTGTGAAGTTGCGGTGAGCTGGCGTGTGGGTGGCCAACACCACATTCGGCGCCTCAACAGTGAAACCATCCATCGTGGTCACCTGCATACACACACACAGTGACTACCATTCAGACACTCTAATGACTGCATTGGGACACTCTAGACACTTGGAATGACACCTACCTGTCACAGTACCTTTACCATGCTGTCCTACTACTGATCTGCAGTTCTGCGGTTCCTCAAGGGGTTCATTTACATGAAGATAACCGGGGGTTTTCACTCTTGAAACAGAGGGTGATAACAAATCGGGCAGCATGTGCTTGGGACGTGCCACACTCCGGAGGCTCACCTTCTTGCCAGAGGTTTTGAGGACCTGGCTGTGCTCAAAAATCTGGCCGCCGTACTTGTTGACGATGGCGTCCGCCAGGCCGTTGATGTACTGCAGCGGCTGAAACGTCTGCGCAGCCGGGGAACAACATCGCCTCATGGATGCCGCCTGCCACCGACAGACCCCCAAGGTCCACCTGGGTCCCCTCACGAAAATATGTTCATGCATGGACTCACTTTGAACCCCTGAGCACTGCTGCTCAGAAAGCGCCAATAGGCAACGTGAGATCACTTGTCACATATTCACGCAAATATATGTCCTCACAGTGTGTGTGGCCCATTTTCCGTTGAGACCAATATCTACATGAGCTTTGTGGGGCCTGCGATCCCTCACCTTGCGGACGTCAGTAAGGCCGGCCCTCACAGCTGCGGCCAGCTCCTTGTCGATGGTATCCAGATCATCCTTTGAGTTTGACTGGGGGAAGAGGTAGCCATCCACCTCTTTGAAATTGCAGTCAATGCCCTCCGCTGCTGTGGTCTGAGAAGGCAGAAAAACACCACCAATGAACGTAGCTCACACATGCAGGGCAGCAACAGCGCTGCATGCATGGTGTCCAATGCCGGAAAACAGAAGACACACCTTTTTGATAAAGTCGATGGCCGCTCGATAGCTCTCGGCCACTTTGGACGCAGTGGCTGAATCGAATTGCTCCTCAATCTTGTGGTAGTAGTCATTGTTCCACGTCATAAGATGCGATGTTGACCTGCAATATATAAGCAGTGAAATGTGGCGCACCGCTCATCCAGTCAGGGAAGGTGTCATGCTTAGAAGCACAAGGGCAATGCATGGGACTGGTATGAAGTATTTCCTACCTTCCAGTCTGCCCACTTCCACGGGACCTGCCTTCCAGAACAACCACCTTCTTCCCTGTGCAACCACAGATAAAATTCATATTTGGAGATACAGTGCATGTGTGACATGCATGTGGCAGGCTACTTAGCGCTGAACAACACCTTGTTTGCTGAGATTGTAGGCGATACTCAATCCGCTTATCCCGGCCCCAATCACCACCACATCCGCAGACAGATTCTCTTTCAGCGAAGGAAACTTGTACGCCTGCAATTTTCACGATTAGCCCAGCTCCAGCACCCAAAACCGCACGTCCGTTGAAGCTGACCCCGTAATGAGGCAGGAATAACCTTTTCATATATGGAGAGAAATATGTAATTGTCTGGATAAAGATTTATTGATTCTGTTGATGAGGTGAATAAGCATTGGCTGGCATCGTGGTCCGTCAGATTACCTGCTTCTCCTGATCCCACACAGTTCGAGCCAGTCCTGCTGGATTGTGTTCTCCAGTTCCGTTCATCTTGGAAGACTCACATGATATCAAGCGGACACGAGGCAGGGCCTGTGGCCTGAAAGCAAGGTGAACATCAGGCCTAGCCGATGGCACCCGACCAGGTCGAGCACAGATCCGGAAGCAGCGAGCACCATTTGGAAGCAAGGCGCATGTACGGAATTGATGGGCCATCTTCGTGTTTGTGTCGAGCCTTTGATGATACTCGGCTGATTGACAAGGACTTGGGATTGTATGGCTTTCGGTAAGCTATTTTGGGCATTGTGTGCCACTTCAGGCAACCTGATTGGGTGGAACTCACTGTCGCAGCTGGTGGAAGCATTGCCTTTTAGGTAAACTCAGCATGTGAATCTTTGACTTGCTCTCAGATATCGGTGAAGAGATCCGGGTCCAGGACCATTCACATGCCTTTTGGCCTGTGCACACATGCATTATGCTGTTCTAGGTCCCCAGAGCACCTGGTTAAAATTACACAAGCACTGATGGCATGAAGCCTTCTCCCCCTGAGGGTGGGTGTCATCATCATGTCAGATGATAGTGGGATATAAGTAGTAGTCAGCCAGCGCACTCATCATATGGTACAATGCACAATTACTGGAGGTAGGTGGGAGGTTAACCTTGCGTTTGCATGTTGACAACCTCACTTGAACTGTAAGATTGCTGACCAGGGTCATGATGCTCAACAACCTCAGTCAGATTGCTGAAAGCAAGGTCATGACCTGTGGTCGGCTCGACAACACCCATATCGCAATAAAAGGATGGTTGCTTTATGTTCACACAAAGCAGCAATCCTGGTGCTAGCTACACATGCATACCAGAAATATTCAAGTGCAGCTTTGCTTCGTGGACTGATCAGCAGATCTCTATAAGAGCTCTGCGCGACTGGCTGTGCATTGTGCTGAATGTACAGATCCGTAACAGATATGCGCTCCGGTGGGGGGAGTAAAAGATACGAGCACCAGCAAGTCAGCTGCAGAAAGGTTAGGAGATTGCTCCAGAACAGAAGGAAAGCGGTGTCATGTGTTCAGAAGTTCCACGCATTGCTCTCAAACAGACGGGTTCCTATCTTTACTCAACTGACGGCCCTTTGATATCAAAGCCATCAAGCCAAGCAATGCTCAGTAAACTACGTGGTAAAGTTTACTGGAACGTCCTACATCTGCATTCCCTGCTGTCACAAGAGGCTTCAAGTGATCAAGAGAATCCAATCTCAAATGATCACTCGACACCTGCAGCTCGGGCCAGCTATATCATGGCACACCAGTATCTCATCTAAAGCACAGAATTTCTCACAAGTACCACACGCATGTAGGCGTAGCAATGCTACAACAGACCAAAATGGCCACTTTGACCCTTTGAGCACCTTCTGCCCCTGTACCCGGATGCTCGCTTAAGAGCACCACGAAAAGCAAACAGGTCAAGATGCCTTTGCACTTGACCATCAAATCGCAGCAGAATTCCGGTGCGAGTTCAAAGTCCTCCAATGCATCACAAATTTATCTGGGGATGTTGCCTTCACGGCCTTCTGAGCATTCCAACACGCCTTCTGAGCGGCTCATATACCCACGCCCCAAGAAGGTGCCAGTTGCCTCAACACCTTCCTGACCTTGCAATACAAACACCCAAGTCACACCAATGCGCAGGATCTTGGAAGCAGTTCTTATACCACCACGCATAATTCATCAGAAAGGCAATTGCCGCGCCTTGAGACTCGGAGCAAAATTGTGCTCTCTTCAGGGGGGAACACTTGATGACACTCAACCATGTATGTAGCTGCCCAGCAAAGTAACATTGCTCTCAAAAGTATACCTGTATCCTACCCTCAGATTTAGTGTCTTTCTGTTCCCACCAGGTTTGTGCGGCACCCACAGCCTATCTTGTTGCCGGCCGCGGCCGCCAGCCGCACAGCAAGCGGGCATGTGCGCGCATATGCGCTCACATGTCGTCGATGACTATGACGTTGGTGTAGCCCAGGGAGGACAGCACGGCGTCCATGTCAGCGCGGAAGGCGGGGGGACCGCAGAGCACCATGAGGACGTCGTCGCTGGGGGGTGTGTTAAGGTACTTGGCAACCATCTCCTTGTCCAGCAGGCCCAGGCTCAGGTGGTGGCCCTCCTCCGGCGCCTCGTTCACCACGTAGAACGACTGCACAGCGCAGGGATAATCCCATTCAATCTCAGAGCGCGCTGCTATCATTAAGTAGCAGGGAGAGCCGCTGTCCCTCCCTGCTCCCTCTGGCCGGCTGATCAGTAGAGAGCAGCTCTCAGCTGACGAGCAGGATCTTGATATGCCTCTAAGGACAGGCCGTTGACACCAGGTTGAAGGGGAAACGAGACTTGCTGTGAAGCACATATGATACGAAGAGCACCAATTCTGGGGATTCCAGACCCTCCTAGGAGACCCCACTGGCTGACACTCCTTATGCGATCAGGAAGCAGCAGCGCCTGAGAGGAGTGGACATGCAAATGCAAGAAGGATTGATGCCGGGGGTGAACAAGTGACCGGTGATGCGGTGGCCCCACCTTGAACTTGCCGTAGTAGCCGGCAGCCAGGGAGTCCAGGTGCTGCTTCAGCAGGAGATCCTCTACGCTGTTGGCCGCAAACATCAGCCGCAGCTGCACACCACCCAACAGAATCCTCAGGCGTGCGTCAGAAACTGCTGTTTTGCACATGCACAACACTGCACACAACAATCTGCCACAGTGTGGCGTAGTGGGAACCGCAGCGATTTGGAAGCCACATGCGGCCTGAGGCCTGCGTAGAGCGGGGTGCCAGAAAATACAGCAGCTTGATCCATCAATCTCACCTTGACCTTGTCGTTGGGGTTCTTCAGGATGACGTGGGACAGGTTGATCATGGGGGTGACACCCATGCCCCCAGCAAGCAGGCCTGCGCACATACACAACAGCCTTCAGGCCACCAGCAGAGCAGCAGCATGACTTTCCACAAGAGAGGTTGCCCATTCTGTGACTATTGGCGGCCTCTTTATTCAGTATGGCTGTGGTTTGCCTGCCCCAGCAGAGGACAGGGGAGCTCACCAATGGCCTTGTACTTTCCAGGCTGGTATTTGAAGGAGCCGAAGGGGCCCTTGATCTCAATAGTCTGGCCGTTGCGCATGCTGTGCAGCGCCTTGGCCATGTCATGCTCTGGGTGACCCTCCGGGTAGGCCTGCATGCATCCCCCATAGCATCAAACTCTGCTGCACGCTGTCAGGCCGCAAGCCCATCATCAAAGCAAGGCTAGCGGCAAGATGAAGGCAAATTTGATCCAGCGACTTTGTATTTTTTGATTCATCACCCAAGACATGCATCCAGCAGCTAATGCTGTGCTGCCTTGCGCACAGAGTCAAGCAGCCCTCAGCCAAGAGGAGGATGCTGAGGGAGTGGGCAAATGTAGTGTTTGAGGGGTGCAAGCGCTCACCTTGACCAGCAGCACCACTTCGCCTGGGGTGTCATCTGTGGAGATGGGGTTGAATGCCTGCACCAGCTCGGCACCCTTGGCAGTGGTGGCCTTCACCTTGATGCACTGGCCAGCGGGAAGCCCCAGCAGCTGCTGCTTGTGGGGCAGGGCAAACCTGTGGGCAGTCACCATGCATATCTCAGCTAAAAGAGCTAGGTACAGGCACCTCAGCATGAGAGCCAGAGAGTCCATGGGCAATACTTTGTGACAAACAAAGTCAATATTGACTACAAACATAAGCATATGGGGTAGAACGCAGACGCCCCAGTTGGGCGATCCACACTCGATCGCAGGTTGATCTGAATGAAAAGTAGGGCTCGAGAAGTCAGATGCAGCATTCTACAGGCTACACATCACTGTCTGAAGAGAACGAGACGTACGTGAGCCTTTGTACATTGTGTGACTCCTGCTGACTGCTCACGAGAGACAGCGACTGCCATTGCTGCGTGAGGAATGGAGGAGGAGGTTTGCTAGTGCGCCCCAACAACATGGTCGACAGCGGCAAGATAGCTGCTGTCGCGCCCACAGCGGCCACAACTGCATAGGGATTCGCCTCGTAAAGCGACGTCAAATCCATGTTCGCAACCTGAACCACCAATAGACCCACAGTGCCAACTTTAAGTTCCTCTCTTGGAGAGGAATTATATTTTGATCAAGCTGGTTGCTAGAGCAAAGAAGGACACCATCAATTGGGAGAAAGGGGCAGGCGAGAGACCAAGGCCTCGCTACTAGGTTGAAGTGATTCTAGTCCCACCTATGTTCCGTGACGCGCCGCTGTTTTATGTCGGAGGTTCTTTCTAAAATCTCAAGCGGCGCTGTGAGTGAGCACCTCCGACATAAAACATCGGCGTGTCAGGAAAGATAGGTGGGACCAGGATCACTTCGATGAAAATTGGAGCGTGTGCTGTGCGCGAGGATAAGTTCGGGATTAGTGATCATTGGGGCTCACCTGAGATACCGACGAGTCCAAGCCAGTCGCGTTCCCAGAGAAAGCCATCACTTACAGAGCATCCGAGCTTCGGTCTTAGTAGAGGTTTCTGATCCGTTGCGCGCGAGTACAATCGATCGAGCATCCTCAGGGCCCGAAGAGAGGAGATTTGCAGGAACGCCGTCGTGTTGTCGTCGATTTTGGGTGAGGTGGAGGCTCAGCATGCCACAGCCCGACCCGTCTCCTTGGACGACCCGCAGTCCCGATAGCAGCCAAGGGAATGTGCGTAGGTAGTAGTGGGCCAGACCGCTGAAACCGAGGTGTCGTACACCATTTGTAATCTCAGAATGGGCCCTGTTGTACTTATGATGTGCACATATGCTCAGCTGTAGACATCTAATTTAGATGATCTAAAGCAACTGCAGTGGCACCGTGCATCATGTTGATGGTCAGCTGGCCTTGAATTCAGCCTGAAGCTGAGCCTCACATGCAAGCTACCAGCTGGAGAAAACAGTGCAGTTTTGTCGTTCATCGCAGAATTACATCAGTGAACCTTAGATCAAACTTGTGTTTATTACGTGGCATCAAATTATATAGTAGCAACGCACAGACGTCCGACGTCAGGAGTCACATCATAATGATCACGGTGGTCGCTTGCAAGAGATTAAGACATTGACTGATTTTCATGTTGCCAGTGCTGCAGCAGATGCACTTGCACAGCACACCACATGCAGCATCACGCTGTATGTAGCACACTTACAACGTGAGTCCCCATGCATTTCCTGCTAGAGATTGGCTGACAATTGGAGTTTCTCCGTGCGGAATTCTGTAACGCCGATGGGAGCAGCAGCTTGCAAGGCAGTTGAGGCGCTGTCAGCGTCTTTGTATGCCGGCTGCACCACAAGTTTGCCACCGTCAGTCATGCGCCGGCACCAATCTGCTTCGGAGTGTAAGGCGTCTTAGAGACTTGCAATCAGCAGCACAAGACACTGCCGCCGTGCAGGTATGTATCAGATTTGTCAAAGCCCAAAGCAACACACGTGATAAATAGGTGCAAACCCTCAACCTCTCCAAATGCTCAGGAGAGCATGGTCAAAAACACTGGCAGATCAAATCTAAGCCCTGAGCATCTCCTAACTTTCAGAAATCAAAATAACTGAGTCGCCCCACAGACCGAGCCAGGATAGTCTTCAAGCATCCCTGCCTTGAGTGTCATGTGCTAGATTGCCCAACTTTGAGGACATCTGAGGCCTTGCGGTCCAGAGAATTACAGAGGTGAATTGACTCACCCCATCGGGTGGCGCGCCGGCGGCGTGCAGGGCATTGAAGGTGCCCTCGCAGCAGCGCACTTCGCGCGTGACCTGCGGCTGCCCCGGCCCGGCGCGGAAGTCGGCCATGTACCGCGTCTCATACAGCCGCACCAGTACTCGATCCACGCGCAACCAGAAGCGCAGCAGCACAAACCAGCACTCCGGCATCACCCGCACCTGCGCACACACAGTCATTCACGCTCATTTCCTGACTCAAATTTCAACAAAAAAGTCAGCTCAAGAATGCGCCTTTCCTTCAAAAAACAATTTTGTAAGGCTTCAGAACGCAAGCTCAACTGCCTTTACTGAGGTCAAGGGCCAACTGCGGTGAGCGTCAACTACAGCAAGCTTTTCTCTGCTGCAGTTCGTATTGGGTATTGAGATTGATACACAAGATGTGGAACATGGGGATTGCCGGTACCTTGACGGCTAGCTGGGAGGCGCCGTTGTCATCCAGCTCTGACTCATACAGCGGCACCTCGTCGAAGAAGAGGATCGGATCGCGCGCCATCAGCAGTGACCGGTCCATCTGCTCACTCGTGGGGACCCACTCTGCTTTCCTACCTGCAGCGGCCAATGCAACATGTGTGTGGTGGATAAAAACTCAATGCATGCACATGAGGCAGCTAGAAAAGCAGGAAAGAGCCCACCCCGCTCACCAGACACGCTTGCTTCACCGTTGCTCTCGACGCGCAGAGTGCCTTTGTAGGAGGTGGTGTATGTCCTGCACCAGCAGAGATCAGCCTGAAGACAGGCGCAAAACATACCCAATCCCTCCAAGCTGGAGTGTACTGCAGGGGGGCGCACCAGTCATACTCAAAAGAGACAGCTCCACTGGCTTCAACATCCTTTTGCCTGGATTTCAGCCAGTCCTCGGCTGCACCCACGCGGACCGGAGGCCGGTCGTCCTTCCGCCAGGTATGCAATGCATCCAGGGCTGTGAATTCCAGGCACACCCCGCTGTCTGTATGGCTCAAGCGGAGGAAGCTGTCGCCAAACAGCTGCTCTGGCACGTTCTTGGCATTGTCCAGTTCCGCCTTGTAGGCGTCTAGCTCAGCATCCTCTGCATGGCATTCACGGTCTAGTCAAGATCTGATAAGTATGCTTCCTTCATTTTGATGGTGTCAGCAGCGCCTTCTGGATTGAGGGAAGGGATGGCATCGACACAAAGGAAATGATACTGCTTTGCGCAGGACAATGGGATCTCATGTACATCAATCAGATTGACTGTATCAGCGTCACTTTGTCTTTGTAAACTCCAGTGATGGGGTACGACGTACTGCTGATAGGTGCTTTCCTCGTCTCTATTCGCCACCCCTTGTGCAGCACACCCGCACTATTGTCCAGAATTTGAGATCCAGCCGCTTTGATAGCTGCAGGAACAGGCACAGTGAGAACCAACACACAAAGAACGGATTACAAGGGCATGCTTTAGTGGCTGAATATCAGTACCTGGCTCGTCGAGGGTTCCGGATGTGCGTCTGTTCATTCTTTGATCGTAACCTAGCCGAGTTCTTTGACTTCACAAGTGCTCCAAGACCCGACAGTTCCAAGGACAAACATACTTTATCGACACCTCACTGCCCTTTGAATGGGAATCACAGGGGACTCTAAACTAACTTAGTTAGTTTAGAGTCCCCTGGGAATCAAGAGCGGGCTCCTGGCATCAAAATTCAGCAGCAAGGAGCATGCAGACGGGCAAGAGATGCCAGCTGCCTCATTCACATGTCAATGAGGCATGCCACTTGCCCCCACAATGCAGTTGACGTGCACATGCATTACCCCCCTTCATCCAAGTCCGAAATTACAAGGGATCCCTCCAGAGGTGCACCACGTGGAGAGGTCGTCATGATGATCATCTAATGCAAGGATGGCTAGCCCATCTTCATCCATTTTAAAGGCCACAGGTGATCAAAGATCTTGATCAGGTTCATGAAGTACCCAGGAGTACTGCTGGGACTGCAGAACAACTCATGAATGATCACAAATCTTAAGAAATTTAGCACTGCTTCGCAGGTGCAGTGACAGCTTGAAGCAAACCCGAACATGCATAGCTGTGACAGCGCTGGACTCTGCTGTATCTGCTCAACTTGAAATCCACCCCAGAACTAAGGATCAGAATCAATATGTCAGAACCCGAATGTCATCAAAGACCCCCGGCAAACAAACAAAACATTCTTCATCATGATGGGCCCAGGCCTGCCACTGGCACACACTCTCCCTCCAACATGATTGCCATATTGAAACAAGGCGAGTAGCCCGGATCCAACTCTGTAAACATGCGCGTGGCAGCAATTGTACTTGCCAGGGAGGACAGCAGGTCAGAACATGCAGATGATGTAACACCAAATAAATCTGCACAAAGGCAGTCCGTGAGGACTGCTCACTACGAAGACAGCCAAAATCTTCCCGTCAATGCATTAAAAGATTCTTGAGCCTTTGCTCTTGCGTCATGTGGCATCATCTGAAAATCGCCCGGCGGCTGCTGCACTGTAGTCCCCGCGGGCCGCGGCTTCTGCTGCCCGCTGATACATATCCTGCGACCAATGATTATCACTTGTCAAAATCTGCTGGTGAGCAGCTTGTGAGGACACTTGCGCAATTGCGATTATTTATTATTTATTATATTGCTGCCACTTAGGGAAGAGCAAAGGCCGAGCTCACCTGAAGTTCCTCTTCTGAACTCTTCTCCAGAATTGCTGGCAGCTCTGCATCGGATGATTGCACTCTTCCAGATGTGGCTGTAACAAGTTCACTGCCAGGGCAACAATCCATCAGTGTCATCATTTACAGAGCCAACTTGCATTTCAAAGGGATGAATTTCACATGGTGCCTTGGCAGCGGGCCTGAGGAGGCTCATTCTGACCTGACAGAGAGAGGCGTCGAGGGATAGGACGCCTCAGAGTAAGGTACAGACAAGACATGGCTTTTGGGCTCCTTGCGGCCATCCAAGGCAAAGGCAACATTGCCATTCGCCTCAGCGTGCGGGCTGACACTCGGTTCCTTCATTGCCTCTCTGAATATTTGCCCCTGAACACACCAGCAATAAATCAACAAACTCCAGCAACCTCCTGGCTTGCAACAAGAAAGATAGAAAAATGCCAGCAAATATGGAGCATCAAGGTACATTTGAGCGTCCGAAGTACAATCAATAGAATCAAGATGGCTAGGGATATGGATGTACTCGCTGGAGAACGGCGGCCACATCATTTGTATCTTCATGGAGGGGAAGCTTTGATGTGTGTCCATTGTCCAGCGGAGCCGAAGCACCCTTCTCACTCACACCACCTGGCAACTCCAGCCCCTGATGCAGGCAGCATAAACTTCAACAAGTACAATGGGCCTGCCCAGCAAACACACTGATGCAAAATTTCAAAAGCGCAACTCTCAATCTTTGCTAAACTGCATGCAAAGTGCTTACCTGATCTGCAGAGCTTTCGGCCAAATGGGCGGTCGGCTGCTGGTCTATGATCCCGCCACTGAGCGCAGCGTTGTTGTCAGCTTCTCTCAGGGAGGCCTGTATGGCTTCCACAAGCATCGCCTCCTCTGCATCCCTGCATCACACATCCCTCTGTCAACAAAGCTGCAACATCAACTACATTGCCGACAGCGTGCACGCCTGAACATTATGAAAACAGCTCCCCTGGCAACCCAAGTATTTGCTGCGGAGTCTTCCAGTGTTCGAACAGCGGCTTTTTGGGAGACATGCAAGTGCGCACTCGTCGGTCATGGCGGCCACAGACGCTGGCATGTACTCGCTGCGAGGGACGTGTCTGGAAGCTGGCCTGGCGGCTGTGGCTGAGGAGGACGCGGCGGAGCCGCTGGGAGGCTTCCCCTGATCTGCCAGTGACAGCCGCAGCGCCTGGGACAGCAGCTCTGCCTCATCCTCCTGCGCAGGATACCCCAGTAGGATAAAACAGAAGTGTTTTGATATATAGTACTCCCTTTTACCTAGAGGTACCTCGAGTCTCCGGATGTCAACAGGACAACAGAAAATCATGCAGTCAGGTTATGAAGCCTCAAGAGACTGTGGGGGAAGCAGTGGGGCTCCCGTACCTGCATGAGCTGCCACCTGAGCCGCTCCGAGGCGTGCTCCTCCTCCTTGCGCGCGGCAGCCTCGTCCGCATGCTGCTGCTCCAGCGTCTTCACCTGCTCGAGCCATCAAATAGCCATTCAACTCACTCTGCCTGCACTTGCCTTTGCGAGAAAGCATATGCCAAGGAGTATGCAGAGCAGGACAATCAATAGACCTGATTGAAGTGGTGTCGGCCGTGAAATATAGCGACAGGCACCCTAAGCCCTAATGCAAACGGAAGACTGATCCCAATATAAGGCAAAAGATGCCACGCAAGGGCAGGGCAGGGGGCCCTGCCTCGCTGTCTGAGGAGAGGGGCAGCTCGCTGGCAGCGCTGGCGGTGCGGGTGGGGCCATGAGCACTGGCCTCGCTGCGGCCGCCCCTGACGGAGGGCGCGCCAGCGTCGGGGGGCTCGCTGAAGGAGCGCCCGCGACCGTCCGCCGACACGCGGCTCACCGCTGGGCTGGCCTCCGCCAGCCGCACCTCCCCCTCCATCAATCTGCCAGCCACACAACATCCTTTACATCTCAGGATTGAGTCATCCGCACTGAAACTCCTGACAGGCATGCAGTATGATTCAAAAGTTCTCATGGTCTTCAGCGTCGCCAGGCGGATGTTTGGCGTGTTGAGACCTGGAGCCGAGCACATACTAATGCGCTGTCGTTGGCTGTGCCTTCCTCCTTGTCCTGACTTAATGATTGACAACACAAGGGGCGATGATTGCCACATTGTGTGCCATTCCCCTCAAAGGAACCTGTCAGACCGCGGCCCATTCATGCACGGTGGGATTGCAATAGGTGCGTGTGATGCGTAGAATTGTTATCTAGACAGCGCACCCGCGGGAGACCTCTGCGGCCCAGGCTTCCTCCAGCTCTTCCTGCGTGCCCGCCCATGTGCTGCCGCGGATCCAGGGCACGCTCAGCGTCCGGCCCACCAGCATGTCCTCCACCTCCCGTGCTGCGTTTGAGTCTGACGCGCTTTGCAGCCTGCACCCACCAAGACACATCTCCCATGCTGCACTGACCTGCTCTCCCATTTGTTCCCAACAGTATAGTCATAAAGATCAGATGCGCTGAGCCCCCAGACACATCAGCACCTGCTCCGCTGAGCCCATCTCCCAGTTCTCTTGTTTCTCAGGTCGACTGCGGTGAGCACCCAGAAACATCGGCACGCTATTCTGACCCTATCTCCTGGTCTTCTTATCACTCATGTGAGTAGCAATGAGCACCAGGTAGCATCAGCACATGCTGCATTGACCTTATCCCTCAGGTGTACTGTTACTCAAATGAGCGCTTCTACCAGTGATGTGCTTTGCAACACTGACAAGCAGCAGCCATAGATTTTGAAGACGCACCCGCCGTCGTTTGCTGCTGTGGCCGTGGCTTCGGCCATGGGCAGGTGCTTGTCAATCTGCAGCACGGTGTTGAGGAAGATGAGGGCCGACGCATAGAAGAACTGCGGCCGGTGACTGTTGTGGTCCCCCTCAAACATGATCAGGTTCTTGTCGCCAGCGTACGCTGCATGCAGCTTCTGTGAGTGCGCCTTTGAGATGAAGGAGTCCTGCTCGGAGTGGCCTGCAGTCAATGTTACCGCTATCTTCAACGCTTCAAAGAGGCACACCTCTCAGGTACTGTGCAATACACACATTTTCCATTGATGCTGATGACCAGAGATAAGAGCAGCCTCTGATGCATCTCATCCAAGAGCAGCAGAGGCAGCCTCAGACGCAGGCAAGATTGCTACTGCACATGCGTATTGTGTTGGACCAAGAGCGGAGAGTCAGGGTGTCGCAGAGCCAGAAGCAGCCTCTGAGAGTGTCCCATCCAGGAGCATCACAGGCAGCCCTATACATGGCAAAGACTATCACTGCAAATGCCTTCGATGCTGAACAAGAGCGGAGAGGCAGGATGCAGCAGGAGCTGTACCAAAGAGGGCTGGAATGAAGGCTTGGCCAACGACGTCGATGGGGGACACGTCGTCGATGTTGAAGTTGGCGCGCTTCTTCACAGAGCGCTTCATCATGGACAGCGCCATGCGCATGAAGGCGCGCGGGATGGGCAGCTTCTGCTCCTCTGTCAGCTCCACCATCAGATCCTTCAGCCTCGAGAATGGGCTGTCCACAATCTGCGCGCACCACTCCAGAATCTTTTAGGAGCTGATACGGACAGCATGGCTTTGTGTCAGCGAGGTGTCCAGGGTCGAGAACCATACCTTCTGAATCAAGGCACCCAAACCTTCAAAGCACTGGGATCCAGCCACCAAATAGCAATGGTATGATGGAAGGAAACACACGCATTCTATGGGAAGTTTGCAGGTAATCCATAGCTCTCAGCATGCTCTAGATGGCTGGAAATAAGGAGCAGCATGATGGGTGTCTCACCACGCCAGCAATGGAGGGGTCCCGCTGGCTGTAGAGCAGGGCGGTGACTGCGCCCATGGATCGACCCCACAGGCCAATCATGGCGCCTGGGAACTTCTCGCGCACATGTGCCACCAGGACCCCCAGATCCTCCACCTCATGAGCCCCCAAGCTCACCCAGTGCCCCTCAGACCTCCCAGACCCCTGTGCCAAGATTCAGACCGAGCCAGATTATTTCAATATCATTCGTCTTGCATGCACATGTAATCGGAAGTCTCTATAGCTCCACCAGCTACCAGATGCCTAGCTGTGATGCTCGGGTCAGCCTACTTGTTCCTCTCCAACGCTGCTCTTCCAGGCCATGTGATCACTCGTTTGTACTCTCTTATCGATTTTGGGTTCCACAGACCTGACCATGGAAAAATCTAGACAGACATCTGGGCACAGTAATTTATTGGTGTGTTCAAAAAGTCACTCACCGCAAAGTCCAGGGTGACAACGTGGATGCCATGGGGCATGAGAACGTGCAGCGCTTCCTCTGCATCCCTGCGGCTTCCGCTGTTGCAGTGGCAGTAGATGACAATGGGAAGGCTGTTCTCGCCAGCCACTGCAGTCTCCTCTGGCTTGTAATGGCTGCACTCCAGCTTGAAGCCAGCCTTGCTCACCTGGTGAGACAAGCTCGGATCTTTAGATGTGTGGAGGTTGGCAGCTTGTGCATGTGGTTTCCTGGTAGCCACCCAGGAATAGCAAGAGTTGGTTGTGCTTGCAGCATCAAATTGTCTCCTCACCAGAGTAAAGTCGTCTCGTTGGCATTGGTGTCCTGAGATTGAAAAGCGTCCCTTGGTGCCCCCGGCGAGCTGTTCAATACTGTATTCATCCCTGCATGCATGAGTGAGATGCAGGTATTGACAGCAATCCTGGTATATTCTTTCATCTTGGTACCTTGGACCCGTTCTTCACTGTCGACATACCCACCTGACGAGGCTAAAGCGAGAAATGTCCATATTGGTGCAGCTGTGAGATGCCTAGAAGGAGTCTAGCACCTGAATAGGCTTTCAATAGCCCAACAACCAACCAACCGCTTAACGGACAATGAACGGGAGACGGTGTGCTCACCTCGGAGGCCTGCAAATGCAGTCGACCAGCTGGTCCCACATTCCACCTAGATTCATTTTAGCTCTGTGTCTTGTGTGACCGTTCCCTTCAGGCTCGGTAAGGCGAAATTATAGAATGCCAAAGCTCAAACATAAAATGCAGGTCAAGCTCACAGTGCCCCATGCAGTTGAACATAATAACTTTCACCATTTGGACTGTTCCCAAGTACATTCCTGCATGGAGTCCTTGCCGGTTGGACAATTAAAAAAATTGGATTAGTAACCATGACATAACATATGGAAGGAAACCGTTCCGAATCGCTGGAATCAGCAAACAAGTCTCCCTTCTCGATAAATAGAGAGAAATTCACCTGTTTACGGAGACTGTCATTGATCAAAACAGAAAGTCTGGAAAGGCAAGACAATAAGATGCACAAGTGAGAAGCATATAGTCGTCATAAAAATAATTCCCAGTGATCTAGATTACATACAACATCAGCAAAGTTTTACAAAATGCTCAAACATTGCCACCTGCAGGCCACTTGGCTGGGAAGACCCAATTCGAGAAACCATCGGGTGCGGACCATCATTCCTCCTAACGTGAATGCATCAATATGACATGTGTGAGTGGGCCGACGTTGGTGTTCAAGAGTTCAACGGAAACTTTGTTGCTGCAGGTCCGGGCAGCCAGACAGGCTGTAACCCCACACGGTGGACCTGCCTTGCACAGCGGGCAGACCCCACAGGAGCTCCTTCAGATCTTCAATGAAACGCAGAGGAACATGATGGATCTGAACGAGAAGCGACTGGCTGCCCTGGCAGAAGTCAAAGCGCTGCGAGCTCGAGTTGCCAAGCTTGGTATGCTTTAGCAAACCCTATATCTCTTCCTGGCTATGGAACACCAAAGATTGCACTTTGCCTGTGTGCCACCTAGCGTCCCATTTGTATCTCATGGTGCTGTGATGGAGTCGAGCAGACGCAAAAGTAGCAGCACTGGAGAAGGATGCAAATGGTGGCAGAGCAGCATCTTTTGATGCGCCGATTCAAGCCCTGCATGATGAGCCCGGTATCTACATACCACAGGCAAGCAATTTTCTGCTCACTGCTGATCCTTGCTACACACTGGCACATTGACTTTCAGATACTGAGTGCATCATACTGCTGGCAAATTGCTCACAGCCTTCTGCCTGCAACAGGCAGCTGCAGCGCAGCAGGGACCATCCATCACGATCACATACCAGACAGGATGGAACCGCGCATTCCTCCATTACAATGTCGATGGGAGAGGTCCGTAAACCCCATCAGAAAACTGCAGCACAGACGTAGCTGAATGGCACATTGCAACAGTGCAAATGCACCAGGTCATGCGCATGTGACAATGCACGCTGTGAGCAGGATGGACCCAAGTGCCAGGAGAGGAGATGGAGTGGGGGAATGGTGATCTGGCCGGGAACCGAGTGAAGACAGTTTCCGGCAGACGGGTAGAATTTGTGATCAACAACACTGAGGGGGGCTGGTGCGCTTCATGATCTCTTCTACCTCTGCTATTGCAAAGGATGAGTACCAGGTTGAAGTGCGAGTGCAAGTGGACTGAAAAGTATAAGTGTGTGAGGGGTGATGCGTGCAGGGACACACCAGACCCCAGCACTGGCAGCAAGAACTACGTGATTGATGCGCCCGGCAGATATCATCTGAAGAGCGGAAGAATCGTGCAATTTGCGTGATTAACCCATCTTTCAACTGTAGCCTTTAATCCAGATGTAGCCTCGACAGCTGTTCCTCCTCTATATATCCAATGTTATTGCTCCTTCAATGTTGGGTAGAACTGCAAGACTTGAGGAACTTTAATACTTGGCATTGCTACTTACAGACCATGGCAGGGACCCACTGCTTTCTTTAATAAGCTCTGAACATCACTTGATAATAATGTCGACGCTCTATTGATTTTGACTGTAAAGTAGCCATAGATGTAAGGTCTTCAATCTAGATACATTACAGTAAAAAAGGTAAAATTGCTTTGTCAAATTTATCAAAGTTAAATTGACACTTTCATCATGATGATACAACATGTACATACCGATAATTGCTGCTTTCATGTCAGCATATCATTTTCTCTAATTATGATGAGAGCATCCACAAGAACTGTTACTGTTCCACACACCATGCCCAGGCCAAACGCGTGGTATTTCATGGGCCAACAACATCTAATGACACAAATCTTCACCGCCTGGCAGCCATGGCAGCCGCGACTGGGTTTGGGTTCAGCTGCAGCGCAAGGCGAGCCACTTCAGAAACGCCACCCAGGAGGCCGCCGGCAACTCTACGCAAGCCCATGAGCAAATTGCGGCGCTCTGCCATGACAGCATAGAGCACCACAGCGCCGCCTGCCGCCACTGCCGCCAGCTGAGGCTGTGTCAGCCCTGCAAAGCCCTCTTCCTGCAGTGCATGCCCCCCAATTGTGACAAACGTTCTCATCGGACTGAGCAACGGGATGATGGATAGCTCATCTGGGGCGTCTCTGCTTGGCCAAAGGTCCGATTGAAGCGAGTGGGGACTCCCTCACCTGCGACCACCATCTTGAGAGGCTGCCGCTTACATCGCCGTACCAGGGGCCCCGATCAGGACCCTCATCCGCACCACTAGAGGCAGCCACATTCCCACTGCTACTTGCATTCCCAGCAGACCCCGACGGCGCTGCTGTTGAGCAGCCCGGGGGGCCCTCCTGCTGCTGTGAGCCCTTGCTGACAGGCTGCTGAGTTGATTGCGGGGGGTCTCCCCCTGCACTGTCAGGACAAGGTGCTTCCCGGGGCTGAGCGGCTTCAGCGGCGGCCGGTGCATCACTGCTGCTGTTCCATAGGGGGCGTTCTGTGGGCTGCGTGGGTGTGCCCGGATCCACAGACTGGCTGGGCTCGCTGCTCTTCTGCGTGCCATGCAGCTCCTCCAGAATCTGCTCGCGCTGATGCGATGTCAGCGACGCAGTGCCGCTGAGCCATGACTCTGCCTCCTGAAAGCTCGCGGCCTCCCGCGCCAGAAGCTGCAGGAACAGAGCACCTGATATAATCAATTTTACACAGCAGCATCTGATGCATAAATCTGGATTGACCCTCCTCGCATGACCAGTGATCATGATGCTGAAGGGCTATTGCATCCGCAATTATTGTACCATACAGAAATGTCAAATGCGAGCCCACCTCAATGGCATACATCCGCGCCGCCACTGCGCACTGATCAGCAGTAAGCTGGAGACCTTCTGACGCAGTTGTGGTCTGGATGTACTTGTCCAATATTGATGCAGCTTTCGTTGTCATGTTGGCATCCACTCCCAGCGCCACCCTGCGAGTAAGGGGAGGTCATTTCACCGCTATCTGGTATCGGAGTGGAAAGTCAATGACGAATGGCTTGCAGAGACCACAGAGACAGTGCGCACCACAGCATCATCACATCAAAGTCTATCTTCTCTAAGCCCCCATACTGCAACTCCAGCAATTGCAGCACCTCCTCAAACCTGAAAGCACCAAGAGTACTTTTGCAACACCTGCCTTAGACAGTCTTTCTTTCGCCAAACATGGGCAAACATCTAAAGGAAGGTTCGCAAAACGCAAGAGCATGCACCTACTACAGGGCTATGGGATTGGTCCTCACCTGTCCTGCTCATAAAGTGCCTGCACCAATACAAAGGCAGCTCTTCGCAGCTCTGAGCTCGATCCGGGAACGTAGGTGGCGCTGTGCAGAAGTTCTAAGCTGCTGGACTCAGCTTCCTTAAATGATCGCAACACCAAATGCCTTTCTGCAAGAGCTGCTTGCTGTAATAACTTGGCCCTGCCAGTCATGTTGTCTGCCATGCAGGACTAAACTTGAAAAGAACGAAATACGAAAGCTTCAACGTCTTGAAGTCACGATCGAAACATGCACATACACCGCAACCTAAGTAGTGTTCGAGTACCTCAAAACTGTGCAGTCAGCGGCGAGAGCTGACTCAATTAAGATCACTGGCAACGACATACTAAGAATAACAATCTCAATAAGCATTTGCAATAAGCATTTGCATTGGGGTGACAGGATGGGAGACAGGAAGGCTTCGAGAGATGGTGTTGATGACTCACTGCCACGTCAGAAATGGGAAAGGTATCTAGCTTTCGGAATTCAGATTCAGACGACGAAAGAGATCGGGACAAGCTAAGATGCATGTACTGACTTGATTCAGTACTGCCAACGAGATGTCGACCACATGGGGGCTGTTGTGCTTTTTCCAAACAACGGTCTTGCTAACTGTCACATGTACTAGTGACGCCGCACACTCCCCCTTGATCCGGACATTAGAATCAGAGGGCGATTTTAGCGACTGTATTGATTCTGATCAATTGACGAACGGTGTGTTTAGTGAAACCCTTTGCGCACCTAGACTGCTGTGTGCGGAACCTAGATCTTTCCGCATCCTGGACCTTTTCGAATGAATGGTTAGCTTCCACAGCAGAGTATTTTTAAAAACCTATATTTATTTGTACTATGTCTATCTGTTCTGCTGCAGGCTTGAGCACTGCGTGTACACTTCTTGTCGGGAGTTTGGTTGAGAGTGTGAAAGAGCAAGCAGCGGGCAGTATCGAAGGCGAATATTTCCCATTCATGTGCCATGATGGTCACTTGGCATATGCTTCCCTGGACTCAGGAGGTGGGGCCCTGATTGTAGCAATGGCACAGAGCCCTCAAGTCAGTACTATTGCAGCTCAGTCCAGCGGTGCAGAGCACACTGTAATACTCATTCATGGGTTTTGCAAACGCAGAGCGGATTCTCTGGTATTCCCGGGATTACAAGGACTGGAATATAAATGCAGGCTTGGAGGCAAAGCCGGTAGGCTACCCCTTGTCTATGACCTTCTCATGTATCTGCTTATTACAAGATGCGCCATGGGGTTCATCACCACAAGATCAACGATGCGCGAGTGAACTGCAGAAGTACTTCAAGTCTCCCTAGAGACCTTTGTGCTGTGGAAACCACCTTTGGGGCATCTGCATGCATTCAGCAGTGCAGCCCAGCACCACCATGCGCGGTACTTTTTGAAGTTGCATGAAACCATCTGAACCTTTCTGACATCATTTTGGGCATTCAGGAGGAGGTGTTGGCGTTTGCTAGTGACGCCGGTGTGGGCAGCGGGGTGCAAGAGCCCTTCTACTCAGGTGCAGGAACTTGGTGGGTTGTCAGGAGGCCTGGGCTGAGGACGTCATTAGAGGTGCGCTCAGCATATGTCCATACATGGGAAAGCTGCGTCTGCAGAGCTGGCAATAATGTTGTGTTGGCAGGCATGCTACGACTTTGCAGGTATGTGAAAAAATACGTGAAGGCTGTTGTGCATCACATTGCAGGAAATGTTCACAGAGGCGAAGGGGCTTCGAGTTCAGTGCATTGAGGGGCAATCTGTTGTGTAGAGAGCAGGAAAGTTTGTTTGTCTCAGTACTGCAAGCCTGGCGTGGATGGCTGTTGTGTGCCACATGCCAGAATATTCTTATTTACGTCTTGTCAGTCTGGTGTGTATCTATTATTCAATGGGAGGCCTGTCCATCGCTGATGCTGATTGAGTTCGAGTCCGCCAAGTTTATCGTGAATCATCTGAGCGTGAGTGCACAATACTGATGAACTACTCTGTGTTAAGGCCCCCTGTACATTAGTGCTTCTCACACTTCAAATCGAGAAATTTACATAAGGAAGCGACAATCCTGCTTGGGTTTGCAGTCATGCTTCTGAATTCGCAACTTTCAATTGGTAGACCTTCGGATTCCATATGCAATTGGAAGTTCAGATGTGGGAGTAGCAGCTGGCAGCTGCAATCTGCATAGCAATGGCAAGGTCATGACACGCAGATATATGGACTCTTCTTGACAGACATTCAAGCGCTTTCTAGCTAATAGAGGTGCCTGTAGTTTGGAGTCTCAGAATGTGTCAGGCCATGTTTACAGATTTTGTAAGAGTGTTGGCACATGTACATGCTGCCTAAAAGCGAGCCTTGCAGAGATTGTTCCTGATTACTTTGGCCATGTAAGAATTTAAGGGTCCCCATCCACTTCTATATATAGGTCAAAAAGTGACACTGCATTTTTAAAAACGATTCTGCACACACGCAGTGAGTCAAAGTCCAAGAAATACACATAAAGAAGACTATTGTACTGGTAATGTTTGGTCATGTCATGTCAATGTAAAGGTGTCAACCACTGAAGTGGGGTAGTTATTTTGGCTATTGATCAGAACGTTATGCAACTTTATCCACAGCTGTAGAGAACAGCTTGTTTCCATGTACAGCGCAAGTGTCTCAATGCGACCCAGTCAGTTCTTTGTGGTCATGAAGACATCTGCACTTAGATATATGACATAGAACATCTGCTGTGCATGCCCAGGCAATGGCTTGCCATGGCATTCCAGCCATGCCAGCCCCAAGCAAGGGATCCTGAATCCATGACAAGATATGTCTGCCGCTGATGCGATCACATCAGCTGATCCCAAGATAGAATTCTTTCCATTGCTGATGAGATCAGAGCAGCTCATCACATGAAGCTTTCCCTCTCCCCCTGAGATCAGCGCAGCAGATGACAGATCAAAAACCTCTAGTGCTGATGAGATCACATCAGTTGATCGCTTGAAGTTTCCCTCTCCCGGGGATGAGACCAGAGCAGCTGATCACATGAAGGTTCTCCCTCTACCGCTGATGAGATCTGGGCAGCTGATCACACATCAGAAGCCTCCGCCGCAGCTGATGAGGCATACATCAGCCGATCAGATGTCCTGGGCTGCGGCCTGCGGGGGAGCTTTGCCGGGGGACAAGGAGGGGGACGTCTTGGGGGGGCAGGGGGCGGGGTCATCGCCGGCGCGCGGCACTTCGACGCGGATATCCGCGCGCGTGCGCTCGGCCGGCCCGGCCTCCGCCGCCGCCTTGCCGCTGCCGCTGTCGTACTGCTCGCGCAGGCTGACCATCTCCGCCTCCATAGCCGCCTGCCGCCGCGCCACCTTGCGCTCGTGCAGCCTGCGCAGGATGATTATTCTTTAATTTTGTTGTGATGGGTTTTTTTATTATCCTGCTTGATGGGTGCCCCTACGGAGCTTCCTGCCTGTCACAACCCTGCCTCGTCAAACTGCCAACTGCAAAGCTGTCTGCTGTTGCATCTCAAGCCCCCTGGAACCAAAGTGGTGAGCTGTGAGTGGTTGCACTCTGAAACAGCATGAACTTGTGTGCGTGCAGCCTGCACAGTGAAACTTTTTTCAGTTTTCCCCCAGACCCTGCAGAGCTTTTGGCCACGTCCCCTGCCCCGTGATTTGCCATCAGAATGCCTTAGGATCCAGAGACATGCAGATTGCAAGCCTCAGTGGCGGTCAGCTGCAGGTTCCACCTCATCAGTCACATCTTCCTGATTGGCATCCACGTCTCTTTAACTTGTATAATCATATTTCCTTAAGAATGTGCAGGGAGGCGGCGGCGTCTCCAGGGAGTAGGTTGGGGGAGCGCGCCTGTCGAAGCGCTTGCCGTAGATGATGTGGCGCTCGTAGTACATCATGGTGGCCTCCGAGGACAGGCGCGCCACCAGCACAGCCGCCCCTATGTACAGCAGCACCAGACCTGCGCACAAACACCCACACCTTGCCCCAGTCATTCCTCTGCCTCATATCCTCTTTCTATTTCCTTCCTCATCGCTGCCACCTTTCTGTGCTTCAGTCCATCAGACATGCTGTGCCCAAGCTCAGCGACAAGCAATTGCTCCTTATGGTGCCAGGACGGCCTCTAGGTGGGTGGCCGCACTATGCCACATGAAAGACAGGGATGCTGAGAGAGCTCTTGCTCAGTCTTTGGAGCGTCTTCTTGTCTGAGGCAAGCGTAACTGCAAGAGCGGGGGTGAGCTCACATGGGTCAAACTCAATCTTCGGGGTGCGTTCTTGTCTGATACAACCAAGATTGCAAGAGCGGGGATGCTCGTATGTGGGGTCAGTGGCTCACCGATGAGGGTGGTGTTGAGGTGGCCCTGGGCGGCAGTTGAGAGTTCGCGGATGCTGCGCAGGTCCTGGGTGGTGCAGATGCATGCCTCGCTGTTCAGGAAGTTGTACAGCTTGATGTCCAGGCACGCCAGCGACGGGCACACGCTGTTGTCATGCGACCCCGACCCAAAGAGAACTCCTGAGCCTGCCCAGCAAATACCCATGTCAATTACCGCTTCCTTCCTTCTGCCCTGCATCAACCCCTGTCTTTGATTTATCCTCCCAGCTACACAGCAAGTGAGGCTGTATTGACCGTATCCATGCAAGTGGGGGGCTATGTGTTGGTGGGACCTTGGAGCACCTCCATCAAATTTTAGGCAGTTCTAGACCCTGAAGGGGCAGCCCCTGTTTCTGGAAGATTTTAGACGAGCCATCAGGTGTACTTGTTTTCGTGAGAACCCTGGCGAGCGACTTGTGAACAGTGCATAATGTGACAGGGGCGCACTTGGGTCTTCGCCCTGGGAGGGAACGCGGCCGGAGGTGGATCCGCCGGTGGCGATGCCGGCCAGGCGGAGTATGGACTCCTCGTTGGGCATCATCGTGGACAGCACCTGCTCCGCCAACGTGCTCAGCGTCGTCGGCGCCTGCGCCACCGACCCCGGCGCCTGCGCAGCACCCCATGCACGCAAACTCATCACTATGCAGCTCAAGTCCAAGGATGCAGTGGATGTCTGACATGTAGGATGAAAGCTTTCACGGGACACTTCCAGACATGTGAGACCCAGCGTTTTGACGGCTGATTGTCTGAGGACATGCCAGACAATTGCGCACATGCTCAGAGTGGCCCGACTGCCTCTCAGCATTCCCTTTCCATGCTTCTGCCCATTGACATTATACAAGAGAATTACTTACCAGCTCTTGCGCAGACATTTGCTGGCAGTGCACAATCAGGTGTCGCACTACAGGTGCGACGTGGTTTAGAGACGGCAGCTGCAGTGTAAGGGGGTGTGGACAGGGGTAGCAAAGAGCATGGCGCACCGGGGGAGCGGGGGAGGATGGCGCCTGCAGGAAGTTGTTGAAGATGTTGTTGTTGCTCTGCGGCTGCTGCTGGGACTGCGGCGGATTCCCGCCTCCACTGCCAGAGCCCTGCAAATGCGGATGGGCACACTTTCATGAAGCGTGTTTGCAGGCTTTAATACATGCATGACTATTGCTGACACCTAATGAATGCACAGCGATTGCTGCAGAGACACCTCTCTTTGCTGTAACCTATATATCAAAAACCATCACATTGTCTTACGCTCCTCGCTCTGCCAACATACTTACCACAACAACTATGTGAATGGCGCAATTTTGAGGCTATGAAGTAATGTAATGGTCGAGGTCAAAGCTTTATGATACATGGGTTCTTGCTCACATGCTCACATGGGCGCCAGGTATGCAGGGAGGACAGGTTTCAGGCAGGAGAATACTCTAATGACAGCCTGCCTCAAAGATTCAATACTTCTCCATTTAGAACATTCTCAAAATACTGAATACAACGGCTGTACCATCCCTTAATGAGGTAAGGGAGGGGCCGGCACCTGGTTGTTGCCGGGGATGAGGGCGGCCAGATTAGGCCCCTGCTGGTTTCCGGGGGATCCGCCCCCCAGCAGGTTCTGCAAGTTGATGTTGGGCAGGTTGAGGAAGTTGGACTGAGGGGTGGGGACCGGCGTTGCAGGCGCCAGCTGCTTGGCCAGCGTCTGGGCTGTGCTCAGCAGCGAGTTTGCAGCCGTGCTCTGCTCCGCCTGATTCCCACTGCACAAAGGCAGGCAAATCTCTGTGTCAGACTCTATGCTGCCTGTCGAGGTGCCATCGTTCCCTGCCCATGTTTGCCAGAAAAAAAATGGAAACAAAAAGTGCAGCACCGTACCAGACTTTCAACATCCCAGGTCGAGTGACATGCATGATATGTGTGATGTGTGCTTGGCAGAGATGAGATTATTCTTGCTTTGTGAGAACCCTTTGAGATTTTGACATCCCATGTGAAGTGACGTGTGTGTTCTCGGTGCCCTCTGCTAAGGGCAGGTGAATGTCCAGGATCTAGGGACGGGTGACTCTGCTGCATGCCAGAGAAATTGCTGACCTGGCGAGCTGCCCAGCAGCGCTGGCGCCCTGGAACAGCTGCGCGGCCACAGATGAGGCATTCACATTGCTGTTGACGTAGGGGTTGAGTGGATTATTGCCGCCATTCAGCTTCCCTGCACACCACCAACTTCCATCAATCAAGCACCCTCATCTCATTCGGCTTTCAAGGCACGCCCCACGTCTGGAAGGTGCCAGGCAAGGGAGGCATGGCAACACTTGAAAGTGGGGAGTCATCACCTCTAAACACATAAAGCCAGAAGGCGCCTATCACAAAAAATCATTGCCATATTGTGACGGTAAAAGGAAGAAGACAGCACGAGCGCAATGGCGCGCACCGATGATTGAGCCGACAGGGCTCGCTGAAAACTCGTTGGCTAAGGCATCAACTTGGTCCACTGCCTGATGCGCGCGGATGAGCGTTGCATTGGCCGCCGCCACCTGTGCGCATCACTAACCATCAGCATAAGGTATTGCGGGCCTATATGTTCAGCCCCAGCTGGCGGGGGCGATATAAGTACTGAGCACCGCGCCCACGGTTGACTGTGTCTTGCATGGACCTGGACAGTGCAAACAGGGGTAGGTTTTGCGGCAGCCTGTACATGCAGCTTGTCTGCACGTGCACCTTGCCTGTGGCAGGAAAAGCATGTAATAAAAATGATTACATTCACGCGATTCCACGGCCATCACACTTCTGCATTGCTGTCCTGCTGCGGTCCTAATGCTTATGCACTTCTTGATGAGAGCAGCAGGGTTGCAATGATGACAAAGCATCCTTAAACAATGGCATTGCACAGCACAGAGGCCCGCAATGTGAATCCTACCGCGCTGGTGATAATCGCTATGCCAGCGTCCGACCCGTTGATGAGCGTCCCCATCATCATTGAGGCTGCATGCATGCACAGGCCAGGTCAGCAATTACTAATGGGCATTGTTATCCCCTTTATGGTGACTTGCGTCGGTAGACGCAAAGGCTTGCAGGTGGTGTTGCGGATGGAAACTGTGCATTGTACTAGGAGTTAATGGCAAATATGGCAGTCCAAGATTATATGAGGTGGTGCAGAACTGTTTGTGGGTGAAAGTGGCAGGGTTGAAACAGATCGGAGTGATGGCAGGCAGATCAGATATGTAAGGGGTGCACCTGTTGTGTTGGCGGCCACGAGGCAGACGAACCAGGCGGCCATGACAAACATGAGGAGGAAGAGGCAGACAGTGAGCCAGTAGTAGGTCTTGTAGATGCCCAAGCTCCTCTCCCCATCTTCACACACCACCACAAATGCTTTTCATACTGCACACCCTTCCTGTACTGCATGCATGGCTGAGGCCTGCACCTACAGCTTTGCCTAGACTATGAACACCAGCCAGCACTGCAGTACCCTGCAAATCACGTCTGAAGGCCAAGAGGCGCCGGAAGAGTGCTCTCTTGCGTGCGGGCCACTCAATAAATGAGACTTATTTTTCATGGGTCTCGCAGCCTCAGACAAAACGACCAATAGGTTGCACAGAAACAATGAGCAGACAGGGACTCGAATGAGACATTCAGGCACTGGCATAATCGACAAAGGCAGGTCCAAACGAGCACAGGCAGACAGCTGAGCATAAAATAATCTGCGCATGAGTTTACTGGCAGAAAACGATGGAGTGCAGCATGGTTGCACGTGTACGCCTGAGTACATGGAATACTGAAGTACGAACAGGCCCTGAGCACCCAAATTTGCTAGCGCTAGTACGTCAGAACGTCCTCCTAGTACGAGTACTGGTGCAACCCTGGATTGCAGGCAAAATTCAAAGTAACACTGTGGTACGCACCCCCGTAGCGCAGGTCCTGGCGCAGGCGTTGGTCTGCGCGCACGCTGTACATCATTATTGCCAGCAGCGCGCAGATGGCCGACACCGCTATCGTGGCCGTTACCGTGCTCACGTACGCGCCCACCACCGCGCTGAAGCCGCTCGTGCTGCCTCCCACGAACCCCACCAGCACCTTCATAAGCCCCCCTGCCTTCACGGCCTGCGCAGCGCCACAGGTCTTATTACTCTTGATTTTAATTTGCTGCTTTGCATGCCAGAGTCAAGGTGCTTTCACAGGCAAGATGCAGGTGAAGGTTGCCACATGTGTACCCCTGGACGGACTCGCCAGATCCAAGCAAGACCCAATCGACCGTGGGCATGTGCTCAGTATTTTTGTTACCGCCCCCAGCCAGCCGGAGCCACAACATCAATTGATAATAGTGGCAAATTTACACCCAGGGGCCATACATGCAGGGCCTCTGCAGCCACGTCTGATGGGCCTGTGATAGTTTGGAGCCCAGCTCTTATGTGCACACAACCTACACAAACGATTTAAACTCGCCAATTGGAATTTCGTGAACTCCGCTTGAGTTTGTAGTGTCAAGGAGGGTTTGCTGTATTGCTCAAGGACCCTTGACCATGACCATGACCACCAGCTGGGGCGTCCTAGTGTTTGACAAGTCTTGCTGCTCTGGTGGGGCAATGGTGGGGCAGCATTGGGATTTCTGCTTGTGGAGGACACTGACAGACAGTCTTGGAGAAGTGAAGGCAGCAGGAAGGGGGTCGCACCGACAGGGCAAAGGTGGCGCAGCCTGCAATCATAATGGCAAGGCCCAGGATGGCCCAGATGGGGACATACCGCAGGTGCAGTGTGCAGCTGCATGCGCAAGGGAAACTGTCAGTCTCTCCTCTGTCTAAGAGCCAGTGTACAATGGGTTGGTGCACTGCATGTCACCCAGTAAGGGATGGTGCTTGTTAGCGGCAATTTTCAAAAGGTCTTTGAGAGGTGACGGCCTCACTCTCTGTCTGCATTGAAGGCCCTCTTGACTTGTCGCTCCTCATCCTTCACTGGACTAGCAGGGCAGCCCTCTGCAGAGGATGCGCCAGGTGTGTCTTCCACAACGTCATCTGCTTGATCTTTTGGTGTTTTGCTACCATTTGCTCTCGATGCTTTCAGCTTCGGTGGAGAGGATTTTCGCTCTCTGGGCCCCTCCTGTTGTGGGCTGGGTTCCTCAACCGAGACACCCTGGAGGGCTGCAGAGCCAGGAGCCACCTTTCCGAACACTTTTCTGAAGATTTCTGCTGCTGCATGTTCGAGCCTGCTCATCAAAGCAAATCTCTGGTCAGGGATTGTCGAACATCCATCGTACATCCAAAAATTCTCAAACCCCTCACCCTAAATAATGCATGTCAATGAGCCGCTCGCGAACGCTCAAGACGATCCAAAACTATGGAGCAATTGATTTGTGGTCCATGTAAAGCTGCAATCCAGTGGTCCGGCTTGTCAGCGAGACCTCTATATTTCAAGATGTCTTCACTTGCACTAGCCCAACTAACCACCAGATTCTACTGCACACTTCATCTCACGTTCGATGAAAAGATCCGTTTTTATCTCTTCCTTACCAGCCACAGCACAATAATGACAAGAGACTACGCCGTTTGTTCTGGTCTCAATCTTACCTGTTTCTGTGCACCTGCCTTATGGCCCCTTCGGGATTGACCGTCTCATCGGACCTAGAGTCCTTCATATCTTATCAAATTGTCAGCAAAGATTTCTCGCTGCTCTTACACGCGAGGGCGAGGAGTACTCGTCGAAACGGGTCGTTGTGGTACCGTGCATTCAGTGACACATATTGGTTCAGAGACGAATTGACGAGGCCAATAAGATACTACTCCTTTTCTCCAACTCCTACTACCAATACAGCATTACCGACGAAGTGGTCAAGCACTGAACTCCACTATGGCCGAGAATGATGCGTCACAAGTTGCCCGAGCAAGACGTCGGGCTCTCCCAAATTTGGCACACATGCACGGGCTTCATCTTGACTGCCTGCAGCCCCCAGTAGTGACTCACATCTTCTGGCAATTTCTCATCGGTCTTTCTTCACATCTTTACATCCTCATGCATCACGCATCCTCATGCAGGGCAGATTTGTGGCTCCAGATGGTTGGCCGCTAGGGCTGCAGCTGCAGCCGGCGCCGACTGCAGGCCTGCAAAAGTTTAAATTCTAATTAGTTTATAAATGCAATGCACTCAGCAGATATATGTCTGATCGAGTATGTGTCTCGGCGTCTTGATGATGCCAATAAAAGACTCCTAATCAGTGGCGCATGCATGTTGTCTCCCCGGCAAGCTACCTTACTAATGTGACATTTATATTAATTAAATTTGCCAGCAATGCACTACAGTACTATCATGATCAGTGCCACAGTGCATGCATGCATATGCAAATTTGCGGGCACAAAAGGCATCAGCGGCATCATGCCAAATGATCATGGCGACTGATTTCTGGGAAAGTCATCTGCTCAGAGCAAACTTTCACACAGAACACATACACCAAGCACACAAACAGGCGCATCAGGCATGCAAGAATCACACCTAGCGTTGATCTGTCCTGCAAAAGCAATGCAGATAATCACATTGCGTTGTCTCCTACAGTCTTGAATGTGTCATTAAGGAGACACCAAGGGACCCTAACAATTAGATCAAGCGGTGGTCTTGAGGCCCATTTCCTTGCTCAGTCGTAGCCTCCCATGTAGAGGTCTGCATTTTCATACCACGTATTCGCATGCATCATTCTCAGACAGCCTCTTTCTGGGCGCTGCAGCATCAATAAAAAGGATGGGGCGCAGTCTGGTCTGTCATCATCCACGCACGCCCCTTTCTCTCGCACATCAGCAACAGCCAGGGACAACCTCAACGAGTTGCCGGCAATTCCAATGGCGGCGTGAAGCACGTAATATGAGTTGCACAGGTCCTCGAGTGACACAGCAAGGTCTAAGAAGCACTTTACAAATGAGCCCAGTCCTTCCTGCAGTCACAAGCAGACGCTGCCAAAATCTACCCATGTCTCAATAGCATGCATGGCGGGCATTGGGGCAGGATACCCGCTGCGAACTGACCCTCACTCAGGGTCCTGAGACACATCCCAAAAGATCACCCGACAAATAATTCTGTGGGACAACACTGAAGAAGGCGACAACTTTGGGCTGCTCCAGAAAACATCACAAGCAGAAATAGCACTGGTCACCATGCAGCCTTGTAGGTATTTCCATCTTGTCATGAAAACGTCGTTGGCGATCATGCCTAGCAGCCACTGATCCTGGATATGTTGAGGCGGCTGCTGCAGTCGGTGATGAGGCCGTGGATGTGGGCCGCAGTCTCTGGGGCAAACTTGCGCGCCATGAGGGGGCACTGGTAGCCCAGAGAGCCGGCATAGGGCACCCGCTCCGCCCGGCATGTGACCTGCGTGAGGTTGTCCACATGCACAAACTGCGCCGCAGACGTCCTGATGGCCTCTGCGTAGCTGCAGCCCTGGCTGGGCTGCCTCAGCTGCCTCAGCCTGAACACAGATCATCTCTTCTATCAGGCCCCTTCATAGCCGGTCAAGCTGGCGGGGGGGTCCAGTGGTAAATAAGAGTTACCCACATAAATCAACACACTTGCAGCATGCATCAAGTTCTCTATCTAGTTCTTCATCCTCTTTTATGCAGCTGTGCAAAAAGGCTCTTTCATTCCATTTGAATCTATTGATCCCCGCATGTGTCTAGTTGGCGGCATTCAGGAACACATCTGCCAGGTGTGCCGTACTTTGAGGAGGTGGTTTCACGGACAGAGTAGGAGCGCGGGTGCTCGCCGCCAAAGCTCCAGTCCACGTGCATCGTCTGCCCCTCGCAGTCCGTCTCATGGTCCAGGTTCTTGGTCGCCAGTAGCGTCGCAAAATAGTGCTCGTCAGAGTAGCAGTCCCTCCACCTGCACACACCAAAAACAGCTTCATTTTGCTGCACAGTACTGATTGCAGTAGAAGGAAACCACTGTACATCGTAATACGACAGTAAGGCATGAGTATCAGTGAAGGGAAACGAATCGCACCAACCATCGCGCCAGGAAGGCTGGCACTCAGCTCCAAAGGAGCTCGCAATCTCCGTGTCCTCCACTGCGATCTCCGCATGCTTCCTCCCCAGTGTCACCCTAGAAACACGCAGAAATCATGCTTGCATCAATGCTGGGATGTCTCTTCTTTTTACATGATGAAGGTTACAGGTGCCAAGCATGCATTGACATTGCTGATATTGGCCACTGACTATTGCAACGGAGGGGTTAACATGGGAAGATGGCCACCCACCATTGGCTGCTTTTCCGCCAGTGCTCCTGACGCATGCTTTCCGTCTCCATCCGCCAGATCCATCTGTGCACATCTCTCTCCACCTGCATCCACATGGAATGCCCTTGACCTGGCAGGAATATACATTTCTCTGGCCACTAGGGACCAATCAACTCCTAGATGGGGCAAAGATCTAAGTTGCCATGCAATGCAGGGATGCAAAGACATATCTGGCTCGGCCAAAGGTCCTCAGTCACAATCACTCTTGAGGTGAAAGAGTGATTTGCTCGGTACAGTGATGGGCACATATTCAACCTGTGCCAGAGCGGAACGGTATGTATAATCCATGGATACAACCTCAACTAGCAGCTCTGAGGGCATCAGCTCGTTGGCTCACCCCGGGGATGACACAGGAGTTGATGCGGCTCTTGCGCTCGGACATGAGCTGCATGTAGAAGGTGTCTGGCGGGTACAGGGGGATGCCCGCTTCCGACAGCAGCACAAACTTCTGATTCAGGCTGTCCTCCAGCGCCGCCCGCATCAGCGCCCGCGTGGCTTCCACCAGAGCAAAGGTGCCCCACTTCACCGTCACCCGCTCTGTTATCTCCCGCCCATGGAACATGCTGTCCTCAGGAAAGCCTGCACTCGCCCCAGAGGATATTTTAGAGGCAGTCAAACAAAGGCAAGAAGTAGAACTCTCTCAGAATACACTGCACATGTGCCAAAGGCCCTTCCGCAAAGCAGGCACAGCTGCCACAGATTCATTGACAAAAATCACCAAGTAGACAACGTGAGGAGAAGCCCCATGTCAAATTTAGTATTCATAATTCTTATTCTATTACATGCTTTTCCTTCCAGAGGCAAGGTGCGACTGCAGAGGGGCCGGGCCGGAGATCTACCGGATACATAGAGGCAAATGGAGCGCGCACCCTTCCAGTTGACCTCATTGGCGCCGACATGGGCGTAGACGCTGAAGAGGTGTTGCTGCTGCAGCAACCCAGCGCCTGACTTGGCGCCGCAGCTGTGCTTCAAGTGGTCCAACAGACCTGCCTCGCAGTCAGCTGCCTGCAGGGAAGCCAGCGGCAGAAGCCCCACCGCCCCACGGAACCACAAATCCCACGTCCTCTCGTGATACAGCACCCCCCTCGTCAAGAACATGAAGGCCACCTGCATGGGATGCAACACCGTGATTACTGAGCTTTGCTTGTCTAGCTTCAGCTGAGGTATGGACAGCGTGGGGTTGGAGCAGGCTTAATTGGTTCTATTCTTGCAGGGTGAAGATCAGGACGGACCTTCGGCATGCGCAGTGCGGCGGCACAGCGATCAGGTGACCGCACATGGGCATCTTGGCCAATGCTGACAGCAAGTTGACCCGCCTTTGCATCCGCCCTGCAATGTTCAACAGCACCCTCAAAGTGCTGCTAGTTTTGTGTGCCTGCTCATGAGGCTACACTTAATGACATCTGCTCTCAACACACCTTTTAAAGAAACGAAGTGACCACACAGCTCCACAGCAAGAACGTCAGTGTATGAAAGTCATTGACTGACGATCTAAATGCTCACCTGAGAATGGTCTGCCCAGCCTCAAACTGAGCCAGTCGATCGTCCTCCCAGGCATCCAGGGTGCGCGCCTTCAGATGCTCTGCCAGCCTGTCAGCCCACGTCACCTTGTCCTCCACTAAGAAAGAGACAAGTGCACCCCAAAGTCCTTCGCGAGGCCAACCCTCGATCTGCTGCGCAGCCTCCTCTTTCTTCTTTGCTGCGACCTGCGCACAGTGCAGAGTGTACTCAACACCCAGCGGCAGATATGCAGGTTCCTCACGGATGTGCAGGCAACAGATCTGTAATTTGCCTTGATGCTTAAAAAGGCAGTGCCCTCTCTGCCTTCATCTCCAACGACTTTATAAATGCCTCTCGCAAACAGATTACTGGGCCACATTTGACATTTGGAGCCTGCCGCTGTCTGGCAGGAACAGTACCTGCACCAGGAGCGTCTCCTCACTGGCGGCCTGCTTGTTGACGCTCTCCAATTCGCGCATGGCAGCCTCCCCTTGACCGTGGGTGGGGTGCCAGGGATGCCCATTCACAAACTTCTTAGCGTGCCCACCTGGCTCGTCCTCCGAGTCCCTTCGCCGGCCAGCTGCGCATCAGAACCCCTTACTAAGATCATAATGTATCAATGAAGTGAGCAGCAAACTCCCCAGATGCAGCAAGGGCGCTCAGGATGTGCCATGTCTGTCTGTGACCCACCTGCATGCCAGGCTGGTAGGTTGCCGGAGGAGCCATTGGGCAGGACGCCTTGCCAGAACAGCAGCTCAGGGAGGAGCACCGTCCTGATGACGCTGCCATCCTCGTGCGGCCATGCACCCGCCAGGACGAGCGTGATGCAATGCAGGCCCAGAATGGCCAGGAACACATGGCACAGCCGTGTCATGCCCCCCTTGCGCTCATTCAATTGGGGTGCCCGATGCGGTCCACCCTACACATTTAAAAACATCTGTAAGCCCTTTCCGATTAGTCGAACCACATCACTTGCAAGCGTGAGCTTTTGACCCCCAATGCGCACTTTTTTCAGGGATCCACAGAGGCATACCTGTAGGGTAGGAAGCGCGGCAGCAGGAGATGCTTTTGGAGTGATTGCTCGCTGCGACAGGGGCATCCACCTCGGTCAGTGGTGACCGATGCTGCACGAGCATCAGCTCTCAGAGTGCCAACCCGAAAGCTTCCTCAGTTGTTCATGCGGTGATGGGAATCCTTCTCAAGACTCTATCTGGTATTCCTTGCTACAGGATGCAGCCTGCTGTCGCGTTCTGTATATGACGTTGTCGATCTGTGGATCATACTGTCCGTCCATCACCCTGCAGTTGCAAGTAGTCAGGTTGTCAAGCAAAGTGGGCTCTCATATGGAAAGAACAATTGCGCTTCGATGGTTGTCCCATCGGTAGATATGTTCTATTCTAAAAGGCTCGCATTGCAAAGCATTCAATGAAATCATATAATTGCGGGGCTTGACGTTCCCGCAGATTCCTAAGACAAGCCCAACTTCAGATTACGGAATATTCGACCCAGAACAAGAAAAATTGGGATACATCATGCTTCGAAAGGTTTGTTTTGCTTTCTTGGGAGCCTGCCGCATCATCTAGTCAAGTTGGAAGAGCAGCCAACCTGTTTCGCACATGGAACTTGTACTCTTCGGGACACACCTCTGATTCCTCTCACAATCAGATATAGATTTTCCAATTCACAGAATTTTCTTGCTATCTTCTTGAATCCTTCAAGTCACTCAGCTTGGCTCTTGGTTGAAGTGCAGCGATAGCCATGTGATCTGGTCTTTGGGCAGATCAAGTGCCCCACGGTGGGCACGGCGGGCAAGATTCGAGGGCAGGCAGCTTCCTCTAAGTTATACTAAAATGCATCTGCGGCCGGATTCTCAAACATATGCGCCTATATAAAGATGCCGAGCTGAGGGAAGTGCGAACAATACCAACACTGGCCGGCACTTTCTGCTGCTCCAAAACACGTGTAACAGAACAGGCTTGCAGCCAATGCTGACGCACTGGCTCCACCGCCATAATTGGGGTGGCCGCAGCACCGTCGGGCCTTGACGGGTTCATCGTGCATGTCAAGTATTTTTTGTGCAGATGCATCAGGACGCAGCAATTGTTGCGCTGCTTCAGACCAAAACGGACGGCCTTGGAATAGACGAACACTTTGTCAAGAACAGCTTCGAGTAGGATCATTCCGTTGCAGCCTTTTGCAGACTATATAAAATCAGGCTGGCGGATTTGGTGGGTTCCTATGACCAACGAGATATCTTTGATTGTTTGTTTTCACAATAAATTGTTGATGCAATCTGGCGTTTGTCAGGCGATCAAACATACATGTCGTGATGGAACTTGCCTTGCAGTGTGACATATATTCCTGTTAATTATTTTTTGTCTCAATAGGAGGTGTGGGTGCAGGTTCCTGGCCTCCGAAATCTTGCGTTACAACTCCATCTACTTTGTCTGATGCTGGGTAGCAACCCGTCGACGTCTGGCAGGAGATCTCTTGAAAACGAAGACACCTAACGCTGCGATAGCTACACTGCCAGCACCCCACTTAAGGCTGTCCAGATGAGGGACCATGTGGGTGAGGCAAGGGTTCCCCTGTTGGGCTCTCCTGGGAACAAGCTGCGGATTGCCCTGGGCCTCTCGCCGTCTCCGCCTAGATCGCCCTCGCAACAGCAGCACAGCCACAGGGCTGTGTCAACCACGATATTCAGAACTTGTGCAGCCATCGCTGGTCTGGTCATCATAAACGCCATTCTTGCTGGTGTCATCCTATCAGCCGTCCACAGCTTCGGCGGGTGCGCTCACTTCATTACCTTGTGCTGTAGCTTTTGTCTGCTTCAACACTTCTTATTGCAAGGCGATCATGCGCTATCCAGCAGATTGAAGTATCCAAATGGCAAGGTGATGCGTTAATTTTTGGACACATGGTGCTGATGCAGGAGCAGCAACAAACCGGTGAAACTCGACGGGCTTCACAATACTTCCCCTGGGTATTCCAACTCTGCACGAACAGAGCCTTCTGCAAATAGCGCCCTCACTCAGCCTGCTGCAGCGCTGTACTCACCTGAGTATGAAGGTGCGCAGCATTACCAGTCGGTCTACCAACAGCGCCTTGATGCCTGCTTGTTACCAATATGAACAGTTCCTCGTTCCTGATAGCAGTGTCAGAGAGAAGTGGCCATGAGTGCAGGATATAATAGCACAGTTGGGAAAGGGAAGCCCCCGTGGTGGCCAAGGGCCTTTGGTGCGGACGATACAAGCACCAAAAAGACAAGTACACAGCAGGCACGGACGGACAGGGATGTTGCCGCTGCAAGCAGTGCACGGCAAGCAGACAAACTGGCGAAGGAGCAAGGGGCACAAGCATCCGGCACAGGGATCCAGCCACAGCAGGGCAGCCAGGAACTTGCACTCAACACCAGCTGGGTTGAAAAAGTGGACAACAGCAGCTGGGTCACACAGGTGGAAGAGTTCTTCATGGAGGATGACAGCACAGAGGAGGCAGCCACGCCCGCCGCACCTGCCCTCAGAGCCAACGCCACAGCGCCTGCAGCCTTGATCGCACCAGCTCCAGCCCCCGCGCCAGGCAGGCATCCAGAAACGGCAGACACCGCTACCTCAGCCGATCTCAAGAGGCAGTCAGCAGATCCCAGCAGGATCAATGCCAGCGCAGTGGCTGCCAGCCCAGCACCGGCTTCTGACAGCGAGGCAGCACCGCGCACGAAAGCGCTGGATGCTGCAGATGCCGGCGGCAAGGACGTTGTGTCCGAGGCGACGCTGGCGTGGGAGCGGCTGGCAGAGGCGCGCGTGGAGGAGGCACCAGATGCAGTGCAGCAGGAGGCGGTGATTGAGCAGGAGAAGGCTGCTAGTGACGGGTCCGAGGTGGAGGCCTTTGGCGAGGTGTACTCTGCGGGGGATGTTGCTGGCACAATGGTGGACGGCGCACAGAATGCCACCGCCGCAGCCCCCGCCCCCGCCCCCAGCCCGCAGCATGCTCCCGACCCCTGTGCAGCCGCGCTTGGCATTCCCAAGGTGTGGCTCACATCCTTTCCCCATTAAACCCTCAATTTAAGCAGATGTGAATGAAAAATCAATGGCGGGAGTGAATTCCTTGAACTGTAAAGGTTCCCCTCAAGAGTGGTGCCCAGTGGCAGTGGTCACGGTGGCTGACTTCCAGTGGGCTTGTATTTGTAAATTATCAGCTCTTGGCAGGTCAATCACACAGCACAGGAACAGGGGAGGCCATCGAGCTCTATGTTCCTACTCTGAGCTGAGAAGGGATCGAGGTGGACTGTGTCGGTCCACAGGTGGCCATCATGTTCCTGAGCAGAGCAGAGTTGTTACACGAGTCGTCCTGGGCGCTGTGGTTCCAGCATGCCGCCGGGCTGCTGCCTGCCTCCGCGCTGCGAGCGCCGGAATTGGAAGGTAAGTTTTGATGCGCATCTGCCAGCTTGTTGTGTATCTTAATGGCACAATTCTGACCATCGACCTCTTCTTGACCCTGCACCGGTGATATTACATTTGCAGAACTAATCCAGTCAACAAATGTATTGATGGATGGCGCATGCTTTTCATGGCGTCCTGCAGAGTATGCGACATCTGTTAGGATGTGAGCGCCGGCAAGCAGGAGAGGGTGATGGTATAGGGTTCAAGGCAATCTGCAATGATCAGGATGTACGTCAAAACACGGGTACCAAATTGCAGACGAGGATGGCGGTGCTGGCTGCGATGCGGGCCGGGTGCGGTTGGCGCAGCAGTGGTGCTCTCCAGAGGCGCAGGGCAACGGCGTGCTGCAGCGGCAGCACCTGTTCAGCGTTTACATCCACCCGCTGCCCAACTACGGCACCTTCCCCGAGGAATCCATCTTCCGGGGACAGGAGATCGAGGACCGTATCCAGGCACGTACACTCTGCCCACACTTGCTACTTCTGTCACAACACGAGCATACGCTGCTTTCACAGCACCTCTGCATGCTTCGAGAGCACCCACTCGGCCGCTTTGCCCAATCTTTGGTGGATGTCACCAAGCATTGTGCAAGGGTCCTTAAGGGATACAGGTCACTATTTGTGGGTTGACTTGGAAGAAGACACTACTGCATAGCCCAATGCGCTCGGCTGTCGGGGCAATGCGACCTTTTTCCTACTACGCTCTCCGGCGTAAACAGCACAAGCGCATAGCTTAATATGGGCTTGCACCTGTGATACACCCACCAATAATGTGCCAATTTGGGTGTATTACTGTGAATCAGGTGAGCTGGGGCGCGCATGAGTTGGTGCTGGCGGCGCGCAACCTGCTGAGGGCGGCAGTGCGGGACCCGCTGAACCAGAAATTTGCGATGCTGTCGGAGAGCGGCGTTCCCTTGTACCCGCCCACCGCCGTCTACGCGCAGCTCATGGCCGAGGACAAATCCCGCATCGACTCCTGCGGCTCCGGGGTGCGCTCGCACTAATTCCCTGCACAATGCCTTCCTGACGCTAGCAGCTAGGGGGTTTAAGTCTGATCTTCTAGGTGTGAAGATCGACAAAGGTCCGACTCCAGAGTCCTTGTGTCAAGAGCTCGAGGGAGAATGCAAAATGCAGTCCGTCATGGCACACCTCCCCAGCAGCCCCCGCACTTTAGTAGAGGGTGTCTCGGTGATTTCAATCTGCCAAGAGCAGCTGTTGCAGAAGCCTGGGGCTAAGTATTTCACATAAGTATCACCATGTGACCATGCACTGGCATCCTTAACCTTGACCGGAGCAGCAGAGTTGGTTGTCAGCGCAATCATGACACTGAAAGCGATGGTTGTTTCCTGAACCCACAACAGTACTGTAGCATGACGGTTCGGATTCCTGTGGAACGACAGAGGACGGATCCGTGGCGTTTCAGCGGGCGCATGGGGTGGGCGCTGCGCAACCACTGGCGCAAGAGCAGCCAGTGGTTTGCGCTGAGCCGCAAGCATGCGGAGATCGTGCTGGACGACACCTACATCCTCGACCTCTTCCAGCGCTACTGCCAGAACGCCTGGGACAATGACCTCAACAGGTCCCTCCCCAACCTTCTCCTGCCCAGTGGAGAGGGTCTGTCACCCTGCTGGGGATCCTTTCATTCAGAGGCAGATCGGGAACCTCATGCAGATGGAACAGGCTGATACAACGCGGATGGCTCAGGCAGATTCTCATCCAGGTGCAGGTGGAATGGCAGATGGATAGAGAGGATGACAGCGGTTGGGGTTTGGGTGTGCAGGTGGCGGGACTGCTTCAGTGACGAGCACTACATGCCGAGCCTCATAGCCTACAAGCAGCTGGGCCACGAGACCGATTGCGTGGGGCGCCTTGTGGGCGTCGACTGGAGCCTGGGGGGCGCCCACCCGCGCTCCTACACCGCGCAGGATATCAACCCCGACAAGTGCGCAGGGCTCCCTCACTTTTGTCTCCAAGCTATCTGTTTCATTCATACTCACTGGTGCTGGTCACCTATCCTTGCTCCAAGGCCACTATGGCAATTTGATGGCAGTGGAAAAGTGCACACGGCCTATTTGTCGCTGCTGGCGCTATCTGATTTTTTTCTGGGCTGTGCTTGAGGAGTCCTGCACTTGACAGCTTTCCTGCCAATTGCAGGTTGCTTGCTGCATGATTTTTGGGTATGCTGATGTAATTCTGGTGATGTCACAGGATGGCGTCGCTCAGGCTGTGGGATGACACATGCGACGACCAGGAAGCCATGAGGTGTGCTTCTCACACCTGGCCAGCTCAACCTGCGCCCTGATCTTCACCCTACACGGTTAACATCGCCATGATCCTGCATCAGTCTATACCTTTGCACCCTGGAGTCCACATGAGCCTCTGCAAATATCTGTTGGCCTGCAACATGCTGTAAAACAGGAATGCAAAAGACAAGCCTAGCTCGGTATTTGGGGCTCCAGGAACACGTCTGAGATGCAATCAATACCTGAGCCAATCTTTCCACTGCAGGTTGAGTGCGGATCAGTTCGTGCACGAGGCGAACCTGGGGCGCCTGGGCAGCAGTCGGGGGGTGTGCTCTCTACCATCTTACAACGGCAGCGCGCTCAGCTACGACTGCCCGCTGTTCGCGCGCAAATTTCCCCGGGAGACGGCCAGCGCCGTCTACAACCTCTTCCGCAGCTGCACCACCGGCCTGAACATCACCAACAGCGGCCTGTGCGCGGAAGGGGCAGCTGACATCCTGGATCAGCGGGTCAGCAACGAGCACCTCTCTCGGCGTGAGCTGAGGGAGGGCGTCAGGAAAATGCTGGGGAGGCGGGCGGAATCTGTGTCGGCCAGCTGGGAAGAGCCGGGCTGGCTGTGATCTTGGTGATTTCTAGTGGGATAATTAGGGACAGCTCATTGCAGCACCCACTGGGAAAGACTGGGATCTACCCGGTCTGAGTAGTAGCAGTGGCAGCAGTCTGTCAATGAAAACGGTGTGTGACTTGTACAGTGTCTCAGATCAGCCGGCATGTATGCTTTTTGAATTGTGGAAAGTTTCCACTCTCGTTTCCACTGGAAACGACATGCTTGTGTATACCATGCCCAGTGCCCATGCCATCAGTGATTGGGGAATGCATGATTTCAGAAGACTGCTTCTGTAGATGCTGGTGGACTACGGGGTTTTTACAGCAATTGCTGTTGCATGTGTCTGTCAATAGATTGTCTAGATCTCTCCCAGTTAATAAACAGAACTTGTGCATATGGAGCAATCCTGAATAGAGTCTGTCTGCAGTGCGCACGAAGCAGCTTTCAACAGCAACAAAGAGGTCAAATATACATTCTGCCTTAATGTCTGCATTTCTCTTTCTCTGAAATCCCTATCCGTTGCCCACACAGTGCACTGTCCAGCACCTCAGATTGTCCCTGCCAGGCAGAGCCTGCATGTCCATGAAGGCTCCCAGTACCACAATGGGCCATTCAATCGTACAGCAAGAAGCAATCGCTGGGTGCTGCACTATGTGTCATTCGCTATGCACAGCTATCCACAGATGTGCTGTCATCGCCACCAGCGCTTGGAGTCCCCGTTGCTCTCCGCTGGGCTGCTCGGCACCTCACCAGAGTCACTCAACATCCTCTGCACACCCACAACCAGTGCAATTCAGCTCAACCTAAAGAAGCGTCCACTGCTTGTTGGTGCCCTGAAACAAGAGGTTGGGCACATTGCTTCATAGCGACGCACGGGCGAGAAAGTCTGACAAGGCAAGCACTTGACCGTGCTCTGGAATTGGAACAGGCGCCTCAGCACAATAGAACCCCTTGTAATCTTGGCAGCACAAGGGGTCGGCAAATGATATATTGGGTGCCAGTCAAAGCGCATGCTCAAGACGCAAGAACCTGTCCGTTTGACTGACACCCAATTCTCCACATCGTCAGGAGGCGCGCACCTTATCCCTGCTGCTGCGCGAGCCTTGCCGGGGCAGGGAGGAGCCGCCAGCGACGGTCTCTGGATCACCCACTACCTGGTGCTCGAGGCTGCCCTCCTTAGCGCCGCTCATCACGCTGATCAGGCTGCCTGACACTGTGGCCGCCGGGCTGGTGGGCAGACACCCGCTCCGCGATTCCTGCCACATGACACTCACAGTTGAGCTCATTCTTCCCCACTCCTCATGCATGACGTGTGCATTGTCGATTGCGTAGCACCCTCCAGGATGGAGAGCCTGTTGCTGCGGACAGGGATCAAGCCAAGTACCAAGTCCACATAAATGCCTCGTGCACATCGCAAGTGCTGCAACCCATTCTGCTGGCAGGATCCAGCTTTCTTGCCAGAGAGGAGGCTCCGAACGGCACACGCTTACGCAGTTCCATTGCATGCATCCACGGTGGTTGTTGTGTGCTGCTGCACCCGGGACTTGAGCACCCATGGTTGAGTGGGAATTCACAGGAGCAGTATGGCGTTCTTTGCGCAGGTGTGCATGGTTTTTGGGGCGCACCGACATGTGGGCGAGGCCGGGTTCATGGGCTTCGTTGCCGTTGTTGCTGGCGTGCGACGCGCGGTCCGGGGAGACTCTGATGCGGTGCCCCCTGGGACCCATGTCATCCGAGAAGCGCGAGGAAGGGCCCGTGAGCTCCTGGCCATGCAGCATGGAACGCACACTCAACCTCCAAGTCACCTCCACTGCAAGCTGGACACTTTGCCTCTCCCCAGATAAATGAAATCATCACGAAACCTGATGGTTACAATGTTCTGGAGAAGCAAACCACTGGTCGCGTAGCATTGGGACTCCTTCTGACATTTTCCACCTCACTCTCGGGATGTAGGGCTCATTTGGATTCCCAGGGTGCAGAAAAAGAATCCACTTGTCCAACAAAAGGGTTCATACCTCGCCGGAGGGTGCATCGCTCTCTGTGCGGCGGCGCGAGGCGGAGCGGGGGCTGCCGCTGCCGTTGTCTGTGTAGGAGACTGTGCGCAGCGCCGATTCGCGCGTCCCGCGGCGCGCCAGTGGCGAGTCTCCCGACGCCGACAGGCGCTTGGGGGAGCCCGAAGATGAGCGCCGCATCTCCTGTGAATATGTGCTCAGAACTTGAGAGTTGCTGCAGAGGAAAACAACCCTGTCCTACCGAGATGACGCGCTTTCAATGGTGATGCTGCTGCAGAGATGAAAGGAGCTTGTCCTGGCAAGAAGACTTGAAATGAGGACAGCTTTCTGCCACACGAAAGTGCCTACACTTTTGTGTCTGTCGCTGCAAGGGAGGCTCAAAGAAGATTCCATCTTCAAGAGGTAGCCCAAGAGAAACATTGGAGAGAATCTCAGCGTGGAATTCTTCTGCAGGAATGGAGTCAGGAGTGGGCAGCGGGCGCACCCTGAGGCCGGCAAGGGCTGCGCGCTGCGGAGTCTCGGGGCGCTGCTCTGCGGAGAAGCGGCTGCTGAGGGAGCGGCTCTTGGCCGGCGCGGGCTCGCCCGGGGCGGCCGCGAAGGGCGTCCCCGTCGTGCTGGGGCTCACCTCGATCGGATGGCCCTCAATGTTTGACCGCGCGGTGTCCTGCTCAGCCAATCACGCAAAAAGGCAGTCAGCGTAAATTCAACGCAGAATGCCAGGGCATGCCATGAGAACCACCTGGCACATGCAAAGAAACATAGGGCCTCTGTAGATCCATGCTGAGATGTGCACAGCCCATTCTGATAGTTTCCAGGCGAGCAAAACTCCGAGGTATCTCACCGGGATGCAGGCGATCGGCTCAAAGCCAGACCAGAATACCCGAACTTTGCAACCCCCATGCAGTGCATGAAGGGAACAAGTGGCGCCCGCAGCGGCCGCGAGGCCGATCGACCCTGATGGATTCGTTGCTGATCACCCTTAGTCTCATTCATCACCCCATCTCTCAGGGGCGTTCATCATATATTTTCCATCAAGCCAAGTGATCGCAAAGGCAAATCGACTTGGAGTCGATTGGCCAAAAAGAGCAGGCGGGGACCTGGGGTGGAGTGTCCGGGAGAGGAGCAGCGTTGGCATTGGCGGCCTGGCCGCCCGCGCGGCGCTGCGAGGCGGTGGGCACCGGCAGCTCGCCCGGGTACCCGCGGCTCTCCCTCACCTGCCGCGTTGGGCTTGCGCTCCTGCCAACCCACAAAACCCTCTCAGCCCCATGATGTAGCACTGCATGCTCATTGATCATTTACTCAGTGGTGTAGAAATAAAAGCATGGGGAACGCCAGTGCACCAGAGATGGCCATCTTAACAGTGAGTGCTCTTGCCCCATGCAATACAAAGTTTGAGAGTCCTAGATTGGCTTTCCTTGAAACACCAGGGGAGGCCTTTCAGACCACCACTCCTGGTGTGCAATGCACCCGAAAAATGTGGACAGCTTCTGGAAGAGGCAGAAGCATGTGCACCTGGCGGGGCTTTCCGCGCGGCTGGGGCTGCCGTAGCGTGGCACAAACTTGGCCGAGCGGCGTGCCCCGTCTTGCGCCGGCGCGGCCGGCGCCGCAGCCAGTGATTGCTCCGGGGAGTTTAGCTGCGGCAGCCACGATACCTCATCTTGACTTCAACTTATCGTATACACATCTGTGGCATCATGCACGGCAAACCTGATCGAGCCAGGCCTGTCTTTGCATACCACCAGGTGCTTTCATTTTAGCAGGTCAAGCTGGCGCCTTGCGGTCCAGTGGATTACAGTGAGGAAGCAGAGTGCAGGTAGCAGCAAACAGGGGGATGCACACCCGGCTGGAGGGGTTTCCGTCGTCGGAGTACTTCTCGGAGAAGCGGCGCGCGCCGCGCGGGAGGCCCTTGGGGTCCACTGGCGGAGCCATCTTCTCCACCTGCTCGTCCCCGTCGTCCAGGTACTCCTCCACCTCCGCCGCCGGCGCCGCCCGCGCGCTGCCTGCTATCTGCGCGCACCCCAGAACCCACACAATTAAGTCTGTAATTCCCTGGCATTTAGTAACCAGATCACCTCTAGGTAGGGTTACCTGTCACAGCATGCATAGCAGGTATGTGCAGAAGGCAAGCCTGGCTCGGTCGAAGGGGCACCACAGTCATTGAGTAGTGAAAGAGTGGACATTGCCACGCTTGACGTGTCAAGTTGACAACAGTGGCCTTGACCTGGGTGCTGAGTGCCGAAAGGATGCCAGGCACCAGGTCTAATCTCATCCTTTTCTTCCGTAGGTGAGGCAGTGCAGGGGGCATGTTGTGATGTGAGAAGGAATGGAAGGCAGCAGAAGGAATGAAAGTGCAGGAGAAGGAATGGACTCCAGCACAGTGACAGTGTTGGGATGCTACTGGACCAGAGTTCATTGTAAAAGTGTGACAGGGCAGAGGGAGGGCACCATGTGAGGACCGCCATTGGGAAGCTCAGGCTGGCAGTAGGGGTCCTTGCCGACGTGGACCGGCTGCTTTGGCGCAGAGAAAGGCGGCTGGGGCTGAGGCACGTAGTGCCCATCATGCCGCGAGCCGCCCAACGGCTGCATCTCAGTCATTTCCTGCGCACACCAATTTCCAGTCAACGTAGACATGTATACATGTCTATGTCCATTATTCTAATTATGAACTTTGTTGAGACTGCTCACAGTTTTGCTGCTCACAGGAAGAACCAGAGCTCTACCTGGGGAGGGAATCTGTGCTCCTCAATACGCTCAGGCATTCTGGTGCAGCACACCTGCAGTGAACAAGGCACCCTCAATCTAGCATACCTACAGTAGAGGAATTGGAGAAAAAGCAATTAACTGTTGGCCCATCAGCAAACACAAAAGTAATGCAAGTAGTGGGAAGAATCCCAAGTTGACGTCATCAGGCCAGGAATGAGACCCTTCTTCACTGCAAAAGCTGTGCAGAAACTGAATATAAGACAATGCGATAATGCTATAGCATTGATGGGTACTACCTGCACCCAATTTCTGAAGCAGCCGACATCGTATGGGTTGCCCTGGCCGTTCACGCGTGCTCTGAAGTGCTCATACGTGGTCCTGTTCGTGGATGTGAAGAACGTGTGCAAGCCGCTCAAGCCCCCCACAAACCTGCCAAATGCATACACGCATTGTCAGTTTCCCAACAAGCACACTGCTGTCACAATCCCAAGCCGTGCCCCAGACAACTTCTCTGGGACCAGGGCAGCTCAGTTGGTTGCTGGGGCCAGGCGTGCACCCACCCGAGTGCCAGGAGGGTGTAGATGATGAGGGCGAGGGCGGCAGGGCCAGAGATGCCCTGGTGGATGGCGCCCCACCAGCCGTCCTCATTGTGGCTTGCCAGCTTTGCCAGGTGGCCCCAGCACCAGCCGTCCACATACAGGTCCAGCGCCGCCGTCGTGAACACAAACAGCAGGAAGAAGCGGTAGTTGCGCTGCACCCATACCAACATTTCTGTCAGTTTTCATTGCCTGGTGCCACATCCTGCCTCTTCAACAGACACTCCTGAACCTGAGAAGTATCTACTAAGAGGCTTTACAAGTAGAATATGGCAGATACAACCACGTAAACGATGGCCACTACATGTCGGAGTAAGCTGCTTTTCAGTCCGACATGTCGTGGCATTCCTAGACATGGTTGGAGGTGCCGGGGATGAGCGTATGAGGTGATGCGCCCCACCTCGCCGATGCAGTTGCCCACCCAGGGGCAGTGGTGGTCGAACTTGCGGACGCAGTTGTCACAAACGGCGCAGTGGGAGCAGCGTGGCGGGCGGTAGTGATTGCAAGTCATGCACCACTTGGTGTTCACCGTGTACCCGTTCACCTGATACTCCTTGGTGGGAGCACGCTGCCTATGAGCAGCGAACAGTACCCTGTTGAGATTGAAGCCAGAAAGAGGGGTTTCTGCTTGGTGCCATCCTCATGCCCCAAACGGTCTTGCAACGGATGAGTGTTGTTTGGGGCATGTGACAGGAAGGGGAGATGTGCTCACCCCATTTCCATGTCTTCAGGTTGGTCTCGAGGGATGAAACCCGGGTCCATGAAGGCCGTGACGCACAAGAAGCTCAGGCAGAGTACGACCAATGCGATAGCAAAGGCGACCACCACCCAAGAGAACTCCTCAGCCAGATCAGGAGCAACCAGCCCGAAGAAAACACCTGTGCCATCAAATATCACTTATACAGTGCCCTCTAACAGAATCTACAGCAAATTCATGGTAGCGCTGAATTACAGGACATCAGGCGCTGAGCTTACCACAAGGTGACAGAATTAGGAGTAAGGATGCCAGAACGCTCTTCCAGTCCGGACCTGATGGGACAATCACAGTCTTCAATAATCTACAGAGTGGAAAGTAATACCAGCAGGCCAGACATGCCCTTTACAGTCATCACGGCTGGAGTACTTCAAGACTTACCCAACACGATTCGCCCCTCGAGAAAAGAGTAATGAAGGCCAGTGTTTTGCCCCCTTCTCCTTGGCTCCTGCTTCTGTCCTTCAGAAGTACTGGGGCCCTCCATTTCACAATCTAGAGACTCCTAGCACTAGTCTTCAATTGGCTCGAAAGTACCCACCTAGGACTCCCCCTAAATACAAGCTATTGAGGAATACAAAGGATTCTTCAAAGCACAGAGGCAAGAAAAGGAAATTTGCCGAGCAGCAAAGGCACCCTCTTCTTATGACACACTCCGTTGGCTCATGCTATACTCCGTAAATGAGGGACCTTTTACAACACTTTGAGGAGCTGCCAGGCAAAGGCGTGTCGATAGGAGTTCAAATTGCCGTATCCAGCTTCCTTTTTAGATGCCCTTCAAAATGCATGTTGGGGGGGGGGGGCAAATTATTAGTTGTTATCGTCACGCAACAAAGTCTTCTGCGAGGATGACACCCCGTCACTAGGCAAAGGCAATGCTTACTGGGGCGTCATGCTAACATGAACGCCATATGGGCCTGCGACTCCAGCTCTCGTCGTGAATGCTGCACAGAAGTGTGCAGAAGAGTAGTAAGCATGTAAGGGCGTGCCCCTTGTGGTTCTCTAGAGGTTCTCTGTGCATGCGCAGAACAAACGGTTACGAAACAACAGCTGGCTCATCATCGCCGTCGAACGATTGTAGTCCAGTCATCTGTTGGGGAGGCAACAATCTTTCACCTGGTGTAGCTTCGCCAAAATTGTTTTGTGACGAACACATAGTACAAAAGTCTATTTGACGACGAGGACGAGATAATTACAGCAGTGCATGTAGGAGAGTGAGCCGAGCCGGACCGGTATCTGCAGACCGACCAGCTTGCGAGCTGGTCTGTGTTCCTCGTCAACACACCGAGTTTGCTGTGCGTTGACATGCAGCAGGCTCTGACTCTCCCAGTGCGTTGGGGGCTGTCAACTGATATTATTTGACAAAATGGTGGAGTGATACCTGCAATTGTTGCGCCCTGAGGGGCCTTTTATTTTGTGGGAAAGGATTGGGGAGGGACAGTGGAGAAGGAAGCCTGGCTTGGGTTTCTTGAAACCATGTCGAGCGAAAACGACGTGAATTTACTGGTGGCGACAGCGGAGCACATGCAGAAGGCAAGCGAGGGATTCCCTCCTTCTCCTCCTCAGCGTTGTTAGAGCACTTTAGGGATTTTGTAGTATCTGGCGAAGCAGGTGGACACATTGAGATATCATCTTCATTGCGGATTTTGCTGGCTTTGGGATAGAAACGTGAGCGGTGGAAAGGACATGATCAAGTCGAGTACGTGACCACATGTCCTCTAGGGTGAAGTGATCCTACTAGGCCTGTTCCAGGTCAGCAGGAGAGCATATGTTCTTCCAGTCGAGCGCGTTGGTGTAGGTTGTGCAAGGCGCGGGGTACCATGAGTGTAATTTGCTTGGTTGCAGGAATCTACCACGCCACGAGGGGCAACTTCTGCTGAGGAGGAAATTCAGAATCTTATGTCAAAGGGCAAGGGCCTGCCCTCAACAACGCCGGAGGACGTGGCAGCCAGCGCCGCTTCTGATCATGACGCTGACGACCTGACATGCGCCATCTGCCTGGACCAAATTAAAGTGGAGGAAATCTGTGCCGTGAAGGGCTGTGAGCACGTCTACTGCGGTGGGGGGAGCCTTGTCCATGCCTTATGTTGGGGCTGATGTCTAGTACTGCAAACACTCGACAGGGTGAAAGTTGGAATTTTGCGCCTCCATGTAGAGCTGATGTGCCCATGTATTCCTGCAGGTAAGTGCATCCTTGCCTGGGCTGTCCAGAAGGAGCCGGTGTGGTGCCCTCAGTGCAAGGCGCCCTTCTCGACCCTGCTGACCTACCGCAAGCTGGACGGAACGCTGTCGGACTTCCCTGTCGAGGAGAGCGTGTGCCTGCTCAAGCGAGCGCACTGGTTCGAGTCGCACATGAAGGTTTCAGTCCACCCCACACCCTGCATGGCATAAATATAAAGTCCAGGTGCCTGTGAGTTGGAGTCAAATCTCTGAGAGAAATTGAGGTGGGACGTCTCAGCACCGTGCTCTCTCCCAGAGTACCCAACCGCAAGGCACTCGCCCTTGGTGAAGCCAATAGGCACTTGCAGCTCATGGACCTCGGTCTTTGATGTGTGTTTCATGTGCATGTAGATTTTGAGAGGCGAATGCCAGCCGCGGGAAGGCTTCCTGACAACATGTGCTGTCTGCCGGCGCGCAGGAGATTGAGAAGGGCAAGGCGGCGTTGAGCTTTGTTCCGCCAGAGCTGGTGATCGATGACGCGCGTGACTGGGTGGACTGGCGTGAGGACAGCGCGGACTACAGCCGCTTCGAGGAGCAGTACGAGGACGACGAGGAGGTGGAGGCCTTCTACTTCTCCAGCGCGGCCGGCCGCGCGCGCATCGTCGGCAACCGGCGCTTCGGCGAGAATGGCTTCATCTCCTCCGGCCGCATGCAGGCCCGGCCCGTGCCGCCCGCGCGGCCCAGCAAGGTGCGGCCAGAGCTGCTACTGACCCCTTTGTCTCTGCTAGGAAGGAACAATACATCCTAACAGGACCGCCTTGGGCGAAGGTTGGGAAAGGGGCGGGAGCTTCTGGCTGTGTGGTACTTATGATACTGCCCTGCGCTCCACACATTTCCAACTTAGATCTGTTGAGAACTGCATGGCTCTGTCGTCTTGCTGACGGGCAAAGACTCGATCCAAATGATCAGCATGGATTCCTGGAGTCAAACGTCTGATGCAGTGGTGTGTCACCTTGGCTGATGAGGAGTGCCAACTGCAGGGCAAGGGCAAGGCGCAGGCGTGCTCTGACTCTGTCTCGACTCCTTCGCGTGCACCAGCAGAGCACCGCGCGTCTCACAAGACAGCGCGCAGCTCTGCGAGGGGGTCTGGCGAGGGCAGCTCGACACCCGTGGCCCTTAGCAAGGCCGAAACTCCTGGCAGCAGCGGTGGCAAGCAAGGGCGGCGGGCGCGTCGCAAGGAAAAAATGGCTTCTGCTGACGCGCGTGCTTGCCTGCTGTCGTCCCCCTGATGGGGTAGTCATCTTCAGCGGAGAGCTTCACAGGCGTGCATGCCTTTAGCAGGCAATCTGTGAATCGACTGAAGAGGTCCTCGTGGGCGCCGTGCTTGTTGAGGGTACCATGGGCAGCGCCATGACAGCTGCAGCCAAGGGATCCACAGAACATGACAAAGCAATAGTGGGTCTCCCACATGCTTACATTGTGTTGCATTGCCATGGCAGCAATTTTTACGCAAAGCAAATTCAGCTTCTCATGAAGGGTTCACAGCATTTAATAGGAGTTGGAACCATGTGCGGATTGAAATTGACAGTTAAGTACAAGGATGAGTGGAGGGAGAAGGGTGGCGAAAATAGGATGGGCGTGTTGAGCGTGTGTTGGGCCCGGGCTTCAAGGGGTTTGACAGTCGAGCTTGCCAGAGCATAAGCATGAGGCAATACTCAGATATCACAAGGCATGTCTCCAAGGCTGCGCAGGGTGTGTACACAGTGACTTCAGTAGCGTCAGGCGTACAGTGAGTTTTAGATATGCTAGCGATGCTTGCAATGTATAACAAAACTCCAAAAGTGTATATTAGACGTAGTGGAGCATTGAGCTCTAGATAACGATCTTGCGCTGAAAAAAAGTTTGATCAGGATGAGTTGGGATAATTGATGTCGACAATTGTTGCAACGTGTCCTGCATTTGCATGATCACACCTACATTACAATTATTTTAGAGCGCGGCCAAATTTGCTGCAGCAATGTTACTGTTGCTTGTTGGTTGCACTTGTGTTGAGACCGGACATGAAGTAGGTCTGCATGGTTTTGTGTAAGGGAAACGTCCTAAATGTTTGCAAGCAAGCAAAGCATTCAAGGTTGATTGTGCAGCATGCAAACACAGATGTTCGCACTGCAAAGAGAGACCACCAGTCTTGAGCTTAAACCAAGGACAGCTACTGCTAAAAGAAGTGACACTATATGTAAGTGCTACATCTGTTGAGCCACAAAATTGATGTCGTCCACATTGACCTGCAATGCCATCAATGTACACTGCTTGACAAGCGCATTCAAGTGTGCTTCATGGACCGTTAGAATCCTTGTCAAACTGGCCTTCAAGGTTGTCCAAGTCAACCTGCACAGGCCCCATGATAGCGCTCATCAGTGTATGTGTGAAGCGCTTCTCTACTGTAGGTCATGCAGACATCATTACAAGAGGAAAAGCACATGATTAGAGAAGCGCCCACCTCATAGAGGCTCACAATCCGCAGGCCATCAGTGTCCTCATCAGTGGCTCCAAATATCTTGGGGATGCTAAGGTTCTGAGCCGCCTCACTCTCCTGGTCCAAGATTTTCTCGCTCTCTGCACCCCAAAGCACAGCTAAGATTCCACCGGCTTGTGTGCAGGCCACGAGACTCTAAATAATGGGCATGTCGTCACACAAGACCTCTTCAAGCCAGCACTGCACATGGAGCTATGTCGAGGCAGCTAGAGGAAGCCGACCTGCAAGGAAGAGGATCTTGGAGAAAAGGGCGCGGCAGGTGGCCTTGCGCTCGATGCCGGCCTTGGTCATGCCAGCAACCTCCAGCATCACGTTGCCATACTTCTCATAGATGCGCTGTGCGCGCTCCCTCAGTGCCTCAGCCACCTGAAATGAGATTTTCATTTTCATTCTCATTCTCAAGAGAGCTGATGGGACAAGCAGCTGGAGCAGAACATCCACCCGCATTACTCACTGCTCCACAGCAATCTCACTGTGTCCATGCAAAAGCCTTCCATGGGGCAAATTCATAGCTGCACGGCAATGTTAGTTCTTAGCTGGGCTTGTCTGAGCTGGGAGGTTTGAGCAAAGACTCCCCACATGGGACCACTGAAGCTGGATTGTCAAGATGTGCCCACCTCCTCGTCTGTCATGCCCAGGGCTGTCCGCAGGGCAGCCAGGTCTGCAACGGCGTCCTCGTCAAACTTGCGCTCGCGCAGCAGGTACCACAGGTACTTCCTGAAAATCTCCGTCGATGAAAAGCCGCTCTTCATCTTGAGCCCGCGCATGACGCCTGCATGCATGTCAACGTCAATCCCCCAATGCAGACCCTGAGCCGCTGCTTGCTTGACAAAGACAAACTCGGCATCACCATTGAATTTCAACAGGTAAAAGAACATAGGAGCCACCTGTGGTTAGTGCAGCACGGTTGGCAGGCAAGTAGGCATCCAGGCTCTCCACAATTGCCTGCAGGCATCAGGGAAAACAACTTCACCAACAAAGAAGGAATGGCTTTTGTACTAGGTGTGCTGCCAGACTGCAGATGTGTCACTGCAGACCACTTTGAGGTCTCTTGCACTCAGAAATGAGCGGATTGTGGGGCTACTGACCTTGTTAAGGTTGACGGTGCGCGTGCGCTTGGACCTTGGGGAGTTGTAGCGGCGGAACACGCGCACAGCGGACAGCAGAAATGTGCCCACAAAGAACAGGCCCAGCGCCCCCAGGAGAGGCTGCGCCCACCTGGTCTGCCTAATGAACTGCGCAGGAGGGCTCGCATCCACTGCCTGCAATAAATTCCTTGTATATCATTCACCACCCATGGCTGCCTCGAGCACCCTGAGCATGATCATGTTCTCAGACTCTTGCACACGCTGTTTCAGGACAATTTCAATAGAGTCATGCTGGTTAGGGACTACTGGAGAGTTCAGGCAGATGACTGGATGGCATCGGTCAAAGCAAAGAGAAGAAGTGGGCACCTGGTAGAAATTGTTCTGTCGGCTGCTGCCATGACCGACAGCCTGCGTCTGGTAGTCGGTGTAGTCCTGCTCCTGTGCCTCGACTGTGTCCTCTGCAAGGTTTGATTCTTCTACAGGGGGCTGCCCTTCTGCCAGCCCAGTTGCGCCAGTGGCGTAGTCGCTGCCCTTGTACACTGCCGGGTACTTCACGCGCTCCGTCGTGCGCAGCTCAGGCGGCAGGGGCGGGGCTGATGGGGTGACTGCGTTGTCCCCATGGGCTCCCAGTGCAGACCTCCTCCTGTGCAGCCGGCAGGTGCGCAGAGAGGGCCCACAGTCTGCGTCAAGGTGTCAAGCCAAACGTGAGCCGTGCAATATAGGATCCTGACAGATTATTCAAACGTAAGTTGTAACATTTGATGCAAGTAATAGATGGGCACAACTGCTCCACTGGAGCACACCAAAAATGAATGGCCAATGGCTGGAAGGATAAGTCGTGCTTTGACGTGATTACAGGTGGATGGTCCTTAATGGAAAGTAGGTAAAGTCGATGGTGGATTAAGAGCATTGTTGTTCTCGAGGTGCAGAGGTGTTGTGTGCGCACTTTTTCGTAGGACCAGGCGCTGACTGCGGGGTATCCTCTGCATCGGCGAAGGTGAGCTGCTGCAAGAGGGATTCATCTCAGTGCACAATGCTCCCATCATTGTCACAAGATTCAAACGATGCCTGTAAATTTGTTAGGGAAAACACCGCATGAAGAGCCAATCCTCCAAGAGGACTGGTATGTAAAACAGGGAATGAGCCTTGTTTGAAGTAGTATAGATGTTTCTGAAGCCAGTGTCACTACATTAGATTTGCAGCTTTGGCATTTCTGCAAAGCAATTGCATGCTGAGGGGTGAAAGATATGATAAGACGTTCCTACACGTCACATTTTTATCTGGCAGATCAATCGAGCATTCATTCCCTATTCTTTTGGCTTCGTTGCAAGATTATAAGCTATTCTCTATCTCCGAAGTGTTGATCCTCCGAGCGTGTTGCAAGTTTCAGTGCCCATCGTACGAAAGGTCAGTGCTTCTGCATTTGGGTGAAGGCACTGAGTAATGTCAGCTTCTCGTTGCAGCTGCAACACAATAACCAATCAGCAGGTGTCTCATCAATGCACTAGCCAAGTTCTGAGGCGATCGCTTCACCTGCGTCCTTTCGCCTTCAGATCTTCCCAGCACTTTTCACCAAAGGGAAAGGTTAGCCCAGCTGATCGCACTTGTTCCAAAGGCTGCTGACAATGGCAAGCGTGACTTCGTTATAAGGGACTGCACCTGGTGGCCGGCTGCCATTTAAAGTAGTACATGCATGCAGGGACGTGGAAGAGTCAGGGTGTCTGCCATATTAGAAACAAAACAGGTGGAGGAAGAGGAAAACTTGCAGATCGAGGGGCTGAAGAGTGACTATTGCGATGACTTTGTTTGCACCTCCAGCCCTGCCGTGGAACAGACAGTGCGGTCCCTTGCAAGGGACCTAGTCAGACGGTCCTGGACATTCAGCCTCTTCACAAGAGACGTCTCGTACAAGGTGCGTCAACCATGACAAATAGACCCACACTTGTATGCGCACACATGTTCTAGATGGTTACTTCAAGGCTTATTCTTGGCAGTCCACAGGATGCCTTTCGGAAGTGCACTGGAGCGCAGAAGCACAGACGGTTGACGCACATAGCAGACTCTGTGAAGGATGCCAAAGTGGTGTGACTTCCACCTCCCCTTGCAGTGCAAGCCACTGTGTCCCTTGCATTATCATGATGCTGGATTGGGTGGTAGGTATGATCAGGCACTAAGAGCGTGGAGTGTTTTGCAGTTGGTCACCAGATTGCGCATGCTGGACAAGGGGACTGCACTCATTGACTGGAGACTCAGGGGGCAGCTGGGGTTGACCTCCATCGACATAGACTTCGTGTCCAAGTTTGAATTGGACCTCATCACAGGACGCGTGCGTTGCTTCCCATGCACACGTCTTGCTCTTTATTTTGGCAAAGCATGGAGATATAAGAGGAGCCCCTTTTGCTGCTGCACTGGGGTTCCTCCCTCAGCAGTCCAAGGGGTTGTTGGCTAATGTAATTTGATATTGGGGGACGTCTTGAATTGTGCCCGAGCGATGCTCTTGGCAGACCCCGTCATCGAGCGGGAACTGACCCCCGAGCTGGGCAAATTCGATGTCCAGAGGGGAATGGCTTGGGTTATAGGGGTTTTGCATGAGATCAGCTGTGATGAAACAGGCTTCAATGGCCTGGCAGCTCTCACAAGAAGGAGGCACTGCTTATTTTGCAGCTCTGGCATGAGGCAGAATAAAGGGGTACATCAACAGAAACACTATAGAAACCCAGATAAAGGTTAGTCAGGCGCCCAGGGCCTGAGCGATGCTGGGCTTGCATGCAGGTCAAGGGGCACGAGGACAAGTGGGATCTTGGCAGATGCGGGCTGCCTGCGCGCACGGCATGGCTGGTGAGCAGGGCGCTGTGGAGCGCGCAGCAGGCCGCCCGCGATGCGCGCGATGATGGTGGCGAAGCGCTCAACAAGCTGACGGCCAGCACTGACGAGGATGATCAGGTGCCCTTCATGGATTGCTCATCCAGGCTTTGCAGTCCTCTATATCCCTACACGTGCATGTGTATGTGCAGCTCGTGTGCAAGGCGTGAGGGTCTGAGATCGGGTGGTGCTGTGCAGAAGAACATCTATGTGGATCCCACCGACCCCACAAAGTTCTTCCAGCAGGAGGACACCGGAATGAAGGTGTGCTGATGGCTTTCTTCCGTGTGGCATTTTGTTGTATTTTGTTGTCTGGCGCTGATGGGTCCGGATCTTTCAAGTGGGAAGATCATGCTTGTTGTGATGCTCTGCTGCAGGACTTCTTTTCCCTGGCCACAATAGCAGCTCTGCTGTGGCTCGTTTTTTCTGCATACTCAGAGCTTGAGAAGATCCATTGATCCAAGGGTCTTACTGTCTCCGTTTGCTGTGAGGATGGTCCGAGCATCCGAACATATGGAGAAAAGTGCTGATGTATATCATGGGGTGAGAAGAGTGTTTTGTGTATCTGTTTGACGACCTCTGGCTGTTTGGTTTTCTGCTGAGTGATTTAGGACTTTGAAAGTCCAAGGAATGCACTTGGTGACAGAGAAGAAGAAGAAAATACGCAGCTTCCGGATGTGGTCTGGACGTGGGTGGAAGAATGTGGGTGATGTTGACATGATATTATGGTTTGAGGGCAGTATGTGTTCAGCTCAGGCATCCAGTCTGGTGCATATGCGTGTAATCATGCTTTGCAACAGCGTTGTCCTCCACAGATTCCACGAGTCCCTGCATAATGAATGCTCTATGCCGCCTGTATCTTGACGGCCGCAGCCGCCTGCGCCGCACAAGAACAAGTGTGATGAGCACGGGAACAGCCATACATGTCTGCAATCTTCTAGCGCTGCTTCCTTGTTGGGCAGCACGACACGGTGGTGTCACACTGCTGTGACTGCAGTGGGGACAGGGTAGTACTGTTGTGCAGCTCTCTGGATCGATCCGGAGGCCTGCAACACCGGTTGCAGAGCCCTGCTATTACCTTATTCTACACTGATGTAGACCTACCACAGCTGGTGACGAAGCCTTGCTGAACTTGCTGAGCTTGCACCCCTTACAATCTGCTTGCACCCCTCGGGGCCGTCCAAATCTGCCACCTTGCCACTTAGTCACTACAGTACGGTATCTACTGGTATATAGCCCGGGCTGGCGGGGGGCCCCGGCTGGCGGGGGGCGGTATCAAAACTGAGCACCGTGCCCACGATTAAATGGGTCTTGCTTGGATCTTGCGAGTCCATCAAGGGGTAGGATTTTGGCAGCCTTCACTGCAGCTTGTCTGCAGACGCACCTTGCTTCTGGCAGGAAACTTTCTTGAAGCTTGAAGCGTGTAATAATAATAATAATAAGAATAATTCTTTATTTCATGTTGGTGCCAGTAACACAAGTCCATGAATGTGATGCATGCACAAGATGCTCGCTGAAGAAGACTCCACACTCGATCATCGGAGGCCTAGCCATGGTCTAGAAAAGAAGGATATCATGTGCACAGAATCCTAATTGGTCCTTTGCCCCAATGGGTGAACGTTGGGGTGAATGAGTTGGGGCTCACAAATGACTCACCCCATCCTGCTGGACCCAGTCCACTCAACCTAGCACTACGCACAATTCCATTCTCCAGTCGCTCTCCTCTGGACACACAATTCCGAGGAGAGCAGGGCAGGGCCGCGCCCGATGCGTTGCGAGAAACATAATGTCCCAGCAAACACACCCAGCCAGGTGAGCAGACCACTCCACATCCTAGCCGCCTCGCGCCGGAACGTTGCGTGGGGTCTGCTGTTTTAAATGTGTGTCCCTCGTCACGAAGGGCACCGGCTGATTGATTGTTGATGTGAACATGCAATCGCGCTGATTAGCGAAGCCTCCTTCGAAGTCTGGGTATCTAGTTGCAATGTGACTGTTGTTACGATCTCACAGAGGGTGGACCTGCTACCAGCGGTAGGATTGCTGTTCATAATATTTAAAGTGTGCCAGGACTGTATAATATGAAATATTACGTTATGATTTGTCCTCTGTCTCACTGATGATGTTGGATCGGGGGCTGGACGGCACGTTGCTGACCCTTTCTTGTTGAGTCGCGTTGGCTTACGCGAGAGTCCTTCTTGTATATTGCTTTTGTCCAAATCGGCGTGCTTAGGAGTGGGTGAATATCGTACAAGGAACCAGGTGACAAAAAGAGCGGGCACTGTTCTGGCCGACTTTGTCGTCAAGAGAGACAGCTCGAAACAAAGGAATACACATGTATAAGCTCTTGATTTTCGAGGGCGGCTTTCCGCCCTTTACATTTGGGTCGGTGCCAGAGAGAGAGCGCATAAGTTTTCATTTCTGAGGATGCTATGCCGACCTGGGGTGCAGAGCAGGCAGACCACATTTTATGAGGTCGTGCACTTGCATTTCGGAGTAGATTTCGTCTGCCGTTGTCTGTTGTCCCCTTTTCTGCCTCGTGCACATTTTTGACAAAGGTGTTTGACTGTTGAACAGGATTCAGGTATCCACCAATAAGAAGCCACTCTTCTTCTACGTCAACTTGGCAAAGGTGAGAACCGTGTGGAGGGGAGGGATGCAGTTTGGCCAAAATGTCCAGCAGTTACTGTATGACATATATTTCCTTAATGGCTTTTTGAGCTGTGCCGTTCTGCCATGACCCTAAATGTTCCCTTGTGGTGTGCCACAGCGATTCCTCCAGGAGCATGGAGAAGTGCAACTCTCTGCGCTTGGACTTGGTGAGCTCCCTGCCTCCCATCTCTTGGTCACTTGTGCTGTCTGATTTGCCAGACACGGCACTTACCTGAGGCAGGCATACCCAACTGATTCTCCTGGCTGACTGTTGCTGTGTGCTGCCCTTCAGCCATCTCCTCCATGGTGACAGTGGCTGAGATCCTGAAGAGCGGGCAGTGGGCGGTCGAGAAAAGTGCGCTCCACCTGTCTCACTGCCAGTCGTCCTCATCATAAATCTTTGCGCACTCATGATGGCTTGCACAACATCCCCTCACAATTCATTTCATATCCATTTGATATGCACTGTTTGATGTCAATTTTCAAGGTTTCAACTCTCAAGCTGCCCTCCTTTTTGGGAGTTTGGGGCAGAGGAATTGACAGTAAAGGGTGCAGGGCAAGGGGAAGTTAAGATCTGGCTCACGTTACCATGTTTGCGGTGCAGAGATCACCACGGGGCTGGACACGACAGAGGAAGAGGGGCGTGATCGGCCGATGCAGAAGGCAAAGATGGAAATCATCCTGACCAAGTCGCCGCACTTTGACGAGCTGATGGCGGCCTCAGCATCACAGCAGCACAGCGGCAGCAGCGGTCCACAGGCGCCTGGTGGGCACCCACCAGGCATGGGGCCTTCCAGCCAACCACAGGTGACGCCTCGCAACCTTGCACACTGCGCCAAACCGCCGACCATGGGTTGTCCTCTGGCCTGTGTGCACAATGCCAGCCTGTGCAACATGAATAAGGACAATGAGAGACAAGTGGTCATCACAGCAACAGCTGCGATCGTGCGGCATGCATCGCTATTATGTGCTAAGCAGCAGCGGTGGGGTGCAGGGCGGGGAGCCATCCGAGGTCCAGGGCATGCAAAACCTGTTGCTACAGTAGCCCTACGGGCGCTGTACCTAGCTGCCGGCCTTAACGCGATGGATAGCACCGGGCCGCTGGGCGAAGTTGTAGATCGTCAAGCAGCCAAGCTGCAGCGCCTCCCGGACGCCCACTGTACCAAATTCTTCTAGGGGAGCGCGCTGCAACCCGCGCCGCTGCTGCGAGTGGCTGGGGCCATTTCTGTTCACTGTGCGGTTTGTGTTATGTTGACGGGCGGCCCTGCAGCGGAGAGAGGCGGAAATTCCGCAGGTACAGGATCAGCAGGGCCGGGGGGCGGCGGGGGCCGCCAAACGACAGATCCGGCAGCGGTTGCCTGCGCGGCAAGCCAAGCTCCGCACAGGCCATCCCAATAGCTTGGCGTGACTCTCCCATCCCTGCCGCCCCGCCTGCTGCTGGTTAGGAAAGAATTCGCTCATTCTGTGTACCGGCAAATCCTCTGTTTGCTGGCCGATGTCCAGCCACAGCATGTGGGGAACCTCAAGCCCTCAGGCAAGGAACCACTGCGCCGCCTTTTCCCGGCTTTTTTTAATAGAGAACCAGCAGGGTGTCTTTGCTTTGGTGTCATGGGCCTGCTTCCTGCAGGGGAGTGCTCATCTGCAGCAGATATCTGTCAGACGCCCGCAGAGCATGTGAGCCGGACATGACACCAAGCACCCCAAAACGATGAAGTGTGCAGCTTTCAGTTCTGGCCGACTGTGTGGGCCGGCGCCCCTCCTCAGATTTCTACTCATGAAGCTCTTAGCTGACATATCTCAGAGGAGGGGGCCGCGCCCGCTTTACTGTGTCGCCATTGCAAAGTTGACCGAACCCGTAGGTTTGCGTTTGAGAAGTGAGGGGTGGTGATTCTTCTCTAGAATTGATCGTCATTTATTTCCAATGGGTGGTGCTCCAGTTGCACCCCTCGTCTGCTGGTGTTCCTGCTGCGAGGTTCCAAATAAAGGAACCACAGATAAGAAAGTCCTTTTGATTTTACATTTGAGCGTTTTGGGCGACGACGCACGCGAGTTGCGATGTCATTTGGAATGCACATCCAGCGGCGGCAGCCCTGCGCGGACCGGATCTTTACGTGGATCGAAGAATTTTGTGCATGCGTGATTATATTTGCTGAAGAGGGCAGGGTTCTGTTTCCCTGTCACATCTGCTCAGAGTTTCGGAGCGCCTGAAACAGGGGGTCTGACACCACGAGGCACAGCGCTGAGTATCAGCGGCAGAACATGTTGAAGGCCTTCCTCCATTGTACAGTGTGTCACGCAAGACTTTCGCTATAGCTTGAGGATAGCGGGCTGATTGGTGGCTCAAAAGCTAGCACCATGGGTGTGCTAGCGTGGTAATTGGCATGTGTAGAGGTAGGGGGTGACTTAGGGGAAGGGCATGGGGAGATGCCTTTTGTTTAAACTGACAAGTGCTGCTGGGTCTGCATTGCGAGGTCTTCACCTTGTCGTGCAAAGGCCAGATCATCTATGGTGCATTTCACGGCAACATGATCGAATGGAGATGACCCTGATGCCTGCATAGCCACATCAATTGTGAGGAGGCGATGGAAAGCTTTCAGGTTCTGTGTGTGGCCTTTCACCGAAATCATTTGTCAGAATGGGTTAATGCTAGAGATGCAGGGACCGTTGCCTTTGCCAGCAGCAGTCGTCAAGGACATGATCCGTTCAGTGGTTGTCGTGCTAGTTGTCTTCTGACTGCTGCTCTTGAAGTGGTATAGAGTCACACTACTTTAAGACTGCTAGGACTGTACAGCCACAAAGTAACATCAGATGATACCATGTTCTCTTTTCTCGTATGTGCCATTGGATTGTGTAATCTTCTTCTTTGTGTGTGATCTGCAAGTGGTGTGCAATGCAGAGTCTGCATGCAGCCATGGACTTGTGGTTAGAATGGCACCCGTCCTCTGTGCCTGCACGATGACTCCACAAATCAAGCACCATACTTCTATCCCTTCATGCATCCTTGAAAAGCACATATCAGGGGAATCTGAGCAGTGCTTTCGTGCTGCCAACGCCGGCGCCGTGAGATTTCAGCATGCTCATACCATTCAGCATACACCGGTATGGACCATGGGCAAAGTGTGAAACCTCATACATGAAGAGACGGTGGCCGTGCCTGCAAATTCCTGCCTCCTCTTGCCATCTTCACCCTGATCAGACAATTATTGTACTGAAAATTAAGAGCCATGCGACACCTGACATTGAGCACCAAGCCAGGGATGCAGCCTTTGATAATAATGACATCTGAGAAGCTTGGACGATGTTGATATCACAAGATTCCTTTGCCTTGGCGCCTTGTCTGAAGATATATCGATGTCAATACTTGCTGGTGTTGGGCTCACATCAAAGCTGCAGTACCATGAATCCATTCCACCAACAGCAGCATTGCAAGACAGCCAAGCTCTAGGCCAGCTGCCTTTGGATTTCACCTAATGCATGACCAGCACCGTCCTGTATCAGTTCAGGGTGACACAGCGACTGGCCACTTTGCCATCTGTGGGCCCTATTGCTACCACACAGGACACATGGCCCTGCAGTGCATGTCGCAGCCTGCATCGCTCACGCTGCAGGAGCAAAAGAAACATGGATCCGTCCGGCAGCTGCTAACTGTGCGTATGCAAGCCTGAGAGGCTTCCTGGACGGCGCAAGCCCATGCAAACCCGCCCAGCAATCTTCCCTGAACAGTGCTTACACGACCTTGAAATTACAGCAAAAGGCAACGGCCAGAAATGGTCTAGCCAGCGCCCATCACCACCAGAAGCCGCCTGTCCCCTCTATCGTGAAGCTTGCCAGCGGCGCTCTCCTTTCCAGGGCACTCTTCTCCACTTTCCAGGGCCCTTGCAGCAGCCGCCAGAGCTGTGCATGACGGCGGGGGGAGCAGGCGCTAAGTAGCAAGTGGGGCTCAGTTGACGTGGCCGCGCTTGCGGGTGAGCTCGAGGATATTGGAGAGCGCGCTGGGGGCAGAGGCGCTGCCTCGCTCCTTGCGCATGCGCCTGTTGCGGGCCACCAGGTAGGGCAGCCCAAACACGATGCCCAGCCCAATCATCACAAACAGTGTCACCAGGCCCTGCGCGCACACAGACGCCGCCTTAACACACAGAACTTCCAACCGCGATGTGTCTGAACGAGTGAACACATGACGTGGAAGAGCTGTGCCGGAGAAAGACACGATGTGCCCCGGACAGCGAGTGCTTTGATCCCTTGGATTTAAGGTGTTGGGCACCACTGTGAAATGCACATGCATGCAAAGCTTGACTGGCGCTACGATGGCCATGGCGGCATATCGCTGACAGCTAAGCACCAATTTAAGGCAAGGGACAACAAAGGCAGCAGCCCTGGCAGATGAACGTGCAGGGACTGCAATAAAGGGTGGGCTTGATGGGAACATGACTGGGGGCTCACCAGATTGATCTCTGCGCTGGCATCGTTCCTGGCCATGGCTCGGTTGTACACCATCTTGTACTGGGCCTCCATCTCGTCGTCCATCAGCAGTGGCGTCTTGCCAAACTTCTGGAGCGCTGCAGCCCAAAACACACAATTGATTCACGACTCACTCTCATCTATTCTCAAGGATGATTCATGACAACCACTCATAAGCATAAAAAGGGTAGCCACAAGTATTCCACTTGAGCGAGACGACTGCAATGCAGCAGAGGCCAAAGCTCTCACCAGGAAGCTCAGTCTGTGTTCCGTCCGCGCACACCACTGTCAAATCAATGCGGTTGTACTCCTCCTGTGAACAGAGACATGCAGTGCATCAGTCGAGGCTGATGCAACAAGCGTTGAGAGGAGGGTTGCGGGTTTTCCTGCAGCAGTGGGATGTCCTGAAGATGGACAATACCGACATGGAACCCATTAAATCTTCTCCCCACATGGCCAGAAGCATGACTTAAATAAACTAATGCATTCTTGAAAGCCGTGAGGCACACCACGCCAGTGAAGTCCTTGAGGAACTCCGTGGCAATGCTCCACTCATTCTGCACATACTGTGGGCGGCTCTCCCTGCCGCCGCTGCCTCCAAACATGAGGATGTCATCCTGCATATGCCACAGGTTCAGTCGAGCTGGACACATGAGCTGTGAGTTCCCTCTTCAGTTGCTACACATTCTCAATTTTGAAAATTTCATACTGCTGTCAGGCTTCAAGATAAGCGCCAGAAGCACTGATGCAGGTATACAATAGGTGTCCATTCTATAGAACAGTTTTGATAAGTGCAAAGAGCGCACCTCTTGCGCCACGGAACCATTTGTGACATCCCAGTCCCTGTATTGAACTGAGTACCACAGTACACGGTCCTCTGCAGACACACAGCATCTGGGTCAGTTGTGAAAGCCAGTACCGACGGCATCCACCTTGGGAGCAGCCACGTCTAGTCTGATTGCAATGTCTCCGCATGCGCTTGCAAAAATGACCCATCAGTGCACCCCTGCTTTAGGGCCACAGCAAGGACACTTACGGCCTGGTGGACTCTGTTGCCGCTTGTACAGGGGCCTGCCATTTTCACAGGACCACACTGCATATACGCCATCAAGTCCGCCGCTAAGGTTCCTTAAGAGCTTGTCGGCTCCCTCGATCTTCAGATCGCAGGGCTTTGTGCCTGCATGGCAAGGGAGCTTCTTCTCAAGTCCAAATAAGATCTTCCATGCCCTCACTCCCTTTCTCAACTCACCAGTCGTTCTCATCAAACATGCAATGTCTGCATTGAACAACGTCCTCCGCGAAGCTAGGTTTCGTTTGACGATCAGTCTCACAGCTCTATTCAGAAATGAAAGAATAGGAGCTCTGGGTTTCAGGTAGTTGAGGGGCAGGGACAACAAGAGCGCAAACCCAATTCTGAAGGCCCGTACCATTGAACACAGGTGAGCTGTCAGCGCCAATCCTGCAGTCCACCTCCGTCTCCTCTGCATCCTCGAAGAAATAGTCTCCATAGACGTCATCATAATCTCCTGTGTATTGGTTGTAATAGAAGCCGTCGTCTGACTCATCATACATGTCATAATGATAACCGGCTGTGTACAGCTGATAATCATCATAGTAATTCAGATCATCATTGTATCCATACTGACAGAAGCTCAAGGTTGCTAAGCACACAAGTGTGAGGGCTTGCAAAGCCCGCTTTGCCACGAGCGGCTCGACCGAGCACCTCATGATCGGACAGCACACTATGACATCTTGCTACGAACTGCACCACAATATTGTGTGAGGTGGGCAGTACGCTGGTTCGAGAGAGAAGAAGAAGAATGAATGCCGCTGAGCGGGAATCAGTAGCGGCAAATGATGACCTAAATTCCCTGAAAAACGAGGGTCGTCAATAAGTAGGTCCTAAAAACTCACTCTATTTTTAGCTTGCCATCATTTGGATGTTGCACATGACATCATGGATCATATACTTCATAGATTGATTGTTGCAATCAGTTTTCTGCTGGAAAACGAATTCTAGATTCGTCATGAATAACAATAAATTAGACGAGCCAGCACTGCTGGCTCACTGCAAGGGCGTGTTCTCGAAGACAGGCTACATCACTGTGGGAACAGAAGAGTGCGTCCATATCCATAGATTTCATATGACGCACGTTTGATCCTTGATGTGTCCAATGCCATGCAAGCAAGTGGATGTTCGCGTTGGACATCTGTTTGAGATCAGGGTTATGGGTTGCTTCTAAATCATCAATACCCTGGTGCACCAAGACCGTTGATGCGTGCAGGAACCCTCTTCCATTCAAGTTTCCTGCACCAGAAAGCGATGATGCAAAGGCCAAGCCAATTTACACCCAACCCGCGAAGTTGGGCCGGTTGCCTGCTTCCTATTTTGAAAAGGAGCACTTGTACGTTTCGAAGGTACTCTATTTGGCTGTTAATGTCTTGCAAGATGCTTTCAAGGGGGGTTGCCATAACATTCGCTCAGAACCTGGATTCCAGGATCTGCCATATGTGGACAGAATCAAGTATGCTGAACTTCAGCCTGAAAAGCTTGGCAAAGGTTTCCTCACTAGTGATTACAGCAGAAGGGATGAGTTCACTTCGACGTTCAGGACAGAACAATATAGAGATCTGCTAAAGGTGATTCTATCTGCTATCCAGTTTTACAACGTCTTGTCAGCCTGAATTCCAGCAGAAACTTTTTTCACTTGACAATTTAGGAGCTCCTGCTTACTGTTCTATTACTATTCTTACATGCTTTTCCTGCCAAAAGGCAAGGTACGTCCTGCAGACAAGCTGCAGTTAAAGACTGCCCCAATCCTACCCCTTGTTGGACTCGCCAGATCCAAGCAATACCCAATCAACCGTGGGCACAGTGCTTAGTATTTATACCGCCCCCCGGCCAGCCGGGGCCTAACTGTTCTATCGCTTTATGAATATGCAGCAAGAAGAAAGGCATGCAAGAAGGGGGCTTCAGAATCACATGAATCATGAGAGCGATGTGGGACAAACAGAAGGTCTGCGCACGGCACAAAGAGAGGTCTTCCAGTTTGATTTGGTAAATACTACCTCCAACCCAATTTCTTCAATTGAGCATCCTGCACATCAGGAGGGTAATATACAAGTTCATGTGCCTTCCAAGTTGATACCTGCTTGCACAAGGCTGTCCATCAAGTACAGCATTCTCCAGCCAGCAGAGGATACTTGCCTATATCCTTGGCATTCACAGATAGGCAGTTGCATTCGCATTGAGTCGCACTCGCATTGTAGAAACAATGCGCTCATATGTGAGCCGAGATGTGTGCAAGACCGGAGCTGAGCCAATGATTAACATTCTTCTGATGTGCTGATTTTGTGCATCAGATTTTCTTTGATGACTTGAACCGCAACAATGCAATGTCCAGCAAGCTGAAGAAGGACACGTGCAATCCAACAGCTCTGTCACACAATCGACATTTCGGCACTTACAAGACGGCCTCTCAGCTTTCATACGCTGCTCCCCAAGCAGTCCACCCTCCGCAGCATGGGCATCGTCCTGTCATTGAATCGACTTTCTACCGGAGATCAAACGCATTTCTGGTGTCATGATGAGCGCAAAGCAACGCAGATTATTCACAAATACATTTAGGAAAGTTGATAACAGAACGACATTGGTATCTCTACTCCAGTTGCAATATTGTGGCTTCTAGGGCAACACTTTTGAAGCTTCTGATGTAACAAGTTGGCCGGCTGGCATCCCGTGAGACAGATTCCCTAGGTGGTTTTCAAAGTCCTTGCAGAAGAGTTGCCACTTACACTCATTTCAGTGCGGTGCACTGCAGCACACTAGAGCTCACCGCTAAATCATGTGACAAGAGAGACCTATACATGTCAGAGCTGGACCTCCGCCAGCTCGTGGGCTGGGTAGATGTCTGCCATGACTTTGAGCATGCCGGCGTTGAGGCTTGCAATGAAGTCGCGCACGACAGCCAGAGGCAGCCAGTCATCCAGCTCCTCACTGCCCAACTCCATGCTGCCGTGCTCCTCGCCCACTCTCTGCAGCAGGTCCAAAAAGCTCTGGAAATCCATGCCCTGCGTCTCCTGCACAATACCACACTGATTGCTCAGCGGCAGGCTTGAAAGATCAATCTACTGCATGATTGCACATGTTCTTTTTAAACATGGCATGGCAGCAGCAGCATGGTGGTGCACCCTTGGCAAGTAGAGCATGGCTGACATGCAGAATCCGGTCTCGGGCAAGTGGCATGCAGACCTGGACGCTGAGCAGGTGGTAGAGAGTCTCGATGGTGTCACGATTGAGGTAGACCTGCCCAGGACACTGCACAAAACGCCTGGTCGGCATGTTCTCCATGAGAAGCCGGCTCACCCTGCAGGCACATGACCATGCGTTGCTTTCCATGTGGCGCTGACGGCTGCGCCATTCTTCTTCTTCTTCTTCTCAGGTCTTCAGGTCTTCTCTGATACATGTGACTCAATGTGCCGTTGGCGGTGGCAACAGAGCCCCCTTGACATCTCTCCTGATACATGTGTACCCCAAAAAAGAAATGTCAGTGGATGCCTGCAGCGATGGGATTGCAGGAGGATTCGCACCAGTCCACAAACTCTGCAGGGCCCCCTGCGAGGGAGGTGGCCTTCCAGAGCTGGAGTGTGCAGTAGCCCTGCATCTGCGCCTGGAACTCATAGGGCTGGTAGCATCGCGAGCGCTGTCGCGCAAGGTCCACGAAGCTCAGCAGCTCTTCCAGTGTGAAGCGGCCATCATGATTGCTGCACAGGCACACTCAAGGCTTGTGGGCACTTGAAATAATGGTGGTAAGAATCTCGAAAGCGAGCTGGCCTGGGAGATTCTGCTGCTTCGGTCACCTGTCTAGAGCAAATAGTACGCCGAGATGAGACGGATCTACAGCCCATGAGGAGGGGGGGAGGCGCAGGGCCAGGACCTCATCCAGGACAAGGTAATCGCGCCCTTGCTTCACCAAGCGGTGATACTCATCTTCCAGACATCTCGTAAGGTTGCTATTTGCCGCACCCATCAGTTTACTCAAAGACGCAGATCATTTTGCATGCCTCGAGCAGGAAAGTATAACACAAGATTGTGCAGCTTGGTAAAATTCTGCTCACACTCGCATCCAAGAATGATGCCAGGCCTTGATGATCTATCCTTGAAAATCAAGGACTCAAAAGTATTAATTCTAGCACCAGCACAGCCGAACGTGCCGTGTCACCAGTCACGATAAAGCCCTGCACCAAAAACTCGGCTGCGTTCTTGGAGTATCACATCGATGGATCGTAAAAATAGGGTGCAGATGAACAAACCTCACCTAAAAGAATTGAAAAATTGATCCGCAAAATCTGGAACAACAAGTGCTCGAGTCAAAATGCCTTTCACCTGTCACGTGCACACTTGCTGTGAACGTTTTGGCCTGTGCTCGTCTCCTGCAGATTGCTGGGAATGCTGTAAACAAACTAAGGCTTGAGAAGTTGTGCTCAAGCATTTCTGCTCTCGATGAGGTCCTTGTATGTTGTCGGGATGTTGCTTTGAGTGCACAAGTTCTTGATGGGTTGTTTCTGCTCGAAACTGTTTGATGACCTGCCAGAACATGTTGGGAAAAGCAAGAAATTCAAAAGGCCTGTTTGGAAGTCAGAGGAGCCTTGTACAGAGTCTGACTTACAGGTATGACTATATCACTGAGGTCTAGCTCAACAATACTAAACCCTGTACTACTAGCCTGTGGTGGTCAATATTCTCCAAGCGCCCTTCAGCACATTAGTAGATATCTTCCATCTTGCTGCAAGACAGTGGCTTTGTGATGACACTGAGACTGTCTGTTGAAGGCTAAGCGTGAGGAGTTCTGGGATACCCAGCCTCACTATGGAGGCGATCGAGGTCTGTGAATCCTGCACATCCCCTGATCTATTTGCTCCAGCAATACAGCTTGCATGATGCTTTGTGCCATCTATGTCTAGTGTATCACATGCAAAAGCGCTAAAATCATTCTTGTCACTGCTCCTGCTTTGTCCTTCCTGTTGCAGTGATATGGGATGCGCTAAAGGCGGCGTGCGAGTCAGACCTGCAGACAGCCAAATTGATTCTCGATAGTGCTGGAGTTGTGGTTGCCTCGGATGACATGTCAGTGTGCTATGACGAAAGAGGTGCTGAAACGAGAGCCTCTCCGGTCCATATCGTACTGAAGTAGTGACAGTGAGATGGCTTTTCGATCAAGAGAAGTCTGCCAAAAGGGTGTTGCTTAGCTGGCTTGTGCATGCAGGAGGAAAGTATGAGCTACCAAAGTATGTGCTGAACGCACCCTCCAATTTGACAGTTGGGCCAAAAGCGCCATGTGCTGCTCCTCAAGTGGAGCTTATGAGCAGCTCAGCGGCAACCTCAACAGGGCCTGCTCCCACTTGAGAAAGACAGAATTAAGACAGCGTAAATCGAGACAACATCTGAACATATGAAAGCCTCTGTCCTTGATGATTTTGTCGCTGTGCTGGCAGCGCTGCAGGTCTGAGTTGCTGCAGCACCGATCAGATCTGCAATTGTCTTGTTGTCCAACAAGCTCAATGAACCTGTCGCATCTGTGCTGTGTGTTGGAAAGATCAATAGATGAAATTCCCCTGAGGATATGTTGTTCAAGGGTACTGTTCTGTACAGAACATCCAGGCGGGGAAATGTTAGAAGCCCACCAAATTTTCAGCTAGGTTTTAGTCGATTGCTTTTCTTCCTCAGGGCCCTCAATTTTCATGAATGTCATGGGGGGTGTCCCTGAGATTTTATGCTAATTTACTGCAACTGTGTTTGACGGTCTTTGAGAGTTTCAGCAGAACTTTCAGCTCTAAAGTAAGAGCAAACTTGCCCCATGTATCGTCACTATACACAGTACGGTACTGTGTACCTGGTCTAGAACCTGTACAGTCCGAGACTCTCAGTAAACTACAATGCTAGTCAACTAGTCCGTCCAGAATATCATTAAAGGTTATGATGATGTCAACAGTAAGGCTGGGTCGTGTAAGGAACTCCCAATGTATACACCGCTGCAGTGCTGGGCTTTGAAGATAGCAAACACACGGAGCGATAGTTGCTCAGCATACGATCCAAGCTTGATCCAAGTTAAGTCGCAATGATACATACTTTACATGGCAAGCATCTGGGTGTCAAGACCAGGCATTGTAAAGTTAGTTCACATCAGCATGCCATTGAGCTACATCTCCGCAAGGCAACTGAAAAACTTGCAAGAATTTGAGCTACATCTCAGTGCATATGGTTACAGGGCACATCTGTGATTGTGCCCTCAATGTTTGGGAGCGGCAGGTCATCCACATCGATGCTGGCATCCAGAGCAGAGAAGTCCTTGAAGAATGCGCAGAAGTGGTTGTAGGTGTGGGACATGTCGTCCACTGCACACATCTCCCGGATGCTGTGCATGGATAGCTGCACGGCAGCAAAGCCACATCTGTGCAATAGCCCCTTGGCAGGAACGGCAGAAAACCCTTTAACAGCTCTTGTGCTGGACATATTATAAGGCATTTGTCCAGAACATCCCACAAGCATAGCATGCCCAGGAAGAAAGGGCTTGCATGGGCATCACAATTGCGTGCGTGATGTCCAGACTATGTTAGAGATGGCATTGATGCTATTGGGCATGCATTATGGCTGGTGGAGGAAGCGCAAGAATCAAGAAAACTGGAGAGCAATAATTCAGAGGTTGCTTGACGTACCTAGTCCGTAAGGGCTGGAAAACGTTCAATAGTAGACATGTCCAGCTTTGATAGAGAAAGTCATGCATCGAGAAGGCGCGGTCCCTGCTGTGGTGCTGGGAGGAGTCAAGTGACTCACCTGGGGTGCGCCGACATCGACAGTGCGACAGCCGAGGCCAGAGGCCAGGATGGGCCCGATGGTGGACCCGCACGCCATGTCAGAGCGCACACAGAACTCCTGCGTGGGAATGCCCCGCCGCTTTGCCAGCTCCCTGCACACACACGCTCACACAACACCAGCTCGTTCTCTCCTGCCACACTGCTATATAACCATCCTCTTGCAGGGGACTCTGAATTGACAGTAAATCTGGAGTCTCCTGCTAGGTGAAGAGGTGCATGGACGTCTGACAAACATCATGCGATTGCTGGAGGAAGCACGCAAGAGAGGATGAGGGGCACCTGAAGAGGGTGGCAGACACAGCGTTGGTCGCATATCGCTGGTGCACGTTGTGCTTGAGGACCAAGCCCTTGTGGAACTGCGGCTTGTGATCCGGCTCGTGCTTGTCCGCTGCAGTGTCACCCACATACAGCCTCAGTGTCATCTTATAAACAATTACTCAATACAGCACAGGAGTGGGGCCTCGCTGCCCCCACACCAAACCCAGGTAAGCCATGTTGATCACCCTGCTCGCCCCAGAGTCATCAATTGAGCTCACAGCCATCTGCTTCGTCCAAGGAGGGTGCTGACCGTAGTTGGGGTGCAGCGCATGCGCCATGTCAGCGCTGACTAAGAAGGAGTTCTGGATGGCGCGCACTGGCGCATCAACCGCCCCCTCCGAGAAAGCCTGAGACACCCTCGTGATGGTGTCACGCATCACTGGCCCACCAGCACCTGCAAGTGACAGCTCTCATAAGCATTCGGCATTAAATTCAAGCAAGCATTTTCCCAGCTGTAGTGTGCCACTTTCGCCTGTCTTTTACACATCTTTGCTGTGCATGCTCTGATAGGGTGCCCCACGTAGAGGTCTTCTGATCACTAATGACCAGACAAATACATTTCTCCAGCCATGCAGTATATTCTCGTAGCAGGTTGGTAACAGATCCTTAGAAGGAGATCAATAGCAGCAACTCATGTGCTAGGCATTGTCAACAGGCGCATGTTTGAGGATGCCACAAAGAGCCAGGCGCAGACCTTGTGCAGATGCGGAGCCGACCTCCTCGTGGTCAAAAAGAGCAACTGCCTTGATCGCGGTCTCTTCGGCCAGTGCATCCGTACCAAAGGTGCTGTCAATGAGCGCGCGCAGGCTCAGGTAGCTCATGGCCAGATTGTCCAGCCGGCCCACAAACAGGAACTCATCCTCCAGCCCTACAAGCAATATAGAAACTTGACATGCGCATAGACACCGCACATCACTAGCAGACACAGGGAAGAGCGTACACCGGGGAGAAGGGGATGTGAACAAAAAGCACAGATCAAACAAAGGTAAAGTCTGGAAGGTGAAGTCTGAGAATGGGTGATGATTGCGGAAGGATGCAGGGCTCACCGCCGATGACGCCAGGCTGTGTGTCGCAGACGTTGAGCTCAAAATCCACAATGTCGCTGGTGCTGCATTTGAGCTCGTTGGCCAGTAAGCGCAGGAGCGCAGGGTGGTGTGGCTCACTGCTCTTCTTCTCCTGCAGCAGCTCAAGATATCATGCAACTTGATGTCCTGCAGGCCGGTTCACAGGAAGGCAGCACAAGTGCAGCACTCCACACACCCGAGCTTTTGTTGCATCTGCCTCTGCATTGGTCTCACTGGCTTCGGCTGCCTCGTCCTTGGTTGCACCTGGGATGTCCTTGCCGCCACCGGTGGCAGCGGCTTTGACAGCGGTGGCGAGCACTGGCACGACATGGTTTTGCTTGTTTGGCTTGAACCCCTGCTCGCCAATCTCGCGGTACAGATGGATGGCCAACATCGGAATGCGCATGATGGGCCTTGCAACCTTGACCTGCACCATAGCACACATGAGCATTGTCAACTTGTAGCTTCACCTTTTCAAGAGTTCAAAGCCTGCACAGAGCATGTGAATCGTTGGGCGCTCCCTGCATATGAGAGTCAGACGGAGGGATGCAGTGCTTCCATCAGAGACGGGTTGCCACAATTTTGCCCTGGAGCAATCAATAACAGCGCATGCTCTCTTTACTTCGCAAATGACGGATGGATTTTTGCAAAAAATTGCAGCCCAAGGTGTTGTATGTCCCACCAGTTTCTGCACCAGGCGGTCCTGTTCGCGGACAAGGACGCGGCCGGCAACAGACAGGTCGCGGTCGAACCATGTGTGCCACAAGCCGCCCCCATACGGCTCCACGTTCACCGTCAGAAACCCAGCCTTGACTCCCTTGGAGTGGGGCTTCAACTTCAGGCACGGGCTGCAAGCCACACAAACGAAAAGTAGGTCATCTGGAAGCCAAATACATGAGGTATGCAGCTTGTTTGGGCATAAGCTCAGACAGACATGCATGTGCATGTTAGTGGCATCGCTTCATTGGGTCACCAGGAGTGAGGGCTGCACCTGTCTGTGTGCGCGCCAACCATATGGAAGCCGTTGCCAGCCTCATACTTGCCGCCCACTGCAAAGGCGACAATTGTTGATGCATTGCGCGTGAAGTAGTAGCGGCCGCCCTTTTTTAGGCCGTGCCAGGGCTGGCGCTCAGACAGCTTCTCAAATCCGGCCGCATGCAGGCGCCGACTGGCTTCCTCTGTTCCCCAAATCAGATGAGCTGAAGAACCACAAATTTATCTACCTTGAACAGCTGAGGGCTTGGAGCTACCACGGAGCATAAAAATCGTGTGATTGGCTTCTATCAAGTGCTATGTTCCCATTCATTGTCACTTGGCAAAGGAACAGAAACAAATAAGAAGAGCTGATCACATTGAAGACCAAGTGCAAAGGTTGGAACATCCAACCAGTACGCCCCATATTGAAGCAGAGAGACCGAGACGATCCATTGGAGGATGTAGAAATCCTGTCACATGTCGCACCTACTGCATGATATGGCGTCCAGGATGCATTTATGTAATCTAGCAGAGCCTTGGCAATATTGATGTCCACAGTGGCATCAGGCTGGTTCTTCATCAGGCTGCTTACGGTGTTGGCAGATGCCGTAGCGCTGCTTTCCGTTCCGCCAACGTTGCTAGCCTTCACAATCACTTTCTTCTCTGGTAAGGACGAGCGCTGACGCGTATTTGCAGAACTATAAATATGAGAATTCTGCAAAGGGCACGAGCTCAGCAGGCCAGATCCCCTTTCGATCTGCAGACGGAAGCTGCCAAATATTTTGCAAACTGGTATCATCAAAGAAAAATAGGGAATCGGGACGAAACGACAAATGTGACTTCATCATGAGGAGGAGCATGTTGACATGACATGAGTGGAAGGAGGCCAAGGTTGCCTAGTCAGGACAAGCTGAACAGCAATCCCAGTCACTGACGGTCTCGAAGGACATTCCTTGCTTTTGCGTGTGAGAAGAACATGCACCTGTGGCAATTTGAACAAGGTACTTCACATTGTCTCCCCACAAATGGCCCAGCTGGACCAGGGTAGCTGCACTGCATGCCGCATGTATACTATAGTACATAGCCATATATAGGCTATATAGGCTATCATAGTGTGCATATGCGGCATCATATGGTGGCATTGAGACTGATGAATGACCGACTTGTGATTTCAACCGCCCTTATGAGAGCTCCTATATATATATATGCGCTCAGATTTTGCACAGGTGGGACCTTCAACCTGAAAGGGCGCCAACGCCGATTTTCCTCTAGGCTTGATGAGCCAGCATGATGCATGTCATATGATTGTCAAACTAGGCTGTCACATTAGGCTGCCCAAGCGGCTTGGAAGGACAAGTCCTATAACTTTGATATAACTTTAATCCTCCCCTGACAGTGAGTTTGAGAACCAGAATTTGAGTGTAACTTTGACTGCCAGCTCATGAATATTCTGCCTGCCATCATGGTGTCAACACGGATGAAAACATGCTTCAAAGCCCGCCTCTGTGAAGGCAGCCTTGAGATCATCGCACGTCCCTGACCTCAACATCGATGACATCCCCACCCACCACCCCATCGCTGCCGCTCCCATCCACTTGAATGACTTGGCCATTGGGCAATTGGACCTGCACAGGCACATAGGGAGGTCATTTGACAACATGATATTGGAGAAAGAAGAATGCAAACTTTCGAGCGCCAGAAGATAGCAGAAAAGGCTGCCTCGCGAGTGCACATCATGCAACAAGCTCGAAGCTTCAAAACAGGAGAAAATCATGAAAACGGTCAAGTATTAATCATCCAGCAAGTCCTGCAAAGCTTTGTGTGGCAGTAGGTGAGTTTGTTGTGTTACCTTAATAATAACATCTGAGCCGGTGTCGCCCACGGTCTGCTGCACGCTGGCAAGGCCCTGTTGACCAGATGAACTCCTGACGAAGAATTGCAACGTAGTCGTGGTTGTGGACCGGCCGTTAATATACTGCGAAGACGTCGACGTTGATGATCTGCAACACAGCAGGTCAATCTTAGCACAAGCACCAGCCATTTTTGGCTGTGGTGACGCATAAACGCGACAGAAGAGATACAATGAAAAAATATGATAAGGCGCAAAAGAGCCCTGCTGTGAGGGGGGATGGTCACCCGCCAGGTGCTGGCGATATGCTGCCACCCAGGCGCGACCTCAGCCGGCTGTCGGACTGCATCACCCTCAATGCGTGCTCCCGCAGGGCCTCTGCCTGCAAGCAGACATGCAACATGCTGTCATTCCATCCCTGGTCAACCCCCACAATGTCATTCCCAGAGTGACACCCCACACATGCACCCGCGCCAGGCAGGTTGCATCCATATTCATACTTGCAACATGTCTCTGCCATGATCCTGGTGGGAGGACAGAGGAGGCCTGTGGTGTGTTTAGCAACAGGGGAGGCCCCTTGAGGAACCAAATTGAGTGCACACCTGCTCCTGTTGGTTCTGCAGCTGCCGCATGGCGCCACCAAGCATGGCCCCTGCGGCGCGGCCCAGCAGACCACCGACCAGGCCGTCCCCCATGCCAAGGCTGCCTCGCTCCCTTTCCCTGCCAAATGTTCACCATCACTGGCGCCAAGTCTGACGAATTAGAGTGGCCCACACACAGGCACTTGCTTAAATATTTTTCAAGTCTCTAGTCTTCATCTATCTGTGCATTTGCTGTTGTTTTGGAGCCCCAGCCCCTGTTTTTGCGGCTCGATTTGCATCTGGGCAGGCCATAACAAGCATGGGACACATTTCCTCTGGCGCTCCTCTAGATTGGGCGGACTAAAGAATAGCAAGGGGCCCATGTGATGGAAATGCAGATACTCACCATGGATTGAGCTTGCCATAGTCGCCCTCTGAGCGACCGTAGCTGCGCTGGGGCCGCAATGGCTGCTGCTTTTGTTGCTGCTCCTGCGGCACAAGAGATCGCACTGCACTGCTGATGGACTTGCCCACTTTGCTTACTGCAGATGCGGCCAGCTCCGCTGCGTCCTCTGCACAACCAATAAGTATGGCATCAGCCTCTTGTTGGCCAAACACATCTTGGAAGACCCCAGATGGATACTGTCAAAGTAGCCAAATGCGTCTCAATTGCTTGTGCCTGACTGAAGGATACACCGCTTCTAGATGATGCAGGTGTACTAGTAATCATAGTAATGGAGGATGTTCTGACTAGACGCTGGAATGGATTCACTCATATCACACTTCAATTTAAATTTAAAAATCTCTCATGAAGCAACACATTCATTATTGTTCACAGACCAAGTCAACTTACTTGCAATCTCTGACCAGCTCTTCTCCTCGTTGTTCCTCGACGAGGCCATGCATCGTACATTGTGGGGCGCAGCGAGATGCCTGATTGACAAGCTTTTCATGCGATGCATCTTGAGGCAGTTTTGAGGGCGAATTGCACTCGAACACGTCAGGGATCCAAATCGTGCTTGCTGGCTACACGGTCCGAGACCCATTGCAAGTGAAAGTCTTGTGATCATTCGGCTTATTAGTTGAGATGCATTTAGCAGGCCGCTTGTGATGAACTGACGATCGCGACACTTAGGAGAATGTGAAGCCTTCCTTGGAGCAAGCCTCGGTCGTCCTCGTCAGGCTTTGTCAGGCTTTGTCATCATGCCCTGTCCATCCTTGACCAAGACATGACATGTGAGTTATCGTTTGCCTGTAAATCTCTACACAGAATTATAGCACATAATTGATGTCGTACGAGCAGAATTTTCACCATTCGGTGTAGACCTCAAGAAACCTGCTCAAGTGATCTACAGAGTAAGGACTGTCGCGAAGAGATAGTATACACCGCCTGTATGTCATCTGATGCCCTAGAAATCAATTGGGAGCAGGAAGGGTCAGTAGATCTCACGTCTTTGGTCACGAGAAAGCCTGTTGACCTTTCAGCATCCACCAGTCCTGCCAAATATTTGCAACCAAAGAATGACCAAGGGCAGAGATGCAAGCTCACCCTGCAGCTGCAGCAAGCCGTGCATGAGATCCAGATTATCAGCAACGCACGCAGCTGCGAGCTCTTCACAATTAGTGAAAGTGGCGAGGCAACCTACTGTTCATCAGTGACAGGACGTGGATCTGGAGACCGCTATATTCTGTCCCTGAAGACATTGGTGAGAAAGATATCCATCAAGGTGTCTTTGCATGCATTAATGCTTGTAGGCAAGTTCTGAATTCATTGAGCATACTGTTGCCCATAGGGACGACAGACAGCGATGATGCTGGGCATGTTCTCCTTGAATCCGAAGGACGAGTTTCATCTGTATGGGTTGTCCCTGCTTCCATTAGCAGACAGAGGCAGCCCAGGGCGCAGTGACACGGGTGCTATGCCATCCACCCAGATGGAAGAAGTGCACGAGCTTCTGCGCTCGTATACAGCTGATGGTGGCCCTGCAGACAGCGATCCTCGCAGGAAGTTCTTTTCCTCCATCGCACAAGCAGCCCTTCAGGTGTGTTCCTGCTCCTGAACCAGCCTTCAGAAATGGCTTGCGACCATACACAAATATCTTGAAACAACCGAGTTGTGCATTCAGGGTGGTCCATCCCACCGGCACGACAGGCAGAGACCGGATATCCCGACTGCGAGCAGAAGCACTGCTGCAGGAGAATATCTGGACCTTAAGTCCCTTGATGCAGCGGTGACAAAGGTCCTCGAGGAGAAGCTTGATTGGTTTGAGCAAAGGATATCAAGCGTTCTCGAGAGTGCTCTGCACGCAACGGAGCAGCAACTGGCAAGTATGTTAGCAAAGAGCCTTTCGTTGCCGAAACATACAGACAAGCATTCATAGTACATTACTGTAAGCTTGCACTTCATCTCAAACCTGGCAAGTAGGATCCCTTGCATGGCACACACTGGACACTACATGGCACTTCATATGACACCCCATTCCTGTGACTGGCAGAGGAGCAGCTGTATATGCTTGTGCACAATGCAAATTCTCTACATCAGCCGCATAAAGGAACCTTTCGGATTGTGAAGCTTTCGTATGAATTGAATTCAAGGAAATGGCATTTCGTACAGCATTTTGTACATCAGCCTGCCTGCCAGGCTGAGTTTGGGCTCGAGCTAGGACTCCATGGGGGTAGCTTGTGGTGTGGGTTGCGTGCTCGGCGTGATAGTGCGGTTGAACAGGATGTCCTTGACAACCTGCTGGTCAACATAAAATGAGGTCATCAATCAGCCAGCGTCATTACATATTCATGCATTGCAGCTCCACCCAGAAACGGGCATCCCAGATTTATCATGGCAATTGCGGCAATCTAAGGAAGTGCTAAGCAGGATTCCAGTGCGTGCCTGTGCGCTGACACCCTTGATGTGCTCCAGGGCAAGCTTGTTCGCGTCGCAGCAGATCTTGTGCAGCTGCTGGTCAGCCGCCGTCTGCTTCTTGTCGCTCGTGCCAGAGAAGCGCGACCTTGCGCCACCTTGTGCCACCTGGCCCTCACACGCTTCCAGCTTCTCCGCTGCACCGTGCAGCACCCTCTGTCACGTCTCAAATTTAACCCTCAACTTTCATAGCTGCAAACATCTCTCCACACCACACGCAAGACAATACCCCGGAACCTGCTACTGGGCTGACTGGCTGGTGTCACTGTCAGCAAGCACCAGTCCCTTGTCCCCTAGAACTAGTAGTCCTCATGACCAGGGGATATCTGTAGCTCACCAATGTCCTTGATCTGGCCAGCGGTGAGGTCGCGGGTGGACAAGAGCGGGGAGGATGCCAGAGTGTTGACCCAGTACTTGGCCCAGAGCAGGTCGAGCAGGCCGGCGTCAATGCTGGACTTGAAGAACGTGATGTCGAGGCTGTAGTAGGACTTGCAGTGCACGCCAAAGTCCTCGATCTTGCTCAGCGGGATCGTCTGGTACTCTGACGGCGGCTCATCCGGCGGCTTGTAGTGCTGCACCATTGAAAAATGCTGTGAGCACTCTCTCTCAAGTAAATTTGCATGATGTTGACGCCCAACAGATAAGCTTCAACAACCTTCATCATGACAAGTGCACAGCTGCATCTGCAAGAAAGCAGTCACAGCATGCAGTGTGTCTGCAGCAGCAGGCCTCATTTGAAGCAAGCCAGGCTTGCAGGCATGCATCATGCTTGCATCAACTGAGGCACAGCAGTGTACAGCCTGGCACAACCACTGTGAAGCGCACCTCTGGGTATGTGCGGAACGCGCCGATCTCGACCTTGCCAGCTGCGATGGTGCGGTGAGGGTCGACGACGATGGCCAGGAAGGGCTCCTGGTACTGCTGCTGGATTGACTGGGTGGACACATCTATGCCGGACAGCCAGCAGCCGTACCCCGGGTGGCTGTGATACCAGCCCACCATGTTCTCCAAGCGCCCCACCACCTGCAAAGCCATGGATGTTGAGTCATCTGCATGTGACCACATGATCAAGGAATCTGGCACAGAATACTCCGATGTTTTGCACAATGGCGTTGGTCGAGGGCAATATGTCCAGCTTGATGTATGATGCTACAATGGGTTGGAATGGCGATGCAGGAGGGCACACCTTAGTGCTCTCATTGAAATCCACCATGAACTCATAGGCTTCAGCCTGAGCGTTCACTCGGGTCTCTGTGCCTTCCACTGGCAATGCAAACGCGTCGACCACGATGAAAGCATCGTCCTGGATTTTGCCATACAGCATGCCCATGATCTCCAGGTTTCCGCCAGACTTGGCGTGCATGGCCATTTTCAGCAGTGCTAGTGCAGATATCCGAACACTGCAGGCAAACGAAAAGGCTGTTGCCAAAATACACAGAAGCATGCTAGAGAAGTGAAGCATGTACAGAGACGCATTCATTTGCGATGATGCTGCAAGAATTTGCCAGCAGCATCTGTGATCTGAGACGCACTGCTTGAAGTAGTGTGGATCTTTCGTCCAAGGTTTCTGATGTTGCAGTGCCTGCTGCTCTGCACCATCGTACACGTAATATGCATCGGATCCCTCAATATTCTGGATGCTATTCTCCAATTCCCATCGCTTCTGCGCAGGGCTGCTGCCTGCCATAGGGCTGCCTAGCGGGAAGACTTATGCACTGATTCAGGATACTTTTTAGACAGCTTGCATGTGGAAATTGAGATTCGTAGAAATCAACTTGTTCAGTGTTCTCGATCGCCCCTTGTGAAAAGCACACAGCAGTTTAGATACCTTGACTTCAAGCTCAGGACAACGCTTCTATGGGATTAAGCAACCTCAAATGTCTCAATGAACGGCTTCTTGCACTCTCTTGGATTGTTTTTTGGAATGAAATCCCACAGATCTAACAAAACAAAAAGCCAGCCAACGCCGTCGACTTTCATGGCGTGCATATGCTACGCAAGATTTGCCGAGGCTTGAAAAGCTCGATAGCGCTGGTTCCCAACTCAATTGTTTTTATCTTTGCGTAGTATACGACGACAGTAATCGCCACATTTTCTGTCAAGTCGCAAACTACTGCCGCGTGATAGATCAACTTTGTGGCGTGCTGATCTGACATGCTTGTCCATTCTGCAGCGCAGTTGCCTAGCTGCAATATAAAGGCTTCAGGGCGTTCAGGGTTGATATCTGCAAACATGAGTCTTAGGCGATCATGCAGCTGCTTGGGTAGGATCTTGCTTTCTCAGAGACAACCTGTCGTGCCCTGCTCCACCTCTGGAAGAGCGATGATGATGGTTCGGGCAGCAGCATCCAAAGCAGATACAGTCGACAATGATGTTGCCGCAAAGGTGATCATTCTCTTTTGCATACTTTGCAGCTCATGATCGCCTCCCCGAGCAAAATTGCCCAGTTTCCCATAGCTTCTTTGCACTGAGAGTTGTCCATCAGTAGAATATTCTGCTTACAGGCAAATGCCCTGGATTCGGTTCTCAAGGAGGTCAACCAACGCTTTGGCAAAGGGAGCATCATGAAGCTGGGCGGCACTGCACAAAAAGTGTAAGCGACTCCTATCGGGTCGCTGCTCTTAGACCATATGATTACCACATGGATCAAAGGAAGCATTTCCGGAATTGCTTACCTGTATTTCTAAGGCATGATTACCTGCCGCAGGGAAACCATTCCCAGTGGTGCTTTAACCTTGGACATTGCCCTCGGCGGTGGATTCCCAAAGGGAAGGATCATCGAGGTGATCGTTTTGCTGCATTCTCGTGTGCAAAGTGCTCCAGATTATGCTGCTAGCACAATTTTCTACAACGCATGTCCTACACTCACAGGTGTACGGACCAGAGAGCAGCGGGAAGACCACCCTGGCCCTGCATGCCATGGCGGAGGTTCAGAAGGCTGGTGGCACAGCAGCACTCATCGACGCGGAGCACGCGTTTGATTCTACATATTCCAAGGTGAGCTTTGCCTGCAGGAAAGCTATTCTGTCAAATTATCTCAGGACATGAATTATCAAGGGTTCCTGTTGTGTGCTGATCATTGCAGAACATGGGCCTGGATGTCGAGAAGATCCTGCTCTGTCAACCTGACAATGGTGAGATGGCCTTGGAAGTGGTGGATCAGCTGGTGCGCTCGAACGCTGTGGACATCATTGCGATAGACTCTGTCGCAGCACTGGTGCCCCGCGCAGAGATTGAAGGCGAGATTGGCGCTGTTCAAGGTGCGTGGGGTATCCTTGCCAATCCTCTACAGACCACTTTTTTCTCCAGTGGCCCTGCTAGTAAAAATGCCTGTCCTCTGACGGCTGTATCTGTGCCGGTGCAGTTGGCGCACAGGCAAGATTGATGAGCCAGGCACTCAGAAAGATTGCTGGGAATGCATCAAAGTGCAACTGCACAGTCATCTTCCTCAATCAGCTGCGGCACAAGGTATTTTAGATCAGCTGGTGACTCAACAGATCGCCAATTACTGCAAACGTTGTTGTGGTCTTTTATTCTGATTCTGCCAATTTGAGTAATTTGGCGTTTGCAGATCGGAGTCATCTATGGAAACCCAGAGGTGACATCTGGCGGCAATGCGCTCAAATTCTACGCATCTGTGCGCTTGGAAGTCAGGCGAAAGATGACGCACGAGAACTCAAAGGGAGAGAGCTCAGGCATCCGTGTGAAGGCCAAGGTGAGCATCTCTGCCCAATATTTGCAGCACAGTGTTCGATCTATTTGCAACGTTCTGGGGTGGTCAGGATTTAGGGATTTGATGTGTTGTTGCAATGCAGGTGGTGAAGAACAAGGTGGCTCCTCCCTACAAGATTGCGGAGTTTGACATCATGTTTGGCACTGGGATCTCTGGGCTGGGCTGCCTGCTGGATGCAGCAGAGGCGGTGGGCATCGTGACCAAGAAGGGGTCCTGGTACTACTACGGGGAGGAGAAGCTGGCACAGGGCCGCGACAAGACCCTGGCCGAACTCACAGAGAAAGCATCCGTCGCATTGTGCGCCCCTCACAAGCCCTGCACAAGACTCCTTATGGGATTATGCTGAATGTGTGGCAGGCGAGCGTTGTGATTGTGCCGGGGTTTCGAGCAATTGTGTAAACTGAAGTGACTCACGGTAGCCTTCGGCTGTGGCAGGGAGATTGAGGCGAAGACTCGTGCCAAGCTCACTGGAGAAATTGACATCAACGAGATGTACGAGAAAGGCAAGGAGGCAGTCGCACTGGAGGATGCTGCTGAGGAGGAGTTTGATCTCAGCGAGGAGCCTGCCACTGCAGCTTGAAGTGCTGGGAAAGCGCCCCTCTAGGGGATCCTCAGATGTTGCTCTGTTTCTGCTGTGCAATCGAAGTTGTACTTTGTTTTGTGAGCCTGATACCAGGCATGATGTGCCCTGATGTGCCCTTGTACATATATATTTGCATAGACAGGCGCTGGGTGAAATGAATATGGCGCGTGCAGGCATGCAGAGCAGGTCTGTCACATTTGTGTAGACTATCTTTTGCAGTTAATGTTGTAATTTGTGGATTCCTGCAGGAAGGGCCCTGCTATTGTATCTAGGGCGTCCATCAGTAGTGTTTACAGCGGACAGATTGTGTAAAATCCTCCTTATATAAGGAACTTCTCAATCGCAAAAACTTTGCTCCTAGAAGTCTAGGGAGGACTTCACGGTGGTCTGCTCGGGGGCTTGCGCAATCTGCAATCTTTCTGACAATCCGAGTTTGGCGCAGACTGTTTTGAATTTTCCTCTGAGCTCAACCATCATGTCCTGCATTTTCTCATCCTGCACCAAGAAGTCACACAGCCATCTCAGCAACGGATCCTGGAAGCAGAGGAGCTCTCAAAAAAATCGCGGGATCTGATTTTTGTGCACAAGATGTGTGCAATGCATCTCGCTAGGCCGCCTCACCTTGGGATCATTCAAGGGAAAGTTCTTGGTCAATTCCTCCATACTCGTTACCTGCTTCTCCGCCTTGTCTAGTAGAGCTGGCTGCTCTTTGTGGAGTTCCCTCAATGCCTGCACAGCCATCTCGTGCTGGGCAGATAAGTATCTTTGGCCGTTGAGATGACAACTGCTCTCTCTGCTGAGATGTGTGGAGCAGGTTGGAAATGAACTCACCTCACAGAATCCCGCATAGAAGCCCACTTCTGAGCCGATTTCACAGCCCTTCAGCTCGCCTAACTCTCTTCCCTCCTTGAGTCCTGCCGCTTTCCCATCCCTGAGACCATAAATAAAGTTTTGAGACCTGATGCCTGTGGTTGAAGCGACATCATGGAATTGAGGCCCGTAGATCTCACACTTTGATCTGCAAGTCAATATTTACTTCTTGCCCTCTTCGTAGCCTTCTTCAATATGAGTTGATTCCAAGTCAAGGCAGGCATCGAACAAGTCGCTCATTGTTGGTGGGACCTCCAAGTATGTGAGGCCATCAACATGGCAGCCTCATCGTCTACACAAACAAATACCTACTCACAGTGCATCACATTCTTTTCTCGCTGAAAATGTGCTAAATAGGACAAACAGAGCGCGATGAGCACTTCCTTCCTTCCTTCCATCCTGAGGAGATCGAAGCATGACAGGATTGAGGTGATGAGTCATACCAGCAGCTGAGAAGCAGCTACCGAGCTGGGCTGCATTACAATGTTCTAGCTCAAGTCTCCTAATGCAAATTACTTGGTGTCTAGCACCACGAATTCCAAGGCATTGCTGGAAATCGAAGTCCAGAGATCCGCAGTGTCCAACTTTTGCACGATCTGGCAGTCACTTAGCTAGGCATACCGTACTAGGCTATGCGAGATATATGAACTCGAGTTGACCGATTGCATCTATGTTCACTATTATATTTTAAATGGAGTGTTACAGCCTGCATGGCCAACCCTCCACGTTGTGAGTGAGACCAAATATGTTCAGTCAGGATGCTGGGGGGTGGACTGCCCGCCAGTCAGCTGCTTCCTGTCCATCTTTCGTGCTTCAGAGAGTTCGCATGCCCATCGTCCATGCCTCCAGCAGTCCTGCTTCACCAGTGCGATCTCCCTCTCATGCTCTCTTTGCAAGCAACTGTATTCTTTTGCTCCACGTCCTTACTTTGGTGATGTCGCTTGGCACGTCCTGAAGACAAGGGTTGGAGAGGTGTCCTGTGCAAGAAGTGACGTCCGCATGTGAGCAGGAGCAGGATGACAGCAGCATGTCAGCTTGGTCCTACCTGGCAAGCCTGCGTTTGACTGATGCTACAGACCAGCTGTCCGCAATTGACACACAAATACGAGACCGGCTCTATGCAGAGTACTGTGTACAGTGCGCAGACATAGCCCCATACTTGCATCAACGAGGCAGAAGGTAGGTACACCTGTACGCAATCCATGTTACCATGCAATCTCAATCTGTCGCACATCTCATTTATTAGGAGGCATTCTTATTGCACTATACTGAGAAGATTCTTCATCACAGGGTTGGACAGCAGCTGCTTACTGCCTTTCTGGTCCCCAGCGAATCTCCAGGTGATGGCAGATCCCCATGTTTATGATTTAAGAAGAGCTGGGTGTATCGCCTGCATGTGATTGTTTCTCACACCATCTGGTTCTGGGGCAGGAAGTGTCACTTTTGAGGATGATGATGATGGAGATCAGCTAAAGTCTGATCGCTTGGGCGATGTTGACCCACTCCTCCTTCCTGTGCTGGACCCCTTTGTAGCGGTAGGCTCTCAAGTTATCTATGCAAGAGGCAGCATTGCTGCATGCAGTACTTCTGTTGACTTTGCCTCCTTGCCATTCGCGTATTTGCGGCTGTGGTGGTTGCTTGATGACTGTTGTTTTGGCCTCACAGGGGTTGACAGAGCCTTTTCAAGCTGAGTACGAGCAGGTCAGGCGGAATGTGGCGTTGACAGTGTTGGCCAGCAGTGCAGCCTGTGGCCTAGTGGGGTTCCTAGTGGGCAGGTATATCGGGAAAAGGCGGTGAGAATGCATGCAGCGGAAGTGAATCCAATCGTAAGAACTTTGGAGGAGTCCTGAGCTGAGCTGGCTTACAGGCAGCCTATTAGATGCCTCTACAGTTGATCGTGGTTGCAGTATTGGTCTTGGGCACTTTTTGCAATTGCATGCGAGCGCAGTCCGACTTTCAAGATAGCCCTCTTACAATTATGCGGGTGTCGAGCTTGGCCGTGATGCGGCATCATCCTGCATGCTTGCACCTCTTTGAGGCTGCCATGGTGCTGCCACAATTGTGGAATCTATCCACTGGATATGTAGTCTGGCAGGAGCTGATTTGCCAATTGGCAACACCCAGTAATTGTGGGCAGCTCCGGAAATCTCAAATGTATCACACATGTCACGCACGGTGCGGCCAACGTTGGTCCACAGTGTAATCCTTAATGTGTAATGCTGAAGGTGGCACCTTCCTCCCTGCGATTGCCTGCCACACAGGTTATGGTGCTGCATGCATGGTGCCGCACTCCTGATGCATCCCTGCACATTTTCCGCTCGCCCCTGGCCCGGGGCCCTCGGTGCTGTTCATCACATACCTTCCTGTGGCACGGTAGGACAATTGTCCGGTTGCTGGGAGGGTGAGTGATGTCGACTGTTCCACTACTCAACTCCAATATGAGTGGAAATCGAGTGCAGATCCAAGCAAATTTCTCAGGGGGCATGGCTATTTTAAGGCAATGATGGCAGGATCCAAGTGAAACAATTGGAAGGAGTCTACTTCCGTCAGTAAAAAACGAGTAATTGACCAGTCAAACTGAAAGGGAGAAATCCAGCAATCCAGGAAAGCTGACTTCTTCGATGATCGTGTATGCGATCGCAAAATATTGATTTCTGGGTGCGCATGATCTAGTATTGGTGTAGGGTGCACCTCGACCCTGACTGGAGTTGCACACTTGGGAAGACATTTTTGTTTCTAAGAATACTGTTTGGCTATCCCAATTCATGTCACAAAGGGGGAGGACGTCTATGAGAGAGCATAGAAGAGCGTCAGTGGTTTGATGGCCACTGTACCTAAACGAGATACCCAGTACGTGGAAGCTCTGCTGTCCAAGCGCATTGAGTATGTGAAAAAGCTTAAGACTGACCTGAATACCAACAGCTGCGCGACGGCTCAGACCATTGCGGCCTACAGTGACCTACTAGAAGGTGATCTGAGCTCCTGACTTCCAAGTGCCGCCTTGCTTCAACGCAGGAAGACACAAAAATCTCCTGACTGCGAGTCTGACTGACATCGTGGGCCTATTGCATGCAGAAATCTTGACGGATATTGCAGTCCAAACTCACAGGAGCATCAAAACTGGCACGGTGCGAGACAAGCTGTATGCTGAATGCCTAAGGAACCCTTGAAGGCATTATAGCTCGCATATTTTCATGTCAGCTGACCAGTGCTTTGGGGCGCGTGGCAGATTTCAAGGGAGAGCTTGCCCCCAAGCAAACCGGCGGCCAGCACAGATCAGAAGGTCTTAGCGCCACCGGTGAGTAATACTTCAAGAGTCCCAATAATTGTCCAGGGTGCAGGGAACGCAGCTGGACAGTCCCATTGACAATCGTGCATGTAATGCAGGTGAAAGGTGCCAAGCTTGTGCTGGTGGATGTTTTTGGACAAGTGCTCACACAGCAGCCTCGAGACGAGGTGACATGTATACAATGTGGCCGGCGCATCGCTGCATCCAGGTCAGCTTGAGCATCTCACGATCAAACAGACAATACAACAGTTGAAGGCTATGTGCACCTGCTGTGTTGCATCTGTCCTGTCTCATCTTGGGTGTGTGATCTTTGTCTTGCTGATTATCCCCGGTCTGTATCTAAATCTATGTCGTGCATCTCACTGCTGTGCCCAGGTTTGCTCCGCACTTGGAGAAGTGCCTTGGCAAGGGAAGAGCTGCAAGCCGTCGCCGGACAAGCAACACCTGATCCGGTCCACTCCAGTAGATCAGGTCTGAGAGGAGAATCGGTGTGAGAGCTATTTAGCAAGCTGCAGGCGCGCAGAGGCCTCATACTAGCTAGGTAGGACAGCTGCTTGGTGTAGCAAGGAACCCGCCCTTGAGGAGATTATGAAAGATTAGCTGCTGAAGGTTTTGCATTTGGTTTTACTTGTGGAGAAGAATTATTTCTGTTAGGTTTTTTATAGCTGCTCAAAGATCATACTCGTAAGGCTTGGTGTGGCAGATTCGCAGCCGGGCAAACCTGCAATATTATGCATTTGCCAACTTTGCAACTTGACATAAGTGGCTGCGCTAAGATTTCATTTTTGCTGGCCTGCTCTTGCAAGCATTTTATTAAATGTCTCCATAGTCCTCAACATTCTGGCAAGTGACAAAAGAGGAGCACCAGATACGATGCTGATTTTAATTACGAGCTCCTGCAAACTGCTTCGCCAATATCGTACTATTCAATGTTTATATCCAACTGTAAATCTAATGGTACCACAGTAATAGCTCAGCTGAGCTGAGTGAGGACTCCATACAAAAGGCACTGGCATTAGCAATATTGCAACATGTTGTACCTCATGGTTACTCGTCAGTTCTCACTTCTCACTTCTCTCAACAAGCACTGATCAAACCTGTTATGCAGCAATGTGCCGCAGCTCTCACAAGTGAAAAAGAAATTGGGAAGCATTCCTCTGGCAATGGCTATTCCTGGCTGACTTCATCGATTCGCCATTGCTGCGTAGAAGGCTGTGACCCTTGGGTCGGCCTGCAGCGCTTGAGGGTGAATGTCCCCACTCACATGCAGCCCCTCCAGCGACCTGGCACGACTGCAGCCACACAAACAGTCTTGTAATGATTACTGGGCCTAGGGCTCATGGTTGCATGCGGCAGATGTGATAATTTCCATCCAAGTCAGCAATGGGAAGATGTCATGCATGCGTGGCCCTCACCTGAGTGCAACATAGGCCATGCCAGCCTCAAAGGCCCTTGCCAGGTTCACCTCCACTCTGTCGAGGGTCATCCCCTGTGACTTGTGCACACTAAGGGCCCATGCGCAGGCCAAGGGAATCTGCACCCACAGGACCCCACATGCTCAATTGCACATTCCCGATTTTCCCGTCAATCCATAAGCAGAGCTGCAAAGGCAATCATGATACTGACATCTGTGAGGGCCCCATACCTGTGTCCTAGTGGCAAGGACTCGGTTGCCAGACTTGACAGTCCACCGCTCCTTGCCCACGGTGACTTCCAATCCCTGCATGCATGCAGCCGCGCATCCATCAGAGCCGCCTGACTCAAGGCTGCTCTTCAGTCAAGACCGAGCGCATGCATGCTGCTCTCGCTCAGCCACATGAATAAATTAGGCTCAATGTATTGGCGACCTGAACCGAACTCCCCTGGTCGGCCTTGGCGCGCATCCCACACACATCAAGGCCAAAGAAACCCCTGCATCAGGCAGAATACAAGCGATCACTCATCCAAGTCTTAAGTGTGCAACATGCAGGGGCGCTCACGCTGGCGAATCGGACGACAGGAAGGCGGATGGAGTTGCCGACAAAGCGCTCGATGACACCCCGCGCGCCGTTCACGAGGCCCCTCTTTGCGCTCACATTGCGCGTCAGCATCACCTGCGCGCCCGCCTTCAGCTCCACCACCGGCTTGGCCTGCACAGCCGGATATAGCCTCTCTGAGCGGTCCACTCACCCTGTGGCTGCATGCTGCGGGGGTAATCAACATATCTAGTCTTTTGAGTATGCCATGTAATCCACTGAATCTGAGGACATACACAGTACGTAACAAAGCACGATAGTTGCAGTACCCACTGCATGCTGAAGGTGGTGCAAAACCTCTAGGTGGTACTTTGAGCCGCCTGCACGCTGGATGGTCTGATCACACCACGGCTGGGCCTGAGCCTTGCATGACAAGCACTTCTTATCCTTTATGCCACGGTGTTGCTTGGACTGCATTGGAGCTGGTGACGAGGCGCACGTGGCATGCGGATTTGAGGGCGTCGGTGTTGCCGGTGTCCTGCGCCACAAAGCGCACCGCCTCGCCGCCCAGCTCTGCCAGGTGGCAGCTGTTTATCGCGTCCACGTCATCCGTGTGCGTGTACAGCTGCGCAGCCAGACACACCAAACACCATTATCAATCTCCCATCAACATATCAAGTGTCTGAGTGCCCCTCTGCCCGAGCCAGGCCTGCCCTTTTCGCATCCCTGCTATGCATACTACGTTAGGGAGCCCTATCTAGTGGTCATATATTACTAATAACCAGAGGAATGCATAACAAGAGGAACTTGTTATGCATGCATGCATGCAACATCCCTGCTATGCATGCAACAAGTTCCTCTTGCTGTGCCTGAGATGAATGTAAACGGCCACAACGTTGAGGAGATCTCTGTCAGTGGAGGCCCACCTTTGTTGGCAGAATGCTGTCAACCTCGCCCAGAGGCCTTCCGCAGTGTGCCTTAAGTTTGCCCAGCACGGACGCGCCGCACCGGCCGCTCCGCACCGCGCTCAAGATGTCCACGAACTCCCTGTCCGCCTGCAGCCCCACAATTGTCAGACTGCCGTCCACACTTTCTGGATCTCAGACACAACCCACTTAGCACCAAGATGCAGAGGCAGAACTAGAGTGGTCCGCACGTAGGCACTTGCTTGAGTAATTCCTAGTATCTCATCTATCTGTGAATATGCCGTTGTTTCGAGCTTCCCGGCCCCTCTTTTTGCAGATCGATTTACATTTGGGTTGGTCATGACACAACTGTCCCACCTTTCCCAGGTGCTCCTCTAGATTGGGCGGACTAAAGAGCAGTCGCACCTGTCTGTAGACCTTGGTGAGCAGCAGGCAGGTGCTAATGCAGGTATCCCAGCAGTCCGCCTCAAACGCAAACCTCCGCTCTGCATGGCAAGCCGGCAGCTGTTAAGAAATTCTGCACAACTGAACCACAATGCGCACCCACCGAAGAGGACAAGGCGTTGCAGCTTGGATTGTGCAGCAAGAAGAATGCATTAAAGGAGGAGACCAGAATGACTGAGTCGTTCAGTGCACCTGCCGTGGCCTGGCGGCCCTTGGCGACGGGAGGAAGCTGGTGGAAGTCGCCGGTGAGGACGAGTTGCAGGCCGCCAAAGGGGTGCTTGCAGCGCCGCACGCTCCTTACCACCTCCTCCAGATCATCCAGCATGCGCCCGTCCACCATAGAAATCTGTGCTTGCGCATGCATGCGCAGATTAAGAACTCGAGCTGACTCTACGTTCAAACTTCAGTGTATAGAGGTGCTGTTGGCTCTTGTCACGGCTGAGTGGCGCTGCTCTCTACATGCGCAAAACCCAAAGACTGAGCTGCATCAGCCAAGCTTTTTTGCTTCTTGTTATACGGGCTTTTGTCGACGATGAAGCCGTGCAGCCAGGAGATGAAGGGTTAAAGGTGCAGAAAAAGGGCTGGGAAGTCACCTCGTCAATGATGAGGGTGGTGGCCATCCGCCACCTCTTTGCAGCATCCGGCCGGGACGCCATCTTCAGCATGCCCTGTCCATGCCAAACGTTTCTTTCAGTAGGAAAAGCACACTAAGGCGCACTGCACCGGCCCAGCTTGTGCGCCCTGCTGTCCGTGGTTGCATTCCATGCCCAGATTTTGCTGAAGTCAAGTAATTCAAAAATGTGAGAAGGCGCAGGGTCACGCCTGGAGGCCGCCTTCAGCCCTGCCAATGCCGGCGAATGCATTGAGGGTGGTGCCTCCCAGTGCAGACGCTGCCAGCCCTGTGGAGGCCGTCAGATATGTGGTGGCCGCTGGCAGCGCCCTCAGCATGTGCTTGATCACCAGCGACTTCCCAGTGCCTGGGTGCAGACATTCCACAGTCAAGCCATGCCCTGGTCATGACATGCTGGTCTGACAGGGTCCTTACTCTTACCCTATTTGAAGCAAGTGAACTTTGATTTGACAAAAAGCACCGCCAGCATGCTACCCTGCGAACACCAAGGCCTAGCAAGAAGCTGAACAATTTTTGCCTGCTTTAAGCTGTGTGTACATGTGTTCAGTGTGTCGCACAAGCTCAACCACGGCAATCTCTGTACGAGTGAGGCAGAGAGAAAAGCTGTAGTGTCGCACCAGCACAACCGGTGAAGAAGACACTCTTGCCGGACAGGACCAGGTCAACCACTCGCTGCTGCTCTGGGGACAGTGGTGGCAGAGGCTCAGAGTCCTGCGCAGGAACCACCTGGCTTCAGCTCGCTAGCTCCCGCACAAAGGCGATGCAGAAGGCTGAGATAAAGCATTTGCTGGTGCATGAAAGATGCAAATTGGAATGTCAGGGTTGCAGGAGCGTTGCATGTGCTTACCTGCGCCTTGTCTACAGACCTGCCTGACGTTGCCGTGGCACTCTCGCTGTGGCAGCTCCTGTGGCTAATGCCAGACATAGACGGGCCACATGAGTCAGGAGCCTTCCTCTTGCCCAGCACCTGCCTCGCCTGGTGCACCCAACACACAATGCCTCAGAATTTCTGTGCCCAAGCCCAGGGAGGTTACACTGAGTCAATGACACCTGAGGCAGACCTGCATGATGTTGGGGTGCAGGGGCCTCAGAGGCTGGCCCCTGGCCCCCATCATGATCCTGTGCAGGGCATCCCTCAGCGCTGCAAGGCTCGTGGGTTCACCTCCAGAAATCATGACCTGCGCCGCCAATTGGAGCAGACCCTCAGCCCAAAGCATTCTATGGCAGAAGAATGCCCTTGGGAACTGCTGCAATTTACAGTTTCAATTGATATCGAGGACACTAGGTATTGGCATCAAGGATGTTTCACCTGGATCCTGTAAGGTGGAGCGCCTGTGTGGACAAGCACTCTGTCCACTTTTATGGTGAGAAGCCCCTCTGGTATGCGAGAGGATATCATTGAAAGAGGCGGCTTTAGTAGAAAGCTTCCCTGCACAGCAAATTCGTTTACGATGAGGGGCTGGAAGAAAATTGACCATCTTGATGAACACAGGGGCCCTCTGTCCCCGTCTGAGTCAGATTATTCGCTCACCTCTTTGGGTGAGAAGCCGACTTTTAAGCAGGCCAGGCTGCCACTGTCCCCACATTTGAGCTCAATGTTGATCCCTCTGCCCCTTGCTTGTCTCTGGGTTGCACCTGCCAAGCTTTGGTATTCAATGCACACCTAAAAGACAAGTCATTCCAATTTGTTCAGGTCACTTCTTAGCATCCGAGATTGAAACTCAGGATACGCAGCTTCTGTTCAGATTGAGGCGCCTTCATGGCGACTGGAGAAAATGCTCATCCTGCTAGATCTGTCTAGGGCTTACAGTGGACCAAATTGGGAAATAAGCATTGATCGAAAGGAGGGTGGAATCTCACTCACGTTAGCATTTAGTACTACATCTAGTGAGTCCATTTCGGCAGAGGATGAGCGCCTGGAGAGCTCCCAAATTCATTCTGCTCTAACGGATACTGTTCGACCGTTGCGAATTTTAGCAGCAAATGTTGTCAGCGTGACCAAAACATGTCTGCTCTTCGTATCGAATACAAACCATGTATAATTGCCCTGAACAGCAATCGCCAGGACCAGTTTTGCATGGCGTGCTGGCACCAAGGGTACAGCTGTCCGAAAGCAATTCGCGAACCAGCAGGTCGCCTAAACAGGCTGTGCAGGATCACCATCATGGCAGGTTGAAGTTGGTGCCCTGCAGGCAGGTGCATGTGCTTGAATGGACTTTGAGTAAGTACAGGGGAGGATTCAGTCCAATTTGTTACATATCTGGATTGCAGTTGGTCACTACCAACGTTGGGTAACTTGTTTGAAGCTTAAACTCATAGTGCACTCATAGTGATCAGCTCAGCACTCCCGGAGTGCTCCTAGGGCCTAGGAGCCAGGCCTGCCAGGCAGGCTGCCGCAACCCGACTTGAGTCGACTCCGAGTCGTCAACATGCATCAACGTCAACGTACATCAACTCGTCAACGTATGTCAACATGCCCACAGGCACCGTGCCGTGCACTGCCATAACGGCATCAACGCTGATCGGTCATGATATTACTAACAGTATTAGTAATACTCACAACCTTGAAGCTTGAGGCCTAGGCCACGCATTCACCGGTGACCATGCCGTCAGCATATTCAGGAATCCAGAATTTGGATCCAGTTGCAACAAATGTCGATGCCAGATGGCCGATTCAGGAAGCAAACTGTCCAGAAAGTGGCAGCCTGTCACGCTCTGCCAGACAGCGTCACACATGTACATGTGCACATGACCTCTTATTCTTCCGGACCCGAGGGTTCACTTCAAGTTTGCCTGCACAATTAAAAAAAGCCAACGTGCCAGCACTGCCAAGATGACATACCAACTTGTGGCTACACCTGCACCACTTGAGGTTCTAAAAACATCTCTTTCGGGTTTTGACTAAATTATTGTTCAGCCAAGGCAAAAAGCGCTAGCGTTGAGCTTGAAGTGTGACAGTTGACCCAATGTCTCCGCATATGCCTGCTTCAAGGAGCCTTGTCCCTATCTGGTGCACTCCATACATATGTGTGGGACCGTGCTTAATGCTGCGCATGCTTTCTTGTGAGCATAATGGGTCACAAAACACTTGCCCCTTTGACCAACCTCAACCCTTCCCGTTTGTTTCTAAGGGCCAGCCGACTGGCTGGACCCAGTACGGCCCAGTGCACAGCAGGAGCGGCTACTCCTTTCAAGCTGCATGCTCACGACTCCATGGGCGTTGCTGTGTCAAGCATTGCAAGCTCTGTAGCGCCATTCAGCCGCGGCTGTTGAGAGAAATGCAAGCGCACTATCTGATACGACTTCCCCTTCACTGCCACTCCCGTAGGGCTCCACTGCGCACAGCCACACAACCAACAAGTCAGCGCCTCTGTCTGCATCTACAGGGCTTCTTGCTTCTTCCAGGTCTCAAAAGATTGGTGCAACCTATGCATCAGCACCCCGCACATGTAAGTTTTCATCTGATTGATCATGAGAGGAGCACCAACAGACGAGTCAAGAGGCGCTCTGGTGTAAGCAGGATCAGTGTGCAGGATCAGAGCAGCATACCTGCAGGTCTTCCCAGGCTAGGGCAGGCTCCAGGATATCCAGGTGGGCTTCAGGGAGCGGCATGCCCACGCGCCGCATGTGCGCCTGCGTCAGTATCCGCCGGCACCGCGCCCATCGGAACACCTCCCCCTGTCATCCAGTAAACATATTTCAGAGCTGTAAATATTTCCCGCTTCAATTCCCCATTTCCGCACAATGGACACCACTCAGTGCAACCTCAAAGGCTGCCAGCCAGCATACATCAGGAAATATCCAGTGAAAGCACAGGTAGCCCCACCTCAATATCTGGTGGGGTCTGTAATCCCGGTCACCATGATGTTTGCACAGAATTGAGTAACTGCTGATGGACTTCTTGGCGGGCACCAATGCGCACCGGAGGGGGGTCGGCTGGGGCCGCTGCGGCCGGGGTGTCGACGCGGGACAGCTCGTAGCGCTCTCTGAGGGTCTCCAGGAAGAGGACCTCCTTGTGCAGGCGCGCGCTCGTCCACTGGCTGGGCTTGAGGCCCCTGTCCGCCACCGCCGCCATGCTGTACTTGAGCCAGGGCTCGTTGCACAGGTTGTACTGGATCGTCACCTCCTGCTCCCACCAGACATTCACGCTCAGCCTTTCCTCCCAGTTACCCCCCCAGCTGACACAGAAGCAACAGTGAGGACAAAGACCTCAAGCCTGGCAGGCTCAACAGGTCTCAAGGTGAATGCAACACTTGGGAAGAATCCGTGTTTTCTGACATCCATCGTCAGGCAGTGAGGGGCAATCGTCAGGCAGTGAGGGCAAGGATGACATGGACATGCAACAAGGCCCTCAAGATCGTGCAGGAGGCTGGACAAGTCAAAAGAGGAAAGTTGCTGGGCATTGAGGCATTGCAAGGGCGTACCTGCATGGTGCGTTGCCGGCGTTCCATGGAGGAGGCGGCAGCGCGTGTGTTCATGGCGCGCTCGTACTGCGCAGGCGTGAAGGTGGGGACCACGGCCGCCGCCCCATCCGGGCTGGGCTCCAAGTCTGTCAGCACCCCGCTCCTTGACACCAGCGCGCATTTCTCCACCTGCAGCGGATCTAGACTTTCAGGCACCTTGAATATCCTGCTAATCAAGCAGGCAGCCTCGCATATGGGTTTCAACTCACCCCCAAGACATCTCGTGACAGAAGTCAACTTCATAGCCCACATTGCCACCCTTCCCACGCCTGATGGGCCCCTGGGTCTTGCACAAGGAGAACCCATGTCCAAGCAGGCAGAAAAAAGATATCTGGCCAAGTCCGGCAGCAACATGTCCAGGATGCAGGACCTAGCACGAGAGAGTCCAATGGCAAATTCTGGCAGCAGCATGTTGAGAGCAGACTGTGGCTGGGGGGCGCACCCGGTAGGAGCAGCCCTCGACAGCGGCGCCCCAAGCACGGGAGCGGATGGAGTTGCGCGCACGCGAGTGGTATGCCGGCTGCGGCGGCAGCGGCTGCACGACGGCACGCACGTGCGCGGCCGATGCGGGCGGCGCCGACAGCGCATGGTTGTAGAAGCCGCAGTGCATCAGCACCGCCACCAGATCGCTGTCCTGAGTGTACACCTCGTTGCCCCACAGCTGCCTCGCCCTCACCTGTGCGCAATCCCCATTCCTGAGCCACTGCTGATCACATAGGCCCAAGCTGCACCAAACTTGTCTGTGGCAAGCAATCGTGCAAGCACAGGGCATTTTTTGCTGAATAAGGCAATGCTGCCGATAATGTGCTGCACGTTTTGCTCCAATTCTGGCCAAATTCTGGCAAACGCACCTGCCGATTGCCGTTGCTCATACATTCTGCTGGTATCTTCACCTGCCGGCGCAGAATCAGGGGTCAGTAAGGGGCGCGCATATACCAGGAAGACGGGGAAAGTGACAAGACGGCAAACTTGATCTGCATCGAGATTTTACCTCCACAAATCTTTCCTCCCCATCCACAAGATACTTCGACAGGTCTTTGAGCGGCTCTCCCTCTTTATAGTGCAGCACTGGCAGTGGCTCATCTGTCAAAGCACGAACATATGGTGATCTGTAAGTACAGTGCAGGATTCCATCACATTAATACAAGATGGGACACTGGCTTCACATAAGCATGTGAACAGAAGGGACTATGTAACCCACCATCCCGCAGGCTGCGCTTTGGGAAGGCCTTTGGTCTGGAACTCCTCCTCATGCTCTTATTCTTCTCATCCTGTCCACAATACGGACAAGAACGTCAGACGAGCTATGTCATCAAGAAAAGAATTGATGAAGAATCAAGGCAGGGAGCAGAGTGCGCCAAGGTGGATGACCAAAGATATTGTAAGGTGCAGAGAAGCGGGCGAATGAACAAAATGGCCCCCTTTTGTGATCCACATGAGGCATCCTTGAGGCACCCTTGTGATAAAATTAATGTGCTTAAACGTCTGCACACCAGACCACCCGGAAGATCGAGACATCTAACTATTTAAGCAATATCCCCTCAGGCCTCTCCTGCTATCAGCTCACACGTACGGTTTGTTCGAACAGAGAGCATCGAGCTCTCCACTCATATGTTATGAAACAGGAACTAGACCATTCCTTCTTACATAACGGTCAGCGGACACAGCATCACCACAGCATGCTCTTGCCTGATTGAACGGATACAGTAGTAGAGGAACAGCAGGGGCATACAAATCGAGTGGCATCCTCCACGACAGGAATTCAGCAGCCCATAATGCAGTTTTCATGCGACTATGTGTGACATACGAAGAAGAAGACGCGGATTGTCCTGCTGACGGCCCTTCGAAACCCTTTCTCCCGGGAGACTTTCATTTCCTTTTTTTTACAACCTATACTTTTCTATAAGTCCATGGGAATTGTCATTACCTCTTCACTTCCGTGTGCATCTGCTGCTTCTGATTGATCTAACCGTGGGGCTTTCACCCCGTTGGTGAGTCGTCCACCTCCCTCTTCACTTTCTGAAGCCGCACGTTTCATCGCTGTCACTGCTGTCAGTCAGAATTGTCACTATGCTGAAGACCTGAAGAGCTTTCAGATAGATTGTGTGTTGTGGTTGAGGCAAAATATGGCAAACCAACCACTTCAATCTTGCTGGCTTGCGACTTCCCAGGTAACGTCAATGATAATAGCTCACCGGATCACATCATAAACCATGTCCCAATCAATAACTAACGTGATGCAGAGTGCGTGGTGCGTTTGATTTCAACAGAAGTGGATTAGCTGGAAAATAGTGGACGCTCCTCTGAAATGCTTCTTTCTGGGGTGGATTTCGAGGGAGGCAGGTGCGGCTAGCTACGCTCTTCGCCTCGAACTCCGACACCTTGATGTCGACAGACGACCAAGGAAGCTAGCCCATTCCTCACCTTCAACCGTCCCCTTCCCTTCTTTCTCTCACAAACAAACACATTTACGACATCAGGACGATATCCGGCCCTTCAAGGTCTTCTTTCTGGACACAAGGACACCGTCACAAACATTTGGCGGGCTGATCTACTTTGTTGTATCCCACTCAAGACAAGTCATGATCAATGAAAACACCGAAGATGTACATCAAGACAGCACCGATAGCACTTCAAGTAGAATGCAGCGCAATGCCTCCTGCTCGTGTTCCTACCAGATCATAAAGACTCCTCTGAAGACTGGTGAAGACAAAGCTCGAGGTGACTGGCTGCCCCTCTGCCGATTCATCTTTCCTGGCCGTCTATTATAATACGCAGGAATTGACTTGCTCTTATGTGTACAGTACTGAAAGCAGGGTACACACAGGTGTTGCTGCAAGGCTGGACTTGTGCAAGGGACAGCTAGTGGAAGAGGCGCACTGCATATTGATACCTAGAGACGAGTACAACGAGCATATGAGGTGCCACAAGCATTTCACCAAATCTCCCAGGGGGCTTTCTTTGCTGCTGCTTGGTGCCATGCATCAGGCCTGTTCAATTGAGGACAAATGCGACTGGCATGATCACATTGTTTGATGGGCCAGGCATACTATCCTCGAGCACTACCTTTTCAAGTTTAAGGGCGATTTCCTGCTGTGCCTCGGCGTCGGATCGCTCTTCAACCATTCTAGGAGACCTTCCCTGGACTATCGCGTCGATAGACAGAACTTGATCATTCGGTTCTTTGCTGCACGAGACGTCTCGGTGCGGCCCGGTTTTATCATAGATGCTCCCTAACAGATAATGCAGAATTTCCGGAAAGTATTTCTCTTTGAAAGGGTGTGAAGGTGCACAATGCGCACCACCTCAATAATCTTCTGGTGCTGCAGCAAGGAGAGGAATTGACAATCTATTATGGCGACATCTGGTTTGACGATGCAACGCAAACGGGCTGTGAACCACGAGAGAGCTGCGTGCATGAACACATGGATGATGAGCAAATGTTTCTAGCAGCTCTAGAACCTTGAGACCTTGATAGAAAGTTTAAGATCAGATAGCTGGAGCTGTCAGAAGCCAAGATGTCCCCAGATTCTCTGCAACTCCAGTCATACTAGAAGGGACTCCCTTCTACTCTAACTACTCGGAGTAGTTAAGTATGTTTTCGTTACAGTCAAAATAGCAGCTCTCTCACAGCGGTTGCACAGCGCACATTGTGCATATTTTTTGTCCTTCACAACGTGCCTGCATTTCTGCCTACAATGGCATTATTAGTGGATACGAACGAGACGGACGATATTTCAGATTCTGCAAATCACAATCACATCCGATCACCTCTGAGTCAGAGATAACCGCAACTGTTGCTGTCTTGGCACGAACAGCGCGCCTGAAAATTTGCTGTCAACAAGAGTAATTTTGCCAGGGCTTGCAGGTTTAGTTTCCCAGCCTCAGCAGCAAGGCCTTGTTTATGCCCAAATAACCCTCACTTTTAACGCATCCTCTTGGTCCCCAGTCTGACACATCGGCACCCCATGGAACAATCCTTCCTCGTTGATGCTCCGGCGATGCTCCGGCCAAGGAAGATCTCCTTGGCGGAATGTACCACAGGACTTGTGATGCCTCAGAAGTCCCAGAGTCCCAGCCCGGTCAAGCAAAACAGGTCCCCAGACAGCCTGGATAAAGAGGGCTCCAAGCTCAAGAGGTCACAGCATCCACAGTCTGCACCTCCTTGTCGGCCTTGGCCTTCTTCTCCGCCTCGCGCTCTGCCGCCTTCTTCTTCTCGCGCGCATACATCTCGTTCATGAGGTCCTTGGCCGCGCTCAGCTTCGACAGCACTCCCTGAAACGCAGATCATCCCGTATCAGCCTTTTACATCTCTATACACCAATCTCAAGTATTGCACGCCTCCCAAACAGCTTTCCACCCTCTCGATATGCACGGGGCCTAGCATGCTCTCTGTATTGATATGACGATGTCGATTTGCACGTAGCTTCTGAAAGGGCACCCTTGACTCATTCACATGCTTCCTCATGCAAGATGACAATGGTCTGAGGTGCCAATAGGCGTGATTATGCATGAAGTACCCACCTTGTAGGTCATGAGGTCGCGGCTGACAGACTCCTGGGGTATCTTCATGGCTGAGACCAGGCCCTCCAGGGCCTTGGGGTCCTTGGCGCCGGTGAGCTCCAGCAGGCGGAAGAGGCCGATGGCGAAGAACTTGGTGTACAGGAAGTTGCCCTGGCTGGAGCGCTCTGCAATGCTGGCCAGCTTCTTCTGCAGCTCGCTGCCTTCTGCATCCGGCTTGAGCTCTGCCGGCCCCGACAACTCCTTTGCCAGTGCCTCAACCTTCTCTGCGTCCTGCGACAGCGTAAGCGATGGTGAGTGCCACATACTGATCGGCCATGCAAGAAAGGGACTTCATTTATAGTGCCCCACCCACAAATCTACTGCACTGATCGGCCATGCAAGAAGGCAATCCCGTTTCAAGTGGAGGCGCCCAAGATTGTACCTGTCTGTACTGGTCTCCATTCTCGCCGAGTGAGCCGATGTACGCCGAGAAGAGTGCACCTTTGTCGCCCTCTGGGAGGCCTTCCAAAACCTGGTCAAAAACGCTGACAAAGCCGAGACCGAACACCTGCAAGTAACCAAAAGACATAATGCACCTTACAACGCTATAGCTGGGGTTATGTACAACAACATCACAACTGTCTGCATGCTTCCTTTTCGATGATTCAGCGATATAATGCCAGGGTTGCAGCCTTTGACTCGCCTCGTCGTAGCTGTAGCTCTTGTTGTACCGCATGATGTGGTGCTGGACTAGCAGTTCCTGGATGACATTGCTGTAGATGCCGGGAATAGGGCGGCTGAAGGCTTCGTAGAAATTCCTCTTTGTTTCTGCCACAGTGGGTGGGTTCCATTCTGCCAACAGCCAAGCACAGAACAGATAAGATCTTGTGCTGCTTTCCTTCACATGTCCAACAGGCTGACGGAGTGTGTAACAAGATGTAGAATGAAACGATCATGCAGATGTCTACCTCCAGCACGGACCACCAGCGAGCGTCTAGCAGACGTTGAGTTGGTCCAACACTGCTGCCTCCTGCAGAGCCCACGCAAAGCTTAGTATTCCCATACTAACGATCGTAAATTCTATCCAAGCCTCTCATGTCTTTCATATTCAGTGATAGCTCAAGGCTAGTTGATGCACCAATAACCTCACATAATGGTGCCTGGTTTCAAGCAGCAAACTGATACACACATGTGAAAGCACACAAGCCAATACTACTGATAAATCTACGACCCACAGACTCTCGTTTATCTTATTAAAGTCGCGAAAACATGCCTGCTGATACCATAGGCTAGCTGTCTGCATGCAACGTGCTGCTTGAAAAGGAACGCAGGATGATAATTCGTTGATCGGCTGGCCGCCAAGCTAGGCATCGTCTGTTCAAGCGCGAACACCATCCGACTCAACCAGATACTATACCTTGAAAAAGATCGTCTTGATGGAAATTAAGCAGGTGTACAGAACGACGCGCATGTGGTTCATTCACGACCTTGAATCGCAAAGCAGAGCTGGATTTCGAGATCTCAAAGCCCCTCGAAATTTTATCATCACCCCAAAGCCCTATGCATGCAGTCCAAGGTGAGCACAGTGCACCTGTCCAAGGAAACATCCGACGCTCATGAGCCTCTCAAGGACCTTCTCACAACGCAATCAGGCCTCATCTTGCCCTGCACTATGTGAGCGAATTCGAAGCGATCTCTAGAGGAAATGTTGCCCAATAGAGACTTTCTGTCAGTGGGGGTGGGCCTTCTATTCGCGTTCATTGTGGTCAATTTTGCGGATGTGATACATTCGAGGCACTGGTCGACGCAGGTTACTGGAGAACCACATGATCTGATATCTTCCACGGATGATCCGAATGAAAGGCTGCCCAGCCTGCAATTTCCAGAAACAGTACTGAGTGACCTTGAGGTCCTGTTCGTTCTGGATCCAAATTTTCATCTTTGCTGGGAAAAGATACCTGTCAATGATATAACAAGAGCAGGACTGCTGCCTTGGGTCAAGAGTCTCAAGGACTTTTTCTCTGAAGGAGAATTGCTTCAGGTACATGTCTGATGTGTCTCTAGCGTTAGCTGAGCTCGGTCTGCACACGAAAGAGAGTGGAAGGGTCTGAAATTGAGATTGGCATGCCCTGCCGCAGATCCCAGATAGGACACACAGAGCAGCAGAACTCGAAGGCATTCCTTACAACACCTTCACAGAGCTTGTGGATGATGTTCTCAATCATGGCAATGCGAGTGTCATGCTGCCGTCCAACCTTGTCCTCATGTACCAGGCTGCAATGTGCGCGACATTGAGCTCCTGATTTCCTCACAATGACTCGCTTCCATGTGGCAATTTTTCCATGACAACACACCGAACATGTTAACTTGGTTGAGCGCTGAATTCATTGAGCACTGTGTTCTGTTGAGGAGACTATGTACAGTTGGGGGAAGAGGGATCACAATATGATGGTGTGCAGGTCAAACGGCAGCCTTGGGGAGCTTGGCCTAGTAGATGTGGCACACCCTTTCGCAGAGAGGCCCATCAATTTGACCCTTGACCGTCTTCACGTCACCTCGGTGGACAGCTTCTGGCAGGCCGCGCTCAACGCCAGCAAGGTTCATGCTCCTCTCGCTTTTTGCTAATTTGTGCAGCTTTACGCCACCCTACAATTAATCAGGCAAGCATTGTTATCAGCGTCAACGGTGGCCCGCGCAGCGCAGGTTTCTGATATGCCAGCAGCAGACAATGGACTTTTGTTCAGTGCAGGTGCAGCCTTTGAGCAGTCCCTGTCCATCGCATGGGTGTCGTGACTGCCCCACAACTAATGACCACTACTAGGACAGCGCCTGATATGTTGTCTATTTCTGGGCAGGTCTCCAGAACACAGTCCTCTTGTTGCCTCGCTTGGTGCCGCGGCTCCACGATGCTTTTCTGGTGGCCACTCTCGGACGGGACCCTCTTGCATGGGATGCACAGGATGTCATTGAGCAGGTGCAGGCTCTGGTCGACCTGACTGGAGTCACCACTTTGCCAAGCCTGGCAGAATGGGCCACGCTGGCAGACAAGGTCCACTCCACTACATCACCTTCTGTCCCCTTTGCTTGCCAGTGTACACTGTTCAGCTGCAACACGTCTCCTATTTGCAAGTGCGCAGTTTACGTTTGCTGAAGAAGGGTGTAGTGGCATGACAGAGGCAGCTGCATGGGATGTATCAAGGCTATTTTGAGGCTGATACCGTGCGAAGGACTCCGCCAATTCCTACATCTTTTGTGGAAACTCCAGGCACACCAGAAGGTACACCTATCTGCACAATCTTGCTAACTTTAGCACTTCTCAGCATGCATAGAAAATTGACATGTAGTAGCATGATGCCTTTGATGGGATGTGAAGGCAGTGAATTTTAGCAAGGTCTTTATATTTGGCATGCAGAGCTTCTGGCTCTGTGCCACAATGACGACATAGTTGTAAGCACTGATACTCTTCTGGACGCTACCATGGAAGCGATATATGATGGCCTGCTGCGACTAGAAAGAGAGCTGCAACAACTGCGCAGGCACGGCGCAGATGTGAGCAGAAATAGTGGTGAGCACGCGGCCTCTGGCAAGTGCTTTCAATCTGCCGAAGGAGAGCAAAGATGGACGTTTTGCTCAACTCTTTGCCGCTCAAAATGTCCTTGTGGAGTGGACATATCCAGTGTAGTAATATTCTGAATGTGGGATGCTTGGCAGGTGCTAAGATGACCGAGGATGGTGAGCAGATCTGGCAGTATGTTATAAAGAGAGAGTTTTCAGAGGGGGCCATTATGATGACTTCGTTCGATTTCCCAGCCAGGGCACTGCGCCTTCAAAATTCAATAGGGCACCATCATACCTACAGGTAGGCACCTGCACCCACATCAACAAGCACTTTGAATTTCAGCATCTTCAGACAGAAGCATAGCCCATGCACGCGATGCTATTGCAGGGGGGATGAGCCCTGGAGAGCAAAGCCGCCTCTGCCAGCTGACCTTCCGCCAGACTTGCAACACTCTGGCGCCATATCCACAGAGCCCTACCTGAAAAAGGCAGCCCAGCTGATGGCTTCAAGGAGCTGTGGCGAGGGGTGGCTGCTGCAGCCCAAGATCATGGACATGCCCGACCTGGAATACAGGTGCGCTGCTCACCACGATATCTGCATGATATTTGTTCAAGCCTCTTTGCCTGATCTTTCACAAACATGGACATATGGTGCAATTCATGCCGGAGACGTCTTTGCATTCCTGCCTCAGGTGGCCTGTGACAGACTGCCTCACCCAGAGGTCAAGCTGGTGCCTTAGGTCCATTGAGTTACGCAACGAGGGCATGCCAGCCACTTGCATGCGTCAGCCTTTTGGGAGTATGATTCAGCAGCACTTGACATGTGACAGTGCATGCACAGGGTATATCTCATAGGCGGCGCAGCAGCGACGGGGACTCCAGAGGATACAGTGGTTGTCTACACGCCAGCTATTCTGGACGAGGGCATCTACATGGCAAGTCTGACGCTGCCACCCGGCTACTTCTGGAGTGACGTCATCGAGCCTCCTGGTAAGCTCTCTCAGCGCAGCAAACCTGCTGCAAGTCAGTGCCGTTCAACCTATGGTTCTTGCATGTGCATACCTTTGGAGCCCAGCTTAGGAGGCACCAAAAGACAACTAGGTGGGGCCCCCATTTACAAGTACTGTAGAGTACATGACATGACATGCACAGCAGGGATTGCTACAATTATATAAAGTCTCTACTCCATATGATCAGGTGCGTTTACTTCGTGAGGCAGCCTTTCAAGTGGGCAATGCGGCAGGTTTGCGGGAAGATAGTCCTGGATTGGTCTATCATTCGCACAGGGTTAATTGCGCTCCTCACACTTCTTGGCGAGTGCAGATGGGGGTGTGGAGCCCTCTAAAGTCAAGGTGGGGGGCCTGGATATGGTGGACAAGCTGAATCAGAGGCGCAGCCCCTGGCCCTGTCCAGAGCTGTACCAGATATTTGTTGACGCGGCGCTCAGCGGAGCTCGTGCGATGGCCGCTCATCACAACGGGTCCTTGACTACGGTGAGGACTCCCTCTACATGACTGCATGGACTACCGCCCCTGAAGCCAGGCAGTACTGTCTAGTAGACTGTATTGCCTGGCTTCAGGGGCGGAAAGCTTAAGGGGACTTGTGCCAGCAGTCTGGCTGTGTAATAGTGCTGCAAAACGTGTACGTATGCTTGCATGCTCTCAGTGGGAAGTTTATGGCAGCTCATTACATACACGCTTGACAACGATACCACTCCTGTTCACTTTTGCAGATGTCAGGGGAACTACTATAGGTACTGCCGTGCACTTTGCATGGCTAGTTGGCACAAAGTGCACCACTGGATACATTGCAGGTGGCTCGAATGTTTGCGCGTGTGGACGTTGCGCTGGGAACGCACTGGGATGAGAGCGGAGAGAACATGTTTGTGGAGCCCCTCATCAATGAGATGGACTGGTTCAACTCAGCATCGCAGATGATTGCGCACTGGGAGACAGATGACAGTTTAGATGGCCAGAAATCCTCATGGGGCCACCGTCTTGCGCAGCCCCTGCTGCGAGAAATCGTGCGCAGATTTGATGAGACAAGAGACCCGACATGCCAGTCTGGATTGACTATTGACTAGAGAACTAGGGTCTGCTCCTGCATGCAATGAAATATAAAATCATACCGCCCCTTGCAAATGAAATCGAAGAACTGCTGCTGCGTGTTCAAGGCCTTTTACAGAGGTTGGGATAGGCATGCGGACACTTATGACAAGCAGACAGGCAACCCACCGACATTCCTCCAAACATTATAAAAAACGTAATAGAGACTTCCATTGTCAGAGCGCCATATTAGAAAACCGTGTCCCATTTTCGAGCAACAACAATGACACAGTCTGAGCCAATCACACCTAGAATAGCCAGAGAGAGCTGGCTGTCAGACCCCCAAGCCTAAAGCGTTCATATAGCGGCAATGAACATCCCGCGACGCTCGCTCCATCGCACTACCACAAGTGATCAGGGACAGATGCAGCGACAGTAATAGCCGCAGCTCTACTTGCGCTGCACTGCAGCCTGCCCCTGCATGTGCTGCGGCGGCAGCGGCGGCGGCTGCGGCAGCGGCATGCCCGGCTTGAGCACATGCCTGTAGCGCTCAAGGTGGTGCATGATGAGCAGCCGCGGCCCCGGTGGGATCTTCACTTCCCTCAGAGCACTGCCAGCACACAACCACGCCTCAGACACAGGCCACTTAGATATATCTCCCTTCAGGGCCTGACTTAGCCAAGCCTTGTGTGCGCAGGCTCTGTCTCCAGAGGGATAGATGTACAAATAACCAAACAAAAACAGGATGGAGCTGCTTGAAGGATGGATGCCATATGGCAAGGATGGGGGTCGAGTAGGGATAGTTTCACCTGTCATTCCAGAGCATGAGGGTACTGTCGTTGAGCTGCCCTGTCTTCAAGTTCTTCTGGTACTTCTGCAATTGCACATGCGGTGTTACTCAGTAAAGAGTACTTTATGGAAGGCATCAAGGCAGGACAGATGGGAATGGTCAGATGGGATGGGTGCTGCTTGGCTGCCCATTGGCTTACCTGGAAGCCCAGTGTTGCCAGCAGGTGGGTCGCGCGAGCATACTCCGGGAGCTCCTCTGTGGTGTTTCCAGACTTGAACTTCTTACCGAGCTGCACAGCATGCAAGAAAGTTGACAAGTGTACTAATGCAAGAAGGCCTTCATGTATGTACTGCTCAAGGCATCATTGAAGGCTGATGCAGGGTCGATTGCCTCCACGCTGCTCTCACCTGGTAGAAGGCGCCTTGGAACAGGGCAAAGAGGGTGCCTGTTGTGAAAGCGCCCTGCAGCTTGTTCCCCGCTGTCATGCCGGACACCAGAGAGAATGCCACGCCCGAACCAAAAGCCGAGGCCATTCTGCACATGCAAATCTCTGAAATCAGAACCAGAGAAATGACAACGATGATTCAATGGGCACTCTCAGCTGTACCGATGATGCATGCAGGACGACCCATGCGATCACCCAAGGGACATCACTAATTGAAGAGAAGCTTAAATTCAATGTGTGCGAGCACGCACGTGGAGTAAACATCCTCTTTGCCTCGAATCCGCTTGATGGCCACTGTGAGTCCCGCTCCCACACCGGTCAGCACTGCAAAGTTGCGCGCTTGCACCCAGGGCCCCCCGCTCTGGAACGCTTGCATCTGCTTCACCATGTCTGCGATGCAACAGACACTCCCATATTTCATGTGAGCCCGTGGGGAACTCATGGTCACATCTATGATGGCATTCCATGGGCCAAATGGCAGATAGCAAACCTGGGTTGGAGTTGGGTTGATTCAGCAGCTGATTTGTTGAATTAGGATCCATCTTCGAGATGGACCCCATCACGCCACCAAGCAAGGCTCCCTGTTGGCAAATGACACCTCTATCAGGATGGCCAGCTAGTACGAGTGTTTTGTGTGTAAATATTGATTCCTGCACTTGAACCTTTCAATACAGTCGTGCAAAGAAGAAAGTATTTGGTCGTAGTTGGAGAATTGCGGTGGGCCAAATGAGAATCGAAGGCTCACCTGACCACTTCCAGCAAGCGTTGCCACCAGAGCCTCGACAGCAACTGGCTGTAGGGTCACCCATGTCTGGAATCTGCTCAACAAGAACTTTGGCTGGCGCCAATGCTCTCGAATGTCTTCAACCAAATCGATGTCTTCTTGCCTTCGCTGTCCCTGCTGAAGTGCCATGATGATGAGTTGTGCCCCTCTTGAAAGGTGTCAGATCTCGGATCAATTTCTTTCACTATTTGTCAAACAAGAACCAAGTAGCTATTTTGTAGGCTCAGAGTCACGAGGAGACCAACAGAACTTGAGCAACATGGCCGCCTCGTTGTCCCCTCAATCTCGAAAGGGAAGTGAGGGCATTGGAGTTTCTGATCTCGAACATTTATCCGACAGTCAAATCTTTCCTGGACAATAAACACTCACAACAGCTCTTGTAGACTGTGGAATTCTCGGTGATGGCGCAAATTTGTGACCCAAGGCTCATCGGATGGACTGCAAATCCAAAGACAGGTGCAAACAGCCCATGTGATCTGACGTATATATACTTCTTCAGGTGCCCTCAGATTCATGAGAATCTAAGACAACTGACTTTCTGTATGCAGTAAGGAGCTTAAGTTGTGAACTGGCAAGCTGTTCCCCGCGTATTGCTCCCATTAGATCAAGAAGGCGACTCACGTGCGCAAGGGCAGCTCTGCAAGAAGGAGGAGGGTGAGGACATTGATGAACCCATGTGGACCGTGATTTGTTCTTGCTTGTTGCGTTCTTCCTTGGGGACTCAATATATGAATTGAAGTTCTCTTGGTTTCAGGGGACCGCTGGATTTTGTGAAAAGGGTGGCGAGGCAAATTCAAGGGGCTTTACCAGTCGTTGGATTGCTGTCGAGGTTGAGCAGCCCGTCTGGTGGCATCGGCAATGACATCATGGTGGAGATTTGCAGAACTCGTGTAGTCGCTATAGCAGTGCTGCCTTAAAAGATCTGCATGCTCATAACAAGATAGACGTGCTTCAAGCTGGCTGATAGTACGGTGTGTTGCAGTCGTACCCGGAATTTTGCAGACAGCTCTTGTACGAGTCAGGCCTGCCTGAGTTTGTGGAGGCCACAGCAGAGTGGGAGCGAGCTTACGGGAAGGTGAATGCTCCCAATCATGCAAGCATTGCATCCGCTCGGGAAAGACTGATTGCTCCTCACTCGTTGCCCTATGATCATGTCAAATGTATCACAACATTATGTCACGGCTCTGGCGATGTGCACCTGTCTTCTCATGTGTCAGAGTTCTCGGCAGGTGGGGCAGAGGAGACTTGTGCTGCTGTACCTGTACATGGCCACAACAGCAGGAGGCCTTGTATCAGGGAAGCTCATCATGGCGTCAGCTCGCCGTGTCAGAGTCACGTGTGTCCCCGCACCCTTTGATCTCTTCACACCTGTGATCCGCAATTCTTACTTGCCCATGAAGATGAAGATGATGATTATTATCATTATTATTACACGCTTTTCCTGCCAGAGGCAAGTTGCGCCTGCAGACAACCTGCAGTAAAGGCTGCCAAAATCCCACCCCTTGATGGACTCGCCAGATCCAAGCAAGACCCAATTAAACGTGGGCACGGTGCTCGTGATTTATACCGCCCCCCGCCAGCCGGGGCCATGAAGATTTGGGGTATGATATTTCAAGCCAGGTGCCTTGAGCCTCCTCATTGCATACGCAGGCAGGATATTGAGATCGAGGTGGAACGCATTGACGGTGCCAGAGATGAAATCCATGAGGTGAGCACATGCAGATCATACCTGGCCTGGACAAATTATGTACCCTCCTCATTCGCATCATCCATGTGCTTCTGAATCAAATTGAGATCAAAATTGTCCGTGTTTGCTTGCGCAGAAGTACAAACTGACCGAGAAGCCGAGGGGAAAACTGCAGGATAAGATCGACATTGCAGTGGACTCCATTGTCCAGCTCAGCCTAGGTCCGAACCATTCCATTCATCCACAATGCTGTGACTAATGAGGAAGCACCTGTCATTGACTGACGATTCAATCTATCCTTCTGTCTTCAAGCATTTGCAAGCACATGCTGACCTGGAAGGTCATCCAGAAAAGTGCCATAGGCTGTACAGCAGAGTTGAGCGGCCGGGAGCTGTGTGGCTTACAGGTCTGAGGGAGGGAGAGGAGATCAGCCCAGCAGATGCATTCATGCTGGTGCCGATAGTGGCAGGAGCGTTCAGCAGCACGCCAGACATCAAAGCACTGGTCACACAATCCATAGAGAGCAGGGCTGCAAGGAAAGATGCATACAAATTATAGCACCCTTCACAAGCAGTGTGCAGGATTGACCACTTCACACAGGTCCAACTGATGTTTTCATGTCCACAATGACCTTATTTGTAACCATGGTATACGATTGCAACAGCTGTATGGCGTCTTGTTAATCATTAAGCTGAGTTGCACAAACCCTACATATTACATGACCAATCAGCAAGTATAATGCTTCGACAAAAGGTTAATAGTACATCAACCTCAATTATAATATCATGCTGCAGCTCTGTCGGCCTCCACATTGTCGACATCATCATGTCAAGGACTCTTCTGGTAGAAAAAGGTCTTCCCTATTCACTTGAGGCTTATTCATACCAGCCAGCTCAACAAACGCATTTGCTGTCATCACACTGCTACTGGCAGTGACACGGTCTGTGTCCCAAGGAGGAGAGGTATCAACTAAAATCAGCAGAACAAAACTGAGATGTCTGCAAGGATGCCCATCCAGTATGCCAACAATCCAGCATAGCCTTTTTTTTGCCCATCAAGAAATAATAATCAGCCAGAGACGCTCCAAACCAATCCTCACCAACTGGGGTCAGAGCGTTCCTGTCTCTGAGTGAAACCCGGCGCTACTCCTTGCGCAAAAAATAGAATCCCAAGAGGTGGCCACCTTGCATGCGTATTCTGAGGGTTCCCTGGGGGAATACTACAACTTGAGGTCCTTGACGGCTTCAGCAACCTTGGCAGACGAGTCGACTTGCGGCTTGGATTTGCGCTGGGCCATCTTGATGTGCAGCAGGGACTCCACATGATTACGACAGATTGGACACTTGGACGTCTGCTTCCGCAGCTCCTGCACAAGTTGCCAGATCCCACCTCAAAGAGAGCGCATTGTGAAAGGTGCATGCAACGCGTGATTTGAATTCCGAGCAGAGAAACATATCCCGCGATTGGAGCAGAGCAGGCTGAAGCCAGGGGAATGCAAAACAGAGCACCGAAGTTGTAATCTGCTGAACCCTAAGGTACAAGCTTGGACCTGACATACGTAAAGCCTTCTTTGGAATGCAGGGCAGGGTGTAAAGACAGGCCTCGGGCAAAAGGCCACGGCTAATCGCAGGACATGGCATGTGCGGGCACCTGCGCGCAGTCGTGGCACATGCAGAGGTGCCGGCAGGGGAGCACGGTGGTGTCGCGCTCGTTGACGAGGCAGATAACGCACAGCCGCTCCTCATTTTCTTCCAGCGTCCCCTCGCCCTGCACGGCATCAGCACTTCTTACTTGCTTCTCGCGCATTTTTATGACTGTAATCGCTTATCTGCCCTCACATGCTCTTGTAGGCATCAGTCACTCGCACCTCCAGTCTGATCCATGCCCTGGGGGCACTGGCCTGTACTTTGCATGCACACCTTGCACTCTGATGCCATTGCTTTGATCCTATTGCCATTGCATCATCCCCTTGTGATGGACCCAAGCCTATCCCATGGGTCACGGCGGGACGGCGCCGGGGTATGGCTCTTGATGCTTTGGGGCGTGACATGCATGAAGTTGTTCTGTGCAAGAGGGGACGGAAGCAAAACACACCACGGAGGGCACAGATGCTGAGTTCTCCATGCCATAGATCTCCTGGAGCTCATAGGAGACGCCCTCGACCCAGATCTTCTGCTTCAGCACGCGCGCACCCCAGCCGCCCTCCTCGTCTTTTACCAGCACCGCAAAGGTGGTCTGCGACTGCACCCACACCTTCTGCGCCGCGCCGGGTCTTAGCTCCTGCACAGAGCCCACACCAGCTCAGGAATCACCTCTCCGCAGTGAACATGCAACCCCAGGAACCCAAGGGACCATCCGCGCTCACACACACCCGGTAAGCATCAGCTTTCTCCAGAGTGAACATGCAGCACAGGGAACCCATGTTGGCTGCCTCATGCTATGCACACAGCACGTCTGCTTGGGACTGGCAGAGTGCAGAAAGATCTGCAGCAACATGAGCTGCCCCCCGCCTGTGCAGATTTGTATCTAGCCTTTCGGGCACAGTAGGTCTTCGGCAGACACAATTTTGTCCAAGACGTGCCACAAGACATGTGTGCATTGCTGCGGTGGAGCAGGCACCTGCAGGGTGTGGCCGTCGGCCTTGCCCTTCTCGGTGATGGTTTCCATGCGGACCACTAGCGGGTAGGTCTCCCCGTCAGCCGATGTCAGCTCCCGGTCCTCATACAGCCCCACATCCAGCACTGCATGCGCAGCCCCATCCTTGGGGAACTTCAGGACCAGCTGCACAACCGCAGCCATGCTCCTTCAGGGGCCCATCAGACTTCCAATTAAACGGCTCCTGTGGCCTTCTAGTTGTTACACAACAGGCATGCAGGAATTGCCCACTCAGGTATGAACAGCGGAACCTCAAGCTACCAAAAGAACGCCCTTCTGGCGGATTGTGTTATACAAGGGGCTTGCAGGAAATGACGATCAAGGATGTGAGCAGAGAAGGCAAGTGTTGGGTGAAGTCAATCAGGCGCGCACCCCCTTCTCATACAACACAGGTTCTGTGATGGCCTGCTTCAACTGCGTGAGCGCGCATGACTTCGAGGGGTCCTCCATGACCACTACAAACGTCGTCACACTGCGCCAATACACCCCAGTCCCTCATCTATTCGACCATCAAAACATCGACAAGCCCGTCAAGGGAACAAGTTCCACCCATGGCCTCCCATCAGCGGCTACATGCCCACGCAAGTTTCCATGCACCAGGCCTGGGTGTCTCACTGGCAACAACGCCCATTTTCCGAGACAATCACTCTCTAGGCCGGGAACAGCAGGCTGCGCACCTGCAGGGCTCTGAGGCGTCAAAATTAAAGTGCACGGCGAGGCGGCTGGAGTCGCCGTCGACTGGCTCCAGGCGCAGCGTGGGCTTTTTGAGGTTGACTGCGTTGCGGATGGTGGCCGTCTGCGTCAGCTCAGTTGCGGGTGGCACTTGCATGGGGTGGTGCGGGGGTGGATGCATGGGTGGCCCCGGCGGCCTGAACTGCGGGTGTGGCTGCGCAAGCAACAAACAACACAGTCTGTCAGACTCGCCTCAGCTAGAGGCGGCCCATATGCCATTTCTGGTCGACCATGACGGGCCTTTTCAAAACTTGAGGAGAAGCAGCATGTGCAATTGACAAGCTCCCCATCAAGTAGAGTCGCAAGAAATAATCGAATAAGAAGACATTTGCTACCACCACCTATCATAGATAGTTTCCTGACCCTCCAATTCGATAATGGTGTTTCAGTTACAAGCTTCCAGGTCAGCTTCCTCAAGGTACCAGGTCATAGCATACCGGTGCAAACGGTCCAGCAGGTGGGTAAGGCGGCCTCCATTGACCGTAGTGTCCATTGTTGATGAACTGGGGATCCTGGTAGAACGGAGGCAAGCCCTGTAGCAAGCCAGAACTGCTGAGCACCGGCATTTGGAGCACCTGTGATGTAGAGCATAGGAGAGACACAGCTCGAGAAATCCTTGTTGACAACTCGAGATTAGAAGATCCAGGAATCACGCCAAACTAGACTCAGCTGATGATAGCCCCTCCTAAACCCTTAGCAACTTCGTTATGCTGGACACCTGCTGCTGGTAGACGTTCGGTGGTGGATACGTCTGCTGTTGTGGCCTTGGTCTTTGTCTGCTTGGACCCGCTCCCATTTAGCGCCTCAAAATTGAGAAATCTGTTCGACTCAGACACAGTGAGTAATAAGGAAAACTCAATACACTTCAGGAACAACTTGTGTTGAACCAGGTCACGCCTCCGACAGCTGATCGGAGCGCACAGACACTTCAACAATGCTTAAACTTTGACAAGCGTAATGTTCGTTAAAGGGATCGTGATGTTCAAGCGTGCCTTGGAAGTAGAGAGCACGTCATCACCCAAAACGCTTCGCTCCTCAACGGCGTTCCTGCGTTAATTTCTTTGGTGGTTCTCGGTAGACCTTGTGGAGAGCTGTGTGCTGCTGCAATGGGAACCTGCTAGGTGTGCTAGAATGCATGGGTGCGAGAAAATAGCTAAGTGGGGAGGAGCTTGAGCCACGCCGATGAAAACTTCAAGTCCTCGGTGTATCATATTTTTGAGGAGTCTCGACCGTTGAGCAGCGATGTATGGGAATTTTGGCGGGGCATTCAATGGAAATGTTCATCCAAATCCGTATGCTCAGTATGGCATGCAAGCTCCTCAGTGGATGCAGGGGGCAGGCGGCAACCTACAGCAAGGGTGAGCACTCACATGAAAGACTCCTTATATAGCTGGGCCAAGCATGTGACTCCTTATATGTAGTAATACATCGTTGTATGTTGTGCACCATTACGAATTTTGGCAAGTCCATGTCGAGTGGGGACTTAGAGTGAAGCTGAAACTTAGATCTGTTGTGACAAGTCCACTTACCTAGTGCCAGGCAAGTTCAGTCACGATCAAACTGCCTGACATGCCAACCGAAAGAATACGTTTCTCCTTGCTTTTATCATCATAAATTGACTTTGCGATGTGTTGGGGCGTCTTGAAGGCTGGACCCACAAGCTCACTTAAGGCAATACGCGGCTGCCTTGGGCGGCTATCTTCCGCACAACCAGCTCGCCATACCGCAACACCAGGCCTACGGAAACGCTACACCGCATGTCAATGAACCTTTGCCGGCAAGGTGCGTTATATGGCGCCTTGCGTGCCCTACATCCTGGCCACCAGTCCTTTCGATCTCATCGTTATATTGGAAGATGGTAGCATACTTTGTTGACTTTGGTGCTATATGCTTCACAGGAATAATGCACAGGCTGGGAGGTATTACGAAGATGAAATTCCGGATGATGAGGGAGGTGTGTGGCTGCACAAACAACTTGAAGTTCACAGTGCACATGCTGAGCCCTCCTTTTTCCTGTAGCTTGGCCGTACAATGATGCCCACATGATCACAATGGTGCCCTTATTCAATATGTGCATTCCAACAATCATGCTGTTGCTGGTTTTTTCTTGTAGATAAGCCAGGATCCTGTCCTGTAGGCCCAGATGGGGATGATAGCGGCGATGAGGACTATGGGGTGCACAGCAGGAGGCCTAGGAGCGTCCCCCAAGGCAATCGGTCTTCGCAGGTAATCTGAGCCGTTGCTGATGGAAGCACATGCTTGCAGAGGGATTGGTAGTGTCAGTTATATTCAAAAAGGGATCTTTTGGGCACTGTGTTGCTCATCACAAAAATGAGTTTGTCGCTACCCATCTCTACTGTGGAACCGGCCTTTCCCTGTCAGAGGAGGTGTCTCTGACAAGAATTGCATGGTGCAGCAGAGGCGAGCAGCTCAGCAGGACTCTGAGGACGAGGACTCAGCGTTGGCACAGCAGCTGCATGCAGAGTACAACGGCAGCAGAGCTCGGCCCAAGAGGGCAGCGGCGTCCGCAGCCAAGAGGCGCTTAGCATCGGTGAGGGCTGGCACTGTTTCAGATGCATATACCGCGCTCCAAATAAGGGAAGCATCCAGCCCCCTCCCCCCCCCAGGGGACGCGGGATCGGAGCGTGCTTGCTTGCATGTGACAAATTGCTCTTACAGCTCAGAAAATCAACGCGTTTTCTTCCCTGCACACAGGTGGTGGCCAGTGAGGATGAGGAAGAGGTAGAAGAAGAGGCAGTGCAGAATGACGGTTATGGGCACGTACACGCGTCAGGCTATGCGCAGCAGGCTTATGGGGACGCATACGGGCAGCAATTTGCGGGCAGGCAGGCATACAGGCAGCCAAACGTGTACCAGGAGCAGGACTATGAGATGGCTCAGCGAGCGGCCCTTGGGCTCAGAGGCCGCCCTGCGAAGGTGCTGAGTCGATGGCAATGCCTGCACGCATGCTGGTGCCCATGTTGTCCTGCATCCTCTGTGGCAGGCCGGTAGTTTACTGCAGGGCAGGCTGGGGCTGAAAGCATCTCAGGGCTGGAAGCGATACAGTTGCGCCTACAATAAGGATGATTCAGAAGCGGGGAATCTGAATGTGTGTTGCATGCATGCAGCCGGATCACTTCCAGTTTGCTCCGGAGGCGCCGGCTCCAGCGCCTGCACCCAAGCGCAGGAAAACCTCGTACTATGACGATGACGACGATGATGACATGCCTCGGAAAGGGCGCCGATCCCAGAGCAAGGTGCAGCCCCCAGCAACATTCCTCTCCTGCCACATCCTCTTATTTTTCCTACAAACCTGTACTTGCCGCTACGCTTATTGAGAAGCGCAGTACGGGTGCACAAGATTGGCATGAGCACAAGGAGGCCCATTTGAAACAACCAAGCACACATGCATTTCTGGAGGCTGCATTGCTGCCAAAGAGGATGTGCCGAGGGATGGCGGGTGTATCAGCATAGGTGGAGGTGCCAGGGCTGATGAGGTGGCTGGTGCGGTGGGTGGTGCAGGTGTCCTACACGGACGAGGGCGGCTATGGGGGAAACAGTGACTTTGAGGACAGCGAGGCGGAGCGCCGGGAGCGCGCCAAGCTGCAGAAGGAGATTGTGCCGGCCTTCATGGACAGCCACGAGGGGCTGGATGACGAGGTGGAGCGTGTGCTGAGCCACAGGTATGCCTGTAGGCATGACCCTGAACCTCAGCCTTCAGATCAGGGCCAGGCATAAGAGCGCGGTGTACTGCCGCACAGTGCAGACAGGATCTTCTTTAGCTCCCCATGCCTCGCTTTTCTGTTGTGGGCGGTGGGATACTCGAGGACTGTAGCAGAGGCTCTACCAATGTGTCTGCAGGGAAGGATGTGGAAAAGGTTGATTTGGGGGCGCATATTGGCAGGGAACGCTTCTGGTCGGAGCGCTGAAGCATGCTATGCTGTGGAATGCAGGGACATGGAGGGCGTAGAGCCATATCCGGGGGACCCCTGGGCAACGCGCGAGTTCCATGTGAAGTGGAAGAGGTGGAGCTACATCCACTGCTCCTGGGACACGCGCGAAACGCTGTCGCAGCTGGGCGGCTACAAGCGCCTCGTCAACTACATGAAGCGCACCGACGAGCAGCAGGCACGTTGCCGCCACCCGCTGCCCTCCCACACTTTGTCCATCCTTCTGGGGCTTTGGATGGGAGGACAAGCCCCTTGGTTTGATTTTGTACATACATCTCTGGATGATAAGGCCTCAGATGGCTCCAAAGTGGTCTGATCATTACTTGGCACAATGTGGAGAATTGTATGGCAGGAGTGACAGACTAGTATGTCTGCCAGCGTGCTACAGAGGGCATGCAGGGGCCCCAAAGATCCTTCAATTTTCGTACTCAGACGAGAGGCAACTGGCGGTTTGAGGCGTTGTGGGGCGCTGACAGTAGTAAGATGGCGGTGCGCAGGCGGCGCGCAAGTTTTTGGCGCCGGAGGAGGCGGAGCTGCAGGATGTGGAGCGGCAGATGGAGGAGGAGCTGGTGCAGCAGCACATGCACGTGGAGCGAGTCATCGCCCAGCGCACAGAGCCGGACGGCACCCCCCGCTACCTCGTCAAGGTCCCGCATTATTTCCCGCCCTCAGATCATTGGACCGCTATCATGCGCATGGCAGACATGGTGCCTGTAGTGACGCTGCCACGGGAGATCTCCTGGTGTTAGGACCATTACTGTAACAGACGAAGAGGCTCTGATGACGCTGCCACAAAGGAGGCTTCTGGTGTCAAGGGTGTTGTCGTGTCTGTGAGGGGCTGATGTGCTGAGGCGGTGACTGTGGGGGTGCAGTGGAAGGGGCTGCCATACGGGGAGTGCACCTGGGAGAACTTCCAGGACATCTTCAAAGCTGAGGGCCAGCACTGCGTGGACCAGTATCAGGTGCCATTTTCACCCTTCAATGAAGACCGAGGGGATCACCACCCTGCAGCCTGCGGCTACTGTCATTTTGCAACCAAAAGCACAAGCCATCTTCTTTCTCTCCTGTCCAAAGGAGTCATAATATCCCCTGTTACCTGGCTCCTTTCTCTCTTCCGAGGTCCAGGGCTCAAGGCCCAACCTCATTGAGCGCATGCCTGTGGTGCATGCGCTGGTGGTGAGCACAACGCCTTGACTGAATGCAGCTCAGAGAATGAGAGTGGATATCTATTTCGAAAGGCAAATATCTGGTCCCTTGCGCTGCCAATCAGATACAAATTCACCCTCTAGGACGAAAATTCTCAATACACATGCTCTGAGACCATGCCGTGTGGGTGCAGGAGCGGGAGGCGCGGCTGATAGAGGGTGTGCGCGGGCTGGAGGCGCAGCGGCGCGCGAGCGAGGGGCAACGGGCGCTGCTGACGCAGCCCGACTTCCTGCGCGCTGGGCAGCTGCGCGACTACCAGCTGGAGGGCCTCAACTGGCTCATCTACTCCTGGATGCAGAACAACAACTGCATCCTCGCCGACGAGATGGGCCTCGGCAAGACGATCCAGTGTGTCTCCTTCATCGGTGCGCACCCCTCGGCTACCGTCCCTTTTTGTCCTCTCCCTTCCAGATTGGGGTGTGGTCATGCTCATCATCATGCACCCTGGGTGCTGACTGACTAGTCATTGTAGCAAGCACATTGTCAACCGCAACAGATCAGGTTGTGCATGGAAAGGCTGCAGAGAGGTACTCACAACAGGGTGCTCACTGTCACAGCGACGCCCGGTGGCTTGACTCCAGCGCAGGTCTCAGGACACGCCTTAAGACAAATAACAACGCGGCAGGGTTTTTGACATTTATGGCATGCTTGCGCAGGATACCTCTCGCTGTGGCAGCAGATAGCGGGCCCCTACCTGGTGGTGGTGCCGCTGTCAACGGTGCCCAACTGGATCCGGGAGTTCCGCAAGTGGCTGCCCCAGTGCAACGCTCTCGTCTACGTCGGTGACTCCAAGTCCCGCGAGGTGCGCACCGCTCCCCTTATCACTGAGGGGCGTATCCTACGCCCTCCTCATGCCATGCTCGCCGTCCCAGCCCCCACTCTCGAGCACTGCTTCCCCTGCTGCTGCTGCAACAACACATGGACATCCTTGCACTGTTTCTGCATCAGCTGACCTCACAATAGAGCCGTTGACATCAGGTATATGTTGGACTCAACTGCGTGACAGGCGCATGAATGCTTTGAGTGCTGCATGACGTCAAGTGTAAGGTGGGCGGATTTGCATGTGGTTTCTCAGGTGATCCGAGCGTTTGAGTTCTACACTGGGAAGCGCAGTGGGCGAATGTACAAGTTTGACGTGCTGATCACCACCTTTGAGCTGGTGCTCAAGGACGCGGCCGTGCTGAGCGAGATCAAGTGGTCCTACTTGGTCGTGGACGAGGCTCACCGATTGAAAAACAACGAATCCGCCCTCTACCGGGTGCGTGCCTGCGGCCTTCCCTGCGAGCCGAGTTTCTGCCAGTGTGAACCTGACTAGGGCTCCATTTAGTGCAAACTATAACCTCTTCTGTGAAAGGCTTGCATGCATGCTGTTTGTTCAAGGCAGCATGTGGAAGACGTGTCTTGTGGGGTCCCTTCTGATCACAAATGATTGTTTGTGGTGCAGGAGCTGGCCACCTGGCAGTTCAAAAACAAGCTGCTGGTGACGGGCACGCCGCTGCAGAACAGCATGAAGGAGCTGTGGGCGCTGCTGCACTTCCTGGAGCCCAGTAAGTTCCCCAACGCCGAAGACTTTGACGCCCGCCACTCCCTGAAGAAGGCCGAGGAGGTGCGGCCGCAGCCTCCAACCCCACAAACTTCATCTGCATGCAGCAAAGCATGCTGAATCTCTTGAGCAGTCCCTTCCATTCGTATATTCCAGCTGTCAAAGCACAACACTGCTTGTTGTGTACAGGCTCGCCCTCGCTCACCACGAGATAGAGCTATGACGTTCAAGATTTGGCATGCTGCTGTGGCCGTTCTGAGAGTGTAACAAAATGCTGAAAGGTGCATGGTTGCATGTTGCGCAGTTGACGCAGCTGCATACAGAGCTGCGGCCGCACCTGCTGCGGCGAGTGATCAAGGATGTGGAGAAGAGCCTGCCGCCGAAGAATGAGCGCATTCTGCGCGTGGCCATGTCCCCGCTGCAGAAGCAGTACTACAAGTGGATCCTCACGCGCAACTTCAAGGAGCTCAATAAGGTGATAAGCATGCCCTCTGCAGAAGCTGCCACTAGGCAATTGAGGCATGCAGCAAAAGAACCACATCCCTGGCCCTATAGTCCCCTGTACAGTACTTGCTAATATCACTTGAGCGCTCCAGGGCAAGGATGTTGGGCACTGCAGCGCTGAAGCACACTGCTGTAAGAGAAGTGTCAGACAAAGGCTGTCGAATTGCCATAAGGGGCATGAAAAGGTCTATTCTCCCCCCAAGAGGAAAAGGTGAAGGCCGGGGCGTGATCTCATCAAAGCTCTTATTGCACCACGGCAGGGCACCAAGGGGGGCGGCCAGATCAGCCTGCTGAACATCATCACGGAGCTGAAGAAGTGCTGCAACCACCCCTTCCTCTTTGAGAGCGCGGAGAGCGACTTCCGCGGGTCCAACGACGACAGCAAGGCCGTTGACCGCCTGACCGTGTCCGCCGGCAAGATGGTGCTCCTCGACAAGCTCATGCGCCGCCTCAAGGAGACCGGCCACAGGCGCGCCGCCTCCCACACACTCACCTGTTCTTCCAAATGCTTCACCTTCCCTTTTGTCAGTATTAATGCCCTCAGATCCACGACTCTGTAGTGCACATAGACAATGGTGAGCGAGAGATGGAGTGTGACACCATCCCGAACGAGTTGCAGTCCTATTGCGCTCCATTTCCTAGATTCATTTGTGTCATGTTGCTTCTGGCCTTGCCGGTTCTTGTTGGGCGTGCAGTGCTGAGGGCGGTGCGTGGGTGCAGGGTGTTGATATTCAGCCAGATGGTGCGCATGCTGGACATCATCAGCGACTACATGCGCCTGCGCGGCTTCCAGCACCAGCGCCTAGACGGCTCCACACCCGCCGCCCAGCGCCACCAGGTGCCAACACCCACCCTCTCCTCTTTCCTGCCCCTCCTCCGCCCCTCCGCATGACCTAATAAGGACCTCAGCCAATGTCCTGTGCCAAGCTCTGCCTTATGTTAGAGCTCGCCGCAACCTCTGCCCTGGGTCATAAAGAAAACGCTGACCAAGATATCCCTTCCATGGGTGCTCATTGCAATCATGCCATGCAGCAGATGAGAACAGCAGGCATATGAGAAAGCCCTCAAGGCAGGCAGATCACGAACGGCGCTGACCAATGCTGCAGGCAATGGAGCACTTCAACGCGCCGGGGTCGACGGACTTTGCGTTTCTGCTGAGCACGCGTGCGGGCGGCCTGGGCATCAACCTGGCCACGGCGGACACCGTCATCATCTTCGACTCTGACTGGAACCCCCAGAACGACCTGCAGGCCATGTCGCGCGCCCACCGCATCGGCCAGACCGAAACCGTCAATATCTACAGGTGCCCACTGTCACTCTACTTGGCGCCTCTTCCTGAACCACATGGTGCAATTGTTCACACGGGGCCCTTGCCAACCAAAACGCACCACCCCAGCAATCACCCCGCATTTTGCAGCCCTCTGAGCAGTTCTTCAGTATAGCCTTAGTGACTGTTGCCATGCAATTGCTTGCATGGAGAGTTCCCTTGGCATAGGAGGACCGTTACCGTATATGGAGCATGAAAGGCGCTGATATCTTGCGCGCGTGCAGGTTCCTGACGAGCGGGAGTGTGGAGGAGGACATATTGGAGCGCGCAAAGCAGAAGATGGTGCTGGACCACCTGGTGATTCAGCGCATGGACACCTCTGGCCGCACCGTGCTCGACCCGCGCTCAGCCGCCGCCTCCGCCAAGCAGATGTTTGGCAAGGACGAGCTCACCGCCATCCTGCGCTTCGGCGCCGAGGAGCTCTTCAAGGCAAGCACGCTGCCTGCCCTAATTAAATGCTTTACAACCTGCGTCAAAGTGTTTTGAACGCAATCCTAGAGCATGCACAATCTTGGAATAATGGTGACAAATCAGTCCAAAGAGCTCTGGGAGGACGTGCTATACTCTCGGATCCCCCTTGTGATGCTCTAATTGCGACGCCTCTGCTCTGAGCAGTGCACTCCTGCAAACATATTACAGGTTTTCATGACAAGGAATGTCTGGTTGCTGCAGGAGGATGAGGGCACCAAGGAGGCAAAGAACCACCAGCTGCTGACTGAGGACATTGACAGCATCCTGGCTCGCGCTGAGGTGCTTGCCCCCACCTGTCTGCTCATCCAAGATTGCCCTTTCTTTGAAGAAACGCAAGCATGCATTTGCACCCGCGATTTTCACGCCCCCGTAAACAGTGCTGATACAAGAGGGCATCCCCGCAGTGGGTGCCAGTTCACCTGTCTTTTGCACAAGACTCCAGGGGTTCTGTCACAAGAGGGCATCAGAATGCATCCGAGTGTGATTCGAAGAACATGCATGTCGCTTGCGCGGATATTTTTTAAATCAGACCTTTTGCAACTGGTGAGCGATGATGATTGTCTCGTTCGTCGGAATGGCGAGATCCACCAAGTCTCAAAAAGCCTTGACGACAATTGTCACCACCCATAACCTGAGCTCACCATGGCACAAGTTGCTGGAGACTCAACCTTTACACACAGAGCTCCGGATGACAAGCATCCAAGCGGTGCTTGATCTGAGCAATTCTCACTCTTGAGTTCTTCTCTGCAGGTGGTAAATGAGACGGATGCGACGCATGCGGATGCCGGGGGCGAGCTGCTGAACGCGTTCAACGTGGCAACGTTTAAGAACGAGGAGGATGACGCCGTCTTCTGGAACCGCCTCATCCCCACCAAGGAGCGCGCCCCCAGCGAGGAGGAGCCCGAGCAGCTAGGCATCCGCGCAGCACGCCTCAAAACCTACGACGACGTGCGCGCCCCCTCTGTGCTTGTCCCCGTGCATTCAGAAGTTGAACTTGCTGCAAATTGCAGTCCCATGACGCTTCAATGATGCAGCATATGTGCACACAGCAGAGCTAGGGAGTGGCGGAGCGTCTGTACCATGATGCAAGAAGTTGACATTCAAGGCAGGAATCAAGCGGAAAAATGCATCCTCTTTTATCTCGATTTCATGCGCAGGGCGGGAGGAGGGCGCAGCAGGAGGGCCTGGCGAACGGCAAGGCAAAGAAGGGCAAGGGCAAGCGGGCGGCCAAGGGCGCCGGCACGCGTCGGCGCGGCGGCGTGGATGCGGCCGTCGCGTCAGAGGCCGGGCCGCCCGTCGCTGGCGCCATTCTGCGCGTCGACCTGTGGCCCGCCGACTCCGGTTCTGCTGCCAACGCCACCCCAGAGCCGGCAAGTCCACCTGGCACTAGAGCCTCTCAAGTTGCAATCATTGGTGAATGTGCATATGACAGGCTGTTGCTCTGTGGCCTCAGCAGCAGGATTTCTGGAAATGCCTCTTGTCCTTGTTTTTTTTCCAGATTCTAAAGCAGGTGTCGTATGGGCCATGTTTTGTCTGCACTGGGAACGTGCTGTCTTAGCCACACTGCCACTGCAGACCTTTTGGCTCACTTGACCTGTCCTGCAAATCGAAAGGAACAATAAGAAAGTGTGATGTTAGCGATTGATCAGGTTGTCGGACAATTGGATGATTTTGTCAGTGGCGCAGGCTCACGCACCTGAGGTTGAAACGTGGAATGAAGGTCTGCTTGGTGTGACCTGCGCGCTGATAGTAAAGATTGTTGGTGTGTGCAGGAGGATGACTGGCCCAGGGCGCTGAACAGGCGGGAGGCCACGGCGTTTGTGCGCGGCGTTAAGCAGTACGGCCTCGAGGCGCGCCTGCCTGAAATCGCGGCCGAGGTCGGCCCTACCCTCGATAACGCGCCGCCCGCCGCCCAGTGCGTCCCATCCTCATCCCCCATGCGCAATGCATGACTCATGCACATGCGCAGCTCTCTGTGCGCGGCATATTTGCCATAGAATCCGCTGCTGGTGCTCTCTGTGTTGTGACTGCCTTTGTTAGCATGTGCAGTCTGCTGGCTGGCCATGGCGTCTTTACTGAGGTTTAGGCCAAGAAGCCTGCTATGCATCTACAAATAAGCACCCATCATGCGAAGAGGCATGGGGTGCATGCGCGGGGTTGAGAAGCTGACAGCAGGCATGGCATTGTGGCGCTGCAGGCGGGCGCTGTGGGCGGGCTTTGTGCGCGCGTGCGAGCGGGTGGAGCGTGATGCGGCGATGGCCGGCGAGGACCCCAACGCGGCCGTGCTCGACTGGTTTGGCGTCTCCGTCAAAGCCTCTGAGATCCCCGCTCACCTCCAGCGCATGAAGACCCTTGCACGCAAGGTCTGCCCCTATGTTGACATACTCCGGACCTGGATAATATCCTAGGACAGCAGGCGCCACACAAATTGGACTGAAAATATTTATACACCTGACACATCTCCCATCGGCCAATGCCAGTCTAGCTCATCTGGGGTCATGTGCATTTATGTGCCATCTGGCATTTGGTGCGGGCCAGCAGAGGGCTCTTATTGCTGGGGAAGGCTAGGGGTAACTGAGGTGCTAATGTGTGTGCAGATTGAGGCGGTGGGGCCGGAGCCGCACAAGGTGTTCCGGCTGGATGCAGTGGCGGTGACGCTGCCCAAGTGGGCGCGCATGTGCGACTGGACGCCCCACGACGATGCCATGCTCCTCCTCGGCATCTACTGGTGAGGGCGCCCACCCGCCCCTTGCCCTGTCCCTCTTTAACTCTGCTTGCAAATCGACACGTACCAAATCAGGCCCAAATCCACCGCCTCACTGAGGAAAAGCCCCTTTTAGATCAGGGAGCTTCCTTTGTGATATAAGCAAGCATTCATTCCACCTGTGGCATCTGTGGCGACGTGGGAATGGATGTTGTCCGAAGGGGTCACAGTCCTCTATCACCTAGAGATGAGACCTGTGGACTTCAACTACAGTATTAGTGCAATTTTCAGCGCTATGGCCTCTTATGTGTGCTCTGCTGCGGCCAGGCATGGGCTGGGGCACTGGGACCAGTTGGCGGGTGACCTGCGCCTGGGCCTGGGCGCCAAGCTGGAGGCCGCCGCCACCGAGAAGCGCGGCAAAAACTACGAGGCGCCTGAGGACCACAAGCTGCTACCCAAGGGTGCGCGCACAGTTCATCAACCTGCGTTCTTTCACACAGTGCACCGTCACACTCATCATGTGTGAATTGTTGCAGAGCAAGCTTGCTCGTGCTGGGGCGTCAGGATTCCCGCAGTGAGACCAAGCCGGCATGGCGCAGCCTCACGCCTACTTCTGGCTTTCCGGCTGTCGTAGCAATGCTGGGAACATGTCATTTGTGCGGGCCAGGGTCGCAGCTGGAGACGCGCGCGGCGGCGATGCTGAAGAAGCTGCAGACGACCAATCAGCAGCCGCTGGTGTTCGGCGGCCGGGGCCGCACCGGCCGCGTCCCCAGCGCGCGCACGCCATCGCGCAGCGCCGCGGCCGCCATCGCCGACAGCCTCGGCCCGGCGCCCAAGAGGCGCGGCCAGGCCCACCACGGGGCAGGAGACGCCGTTGAACGCATGCGCAGCCACTCTGAGGCCTCCACCCCCTCCAAGAAGTGCGCGCCTGTCCCCTCTTGCTGTCCCCCTTCTCCATAGACCCGCGTTTCTACTTCCTGGTCTTGATAACCTCCCTTTAATGCACATCCTAGTCTGACTCAAACTGGGCGAAAGCGGCAACCACCTCTTCACCGCTTGTCGTCTGCTGCATGCTTTGAACACGGTGTTTCTGCATCACTTGGAGCAGCACCCATATCAGCCTGGGCTCTTTCAGTCAGGTTCTGTCACTAAGGCAATAAAACAATCTGCACTGATTCAAGTCTTGCACTGCTGGTGTAGAGCACGAAGTTTTTTCCTGCGCACATGCTCTGACAAAAGCAAGTAAAGCCGCAGAAGGGAGACAGAGGGCGAACACTATCACATGAAATTCATAGAAGGGTGTGAATACATGTACAGGTGGGAGGGCATGCTGGGCGAGGAAGTGATGCTGCACGTGAAGAAGCTGCGGCTGCTGCAGAAGCGCGGCGACGACATCCCCAAGGACAAGGCGATTGAGAAGACGCGCAAGTACCTGACTGTGGTAGGCAACGCCATTGCAGACCTGTGCGCCCGCGCATCCGCCGGCACCCTCCCCGGCTGCAGGCTGCCCTCCGACGAACTCCACCCCAAGCTCTGGCAGGCACGCGACACCTCCCCCAAGCAACCATCCAGGCCACTCAGCTCCTGCTGATGTTGTCTTTGATGCAACACGTTGCACCGGGATTTGCAACCCCGCTTCCTCCGCAGATTGCTGCCCACGGAAGTATCAGGATGTCAGGTCTTTCAAAGCATGAAGTTGGGGCTTCGCCTGCTCAGGTCTTCCATACTTTCAGTATGTTGGGAGAAATTGCTTGGTGCATGGGAGACCTCAATGTGGCCCAGTCAGGCCTCCTTGGCTCCATGTCAAGTGGTTTGCACGCAACCTTGAATTGCATCAAGAGTGAACGAACAGTCTGGTTGTCACTTAGCTTAACATGGGAAAATGGAACTGACGCGGGGGTCACGACGTGCGCGCAGTTTGTGGCGCGGTTCACGGAGAACAACTTGGACGGGGAGAATTTGGCGCGCATCTACAGCCGCGTCAGCAAGGGCCACAGCGCGCGTGATGCGGCGGTCGACCGCGACACCGCACCGGCCGGGCCGTCCCGCGGCGCCGAGGCGGCCGACGACGATGACTACGGCGCGGCCGCCGACGGCCGCAGGCGCTCCTTCTCCGAGGTGAGCACTGCAGCAGCGCTTGCGCAGGTGTCAGAAACACTTCAGTGTCTAAGATTGACTGCAGCAGCGGTGAATGAGCGCTGCATTGTGGTGCATTCCAGATGTGTGCAGCAACTTTTTTAGGTTGACTTCATCACTGCTGTTGGGAGTCTGGTCTTCAGATTGACGCGCATGTGCGAGTACATCAGAATTTTGGTGTGAGATTTTATCTATTGTCATATGCTTGAAACCTGGGAGTTTTCACCCATTTTGAGGAGAGCTGGCGTGCACCCTGTGCCTGGATGCAGATGCCTCCTTGCAAGGCAGGCAGGACGCTGACTGTGGTGGCTTGTTGCATGTGTAGGCAGGCGCTGACGATCGGCAACAGCAGTGGGAGGAGGACGGCGGTTACTACCAGGAGCACTCCCCAAAAGGACGCCACCACCACCAGTCTTCCAGGTGCTTCCTCAGGAACCCCGGCATGGGTTATTTCATGTCGTCCTCACAATCTAAGATAGAGCTACCCAATCTTGTACCCTCGGTGGATAATTGATTGACATGCTTTCCGAAAGGAGAGATGGAATTCTCATAGACAGGCACTATGTACAATTGACGTGTGGAGCCCTGACAGCAGGAAGTTTGCTGTTGGCTGCAGGCGAGACTGGGACAGGGAGCGGCAGCGTGGATGGGACTAGCATAGATATAGGCCGCCGGGAGTTTTGATTGAGCGCTGAACATGTCATCAACATTATTTGTTGTTGGAGACGTGCTGCTTGAAAAGGCCTGTCCTTTCAGATGCAACAGTCCCAGTTCCATTCATTTCCTTCTAGCACGGCACAGCAGGAATAGTTTCAAGAGCAATGGGCACTCTATACTCAATTTACAGGCACATGGGGCTTGCTGCTGGGCACAAGATATGGTGCCGTAAATGAGCGGTCTGTCCTAGAGATCTCGAGAGGCGCTCTTCAATCAAGTATTGCTTGTCAGGCCTTGAGGCATGCATTGTGATTCTACCCAGTGCAGGGGCTTGCGCAGAATTTCCGCATGTGCCGTTGAAGAATGAGTTGGAGTGTGTTTAAAAAAGACATTGCATCTCTGAGAAAATAGATGCGCACAGCGTTGCTGCAGAAATTGACAAATTAGCTCCTATTGCTTGATGCTTTGCATCTTGAATTGTGGGTAAGCGCACAGTGCGCTGTTACAAGTATCATAGTACATAGGATTTCTTGTCAAGGTCGAGCCTTCAGGTGCACCAATTTGTTTCAACATCTGGTAGCCTACATTGGTTCTAAATGGTAATCATTGCGCACACATGCTTGTCTGGCATGCATCTGGCAACGCTGCTTCTTACCAAGATACCATTCCTCTCATTCTACTGCATGATCAACATCTTGATAGCGCTAAAACTCTCATATCTACAGTGGTCCGGATTAAGCAGTACTGAGTACCATACATGAACAGCGTTCAATGCAGTGGCATGTTGAACATAACATTTCCTTTCAGAGGATTTTGCAGCAATAAATATACAGTGATGCATGGTCCTGCTGCCATCATTCTACAATGGGCCACCTAATTGCAGCAGAGGCAGCGCATCTAAATGCACCGCTCTGACTTGCAGCACACCACTGGCATGCAGAGACCCCGGCATTCTTGACAACCCAAAGTCGCCACCTCACATGCAAGTTCTTTTCACTGACGCATTTTTCGCAGTCATCCAAGCAAAAAACCACTCTGCGAAAACGAGGTCAGTGAGGTTGCATCAACGAAAAACACAAAAATCCTTGAGAGTAGCAACCCAGTGTACACTCCAACAAGAGCATAAGGACTCCAAAAAGAGGGTGAAAACAGCACTGGCAGAAGAAAAAAAATCTAAGCCCCATGCAGCGGCTCGGGATGATGGAACTTGCAGGCCGGCCCAAACTTGCACGTGTGCGTCTTCTCAAAATGGCCGCACACGCTCTCGCCCTGGCGCAGGGGCAGTCCCAGCGAGTTAAGCTGCACGCCAAAGTGCGCGGGGTGGTCAAACTTGCACGCCTCGCCAAACTTGCAGTGCCCGGTCTTGGTGTAGAAGTCGCACAGCGGCTGCCCCGGGCGACAGGGGAAGCTGGGCTTCAGCGGCGGCGGCTGCATCGAGGAAGCTACCGAATTCATGCCATCGCTCAGACCCCCGGTCTTTGGGGGACTGCCACTGTTGGACATATTCCCCGGTGACCCGATGCGGTGCTGCAAGGGTGGCACAGCGCCACCAGAGGCCTCTGAGACAGCGCTGCTGCTCAGTGACATGCTGCCGCCCCTCAACCGCGTGCTGTCAGCCGATCCCATCCTTGGCCCTGCATGCGCCAAGACCGCTGACTCAGCTACGTGACCCTCCTGCCTACCTGCCCTGCTTTCACTGCTTCAGGTGGGGAAGGCAGCCATTGCACTCAACCCGGCAGACCTCACAACAAGCTGGATAAAGAAGCTCTGTGACTCCCATCCAGAATACACAAAGTACTGCTCAGCACATCAAGCCCAGCAATGACAAGCAACTGGAGTGTTGAAAGCTTAGGAAGAGTTGGAGGAGGCAGGCCATGCGCACCATGCTGCTGGGGATGCATGTAAGGCTGGGATTGGTCTGGAGGAGGCATGTATGCCCAGTTGGGCCCCAGCATGCTTGAGCCGTTCATGCTCCAGATAGACCCGCTCGGGCTGCTCCGTTGCAGCGATGGCGGCGGCGGCGGCTGCTGAGCTGAGTATCCGCTCCTCCCTGCCACAATTACAGCACAGCCCTCAGCACACTAGCCCAATAACACACCTAAGGCAGCAGCGCTTCCCCAAAGGCACGTCACATCTAGGCCTGTCTGTGCATGACATGGCAGGCTTCAGAAGACAAGCGTGCCCCGATGATACTCTGCTGCGGTGTGAGAATGGTCTGGATTGAATGTGGCTTGTAATGATTTGCGGCTGCCACTCACCACCGCTGGACCTGGCAGAGTTGCTAGGGGACGACGAGCGGTGGTGAGGCGGCGGCAGCGGTGGCGGCCGATGGATGAAGCCGTTGCGGGGGCCCTGGAAGCCATTCGCCTCGCCCGATGAGCGCCCAGAGACCCCGGCAGAAGCCGGCCCCTGTGCAGCACACCAATGGAAATCGCTACTTGTTCACTTCTTGGTGTGGAGACCAATGATTGCCAGACAGCACAGGCCTTGGCCCTACAGGCAACCAGAACGACCCTAGACATCAACCTTGCTGAAGGTCACGCGAGCACAAGGCGCAGATCTAGTTGCTTCTCAACGCTTCAGCATTGTCGGCTTCATGATCGTCATACTTGCGTGCCATGGCTGCCATCAGTGCATAGGAAATGATCAAATGACAACGCAGAAAAATGTGCCTCGCGCGTGGTGCAGTGGCGCACCCGCAGGTGGGTAGGGGAGGCTGAGTGGCGCATGGGCCCGAGGCTGGTGAAGGGGGATCCCTGGCTGGAGGCCTGCTCGCGCGATGCCGGTGTTGCGGATGATGATGACGGAACATACGCGTCCGGGGCCGACTTGGCGCGGGGCGCTCCCGAGTCCGCGGCCGCCGCCGGCTCCGGGAAGAGGGGCGTCGGCCGCGCGCCTGGCAGCGGCATCGAGAGCGCCCTCTTCTCAACAACCTGTTCCACACAGCCCATCACGGTTCACAGCCATTGAATGCGCAATTTCTGCAGTGTCCCTTCAGGTATTCTGTGACTGAGTGATTACTTCAAAATTCCCAATCTGCATTTTACGCTTATGGAGGAAGATTACCTAGAGAATGCAGGAGGGCCCCGCCAACTGCAATAAGATGCGTTGCAGCATTGGCACTGCATGTGAATCAGCTAACAGTGTCAATGTAGAGAGTTGGAGATTTGGCGTGAGCTGAGGGTGGAGTGCCGCACCCGTATGGCGTCGGCCGCGTTGGCAGCGGTGGCAGGTGCGCCGGTGGCGGCTGCCAGGCGGGTGGACATGAGCTCGAGGGGGAACTCGCGCGCGCCGGCCGGGTAGTACTTGGCCAGCATGGGCTCCTCCGAGCAGCGGTGCAGCCCGAAGCAGTATGTGGCCATGAGCAGGTTGGGAAAGCGCGACGAGAAATAGCTGCGCATGCACATGTACATGATCATCAGCGCTTTAGGCTCATCCATGATGCAATGGCACCCGGATACGAGCACAAACTATGGGTAATCACACGGCAGACGTCTCCTCAGGGGGTCTTCTCTTTCATTTTTATTAACCCTGTGAAGGGTCTTCATGATTGTGTATTTTTCTGCAGAAGGGTCTGTACGAAATAGTGGAGCTCTTCAGAGATTTTTGGCGCATGCCTTAACACTAAACATTGCTCCCAGTAAGATAGCATTGGCCTGCTGTGTAATGGAAAGGTGACGGAACATGTGGGGCACCTGAGGAAGCCGTCGGGCATGGGCCCGAGCTTGGCCTGCAGCTGCTCGGGTAGCTCGCGGAAGTGGTTGTGCTTGTTGCGGATGACGCGGAGCAGGTCGCGCAGGGAGTCGGGGCGGTACTTGCGGTAGCGCCCCAAGTTCTCCAGAAAATCCGGGTCGAGGCGCGCCATCCAGTTGCGGCCACCAAGTGCCTCCTCGCTGCACGCCTCCAACGCAGCCAGCAGCGACTGGTCCTCCTGTGCACAGCCCAAGATGTTCAGCCAAGTTTTCTTGGTTTTTTTTGTTGTGTCTTTGTGTCTTTGTGCCAAACAGGACTGGCCCGAGGCAGGGAGACCACCACTGCAGCCTGCATGCTCGAGTCTTAGGACAGGGTGTAATACAAGCGCCAAGCAAGGGAACACACAAAAGGAAGCCTCCCATGTGTGTCCAGAAGTGAGAGCTGAGCCCTGATGAGTTGGCGGCGTCTGGCACAATTGATTGGCGTGCCGAAAGCCAACAACACATCAAGCTTCCAGCTCTCACTGCCTCGTGCTTCCATAAGGACGGCTGAAATACCCCTACTTCAACATAATCAGCAAACTGTGGATGGCGTATATTGCTCTGCCTGGGGCTGGATAGGGGCCAGGGTATCACCTCCCGGTCCTCGTTCTCCATGCGGTCGGAGAGGTCGACGAGGAAGGAGAGGCGGCGCTGGGGGGGCCACCAGAAGGGGTGCGCCATCACGGACGCGATGCTGGGCCGGCGCTTGGGCGCGGGCACGAGCATGGCACGCACCAGGTTCTCCGCCTCCTTCAGGTGTGCCACCTCCCGCAGGCTCGCCCGCCCCTGCAGCCCCACACAAACACAGCAGCGTCAGGCTCTGCAACAAATGTGCTGCAATCTTCTCTGAATGGGTGAACATGACTGCACCTTCCTCTCAGTGATATTGATGATTTAGCCTTCCTTATGCTGGAACACCTGGACAGACTCACCACAACTCTTAGCCCAGTAGGGATAATTCTCAGACTGGGTGCGTCTACAACAAGTTCACCAGCTAGGTCTGTGGAGCAGGTGAGCCTCACTCACTATGAAGGGATCGATGGCTCATGCATGGGCTTTCCAGGTCAGTAGGGCAATACGAGGTGGGGCGTGCCTGCAGGATGTTGAAGTCGCGCTCGTAGCTCTCGCCGAAGGCGTGCTTGCCGCCGGTAAGGCAGTAGAAGATGACGAGGCCAAAGGAGAAGATGTCCACGCTCTTGCCCTGGCGCACATCCCCGCCGCTGCGGCTTATCAGCTGCTCCGGCGCCTGCCACCCCGTGCTGCCACCTGCGATGGGAGCGATAGAAATAAGACCATTTCTGCATGTACTGTAATGTGTGTGTGTATGTGTGTGTGTGTGCAGGCGTGTACAGATTACATGACCATGGCAGGGACTCAAGGCATCCCCCTGCAAATGCTACCAAGACAGAATTGGCAAGGCAGCCCACAGCTCCCAGACACACTTGCATTGCAAAAACACCAACAGGAACGTTCGACAGACGCCCAGAAGCGGGAATCATGGCTGAAGGGATCAATGAGCAAGTTGCAGAGGGTGTGGTCTTGCCTGGGCCGCGGCTCTCAAACGAGGACTGGTCGATGGCGAGGCGCTTGCAGAGGCCCATGTCAGACAGCTTGGCGTGGCGGCTCTCCGTGAGCAGGATGTTCTGTGGCTTGATGTCCCGATGCACGATGCCCCTCTGGTGCAGCGCCACCACACCATGTCCAGCCTCCTCCACCACCTGATGTCGTCACACCCGCCCTAAATCAAGTTTGCTTGTCCTGCGCTGCTCATGAAGCTCTACCGCCTATTAAAGGTTCACCCTAACATACAAGAATGTGGCTGATGGAAATGTACACGACAGCACCGCCCCGCAGATTCTGTTAGCCACCTTTCTGGTGCGCTATGGCGCACACCTTCAGTAATAGAAGGATCTCGCATATGTGTGCGGAGGGAAAGTGGGCTTGCCTGCATGCAGAAGGGCGTGGGCCGGCGCGCGTCGTCGAGGAAGTTGGCCGCGCCACCGTCGCTGTTGACAAGGTCATTGAGCGACTGGCGGCAGCGCTCAAGCGCCAGGTACACGAACTCGTTGTCCTCCTCCATCGCGAAGCAGCGCACAATGTTGGGGTGCTCGTCCGACAGTATCAGCGCCCCGATCTCCTTGCGTGCCAGCTCATAGAACTGCACAATACAATGCATCATCTCTACTAAGGTAAGTAGAATAGAGTGATGGCACAACGTAATTTGTGAGCGTGACTTTGTGAGGAATGTAGACACATCAAACAAGGGCCAGAAGAGGCCAAATGCCAAGCTTACCTGACTCAGGATGCGCTTGACAGCAATTGGGCGGCCGTGCAGGGTGCCCTCAAATACGAGCGTGCCACTGCTGCCGTACCCCAGGATCTCAGGGCCGATCTCCATGCGGCCCACTCGGCTAACCCCCGCCCGCGCCACCTCGCGGCTCTGCATGCACACACACAAAGCTCTGCCGTTCGCACCACCTTGACTTGGTTGTCATCATTCTATTAGAGAGATACATTGCGTGAAGCAACAGGACAGCAGCAGGACAGGTCTGAAAGTGACTCGTCCAACAGAGATAGAGGAAGGGAAGAGGCATGCCTGGACAGTGGAGCTCCTGCCGCTGGAGTGCGCTGTATTGTCGCCGGCAGCCGCCTGCATGGGCGGCAGGCTGTCCTCATCGTCCACCAGTGCCTCCTGCTCCTCATCCTCATCTTGCTCTTCCTCCTCCTTTTCACACACCACATTAGTCACTGGTCGCAGTAAACCAAGGGCCTGTCACTACAGCGCTCTACGATGACAACACTGGCAAAGGCAGTGCGACTGTGGGGCTGAGGATGCGGCCAAGGACACATGGTAGCGCTAATTGATACAGGCAGGGGGCTGTTACGCGCACCTCGTCCTCGCTGGCGCTGCTGTCGCCCTCCAGGGGGGACTCCTTGATGGCGCCCATCATCTTGTTGGAGTACCTGTGATCCTTCAGCTTCTTCCACCGCTTCTGCGAGCCCACACGCGGTCCTCAGCATTTCTGCCTGTTCCTGTTGCTTTCATTGGCAAATGCTTGGTTTTTCCTGCTGCAATTTCGCCTACAGGACTTCAAGACACACATGCAGGACTTCTTTGTGTACTCTTCTGGACCCTAAGGCATCAGACGACATCTGAGTGGGCCACCCTATTGCATGCCACGCTGAGCAGGGATGCATGAAGACATTCCGCTGTGGGCTCGGCACTGAGCACAGGTCAACACACAGGTGCTGACGGCTTACCCTGGCGCGGCGCGCGTTGTCATCGGGGTTGTTGCCGATGCCGGAGCCGGTGTGGTCGCGGATGGTGGACAGCTGGGGCGTGGCTGCACGCGCGGCCAGCTCGTTCTGCAGCGCGGCCTTTGCCGTCTCGGCCGCCTCGTTCTGCGACCCCGTGTAGCTCATCTGCATCGTCACAATCCCCTCCGCCTTGTGGCTCTTGTCCAGCGTCGTCCACACTGCCACAACAGCCACAGATGCATCAAACCCGATTCCTTCATATTACGTCGTCGCATGAGTGTGAGGAGACGAATGGCATTTCGTGACAGACTGCATGGATATAAAAGTTGGCATGACATCTTCTCATGCAAGCAGACCAGCGGGGAATAATGTTTGGCTGCAGCGGCAAATAAGGTATTACAGGAAGGAGCTCACATCTGGGCTTTCCGACGTCGTACTGGTGAGTCAGCATCCCGAAGAGAGCGGCTCCCACCACCGCCCCCGCCCCAACCTGGAGCCATCCTGCCACATGCAACGCACAGCGTCAGACAGCAGGGCATCCAGATGTTAAGACCCGCAGCCCTCAGAGAAGATATAGGAAATTGCCAGCAGGACAATCATTTGGCATACCCATGACACTCTTGTTCCAAGAGCCATCATCGTCTTCTCTGCCTTCATCAGTGGGGAGCCCTCTGCCGCCATTTGACAGGATCATTTCCCGGGATGGCGAGTCGTTCCTTGTCTGCGCAGGTGGTAGTAGGGTGATCTGTTCTTGCGGAGGCAACTCCTCTATCTGATGCACTCCCAACGGGCATGTCCACATCGGCCCGCAGTCATCAGCCAGCATGGCAACTGGCTCCTCACCGACCTGGCAAGAACAATGCCCGCAGTGAGAGTTTTGCATACCAACAAAGCAGAAATCCGCATCTCGAGCTCTGCTACAAAAAGCTTCCACTATGGCATGTCTGAAATGATCGATGTGAGCAAAGAAGCACTACCTCAAGTGGCAGTGAGGGTGAAACCTGGCCAGGCAGTGACAAGCCAGTGGATGAGTGGCCACGTGGCGCCGGCAGAGCATACAGGCCGTTGCTGCCTTGCCCAACCATTACAACCTTGGGCTCCCTGACCCCTTCACCTAACTCCAGCAATCCATTCCTCCCTGCAAGCACAGCACAATGACACTTCCTAATGCTCATTGCAGGTAATCGCTTCTAAAAGCTCTGCAGGTGAAAGCACCGGCAAGTTGCCCAAGGAAGGAAGCAGACGCAGGCGCATGTCCCCACCTTCTGGCAATGCTAGCGCTGTCCTGGGTCCAGGCTCAGGATTTGAGGCAGGCAGGTTCAGTGAAATTTCGGCACCAGAGCCTGTGAAAGCAGCAAGAGCCGCAGCCGGCAGCTGCAAGTCCCACATGACCTCCCCTGTCCTTGTGTCTCGGCGCATCAGTGTGCCATTTGAGCTTGCCTCTAGCCCTGTCAAGTCTGCAGTCCAGCAGTTCATGTCAACACTTCGAATTGGAAACTCAAGAGAAGGAGCTTACTCTGGCTAACATGCCAATTTGTTTGTCATCTCCAGTGATATTGCGAGTGAGAAAGGAGGGTCTGCTCACCACTGAGCTTCCCTTCATTTGGACCAACGCCTCGCATCTTTCCGTAGGTGACCTTCCACAGCGTCTCACCGGTGTTTTCATCAACACTGTGCACCAGATACCTCTGCCAACCCACAATGTATGGCCTGGGAGTCTCCATCTTCAATGTTTCAGCCGTCAAGTCTGCAGTCCTCACACCAAGCAAGTCAGATTCCTCGTGCTGTTGTATAGATGCGAAATCCAAGGCATGTTCAAGGAAGTGGAATACACCAGAAGTGAAGGAGCACACCTATTCCATCGCCAAGGGGTGCCCGCTGTAATACACCCGTCAGAGGATCCAGAAAGAGAAACCCGCCAGCATTGCTGCCTTTCACCAGTTCCCCCTCTTGCCTACGGCTGGGAAAGCTATTTGCCATCTCCGCCACGTTGCCATAAAGTACCTGCAAATGGAAGCCCGCTTACTCAAGCTAGCAAGCAGCTGCAAGCAGCAAGATGCAGCCTGCCAGTTGTCAAAGTTGTACCATTGCAGGACTGTCTGCTCATGCTCCAGCATAATGCGAATTCAATGACTTTGTGTCCGATAACAGCGCAGCTGTCTTCCTCTCGGGAGATTACTATGCCCACCTTCAATGACCCTGGCTTCCCTTCATAGCTGTACAGCGTTCCATCCCACCCTGGGAAGACTTCCGCATAGCTTTGCACAGCCGAAACTCTGTTCCTGTCTGCCGTGACATCCTGCTTGGGCCCAGAGGCAGCCAGGAGAGGCTGACCGCTGTCATACGTCCAGAGCTCATGCCCAGTGTCTCCATCCAAAGCAATGAGCTTCCCATCCAGCAAGCTCACGAGAATAGGCTCCTTGTACCTGTGGAACAGAGGGCGAACCTTGTTAGGAAAACTTGGGCCCTGTCAAGCAACCTGTGGATCGGCCACTCCGGGGAGGGCTGCAATACAACCATGCATATGACTTGCCAAAACGTCGAGGTTTACAGGAACCATCTCAAAAATGAAGAAGGAGACACCCCTTTGCTAAGTAGTTGCAAAGCAAGGCGGTCTTTTTCTACCAGTCTCGCGACATTGTTGCTATAGCCATGAAATATGATTGGAATCTGTTCTGAAAAAAAAATTGGTGAGGACGAGGTGGTCTCACCAATCTGAGCTTAGACTTGCTGCAGGCGCAAGTGCTACACTAGTGGCTTCGGAGGGGTAGCGAGGGAGCCGCTGCTGGACATTCTGCTTCCCTGCAGCCTCAACAAGGCATATCGCACCGAGGAGCGTTAGCAACAACGCTCTTGAGGCCAATCTCATCGTGTTCTCCCGATCCATCCGTATCGAGTTTGCTTCGTGCGACGGGAGGTCGCGTTCGTTTGCATTTTAAGCACAAACATCAGCAAAGCTTCCCGATATACTACTGCGTATGAGATGGTATTGAAGGGAAAGAGGCTGCTCCATTTCAAGACGCTTATAATTTCCTATTACCAGTAGCTTCCATAGCCAGAATAGGCTCAACTTTTTGAGGTATCTGAACACAGTCAATATCTTTGCCAAGAGACTCACCAAACATTAAACAGGACTTCGTTTGTTGCATTCTTCTTGTTCCAATTCAGTAACCAAAGTTCAATGCTTTCAGTAGCAGCCTGCCACTCAATTGCACAACAGATTTGCTCCTGCACGAGACCCAATGTTTGGCTCCTTATCTTTCTGGATCTGAGTCAGGGACTTCTTCAATTGGATGATCACTCCGCAGCTCCACCCCCGCGGCATCAGCTGCATGCATGGGCACAGCACCGGTGCCTGCCTTGTCACGCAATCCATCCCCATCAGGCGGTGCATCGGCATCATCAGCACATGTGCTGCCGCCAGGCGTGGCAGTGCTGTGCTGGCCTGGGCATGTTGGCTGTATCTGCGCAGAATATTTGCCCTGCACTGCATCTCCGGGGCCATCCTGCTGTTGTACATTGCTGTCCACTGGTCGGCCGCTGAACCTCCTGATGTCTCCATTGCTGCCATCCTCTTGCTCCTGACCTCTGCTCCCAACTGAGTCTGCAAGCCTGTCAGCGCTGCCTCCATCCACGGCTGGCGGTGCCTTGCCGATGGATGCCTGTGGCGGCTGCGAGCTCCCAGGTGCTTCGCATGGCTGCATGGCAGCTTCCGGCTGCGCTGGGACCGCTGCTGCCTCTGAGTGCAGCTGTTGGTCCACATTTGGCTCCGCCTGTGGCTGTGCAGCGCCGGACTTCTGGGCTGCGCGCTCACGGGTCTTTGAGATGAGCTCCTCAAAGGACGCCGCACCTGTATCATCCAGCATTCTGTCAAGCTGATACTCTGCTCCTTCTCAGACCACGACAGTATTCACTCTCACCACAGAGCACAACGAATGACGACAATACATCCAGTTGTAATCAAAGCCGAAGGTGAGGCTGAGCGTGCCTGCAAGGGCCGGTGCAGACTGCTTGCTGCGGGGGCCAGTGAATGCGACCGCGGCTGTCTGCCTGTCCTTCTTGGTGAGCCTGCGCGCCAGCTCGTCCAGGGTCACGGTCTCGCCGGCATCCTGCGCGATCTGGACCTCCACCCGGAACCTGTTGTATCGCTGCTCCCAGTCCTGGCAGATGCATCAAGGGTGTTCAGCATGTGCTGCTGTCACTGCCAGCTGCCTACAACAGTGCAGTCCTGATGTACTGAAGTTCTTGCCGAGCAAGAAACAGGTTCAAGGCAAGGTAATCCAGAGCTGTAGTGTACCTGGCGTTTGCCGTCGGTGGGCAGCCTGCACGCCCGCAGCTTGGCCTGCAGGTCCTTATTGTTGAGCATGCTGAAGACCAGCTTGGGCGGCACTTCCAGCTTGCCTACATGGCTCACCGGCTGCTGCCGCCTGGGCTGCACCTGGAAGTCACAGCTGTCCTTCTCCAGGCACCTGTCACAATACACCTGGCACTTGGATGTGTTCATGATGGGCCTTTAACTTTTGAATGATTGGGTGGACATCCGGTGTCGCATGTGCTAAAGAGCAGAAGAAGAGGCCGGAGGAAATCATTCCAACGTTGTGGATGTTCAGAATGGAGATGAGATAGGCGCACTTGTCAAGATGGTCATTGAGCAGCGTTGCACGCAGCTGCATGGTACAGCTGGGGCACTCCACATACCCTGCTGGCAAGCCGTTGACCTTTGGAGCAGCCTTGCTGGCAGTGCCAGTGCTCTTAGCTGCCAAGACGCTGCTCTTGCGCTTCGGCTTCTGTGAAGGCGGCCTGCATAAACAAATATTCCATCAATATCCAAGTCACACCATGGCCTGAGCATGAAAGCTGGCACACAAGGAACTTTGGCCAAATCTTACGGTAATATGCTTACTCGCTCCCCCAACTGCTGTCCGAGCTGAGGCTGAGTGCAATGTCTGATTCAGAGGCATTTCGCCGGAGTTGAGACCCGCCGCCACTGCAGTCTTTCCTTGGTGCGCTCGTGCTGCGCAGCCTCCTGCCAGAGTCCTCCTTGGTCATGTCGATGACCGTGCTGGCGCTCCTCGTGCTTGTGTGCCCACCATCCTGCGCCATTCACATCTTTAAAGAGCTTGTTCTGCCAATGCATGTGGAATGTGCATCGATAAAGCCACAAGCCAAACACAGGGTGACTTCAAGCCCGCATAGTGTGCATTTGCCGTTACCTCTCTATGCCTGATGGTAGGCCCAGGCCCGGCTGCACGATCAGGCTTGGCAGCCTTCTGCTGCAGCTGCGGTGCAACTTCCTGACTGCTGCGCTGCCGTTTCTGCAGCCGCCCACTTGTTCTCCTTCCTGACATTGGCTCGGCCGGCCCAGAAGGTATGGTCTGCTGTGCAGCCTGGATGAGAAGCAGCCGTGCCCTTCCATAGCCCTCCACAAGGTCCTTCAAGGGGTGGCAGGGCCTCAAATCCCTCGTGTCACAGGGGTGTCGACACTGCGGGCACTTTGCACGCCCCTGTCGCTCCTGGTACTCCAGGTTGCTCCTGATGCACGCTGAGCAATCTGCAGGAGAACACCACAAGCGCGTGCTCAAAAATGCATTCCCTAGGTCTGAAGAAGCAAGATGTGCTGATAAAATTCATTTGTATCTGTGCTGCTCCCTGAAAAGAACCTGACGCCCTGAACTCAGAGAAGTTTTGCTGCAGAACAGAGGAAAATCAAAAATTCTTTGTACAGCCTCAGATAACAATCGTCTCAATGACCATAATTGTACAATCAAGATCGGAATATGCAAATGGCATCAACATCGCGAATGAAAATTTGAAGTGCAAGAACTTCTGAGACTCACAGGCATGGCCACATGACAGGCTCAGCGGGACCCTGTAGAACTCGTGGCATATAGGGCATCTCGCCAGATCATCAAGCTGGCAGAGAGTAGCATTCGATGGCCCAGCTGGCCAAGTCACTTCTTCCATTAATCAGGTGTTCATAGCGTTAGGCAGTGCTTGGGATTCTGAAGTTCAAAAGCCACGCCTGTTGCTGCAATGCGCGTTGATGGCTTTGTCTTATTTATGCGCTTACTTGCTCACGATGATTGATAAATCTACAGCACATCATGGGTGTGGGAACTGGGCGCGGAACAACTCGAGGCCACGTGGCATAGCATGCATATCATTCGCACTTCGATCTCTCAGAGGTTTAAGAGAGTAGACTCCAGAGATCCAGGTCTTGACGTGCTCGATGTGCTAGACGTTGAAATTTAAGTATTGATTATGATGATGAAGACAATCTAAGATTCCTGCGATGATGCTGACTCCCTGCCAGTGGCTTCTTCCGAAAGGAAAGAGCATTCTATAAAGCTCGTCTGTCAAGTTCTTTAAATATAAATATTGATATGCAGCATAATTCCTCTGTTAGTCTCTGAGATTGCCTGGGTCATAACCACGGAAGTCTGAAGCGATCAGGATCCGCTCGTGTGTTGCAGTGATCTGGGAATTGAATAATCCTGATGAAGCCCGCAAAAGAGCACAAGAGCAAAAGGAAAAAGGAGAAGAAGTCGAAAAGAAGGAACAGATCACACGAGCTGTCAGATCACCTGAGATTAATCTCCCTTGCTCAGCTTGGAGACGCTGAGGAAGTGGAAGAGTTCTTACAGGGCCATGCCGAACAGGCCATCAACATGTATGATGCAGATGGCTTCACACCATTGCACCAGGTGAGGTCACCTAGGATGATGTCCATTTTCTTAGCGTGCGGACGCTTACCCCCTGCATGCATGCTTGAGTCTGACACTTTGCTATTCTTATTGCAGGCTTGCCGTGGAGGCCATCTCAAGGTGGTAGAGTGCCTTCTCAGGTGTGTGCCCGTGTGTTCTGTGGAATGGACTTGGCAAAGCACGCGACAACAGGAGATCATCTTCTGGACGTGTTGCAGGCATGGGGCAGATGTGCGGTCTGAGGATTTTCAAGGGAACACCCCTACCCACATTGCAGCGCAGTCGGGCAGAGTCACCATTCTGCCTCTTTTGCTGCAGGTCAGTGCTCTAGGATAAGTGCATGCAACTTTCACATTCCAAGGATCTGGGACGCTGTATCCCTCATTCTTTGCTGTGGTGTGGCAGGCAACTCCCGCGCCCAACATCGACGCATGCAATGCTGCTGGAGTGTCCGCCCGGGAGCTCATCGAGGCAGCCATGCAGGCACAGGAAGTCCGGTACCTGCCATCACCAAATCCTCCATCCTTCATACAGAAACATGACTGCTTTCCCCTAAATATTGATTCATTGGTCAGTGAGGAACAAGCTCCTTGAGCTGCCCAAATTTGTCGAACAAGAAAAGTGTTTGCACACAGGGAGCACCAGGCGAAGAGGCGGCGGGTGGAAGCAGAGGAGCGCAGCGAGTGGGAGAGGCTGATGGGCGAGGACGGCCCGCCGGACGACTGGGACGAGCCGCAGACGCGCTATGAGTCCGGCGATGACTGGGACCAGCGCCTGCGCGAAGAGGGCGCTGCCGACAACGGCGCAGACGGCTGGGGCTGGTGCGCTCCTGCAGCTGACTGCATTTGCCCGGACAGCCCCTGCAGTTGTCTCAATGTTTCCTGACAGCCCTGTCTAAATTCCTTCTGACAACCCCTGCAGCTGTCTGGATTCATGCACTGCGTCAGGCCACTCCTGCCTGTGCACTGCATGTCTTCGACGAAGTGTTCTTCACATAAGAAATCAATCTCGGGTTTGTTGGCAAAATAGTACAACTGTTTGATGAAGTGACTTGAGACTCTCTTCTGAAAGTCATTGTGGGTTCAGTTGTGGGGTTCAGAGGCTGGTGATGTTGCAAACGGTGTGCAGAGGTGCAGCGGAGCATCTATCAGACCCGTCGATACCAACTGCACGAGGCCAAGAACATTTCTTTTGCTCAAGCAGGTCTGGGGGGGACTGGGACTGGGGCGGGGGCGGCTATGGCGGTGCAGCTGAGGCAGAGATGGATGAGGACGAGTACGCGCAGCGCATCTGGGAGCGCATGGAGCAGCGCAAGCGCGCAGCCTCCGGGGCCAGCGCCGCCGCGCGCCAGCAGTGGGGCAAAGCTGACGAGGCCTCCGCCCGCCGACAGGTGCGTTAGTCCGCCAAATCTAGAGGAGCACTTGAGAATTTGGAGCCATCATTGTTATGGCCTGCCCAAATGCAAATGGACCTGCAAAAGGGGCTGGGGAGCTCGAAACAAGCGCAAATTCACAGAGAGATGAAGAGTAGAATGTAACAATTGCGTACGTGCGGGCCACTCTGGTTGCTTCTGCATGCATGGAACTGCCTCTGCCTCACAATCTGCTGTAGGGTGAGCCTGTATCATGTGAAGCAGCGGTGCAGGGTGAATGCTGCGAGTGCAAACAGCCAAGAGTCGTGAGGAGATATTCTTCTGCTGCTGCAGGCATTTGCGAGGGATGCAGAGGAGCGGTCCAGGAAGATCTTGGAGGAGGAGCAGGCAAAAGAGGCTGCCTGGCGGCAGGCTGTTCTTAAGGTGCGTGACACAGCGGGCAGGCATCAAGGCTCTCCTGGAAAATCTTTTCATTCCAAGCTTTTCAAATTGCGCATGTATTTTAGGGGATAGCGGAGGGAAATCGATGTTAATGGATTGAGGAGCGCCATGTGCTGCATGAATTGCAGGGCAATGTGGGTGCGAGGCGTGCGCGGTACGAGGCGGGCTGGCACACATTTGTCACGGCAATTGCGGCGGGGAAGACAGGTCTCAGATACTCTGAGGTGCCGTGGCCAGCAGAGGACCCCGAGGATGCCAAGGCCATCCTTCTGTATGGCACCGCTGATCCTGCAGAGGTGAATTCTAATGGGGCCCATTCCTTACCCACACTCCTTTCTTGCGCATGTCAAAATGGGACAGTGCTGTACATACCCCTTCCAGCCAAACAGGTGCAGGCACGTACTGCAGGCTGTGCCATGTCTGGTTGCAATCAGGCAGGCAAAGCAAAGCAGATGGAGAGGTCTCAATTTGCTCCTGATTCCATTTGCACAGGTGCGAAAGAGGATTAGGCAGGAGCTGCTGCGATGGCATGAGGACAAGTTTGCCAAGTTCAAGGATCGGCTGGCGCCCACAGACAGTCCACGCATCCTGGTTGGAGTCAAAGGAGTCACCCAGATGCTAAATGACTTGGCCAGCACAAATGTCTGAATGATTTACTGTCTAGCAGCGAGTATAGGAATCACATTGTCCGTGCGCATGCTCGCGGTCTTGCATGCTCGCAGTCTTGCATGCTCGCAGTCTTGCATGCATGATGCCACTAGGTACTAGGAGTTATAGAGATGCTTCTTGGTAAATTGCAAGCATGTTTCAATATTTCACCCGTTTCTCTTTCTAGAATTGAATTTTTAGGGATCACAACCAAGCTGAGCCGTGTCAACACAGGATGCCAAATACCGAGAAAGAATTCTCCCAGCTTAGGTGATGTCGGCATCCAAAATGTTGGTACTGTCTAGTGCCAGCACCGCAACATCCAAATTGTGCCACCAGTCCAAAAGAATTCGTGGTAGCACAATTATCAGCTGTATTGACGTTGACCCTGACATGCACATGCACACTCATGGTGCACATATGTCCACGGGCAGAATTTGGGCTAAACTGCAAGAATGTTTTAATTACTTGAATCTTCTCCAAAACTGGATGGAAACAACAAGCTGGCTCCTCCCTCAAGACACCGGGAGGCATGGATCTCAGGCAGATTGACTTGAAATAGGAATGGTGCCCTCACAAATTCAGTCGAAAAACCCAAAGCCTGAACTGGCCCTCTGAAAGAATCCATTGTCGCTGGAGCTGTTCACTGTATGACCGACTCCTTCTGTGTCATCCGACGCAGCTGCGCTGATGGCTGCATCAGGCAAGGGCTGGCCTGCTATCCCATTCCCATCACTCAATCCTGCGTAGGAAAAAGTGCACACACCTTCACAGGCCGCTGAAGAATTCAGGAATACGCCTTGTCAACACGTGCCACCTGCTCACGATGACACACTTGGCAGCAATAACTAGCTGTGATGCCCTTGTCATTGGCAGACAGCACAGTCAATGCTCACCCTTCGCCGATGTTCCTTCCTCGCTGCCAGTCAAAGGAGCTGATGTGGGCTCCCCACTGGATGGCCCACCATCCTCTGTATCAAAGCTCGTAGACGGAGGGGCAAATTCGGGAGTTTTCTGCGCATGCAGCGTCCCCTCAATTGCTGCTCTTCATAGGCCTCAATTGGCTAAAGGATAGTTGTCATCATTTGAGAGGATCAGTTGGTTCGTACTTATAATCATTCACTATTGGCGTTGCATAATCCAGGGCAAGATCCATATTCAGAAGAGGACCTCAAGGGTTGCTGCAAGAGCAGGAAGAGAGAGCCTTGCCTGCAGGTAGGCGTTGATGAAGCTGCGCGACTGGTGCAGCACCTTGCTGCGGCGGTCTGCGGCCTCTTTGAGCACCGCATTCTCGTTCTCCAGCTCTGACACCTGCTCCAGGGCCTTCTTCTGCAAGGCACAAGCAGCACAACACTTCAGAAAACAAGTCACAGGATGTTACATTTTTAGGTACGCAATTCCAGCATAGGAGCGACCCACTGAACGCCCCCAGAGCGCCATCGCATTTGGGCAACAGCCCTTGTCAGTGGTAATTAAATGTGTCACAGAACGTTTACGGCGGAACTGTTTGCTACGCAGAGTCAAGCCAGTGAAACTGGCACAGCCTTGTCAAATGTGGCCACAATATGTGAAAAAGTGATACGTGCATTGGAGCGGGTGGCAAGGCAAAGGGTGGACCCACCAGGCGGCCGTCGCGGCCGGAGACGGCCTTAATGTCCTGCAGGGAGGCGCCCGAGCGCGCATCGCGCAGCTGCCGCTCCAGAGCGCGCGCATGCTTGCGCAGTGCCTTGCTCTCAGCCGCCCGCGCCGCCGCATCCGTTCGTGCCGCCGCCAGCTGAGCCGCCAGCGCCTCCCGCTCCGCGCTGTCCCCGCTCCTCTCCTGCAACAACACATTTCCCTGGAGTTCAAAGTGTGGACTGTGACTGGTGGTTGTGCGCATTGTGTTGCGCAGCTCGGCCTGAGTATCTATGACACCGGCAATCTGATCACTCAGTAAGCATGGGCCCTTGCCATGTCCAGGGTGGCTGTGTGCTGCTTAGGTGACAGATGGAGTGATGGGAAGCACTAGTGGAGAGGGGCCAGGTCCAGCCTTGAAGCTTCCTGCCTGTGCTCGTACAAGAAGGCCACAATACATACACGGATATTGGATTGAACAGATGATCCCTGCCGCTGATTTCCGGGAGGGAGCATCCTATTCCAGCCCATGCATGCGTGTACACATGTTGGCTATGTGGTGCTGTGGATGAGCAAGCTGGAGAACCTGAAGGCAACTAACACGATCAGCACTAGTACAGGCAGTAGTACAGGCAGAGTGCTCACCTGCAGAGCGGTGTACTCGGATCTAAGCTGCGCCAGCTCAGCCTCTGCGGTCTGGACGCGCTCATATGCCTGGGCAGAGATCTCAGCCTCCTCCTCCAGCTGTACCCTCAGCTCCTGAACTTCCTCATGCGTGCCTGCGGGGCCCAGACACGTTTGTTTCCTAAAATGCAGCCGTGTGCCATTCGTGTGTGACTACAGAATACTTGTCTTTGTCAAGTGCCGCCGTCTGTCATTCTTTTGTGTGTGACAGAGACAGCTCCTACCAAAGGCATGGCATATCAGGCATAACTTACCCTGCTCAGCAGCGACGGCCTCTGCAAGCCGCAGCTCCTCGAACGCGGCCTCCGCTTTTGCAAGCAGCTCTGATGCCGCGCTGGCCTCCTCTGCAGCCTGCGCACATGGCGCGCACCAAACCGTCAACACTCCCCAAAACACAAATTGCACAGATGAAGTTTTTCCTTTCTGCCAACATGGCAAAGCCCGATGACATGCCTTGCTCAAGCCAAAAGCGAGAGCCAAGGTGGGTGGGTGAGGCAAGGCTATAAGTGGCATTTAACAGTCCCATAATGGGTCATCAAGCAGCAAGCATGCCCAGCTGTGGCCCTTCAACATGCAATGATGTCAGGGCAGGCTATGGCGTGCAGAGACGGCCCACCTGGCGCCTAAGCTCGAGCAGGGCATCAGACTCGGCGGCCTCCTCGGCAGCAGCCGCCGCCTCCAGCGCCGAGTTGCGCCGGCGCAGGTCGGCCGCCTCGCGCTGCGATGCCTGCGCGTCGGCACGCGCGCGTGACAGCGCCTCGGCCGCCTCCCGCTGCGACGCGGCTGCCGACTTCAACGCCGAGTCCTTCTGCTGCAGCGCCGTCTCTAGGCGCGCCGCCTGCCGCACTCAAACTCATTATTGAAACCATTTTGAAACACTTCTGAAAGCTCCACGACAGTTGTTCCTGCACTGTCTTGAGCCTGCCTGCCTCGAGCCTTGCATGGGAAGAGCAAGCCATACTGCTTGGCCACGCTGGAAGAGCAAGAGCATGAACATAGAGGTTTGCCACTGACAAGTTCTCCAGAGGATCTCTATCAACTGCCTCAAGCCTTGCATGGCACAGTCATCTGTGAGCATGGAAAGAGGAATGTGCCAGTGACAGACAATTGTCCAGGGGGCATGCCTGGATGGCGAGCTCCTCTGATTCTTTGGCGGACGCCGAGGCTGCGTCGGCGGCCTCTTGCGCCGCGTGGGCCTCCTTGCGCCACTGCGCTATGAGTCTGTCCTTCTCTTCCAGCAGCTTCCCCAGCCGCTCCACCTCCCCAGTCAGCACCTGGCCCCACAGTAAGCAAGCCCCATCAGCCCCTGACACACCCAAGATCAGTAGCTCCCTCTATGTCTTCCTCACACATTATAAAAGTCGCCGCCAGCAATCCAGCCAAGATGAAGAGCACAATTACCCAGGTAGATCAGCAGATCCCTTATAAGTCGACTTCACCTCAACATTCTGAGTATCGACACCAGCACTCCAACCATGGCCAAATCTCTGACAAAACACACCCGGCCTGACGCCGCCTAGTCTGATTTCTTACGAGACAGATCAATGCCATAATGGCATCAGAGGAGCAGTGCAGGCATCCACAAGGCCTGACAATGCGCGTTCTACTCTCTGCTGGACAAGACAGTGTCATAGCGGACAGATAAGAGCAATTGGAGGGAAGGGCTGCGTGCCTGCGCGACTTGGGAGGCCTCCTTGAGCTCAGTGGTCTTGCTGGCATCGGAGGCTTGCAGCGCGGCGAGGTCGGCCTGTGCGCTCTCATAGCCTGCCAGCGTGTCCAGCAGAATGGCCTCCTTCTCTGCGTCCGCCTTGAGCACCTCCTGCAGCTCGTCCTGCAGCATCTGCAGCCAGGCAGCTGTCACCCATCATACACCAGCGCCACACTCAGCACACACACCTTCTACTGTCTCAACACCTTGTTCTAGATCAGAAGAAAAGGGCTCCAGCTCATGGCAACGTTTCTTGGCTCATACTGACAATGTTGGGGTTGTGGATTGTCCCAACTGCTGACATGGCTCTGCGAAGCATTGCAGCATCAAGCACATATTAAACCTACGCCGCAAGGGTACTCAGGCACCGCTGATACCTATAAGCTGCAGAGCTCCGCTGAAGACATTCAGGAGCAGGAACGAACTGATAACCCCACCACTGCAAAGACCAGCTTTAGAGGACCGCGGTGTGTGAAAGAAGCTGGGCAGCACCTGCAGCTCAGAGTCGCGCTGGGCCATGCCGCTGGTGTACTCTGCCAGCTCAGCGCGCAGGCTCTCCAGCTCCTGCTGCCGCTCCTGCTCAGAGCCGCTGCTCTGCTGCCTCAGCTCCGCTATCTGCGCGCCCAACTCCCCCTCCCGCTCCTCTGACTCCCTCAGCTGGGCCTGCACAGGCAGTTCTGATTAATGGTGTGGCAGAAGCCTCTGACTGTCACATAATGCAGCAAGGAACTGCCTTGCCATTGTTAATATTCCCTTCTTGTAAGGTGCACAGTGAAGGCGTGTCCACTAGCACCACCAACGAGGCAAGCACAGTGCTTGGAGCCAGATAGATGCAATCCAAACAGAACAGGCCCCATTCTGACACGAGACAGAGGAAGGGCAAGTTGACACGACATTTAAATTGTGCGCACCTGCAGGAATTTGATGGCGTCCTCCTTATCTGCAATGGCCGAGGCGGTCTCGCTGCGAGCGGCGACCAGCGCGGCGGCGGCCTCCTCGGCCGATGCGCCCAGCCGCTGGGCCTCCTCTGACAGCGCATGCAACTCCTGCTGCGCTGCTGTGAGCTGCTCGCTGATCTCCTGCAGACGGCCTTCCCCCTCCTGCATCTGCACGCGAGCCGCGTCCACCTGAGCCGCCTTCTCCGCCATGCGCTGCACCTGCTCCCGAGACTCCTCCTCTGCAAACACCACACACTCCACTCTCAGCTCCAATTCAGAACTACGTTCTCCATCAATTCTTAAGTGCCCCCAGCACCACTAACCTGATGCACTTCAGCATGCTGGCTTCCACGAAGGGGAAGAGTATAGCACACGAATTTCTAGAACTGCACTCGTGTACGAATGGATCTCTAGACTCAAGGGTGCGGGTCTAGGCATGAATGTACGCTAACGTACACAGATCAGTGCAAGCGCAACAAAATCACAGAATGCACAGTGCGAAAGTAGAGGTGGCCAAACATTGAGCATTTGTTTGGCCGCACCCAGGGACTGTATGGTTGAGGCGGTGGAGGCACGCAAGGTTTCCAGTTGCCCCTGCACCTCCTCAAGCTGTGTGTTGCCGGCCGCTAGCTCGTCCTGCAGCCTCCTGACGTCGCCCGCCAGCCCAGAGTTTGACCTCCTCTGCCGCACACCCCAGCAAGCAGATGCTCAAGAGCATGCTTTTGATAATACCCAGAATTTGCACAAAGCAACATGACGCCTCGACACAAGACTGACAGCTGAAGTACTGAGACAACGTCACTCTTGCGGCATCGAAATGCTTATTTCATATGGGGGCCGCAGACAGCTTCGCACTTGCTCCTCAAGTTCATGGTCCAGGGCCGTGGCTCGGGCGCTGTACTCCTCGGCCCGGCTCTCCGCAGCCGTCTTCTCTCCCTCAACAGCGCGCAGCCTGTCGGCCAGAGAGGAGGCCTCGGAGGCGGCGGCCTGTGCGCGGGCCTCCGCCTGAGCGAGCCGCTCGCTTGACTGGCCCAGCTGCTGCTGCAGGGGAGGTGACCTGGTCTGCGCCGGCGTCCCTGTCCGCCTGCAGCTGTTTGGCTTGCTGCTCCAGCGCCTGTGCTTGCTCCCTGGCCAACACTTCGCGCGCCTTGAGCGCCACCAACTCCTCCTCCAACCTGCCCACCCTCGCCGTTGCCTGCCCAGCGCCATGCAATTCAAATACACATACACCATACCCACCAATATCAATCGTCAACGACGGCGCATCATTCTAGGCAACTCTTGTCACAGAGGCACAATCTATGCCTGTCGCCTCGTAAGTGAGGAGGTTGTGCTGTCACACCTCAAGATATTAATGCTTGCCAATGAGAAAAGGAGCCTATCATGATTATAGTATTTAGTATTTTGCAGGTGTGCTAACTCAGTAGTGCAGAGACAGGGGCAGCAGGGCCCACCTGGGCGGCCTGGCTGCGCAGCTGGTCCTCGGAGGAGGACTGGGAGGAGGCCAGGTTGTTGATAGTGGCCTCCAGCTCGCTGTTCTTTGCGCCAACCGCTCGCAGCGCGCGCGCCGTGTCGTCCGCCTTTCTCTTCAACTCCTCCACCTGAGCAACCACCATGCATTCAATCAGCGCCTCCAACAGCAGTGCATACGCATGCTCGCACAGAGCCATGCTCAGCAATATTCTCGGCCATGACTCCGATTTTGGCCCTTCTCTTGGCCAAAGTTCCTCTCGGCACATGTTTTAGGCAAAGCCAGTGGGGACAGCTCCTCCCCGGCTGCCTGGCTTCCCCCACAGAACCTCCTGGCATTTGTTGGGAGAAACGCTCAGAGAACAAGATGGTGACTGCAAGTATTGCACACAGCCTAGTTCTACAGGCAGGCACGTCAGGTTGCACAGACCTCTGCTTCTGCCCTGGACAGCGCCTCCTGCTTCTGAGCAAGCTGCTGTCCCGCGGCGTTTGACTGCTCCCGGGCCGCGGCCTCCGCGGCCTCTGTAGACTTTAGCAGCTGCCGCAGCTCCTGCAGAGCAGCCTCCTCTTCCCGGTCTGAGCCTGCCCTCACCGCGTCGGCCTCCTTAGACAGCACCTCGATTTTCCTCGCCTTCGCTTCGAGCCTCTCCTGCAGCACTGCCGCCTCGCTGCGTGACTGTTCCGCCTCTGCAACAGCTCTGTCTCGAGCTATCTCCGCCTCTGTGAGCGCCAGTGCCGCTGCATCCCCCTTGGCGACCTGCATGCAGTTAACCCTCCTTGTGGCCAGGTCAATGTTGAGATTAGTGGCAAGGAGCAACATTGAGCTGTTGTGCCCCCATCTTTCGTCTGGCCCAGCTCTCTACAGGCAAACCGTGTGTCAGCAGGGCATGGAATCTAAAACAGAGATTTACATGATGCAGGGATGCCTTTTAAGGCTCAGCCACAAGCAACAATCAGAGGCTTCGCACCTGCTCCTTCAGGGACTCGAGCTGCTCCGTGAGTTCCTGCAGCTGCTCACTCGTCCTGACTGCATCCTGCTGTGCAATCTCTGCAAGCCCCAAAACCTCTTCCAGCTCCTGAAACCTGCAGCCAACGCACCACACTTGAACATGCCTTCACAACATAATGCTGTCACCATGCAAAATCTGCCGAGTGACAATCTTGCAGTCCTAAATTGCAAATAGCCAGCACAGGAACAAAACATCTAAGGGACCGATCAAGCATTATGATTGTCCCAGTCCAAACCTTGCAATGGTTTCTTGAAGCTCCTGGGCCCGCTGCTCTTGGGCAGCCGACATGTCCTGTTTCAACAGCTCCAGATTATGCGTTTGCGCCTCTAGCTCCTCCTTTAGCCTCTCTGCGCTCTGTTATTCACAGAGGAAAGCCACCCTTCTTCAGAAAACTATTGCCAGTCTCACAGCCTTAAAAAGCAGTGTGTGTGATTGACTGGGGACTCATATGTTGACTGTTAAGGTTGCAAGAGTACATTTTATAGGAGCAGAGATGCACCTCCGCCTCGTTGCTGACGGTCTCGAAGTGACTCAGCGCTTCGCTGAGGGCGGCCTGAGTTTCCAGTAGCTGCTTCCTTTCCGCCTCCCTCTCCCTGACCAGCGCCTCCAGCCTGTCTGCGGCTGTGCGCGCCTCCTCCCGCATCTTCATCATCTCTGCTGCCAGTGCGCGCCCCTGCACACATCACAAAGCATGCTGTAACCTCCTGCATCGAGAGGTGCACTGGCACGACAGTGTACATGATGGCATAGCCTCGAGTGGAAGGATGCCAGGTCTTGTACCTGCTGCTGGATGTAGGACAACCACTCCTCGTCCATGTCTTTGCCATGGAGGTCTATGCGAGCAAAATCAGGCCCATGCTGCTGCAAAGCCTGTGAGACACACGCTTGGCCTTGTGTGTGCTGGTATTGAGTCGAATGTTGCACATTTTGGAGATGCTTGGCCTAAGAAGAGGATACAGCACTATGTTACCGTGCATGAGGAAGCTTCAGTATCAATATTTGAGCAAGATCATGGCTACATGTGAAGCTGCAGAACCTGCACTGTCAGCACCTACCTGCAGTACCTCCTCCAGCTCACGTAGAGGTTTCCCTCCCACCTGGTCCAACTCTGCTGTGTTCCTGATAACAGATCTCCGAATTTCCCTCCTTGAAGGAAAGAGGGGAGACACCCCTCCTGGTAGCCGGCCATGGTGGTGCCACCTTCTGCCTAGTTTCAACCTGTGGGGTCTCTGATGCGGGGCGAAAGGAGAATGTAAGATCAGATTATTTGTACACATGCGTTGCCTTGCGCTCGATTTGGGCAAGCTGGCAAGCATGTCGATTTGCTGTGTCAGCTACTACACTTGTGCGTGTACAACTACCAATGGGAGACGCCAGATGCCAGGTAGAGGTTCTTCCCTTGTGGCATTTCTGTCGATAGGTTTTTGGAGTATGGAAAGAGGGGAACTTTTCTGCCATAGTGCTTCCAAGGCTGGTGTTGGATGAAGCTCAGCAGGGCTTGGGATGTTGGGATCAGCCATCAGTAATGGACATCCCGATCTGGCAACCGAGCCCAGTAGGGTTCCAAGAATCTATTTCAGGAGCATTTGCTCCTTGCGAAAACTTTCAAAACTTTATACTATGTAGCCAACATGTCTCGCTCATTCTCGGCAAATCAATACGAGCAGGATTTTGTTCCGCGTGTTCTGGGAAATTGGGAGGTTCCGGCTGGGCAGGTGCGGTTCAAGGAGTGCCTGTTGACATCAGTGTGATATATTTGCTCGTTTAATTTTCTTCTATTATAAAAAATTCTAATAGAAGTGACCTTGCAGATTTCTTCGAGCCGTCAAAGCGGAGAAAGGCCAAGGGCTCGCACGGGACCAACGCAGTTTATAGTTGCAGACAATGGCTACCTGTTAGATGGAAAGAAGATTCCTGGATCTGCATTCATCGACAATCTGAGCGATAGATGCCGGAGCCCCTCCCGTTGGCCAAAGGTAATGCGCTGCTTTAGAGTTGCAGTAGAAAGTAGATCGGTCTCTGCAGCAGTTCGTACATGTCTTAAATCATGAAGATTGATCAGCTAGCTGCACAGAGCTTCTGATGGTCACATTGAAAGTTAAGCCGATGGGGATATGATTACAAAGCCAGTCATGTGGTATGGCGCAGGCCAATCAGTCCTACCGGACCGCAGCGTGCGCAACCATGGGATACAAGGGGATCCGCACCGACTACCTAAACTCCTCCACCGTCACAATCCCCATTGTTGACATTCCTGGCTGCAAGGAAAAGACATTCAGATGATCTCCAGGTTTCGCTCTCGTAGGACACGGGGACCTGCACCAAATTGGCATGGCAGACTCTGTGCGCATGATGGACAGAGCTGTAAAATGAGACCACCCAAAGAAATGTTTGCATTGTGCAAAGTCTCTATCAAAGCACACTGGCCATTCATTGAAAGCCCAAAGCATCTTGCACATGCAATCACAAGCGCTTCCTCACCCGTCTCAAGCATGGTCGTTCAAGATGGCTTGCACTGATGCCACAAGGCGGCACTCCTGAGTCTATGTCTGCATCAGCATCACTCGCTGTCAGAGCGTCGCTCGGCTGCACCTGCCTGCTCGTCCTCATCCCTGTCCCTATGGCGGTGCTGCCGCTTGTGCTTCTTGTGCTTCTTCTGGTGCTTCTCCTTGCGCCGCTCCACCCTGTCGTCCTCTGCCACAGGAGAGGGAGACCTGCTCCGCTTCCGCTCCCTGCGCTCTTCCACCCCATTCTGCTCACTGACTGCTGCGGGGGCAACGTTCTTGGCATCGGCCTCTGCTGCAGCTGCCGGCGGCGCATGCACCGGCGCCGTGGCCGGCGCAGGCTTCTGGGGAGTGGACGCTGCATTCAGCGCCTCCAGCGCGCGCTCGCGCAGCCTGCGAGCCTCCTCTGCGCGCTTCTGCTTCTCCCTGCTGTCTTCATCGCCATCCATTGCCGCAGCCGCTGCAGCGCCGTTCTGCTTTGCGGGCTCGTCCGCCAGCCTCTGCTCGGTGCTGTGGCCCCTCTTGGACGAGTCAGCCCTGCGGCCGTCCCTGTCTTCCTGGTCCCTGCGCCTGTCGCCGTCTCGCTCGCTCCTGTCGCCCCTGCGCGAATTCCCCCTCCTGCCGGAATCATCCCGGGGATCCCTCCGCTCGCGATCCCTGTCAGATCCGTCCCTTTCCCGCCTCTCCCTGCCATCCCTCTCCCTGTCCTTGTCTCGCCTGCCCCTGTCGTCTCTGTCGACATCCCTCCGGTCCCGCTTTCTGTCATCGTCCCTGCCACGATCGCGGCGCTCAAGGTTGGACCGGCTGCGGTCCCTATCCCGGTCCCTGTCTCGGCGCTCCCGGCTCGCGTCGCGGCGGTGGCGCGGCGGTGACGGCGACGGCCGCCTGCGCACAGGGGAGGGCCGCTTCCGGATGGTGGGCGACACATCCCGCCGGCGCTTTGCCCTGGTCACGCAACACACAAAAGTATTAATCTCAAACTCTGGCGAGACAGCATGGCTAGGTTGCACGCGCACAAAGTGGCATGGGTGTGTGAAGGGGTGGCGATGCAGACTGGAGGCATAACAATGTGTTTGCAAAGGCGAGGGATGTACTTGGAGGGGCTGACACTCCGCTCAGGGACCTTGGCAGGGAAGGATGAGGGGGCTCCGCTGCCTGCCAGCCGCTTTGACAGGGCGGCAATGGCAGACAGGGCTGCAGCCTTCTGAGACGCTGAATTCTGAGGAGCGCCTGCACCAACACCCATTCCTCAGACAGCTGCATCCATCACAGCATGTAAAATCCAAAAAGAAAGCCATCCGCACAGCCACTCGCAATCATTCGGATGATTAACTTGTGCACGAGAATGACGCAGGGTGCTGGGAACACACCTGGCGCAGCCACACCGCCAGGGTTGGTCTTGGCCTGCACACGCATGGCAGCCACCTGCGCTGCCAGCTGGGCCTGCTGCATCTGCGCAATCATGACCTGCTGCAGATGGGCTGCCTTGATGGCTGCGTAGGGGTTGGCTGTGCCCTTCTCCTTGGTCTTGGCTGCAATGGCCGCCTGCTCCACAGCAATGGCCCTGTCCATTACCTGCATGCCGTTCATGGCAGACGCTGCCGCCGCTTCCTGCGCACAGACCAAGCTAGTGTATCAGCAACTATCCGAGCGTCCAGTGCCCTACAGCCTGCTATTGACAGTCAGTTGGATACTTACAGCTTGTCTGCACAGAAGACACTTCCAGGTAGGAATCCAAAGCCTGTGATCAAGGCCCCTCCCATTGGACTTGGTGCAAAGAATGATGCATGCACAGCAGTTAAAAAAAAGGACGTTACAGTCCAGGAGTCTGTGGACTTACCCCAGGAGTGGCGTACTCAACAAGCGCAAACTGGTTCTTGTTGCCCACCAGAGACACGTTTGTGATTGAGCCGCAAAAGGCAAAGAGCTGTCGTATCTGCACAGCAAAACCCAAGTCACATCGATGCGCAAGCCAGTGGACCCAAAGAGCATATATCAAATTTGCAAAAATGGAGATGAGAGGAGGTTTACCTGATCCACTGTGACACTGGGGTTGAGATTGCCAACAAGCAGGGTGCAGTCCAACACCCCTGCCTCCGTTGGGAATTCGACACCAGCTTCGTGGGCCTGAGGTCCCTACAAAAAGGAAAACCGTCTTCTCAGCTTCCGGAGATTTTTTGAACATCTCATCCATTTCATCCTCATAGATTACGTACAAGCAATTGGTCATGCAGGGGTGACAAGGGTTGTGCTTACCAGCACTGAGGGTGGCTGTGTGGCGAGCGCAGCATTTGCTGTAGACATCAGCGCAGCATCAAGTGCAGAGGATGCTGCTATTGCTGTGTCCAACATTGACGGGGCCTGTTCTGTAGCTGTAGACGTCGCTGGCTGTTCCGCGGCGGGCTCCGGAGGACTGAAGAAAACAGGGAAAGGTGACCCGCCAATCGGCGATCCGTTTACCTCGACACTCAGCTAGTGTCAAACGCAACAGCCACACGCGTTCAGTCTCTTGCATTTGAATAGAAGCCACATAGGCAAGCAAATAAAACATTGCATGGGATGTTTTGACCATATAAAAGATTCGAAGGTGAGCAGTAGCATTTACTACATCAAGAAATAGAGGGTTGCCACAAGGAAGCAAAGTCTCTTGCAAGGTCACACCTCATAGTCTCCGCGTGCTGCAACAGAGTAGCTGGCAGTGTAAGTTCCGTCGTTGTTGTCCTTTACGGATGCAGTGACGATATCGGCACCCGCTGCACGGGCAGCATTTCCAGGGCGCACGGTGGCAACACAGTATGCCCCACCCTCCCTGATCCTGGTTCCCCGCTCATCCTTGGCTGTGACAAAGAATGATACGGTTGATTTAGCAGCTCCTCCAGTGTACCCAGGACCTCCAAGGGTGCATTTCTCCGCGCAGATAGGGCCAGGAGGATAGTCTCTCTCGATCTCATCATCCTCAGACTCTGAACCCTCATCCTCAGAAGTGTCTTCTGCCTCTCGTTCTGCTAGCCCAGATGATGCAACGACGATAGCACCAGCTGCTTCTTGGTGCTGCAACCATGCTGGATTGGCTTCTGTATCAGCCATATTTGCTAATCTGTTTGCCAGCCAACTTTCTGCAGAGGCAGAGTCTGCCCTTGTCAGTGCGCACGGGGCACCTATGAAACCCGTCGAGATCAACGCCCAAGAACACAAAATTCCGTTTGCCTTTTAGCAGGAATAAAGCCGCCGAGTCTTGCAGGCTGCACAAGGTCAAGCGCAAACCCTCATGCAGAGAACTTTACTAATCTAAGGGAGGAATGGAGGGGAATTAGGTGTTTCCTTGGACAGCGAAGTTTTCCAAAATGCATTGTTTGATCGACACCCGAGTCACCACACGGGCACATGCTGTTATTGTTGACACCGTTTTTTACTATGTGGGACTGAGATTCATCAGGCTTTCCTTATCAGCATCAACGAGGAAATGGCCGATGTGCTTTTGGATTTCCAAAGCTGTGAATAGGTCTGCAGACTTTCGTGAGGCTATCTAGGTTTATTTTGCATTAGATTTTCACATCTGAGAGTAGATACCTCTAGATGTGGACCGGTTGGTTGAGCTCACTGTTCCTGTCGTTCAACACAAGACTGGAAATCCTGCTGTTCTACTGTATCCTGGGCGGTTCATATCTCTACTATGTGGCCAGCTTCAGTAAGCCTGGAACAATCCAGCGCATGCTTGCTTCTGGTCCAATCTTGCTGGGGAACATCTTTGTCCCTTTCATCTTCGACCCCGTGAATGAAGTGTGTACAGCTATGAGTGTGGTGTTCCTGCTCACCTGGCTGGGCACCTTCAAGGTTCGTCAATATGAGCAAGGCCACATTCTCTCTCGTTTACTCGGGAACTGTCCTGTTGTTCACATGAGCGTGTCGAGCGGTGTCTGAGTCCTTTCTGAATGAATTGACTCACTGCAGGTCTTGGGCCTGTGTATAAACAGAGGGAGTCTGTCAGAGCGGCTAGACTGGCTGCAGTTCCTTGCTGTCTTGTGGTTGCCGATCACTCCACAGAGTGTCCAGCAAAGTGAGTTCCTCGCTCGATCCCTTGTGGCCACCTCCCTTTCCATGCATACTACAGCCCTTTCAACAGACAGCAACACATGCTGGAATGACTCGTGATGATGGCGCTGCTGACAGTTGAGTTCATGCAGATCCTCTGAGCGTGGCTGTCGGAATCACCAAGAAGAAAAAGGCCCCCATGCAGCGCGTCTCTTCAAACGCAAGACTGAACGAAGAGGCTGGATCCTACTGGCAGCTGTTGGCAGGTTTCTTCGCCAAGGCAGCGACATTGGGGATCGTGGTGTACCTTCTCACAGCCTTTTCTTTGCAGCGCCAGATTGTGGAGTTTCTCTACTGTGAGTTTTTTCCGATGTCCAATCTGTCAGTACCTTTGCTGGTGTTATATGCGCAGCTTTATTTCGTGCTGCTGTATCTGATGTTGGGCAAAAATCTGCGCAATCTTCACAGCTGCATGTGCTGCTGGTTGCTCATTATTTTGTGACTTTGTATTGTGCTGCACAGCTGTGGGTATGTATGCCTTTCTCGGACTGCTTATGGATGGTCCGGCAACTCTGGCCTCATCCCTGATTGGCCTGAAGATTGCACCACACTTTGACAAGCCATTCCTGGCCTCGTCGATCACTGACTTCTGGTCGAGACGATGGAATCTGACAGCCGGCAACGCTCTTCGATTCATGGTAATATTTTGTTCTAACTGGGAATTGCGAATGCTCTTGACTTTGAGTTTCTGTTCCATTCGCACATTCCAATCCTTTACCTTGTCATGCTGATGCTCCAGGTGTATGACACAATCACTGAGAAGAGGCTGGTGAAGACCTCCAGAGGAAATGCCCAGCCAAGCATAGGCCTTCGTAGGCTTGGCGCTGCCTCGTCCTTCCTGGTCTCAGGCATTATCCATGAAGTAATACTCTGGTGCGATTTCTCTCGCTCGGACTTATACCCCTTTGCACCTCCTGCAAGTAGCTGCTGTTCATGTCTCATGCAGAGATGCTTGATATGATCTAAGTATCAAGCAGGGCATCTGAATATATCTGAGTGCTGCAATATTTTAGTATAATTACACGCTTTTCCTGCCAAAAGGCAAGGTATGTCCTGTAGACAAGCTGCAGCATATAGTAATGGATGAATTCTCTATGTGCAGGTATGCCATTGGGCATGTGCCTGGCGCAACTGGCGGCTGGTTCATCTTCTTCGCAATTCAGGGCCCCCTTCTGGCAGTAGAGTCTGAGCTGAAGAGGTGGGCGCGCAAGAGGAAGCTCGAGGTGCCCCGTTGGGTTGCCATCCCCCTGACCATCACCCTTCTGCTCACACTCGGTGACTACTTCTTCTTCAAGCCTGCCATGCAGTCAGGCCTGGCAGACAGGGTGGTGCAGAGCCTCATGCAGAGCTACACGGCCCTGTGGAGCACAGCAAGGAATATGTTGGGGCAGTGAAGTAGTCCTCAGAGACTTAGAGACTCATCAAGAAGCACAACAGAGAGAGCAGAGGGCTGGTGTTCGAAGTACTATATCTGGGAAGGAGTGTGTGCATAGTCTGATGAGAGTATGGATCAGAGTAAGTCACGAATAAAATGCAAGCCATGCTTGCGAAAGAGCGCGTGTCATTGAATGCATTGGTTGCTCGTGGACAGTGCGCCTTGAGCCGCATGCTCTTCATGTCTAGATTTTGTGTTGATGCGCAATGTGAGAGCAGCCTTCTTGACTACATGTGCATGCATGCTTGTAGAGCACCACTGATAGATCTGTCTTGAAACATAAAGAGAGACAATGCCTCATGACTGCCTTGGAAAAAGCAAAGACTTAAATTTCAATCTGCCTCAGAGATGTTATGCTTTAACTGCTGTTATCAACTTCATTTGTGAGAGAGAGTGGCCACATGGCAAGTCTGTGCCCTTGTAAAAGATGCATGCCCATACAACTGGGAAGTGGTAGCCTTCATTCAGATTATAATCACTCCACCATGATAAAGTACAGGCGTAAATGTAGTACAACCTCTCAAGTCAATCCTTCATATGCACATCACAGCATCATACAATGAGGTGCTCAAGGTGACTTGTGTACAGGATCAAGCTTGGGACCATCCATGATGCCTCCTTGAGGCCCAAGCTTCAGGCCTGGGTCCTCAGGGGATCCTGAGGACGTCCTCGGAGAATCAACCTACATTGCGCTATGTGCACTATTTCTGAAAGCAGCAGCTGTCATAAGAAGCTCTTGGGAGGACCGTCCCTTTCCACAACAAGAGTATCGCCTCGGATATCCTTAGCCACTCTCAATGACCGTCCCAGGTAGACAGTATCAAACCTGCACGGAAGCCAGGACATCCTCAATTGACACCACGGCCAGATTTGCATGCATGCTGCAGACCTCCTGCCATGCATGAGTGCATGCAGGTCGCTTACGCAAACTTGGATCTAGCAGACTCAGCTGCCAGAGCCAGAATCTGTGTGACTCTCATAGGTAAAGTTAGAGAAAGAGGTATGCAGACATCAAGGCAGAGCGAGCGCCAGGAGATAGGAGCAAGGGCTGAAATGTACTCACCATCCTTGGCCAAAGGGCGGCAGCGAGAAAGGACGATTGCCAAGTTTCACTTTGGCGCCCCTGAATTTGAATTCTGTGCGCTGCTCGCCTACCACATCCAGGGATGAATCCACAATGAAAAATCCATTGGGTTGGAATGTGATCACATTATTTAGCGATCCATTCTCGACATCAATGACCTTCTCAAAGCACACACAGAGTTCTCAGCACGTTGCAGAGTGCTAGAGATGGTTTTCTCATCACAATGGAACAAATGGCAAAGTGTCGCTACCTGGAAGACTTCGCCAGCCTCCTTACCAAGCCACCCTGCATTTTTGAGGATGAATAGAGTTTCCTGCGTATATTCACAGGGCTATAAGTAGCATTCTTGGCCAATGAACAGCGGAGTACTTTGAGAGGTGATTGAATGGAAATGGGACTGGGTCTGTTTATTGCATGCCACTAACCTGAGAGCATGGAGACACTTGCCTTCTCTGTTGTGTAGAGCAACCTCCATGTGGCAGAGAGATCACTCCCTGTCGTCACTGTGCACCGTCCTATGTCTTCTAGCTCACTTACTGCGTCTAAGATGTCCTGCTTACTGGAAGGTGAAGCAGTGAGGCCACGCTGTGTGCTTTCAATGGCTGTCAGGAGGCGTAATTCTGCAGCTTTTCTTCTTCCCTGATCTCTGTTTGTAAATTTCTTGATAAGTGTGTCCAGAGGACCACAAGAGGCACTCATGCGCGCTAGGATGGCACGCGCATGGGCATGATGAGGTCGAGGCATCGACAGACATGAAAGGCGAGATTGTTGCTGCAAGCTGTGATTTGCAGTCATGTTGGGCATAATGTGGAGGAATGTCCATTCATATCTTTCAAGAATCCCTAGAAGTTCTAGGCGAGATGCAGTTCCGGAACAATGATGGCCTTGGGCTGACACAATCTTCATAAGTCCGAGATCTCTTGAATGGCAAATGTGACCTGGGTGATGACTTCTCTTCATTCATGCTTGTGTAAGTAAGGATGGCGGCTGAAGGAGATGCCGACGTTCAACAGTACTATGCCCTCGTCCTCAGTGAGAAACTCGTCTCTCTATCATGTCCATTTTTGAACCGCCAGCATAGATCTTGCGTTTTCTAACGTCATTGGATAATCGAGATACAACCATCATGATGTTATGTTGTCGCTGTGGCGACAGCACCAGGTTGTCGTGTTCAAGAGGAGATCTAAATATTGCTCGATGCAAATCGCAGGCGAGAAGTCCGCTGGTGCAGAAGGCATTCGAAGGGCAAAGGGTGCCGCTATTGTGCGCCTGCTGCGATCTGTGCGGTGTGACAAGGCAGTGATACGTTGCGGCGAGCCAGACGACGGCCTTTGGCTGGGATCTGTTCTCACTGAAGCTGGTCTCACTCTAGCAGATCTTGACAAGCCATCTGGGCTGCCAGGTGGGTAAATGTGCGACCCAATTGAAAGCTTGAAATCTTTATAATACAGTCAAGTTCTACTCGTTGGTGATAATGGATTGAAGACGTTGTTGAGGCTGTGCTACAGGTACTTATGGCAATCAGATCGCTGGCCCTCCGCAAGTTCAAGTCGTTGTTGATGGAGACAACAATAGCACCAATGCAGGTAAGGCTGCTCCACTTTCCTTGCAGATGCATCAGCATGCATTTGTGCTCCTATTGTTGATGCCAGAATCTTATCGATGTGCTTGCAGGCTCTGGCAATCTGCTCGTAAATTTGGATGTTCCAAATGAGGCGGCGTATGTACAAGCCCTTGGACAGACAGACCTCTTGACACCCAGCCATGCTCTTGTCACCTTCGTGACTCCTCTGGAGCTGGTCGATCTGAAGGGCTACACTCAGCCAAATCCAGAAGCAAAGGTACTTCTCATGGCAATTTGTGCGGAGGACTCTTGATGCTGCTTTAGACTGGTCTGCTGGCAATGTGACTGCTTTATGTTGCTTGATGGCTCACATTTTGCTTGCAGATCAAGCCTCTGCCTGATGTGCTGCCTGGCCTGCAAGGAAAGCCGGGAGCAGATCAGCAGCCATCCTGTGCAGAGACATTGGGTGTGACAGATGCTCCTGCATCAACAGCTCGGAGCATGGAGCCCACAGATCAGGCGCCGTGCGAAAACAAAGAGGAGAATATGGTAACACAAGTGCGTTCCGAGGAGCTCCAACAGAGGAAGCAGCGGCTGCTGCAAGCCGTCAGTCAGCTTCTGCGCCCTCAGAATGGCTCTGCTCATGCAGCAACGATCCCAGCCGGACTCCAGAACGGCAATCAGAACGGCCATGACATGCCGGCAGTGGATCCCGTCATCACAGAAGCTGCCTCCGAAGATGATTTGCCCCCACCACCGCCCCTCGGATCTCCCAGCGCCTCACAAGCAGCCACAGTTCTTCCCACCTCCCGCTCAGGCATTATCACCGAAGCAGACGTCCCAGTGACTGAAGCACATCCAGCCTCAGCAGCAGTGGAGCAGAAAGGAATGGGGATGGATATGTCTCCCGGGGCGTTCCAGGCCAGCGCGGAAGGCGCCGGAAGGCGGGGAAGGCAGCGCTCGGCGCAGGAGGCAGCTGCTTGGAAGGAAGAGCAGCAAGAGCTGGCGCTGGAGCGCGCCATCCTGGAGATTCACTGGCAGCAGGCTGAAGCCGAGCAGGACTCGGTCTACCTTGAGGAGGCTGATGATGCAGATCTGGCAGAGGATGCCGAGCTTGAGGAGGGTGAGCTGGCCGGCCAGGCAATGGAGAGTGCAGAAGACCAGCCAGCTCCTGCAGCAGGAACGGACGCAGCCTGGTATCAGCACCTACCGCCCTTCTATCAGCAGTGGGGGCGCGCGGCCACCGGCAACGCTTCTGCATCCGCCGATGCCGGGGTGCAAGCAGATGAAGGCGTAGGCCCAGGCCAGGGCAACAAGTCCAGCGGCCAGGCCGCAGCGTGGGAGGACTGGTATCGGCAGCAGGGCTATGGGGGGCAGGACGCATCTGCGCAGCATGGCGGGGGGCAAGCAAGGGAGGGAACAGCCGAAGGTGGGTGGCAGCAGTGGCAGACCTGGCAGCAGCAGCAGAATGGCAGCTGGGCGGGAGCAGCGCCGGACTGGAATGCAGCGGGCCAGCAGGGCGCCACCACTGCAGGGCCCTTCCCATGGGCAGCACAGGGGCAAGGACAGGAGGGACATGTGTCAGTGCCTGCGGCGCTGCTGCAGCGGTACCAGATGCTGGAGTGGGCGGAGTGGTGCCGGCAGTATGAGCGCTGGCAGGCGGCCTATGAGCAGTGGTACAGCTGGTGGTCCAGCGCCATGTGGCAGGCCAGTGGGTACTATGGCACCGGCATGGGACCAGGACCAGATGCCAGCGCCAGCTAGACCGGCATGAGAAAAGCTTTGGCAGCCTTTACTGTGGTGTTGCATGTGTGCCGTAATGGCAATGCATGATGAAGCATAATGCTGTGATGACGGTTGCTAGCAAGGCAGATTATAGTGTCACACAGTATGGTACACTTTGCACACTTTAGGACGGTCCTGTTGAACAAGGCATCTTGTCTACTCTAGCAAGCCCTCAAAGTGGGATTTGAAATACTTGTCGGCGGATTTTGCAGCATCTGTTAGATTCTCTTGGCCACGGCCTTCCAGCACAATTGCTATTTTCCGGCACGCTACCCTCTTTGCCACCACCCAGCAGTCATGCGCTCCTCTTACTATCACCTGCAACCACGTGATATCTTCCTCACATACTGGTATCTATGTGTTTCTGCAACAAACGTTCTTGCCCACAGATTCTAAAGGAACAACATTACAATGCAATTGAGTGCACGTTCATTATCACGAGATGCACCTCTCTGTCCCCTCTGAGTGCAGCCTCGTCCAGATCCGCTCGCACAGCATGCACCAGAAATTGCGATTCCCTTGACAACGTGGCTGCCTTGCTGGCGGGCGATGCTCTGACAGCCAGCAGCATGTCATCCACGTACACATACCTGTACCGCACAGTAGTATTCATTTGCACTCGTCCTTGACCTGCCCTGCCCTTCTGCGAGAGCACAGGCACATCAAGCTGCATGCAATTGCCTTTTAAAACCAGGTCAATCTACCTAATGCTGGGGATGTGCCATTGGTTGGCGGCGGCCAGCTCAGCGGCTGTGCCCTGCGCAATGCCATGCAGGGCCGGCAGCGCCGCGTGCGCCAGCTCTGCAAGCAGCTCCGGGGCAGCCGCCACGCGCTCGGCCAGCAAAATTAGCAGCAAGCAGCCGCCAGCCCGCAACCCCAGCAGCCCACACCGCTCCCCGCTCTCCTGCAGCACCGCAAACAGTTTCAAACAAGTGTGATGCCACAGCTGCTGCCAAGCCTTGACACTGAGACTTGCGAGGCCTGCCTATACAAAGAGGCTCCACCCAACAGGGGCAGGAAAAGCAAGCTTTTGCAGGTCTGTGCAACAACAATGTGCATGGTCTGATCTGTGATGGGGGTAATCAAGAACGGACGGCACCTGCAGCCATATCTGTGGGAGATCTGCAGAAGCGCCAATCTCTGTCCCAGCCGCGGACTGCAGCAGGAAGCCGGGTGGCACCAGGCGCCATGCTTTGCGGTCCAGCACATGCCGCTCTGCCCCATCAGCCTCCTGCCACCTGCCAAGACATGCCAGGATCTTTCACAGGATGCATGCGACAGACCGCAGAGTCACAGCTCAGCAGCACTCTTTAATGGCCCTCTTAGCTCTGCGCTGCGACGCCTTTTTGTAAGTCTCCCGATTGGGCTTTCTTTGGGCCTCATCATGCAGGTGAGATGTCTGTGCGACAGCATTGACGTTGTTTGCACATGATTTCTTCTGGACATAAAAAGTCTACAGCACTGCAGGGGCACCAACCGCAGGGTGGAGGTGATGCGGCTGCCCAGGGACGGCTGTTCGGCGGCGTGCGCGGCCGGCAGCAGGGCCAGGGACGCCAGGCGGACGAGCGCAGCTGTGTCGGCGCGGTCCAGGCTGCTCCAGAGGCACCACTGCTCGTGCATCAGCACCGCCCCCTGCACCGGCACCGCCCCGCCCACCTGTGCCACCAGCAGCCGGCTCACCAGCGCCTGCACTCCTGCACCAGACCATACCTTCTCTCAGGCAGCGCTGCACATGTTCTGTAAGCTCATGTACAGATCCAGCATATCAAGAAGATCACAACTCATTTTCACAACTGTCTGCAGCGCAGAATTGAGCCACTCTGGGCCATGTCTGCTCTGCAACATTCGGATCGGTGAGACTCACTTCAAGAACAAGAGAGTTCAATGCACAGCGATATAGCTTGAGAGCAATAAAGCAGAGAATTAGCTGGTGGAAGGCTACTGCAGGCACCTGTGAAGAGGGGTCGGGAGAGCGGCAGCCAGGGCACGCCCTCCCTGCCGCTGAGGGGATTGTGCAGCGCCTGGTAGAGGGTCCCTCTGCTGCCAAGGCGATCCCCCCACTGCTCCAGCAGTCCCCCCAGCACCCCTCGAGCCATCTCCCCACTCGAATCCTGTGCCGCGCACGTACTCCAGTCAAACAGGACTCTGCTTTCTTGATGGTGACCGGCTGTCGTCATTGTAACTTGCTTATCATGCCGAGCACTGTGCCAATAGTGTGATGGCCAGGCATACCTGATCCAGGAGGCACTGCAGAGGGCCGTGCAAAAGCGTGCACACTGCGTACAGCTGTTTGAGGACCTCTCGCAATGACTTATCTCGAACCGGCCCGGAGAACCAGGCTCTCTGCGCTATCAGCAGCATCCACAGGCTGGGCTCGCACTCGTGGGTGATCCATACGCTGCGCTCTGCATGCATGCTCTCGCATGGCCTCTCCTGTGCATGCATCCTGGTGTGAACAAGCCGTGAAGCCAGACATACTGGATTTTATTTGGAAGATCTAGCTGGATACCTGGTCAAAGATTGAGGAGAAGGCGCTCATAGCCTGCACCAGGCCGACAACTGAGGCCTGCTCATCTGTGTCCACGCTGGCTGGATAAAAGCCAAGGACCCTGTCCGCTTCCTGCCCCTCAGTCCTCCCTCTACGCACGTCAAAGACGGATAGCTGGAGAGGGGGTACCGTGCGCTCCTGATCTTTCTTTGGTGCTGTCATCTCGGACTTCAGTGAACTTCACCAGTCCGATGAGGCATTCATTGTTGAATTGTAGGATAAACTCTCTCCTTGAGTGCATTCAAGTCTACACAACGGCTCGCACAAATTCTGACATGGCTACCCGATTAAAAATCCTGAGAAAGCGAGCAAAACAACTCTCAGATAATCATCACTGGGCACCACTCCCGTAACTTATTGCATTGCATATCACAGTCTAAAAAAACGCGTTTTACTACTGGCATGTATTTTTAACGCACTACATGGACCTATGTGTAACGTTGCGATGTCAAATCTTTCTTGTCTGTCCCTCACGCTAAGCCTCGTTCAGTACACCTTAAGCAATATCTTCACAACGACAGTTGATCCAATTAAAGTATGAATATCCTGAGTTACACAGGCTGAGCACAGTTCGATCAAGACAGGAGAGATTCAACCTCGAGTCCAGCTTCCTCGTCCCCGGAAGCTGCCGGATAAGGCTGAAGATAACTTCGATCTGAGGAACAAAGGGAGGCTTTGGTTTATTAATCTTTGCAGCACGAACTGAGATCTTATGGTGTGCTTGAATTAACATTGCAAAGAGTGGGCTCGCGGATTTCCTGGCACAATTTCCCAGAGAACTTTCACAAATTTTCTGATGAGGTCACTAGCGTCGTTTCAAGCATTGCAGGGCGCAAGACCAGCATGCAGAAATGCTGAGCGTCTCTGTATAAGAATAAATGCGAGGTCGAGGGGAAGACGATGGCCTTCCTTTGGTCAGACTAAGAGGAGCCACGGTCCAATGATTCGCCATCAGAGACAAAATTATGATTGGGGAATCAACGCAGAAGGCTCGTCATTGGAGGGTGAGTCTCTTGCTTGGCCAACGACAGTCCAAAGGGGGAACTATAAGTTTCTCACAAAACTGGCATTTACCTGGGCAGTCTGGTATTTCCCAGAGCATCCAGCAGGACTTCATGCGTTGCGCAGGCGGTGCAGCCCAGGTGGCCATGAATGGCGACACTGTTTTCATACACTACATTTGTCGGGATGAGGACGGCAACATGGTGGATGACTCTGCTGAGAGTGAGGATCACCCAGTCAGCTTTGAAGTAGGAGCAGGGGAAATCACAGGCAACCCACTGTTTCAGGCCTTTGATGAGGCCATCCGGGGCCTGCCACTGGGCTCAACCACTGTCCTGGAGGCCAGAGGGGGAGATTGGAACAGGGAGCTTTTCTTCGAGGTATGTCATGATGCCTTCTCCATTTGCACAGTGTGCATACCGGACTCTGATGTTGACAATATGACGTCCTGCCTGATACAGACGCAACGCAAAGTTCACCTGATGTTTGTTGCAGGTGCCAAGAGATCATGCAGAGATCCAGCGGCTGGAAGGGAGGTACAAGAACCAGGGGGGTCTCCAAGACGGGCTGATTGTGGAGCTCTCAAACGGAGGTTCGGCAATGGTTGTTGCAGTGACAGATGATGTTGTGAAGATTGACGCCAACAACATGCTGGCAGGGAAGAGGCGGATCTTTGAAGTGACACTGTTGAACATCGAACCAGCGCAGAGGTAGATTGTGACAATCATTACGTTGTAATTTTTGTCATTTGCAGTGCAATGTGCATTGGAATTTCAAATGTTTACCACTCCATAATCAGAAACATCAGCGGCTGCTTGCATCAGCCTGAAAACTGCAACTGGGATACACTCAATTCTCTGGTGTGCACCAATACCCGCTCAGAGTGCCCTCATTTCACTCCAGTACAGCTAGCAAGATGGCTCTAGAGGTGACACCTGCTGTACTAGGTAGTGAACCCACTCAGCTGTGCACTGATCAGCAAATTTAAATTGATTGAAAGGCAACGTGCAACGGGTAAGTATTCCCAATGTTGTTCCAAGGTGTTCATGGTTTGTGCTCTCGCAACTGCCGTGCATTCAGAAGCCAAGCTCCACATCAGCACACTCCTCTACTGCCACCGTGAGCATCTCTGCAGTGAAGGTGTCGTCTGGCCGCAGCGACAGAGCCTTGTGGTAGTTATCAATCGCTTCCTGCATCCTCCCCTGCCCACACACAAGCGCGAATGCAATTTAAACCAGAAGAGAATGCAGCCATCAAAGACATAGCATTATCAAGGACAGTCCTCTAGACCTGCCTTGCATGCCCTAGCAAGGTATATTCCAGGCAACACAGCAGTTATTGGAGCTTATGAAAACAATATTCGGTCAATCTGAGAGGGTTTTGCATGTTGCACCTGGAGGTGATAGGTGTAGCCCAAGGCAGAGTAGGTGCCAGGCTGGCCCGGGCACAGCCCCAGGGCCCTCTCCAGCATCTGGATGGCCTCGCTGTAGCGCCGCTGCTTGCGCAGAGTGTGCCCCAGGTTCACCACTGTTGGCTCCCACGCTGTACAGAGCAACAGAACGACCTTGTCAACTTCCACTGCAACGCAAATGCGCACTTATCCCACATTGTGCACATTTAGAAAGGTCGTGCCCAATCATCCATACAGAAGGCGAATCTAATCTCCCATGCGAGCCACGACAAGCAGCTGAGAAAACATCAGATCCGCAAGGACTGACCTTCAGTGAGGCGGCCGGGCACGCGTTCGAGGGCGCGAGACAGCCACCGCTCGGCCGCATCATAGCTGCGCGCTCGGAACAGCAGGCAGCCAAGCTCATTGCAGGGCAGCGGATCCTGCACCATGCCATCAGCTCTCGTAATATATTACCCATTGCATCTTGCTAGCCACAGATAGCATCATTCAGATTTTGTAAGGCGTATTCCAAACAAGTCAGGATGAACTGCAGGCATGGTCTGGTGTTTGAGGGGCCCCAGGTGCATGGTCCACACAGTGTAAGCAGCTGGACTAAACAACGTGTCTGTGGGTGAATACCACGGTTGGGTATGTATGGGACGCACTCACAACCCTCAGGAGGACTCTTCGGTCATGTGGGCACTACTCTGTGCATGGAATCTGACAGAGGTGGGGGCGCCCACCTGGGGGCACATGCGGTGCGCTGACAGCAGCAGCTGCTCGGCCAGGGCGGTGTTGTTCATGCGCGCGTACTCGCAGCCCATGCCCAGCAGGGGCAGGTGCAGCCCAGGGAACAGCCTCGCAGCCGTTCTGTACGCCGCCATCGCCTGCATCACACCATCCACCCATCGCAAAATGTCAGCACAGCAGCAGCACTATTCTGCAGAGCCATAGGTCATCAACCGCTTGCTATGACTCTTTGGAGGGGCTGCAATAGAGGGAAGCTGCAGCAAACAACTCTGCAACAGCAGCAGCCTGGCAGGTCTTGCTGAGTACCATTCCCATGCTGGCCCACTGCATATAGAAAATTCACAGGGATAATTTACAGGACGTCTGCAGGACGTACCTTGCCTTTCGGCAGGAAAAGCGTGGGTAATAAGAGTGATAATCATTTACAGGGTGTTGGCTGAAGGGGTGCTGTGCTGTCTCACCTGATCGCTCTCATCCTGCGCAGCGAATGCATGCCCAAAGCCCAGCCATGCGGGTGCAAAGGAGGCGTCCACGGTGGTTGCCTTGCCAAAGTAGCGCCGAGCATTCTCATACCGGCCGATGCACAAGTAGTAGCAGGCCACGCCAAACCAGGAGACTGCTCTATCTGGATACTCCTCCACCAGCCTGCACTCAACTTGCCATGTGAACAGCACCACAATTTACCTGGTCAATAGTCCCATCGTCTTTAGCACGCAGGAAGGGTCATCATCTGCTCAGTTCCCCCGGTCATGGACATTATTAAAGATAGTGCAGGGGAACAAACAACAGCACATGACAGGGTGAAGCAGAGTGCTCACTTGTGCCCTCTGAGGAACAGCTCGTTTTTCTTCCGCAGCTCCAGGGCAGCAGCGAGATGCACTGGCATGGCTTCCAGGGCGTAGGGGTCCTGATCTAGCAGCTGAGAGGTCAGTGCATGGCTTTCCTGCACATCCCAAATACCTTGAACCGCTGCAATAGGCACCTGAACATGTTGGCATCGTCAACCAGATGAAACAGAGCAGAACGGACACCGAGAATGAGGGATACTTGCCTGGTATCCGCCAAGATGGAAGTACCACTCTGCGCGGCAGACAGCCACATCAAGGTTGCCAACCAAGCCGCAGCCGCCCTTGCCTGAATTCTCTGCATCCTCGTCCAGATCATCCTCCTGTACATCCCACCATGGAGGCATGCCTCAAAGGATTCCACCAAAGACACGACAGTACACGCTTTACCTGATCACGCAGCACTGCACTGGACAAATCTGTGGTGTGCATTTGAACATGCATCAGCAGGGAGAACCAAAAGTCACAAATTAAAGGTACCCCTTTGGGTACGTGTCAGCAGGGACATCAGAGAGTGGACAAATCAGACGTACCCTTCAAATGCAAGTCAGCAGGGATGTCCAAGACTGGACAGATCGAGGTACCCATTTAAATGCTGTCAGCAGGGTGTTTCCGAAAAAAAATTTACGGAAAGAGCGGGAGGCCATGCACTGACCATGTCATTAGAGGAGGAGGAGCGCTGCGCCATGGAGCGTGTACGAACGCCCGGGGACGAGTCAGTGTCCTTGTGCGCGTTCAGCTTGGCCGATGCCGACGGCTGCAGCGGCGTGGCGGCCTCCTCGCACGACGGCGTCGGCGGCGGGGCCGGTACCGGGGTGGGCGCCGGCGCTTCCAGAGTCTCCAGGGTTCCCTCCATCGTCTGCTGCTGGTCGTACTTCTTGCACTTCGCCCTGCTCCATGCACACAGAATGCTGATGGCCTCTGCCTTGAACCTCCTGCGTCTATGGTTGATCCAGGCCTGCCTTGGCATCCCTTTGCTACAAGGTGCCTTCATGTCTAGCAGGTCGGCTGGCACCTTGAGGAATAGTGCTTATTTGTACTAAGTGTATCCTACAATGCCCTGGTCTGAGGCCCTCGTGACACGGGCAACTAGTGGAAAATGGACCTGTAGAAGAGATGCAGCCATCGGTCTTCCTCGCGATAGTGCAGGGACTCTCGCAGGGCTGCCTCCTCCTCGCTCGTAAGCATGTGCCCCTCCGCCAATGCCTAAATCATAATAACAACCTCTTCAGAAGTCATCAGAAGCAGGATGTAACCTTAGAATCCTTGTTCAAGCGTGCACACACCTTCCGGCAATTTGGGAAAGGATTTGTGGACTTACCCTGAAGGCTTCGTAGCAGAACGGATCCATGTGTAGGGCTGCCTTATACCACCTGATCGCCCTACCGCGGTTCTCGAGCGCCTCATAGACACGGCCGCGCAGGAGGCACATGGCCGAGGTGTGGCTCACTCCCTGGCCAATGTCCTCCTCCAGTGCAACATCCTGCAAATGTTTTAGATATCCATCCGTTAGCACTGTAAGGAGCTGCTTGTGGCATACAGTGATCTCAATATTCTCAATGAACTCAGCGTCAGGGAAAGTGCATGGTAGCCAGGCAGACCTGCATGCTGAGTGCTTCCAGCTCTGACTCATCCCAGCCCCCCAGGACGTTGAGGCACTCCTCCCAGTCTTTCACTTCTGCTAGACAGCGTGCTGCTAGGTATCTGCAGCGGATGTCAGCCTCAATGAGGCCTGCATTTCTGAGCAGAGCAAGGGCTCTGCGCCACTGCCTGCCCATGTAAAAGGCCTGCAAGCATAGTGACGTGATCATTTCCAGAAATGACATACTCTGCAGGTATTTTGATAGGTCACATCGTCAGAGTATCAGCATCGAAATTTCCAGGAATTTTGATCAGAGGGGCAGGCATGCCTGCATGAAAGACTTCCAGAATAAAAACTCTCAAGCAATTTTGAATATATGCGCAATTACCTCGGCAAGCGTGTAGACATCAGCTGAAGCACCATTTGACATGGTCACGAGCTTGTCTGCATAGAAGATGGCTGAGTCATATAGATGCTTGGCAAGGCAATCGTGGACTAAAGATCGCATGCGCTGACACAGCCTTTCCATAGAAATAGTTGCTGTCATGTTGTCCCACTCTCTTTTATTATCCCAATCGCCTTTTGCCTTCGAAGGTCATTTCACTTGGGTGATGGACCATCAATCAAGTTCCTGAGTAGGCGGGATCATGAGTGGATTTGAATCAGACGATGCAACAACTTCTTGAAAAATTATCAAGGTAATTTACACTCCGCTTTGTGTGGAGAAAAAGTCGAAAAAGGTGGAATTATGCCAGTGACACCAGTGACACTCGTTCAGATCCCCACCTACGAGGTGCTCAATGACCCTTGCCAATGTCTCAACCAGAATCCCCAACTTTCCAAATTGTTGTTCTAAAAGCGAATGGCAATTCTCGAACCAGGACTGTCATCGGCACGCATTGCATGTGCTTGACCAGTATAGCCAAAACTGGCAGCCAGGCCCCATTATGGTATAACACCACTGACTCCCTGTTCTGCATATTTTGAGCCCCTAAAAACTTCTATGTTGTCATGCGTTCGTGGACAGTGTAAAATGCCTGCATGGTGCGCAGCCGGTGAATGCATGCGCCCAGCGCTGATTAGCCGGTTTCAAACCAAGTTGGCGCGCCGCGACGCGTTGACCAGATTTTACTCTAGATCTGCCTTGCTCAGAATCATCCAGTTGTGCGTGTCATGCGCGGCCCAGTGCAGTGGTCAGCCGCTGTGCACATGGCTGACATTGACGCCGAGGAACCGCTTCATGGCCTCGTAGGTGGCCCAACAGATCGCGGCGGCGGGGGCGTGCCACAGCGTCCGAGGCTGCCACCCTCTCCACAACGCCCCAGATCCCTCCTCCCTTGCCATTTGCCGCATGATGGCAAACACATTGACAGCTCTCCTGCGACAACCATATCCTTGCCTTCTTGGCGTCAATAATGCACGCCCATTCATTGTGACACTCCTGAGTCTCAGGTGCTCACAGGCCATTTGGAAATAAAAGCCACCTGCATTTCCTGTCTCAGTGAGAGAAGGCCTGAGAGCTGAGTCAGTGTGCTCTGCTTTGCTAAGCGGTTGCCCACAGAGCTTCCTGACCTGGTGGGGATTGGGCCATTGCTGCCAAGCTGCAGACGCGTTTTGACTACATCGAAAGGGGTCGTCAGTGCCGCTGCGAGGCCTCCGGCCAGGCCCCCAGCAGCCAGCTGCACCGCAGTGCCCTCCTGGCCCTCGCGCCCGGGAGCCAGCAGCTTTTTGGATGACTCATAGATGGGAAAATGGAGAATTGTCCAGGGAACATTCGCCAACAAGGTTGCCGGATAAGACCTGCGTGCAGCAGGTGAGCACGCCTCAGCGTCTCACTTCTCTCGTAGCCTTTACCACTGTTATTTGCAGATGCCGAGGTTCGTCATCAACTGAGGGGTGGTTTGCGTATCAGGCATGCATACGACCCTATTCAATGCCCTGTAGTCGAGTGTTAATCTGACTGTATGGCTGGTCACACCTGTAGAAAGCCGTGATGCCCTCCTCCTGCCAGATCCGCATGGTGCAGTCCAGCACGCCTTTGTACCTGCCGCGGTCGACCTGCAACCGCTGCTTCACCACATCGGCGGGTGTCATGACCGCATCGTTCACCACAGTAGCCGCCACCCCTGTCATGCATACCAGAGCGAAGATCTGACCTGGACAAATCGCAGCAGTGGATGGTACACGCTGATGAGGGAAGATGTCGTCTTGCTGGCCAGCGTGGTGTGAAGCAATGAATGATGTGCACCTGCTGCTGCAACGCTGACCGGCCGATGGCCCCCTCTGTTGGCCCCAAGTTCCCTCTTCGTCAGCTCGTAGACAGCATAGTACAGCGCATGAGCTGGTCCTGCTCCAGCTGTGGCTGCAGTGAATCCCTTGTACAGGCCCCTAGCACCCTCCTCCCGCACAATTTGCGCCAGCATGCCGGAGAGGCCAAGATTCCCAGACCGTACAGTGGCGATGCCCTTTTCGGCATGTGTCACCACAGCTGCCTGCATCAACATTGTTGGTGCTTCAATGAGTCGCCGCGCTGAAGCAATTGATGAGTTGAGTGGGTATTTATCTAGGCAGAACTTGCCTGCATCCGCGTCTTCACAGTGTCCAGAGGGTACATTACAGCTGTTTCAGCCATCCCTGCAGCAGCCCCTGCCAAGCTGTGAGCGAGGAAGGATGCGCCAGGAGCAGGGACTTCACCCTCAAACTCAGGGGTGAAAGGACCTGACATTCCTTGGACTGCCCCAACTCAACAATGACATGCTGTCAACTCCTCATATGCACCGACAAGTGCTGCTGTTTCAAGATCGGTGCTGGCGTGATAATGAAAACGCCACGACGGCATGGGCACCCAATGGTCAGACGCATCCAACAGCACTGGGTGTAGACTTTAGATCCTGAAGGCCAGCACCGATCTGAACATGAAGGTATAGGGGAAGTATAGCAGATCTGAGCTCCAAGAGAAGAGTGAAAGGATTCGACATGATGCAAAGCCTAGCTTCCAAGTTTCCAGGGAAATGTGGAAGCCAGTGAGCTCCTGCACGTGATGACAAGGCATCACACCTCGATCCGATGCCCACAAGGCGGATCTGGCGGATCCTGCGCAAGACAGATCGACATCGATGTCTCTTGCGGGGTCTCTGTTGCACACAAGGTTGTCGAGCCCCTGCCTGAAACCGCACACCTGGAGGAAGAGCGCACCGGTGTTAAACGTCACTCACAGTATGCAGCCAGCTGGGCAGCCAAAAACTGATAGTAAACCGTATTCTCGATGCACACCAAGGTCCCACTTGTTTACTCAGGATACAGACACGCACAGAAAAAATGTTCTCCTCCATGCTCTGAGCAAATGGGCCAAGGGAGAAGCAGCTCCCACAAACTTGGCGAAGGGAAGGGGCATCTGTGTCAACTCTCACTTTGATTCTGGGAACATAGAGGTATGCTGCATCTGCTCTAGCAACTCATCGCTCAAACGATTCAGGGTAAGGCAAGTCTGAAATGCTATGGCTTGTACAGGTCTTGGATATCTCCCAGGCTCAGGCCAGAGGCGTTTCACACGAGCTAAACCTGCGCATCCACGCGTATGTGTCTCCCCAGACTCACTTTTAAGTCACCACACGCAGTCACTAAAGGTCACAACAGGTGTCGTGATGCACAGCGCCTCACAGCCGGTGTGACTGCAGGGACCCGTACTGTGAGAGCGATGAGACAGCCCATTTCATGTGAGTCACATCCTCCAAGGTCCAGCAATCCTTACTTTTAGCTACAAGACGGCCTCTGTGTTGAGAAGTTGCACTATTGGACTGGGGTCCATGGTCACATGGGCATGAGAATGCAGGTGGTTCTACTTCCGCGTGACGGGCGCAAAGGGTGAGGATCTGCACATCAACATCACCAACGCAGGGGAGGGTTCTTTCCCTACGGCCTGGCCGGGCTACCAGACCTGTGCAACCTATGACAGGAAGTACTGGTTCCGAGTGCCCACCACCTATGACAAGGAGACCGGCGTGCTGAGCTGGAAGCACACCCCTGAGCATGTGCGCATCCGCTCATAAACAGTGCAACATTGCTGGCACGCATTGTCAGCATACAAGCAACCGGTGACAGAGGTCACAAAGCGGCAGACATCACTTCAGTCCTGCAGCCTGATCAGTTGAACTGACACTTGGGCCTTTGCATGAGGATCCTGCGATGTGACTTTCTGTGCGAAGAAAGCTTGGCATGTATGCAGGATGCTGTGAGGTATGCGTACTTTGCGCCGTATACCTATGAGCAGCACCAGTCGCTGATTGCCGACTGCCAGAGCAAGCCGGGGGTCACACTGGAGATGCTGGGCCAGACTCTGGACGGCCATGACATGGACCTGCTGCGCATCGGTGGGGTCCCAATGATCATCCGTGAGCTGTCTGCGTTGCATGAACGAGAAGCAGCAGTGCAGCTTGGATAGTGTGCAGCAGTGGAATTCTGTAATGATAATGCAAATGTGGTGTGCAGGTGACGCTGATGACAGCGACAAGAAGAAAGTTTGGGTGATCGCTCGTCAGGTAAGGGCAGTGGCTCCGAGATTTTTGGATGTGTAAAGATGTGCAACAGGCACTTCAAAGGTGCTTTTTGGAATCACTGATGCCCTGTTGGTGTACTCAACAGCATCCTGGCGAGAGCATGGCTGAGTTTTTCATGGAGGGATTCCTGCAGCGCCTCCTAGATCGCCACGACCCTGTCTCGCGCAAGGCCCTCCAGCAGGCTGTCTTCTACATCGTGCGCCCCATTGTCTTGCACTTAGTAATGTACCTCTGAAATGCTTCCAAATTATGAGAGGTAAGAGTGGTTTGACTGGTATGATAGGTATGAAAGATTTGATGGGTAGGATGAGACAGCAGGCTTAGAAGGGTAGGATACTAAGATACAAAAAGGTAAGAAAATAATCAAGATCTTGGCCCTCTCTCGCCAAGTCCGTATGGTCATGGTTATAATTGCCAGTGGGTGGTCAATAGTTACAGCACAAGGGGAAGGCTGGGCTCTAGGAGCTTGCTGAAATGGTGAGATGATCACAGGTGCCAAACATGAACCCAGATGGCACATGGCGGGGCCACCTGCGTACCAACGCAGCAGGTGCAAACCTGAACCGCGAGTGGGACAACCCCACCCTTGAGCGCTCGCCTGAGGTCTACTATGTCCGCAATCACATGGACCTGGTACAGCCTATAGTTCCCTTCTTCGCGTTTTATGCAAGATTGCGCGAGTCAGTGTTTAATCTGCATCTTGTCTGCCAGCTGCTTGACTTCTAAAATTGGCTCTGTTTGGCAGTCATGACTGGTGTGGAAAGCATACCTATTCAATACACTGGCATGCAAAACAAAGCGAGTTACTGTTGATTTGGAAGTGCACAACACACAGGTGATATGAGTGACATTTGAGAGGTGGGCAATTGTGTAACCCCTGCTCGCTTGCATGCTACAGGTCGGGTGCGATTTTTTGGCAGACATTCATGGCGATGAGGAGATCGAGTACAACTTCCTGGCCGGCAACGAGGGCATTCCAGCCTGGGACGACCGGCTGAAGGGCCTGCAGGACGAATTCTGCCGGGCTTTCCTGCACACCTCCCCAGACTTCCAGCTCGGGTGGGTTCCTGCCTTTTGGTGCTCATTTATCATTGTAACCCCTACGTCCTGCTCTGATGCACACATCCGGTGTATGCATGCACAGTGCTTACTTGACTTCAGAGCCCTTCAGACGCAGCTTTGTGGCTGTCATTGTGTTTCGCTTTATTGCTTGGATGATCAAGCAGATTTGCTTAAAGTATGGGACGAGTGGCTGCAGGAATGGCTATGGCGTGGACCCTCCAGGGCAGGCGAATCTGGCAATCTGTTCTGGGGGAGTTGGGCAGCGGTACAAATGCCTCGCCTTCACCCTGGAGATGCCCTTCAAGGACACCCATTACGCGAGGGAGCCCGTCCAGAACTGGTCCCCTGAGCGCTCAGTGCGCTTTGGAGCAGCCATGCTGAATGCAATCCTGGCAGTCATCCCCACATTGCGGTGAATTTTGTGCTCTGTTTTACTTTTGAGCAGCGCTGCACAGGAGCTTGGCAGCTGCCCAAATATATTGTTTTGCCATTCAGCTATCTATCAATTTCAAGTACTGCGAATAGCAAGATTTTGGGTACAAAATTTTCAATGCTGCGCAGAACTGCATAAACTTATGACAGTCCTTCCTTTCTTGAAAAATGTATCAGAACCTCAATTGTTCCTGGCTACAGTAATGGTACTCATATTCAGGTTCTACATATGACACCAAATTGTAACGCCGTTGGCTCTGCTGCGTACTTATTTGCTGTAGTTCCCGCATCTCAAGCCCACTGTCATCCAACATCCCTGCAACCAGCACCACCTCTCTCGAAGCATGGCCCATCGCTTCATCAGCCTCATCACATTATCGCGACGTTGTAAAGCACTCTTAGGACACTTGGCATGGATGTGCATGTTCAGCAGTTTGCTTCATAAGGGCAAAATGGACGCGCAAAAGACAGCAGACAGCACCTTGTAGGGTCCAACATCGACTCGCTCCAGGCAGAAAGTGAAGACATATGGCCGCAATATCTCTTCACCCTTCTTCTGCGTCGCCATGACCTCGATAGCCTGCACTGCTTTGTTTCCGCTCCTACTGCTTGGAAAGACAACATTTGATATCGCCTGTACCAGCAGAGTTAAGAGCATCATTGTCAACAGCTTTTCTGATCAAGCTCCTGCACTTGTGCGGCTTGTTTCGTTGTGCTCCCTCGGAGCATGATGTACAGCAGGCTGCACGACAAGGAACGCCTTGCTCACCCGCCAAGACTCGCAATTGAGGAGCACATTCTGCGGTGGCGAGTGCAGGGCATTTGAAAACTCTTTGAACGGTATCCACATCTCTGTCCCCAGCCAGCTGTGGCATTCTGAAGGCGTGGCCTGCATCCAAAATGAGAGACATAAAGCTTTTAGAAGCACTTTTAGCCCGAGCCATCTATCTCTTGAAACAACTGATTTGTATTATGCTTGCATGCGCATCATTGAGAAGCCTTGATAGCCAAGCGTGAGAGAATCCTCACCCGGCCGGCAATCATGTTCTCACAGTCATAGGGCTTGCTGAAGAGGAAGGCTGTCCTGATGCCCGAGTCTGTATCCGGCCAGTCGTTCATCTGCAATGCATCCAGCTGCGCTGCCACCACTGCCGTGGGTGACAGCATGGGCGTGGGCCCTCTGTGCTCAAGCGGATTCCGCAGTCCGGCTGTATTCACATGCCGCGAGAATTCTGACGCCAGAGCAGTGCCTGCTGCCAAGAAAACAGGCTCACTTACACAGTAGGGTGACAGTCACCATGAAAAGCAGGGTGTCAGGTCCTATCTTTGTAGCTTGCAACTGGACAGCTCCCATCTTTATACCTTCTGGAGGATTCTGCCCTTCTGCCAGGCACCTGCAAATGCCACTGGACGCCTTTCTTGAGACTCTCTGCGTCTGATCAGGATCAGAATGCGCAGGTACAACGGGATGCCTGTGCCTGAGCAAGGATAGGCAGTGGGGCAGAATCAATTGACATCGATCGCTGCCAATGTGGGTGTGGTTGAGCATCATTACTATATAATGAGTATGATAGTCTTCGTCCTAAAGAAATAAGAACCGATCAGCCTCAGATCTTCATTTGTGAATTCTTGTCAATCCGTAGAGTAAATGAAAAAACCGACAATGACGTGTGTTCCTGGGAATTCTGATTAAGATGTACGTTGTCGCAACTTGTTATGTGAACTATGTCACAAAATTGTATTGAAAAAGATGCATTGCTGAGTCGTCATCTTGGTGGGCAGGTCACAATCCTTGGCAGTTTCAGTTTCTTTTTCAATCTACTCTCAATGATTTGAAAACAAAATACGACAATCCCTCGCCTTAAAAGAATAGGACTCCTTTCAATCTGCGACTGTCGCGATTTGTCAGGCCTGCCTGACACATAATCACTCTACAAAACACTACAAGTGATGAAGCCATCGGCAAGCGCTCACGATGGGAGTGACGACTTCAAGGACCTCAGCAGCCTCCTCAAATCTTACATGAATGCTGATGGAGTTATAGATCCGGACAAGGCTCCAGATGATATGAAGGTGACGATCGGTCTAGTCCTCCTGCAGCAAGACTAGCTGGTCATCGATAGTGTTTAGCACAGCATGCCCTACTGATTCGGGATATATAAGCCATTTACACTTATATTGAAGTGGCATGGCAGGATCTTCTTGCAAAGTTACAAGATGTGCAGAAGCTGGCCAGAAATAATAAACAGGCGGGGATCACAATCACACCAGAACCTGGGTGGGTGATCCAATTGAAATATCAAAGACACCATGATGCCTGTAAATACAAAGCACCTGTTGCCTGACGGGTAGTGCCCTCTTAGTCATACAAGAACAGACTGGGCAATGATGTACTGAATTTACATGCAGGTTTGTGATCAAGAGTGTAGATGAGAAGGGCAAGAAGGTCTTCATCAATGTCTGTGGCTCGCCCTCGGTCCTGGCACCCGGGGGATGGAAGAATGGACAGGTAATGCATTTCTCTTGGGGTTCTTTGATGGTCATTGCAGCACATTGACCACCGTGGACTGTGGATTTCATTGGATGGCACTTTCTATATGGACATTGATACGAGTCTTCCTACCATCTGGTGACCTCCATTCGCGCTCGTGACAGATGTCTGAGGAGGTGCGCACAGCTCTGGAGAGGGCAGAGCTTGAAGACCCTGGCGAGACCCTTCGCTTCCCCCTGAGCATGGGGGAGATGCGCTTGGACCAGGACCACAAAGGGCAAGCCTGCCACGTGCTTGACATCGTGTTCAACATCGACGTGCTCAAGCAGGCAGAAACATTCAGGTGGGTCCAGTTATTTGATGCATGCATACGCACACTCTAAGCGGCATCTGCATGCGGCCCTTCCCCCTTGCACTGGCGAATGCACTGCTTACATGTCATTGCCTCTCCTTTCCTGTTTTAGATATATGAGCTGCTAAAAAACTCTCCTTCACTGGAACGGATGTGCTGGCGAGCTTATTTCTGCTGTGCATGCACCTGCAGGAAGCTGAAGATCTTCTTGGTGGAGCTGGCGATGGGATGGGCCAGCCAGAAGCACAGCGTGGCACTGGACCCCAACTGGAAGCTGCCAAAGATGCGCTACAAGGGCGACAAAGTCCAGTCCCAGCGCCTCCGACTAGATCGCAAGCCTGTGAGAAATCTTGACCTTACTGCGTTTATGCTGCATAGCCCATCATTGTCTTGTTGACCCCGTCATGGATTCTTATGCCAATAAGTGTGGTGCTACAGCCGCATCTGCATGTGCCGTTGCAAGTGTCTGTGGTGTGCACCTGTGCCCAGCAGCTGCATAAGTGGTGCCACAGGTGAGTGGCTTTGAATAACTCTTTCACTTGTTTCGTGCAGCTTGTGACAGACCTGGGCGATGTATTAGATGAGCCGTCCTTTCCATTGGTGGCAGACAAGAAGCAAGGCTCAACACCGTCAGCCAGCACAGCAACTCTGGACCCAGCAAAACAAGAGCAAAAGCCACAGGCTCCACCTGAGCCATCAAGTTCAGCTGCAGCATCTCCTGAAAAGCAGGTGAGAGTCTCTGGAATGCCGCAGCAACCTCAACAGTCCTCATCACGAATTCTTCTGTAAAAGTACAGTTGTGCCAAGTGACTCTAGCACCACTCTTTTCTGCCAAGTTGTATTTAACACTCCCATGCTGAAAGATGGCTGTGCCATGCAACAACAGGTGCCTTCCTATGAGGTGCACTACCACGGGCGGCCAGCTGAGGTAGTGGAAGTCAGCGTCAGGCTCGACCAAGCTCAAGCAATTTCAGGCAGTACCAGCGAGCAAGTGTCTGTGCAAGTCCAGCTGGCTCAGGTAGCACGTCCCTGCACTTATCTGTTACACTATTGCAACTTTGGATGCCTTCTTTTGGCGCATTCAACTGTCTCATGCCACTGCCACAACAATACAATGCTGTCTTATAGCAGAGGTTTCCTTGTGTGACCTGCAGGTCATTGTGCAAGTTCCTGGTGCTGCTCCGCTGGAGTTGAGGCTCCCATTTGGTGTTGATGCAAACTTGGGAACAGCATGCGTAGAGGATGAGGGCAAGCGGTTGTCCCTTCGGCTCCCATTTAAGCCCTATCGCAGCTTTGTTAACGAGGTATGAGCCACTGGCTATGCAGCTTTAACACTGCCACATTTGTGCGGAATGAAGCATTTTATAGGTTTGGACTGCTGCAGGGGAGACAGGATCAGGAGACGCCCTTTGACTACATGAATTGCAGCTACATGCAGATGGAGGCATAACTGCTGAAGCGACAGTATTGACCGGGGTGACATGGACAGCGTAAAGAATTGCTGGGAGTAGTTGCATCTGTTGCTGCAGTCTCAATTACAGAGCCGTCACGTCTTGCGGTGTCAGAGCCCTGTTTTTGGAGCGGCATGCAAACAAAAGAGATACAAACAACCAGCACTGTAAGCCAATCCTGGATTTGATAAGTCAACATGCATGGCGGGCAGGTATTACTAATATTCCGCTTCCTGTCAAACAACTCAGATAGACCTGTCATAGACATGCAATCATGTGGGCTGAAACAGCTCCCTCGACTTTTTACAGCCTGTGCTTGGTAATCATTACATTATCATTAAGGAATGATTACTTATAAGTTTGGCAGCTACTCCTCAGTCAGCGGCTGCTGGTTGAGCGCTGCGTGGAGGATGGGGTCTAGTGTTCCCTGCAGCTGCACCAGGGACGCCTGCAGCTTGGCTTCTAGCGTCACCCTCTCCCTCAGAAGCCGCAGCTTTGCATCCACCTCCTCACTCACGCCCAGCTGCGCACACCAACATTGCTACTATGTCAGCGAAGCCCGACATCTACATCAAGAGAAGGGACGATGCAAGACACGAAGGCACTGCAAGCGCCAAAGTAGGAGAAGGGCTGCCTCGCCGTGTAAACAGAATGTATCAGACAGAACAAACAACTCCTGGCCCAGGTGCACTACATTGTATACATCTCCTCAAACAGTCCACAACACCAACATATGGTGATCCCACTGTCATCAGACATGCAGGGTCATGCACTCAATGACAAAAGAGCAAGAAAAAAAGGGGTGGGAGCTCACCGCAGGGGCATAGATGTCCAGGAGGCGGTTGGCAATGCCGATGAAGAGGTCGGAGTGGCGCGGGTCCGACAGGTGCTTGACCAGGTGAGTCAGCAGCGGCAGCAGCCCCTGCGCGTCCCTCCCACCTGCAGCCACACAACACCCAGTACAATTCAAGCCGCATTTTTCTCAACCCTTGCATGGCCCACTGATCTCTAGAGAGACTTCTGATTGCACACCCATCATGTGCATTCACGCATGTGAACTAGTGAAATAATGTAGCATCTGGAGAGAGAAAAGGAGCTGCACCTAGCGCGGCGAAGAGGCCGGAGCGCGCAGCCAGCTCTTCCAACAGGTTGGCCACCACCTCAACCTGCTCTGTCGCCAGCGCCGCATCCAGCGCAGCCCGGTACCTGCCGCACAACAGCACACTCAGAATCCAGTCAGCCTCTTCCCATAAATCATTTGGCTGCGCAGCTCGACATAACCGCCAGTCACAATCCCAACACACAGCCGCAGAGGCGCAGTCAAGGCGCAGTGAACTTATTCTTCACACTCAGGAGATTCAGCCGGGGGGGTTCTGAAAGCACCAGCCACAACTCTCTGCAAGCACATGGAGACAGTTGAGAAAGGGACAACAGCCATTAGTATGGACGGGACAGATGGACAGGGGACGCGCTGGAAGTGACGGAGCATGTGGTCATAGGGCGCCAGGCGGCGCATGCCCGGCTGCGAAATCCTCACGTCGTCCTTTGACGGCTTCTCGGTGGTGCCGCGCACAAAATACCTATAAGACGCCGCCGTCAACGTGGACTTCCACACCTTCTTTGCCTTAGCTGGGCCGCCTGCAGAGCAAACATTACTAATTCCTTCTGAGCAGAACCCAGATTATTTCTATAGGATTGGCAAAACGGTAATTAAATGAAAACGCTGCAGACATATGTGGCTTAATCTGGACATGCCTGACCGTGTTCAGAAGATCCTGGCATTCATAATGGTAAGGATACAAGGAAGGTCCACATGTCCAAAAATGCAAAGGGCATGGTGAATGCAAAAGATCCCAAGTAAGGTAATCCACGGGACAGCTTGACCTGCTTAACATGAAAGGACCTGGTAGGAGAGGCTGGGATACAGACAGCAGCGCACCTCCGGCAGGGCCCTTGTTGTGGGAGTGCTTGCGCACGGAGAGCTGCCCGTCCGCCATGCCGACTGCCAGCAGCGCAGCATTGGCCGAGATGGCAACGCTCATCACGGGCGCCGGGTACTTTGACACATGCGTCACCTTGAACGCATCCAGCTCGTACACCTGCAGCAACGCACATAACCCTCTAGCATTTCTCCCCCAAGCGCAGCTTGCGCAGCTTTCACCTTCTGCTGTAGATGTCACAGCACAAACCTTGACGGCATTAGAGCGCAAGCCATCAATGCCCTGAAGTCCTGCTACCTTGTGTCTCCATGCAGACAAATGGCAGATAATAGCAGCAGGCCCCTGGAGTCTGCTAGACATTTATAATCATTGGAGCTTTTCTCCCACATCCTATAGAGGCAGGTGTGCTGCTGTCTAAAGTAACAAACAAAGTCTGCAAATATCGCCATGCCATGAATTGCATCCAGTGTCTGCAACCAGAGCATAGGAGTCACGCACCTTCACGTGGGCGTCCAGCGAGCCAGAGATGAGGCGTGGTGCAGAGACGGCGGCGGGCCCGGCCGATTGCGCCACGGCGAGGCTGGTGACTGTCTTCTGGTGATTGGCCAAACGCGCCAGCAGCCGCCCGCCTGCCAGCATGCTCCATATCCTGCCACATCAGCCCAGAACATTGTCATCAGCGCCCCGTCTAGCCTGAATCTTAATTCTACATCTGTCACTTGCAAGACGATTCAATGACATCACAAGAAAGCTGAGTTTCTTTACTTTGGGCACGTCTTATTTTTCACTACCTCCACAGCCTTTCTTGCACCCCACAGCCCTCTAGAACCATGCGCTTCATCTTTTACGCCTTCTCCTTCCACCCTTCGTTGCGTGCAAAGGGTGAAGTACACACATCTTGGTAAACAGAGGTGATGCGGCCTAGGACAAGGGAAGAGCAGCACCTTATCTCTGTGCCACCGGCGGTTGCGAGCAGGCTGCCACCAGGCAGAAAGACTGTCGCCTCAACAGGCGCGCCATGATCCAGAGTCATCGTGCACTGCGTGCATATTGCACAGCTTCAATATTTGTGTCTGTACGATACTTGCAGAAAGAATCTCGGGAAATGCACAAAGCTCTCGGATTGCAAGCACAGGTAACTGAGCTCACCTCTTGACTTCTGACGTCCCACAACCGGCATGTGTGATCATAGGAACCTGGACACAACAGCCATTTTAGCCATTACTACTCGCTGAGCAAGAGAAGCATGCGAATTAGCAGAGCGAGCACTATTAGAATGCCGCTGATGCTGGCTTTGCAAAATGCTCAAGCTAGCGAATTGCACGGGCCCACAGGGTGATCACCTGTGGCCCAGGTGTCAGGAGAGGAAGGGCTGCAGGCAGACGAGCGAACATAGTCTGTGTGGCCCTCCAGCCTGAACACCTGCTCGCCCGCTGTGACATCCCACCACCTCACCTGCAGCAGTATGCTCACGCCCTCGCAATCTGTGCCAGACAATCATGCCACGACGGCCAGCAAGATTCAAGCACAAGAGCTGGTGATGCTGACAACATATGCATTATCACTTGCTGAAAGCGGAGAGAAAGTATATCAGCTGGCTCGCCCTGTGCGACTGAAGTGCATTGCATTGCATCGCATTGAGAATTGGCGTGAGGTTCTGGGGGCCGCACCGTAGCGTCGTCTGACCCTGACAGCACGTGCATCTTTGAGGGAGAAAAGCGGGTGGTGTGCACCGGCCGCTCATGCCCCTTCAGCTGCCGCAGCAAGGTCTGGCTCTTCGGGTCAAACACCTGCGTCACACATGCACTCTTGCTGACCAGCCCATCAAGCCTGCAGTACACTCGGAACTGCTGCACCTTTCCAGCAAATTGATTGTGGGAGGCAGTTGGAGTGTAGGGCGCTCGCCTGGACAAAGCCATTCTCCCCACCAGCAACCAGCAGCTTGCCATCGATCCTGAAGGTCCCTGAGTAGGCTTTGTCTTTGAAGCGGGACAGGGTTGTGATGGGCTTGCGAGTGTGCGCATCGTAGATGATCACTCGCGTGGAGGCAGTGACTGCATAATTGTATGGGTACACTGGGCTGAAGTCTATGCATGTGACAGCACCAACCTGCGCACCAGTAGAACTATTTATTTGAGAAGTAGCTTTTGCTGTACATGATCAGAAGCAAGCCGTATGCATGCTGTTGAAACATGCTACGTGGGCACTGAAGTCTCTGAGGCATACCTGCTGGGACACGATAGGTGCGCGAAATCGACGCCAGTATCTGCTCTCTGCCGTCTCATGGAGTGTTCGAGCCGGATACTGTTTGATGACAGTCTTCTGAAATTGACCAAGTTGGTCATCCATGTAGTCTAGTAAAAGTACCAACTATGTGCTCACTCGAATTGACAGGCTCCTTACTTGGGATTGCAACATCTGCGACTTCTTTTACAAATCGTGTCGTGAAAGGTGCACATCGGAAGTGAATTAGTGTGTTTCCAAAACTTAAATCAACAAACTCTTTATAGCGAAATACCTGCCACGAGATTGCTCGATGGGACAGTCTTTGAGATTTCAGCTCCTTTACAATGCTTTATTTGATTTTTCAATAGATTGAAAACGGTTTTCTACTTGTTTCATTTCCTGCGCCGGCTGAATTTGTGACGGAGGACAAACCCTTCTAACTGATCCAGGGGTTTAATGGCAAACCCTCTGAGGAGATCTGCAGCTCAACAATTACAGAAGCTGCAAAGCGGCCGTCCCTCTTCCCACTCATGATCGGCAACCTTGTCTGCGATCTCTGATGTCTGGCCACCAATGCCGTACATAAATTGTACATTCAGGGGGTTCTCTGGACGGTGGTGCTACACTCAGTACTCAGTTGTCAGGCTGACAACTTAAAGTCACATTCACCATCATGATCAAAAGACTGGTTGGCTGAAAGGCTCTGGCCTCCCGGCGGTATTCTACCGATCTAAAATCGGGGCGTCACGCTCGCTCATGCACAAAGATGCTGCCCTTGACAGCGGGGTCCCCAGCATACACCTCACTGACGCGCAGGTCCCCTGGCTTCCCGCTGTTCTCCACATACAGCTGCCGGAAGTAGTTCAGCTCATTGCCCAGGATCGACTTGCGCCCGCCGCCCGGCTGCGTGTCTTGAATAGGAATTTTGAAGCCCGCCACCTTGGCCTCCAGATAGAAGGGCGGCCCGATGACTACCGTTGTGTCATCCTTCTCGTCCGGGACTGCCGCGCTGGACAGGCGCACCTGCGCTCACATGCAGGACATGTGCTCTGACAGCACTGGCACTTATGCGCGCGCGTCCTCGAGTGAGCACAGGAATTGATTCGTGTCGGGTAGGCTTGTAGGCAAAAGTGGAAAGTGTCGCACCACCACGGTTCCTTTGCCAATGTCTATGAGGTTGGCGCCGCGCCCTTCCTCACCTACAAATTCCTTGCCCAGCAGCTGTGTGCTCTTAGCAGGAATGGGCAGCTTCAGCACCCGGCTCACCTGCGCGCAGGCATGTAAAACAGCTCAGTTGCACGGCCATGCATGCCCAACAGGCCGGCAGTGCCTAAGAAATGCTTTAAGGGGTTTTGATCCCTCTGCTGGGATTGAGTCTCGGTCATTGAGAATTGTTTAGGTTGCAGAGGGCACCTGCCTCAGCATTTGATGAGGCCCACAGCAGTTTCCATTCCCCAAAGATAGTGGGTGACTTGGCGGGCGACGGTGTCGGATTTTCCTCTGCTAACTTCCTCAGTGCTGCAATGACCTCATCATCCCCCTTTTTGGCCGCGATTGCATCCAGCAGAGCCTGCCTCGCATCTGTGCATGACACGGCGCTGTGAGAAAACTATATCAAGCTCCATAGTCATGCACGACGTCCGCAGAGACGACTTCACCTGAAGACTGTGCACGAGCTGGAAGAGGCCACAGGCTCCCAACTGACGTAGCCACGGCAATGTGAAGCAGCTGCCTGCGCCTGAGAGCTGGTGGCAGGTGCACACAGTGTGAGACTTAGCACCAGTTGAGGGTTGCTGAAAATGTGAAAACTGATAGGGCCTTAGGGATCACAAGATTCTCACCACTTTCTGTAGAGATGTTGTCACAGTGTTCTGCTCTGCAAGTCACAGCTCGGATCCGTTGGTTACTGGCATGCGCTTGTGAAAATGCCTGCAACATGACGATGTTCAATCAGACAAAGATTTGTGTTTTCATGAGTGTAATATCCGTGGTATCCAAAAAAAGCATCGGAATCAGCTATATATCCTGTTAAATGCTTTCTGTCTAGTCCTGCAGGATCAAGGACCTGTCGATGGTGCCATGAGCGTTAATCGGCATAGCTAGAAAAAATTGTCTAGAACGTAAATGTATTGACAATTTCCACGCAGACGAAAGACGCACTCTGGGTGCTCTGAACAGACGGGATGTACTGGCATGTGGTGATGTCAACAAGCCCACGGTACTATTCATCGATGCTGAACTCAGACTCGTCATGATAAGACAGACAATCGCACGAATCTTCTTTGCTTTTTTGGATTTTAGACAATTTGGTGAACTCCGAATATCATGCCAATGAGGGGTGTGTCATGTCATGGGGGTTCAGTAATATTGGACCACGATGGTTCTGGCTATATTCATTGATCTGCACAGAGTACTCGCGACGAATGCAATCTGACATCCCTGAAAATGAATACCTGCTTGTGCCGTCATAATCAGGCATCCACTTCTGGCAGGACAGATCATCACGCCCAAAGGTCTGGCAATGCCAGGCACCTCTTGCAGACAAGGTAACAGATACTACTGCAATATGTGGTGTGGTGATGTCCAGATCTTCAGATGATCTTCTAAGTATGTTGTCCAAGGATGCATCAGAGGGGACTTTTGTGATTCAGAATGGATAGAAGTTTATTGACTCCTTCCACCTGCTCCTGCAGGAGACAAGCCCTGGTTCTCTTGTCTGGCACATTAAGTTTCTCAAGATTAGCTAGAGCCGCGGGGAAGGGAGAAGAGGACTCCTTGTATGCGCTGGGGGAGATCAACAACGTGCTCAATGCTTGCCCTTTGAACTCTCCATCATGCATATCCAGCCAGAATGATGATCAGTTTCATTTTGCGGCGCCCTGGCAGGTGAGTCATGGTCCTGCTTGCAGAGACAGCCTTGATGCACTTGTGCTGTGCATTTTTGATCCTATTCAGCTTTTTTTTGCGACTCAAACCAGGTCTAACCACCACACATTGCATTTGGGCATGCAGTATGACGGAAGCATGGCAGAGGCTTGCAGCCGTTTGTTGAGCATTGCTACAGGTACACATCTATTGATCAAAGTTCCTGTATACACGCTGGTAGCATAAGGAATCATGTCTGCAATGTGTCACCTCTGCGCAGGAGGTCAGTATGATGCCTTAGTAGAGGGCGCTCCTGGATTACCCGGCATTTCGAGGAAAGATGCCGCGGCTTTCATACTGGAAGGATTCCAGTCAACTCTGCGAGGTAGTTGAGGCACCAGATCTTGCATTTGATAAGGCTGATCTCAGGCTCCGGTGGAGATCAGTTGGCCTGTGCTTCAATCCAGGTGTCTGTGCCTTGTGGCAGGTGAGAGGCTGCCAGCGCAGCCACTGAGGCAGCGGCAGACATCGCCTGTGCTATTTGATGGCGTGCTTGCAGACAGGCACACGACAGAGGATGGTTCAGAGTACATCCGCCTTATTTTCAACCGAGGGAGAGAGCCTGCCGCCGTCCTCGACGCTGAGTTTCTCTTTCTGTCAGGCATGCCTCATACCTTACTTATTCACATTGGGGCTGGTTTTCACCATTGGCTTATGCTTGGACTCCAAATCTTCATGGGTGGCCGCTGATGGTTTTATCTGTATGCAGGCGATAACATTGTGGACATCTGGGCTGCATCGCGCGGGCGTCCCGGGCTGCAGGACTCTCAAGTGGGGCTCTCATTCTCAGAGGGTGTAGTGTACGACAGAAACATTGCCAAAAGGCGCATGGAAGAGCTGCGGAAGGCAATGCAATGGGAGACAGCCCCTGTCATCACCGACTTTGATCCCCGCTACAATAACAAGCGGTTGTTGTGGTTTGAGCGACTGTACCAGCCATTCTTGGGGCAAAATTACCGGATTGACGAGGAACCAATCTATGACAAATAGGCGCCGTTTAAAATTGTGATTTTGGAGATGCTGTGCATGTAAAATGGCAAACTCTTTCAGAGTGAACGAGTACAACGTGCCAGCCAACACAAGGCTGATAAAATGTCCCACAGCTTCCCAAGTACCAAAAAGCCAAATTTCAAAAAGTGACAGTGACAACTGTGGGATTCGAACCCACGCCCTTTCGGACCAGCGCCTTAAGCTGGCGCCTTAGACCGCTCGGCCAGCTTGTCCTCTGGTTGGGCTTTCCGATGATCGCTCACCGGTGGAGGTCTGCGTCTATTTTCTGTCTGTTCTTTGTCCTAAAAAGACGCTTGCAGGCATATGCAGGCATGCATGCATCAAATTGATGACTCTTCAGATGAAGGCTCACATCAAGTCCATCGGTGAGTAGACTCGTCAAAACTTGTTTGTACTTCATAGTCTGAATTACCATCATGACAAGTCGGCTTGGCAGTTGCCGGCGGCAAGCTACTTTCTCCGCCCATCACGTTCTATAGTTACGAAGGGTTGCCTAGACTCCCGGCTTGTCAAGCACTGCAATGCAGCCGATTGCGTCTTATAGAAGGAACAATTCCATCGAGAGAGGAAAGCAAGCGGCAGCCGATAGCCAGGAGCACTTTCAAGAGGCCTTGCAAAGCTTGAAAAAGTCAAGTGCATCTCTTCGACAGCTGGCTGATGCTATAGATCAAGATGCATTGGAAGGTCAAGGAAGGAGAAGGTTAGAGTGCCCTTTCGAATCCGCTATCTGATGTTGGCACCCAATGCGTCTGGACGTGGGAAGGCCACGTGTATCACCTGCACTGTGAGTGCATGCAGGGAAGGACAGGCATTGAATTTGGTGAAAGACGTTGTTGCGAGCCACAGAATGGCATGGGCATGTTTTCACAGAAGTCTGGCAAACCACCAGGAAGCAACCCAGGGTGCACAGCGTGCCGCGCAGGTCCTGCATCTGGTATGATTGTTCTTGCAACTGACAGTACTGCTCTCAAAGACCTGCATCTGCCAACCCCTTCTTCTTAATAGGAGCTTGCCTTGACTTTAAGATGATGTAGCATTTTGGCACAGAAACAATGTTTGAACCTTCTGCCTTCTGTGCAGGGGCGCCAGGGGTACCAGAGACATGAGCAGGGCATTCTTGATGGGAATGGCTGACCTGGAAAATGCACAGCAAATGCAGCTGGGATGCCGCCAACAAGGCTGCCAGGTTACTGCTCAAGAACTGCATGGAAACTTGACTATTTCTCCGGCATGCAAAATTGTGCTCACTGGCAGATTACGGCACAGCATTGCTGGACCGTGTGGGGTTGTTTGCTGTCAGGCAGCGTGGGGCTGATGACAATACTCACACGCTTCCACGATAGTTCCCTGGCTGATCAAGCTCTTGCGCGCCCTCAGGCTTTCTTGCCTGGTGATGCAGCCCCCAGCAATCCTTGGAAGCTACTGCAAGTGTTCAAAATACCATGCATATTGGGGTCTTCAGAACAGTCTCGGGTACATGCCGAATGCAAGTTTTGCAGGAACCCAGTCGACGACTTCAGGTTGAGGAGCTCTCCGGCACATTTAAGTTGGCTTGAAGCCAGCTGCAGCCTAGAGGCCTCAGGCTAAGCCTGAGGCTAATTTGAAGCCCGGGCCATCCTCAGAAGACTCTAGCTAGCCATCATAGTGGCGTCTCTTGCATTGAACTTCATTTCTGTAGCACAGGATAGCTGGCGCCGCGGCATTCAGTGTAAACTAAAGCTTGCCAAGTCAGTGACTGTACAGGCTGCACATGTGCAGCCTCAGTGAGCTGATCATGACTTTACCACCGTGGCCGCCACGGCGTGGCATGATGCATGCCTGTGACCCGCTGCACAATCATTGCACATGATGTACATGTCTCAGATTATCAATCATTTAACAATTTAATACCGCCGGCCGCCGGCCGCGGCGGTCGTATATGTCGTCTGGGCCAGGCCCAGGCCTGCAGGTGGTGCAGATTAGAGAACAGATTGCACCTTCTTAATATTGGTTGATGACATCCAGCAGGACAACTGCAACGGTTTCTCGGATGCATGCATGCCAAATTTTTGTCTTGCATCGGGCTTGGAAGTTTCCTGGCATCGTGGCAAGCTGACGCCCACGATGGGCCTCTCGTGAGTCATATGTGCAAATGGATCCTCAAGCGAGCAATGGTGACGTGATCCCGATGAGTTTGGTTTACGTCCTCCAGGTCAGGTTGTCGTGTGTTGCACAAAAGCAGTACGACTGGCGCAACATCATGTCCGGCAGCATGTCGTCGGACGACCCCGCCTCGCCCAGCGCCGGGGCGTACTATGACGCCACTAAAGAAGAGGATGAGCTAATGGCCGCTGGCGCCACGGAAGGCAGTACGTCCCTGGCTTGCGAAGCGCATGCGTCTCGCTCATTGAAAGGCTATTCTAGTGAGATGTTGAAGGCTGGAAGTGGCTGTGAGGTGTCTCAAAGGGGAACCGAACAGGCTTGATGAGGCGGTGAAGGATAAAGCGTGGACATCTAGATGTCACGGGCGTGCGAATCCCGGTCCAAGGATCTTTGATTTGCTGGGCTCTGGAAGGTGTAGCAATTGCACTGTCGCAGGGAGGGCAACAGAGGCATGCTGGTGAGCCCACCTCGTTGGTGACAAGACTGACCGAGTTTGAATTTTACCCTTTGTTGTGCTTGTCAAGCAGGCATGTCTGATCCTGCTGCCATCGCCAAAGCCATGAGGCGCCACGAGCTCCTCAAGCTGAAGAACAGGCGGGCGCAAGCGCGTTATAGGGAGCGAACAAAGGTGGGGTGCTGTTTACCCTCCCTTTCTTGACTAAGGACCGTGAAGACGTTTGCAGCAGTCTGGGTCCAGACTCATGTTTAGACTTTGAAATTGGCACGACAGCTCAGCAATACCATCGAGAGTGTGACAGCAAAGAGCGTGCGAGCTTGACGTTCAAAGCCTAATGTTGTCGTATAAACGTAATAGATAGGGACCCACTTACGTCAGAGCTGTGCAAGTGGCCAGCAATAATCGCCGTCTGCAGAGAGTATTGAATGGAAGTTCTGCACGCAGGCGAAGGCCCTCGTCTGGCAGGATCAGGTGGAGGTACTGACTGCAGCTCTGCAGCAGGCCAATGCAGAGAAGGCTGTGCTGGCAGCTGACAAAGCCAGGCTGGAGCAGGAAGTCAGCCGCCTGCGGCTGCAGATGAGCATGGGCAAGACCATGGACCTGCCAGACAGCAAGCTGGCCAATGGGCACTCCCCGCCCAGCGTGCTCCACGTAAGCCACTGCGTGTCAACAGCATAGCTGACATACTCCGAGCTACATGAACCGCCCCTGAATGCTTCAGTTGCAGTAGTGCTCCACTGCTGCAGATGAGCGCCATGCATGCAAGTGAAGAGCAGCTTGCCGATGTGCAGGAGGTGCATGTGCTGGCGCCCACACAACCCGTGAACATGGAGGCGGATGCCGACACGACGCGCGCAGTGCAGAGGGTGTTTGCGCTCGTGCGCAATGGAGAAGCGGCCGCCGACGCAAAAGAGCCACCCCTCACCCTGGATGACGTCGTCCGCTTCTACAATGTGAGCCTCCCCCTCATCTTATGTACTCTAATCGTCCAGTCATGGGCATGCACAGAGCTTCACCTGTCATGCACAAGGTAAGGATTCATTACAGATGTCCTGCACGTAGAGCAGTGCAAACGGCTAGCCAATACCCAGCAATGATCAAAGCATGGATTCGTTGAAGCACACCAGCCAAAGATGGTGTTGCCTGAGGAGGTGGGGCATGCGCAGGTGTGGGTGAGGGAGCTGGCGGCTGCCCTGATGGACATGGGCAACAAGTCCAACGCGCCAGCGCAGGCCAGCGTGGAAGAGCTCGTCCTGGCAGGGGTGAGCCCAATCTTCCAAATTGCTTGTTGCATGATGCCTGTCATGTCAGTCCACTGCTGTTCTATGCCAAAGCAGTCCATGAAACACGCTTGAAATGATCGGAATGTCTGAAAGGATGGCAGGTTGATTGTTGTTATTATGGGGAGACATTGTGACGTCGTGCGTGTGTGTGCAGAGGGAGGTCAGCAAGAAGCTGCACGTGCGGCTGCCGGAACTGTCAAAGCTGCTGGACGCCACCCTGGCCAAGGCCCCCAAGGAGCAGTTTGGCCCGCCATCCGCCCAGATCTGGAAACGCATCATGGTGCGTCTTCTGCATACAATACTTGCGCCAGATCTACGCTCCAATACCTCTTCCAAGATTGTCCTCCCTCACTTCTGACTTATGCATCTGAACACACCTTCATGCATTGCTCATGTATCAGCCTGATTGATGAAATGGGCCTATTGTTGCAGTGCTAAAAGTGTGTGCTTGGTGGGGCATCGAAATGATAGGAGGAGTGTATTTGCAGGAGCGTGTGAATTTGACTCCCGCCCAGGTGGAGCAGATTGTGCAGCTGCGCCAGGACCTACTGGAGCAGGTCTGTGGAATTTTAGAGGACCGCAGGGCCACCTTTGCCAAGCTGCAGGTGCTTACACATCATTGATACAGCCAAGTTTATCTCCTCGTATTTAAATGTCATCTTCACGCTCACTCTGAGAACTAGAGTGAGGCCATTGTCAGTTTAAAGCTGGCTGGAACCAATGTATTGCAAATTAATGACACGGCAGCCAATTGCAGATGTCACCTTGAGCATACTTTTCTTCTGGCAATGTCTTGTTATGCTTGTTCGAGATATGAAGTGTGTTGCCAGATCTGAGTGGCATGGCATAGACAGGATGGAAGCGCATGCTGGGGCAGCCTGTGAAGCAGAACGGGTGTGGGTGCAGGCGGATGCAGCGGATGCAGAGGATTCTGGCAACACTGCGAGCGCGCTGCTGGCGGCCAGCCAAACGAGCGCGCAGCTCAAGGCCAGCCAGCTGCAGGAGCAGCAGCTTGTCATAACCTTCCTGCACCACTTCTGCGAGAAGGTGAGCAACGTCCCTTGATTTTTCACCGTCTGCCCCGCTCACCTGCAGCCTTGACCTCGCACAGCAGCGCACAGCACAGCACTGCGGCGAGCCCTCGCTGCAGAGGAGAAATAACAAGCTTGAGAATTTGAAATGACCTAGGTGGCACTGTCTGGGTATCCAATCTCACAGGCAGTCAGAGGGCAAGCTGGAACCTATCTGTGCGTGTGCCGATGTCTTTTGGCAACAGGAGATTGAGGTGACACTTTTCTGTTTGTCCGCCCATCTAACCAGCAACGGGAGAACCAGGTGGCAATTTGTGCGCGTCTGCTCTTCTTAGGTTTTATATTTGGTGTTGCAGCTGACATTTGCGGTGTGCGCTGTGCGCAGATCCTGCAGCCGGTGCAGGAGGCGCGCATGGTGGTGGATGCGCACCCCTACGTCGTCAATGCCTTTGCGCTGTGCACCGCCGCGGCCGATGCGGCCGGCCACGACGCCGCGCTGGCCGAACCGCTCGCGTCCTTGCTGGCCGAGGAGCAGGCCCCCTCCTGGTCCCCCCTGCCGCCAGACTCGCCCTTCCGCGCCCTCTACCACGGCGAGCTCCGCCTGCATCAGGGTGAGTGGCATTCCCTCGCAGGGCAGCTTTAAATTTGTGATGGCCTGCTAGGGGCCTGTGTAGGAAAAGAAATGATTTTAGGAGCTAGGAGGAAGCCAAAATACAAGGCAGGGCAATCAAATGGCCGAAGATGTCACCCCCTGGCATGAGACTGCCACTGAGGGGCAGGCGCGCTGATCCATTTCTGAGCAGTGCCCAGTTGTAAGTTGTCAGCAGGTGCCGAGCGCCGTGCGATTGTACAGACCACAGAGTTGTTTCTATATGATGGTGCTGAAGGGGCCAGGTGCCCCATTTTTAGCAGAATCGCAGGTCAATGAATGGCTGTGGTGGGCTCTGATAAGTGGCTGCTCCCGCTGTGCAGGTGCTGCCATGCTCGTTGGGCAGCCTGACGCAAAAGCTCGGGCCTCTGGCGAGGATCCGGGGCCAGAGGCGTAGCTGGGTGCAGGGACATTTTGCTCGGTCTATAAGACTTCAGAACTGAACATGCTTTTGAACACACTGGCCAGCTTGTCGAAGATGGATTTCAGCATTCCAAGGCAGTATCAGAGCCTTGCCTAGCAATGCCTTGAGCTGATGGAATTCTCAGGAACCTGCTCACATACTGAGCAGATGACCAGAGGGAAATGACCTCGAGATTTGTAGCTGTCCGCTGTGCATACACAGAGACACTCACTTGGAGTGTGTGTGGTGCCTGCCAGATGAGCTGTCTTTCATGAAGCCCGGGGGCTTCAACATGGGCTGAATTTTCTTCTTTCCGGGAACTTGCATGTGCATTTAGGACTACCCTCAAGGGGATACATGTGCGCGCAGTCTGGCGCTGCGAAAGCTTTGCATTGAGAGGGCAGCATCTTGTTTGACTCCGTCCGGGTTATGTTGCTTCATGCGCACACACAGCTCAGCCTATTTCTTGGGTGTGGGCCGCCACTTCCAGCAGAAGGGCTTCAATACCTCTCAATTAGCAATCGCTGCCCTGCCATCTTTGGGCAGAGAGACCATCACTTTTCACAACCGAGTCTGAGGCATTTTGATGTGGACATTCAGCTCGCGAGCTCTGTCAGAGGGTTGCATGTTTGAGTCAATATATGGGGGTTTGGTTTTGTTGCTTCCTCATTGAACATACCTGTTATTAAGGCCTCGTGTTGCAGACTGGGAGCATAATGTGCTGCAAGGTGGCCTGAGGGGAACATGCGCCAAGGACAATCAATTTGTATCATATATTGTGGCCAAGCCTCACTTGTGCTTGACAAGTGATGGAGATCTTGCTTGTGCCTGCTTGGCGCGTGGTCAGATGGTATGTCATATTGCAGGACCAATCCTTGAAAAAGAGGAAATGTCCTCGAGATTTGGACCAGTGAGGGTGCGCATCACCTGCAATGTGACTTGACGAGCACACTGAGTGATTGGGGCTGTCAGGATCAGACTTGGGACATGGGATTCCTTTGGATTGTCTATGAACGTCATGTTTGTGGCCAGCAGTCACTCCTGCCTTGACGACGCTGTGTTGCGGGGGCACTCTTTTCAATTAATTCTCAACATGCAGGATGCGCCACGCTCTTTCATTCACTGCAAATTGTGCAGTGTCAAAGTGGTGCCTTTTTTTCAAAGCAAATCATGTAAGCCAATTTGTTTGACAATTTTCTGCACAGCTAAGGTACCGGTAGACATAGGCAAGCATCATGCACAGAAGTACAGTGGACTTCATCATGATGTGCATATGATATGCACATCAGTCATGAAGAATGCCATGGTGGGGCTGACCTGCCTGCCAGTGTGCCAGAGCTATTCCTAGTGTTCATGCCCCTGAGGTTCCTCTGAAATGATGGCATCTTGATGGCCTGTAGGTAGCTACCAGCCGTACTTGTTCCCCAAAGGGATTGCCACCGGCGGTACTGCCAGTATGACCAGTGGTCATGACCACCAGTACTGAGGAGCCCCGTGCCTCGAGGCACGGGGGACATCATGTATGATACTTTCTCCCAAAGCTTTCATAGCCTAGGCCTCTAGATCTTAGACGAGTCTTGCATGCAATCTGCACGCTTATTCACAGGATCTGCACACTATATAAGCACCTGAACTTCCCTGCCGCCTGTTCTTTTCTACAATCATCTGATGGTTTCCGCCAGAAAAGGATGACAAAGCTGTACTTGCAGAAGCTGGGATGGCAATTGAGATTTGCCATCTGGCAAGGGCAGGGCACAATCTTTTCAAACCAGCTGATCGCCCCCGGAACTTCCACTTCTTGGCCCGAATGGACATTGCGCGGTTCATCCGATACACAATGGTGCCGCTGTGAAAGCCAAAACTTGGATCGGAGTGTCATTTATAGGCGCACGCGCACGTATTAAATGGAACGCAGGCCTGTGACAAGCTGATACCAAACGATTTGACAGAATTGGATCCTTGTCCTCTTTGTCATGAAATGGGCGCAGGATGCTTCGAACGATCTGAAAATCAGGTAGCTCTTCTTTATGTCACTTGAGTGCAGCGCCCATCGTGTCATTTCAACAATACTCTGCGCTTCACAACCAAAAGCCTGAGCTGCCGTACCGAGACAGCTAGACTACGACAAGTTTTCAGAACACACAGCTGCATCGAGTCTTAGAGCACCGAGAAATCAATTGAGTGATTGATATCAGTTCAAAGACGTGAGCCGTCGGGCCCGCGTCGATAAATGTCAACCGCAGCGAGCATCGTCGTACTATTAGTCGTACCACGAAAGGAATTATTATGAACGACTGTATCTTCGTGCAGGCCGTCGACAAAAGATCTGCTTGGAATACTGCACATGATGGCCGTCCAGCAGCAGACCGGCCTGTTTGGAGAACACCAACATGAAAGAGCTGCGTCATGCGATGTCCCCCTGCAGCGACTTCCGGCATCAAATCGCGATGGCCCCCCCATGAACATTGTGGAGAGTTACCTCTCCAGCCTGAAAGCAATGTATGCCGTCAGCACACCAGCCATGGAGGTATGTGAGATGACCTGCTCGTGATCCAATCTCTTGAGTCCAGGAACTTCAGCTTGTACTGAAACGCTGGTGATTACATGATACCGAACTCCAACACGACTTACATGTCTTTTCAGATCCTGGATGCTCAAGACTCGTTGCAAATGATGTGCAGGGGCCAGCCGCCGGCTCCAAGAGGGCGCACACAGCCTCCCACCCCATGCACAACCCCTTCCAGAGCTGCACAACACAGTCGCAGGAGCCGGCCTGCTGGGCCGCGCAGGACACTCGTGCCAGTCATCGCAGCAAGCGGCAGCGCAGCTGCACGGCAGATGACGGGGAAGATGTCGCGGAGAGCATGCCCTGGGGCCCGGTAGAAAACTCTGCGCCGCCAGCCGAGCACGCATGGCAGCTCCGAGCCAGGGACCACAGCTCTGTCAGTGCTGCCTCCACCCACTGGCAGGTCCAGATCTGGCCCCAGCCCACCTTCAAGCTCCACAGGGACGTGATGGAGGATGATGCAACCTCCCCACTCAGCGCCCCGGCTCCGCACGAGCAGGACTAGGGAGCGCGCACATGCAATTTTCGAGCTGGCCGGTGCTCCCATGGCTGTGTGCTGATCCCAGAAGGCTCTCTCAGAGGACGCCGCGGCCGCGCCAGCAGAACTGGGCGTCTGTTCTGTGTGCACTTTGGATTTGTGGCAGGAGGCAGATGCCGGGGGGCGCTTGAATGTGTCTCGGGCTGCCCATGCGAGCAGAGCCTACTGCCATGGACAGGACCCTTTTTGCAAGCTCTCAGTGGTTACCAGTTCAAGGACCGGGATGGATTAAGATTATGTAGTAGCAGCCTGTGGCTGAAGCACTGTTCTGACAATGCAGTATGCCGTACAGATGGGAAGGACTGACTGACTGGGGGTAGATTAGGCCGAGCAGACCATCTGCTGTGACTGCTGGGCTGGTTGTTACAAGTAGGGGCAAGGTCAGGGATGGATCTGCAGCCTCTGCACATTCATCCCTGGCTTTGACAATGCACAAGGCAACAATCGGTTTATTAGCACACCATCTCCGTATGTATTGATTGCCCTCTTCATTTTGTGGATGCTTGATTTGTAGGATCATCAAGATGCTCTGTTTGCGGAAGAATGAGACTTACCACCCGCACACGGCAAACTCGAAGTATGTGAAGGGTTTTGTACCATGCTCATATATGCGCGCACATTTACCGCCGAATCACCCTCTTGCACAGGTCAAGGGGATTTTTTTATATGTGTCTGTTGGGGTCTGACACTTTTGCAAGTCTGTCTGCTGTGATTTTATTTTTGATTGATTGATCAGGGCCTGACTGCGTATGATCGCAATGTGGAAGCAAAGACTGGGATTGGGATTAGTAGGCTGCTGCCAGCTGTACGTACACACTCGTTTGACAAGTGAGAGGATGGATTGTGTAACTGAGTTTGTGAGCTTTATCATGCATGCTGCCATGGCCATAGAACCCTCTTTTACATTGCGTCAAACCAGTCGAAATTCCAGGTGCCTATCACCAGCTGTGGACATGCTGTACAGCACAAGTGCGCAAAGCTGGCGCAGGCACATTCATCCAATTGACAATTTCGCAAAAAATGAGGTCGTAACATTACCCAAGCGCTTTATATTCAACGTATGTACTTTCACAGAGTGCTTCCAGCCTAATAGATTTTGGCACACTGCACATAAGTATTGTGAGGCACAGCCCCAAGCAATTTTGTTAAGCCAGTATCCCAGCGAAACAAAAACAAAAACATAGGTGCAGACCTTCATTCTGGCGGAATGCACACATCAGATTGCTGACAGAAAAATTGCGCACTGCCCACATAAATACTGATCACAGAGCGACAAATAGTCTACATCCTATACTTCTGCCTGTAGCGCACCCAAGAGCCCAGCAGAGCTCACGGAGGACCAGGCACAACCGCACACCTTCATAAATAACAATCAAGTACTGTACCTGAGGCACAGTACGCCGCCTTGACTGACTGACTGAGACACACATTGGACTGCCCTCTCTTGGGCTCAAGCTGAGACCAGCCTGAGATCAGGACTCCCATCGAAGGGCTGCAGCGGGCTCCACAGTGTGACAGGGGTCCAGCTCATCTGGCAGGGGCAGGCTGTCAGCCGCCAGCAGCGCTGCAATTGCATCTGTGGGCAGCTCGTCCTCCGCCGCACCTGCCGCCACATCATCCGCCCCTGCCGGCACATGACACCAGAACTCAGAACTCAAAGTGACCGAGTGCCCCATAGACCGAGCCAGGACTATCTTGAAGCATCTTTCCTTGCATGTCATGTAGAAGATTGCCCAACTTAGATGTCATCTGAGGCCTCAGGAATCAGGGGAAGACACAGGACACCTCCACCACCTCAAATCTGAAGTCTTCAATTCCCCTACATCTTCAAGAAGCAGTCCTTGCTGTCTTTTCAGACCTACCCACAAGATCAATTCCCAGACAACCTCCTCCATCCACCCCACGCCAATAGTCCAGCTCTTCCAGACAATACCTCCAGTGCCCCCGCAATACCTCCAGTGCCCTTGCAAACGCAATGCAGACGCCAACAGAATTCAGTGCCGTCAAATGTGGGGTCCTGGGTATGCTTGCTCCAGTGCAGGGTGCTCACCTTGGCTGAAAGAGGTGAAACCGAGCAGGGAGGCGGCAGGAGGGGCGGACAGCGGCCCAGAGGGCTCATGGTACACATCCAGGCCCTGGTACACTGCCGGCCACAGGGACCCATCCATCTCCTCCTGCTCCTGCCCCGTCACCCACCTGCGCGCCGGCCACACCATTCAGGGGACTTAGAAAGGCCTTTACTAAGAATCTTAATCACCCCGAAATACCACCTCTGCTGACACGCTCCTAAAGAAGTTACCACTGCATCACCAGTGACGCGACACGACGGCGTCTGGATGCATCAAGGAGGCGCCACATGCTGCCCAGCCCTATCTCAGCCCCCAAGAGCCCTTCACAACCATTGACGATCTTTCGAAAAGTTTTCCCATCCTAGCCCAAGCCAGGCCAGAGCAGCAGTTGCGCCCACATGATGCATTCAGAAGCCGGTCTTTCTGATTTCCATGGGACTCTAGAGTAAGTATTTATTCAAACTTCCCTGCAAATTCGCTTGGCAGAGTGTATACAGCTGGCGATCCTCTGTTGGCCTTGTGCGCATCACTTGATCATCGCTAGCAATAGGAGCAGCGGATGGGAGCCTGCCACATGCTTAGCACGTGCTTCAAATAGCCAGGAACTCCTTGATTCTCTCGAGTAATTGCAGCACTGACAGCTGGAGGGGCGGCTGACCAGTAGGAGCTCATATCGCTGAAGATGGTGTTCATGTCGGGCAGCGCATCGATGTCCGCGGCCAGGTCGGCCTCCTCGATGTACAGCTGGCTGCATATGTACAGGATGTCCGGCAGGTGCGGCGCAGCCGCCACGATGCACCGCGCATGCTGGATCGGCGTTATGGTCTGCGCCAACAACCCGCTGAAGCAATGTTGACGCATGCTGGACGATCCGGCATGCAGGCTCATGTTGACACCAGGGGGATCTATAAGTACATATATGCAATTCTGTTATATGTTCGTTTAGGAACCCCTGCTGACTCACATGCCATCTGGTGGCACAACCAATCATTCGAACTGTGCTTAAGAGCTGCGACCGAGGTCATGCGCACGGATTCATTACCAGAAATGGTGCAGCATGCATGCCTAGCCACTGAGCAGAGAAGTGGCAGAGGCAGCAAGCACGAGAGGGTCGGCGCACCTCGTGCACGGCTTTGCAGATGAAGTGGGTGACGAGCTGGTACTCCCTCTCCAGGTTGGCCCTCAGCTGCGACGTGGACAGCTGCGCCTTGAACAGCGTGTTGGCAAATGCCGATGCATTCCCGGGGTGCGGGAGCATCGCCTGTGGATCGCACACCACAGCATAATTTCAGGCGTAAACAAACCGTTGGATAAGTTGTCAGCATGGATCTAACAATTGACGGACAGTGTGTGTGAGTGATGAAGTAAGCTAGCACAAACACATCATCGTGAATCTATTGCAGACGTCTGCCACAGCAGCTCACACATAGGGTATCATGCACGCGTCATGGTGTCTGAGCCATGAGCCAAGGCTGTCACCTTGATGCCCTGTGTGAGGATGCGCCGCTCCGTGACCACGTCATCGATGTCCTTCAGGAACTTGGCCCGCAGGGCTATCAGGCGCTGGCGCTGCAGCGGCGTGAAATTTGCCGCTGCCTGCATTGCACAAGCCTGAGCTCTCAGAAAGACTCTTTTCATGTTCCAAAGTAGAATACGATCAGGTCCAAATCCTTCCAGCATTGCAGGACACGCCTGGTAATTCCATTTGGGACTGTCAAAACCTTTGTTTTAAGTGCAGTCAGTGTTAGCGAGGGGGTGCACCACAGTAGATCTCCACAAGGCTGGGCTGTGGGGGCCGGCTTCCCTGCACGCCTGCTGCTGAATGTCCGCCTTGAGCCTGGCGGCTTTGAAGGGGAACATGAGCACCAAGATCTGCTGTACCTCCCTCTGCAGCGCATCACACCCCACAGGAACACTCAGGCATGAGCTGGAGCCATTCAGAAACCAGCCACAAAAGAGGCCTTCGGTCACATCAAGCCAGGAAAGTCTTCTGCCCTCTTTGTTAAGATTAAGAGGCACGGATTTTCATTTTCAGGCTTCTGCAGTGGAAGCCCAGCACTCACCGATTTTGACATGAGCGCAAGCGCCTCATTGTGAGCTGGCGATGACACATCCTCGGCTCCGTTGGCAAAAAGGCATTTCAGCGTCTCCACAAATTGCTGCAGAGACAGAATGACCTCAATGCAACTGAGGCCAGTGCATGATCAGGTGCAACAGCTGCAACAACGTGCAACAGAGAAGGTGTTTGAGATCTGAAGGAGACAAGTGATCACCCTGTGTTGCCGGAGCTGCTCTTCACGTGACTCATGCAAGTATGGATAAGACTCCATCACCTCAACAAGTGTGCGCGGAGTCTGCTGCGAACCAGACCTTCACCTTCAGATTGTCTTCAGTAATTGCTTATATCTTGAAGGACAGTAATTGCTTATATCTTGAAGGACACTCGACACAGCATTTGCAGAAAGCATCAGGAACAGAAATATCAAAAGATGCTCTATTTGAGTACCTGTGCAGGGGATGGCTGGATGGGAATGCTTGAGACTTGCGCACCCCCCGACTGCATGATCTGCTCCAGCCTGTCCCTATCAGCCTTGAGCGCTCTCTTCTCTTCCGCCATTTGCCTCATCTTCGCATTCAGCTCTTTTATCTGTGCATGCATGCTGGCAGTCAATGACAAGTTGCACCGATGAGCATTGAAATATGTGTACTGCTCAACAGAAGCCCATCACTTTTCATGAGATTCGTTACATGACTATGTTGCTTGGCACTCACCTGCACTTTGTAATGGTCCATCTCATTCATTTTCTTCTCCCTGTATTTCTTCTGTGCCCTCCTGTTGTACAACAGACCAAGTCTGGTGGACATCACATACATGCGGACTCTGCCAACTATTTCATATCTTCTAGCAAGAATGTTTAATTGTCATGAGGGAGGTTATCAGGCATTCTTGTCAACGGCATGCTCAAGGCACCGTCCAATGCACAACTTTCAAAGGTGCTGAGGTATTTAACCCCAGGTACCTGTTCTTTGCTTTAATGCGCTCTTGCCGAAGTAGATCTTTTGAATTAGCAGGAGCGATATGGTCGCCTGTGTCAGCGTTGGAGCCATCGTGACTCATATTGACATCCGAAACCGTGCTCATGCCCGATCTTCCCTGGTACGACCCAAATTGTGCAATCCAACGGATATTCCTGATTACTTCAAGCACTTGTTTTATATAAGGATGAGGGCACGAGAAGTTTCTAGAAAGTGAAGACAGTAAAGACAGTGCATGAGGTTGACAAAGCTACAAGTGCAAGGCACAAAGTATTGGACCAGATCTTCTGACGCATCTTCAAGGGAAACTTTTTTTCCCACCACATTGTTATGTTCGTGGGGGATCGCACTGGAACCCAAGGGAAGCCGAGGATTCTAACCCATGTGACACCACGTGCGATCTGCCTGCTGCATTGCCGATCAGCGGCAAAACAACTCTCTGGCGACCACAATGATGGACGGAAGGACACTTGTGTAGCTATTATCTCATGTACTAAAGCGCCTCGGTCAAAGAAAGCGAAGTTACAGCTCTGCGAAGCGAGGGCGTGTTGGAAAGACAGATGGCAGAGGAGGAAGAATTCGGTGGAGATGCTGGGTGATTCATAGTCTTGCTTATGTAACCCAAATATCCTGAGTCACAGCATCTGCGCCTTTTGGATGGAGATGGGAGCCCTAAAATGAACTTCTTAGTGTGGTGGATCTGACGGCTTGGCTTGGGGTACTTGCAGGTTTGAGGCTGATTTCGATGAGCCAGAAGCACCAGATGAGGTAATTGACCATTTTAAAGGCAATTTGATGCATTTCAACTTCAGTTAGAATGGAAGTGATCCTACTTGTATTCTGCAGCCATTCAATGAGGGCGAGGAGGACGCCCTGCCAGAAGGGGAAGAGAGGATGGAGATCCTCGAGCAGCAGGCACAACCCAGCGATCGGCCGCGCATAACCACTCGGTACATGACAAAGTACGAGCGAGCGCGCATACTGGGCACCAGAGCTCTTCAAATCAGGTAAGCTTCACCTTCAGCACACAAGATGCAGGCCAGAACTCACAGACCAAAGCATTCTGCCTGTGCCAAGATGACTTTCTCTGTAATCAGCTTCCTTTCAAAGCATCTCTTGTCCGATGCAGCATGAATGCACCTGTCATGGTGGAGCTGAATGGGGAGTCAGATCCCCTGGAGATTGCCATGAAGGAGCTGAGAGAGAAGAAGATCCCCTTCATTGTCAGGCGCTACCTACCTGATGGCAGGTGAGCAAGTCCAGGACCCCTGCCCTCACCATGCATGTGCAATCTGTGCAGATGCTTCCTCTTCTAAACCGCGTTTGTATGAGAGGCAAAGTCCTGTGCACTGCAGTTACGAGGACTGGACCATAGAGGAGTTGATCCAGTCAGACCGGTGACACTCTCACCTTGACAACAAGGCACGGGGGCCTTACATATATTCTACAGTATCCACCATGTGCAGCGTTGGGGTAGATTATCAATGTCGAGACCAGCAACAAAACAATCACTGTGGCAGTTGTTTGCATTACCTGTCTAATTAGATATAACATGTTTGGTTGCTCACTGAGAACCTGTCTTGAAGTTTGCTTGGAATCAGGGGGCGTATGGGGGCATTGTGCTCTAATTCTAGAGAGACCAGCAAGATCTTAAATTATTGTTCGCCGTTCAATTACATTCCCAAATTTTAGCTTTTGTGCTAGCTTTGTTGCAAGAGAACATCCTTGTCACCACTGCGATGCATTGATCAAATTTGCTTTAGAGCTTAAACACTGACAACAAGAACCGAACAGAATTTTGCTCAGATGCAAGCTTGAAGCTGAGAAAGCGCCGACTGTTAGTACACAGCAATGACAGAATTCCCTTGTGTAATGAAAGAGCAGTGCAGATAAAATACTTATAGCAGTCCCCCTGCTTGGTCCATCATAATATGACGTCTCATGATCATAAGCAGCGCTGCTGCTGCAGCAGTGCTGTCTCACAACAGCTGCAGCACATGCGAAACACCATGACTGCTTTCCTGACGTGAAAAGTGCTGGCTTGGGCTTGCGCATGTGTGCTGTTGCGCTTAGTCATGGGCCATGACTCATGGCGTGTACAAAGGAACGCCCCAGTTCTCCCAGGCTTTGCCATACTCGGGGTACCATCCGCTGGCGCCCGGGCGCAGCGATGCTGGGGTGTACACCACTGGAGCCACCCTCGCCTCCGGTGCCGCCAGCGCCGTCTCCAATGGCCTGCCCACACATTGGCCCGGTCAGCCCCATTAGAGTCTGAGAACACATCAGCATCTACTGTGAGGGGAACGCAGTCTGAGAAATACATTTTTATTACAAACGACACCACCTTTCTTGGCTAGACTGAGGAGGTTCTGACTGCAACATGCGAGGAGTGCTCCTTCCGCATCATAAGATTGATGTGAAGAGCCACTTGCTCAACGCGGGTACCCAGGTGCGAGTGCATGTGGCACACCGATTCTGGATGTGGGATGCAAGGATATCAACAAGGGGTTCAGGCTCACATGTGGGCGACCGCCTCTCCGTAGCGCGCTCTGGCGTAGCTGTGGAACTTGTACAGCAGGGGAGTCACCGTCACCCACAGTATAGACGCCTGCACGAAGGCCGAGTTTGCCAGGAACACGCAGCCTGCACACCAGCAATGCCCCACTGTCTTCTGATGTTCCTCGGATGCTGTTAGTTCACGTGCTGTGCACCATTTATTGGGCTGCTGGCATGCAGCCTGTCAAGCCTAACTACAGATTATAATAGACATGCAGATTATAAAAGACATGCAAATGCATGATGGTGAGTGAGTATCTTGAAGCATTCATCTGCCCACACTTCAGGCGCATGCTCTGACACAAAGGGGTGTGGCGCTCACCGGTGAAGAATTCGAAGATGAAGAGGCACCAGCAGACGTGGTTGAACACCTGGTCCCACAGCAGGCCGCCAGACTCATAGCAGCGCTCTGTCATGTACAGGATGGTGTACCGCCACATCACCTGCACAGTAGCCACCCACACTCAGCCTCTCATATAAGTCCATCTGCAGCGTCTGGACAAACCCATCCTCTTATGTGCGTCTCTGCGGACTCTGGGAAGCTTTGATGAATTCGTCCGAACGCAGGAGAGCATTTAGCCCTGAGGTAGACTATGACATCATAAGCTTCCCTGAGCAGGGAAGGTGATTCTGCGCATCAGAACGACCTCCTTACAAGGAGCAGCTGTGAGCTGTAGAGACAGGCCAGGAATGTGCCACGCCCTGCTATTGGACCTATTTCTACTGCCTCACTTGCCAATGAATCATCTGAAGTGGGTGAGGTGGCGAGACCAGTGCAGTCCTGGCGTGTGAGCTCAAAGCGCTCAGTATTCATGAGGGACCTAGGGAGGCCTGGTGCAATCACAATAGGTAGCAGTTGTGCAGGTGGGGCAGCTGAGGCGCACCCAGGCGGTGAGGAAGTAGCACAGGGCAAAGGGGAGGATGATGGGCGAGCAGGCTGCATAGGACAGGGCCATGATGTAGATCAGCATGATCCCCCCAATTTCACGGCCGTAGCCTATGCTCAGGCTTGAATTGCGCCACACCTTCTCCTTCTCATTGCGCGGCCCTGCAGGACAGGTGATGCCTCATCAGTCATTTGTACGAATGATTGATAGCCTGCCTAGAGCACATGCGACAAAAGGGGGACAGCAGGTTGTACTGTTCATGCCATTTCATGCAGGCTGCTTTGCAGATGCGGCGCGCCATTTTCAGTGCTCTGCATTCCTGTGTCATGTGCCATGTGCAAGGACAATCAAATTAAAGCAAGTCAGGGGAGTAGGCAAGGGACGCACTGCAGCATCCGCAGCACTGGAGAAGGTCAAAGATGACACCAAAATGGGGGAACAGGATGCGCGAAGGGTTGACTGCAAACGCCTGCACACCAAACCAAAACCATTGACGGAATCTTGATATTTTAGGAGAATCCTCAGGCATGCGGGACTTGTGGGCAGCATTGACTTGTGAATGTGTGCATGCATGCGTCAGGAGATGACCTGGATGATGACAAAGTTGATGAAGAAGTTTGAGGATGTTGTCAGTGCGGCTCCCAGGATGTCTGGTGTGGCGGCTGGGACCTCCAGAATCAGACGGATCTTGCTGAAGATACTGCCTCCCTAGCCATGCAAAGGGAAATGTTTCAGTACTCTGTACAAGTGTTATGGCAGAAAAATACTGCTCGGAACCAAAAGAAGCGTAATTGCGTGATGGTGATTGTACAGACAAGAGGCGCTCACCAGCATTGCACCGAGGAAGACATTGAAGACTCCCTGCAAGGCACAGGGAACATAAGCATCTGGGACTGAATCGCACACATGCTGAAAGATAAATGAGCCATCCATTGTGGGCTATGCTTCAGCACTGCCTGGTGACTTCAATCTACATTCAAAATGGAGGGGGTGAGCGGTAGCTTTTTATGCATCACAGCAGATGTGTGCACACCCATGTGAAGAAGAGGCCGGAGATACGGCGGTCGAGGCTGCTGAGCGATGCATGCTGACCCTCCATCTGTGCAAATCTGCAGCAGCATCCAAATGCTGAGCTCAGTTGCCCAATCTTTCTGGATGTCTTGTTGAATTGTCCGCAGGAATTCTCAAGGGAATTGCCCACAGGAGGTCTTGGAAAGTAGTGTTAATCACAGCAGCCAGTTAGGCACAGACATGTAAAGATTGTGATGCAGGTGAAGCCCTGTGAGACCAGCTGGAAGGCTTTGAACCCCCGCCTGCAGACCAAGGCAAGCACGGAACTGAACTGCATGTGATATCACCTTGCTGACAAGAGCTGCAGCACTTCTACCACAGTATAAAAGAACAGGACAGGGCGCACATGTAGAGGACGAGGGGCATGATGAGGGACTGCCAGGTGGTCAGCAGCAGGGAGGGCAGCAGCGAAGTGATCAGCGGCCGCGCCAGTGAGTCATCCCGGCAGTACCAGGAAGTCGCCAGGAAGGACAGCCGCCCGCCCTGAGCCGCGTCCGGGCCGCCGCAGATCGCGGACGTCGCCTGCGCCAGCGTGCCTGCCGCATGCACGCATGCACCAGCGTCAGCATTGCACCCATGACTAAAAAAGACATGGGATGTGTGACCTTGCTGTGTACGTAGGTTGCATGCATGCGCCAACAGCCTCTGGACAACTGCCGACGCGCTGTGTTTGAAATTCCAAACATGGCGGCAGACAGCTCAGGCGTTCTTGTTGCATCTGCATCGGTGCACTTGTCCCACAAACCAGTCATATTGGCTTGATCTCAACGAGCATTACCAAACCCCGAGCACTATTGGCAGCCGGCTTGGGGGCAAGAAACCCCAGCAAAGGGGCTCAATATAGGCTGCACTTGTTGCATATGTGCTGCATATGTCAAGGCATCTTGCATGATCCGGTGCGCAAAGGGGTTGCACCTGAGAAGAGCCCCATGGGGATGAGCATGATGAGAACGATGAGCGGGAAGACCAGGATCTCACGCACGCTGCGCTCCCTGCTCGTCTTCCACAGCACCTGCCAGTTCACCTGCGCCCATATTTCAACCACCAATGTGAGCAGCCACTCCAAATCTAAAGGACTTCAGTTCTGTCAGACCTGATCTAAATTATACTAATGAGCCAGCTTCACGTGCTTGGGTGCGCATGATGATGAAAGCCCATGTCCTGTCTCTCAATGCCCAAATAACGCTATTGCCCTATTGCCCAAGACAGGAATATACACATGCCTACAATGCATTCTTCTGTATGATAGGTGGCCGCAACATAGGTCATCTGAATAGTAAGGACCAGAAGAAAAACAAATAGAAGAACAAATGTGTCAAGTGAAGGCGGGTGGCGCACCTCTTCTGGGCCGGGTGCCTCCATGACTCGGAAGGAGTGGCCGTCCTCTGAGTGGATCCGCGTCTGCGCCGCCAGTGCCGCATCCTTCTGTGTCAGGAAGAACGCGAAGAACGACGGCGAGGTCAGGCCTGCGCGCATGCAAGAAAGACACACGCTCAGTCACACCCCTACACAAGCCCCATAGACCGATCCAGGACTGTCTTCAAGAAATCCTGCGCTGCGTGTAGTAGATTGCCACGCTTAGAGGTCATGTGGCCTTAAGTTCCAGAGGAGTACTTCCATTCTCTGCACGCTAGACTCAATAGCAGGCAAGGATGACAAATGATCAGCTGCCAACCCACACATCAACTGCACATCACACTCGGCGGCTTGCACACACATGCGGCTGCCAAAGCAAGGCCCAGGGTCCTTCATTACTTTGTGCATGCTGGCAGCGCTGCTTGTTTCAAAATCAAATTTGAACTCATTGGCTAAGAATGTTGGGGGACCGCACCTCCTAGGATGCGGTGCTGCTCGCGTGCGATGGCGGCCTCGGCTTCGCGCACACTATGCGCCCAGTAGTCAATGCTGTCCACCTTGGAGCCTGCACAGATGCACAAGACTCCGCTCTCAGCCGCGCAACCGTTGTTGCGTATCGCTCGTTGAGCTCTTGATTTCTTTAGGTGTCCTTTTGAATTATGTGTTGAGCTCTTGAAGTTCGAGCATGCAGGGCTATTTCCACGTTGGCTCTTAAGATTCAAGCATGCTGGGCGGGGCCAAGAGAAGTTTGAGTGAGTGGTGGTCCACCACAGTCCCTGTACAGTCCCCTGGCTTGTGGGTGGCATAGAATAAGTAATGGCAACAGTCCCTAATAGGGCCGCTCAGGGGATGGACGGATGACCTCGAGGGTGGGTGAGAAAAGGGGAATAATGCGTCACCTGGGCCACCGCAGCGTTCGGCGCGGTGCGTGGGCCGTTTGGCGCAGCCGCCGGCCTCGTAGTGCGCCTCGGCCCGCAGCAGCCGGCTGTACGCCGCGTCCCACTTCCATAGCAGCTTGTCCACGCTCTGCAGATTGAAAGCAGAAGAATTCAAATGCGTCGCTGTGCCCACCATTGCAGCATGAGCATGTGGTGCATAGGGCCATTGTGATGACACTTTTCTAGCCAGAGCTGCAGGCAACGCAGAATTCAGGCGAACAATCATTAACAGCTGGAGCAGCAGAGCTGGGGGAGGTCTAGGGAACTTCTTGCAAGCGCGGAGTGACAGGGGCACAGCCGCAACTTCACACGGCGTTGCTGCAGGCATTGCAGGGTGGGAGCTCGCACAAGACACAGCCGTGATCAGCAGTTGCGGAAGAGGCGCAATTTTCACGTACGTTCTTGCCTAGGTGCGCTTTGAGTGCGGGATCTGTGCTTCCCATGCCGCAAAGAATTGCCTCATTTAAACAAAGGAAGAGGTTGTGGAGCGCACCTTGTGTGGCCAGACGGGGAGCGCGTACTGGAAGGTGTCGGGGAAAAGGCGGCGGAAGGTGGCTTCCACCAGCTGCGTGGGTGTCAGCGTTGCAACCTCCTCGTGCCACGACTCCTCCCCCGCCGACATCATGCTCTCAAACACCTCCCCCACCCGCGCCTCCGCCTGTGACCCACAGATCCACTCAGTATTAAATTGGGATTCAGTGTGCAAACTAGTGATACCCTGCCCAGAACACCCGCAGCAGAATGCGAGAACACCTACTCACGCTGTACTTTGCTGAGGCAGCTTTACTATGCCAATTGAGTGCATTTGCATAGAAGGGGAACTATCGCACGTGCATCAACAATTGTGCCCTCTTTGCTGAATTCATTGGATATGACTGATCATAAACAGAGCCAGTAGCATGCATGCTGATCCTGCATCTTTGCATCTCAGCAGTCTTGCATTGGGTCTTGTTCTGAAGTGTTCACATCCATCAAGTATGGTGGTGTTGTGAAGCAGGGCTCATGAGGCGTTCCTCATGAGAACTGATCAGGTTTGGGAAAGGGAGATCGCGCCAGATCGCTACCTTCGGCTCTGCTGGTCTCGTTTCTGCTCGGCCGCCCTCCTCGGCCGCTTCAGGCTCGTCCGCATACATCGAGGGCAGAGACGGCAGCCCCCCTGCACCAGCAGCACAGCACCTGTCAGAGACACATGCAAGAGAGCATGCATGACTTTCGAGGAGACCAACAAGCATTTCCATGATCTCCTGGTAATTGGCTGGACCGCAAAGATGAGCTTGACCTGCAACATGTAATCTAACTTGATAGGGAAGGCATGGATATATTGAGAGGCGTAGGTATGGCATAGGAAGAGTGTCTTTGGGAAGAGGGAGGGTGTGGCCACCTTCAAGATCCAGGTGGATCTCTGATGAGCTGTCTGGAATGGTCCGGTCTGTGAACTCGGTGGAAGACAGAGAGTCGGAGGAGCCCTTGTCGTTCTTCTCCAAGGCAGCGCGCTTCCTCTTCTTGACGGCCGGGTACAACCACGCCTTAGTGCGCTGCCACAAGCTCTTCTGGCCGTCTTTCTTCATCCTCGCACTGCTGCACAGAAAAGCTTGAGTTTTGTAAAAGCTTGACTTTTGTGAATCCTTCAAACCAGATCAAAAAGCGTGCCATGTATAAATGTCTAAACAAAAGTCACTCGCAGGTCTGTGCATGCGCATGCTGGATTACCGCTCGCTGCAGTATGGAAAGGGGCCAATGAAAACCTGTGGGAGCGCCTCAAGGCCAGCATCTCCTACGCTACTGACATCCCTAGCAGAGGGCCATGTCTCAGGGGGATCTATGTCTATTAGATACAGATCCGCTTGCATGTCTCAATAGGAGGGGATGCTGCTGAAAAACAGTTGCTAGCCAGGCACTTAAGTGTCACAGATCGGGACGCATGCGAAAGGACGATGTGCTGCCAAATTGAGCTCAGTCAGACTACAAGAAATGTCACTCGGGAAAGTCGTACGTGGGCTTGCGACTGCGGCGCAGGTCGGGGACGTCCATGACGAGGACGGCGTACTGCTGCGCGTTGACAGCCACCGCGCGGCCGTCACTCGTGCGCGCATTCACCGTCTTGCGGAAGAACACGCTTGGCTTGCCCGCCAGCGCCTGACCCTCTGGTGTGCCATCGCCGCCCTCCCGAGCCCACCACCGCGCCACGCGCGCCGCCCCTGGAATTGTAGATCATGGGTATCAGCTCGGTTTATACTGTTTGAGAAGATGAAGTCCCTTTTCAAGTGCTGTATAGGTTGTTTTCTAAATGCCCTCCGCCGAGCTTCGTCCAGCAGGTCACTTGTGAAGTTTCGCCACATGTGGCCTTGCCTCAACATGCGAAGGTTCAGCACAGATTAAGCAGCTTGTATTCTCGGCAGCCTGCATGCGCACATCTTTGCAATGCAGCCAAGGTGGTCCATCACATGTCTTTGCTCTGCAGTCAGCTCCGAGGACTACCAACTACACTCGAGTGTAGAAGCAGGGGGGGGCAGAACGGTGATTGGGTAGATCACGCGCCTGCGTCCTTGGGGGCCCTGCTCTCGTAGCGGCTGATGGGCTCCGCTGTGCTGCTGCCCGCGCAGCCGGCCTCCACGTCCAAGCCGCCGGGTGAGTGGCGCATGCGCGGGCCCAGCGCAGGCGGCTCGTACCCGCCGTCCGACTGCGTTGCCTCCGCCTCCTCCAGCTTGCGCGTCATTGCCTGCACAGCACACACCAGAATTTGTCGTATGCATAGATGGCCTGGTATAACTTGCCCATTTCTGGCTGCCTGTAGTCATTGTATGCGCCAGTCAATAGCGGCCCTGCACAGCTGCAGGGATGGCGCAGCTGGATTAAATTGAAAAACATTCTTTGCGCAAGACACAAGGTGGCTTTTCTGCGGCCTTTGCTGGTCTGACAGAGCTCCCACCTGGCCTGAGGGCACGCTGGCATCATCGCCCTTCATGTAGCAGGAGCGCAGGCTGTGCTCCAGCTCATCCTCCTCTGCACCACAAAACACTTTATTCAGCGCTTTACCCATATGTTAGCAGAAGCATGCATCTCATCCAACCCTTCTCATCAGAGACTACATTTATACACTTCAGCCACTGGTCTGATGCAATTGTAAGCGCACCCTGCGGCCTTGGAGATAGTTATCCGGTATATATCTTGGCTGCAGACGCACCTTGCTTGAGGCAGGAACAGCTTGTGATAAAAATGATAAAGACTGGGATAACATGTCTTGGTTTGAGGACATCAATGCATGCAGGCTGAGTCAGCGCACCTGGCTGGGTGGGCAGTGATCGGCTGTTGCGCGCGCCGTCTGCGAAGGGCGACTGGCGCAGCTGTGCCCTGAGGGCGGTGGCAGATGTGACCGGCAGTGACTTGAGATTGACATCCTCCAAGGAAGACATCTTCTTGTCCGCCCGTATGTCATAGCTGTGCAGCACAGCACACCGTCAGCACCTGCGGCTCCTGACAGAAGTCGCCTGATGTGTGAGAATGTGGTACATGATCACACCACAGCCAATGAAGATAAAAAATCATAGGTTGCCAGGACTAAAAATTTCAAGGGTCGAGTGTGAGGCTTTGTTCGGCAGGCAGCTCAGCGCAGCACTAATTCCTAACAGGTTCAGGTCATGCTGATAGGATGCATGCCTCAGTCTGTGAATAGGGGAAGTGATGCATAAAGAGCATGCCCCACCTGTCCATGCAGTTCCGGCAAGGATCGCCAAAGCTCTCCGTGAGGTTTTCCATCTGCAGCCAGTCACACACCACAGTCAGTCTTTGAAAGTCTAAGCTCGCCCATAGCAACACCACATACAGGTTATTTCAAAGCGGGAGTTTAATGCTCAAGCCCTTCACCACACAAACTTGAAATGCATGACAGTCCAAAAAGGGCACTCTGCTTCATATCGCAAAATGGCAGGTTGCCCTTCACCTGTGTGTTCACATCGATGAGGCCGCGGACAGCAGTCCAGAATTTGGCGCTGTCCCCTTCTGCGGGGTGAGGTGTATGTGGTGTGAGGTAAGCGGGTGACGCAGCTTTGGCGGTCAGCGTGGAGTTTGCCTGCCCCTTGATGATTCGGTCGTGCCACTGGTTGATCAGTGCCTCTCCGCCCGTCATGTACCGCTGCCTCAGTATCGCATGCGCCTGCCATACAACGAAATATTCAACAGACTTCTCCTCTACAATATCTCTGGGGGTGTGGTCTGAGACTTGCAAATAGCAGATGTATGGTCTCCTAGTAAGTAAGAACAGGGGGTCATGGGCTTACCTGGTAGTACTTGAGAAGCAGCCAGCAGACATAGGCCGTTGCGAGATACACAAAGGCAAAGGCAACCCTGGTCACAGCACAAAATGCGTTACAGCCAGACTCATCAGCAATGCTCCGCACTGATCTAGATGATTGGGCATTTAATGTGAATGTGCAATTAGTATTTGCGTACCAGTACTGATCAGACCCTCGGGCCAGGCTGGACAGAGTGAGTCGCTGAAACGCCACAGCGCCGGTCGTGACATCTTCTAGATGCCTGTCCCTTCTGCCATACAGATTGATCGGCAGCACTGCGAAAGCAAACTTGCAGCTGTCAGCATGCGCGCATGGGCCAATGAAAGACTGCAAAATCAAGTCATGGAGGCAAGAAATTAAGGGCCTTAATTAGAAAGGTTGTTCAAAGCCACTCACGGATTGCCATGCCAACCACGGTAAGCGGCAAGAAGATCTGCACAGCAATAGAAATCTCAGTAAGCAGCTTCCACCGAAGGTTTCATAATAACTTTCAGATTAAAATAAAACTTTCTTTCTTGTGCCGCTGTGCCTGCATGCAGGGGCCTTGATCGAGTTGCGCACCTGAATCCCAAGAGACGCTGTCCAGATCAGCATCAAAGAGTCTAGCCCCGCAGTCCGCACAAGGTCTGCATCCGACGTGGTGAAGACTGGATACAGCCACGACCTGCCACAACAGGCAAGTCATTATAGCTCAGTGCATAAATTGCAGCGCTATATTAGAAAACATTGCATGTCGATGCATTAGTGATGGGCCCTGACAGAGTCTGCGCACCAGAGCTGCTGGAAGCCTCCTTCAGGCAGTGAGGGTGGCTTGATCCATACATTTGGCATAGTCTGCGCTCAGGAAAGAGAGTAAGCAACATGACATGACAAGCAAGAAAGATATCTTTCTCGGACGTATCCTCTGGACCTTGAATCTGCACTGGTTGGATTGGTGAAGCCTTACCAATCGCAGCTTGTAACTGGGCACCCATCGCCTGAAGATCCCAAATACAAGCAGCATGATCAGCCCAGCTGCCAGCGATACCCATAGCCTGCACAAAAAAGACGAATTCCTCAATGCTGACACCTTCTGCAGCAAATCTTCTAGGATAATCTTTTTGACTGTGATAAAAGGCATTGCTGTCCTCGAGCCCAGAGATCTGGTATTAGAATCGTACGCTGTTCTGATCTGGTTGTCAGAAATCTGGTTGTTGAAGCAGTCAAAGTGGCCTGGAGGGCAGTGGAAGGTTGTCAAGTTGCCACCAGGAGCTGGAGGCAGAACTTGTCCCGACATTCTGACTGCAAGTGCCGGCTAGCTCCTGTGAACACCACAAAGATCGTTCTATGCGATCGCACCACAAATTGCTTAGACTGGGCTTGTGCCACTTCTGTCGACTCACCCCACGCAAACCGTTGGTATCAACGCAATTATGTATCACACCAAATGGGACTGACCTGCTTATTGGAGCTTGAGAAGGTTATCAGCTGGCTGCTATTGCCCTTCTGGTGTGAACTCGCCCAAAAAAGATGGGCAGAGTGGAACCGTCGAGCTTGCGGTCTCTCGTACTTCTCAATGTGTGGAGTAGGGTTACAAACGATTAGTTGTGCAAAGGACTCCTCCAAGATTTGTACAGCGCACTAACCAATCATCTAACTAACGATCCGCAAACACGACGATGTTTCGCTCATGCATTCAAACTCCGGAACGATCAACCTCCGTGGAAACCACGCCCGACATCAAAATGACGGCAACCCCCAGCCATGTGAATACAGAATTGTGATATTTGAGGAACAGGAAGTCTGGCGTGCCAATGCAACGGGAAGAAGAAGGCGAGAACTGATCAATTTCGCAACTACCGTTTGTGGGCAGAAAATAATACGCAGGTCGTTTGGGCGGAAGCTGCCAGTCTGGAGGGGAATCTGCACGAACACATAAACCACCCAAAACCAAGAGACTCTCTTCAAGACACTGAATGCCATATGATGTCTACACTCTATCACCACTCAAACTAATTTCAGCTCAAAATTCAATTCGGGCCCGGGCACCTGCAAGTTTGCAATTAATTGCAATATTGCATCTAAATAATTTATGATGAATTCATGAACTTCACTGAAGCTCTTCAATAAAACGATCAAGCCAGCAGCTGCCTGCACTGCAGCCAACCTGGCACTGAGCAACACGAGTGAAAGAATACTGAGTAATACTGCACATCCCGCATCAGGGTTCCGTCGGCGGAACGTGGCTCAGCAGCGGCTCGTGCAGGTGCCCCGGCGCATGCGGCGGCCGGTGGCCGCTTGAGCTCGACATGAGCGGCGGTCGCGGCGACATCGGTGGCGCATGGTGGTGCCCCGTTGATGCCCGCCTCGTGGATATGCTGGGCAGGCTGGGCACGCTGTCAACTTCATCCTCTTCCGGAACGCTTTGCGCGCTTTGCACACCGCGCGCGCTGAGCGCCCCCACAACGCAGACGGCCAGGCCGGTGGCGCCCAGGAGCGCGCCAAATGCCGCAGCCGACCACTCAAAGCCGAACCAGTTGGCCAGCGTCCCCCCTAGCAATGGCCCCACTCCTCCTCCCAGCGAGAAGCTGCCGCTCAGCAGCCCCGACACCACATCCGTCAACCCCTCCTCCTGCAGCCCAATCTGCGCGCAACATTACACCATGTTGACCATGTTGAAAGGTAAAGGTATTCTGCTCCAAAATGGCCCCACAAAAAGGCCGCAATGCATTGAGCGGCCCTTAAATCATCCCTCTTTAATCAGGAACAGGAATTTTGTCCTTCTGAAGTGGCCTAATGTACCTTGAGGGAATTTGCGCAGTAGTGACTGATCTTGCGCAATAACATCTGTGGAGAGAAGAGAAGACCTAGGATTTACGAATAATTGCAGGCAGCACAGCGCTAAAGAAATTGATGAGATTGGGGGCAGGCAAAGCGTGCCTCGTCCAGCCGATTGAGCAGGGCGGGCAGCAGCGGCACAAAGGCCATGCCAGCGCCCAGGCCGACGAGGCTGAGGGAGGCCCAGATAAGCCAGGATCCGAAGAGCGGCCCCAGCAGCGGCTGCAGCGGCGGCGCCGGCCCCAGCATGATGTAGGCCACCGCCATCAGCACAAAGCCCACCACTATTATCACCAGCATCCCCACCCTGTCCCCCAGCCACCTGCGGCAGGACCATGTGCAGACATGTGCAGGATCAGAGTGCACAGGTGAGTTTGCATGGCTTGCGCTACAGCAATGCCAGATAATTCAACATGGCCATTGTGGAGCATGGTCAGATACTTTGATTTGTGAAAGCAAGAATAGCATGCCAGGGAGACATACATGCAACATTACAGTAGCTGCCAAAGCCATGGGCATGCCACATTTAAATCGATAAGGGTCCCCCACCCAGCAAATGGGGTGACGATGGCGTAGAGCACAGCGCAGGTGCCGAAGCAGAGGCCCACAGTGGCCACGTCGAATTTCCAGACGCTCTGCAGGAATGGGCCCAGAAGGGGGTCCAAAAAGGTGAGCGACCCAGCCGCCAGCACGGCAGCAATTAGCAGCACGCTCACTGCAGGTTCCCTCAGTAGCCGCCCTATTGTCACCGGCACCTTAGGGCGCTCCCCTGCCTCAACCTGACCTGCACAGCAAATAGCTAAGCATGTCAGCCAACACTCATGCATTTTCTCAGTCATCACGTGGAAAACTTCAGAGCTGGCTTGTGTCTGACTATTGATATCTTGTAGAGTCTTGCCTGTCCACAGCCTGCAGCATGTAGCTAGAATGTGTGTCTTTGCAAGCTGCAAGCGCTGCAAAACATAAATCGTAAGGCAGGGTAGAGATGCGCACCTCCTGGCATGAGGATAATCAAGACCGGGATTGTGAAGAAAGTGAGGGCAGCTGTTAGGACAAAGGGAGCGGCAAATCCGGCAATGTGTGCTGCATAGCCCCCCACCAGCGGCCCCACAATCCACCCCAGAGACAGGAAAGACTCAGCAATGCCCATCATTGTCCCAAACGAATCGCTCTCCGCAAAAAGCCTGCAGCAGCAGATCGGCTTTCTTTCGGAGCTCTGGCCAAAAGACTCACAGCATGACAGCAGAGCAGGGACGGTTCTGGCCCTCATGAAGCTAAATAAGACTCACTTGGAACAAAAGTATCGTTAAGTGTGAGATCATGTTGCCGCAGAGAGCGTGAGAGGAGGTGAGCGCTGCACCCTGTGATCATGGAGAAAGAAGAAGTGTCAACGGCAGCACTCCCCACGCCGTTGATAACACGCAACACCAGGCAGATGGCTGTGAAAGCATGCGCATTATGTACAAGTGTGACCAGCCCAAATGATGCTGCCGATGCCGCACAAATCAGCAGGCCAGTCAGCAGTAGCGTCTTCCGATGTATCACCCTGCACAGGGCGACTGCTTTGGCTACCAGTCCCTAGGTTTTGCTTCCTCAAAAGTTGACATTGGTGGAGACGCTGATGAGGAGAGGTCTCGCACCCCGTCTGCAGAGCCTTGCCCAGATAAGGAGACACTGCAAAATTTGCAAAGGCGTAAATGCTGAAAATTAAGCCCACCGTGCCCGGCCCAACTCCCCGAGTAATCGCAACTGCAGCACGCACACATTGACCATTCCTGAAAGTTTACTACTCGCAACTTCATATGGGCCTTGTTTCCATTCAATTCCTGTGTAACCCAAGGACATCTGAGTGGTGATCTGCCGGACGAACCTTGCGGAAGGATTGGCCCCATGATAGAAAACGTTGTATTGACAACTACAAGACTTAAACAAAGCGTGAAAAACGTAGAGATCGCCCTGCAGAAACCACTTAGACCCCTTAGCGTATTCTCGACATGCATGCTCACATGTCACTTGATGCATGCAGTACTAGCGCCTACCTTCTGCTGCGATGTGCATCATCAGAGTTACTGTGTGAATTCTCCCCATTCAATGGCGCACTTAGTTCGGGGTCTGTTGTGCCGTTTGTTGCAGACTGCATTTGACCTTCGGACTTGATAGGAAAGAAAAGGTCCTGCACTTCGCTTAGATCCCGGCCTCCTGGGAACCTGAATTCAACAAATGAAGTAGACCCAGCAAATTGACCTAATCAATGGAGATGAGAGAGACCTCAAGGTTGATATGATGAGTCATGCTGACACATGGTGGATGCCATTTACATCATCCACCCTGTCCAATAATTTCAAATACCTTTGGGCGGGCCAAAACCTGGCAAAGGCGCCTGTTTCTCCTCAAACAGTGAGCCAAACAACCATCTGGCAGTCTGCAGTGCAGTGTAAATTCATTGCAAACGGCCTGACAACATGCCGGCCAACCAGATACAATACTCCGAGAAGTATTATGATGAAATCTATGAGTACAGGTCTGGAACATTGCCACCGAGTTGTGAAGACCTCTCACCTTGCCGCAGAATGATTTACTCAATTGTCCGTTTGTCAGCCCAGCGTCGCCAACCCACCAGGGAACACCAAGTGATAACGCAAAAAGAGTCCATCTTGACAGTTTGTTTTTTGGTGGGACACAGGCACGTAGTCTTGCCACAGGACCTAGCGAAGTTGCTGCCCAAGGGAGTGCTTCTGTCTGAGGCGCGTCTATTCCCACATAAGTAGAGGCCGTATTTGTGTCATGCCACGGTGTGTAGGGGTTATAACTGACAGGTCCTCTCGGCTCTGCAGAATGAGTGGAGGCAAATTGGCGTGCAGCAGAGCCGTGGCTGGGTGCACTATGCTATCCACCGCCCTGAGCCTCACATCATGCTGTTCAGGTACTTTCCAATGCTACCTGTCAGCAAAGGCAGTTGTCCCCAGTTACCAGCTCTGTGCACTGCACATTTTTTTGGTGCAATAAGTAACAATGTGAATCTCACTGAACAGGAGGCCTGTCAACTACCAGCAAAAGGTAGCAGCAGCTCAAGCAGCGCAGCAGGCGCAAATGCAGGCCCAGCAGCAGAGGGTGGTGGCGTAATTGTGGGCTACATAGAGAACCAAGTAGGATTCTCACTGATGCCGTGCTTATCCTGACACAGAAGGCTTCAAGAGCTTGTTGGTCAAGAACTCTCAAGGAACGAACATGAACCCTGTTCAAGATTGCACCTCAAAACATGATAGGAGCGTGACAGAGGGGCATCTTAGCAAACAGCAATGTTTCGTCCAAATTGAATGTATGCTACTGTAGCGCGAGAAGTCGTCTTGATTTGAATTGTCTCCGGTAGGATCGTAGCTTCTGTCAGGTTCTGGATGCTGCTATGACACTGGATACTATGCACTGTGTCCGTCACACAGGTCACAGGCCGAGGATTCCTTGCCACTTTGCAAATGGTCAAGTGGCTGTATATAGCTTCAGTGTGCGTGATCTGCCGCATGGCAGATGTCATGGACAGACCTGGGAGTCACATTGTGGTGCACCACGTGATGAGCAACAGTTTCTGTCATCTATGATGTAAAGACGACGTGATCAGCTGACCTGCAGACCCGTGCAATGAGTTTCAATTTCAGAATAACAAAGTCTCAAGGAGTCGCTCTGCCTTGGTGTCTTTATACCTCTTTCTCAAAGTCTTACTTATCCTTCTGCCTCGATACAAAAGACAGTGTATTCCAGACACTTGTGCTACCCTGCGCGTGTCTGGCACACTCTGCCGTACAATCAAGGATCATGTGTCCACCATTTAAAACACCTTCAACCTGCTCTTCCATTGGCATTGCACAAAGCCATGTGGCACACCCTCCCTCGAGCCAGAGATGCTACCCAGGAGTACAATAGATACTTCCAGGTCCCGCATTCTCTCTTCTAACTATTGCCTGTTGTGAAGCGCCTTACAAACGCCCTCAGACCATGCTCGGGCGCTGGGGGCAGAGCAGGTTGTAGAAGGCATCCTTCATAAAGAGGTCGCCCCCGGCAGCGGCGCGGCCGTCGGCCGGCTTCCATGCAACCCACTGGCCGCGCTGGATTGCGCGCAGGTCGTCTGCTCCCGTGAAGTGCGGGTCCAGGATGAGGAACGCGCACGCGCCGGTGCGATCGTTGAAAGCTATGCCCAGCAGCGTGTACGCGAGCACTCCGCCGCCGATCATTATAGGAGTCCCCTGCACCGCAGTCCGCCAGTGGATTGTTTGCACCGAGGACTCAAAAGATGTAAGATATGCTGGTGACGAAATGTGCGGACAGAATGCTCTTGCGTGACATGTCTGGCGATTGCTACGCCCACCATCTCTACCACTTGCAAGAGAATTGAGGGAATGCAGGCATGACAGGCCTCAAGGACCCCCAGACCCCCCAAGATGGGCGTGACTTATGAGAATTTCTGCAGATGTCATCTACAGCATGTGATTGGCTGTGCGGCTCACCTGGGTGTCAAAGTGGTGCGCGATCTCTCTGGCCTTGGAGGGCATGTCTGCGCCTGAGGACACGGTGATGACCTTGCAGGAGATTCCCAGCAGCGTGTCCAGAATAAAGCCCAGCTCTATCGCGCCTATCCACTGCTTTGAACCCACAAACGAGCGCTGCTTGTCGCCTGCACATGACCAGTCAGCAACCTCACTTACTTCTAACACACATGAGTCCGTATCAGCAACCTTTCACCACAATGCCTGCATCCCACATGGGCCCTCTGCTGCAGAAGATTCTCCAGTATAGAGAGAATCTGAACACAATACAATTATAGGGGCTGAATAAAGGTGCAACACATATTGCTCACCGATGTCCACAAGAATTTTTTGGATCTGTAGGTGGGAGGGGACGGGTGTTGTGGTGTAGTGCTGGCGCTGGAACCAGGAGCAGATGGTCTGCAGGGACCGGTACGCGCAGCCCCAGCCGCTGTCATCGTACTTGTCCTGCCAATCACAGAAGCCTCATCAGGACAATCATCTCCGCTTCCTTCACACCCCTCTCAAGGCAATGCAGCCGGACCTCAGACGAACATTGACCACTGCAAGCTTCTTTTATCCACCCTAGAACAGGGGTTCCTGCCTCCCAAATAGAACCTTAACTCCAAAAGGAGCTAAAATGCTTGCAAAGCAAGAATGAAGAGTAACATTCACGCAAATCATGGCTGGCCCCCACCTGCATGTAGTGGTAGTAGTCATAGCTGCCATCGACCATGTGGGCACTGCCGCCAGGAACGCCTGAGGGAGGCAGGCCCACATGCACATCCGTCAGGCGGGGGCTGCCGCCGCTTGTAGCAGCGGCTGCAGCGCGCCCGGGCTCCCTGAAAACCAGCGCGTTGGCGATTCGCAGCAGTGGCCGGTCGGGTGGCAGACCCATCTGCGCATGCAGCTGCTGCCGCCTCTGCACCAGACGCTCCTCTGCTGCCTCAAGACTCTGCAGCCAAAGAACAAATGTTAAATGCGTGCTGCAGAATGGCCACACTTAACAAGTGCATCTGTCACTTGATCTTGCAGCATCTGGTTGCAACAAAAACAGCGCTGTAAACAAAGTGTTAAGATACAAATTTCTCCTGGTCTTGCATGCTCTGTCTGCGACGCCAACGAGCAGTATTTCATCATCACTATGGTGTCTGAGGGCAAAAAAGAGCGGGCTTACCTTTCCGGCGCTGGCATGCAGAGGGTAGACAACAGTAACCGGATGGGGCCACGATGGCGGCTGGAAGTGCAGCGCTCTGAGGTTGCACACGCAGCCCTCTCCCAGCATGGCAGCACGCATGGCGGCCAGCTGCCTCCTGACTGCCGGCCTGATGACAACGTCAGGCAGCTCGGAGATGGGCACGCCTCTGGGGACCAGGCACAGAAAGTCCAGATCGGCGCTCGCTGTGTCCATGCTCACAGGCCCCCCTGCATCCCAACACTATTTCTGCACCTCCTCGTTGAATTCGAATTACTACACAAAAGGCGTGTCATACTTTTGCTGACACGCCTAAGTGGGAGATGCCTGCAGCCATTCTTGGTGGACAGTCCTTCTGCAGAAATGTCAAAGTGACTGTGCACTGGAACTGGCAGCAGGCACTGCCCTGAGTTGCAGTCGCAGCAAAGGTTGTCAGACTGTACCTTCAGCTGGGCGGTACTCCAGAACAGGTGCTGCATTGGGGATGTTGGGGCTGCTGTCCTGCCGCCGGCAGAAGCAGGCTGCCTCCATGGGCTCCGCAAAGGTGCCACCTAACTCTCCACAGTTTACTTTGTTGGCTGGATCATTCGAAAGTATGTGTCGGCCTGCACAAATCCATCAAGTGGATCTCAATGGATCTCAGTCCATACTGAATGACGTCACAACATATATCATAAATGAACTGGGAATTACAAAGTGGTAAGAAACAAGCTGAGGTATGCCACTGTCCATGCATAATTGGTGCACTCACCTGTGCCAGAGGAGGCTGATGAAAGGACATAGACGCTGCCTGCCCCCGTCAAAGACTCCTCCACCCGGTCAAACGCCGAAGCCACTGCATCCTCGAGCGGCACAGGCTCTGCTCGGCTCTGTGGCAAGGATCGAACTCCATACACCTGGTCCATCGCCCTTAAATTATTCTTAGCAGGTGCCTGATGCCAGGCTGGCATGCTTACACACTGAGTGAAGCTGAGAATTTTGGATTGGATTTCGAACACGGACCTGCAGCTGCATGTGTGCATGGAGCCGCAGGATGCTGAACCTCTGCTCAAGCCATTGTTGCACATTTGCTGCGTCGAGGCTATCTGGACTCAGTGGGGCAGCCGCCCCGCCAGTGATCCTGTAAAATTGAGTCTCCCCGCCAGTGATCACTGCACCTATGAACGTCCGGCAGCCCTGCACACGCAGATTTGCCATATCATGATCTGAAAAATGGTCCACAAAGCCGAGGTCAGATTCGCTTTCATTAGAATGTCACGCATGCTCACCTGTGCCCATTCTGCCGCCCCCTGCAGCTGTTGGATTGCAGCTTGGGAGTCACCGCCATCCTCAACGACAAAAGCACCCACCAAACCTATGCCAGGAGGTAGTAAAGCAAGGACGCCATCTGCACACACAGCACACACTCAGCGCTCCAGCCCTGCCGATGGGAGAGGACTCATCTCTAAATTGCGTGCTCACCTATTCAATTTTTTCAATTGAGAGTTAGAAGGGAGTACCTATTTCATCTCCCTTCTCCACAGTACTAGACGTTGATCGGAAGAAACTCAGAAGCGCAACACCCTCAGTGGTGATGACACCAGTAAGCCAACCAAAAGACTTTCGTTTCACTTCTTGCAGTAAACGTTCTTGTAGGCCTTTCCATACTAATGCATTGGCCTCTTCCATCAAAACCTGATCAAGACGTGAGTGATTCGGAGGTGAAATTGCCAATTGTTCTGCTTCAAAGCAACTGTATGCTATGTTGATTTTGTATGCACAATTGCTCTACGATAGACATTTATGCATATTTGCATACGTACTGATCACCGCTCTGACTGGTTGGCTTTGGCATTGACGCTCGCACTTTACTCCCTGACCACGCCTGAGCCTGTGCATGTCATCTACAGTATAACGAGGACTGTTGATACAAATTCTGCAGAGGCATCTGTCATTTGCATGTTGATGCTGGTCGAGTGATCTCGATACCACAACTCCCCGTCGAAAGCCAGTTCCGGAAGCCTGCGGTCGTGATGGCCACGGAGCAACAAACGAGCGCCAAGTAATTCTCCAGCGACATTTCTGTAACGTTCTAGATCCTGATCACAGATTTCAACGCAGTCAGCATCTGTCGACCTCCTAACTGCACGGCAGTTGGTTGGGCTGCGTTGAAGGAGAGCTCCTGGCCAGAACTCCTTAGACTGGTCTCATGTCTTCAAAGACCAAGATTGAATCCATCAGTGATGCTGAGACGCCCATTACGGTTGGTGTCCTTGCCTTGCAAGGTGCTTTTCGTGAGCACATAGCCCACCTGAACAGGCTTCCAGGCGTCAAATCTGTGGAAGTGCGCAACAAGGAGCAACTAGCTGATCTGGATGGCCTCGTCATCCCAGGAGGTACATTTCTGATTGCAATTTGTTATGCAGCAGCAGACAGCAACAATGCCAGGTGCATTTAGACTTGAAGTCTGAGCACTGCAGCCTGCAGTCTGAGTGCACTCTATGTGATCTATCGCGCAGGAGAGAGCACAACAATGGCAAATATAGCGCAGCGCTGGGGGCTCATACCGGAGCTGAAGAGTTTTGCGGAGCAGGGGCGGCCAGTGTGGGGCACATGCGCTGGCCTCATTTTCCTGGCAGACCGCGCATCAGGTCAGCATTGCCTCAAATCTGCTCATCCACATGGCAGGGATCGCACTGGCGTCGAATCTGCTCATGGAAGGGGCAGGACTGTAGAAAAATGGAATGTGCACCTGATCCCAACAATGAAAACATGAGTGTCACTTGCAGGTCAGAAGGAGGGTGGTCAGGCATTGCTGGGCGGTTTGGACTGCAAGGTGCATCGCAACTTCTTCGGCGCTCAGATCAACTCCTTTGAGACGGAGCTGCCGGTGCCCCAGGCGCTGAAGGCATTCCAGTCTGGCCCCCAGGGATTCCGAGCGATGTTCATCCGCGCGCCAGCCGTGCTCGAGTCTGGCCCCTCTGTTGAGGTCTTGTCAGAGTACAGGTGGGCCTCCAGTCATCCTGCTGTTTTTTAATGCTGCTGGATCGGCCAGCGATAGGCTGTATGGCAGCATGTCTTGACAATGCCCGGTGATAGGGTTGTATCGATAGGGTTGTATAGAAGGAGTGGGAGCAGCCTGAGGCATGTTTGGAGACTTGGGCAGAGATGCATCTTCAGTGGAGTGCTCAGCAGCTAGAAAAAGTTCAAATTGCTGGTGCAATCACAGGCTGACGCCCACTGAGCAGTCTGCTAGCAATGGGCTGGAGAAGGTAGCAGTGGCTGTGCGATCAAAGAATCTCCTGGCGACTGCCTTCCACCCAGAGCTGACTGAAGACAGCAGATGGTGCGCATTCTGCCTGGGGCTGCACTGCCTGTGCCATGTTGAATATAAACATCCGCTTGGGGAGGCGCTTAGGCTCATGAAGTGCGCTTCTGATGCCGTGCTTATCGATGCAGTAGATGATGAGATTGCTATTGTGCTGTAGTTGTCATTGGTGTTGTATTTGAGCATGGATGGCTCCCTGGCAGGCACAAGGCTTTTGTGGACATGGTGAGGGAGGGTGTGCAGAGTGAAGGAAAGCAGAGGTCATCTTCGACTTCAGGCAGTCTGAACAGCGAAAGGTCTGGGAAGCTGCCAGCAGATCTCCCTGTGTATAGCACGGATGACAAATTGTAGTGCCAGCGATGGCGATGCTGCACCTGCATTCTAGAACTATTTGACACTACATATGGTATGCTGGTCATTGTCTGTAGTATCACCCGAGAAAGGCCTCTGCAGATATTCTGCAATGAACCTTGAACGCATGCGTTACTTAAGAAGCTGGGGCTGGAAGTTTAGCAATATTGATACTGTATTTATTTCGATACACCGACAGATGTAAATCCTAATCCAATTTATTAAAAAACATGCATATTCTTGCAGCTGCAGGAATCAGCTGGCTTCCATCTGCTTTGTCGCATCCATAGGGTGCAAACCTTGCATATCCATGTTACTGGTATAAGTGTTGCTATCAGTACCTCGCACTGGAGCAATGCTGCGGCGTTTAGCAAACAGTAATGCCCATACACAAAATAATACGCTTTATGAGTGGCGAACCCAGAGCCCAGAGGGCCATACAATGCAAAGAATATGATATTACTGAAGCAATTTTGCCATGCGCAGCTGTCATGCGACAGCCTTCTCCTCTGGCTCCACAGCCTTTACCACCTCCTCCGGGACCCGGTCATAGGTTTGCGCGAGCTCGGCCAGTGCCGCGGCTTCGGGTGCCAGCTTCTCCCAGATGTCCGGTCCCCCAATGCGCCACGTCCAATTGTTGGTGGTGGAGCCCGGCAGGTTCATGCGCGCACTGTTGTCCAGCCGCATTATGTCCTGCCCCCATCCCACCGCCCTCAGCGCTCAACCTCACTCACTGATAGATTGGAACCGGGCTTTCATACTCATCAAGCATTGGAAAGTCAATGCCGGTTCCCGTCACCAAGGACATTGATGCCCCGCCTTTTCAGTATAGATACAAGAGCAGTTCTACCAGCTTGCATGAAGACATGAGCGGTAGGTGCAGCACACAAGCTGTCTCCTCTTGCTGCAGGTTTTTTGCGGTGTGACACAGTGCTTCACTTGGCAAGATTGGTCGTGCACTGTCTGACAGGGTCTCAGGGACCACTCAAGCATGACACAGCAGGAGGGCACCTGCATGAGGACGATGGCGGTTTGGGAGACGGAGCTGAAGGCGCTGCGGATGAAGAGCCATGCGATGTCCTCGCCGTCGGTGTACAGGTACTTGAGCAGGAACTCCCTGTCCTCCTCCGTCGCACTGTCCTTCCACCAGCCCACTGCCGTCTCATTGTCATGCGTGCCTGGCCACATCGACACAATGACAGATTACAGCCACCTGCAAATTTTGGCTGAGCGGGCTCTCCTTAGACGAGACCATGGATCAACGATCAGCTTTGGATGCTCGTTAGCCATCTGATTGGCAAGGGGGAGTATAAAGAATGACTGTTGACTGTCATGCAGAGTCATTGTTTATGCTCCTCTCTTGGAGGATTGTGTTAGAGCCTCTGGACGGCCCAGGAATGCTGTGAAAGTGTGGCATGGGGATGTTGTGAGGGTTGAATGCCTGAGTTGGTGGTTAGGATTGGGCTGACCTGGGTAGACGACGCTATTCTCATAGTGGTTGTGGGGCAGGTGCACGTTGGTGGCGCCGCCGCTCCAGGCAAACTGCAGCACCACCATCCCGGGCGCGCCGATGCTCTCCCGCAGATCCACCACATCCGGTGTAATGACGCCCAGATCCTCTGCAATCACCGGCACATACCCCAGCTCCTGCAAGCAGCAATGCACGCCCTCTGTCAATGCATCAGCGGTCCGCATGGCAATCTCATTATATCTCTGACCTGCAGGAAGGCGAATACATCCTTTAATCAATGCAGTGGTTGGCATGGCGATTTCCTTTGAACCTTTCAATCAGTCTTGATTGACCCCTTGCCACACATAATGGATCTTTCAGTGTCCCCAGAGTGATTGGATGGGTTTTGAGCAATGCCGAGTTTGAGGCGGCATTGTTGTATCAAGTCAGAAAGAGGACTCACCCTGTCGAGCGCGCTGAATAAATCCACGCCAGGGCCCTTCTTCCACACCCCATCCATGGCAGTCTCTGCCTTTGCATCCACCGCATAGTACCCTGCATGGCATCTGAGATGTGAGGGGGCTTTTCACAGGGATTTCTTTCGCATGACATCATCCCTCTGTGCAATGTGTGTGAGGTTTGAGGGGAGGCTATGGATGCGCACCGGCAAAGCCCCTGAAGTGGTCGATCCTGACCTCGTCATGCAGCTGGAAACACCTGCTCAGGCGCTGCACCCACCACCTGAAACCATCCTCTTTGTGCGCCTGCATGCATACACAAATGGCAATGACGTGGCCAACTACGTGTTTAATAGACTCATGCAGGAAGGACTACAATGCCATGCTTGACCAGCATGGCGATGCAAGCAACACAAAGGCATCTCACGTGCCCCCGTGGCATTATGGGAATTATCTCCTGTAATTAGCCAGGCTGCAGCGGCATACCTTCCAATCATAGATGGGCGATCCCCAGAGCTGGCCAGTCTCAGAGAATGCGTCAGGGGGGACACCGCTGACTATGAGGGGCTGCCCATCTGCACCCAGCTCAAATAGGTCCTGGTACGCCCACACGTCCGCACTCTGGCCACCCACGTAGATCGGAATGTCCCCCACTATCTTCACGCCCTTAGAGTTGGCGTACGCCTGCACAAGATTAACATGTTGGGTGACTTCAGGGAGACACCACCATGCCAGCGCAGTGAAAGTTTTGCAACGAGACGGGCAGCGTGAGACAACTGCCATGGGCAACACAAAGCTGGTATACTTCTACAATAAATGCCTGCAGAGACAAAGAATCAGATTGGTCGATTCCTCACCCTGACGGCCTTCCACTGCTTGTCAAAGATGTACTGGAGGGTGATGAAGCGCTCGATCTCGACCTTGAACTTCTCCTTCGCCTCTGCCATCGCTTTCTTCTCCCTGAACCTGCACTCATCCCATGCAACCCCTCATGAACATTGTTCTCGCTGCCCTTCCCATCCTGTATGCCTCCTTCCCTTGCAAACCAGTGGAAAGATGTGTCAATTCCTTTCATTCATGGACTGACACCTTGAATTGTGTAAACGCGCCCCCAAGGGAGTACCTGATGGGCTCCGGCCAGAACCACCAGGCATTGCCAACGAGCTCCTCCTCGTCGTGGCTGAGCGCATAGAAGAGGGCGCTGTCTTCCACCCAGGGATTGAGCTGCCTGAAGCCAGCCGCCTCCTCCCTCTGCTGCTTGAACTTGTCCTCCTGCCTCAGGCGATCCGCCGCCTTGCGCAGGAGAGCCCCTTTCACTTCCCTGACCTGCAAATCATGCCACAATCCTCAAACTTGCTCTCATCCGATGATGCACAAAGCAGAGATCTCAGGTTTGATTTCATTCATAAACTGGATAGGGAGCAAGGATCAGAATTGTCTCAGGCAGGTTAGACAGGGATGGGCAAAATTGCATTCAACAATCTTAATGCACTTTAGCAATTCCGTATTTGCTGAACAATGTGCTTTGGTCATGCCGTCGTAGGTATAAAGCACCTTGAAGAAATCGGCAGCAAGGTGTTGCTCAATCACTGGAGGCAGGTCAGCCTCATCCAGCAGGCCCTCCTTGACCAGCTCGTCCAGGCTGATCATGAGGGTGCTGCCACACAGGGCATCCAGGCCAGTGTAGGGCGACCAAAACTCCTCCTCTGGGGGCACCAGCGGCAGCACCTAGAGGGTGTAAGCAACCATCAACATCGCAACATTCATATGCAGCAATGAAGATTTTTCGATGGAAAGGCAGTTGTGAGTGTGGGCGCTGTGAAGCAGCCTGCATGTGCTGTGACAGGCTGATGTGGCAAGGGGGTGGTTGGTGTCACCTGCCACATGCTGAGGCCGGCAGACACCATCCAGTCCACCAATCTGTAGGCCTCTTCGCCAATTTCGCCGACGCCGTAGGGCCCCGGTAGGGATGTGGGGTGGATGATCACACCTGCACATCAGCATGCTGAGTGAGCATCAGGCCTGTATCAGTACATGACGACTAGAATATGCAACACACCTGAATATCCTGCGCAACCATTGTGACCCCTTAAGCAGGCAGCTTGCAAAATTGCATTACGTCAGGGATGCACGTCATTGAAGCACCTGCTCTGCGGTTCTTAGGTGGCCCGCTCGTGCTGCTGCCATAGTCGTCATCGAGGTCTTCGCCAGCCCACATGCTGCTGTAGGTACGCCTCAGGCGCGGCCGCTCAGCAGCTGGCTCGACAGGTGGAGCGCCAGCCATCACTGCCCACCGACCTTGCCTTCTGCTTTGATGCGTCCTTGCGCCTTTCCGACGCCCCTGAAGTGTCATGTGAGTACTCCAAGGGTCATATTTTGCTGTATTTGTGGACATGCTGAGGACTTCGCCATGACAAAACTGATGACAACGAAGAGGAGTCGCACCTGGGGAATGGAGGCAAGAGTTCTGCTGCTGGATGTCTGGAGACTGCAGGGACGCGCACGGTGTAAGGCAGAGCCAAGCACCCTTGACATGGCCTGGTCCAGGCTCCTTGGCAGAAGCCTGCACCCTGTCGGAAAGACGTGCCCAAGCAAACACGGTCAATCACCTGCGATACGTAAATTTAGGACTCAGGCATCTGTTGCAGCGAATCACCTCGATGCCACTTGAAAATAAATGGGTCTCGATTAGGGTGTGGGTGATTAACAAGCTAAACTGAAATGCAAGCGAATCTCTTCCACATCAGGCAATTGCCGTTTTTATAGAAAGCACATATTGCTGTAGAGAGACGCTTAGTTACGATTAGATATTCATGCAAGCCTTCCCTGGCGAGTAGGGGCGCCTTTACACATAAAGATGGGGTGCAGTGTTACTGGGGCTCTCACTAGCTCCCGCGTAACATTCATCAATACTATAATAGATCTGTATTGCTATTGAACACAGAAGTGGCGACGAGCAATAGCTTCGGGACAGTGCTACGGGATGAGTGCGAGGTAAAATCCGCACCTCGTGACGAGCGGCTATGTTGGGTAGCAGAAGATGCTGCACAGATCAAACTGCAACTCCTCGATCAAGGCGGTTCGTTCAGAGCCTGGTTGAGGCAAAGCCCGGACATTCAACCCCGAGATTGTGCCAAGGAACGCCTGAGGAGGACGTGGACCACCGGTATACCCTAGGGCTTCTGACTGAGCAGGCCTGCTCATTTCCTTCCTCTCAGTGAGCCTCTCAGTGAAATTCGTTTTGGTCTGACTCGTGTAAGTGGCCCTAAGAAGAATTTGCTGTGAATCGTCCGGTCTGAAGTAGAGATTTTTTTGCGAACGTACCTTCTCACCTTTCTGTTCGTAGAATCCAGCTATGGCGCAGCCTTATTTAAGTGAAATGCCCCAAGTCTGCGGAGTGCCTGGGACTCCAGCAGTACAGAATCACTTCGACGTCAATGCTGCTGTCCGGGCGCGTGCAGGCGTTTATATTCACCGGGTGAAAAGACTGAAAGGTAGACTTTTTTTCCATCCCTGTTATCACTTTCCCTTCCCTATTATCCATTTTCCTTCCCTGCTACAGCTCTTTAGAGAGCATGTGTAGCTAATGGAAATCAACCTGCACATTGCAGCGGAAGGGGTCGCTGTGGCGGACGAAATTCTCTCTTTGGCAATGGAAAACGAGGGAAGGGCTGTGAACCCTTTTGGTGAGGCCCCACCACCTCATCAGCTTACTCTTATTGCACAGCATACATGTCATGCTGCATACAAGGCCTGACCAGCATTTCCTTGAGAGAATCTCTTCTCTGCTGCTTGCCTTCCGACAAGCAGCTGGTCAAATTTCTCCAATTCCTTATGGTGCAGGGGACCTCGGTGTAGCCGCGCAGCTGCAGCAGCTAAACCATGATATAATGCAGGAATTCCAAAACGTACAAGGGCGCCTGGACAACCTACAAAACAACCTCGGAGACCGCCTGGACAACCTCGGAGAACGTCTGATTGCCAGCAGTAATAACCAGAGCATCCGCATACAGAACATGCGTGCTACCGACGAGTCACACAGGCTACTTCCTCTTCAGAGAGAGGCCGCGGTGCCCAACCCCCCTCCGGCAGGGGCGGGTGCAGTTGGGGAAAGTCCAGTGGTGGGTCATCGCCTGTTGATACGAGAATATGCGCCCCTTGCAGCTTACCTTCAGAAATGCTTCATTTTTTGTCATTCTTCAATGGTTTTGCAAACAGAAGGCATGCAATTACTCAGGAGTGGACAACTTCTTGCGGCAACGAAGAGTACAACCTGGCAGTAATTCAGGCTCATGTCATGTTGCAGGTGATGCACGAGATTCAGGCAGGGGTATTACAGGGCATCTTCCCGCGCAACAGAGAGGAGATGGGTGTGCTGACTCCAGATGATATGACTGCTCTTGAAACCTTCTATGGGCGAAACCCTGGTGGTGGCATTCGAGCCAGACGGAGAGATTTTGCAATTTTCATTGGTACTCTTCCTCCATGAAAGCAGTCCATCAGCGAGGTATGTTTTATATTGAACGCTATTTAGAGGGTGGACAAGAAACAATGGTCTCAATGAGGGTGTGTTCAGCAAGACATACACCATTTTGGAGAGCTGTATAGCAATAGCACTAGAGAATGCTGTAATTGCCAGAGGAAGTGTCATACATGTGAAGCTCTACGTAGAGTATACTAGAGCGTAGTAAGCAGACATGTCCAGATGTGACCATTACGGACAGTGTGCAGCACATTATGTGATGGTGTGCATCAGAATCTGCAACAAGAAACAGTCACTATCATGTATACAACAGTGTAAGTGGGGATGTGCATACTTGGACGGCATGACTCATTTGTGCTTGAGAACAATCTCAGATAGGCTATGCTGCAGCCATGCACATGCACAGTGTGCGTTCATGATCACTAGTGTATTTAGCAACGCCAAACTGACTAGGCAATCCTGTGACCTCCACCCTCACGTCCAAGGCAAGCTGCCCTGTCCATGTAGGCAGGATGCAGTGACGCACACATTTATTTTTCATCAAGCGCACAGGTGGATGTGTTGAACAGCATGAACGAGCAGGAACGCCCTCCCCCGAAACGGACTCCAACTTGCATGCTCCCGGGGCCCTCTTTCTCAAATCATTAGTGTGGCGCTCTTTTACGAACTTTCTGCGTTACTGGAGTCTTTGTAAACTTTGTCTCTCTGGACGTGCATTCGTTCAAGTTTTCAAATCAGCAAGCATGTTCCTCCAGCTTCAAGGACTTCTCTCATCACACTTGAAGGTGGGTTGTCATGCTAGCTGAGGCAAGCTAGCTGAAATCTGACCTTTGTCACATCGTAATTTTCTTGTTCCTCTACAGGCGTTCGGAATATGTCGTTCACTGCTGAAATTCGGTGCCTAGATGTATTGCACCAGCGATTATTCGCTTTTTAAACGAGCAAAATTGTCACAACAATCAAACCTCTAACCTCTAGGATACTGTGCCTGTCTACTCTCACATCGCATCTCTGAGATTTTCCTGCATGTGCTAGGCTTTGACTCTGATGCGCACATGGCAGCCTGCGACACTAAGCAGCCTGAGCAGGATGATCTGTTCAACAGCAGCCGAAGCTGGCACGACTGGGCAGGGCTCGGTCAGCACTGCAGCATCAGACGCAGTGCTTAGCTCGAGCAGGCCGCAGCACACGAGGGCCTTCACAACCTCAGCTTCTTTTAAAGAGGAAATGCGGAACACTGGTAGTGCAGCGGCTGAAAGCTCAACGTCTGAAGCCACTGCATCCAGCACAGCTTCTGCAGCTGGGGTTGCGGCATCACAGAGACTGGCTCCCAGGGGTCTTGCAGCGGCGCCTCCCATCACAAAAGTACTGGGCTTTGCAGGTATGACAATTGTGCTGACACCTTTGCACTTGCAAGCATCAAGATCCTCTGCTGTTGGCATACCTGAAAAAGGAAGGTGCTGATCAGCCATGCTCCGTTGTTATTGCATCAGGCCAGAGAAAGTGAGTAATCCTGGGTGCCTGGCAGGTGCAATCCCCTTCCTGGCGCTGTCGCCGCCCATAGCCCAAGCGCTGCCGATGCTGCCGGCGGAGTTGGTAGCCAATGCTGCGCTGCTGCAGATCGGCTATGGGGCCACCATCGCATCCTTCCTGGGAGGCATCCACTGGGCCATGGCCATGGCAGAGTATGGTGGTGCGTGCCAATCCCAGTATCCTGAGGAGCTGTACAAGAGGATCTACCAAGACAATACCTCCTGGTTGACATTCATGGCACTTACCTTCTAGTGGTTTATCCTATAGCTATGCAGCCGAGCCAAAGCTGCGCATGGCAGTCATACCCATGCAATGCCCACAGCCTGTCAAGAATTAGGCAATTGAGGACAGCAGCATGTGGCAGTCACAGCAGTATTTAGTGGCCGCTCGCGCATGTGACGGCTGCGCGCCGTGCAGGGCGGGGCCTGAGCGCGGTGGTGCAGGCGGAGCGCTACCTGTGGAGCGTGACTCCCTGCCTCATGGCCTGGCCGGCTGTCATGCTCGCGCCCGGGCCGGGGTCTCTAATCGTGGGGACAACCCTGGGGGTCGTCTATGCGGTAGACCGCCACTTTGCGGCCAAGGCGCTGCTGCCAGCCTGGTACTGTTTCAAGTTGTCCATACCAGCCTTACTGTCTTGCACAAGAAATGGGGGGAATGTAGTTCAGGCACCCACAACGGCAGACAATCACAAGCCAGTAATAGGCCCTGCTGCCAGCCTGGTACTGAGGGCAGCCTATTGCTTCAGCTTTGCAGATATGCACAGGAAGATAAAAGTATAGATCAGATAGCTGCAGACAGTCAAAAGCCAGCAAGGTTTCATGCACACTATCCATGAAAGATCTTGTTCCATACAGGTACATGTCGCTGCGGCTGCCGCTTACACTGGCGGCCGTCACCGGCATGGGCTGCACTCTCGCCGCCTCACTCCTCTACGGCGACCGGCCGCGGCCCCGGCAGCCCCACGCCTGAAACTCAGTATAGAGCATGCAGTACTGCCACCGTGCCACTGTGACAGAGGGACTGGGGTAGGCATGCAGCACGGACAGGTCTGTTATCGCAATCGTTTCATGTCGGGTTGTAATAGCGGATATGATGGTGGGGATGGAGGTGAAGGTTTACGCTGACGCCATACTCTTCTTGGTTGGGCCTAATTCTGAGGTGGCTGCACATATTCTGCATGTAACAAAGTACTACTTCATTAAACACATTGTATAGTATATGTAATGTTTTGCGGGCAGCGAGAAAATAATCAATGATATAGGCTCATACACAGATCAAACAAATATGCCAGGTGGCGGCGACATGCTGTACAGGCAAATCTAAGATTCAAAGCAAAATTGTGATGCGACAGCCGGTGTCATTCAGCAACACACTATAGTCAACAAAGAGGGTCCAAATTTATGAAAAGAATCGCCATATCAAAAGCACACGATCTGAACAACGCCACAATGAATAAACGAAGCTGAGGTCCTGTATAGAATTGTCGGCAACAAGCTGGGGCCCTGTAAGGGGCTGTCAGCAAAAACATCACTTGTTTCTGTGGCCCCCAGTCCACTTGTTCTTATGGTGCTGCACCCTGTGCCGCTGTTGCGCCGGCTCATACAGGTCAGCACGTTTGGACCTGTTTCCTGCTGTTGCTGGCTCATCCAGTAATGCAGCAGCCCCTGTTCCTGCCACGAGAGTGGCACTCCCATTGAAAGGCACATGTTCCTCCCTTATATGAGGAGGCACATCACCTGTCCTTTTAGAAGGTACATCATCCTCCCTGAGAGAAGGATCCTCCACGTCATCCACACCCTTCTTCTCGCTACCCCTCTCCTTCAACCCTAGTAGATCCACTAAGTCTGCGCTGACACCTCCGTCACCCTTCGCGTCACCCCCCCTGCTGGACACCTCAGCGCGCGGTTTTACACCCCCGGCCCCTGCCGGCGAGGAGCTGCGGCCGACGCCCACAGAATCATGTATTGCTGCAGAGGCACTGGCGGGCGGGAAGGCCTTGGGGTCACTGTCAGCGTGCCAGTAGGACAGCAGAGGGAGCGCATGAGCAGGCAGGCAGGCGGTGCTGCTGCAGGTGTTGAACACTGCATCAATGATGTCGATGACCCGGCCGAGCGGCGAGCCCGGCACCGGCTGGTGGCCGTTATGGCCCGGGTAGCGCGTGTGCAGCGACATCGACTTGCCAACGTACTCCTGCGCACCCACAGCAAACGCTCCTTGCACCTCTATTTCCCTCACGTGCATCCCTTGAGGCTAAGCAGGACATTCCATGCCTCCCAGCCACTGGCCTGCACATCAGTCTGCCGCACTCCGCTGCTCCATGCCCAATCCATGCCACACTTGACTGTATTCATAAATTGTCAAATTTTATTCGATCCCCACACGCATGCCTGCAATGCAAATTTTTCCTGCACTTAGAGACCTCTGCCAGATCTATGCCTGCGTGCTCCCTGTGCGGGCACAGGGGGAAGCAGATTTAGGGGCCGCACCTCAAAGTAGGTGTCATTGACGGGGGCATCGTTGGTGAAGCAGCCAGGGGCGTTGTGCGAGCCCGGCCAGTGCGCGTCCCACCACCCGAGCGGCTGGTCGTACATGATGTTGTCTGGGGCGCCGCTGTTGTCCTTGCGGATGACCAGGCGCAGCACGCAGAAGGCCCATATGTCGCTCAGGTTCTCAAAGTCCACCACTGTGAAGTAGCCGTTCGGCCTGCACACCTGTGAGAGCATGGCCAGCGCTGAGTACATATCAATCTGACAATGCACCGCAGATGAGTGGCTACATACAGCGCTATCTAGGGACTTTAAGACATTCTAGACGTGCAGAGCTCGACTGCGGGCACTATGAACAAAGAGAGTCTGAGAATTCCTGCAGCCTTTGCAATTCATGACGCCAAAAGTGCAGACGCAATAAATTTTGGAGCTGACAGGGCCTGCTCTTTGCCTTCCTCTGTCACGTCCGTTCCAGGGACAGGCCTCTGACCGGCTTGATTTCACCTCTGGTATGACCACACTGAGATACATGCATTCCTCTCGTGAATCAAGTAGATATCCTCATTGTGGGGCAGTTTATTGCAGCATGCATGGCAGGGATGTGTTAAAGAAAGGCCTGGCTTGGCCTGGGGCACAACAGACACATGATCCCAAATAGCCAGACAAGACAGGACCCCCAGTCCTGGGGCGTGCCTTGTCAACGATGTCCTCTTTGAGATTGGGGTGGTCCAGGGGCATGGTCATGGTGGTGGCCAGGATGCGCTGCGCCAGGGCCGAGCGCTGTTTGATGTAGAACACATGCGCGTTCATCCAGCGCATGGCAAACTGGTAGCCCACCCCCACAGTCACGCTGTACACGTCTTGCATCAGTACCGTGTCGCCGTCAATCCTGCACATGAGATCATAACTACATCACTCATGCGCAACTCTGAATGCCACTGCATGTGGTGGTCTCATGCAGGGTGCCTGATCCGGTGATGGAGGCGTCGTCCACCATACACTAGCAGAGAAAAATGCAATACTTATTGGTGCTTCTGTCTTGGAAGCCAGAACTTCTAAGTGAATTGTCAGAGTCGCAATCAATGGTTTCACACCCGTGACAACCACGGTGAGCTCCACAAAGAAGTCCGGACAACCAAGGGCACAATGATATGAAGCTCGCAGGGAACGTGACATATGATCTTGAGGTGCCGTTGAATTAAGAAATGACATCGCACCAGAGGCCGCCATGGTTGTGCAGCAGGATGTAGCGCACGAGGTCCGAGTAGGAGGCCGGCTTGCCCTCGGGAACTGATGCCTTGATGGCTGCCTCAGAGCCAAAGTAGGCGTCCCCCTCCATTACAGTCCCCTTGACCTCGGCGCCGTAGTCGAACTTGCGCACCCTTACGTTCAAGGCAAACCCCTCGAAGAAGGGGCGTGTGTCATTGTTCACGATGCTGGCCGGGTCGTCCGCCCACAGAATCAGCTCCGTCTTGCTGAGGTCCTGCCATTCAAGGAAAACATCATGCATGACTTGGATTTGCAATCCTCACGCTCACCAAGGGGCAAGCTTACTGAGTAACCCGAGACCACCGACTAGGGTAGGGCTTCAGGTGGATGGCATCTGCCTAACGGCCCGGCATGACGGTACAGCTGCCACCACTGCCGCCAATCACATAGTAAGCCAGGGTGCCGGGTGAGAGAAATCACCGCAGAGAGCGCCAGTCAGTGGGAGGGTGTGCTGGACCGGTGTGTGTGCTGATTTGGGGGAACACACCTGCGTGAGGAGGTAGGCTTTGAGGCTGAGGAGGTTGCCGCGCCAGTCGACGGGGTCCAGGTGGTTCAGGTACTGGTGTATGAGCAGCCGCGGCGGCCGCTCGCACAGATTGGCCTCGGACAGGCAGTCCCGGCAGCGCGCGGATGCCCGCCGCGCCCACCTGTAGCCCTCCGGCACCGTGCACAGGTTGCCGCTGCGCGCAACTTGCACGCTCAGCACCCCCTCGGACAGTTGTGACTGCGTCCCCATTGCAGAGGGACGTTGAGGGACAGGCGGGCGACAAGCTGGATCAAGATTGTTTTGGATGGCTGTGGAGCTGAGACTGCAGGAGAGGCATCGTCATCGATGTAAAAATTGAGGTCTAAGTAGGATCAGTCTTGGGGAGTCTTGTCAGTGGTCACCACCACCACTGGGTGGGCGCATGCTTTGAGCAATAAAGCGCAGGCTGGCCAAAGATCCTGTGCATCATCGAGGACACTCAGATGGACATCAATGATCTCCTCACCTGCCCCATTTCACCTCATCCGTTTCGGTCCCAAAGCCAGATTTGTAGAACGAGCAAACGTCTTGCGCATCGGAATCAGTCTCTTCTAGACGTCTCTCCTGTGGCCTCCTCAGCTCACGAGCTAGAGCTTGGGGGGCTGGCAGCAGGTCACCTGCTGAAGGTGATTGCCACGGGTCACCTGCGTAGAAGTAGTCTTAGGAGATGTATTGTAACCCTTTACTAGCTTGCTAGCTTTTCACTCTGACATCCCTGGTCCTTGTGGATGCTTACAATCACAAGCAAAGGCGATAAGAATGCTGCCAACACTTTGACGATCGGATCAGGACACCATCGATGATCGTTGAACCCAGATGTCAGCACTCCCTCTGGACATTTGACTGACACGTGTAGTCTGCTGTCTGATTGGACAATCTGATGCTTTAAATATGAGCAGTAACATACCTTTATTGCTCGTGGCAACCGCAAGTAGGCAGAGCGCAGTCCCAAAAGTGCCAAGTAGGCCCATTTCTGGCCATCAGATCGGCGACGTTACTGTGTTGTACAGTCTCATTACCACGATAAGTCAGGTTCTTCTTACCCAAAATGAACGTTGATTTTTAATGGGGATACAACGGCCAAGATTTAGTCTCCTGGATTGCATGCAAACGAACTCCAAAGGGCAAGCAGTACCAAGCAGTGCAATTGCATCTGCGACGCTTAAACAGGCTCCAGGGTCTACACTAATTTGTGAGACCTGGACATGCAAATTGACCTGATTGCCACCCAGCAATGGCTGAGTGCTCTCTAAATGTGCCTCCTGTGTCTATCCGAGAATGCGACCCAGCAATGGCCGAGTGCTCTCTACCTCCTGTCTCCTGTGTCTAGCCCTTGCTAAGGAATCATTTGCGAGCATCATTTGGATCCAGTTTGGGATCCGGATGATCCCTATCTCTGCGTGCCCACTGGCAGTGTCACTCTGCCTGATCAACCGAGCTGGGATTCATGACATTGCGATGAAAAGCCTGCAAGATGCTGTCTACCACCAAGCGATTCTGGATGTACAGATCCTCCAGCAGAGTAGAAATGACCGCCCTCTTTGCCTGCAGCTGCTCTGCAGGCATGCCCAAAATGCGCGCCATGCAAGCAGCATCCTCCTCACCAGGATCCTGCATGCATGCAGCCTCAAGGTCATGCCTACACCCACAGTTCTGCGGGATGCATGATGCCCCCAACATGGGACCCTGGTGTCAGAAACGCCGCGCCCTGTATGGCGTGCGATTGACTCAACTAACAGCGGGTAACACTACTAGGCAGCATGCATCATTGGCAGCTCCACAGCCCCGGGGCCCGGGCCATTGTTCCTCAGCGAGTCTGCTTAGGAATGAGCTTGGAGGGATTGAATGGCTCTGGAATGAAACAAGAGCATACCTTGAGGAATACTGCGTCCTTGGGCAGGTAGCTGTAGGCTGCCAGCAGCTCGTCATCAGCCAGCAGTGGGGTGCCACAGGTGATTGCTGTTGCGACAGTCGAGGAAGCCTTGGATGTATAGTACACATTCGATGCAAAGGCTGGCAGCACCGCCACTGCATCCTGCACTGCTCTGTAGTACTCCTGTGCAGTAGCACACAACAAACCACATTTGCATCTTTGCTGAGAGCTGGCAAAAAGCAGCACCAGGCACCTACTGCAATGCAGTGTGAGTGATGGTGGAACACAGCAAACCAGAAATTTTGATGGGAAGTTAGGCTCATGAAGGACTCACTGGGTACGCAAGATCTGGCTCCTTCACAATCTTGCCAAGCAGGCCAGGAGGGATGGCCACATCTCCTCGTCCAATCAAACGCAGCGCAAAGTAGTCATTTTGCATCAGGCTTCCATGTTGCAGAATGCTCTCAAAGAGGCCATTGTAGTTCCTCCTGCACCCATTGCGCATAGGTTGCTCCAACGATTGCGCCCATGCATCACTTCAGGTGCCAGCTGGGCAGCTGTTCTGATGGTCCTGCTTTCGACAACCTCAGAAAGCCTGAGAGTTTAGACTGAGCGCCGTACAGGAGAGACATTTCAAGCCAGAAGCTTGCCTGTGAGCTTGGAAGAGACCCTGCAGGACAAAGCTGCTCTGTGTGGCATTGCCTGATGCCCAGCACTGCTTCTCCGTGCATGCAGGCGCCTCCAGGCTGACAGGGAACACCGGCACAAACAACTGCACTGAGGCGTTCAGGTATCCCTGGTGCAGTGCCCGCCTGCACTCCTCCACTGTGTGTGGGGCGAGCGCCAGCACATCCATGCCAACACTCTCTATGAGGCCCTTCACACCTGTACACTAATGGAGCCGATCAATTCTCAAAGATACCACAGCTCTAAAGCAGATGCAGTCTAAGGCCACATATTCCCTACAGAGTACATGATCGCCAGCGCTGCAAGATCACACAGTGCATGAAGAAAACAAATGCATGCCAAAACACAAAGAGCACCTAAAAATGAATGAATGAAGTCTAGATCCGAAAACCAAAGCTCAGCCCTGCTGGCCCATCTGTTGCCTCATGCATTGACTGGATCTGACGTATCATGCACACCTGCTGCATGCAGCTCTTGTGGATTGTGCACAACACCCACGATGCGCTGCTTTCCGCACTCTTGCGCTGCGATGTGTTCTGCCAGTGCCAGGTGATGCTCTGGAAAGGTGGCAAAGACGATGAGATCAAATGCACAGGCCTGCTCCTTGAAGCTCTCAAAGGCCTGAAATTGTGACTTCCACCTGCATCAGAGCATGAAAACATGCATCAAGTCTGCAGTGTAACAGCGATAGTGTCTCAAAACCGACGGATACACTGTCAGTCCTTTCCTTGGCGCTCACAGGAGGACCCACCAGGTCTTGATTACTTCCTCCATCCCTGCTGTACTTTGAACGTGGACAAAGGCTGAGGTCTCAGCACCTGCATTCTGGAATGACCACAACAGTGCTGTATAGACCTCCGTGTGGAAGCCCACACCATTCACGATTGCCACACGCAGCCTTTCGCTTGTGACAGGAGGAATGATGTCTTCTGGGGAAGGTAAAGCACAAAGCTTTAGCAGAGGGTCGCCCACATCCAATCCTTGAGCGGATTAGTTGACATTGCGACATGCCGCGATGAACAAGGGAACCTTCCCGGCAAAGGTGGTAGCCTGGTAATGTTTGCCAAGGTGGACATCCTCCAGACCTGACAAGGGATGCCTGGACCTTGGACGTGTACTGGTGGCACCCGAAGGAATTGAAACTTGCAGCAGCACCAGCAGGGTCGATGCAGCGATCCCTCGCCACTTCATCTCACTGGCAGGTTCTCAGCATGACCTTGACAGGCGATGTCCAAGATGTGCAGGGTTGCACTACAGAATACCAGTCACGATCTTTAACAGAGTCAACAACTGTATTAATATCTATGGATATTGGCAGTGATTGAAAGGGATTGTGAATGGTTGCCGCTGACAGGTTGATCCATATTTACATCTGCACAGTTGCACTTGATGCGGCCTGGGTCGCATTTGAAAAGGTCAAGGGACATGTCTGATGATAGTTTTTCTCCATCACACTCTGCCAAAAGTGTGCACAATGTGACACGAGCGAGTGGCCGGGGCAACACAGCCTGAACACAAAGGAGAGAAACGCTCCCAGCCAGATTTGGCTTGGGGTTCAAGATCATGCATGACAGAGCAATTTCCTGATCACTTCTCTCCAGTGTCAGGGGGAGTAAGCCAAGATGCTCTTCTGGGAATACTCCACTTAACTTGATCTATCTCACACTTTTAGGAAATGCGCTGCGGTCATACAGGCTGCTGATGCCAACATCAACTTGAAACAGTAGACACGTGCACACAACTTCAGATTTCTGAAGATTTTTGCGGCTCCGGCCAGATGCAAACTTCAACCTGTCATGACAAGATAATTTGGCACACACCACCCCGTCACAGTAAATTATGTGCACTTATGTGATGCTTGTGATCAGTGACATTTGTCAAGAGAGACACTGTTGGGTTTGGAGCATCATGCTATGACAGGCATATACAGATGGAAGATGTTTACAAACATGACGACGCACTGCATGGCATGCACTGAACTATCCAAAGCAGGGGTTTTGAGGATCCAGTCACACTTCCCCTGAATAAATCAGCCTAGCAGACATCAAAGTTGCCAAACTTTGTAAGGTGCCAGCCAGTGACAATTGTCTGGCATAGGATGCATGCCTCACTGGACTGAACAGCAGCCTTCAAGGTGGAATTACTTATGCCAAGCCACCAGGAGCAAATGGCAGCACACTGTGGCAACTGGCTTTGTTTCTGGCCAGGAAAAGGCAGAATTTGCTGTCATCACAGGCACTCCCAGAGCTGGTGTTCCCAGGATCGTTTGTTATGTTTTGCCATATATAGGCCGATGCACAGGACAAGGAACATCAGCAAGAACGTAAGCACAGCATTATAAACGCTTTTCCTGAATGATCTGATGGATGCTGACCTGCAGCAGAAGGAATTATTCATCAGAAACTGGTGACTTGCGCACACAGTGTACCACTTGTATGCACCCACTTGAGCACTGGGTTGTCAAGCTGACAGAGGGGGATGCTGCATACTACATGGATGGCATTCAGAGCGTTCCAGCAGTGTGCACATTAGAATGATTACACGCTTTTCCTGCCAGAAGCAAGGTGCGTCTGCAGACAAGCTGCAGTAAAGGCTGCCAAAATCCTACCCCTTGATGGACTCGCCAGATCCAAGCAAGACCCAATCAACCGTGGGCACGGTGCTTAGTATTTATACCGCCCCCCGCCAGCCGGTGCCAGCACATTAAGAGGCAATAAAAGAATAGAAAGTGTATGACAGGGCCTCTTTGCTGCCGCTTTCCCAAATTGCCACATTGGCTACAATTGTGGCTTGCAAAATGTATCCTATGACAAGGACACTCAACTCCTGCATCGGCACAGTGCAAAGCCACAGGGATCACTTTGGGGGTTACTCACCTTTTTGCCCTCTTACGGAAAGCCCCATACTTGCTCTCCGTATGCTTCATGCCCCGTAGAGCTAGGCCCAAGAACAGCTGCCTCAGCCCGTGCATGTCTGAGTTGGTGGATGCTGTGCAGACGCCCCATGAGTACTTGCGCACGAGCTCCGACCTGCTCAAGCACATGCAAATAGTTAGTCGCCATTCCTATATTACTAAAAAACCTGCCCGATCGAGCACAATCCTGCAAGCACCATCCACTGGATTGGCAATAACGCCTGTGAAGATACGTCTGCTGCCGCAATCTGTGAATAAGGTATACAAGCTGTTCTTCGGCAAACACACAGGCCGCTAATCTCCGACAGAGTCTAGCTGATTGGATTGTGCCAGCTTGACTGCAGTGGCAAATTGAAAGATCCTCACCTGCCGAATGAGGTCAACAGAGTACTGTCCACACTAGTGTCCATGTCAGTGCCAGCAGTGATAGCAAATGGTGGACCTCGCACCAGACCTGCCCACCGGTCACAAGTGAGTGTAATCAGTAGTGTCTTATTACTTTACTGAGTTCCCACAGGCAAAGAATGAGGGAACCGTACAGTATTTGTCAGGACCAAATCCACAGCTCTGAGGCGTCCAGTGGGGCGCACCGGCAGCAAATAAGGCCTGCTTATCCAAACCACATACGGTGGAACTGCCAATGCAAGCGGGGATTCTGTTGAGTGTTCCAAGGACCCGCTCATGCATCTTCTTCATCTCGTGGTCTGTCATAGCATCCGCCTGCATCACACCAAGTGACTCAGAGGTGACTCATCGATATCGGGCACCACATGCATGTTCTGCGAAACCGGAAAAGATTGTTGCAAAAATACTTTGCAGCACTGAGGCCTTGTACATGATCTTTTCTTGAGTACAGTCAGTGTCTTGCATCGACACCAAGGACTTCTGAGGGAATCGCGTTTCATCGGGAGGGTGTAAGAGGTTCTAGCTCACCTTGGCCAATATGGGAATCACAGGCAGAAGCTGAGACAACTTTCGTATGAAGATCGCCTCTGCCATCTTGAAAGAATGGGGCGGGATGAGGTACCTGTGCAGAGCAAAGGGTTAGTCATGCAACTTGACATCAGTGACCAGCTGACAGAGCACATGCCGAATGAACTCACAGAACTTCTGATTCAGAAGCATCCTGTGCGGCTCTGACACGAGGATGGCATCAGGCATATTTCACTTTTGCAATTTTAAAGCAAGGAAGGTGAGTAGGGATGTGTATGGAATTTACAAGCAGGCGTCGAAGCGGTCATCGCACTGGCAGGCCTTGGGACAGGTGGCGCCTTCTGTCTTCATGTGCTTCTGAAGCTGCTCTTTCACCCGAGCTGACACGATTTCCACTGCTCCTGAAAGCTCCTGTACAATAAACCACTCTGAAAGCAGTCCACACATGAGATGACCAATTGCAGCATGAGAACGCGGCAGTGCTGCAAGCAGGACACCACATTGGCGTGCTGGGCTTGCATGCAGATTGCGCAGTGACTGAGTCAGTGTGACAGATTACAGATGTATTCTGAGAACCTTCAAGGGACTAGACAAGCAGCAGCGGCAGCAGCACTAGCATGTGCATGAGCACGTGACACTTCGTCGTAGTCATCTGTGAAGTGACCTGGAAAGGCACAGGCAGACAAGACGAGCGCCAGCACAACACAACTCCCCCAGAGAGTCTCAGGGTCCCATTGGATGCCTGGGAGACGGTCTGAACACAAAAACCATACAGCACAGAATTCCTGACGGCCAATATAGCAGCGCTGACTCACCTCAAAGCAGAAGTGGTAGATGGTGTTATCATGCTCGTACTCCACACTTGTCTCACACCGGCTGACCTTGATTTGGGCATTGCATGTGCGCACGCGGCCATGGACGCTGCCCTGCTGAGGCTGAGCAAGCCTGGAAGCCACCCACCCAAAACTCCCTGCCATGTTCTTGATGAAGGTGCTCTTGCCCACGCCAGTCTCACCCACCTGAAAGTCCAGAAGGATGGTTATGTGTCTCAAACAACAGATTCTCAACTGCTGGCAAGTATTGTACAATAAATGGTTGACAACGAATGCAAGCTCGACAGGGTGCAGATGTGCTCGAAGATGTGCAAGCTCCAAGAGGCTTGCAAAGGGTCCCTCAATGATGAAGTGAGTGTAGTTAGAAACTCACCAACAGCAGCTTCAGGAAGGCGTGTGCTGGCTTCTTTTTGGCCGGGGCTTGGGTTGCTTTGCCATGAGATGGGACTGGCTTGGGGGCTCCTTGTGCGCTTGAAGGGGGCGTGCTGCGGGCTGGAGTGCTCACTTTAAGCCCCATCTTCACATCAGTCTTGATGCCAGCAGCGGTGTCTTGTGGCGTCTCTTGTGGCATATTCTTCAGAACCACCTGGGATTCTTTTGGGGGAGATTCCTCCCGGGCCACCTGGGTGACAGAACCCATTTGAGTGTTCAGGTTTGGTGCTGTCCGGAAAAATCTGCTGACGGCAGGTTGGTGCTACGTGCAAGTCTAGGATCTCTCACCATCTTGTTGTGTGAAGGACTCGTGGATCTCATGGCGTTGACAGTCGAGGGATTAGGCTCAGAGCCGCCGTCCTCGGTAGCAATCGACCCATCAAACTGCTTGACCAAACCCTGGGTTGTCGAGGGGTGACTTCCTGCAAGAACGCAAGACCAGCTTTGAACCACAGCTGTCAGCTACATCGATAAGCTACCCTAAGCCTGCCTGAGATCAAAAAGGAAAACCTCAATTTGCTTGCCTGTCGCCACTGATTGCTGCTGCTGCAACACCGCCAAGATCCTCCATTTCGACCGTCACGCCTATATGTGTACTTCGGTCAGACATCAGTGAAAGTATCCTTTGAGCTTTAGACATGTGGCCATCAATCCATCAACAAACAAACAGAGAAGACGTACTTGCGGTGTCGCACGGGTCTCCTGAATCCTTGTCGAGAGCACGAACGACATGCCTGGGATGTACATGACCAAATGTTAGAAGCACAGCAATATAAGGGCACAAGAACAGCAGAATGTGGAAGTTTGCGAATGTCGCCACAATGCTGGCGGCATCGACAATCACCAAAACAACCGCCACAATGTTGCGCTCACCAGGTGTCCTCGACGGGCTCCGAGGTTTTGAACGACTTGTCCTCCATGTCAATCAGTATTTCTTCAAGGGTTTCTCGCACGAATTCTTGGTTTGCTTCTGAAGGCATCTGTCGAAGATTCAGATCGCAGCAGCCGGGTGTTGACGCCAAAACCCTCGCAGGGTTTCGTATTGTCGGGTATATGCAACCCTGCAGGTGACTGACTGACTCACCCTTCGAAAGCCAAGCCATTGCGCGTCTCGGAACTGATCGTTGATCTCACGCTGATCCAATCGGCGTGCGTTCGGGTCGTAGTTAATGGTTGTATGTAAACCTGCTAAATTCTGCTGAAATACCCCATCAATCAAAAGTCCCGGCCGTGACCTCGATCGTTGGGTCGAGAACTTGCCGAGGCACTTTCTGAAAGCCTGGAAGGGTTTGGGGTTTCAGCGTACTGCTGTCCCACTATCTTGGTATCTTTCTTCCAAATGTGAGGTTGGAATAAGGATGATTGTTCGAGGTGGGTAGGTGCGCGCCAACACTAGAGATCGTGGCCCGCACTTGAATGAAATGATGATGCCTTCTGTCTGCTTTCAGAGTCTTTCACTCAGGAAACTGAAATTATAACAAAAAGTACCCACATCAGAAAGTTGCAGCGGCTTTCACTGCACTGTTTTTTATAGTTTACTTCATCGCAGGTGTGGAAATCCTGGAGTTCAGTGCTGCACGGCGAGCCAGCAGCAAATGATGATCCTGCAGTAGCACGCAGCCAAATCGATTTCCAGGCGACCATCTCAAAGTGGCAGACCTGCTGATCCGAGGTGGCAGCCTGACCAGCGCCACAACAACAGCCCGGCGCACCTTCCACGAACCTGAGCCCCACTCTCCTCAGGGCAAATACCCGGCCACCAGCAGGGTTAGCGCACAGCAGCGCAGCCCTGCAGGTGACTTTAACCCTGACATTCCTCCCTTGCACCCTCTCTACTTTACTTCAATGATTATGCAGAGGTTGTGCCAAAGTGATGCCTTGTGAAGGGTTTGCTGAGGAGCCCCTGCTCTGCAGCCTTCTCTCAGCACACCATCAGTGCACCATGGAAAGGTGTCGCCATGTTGCTGGCCTGGGAAGGATTTGCTGAGTGTCTCCCGCTCTGCAGCCTTCTCTCAGCACACCATCAGTGTACAATGCAGAGCTTCTACCAGTTTGCCGTCCTGTGATCAGACAATGAAGAGGTTGCTGAGAACCTTCTGCTCTGCAGCCTTCCCTCAGCACAAGATTAATGCACCATGCAGAGGTTCTGCCAAAATTACAGTTATAGAATATCTCCTGAGATGAGATATTGCCTGCATGGCAGGTGCCGGGCGCGCGTATTGGGGAATGGTGCTGACCAAGATCGTTTCCCTTTGCTTCCTGACGTCAGCGGTAGTAATCTTCTTCAATGTGCTGACCGGGCGCCACCAGGAGCTTGCGGATGAGGTGTCCTCCGTGCTCCACCAGTCCTTCACCCGATCCACCTATGAGGTCCACGATCCAAAGGTCCTGGAAGTGCGCCACGAGGTGCGCTGCAGCTCTGCTCCTCTTTGCTTGCCACTCCAAGTAGCTGCATCCTCTACAAACCTGCCAGCTACTTGTTGGGCACATGTCCATCTTGGTCTGCTTGTATTCACAAATTCTTGACCAACGAAGTACCATGGGATGGGGTTTGTGTGCAGCTTACTCATTTTCACATGTGCAGCTTGGTCAGCTCGTACTGAATGACCCTTGATCGACAAAGAACCATGGGCGATGTGAGTTGTATGCTCCTTGTGAGTTGCATGCACAAAAGATCACAGCATGTTATGCGCGTGTGAGCAGGAGGTGGCTGGGATGGAGGTAGTGCTGGTGCGGAGCAAGGATCCCAGGGGCGTGCTCATAGTCATGCACGGCTGCATGCGGCGGCCGACAGACTGGTGGCACTACGATCCAGCCTGCGTTACATGCATTGGTGCGCTCCTCTAGAGTTTATAACTTGATTTTGAATCTGAAAACGGCCTCCCTGACACTCCTTGCCCGTTTCCTGCATCTTCTTCCTAATACAGTGCCACACACCCTAGCAGGCCTTTCAATAGCGTTTTTAATGAGAAAGCACACAGGGAGATACTTGTAAATGCGGAAAATGGTAGGGTCTTGCGTCAAGCTTGGGGCTGCAATCCTGTGAATTGGAGGTCTAGCCGTATGTTGCCATTATTTTCCCCTCGAATTACATACTGCTATGTCTCCATGTGGCGTGGCTTGAGGCTTGCAGGAACAAAATCCACTCATCAACTTGCGGTCTTGCCTGCGCTCAGGGCTCCCAGAGGAAATGGCGATAGCGCGCGCGGCATTGGCGCGCAGCTTTGACGTGCTGGCACTGACGCCGAAGGAGCAGGCATACCGGTGCTGGGACACCGAGTGGCCTGACAAATCCGAAGACGTGCCCAGGGTGAGCCTTCTTAGAGTGTCCCCTCTCGATACTTCAGCTGAGCAAATGGTGCGGAAATGGCTGATCCCAATGACTGTGCATTGAGGCGCCCACCACCTCGAAGGACATCCAAGGCGACCTGATGAGGGGTTGTTGTCTAAGTGTGCATTGCCGCTCGCTTGTCAACAAGACAGGCGCCCTCAGGATGTGACTGCTGCGCATGCATGATGGGTTGGGTCCATGGCACAGGTGGCAGCTGTGTTGGAGGAGCTGGAGGCTCGGGACTATGGCTACAGGGGGCTGCCCAGATATGCGCTGGGGGTGTCCTCTGGGGGAGCCATGGCTATGGTGCTCGCGCAGTTCTTCCCCCTGCAGGTGCGCGACACTCCCATTGGAACAAGCTTAACCTGCTGCCTGGTCTCTCTTTGCCACAGCGGTTCTTGGCCCCAATGCAGCACCTTGCTGTGCTGACACCTGCCGGGCTGCAGGCATGTGACTTAAGGGTGCCTGAGTGCCCCATAGACCAAATCAGGACCTTCTGATCCCGAATGGCATTAATTACAGGATTACCCACTTCGACGTCAACCTGGTGCCGTAGAGTCCAGTATATTATATGTGTCACGGCGGTCATGTTGACCTTTTGGCAGCTGCTGCTCTTATCATGGACAACCGAAGATGTGCAATGCTGATGGACATGCTTGTGGCTCGTTCTTGAGGACATGCAAACGACAAAAGAGTGTGCAGAGCGAGAAAAGTCTCTTTTTCTGAGGTACCACCCCTAATCATGCTGGCTGGGGCGGCAGGGGATCTGCTCGCAGATCATGGGGATCCGGCCGTCGCTGCTGGCGCTGCCAAAGAACAAAACAATGGCGGGGCGGCCGTGGCGCTACCCGCCAACCTTCTTCCTGTACATGGCGCGCGACGTGGCCATGTCCGAGTGGATCTCCCTCGACGCCGACAAACTCAAGAGCCAGGTCAGCCTCCACATCCGGTTGTTGTATTCCAGGGGTCGCTAGTAACCAAAAGACTTCTAGATGCGGCATCCTATCACAGCGTGCATAGCAGGGATGTGCACAACACAGGCCGGCTTGGGTGAAGGATGATCACACCATATCCTGCGCCACAACCGAACCTACTAGAAGAGCCTGCGCGTACATGACTACTGAGGCACCCGCGTTGAGAATGTCCATGCCACTGTCAGCTGCCCAGAGTCGAGTGTGGGGTGCATGCGTCCATTTTTTGGGCAGCGAGAATGATTGCCATGCCCATGATGAAATCTCTGCCAATGTTAGGGGAGTCTACAGTTGCCAAACTCGGTCCTGGGGATTTGTAAATAGCTGAAGGAAATTAATTTGGCGGTGCAGGGGGTGTATGTGAAGAAGGTGAGCGTGCTGCCGAGGCCGATAACGCCGACATATTTCTCGGATCGAATCAGTTCCCTGGACAACGCGACCAGCGCTGCCATATACCACGCGCTGCAGGGCGCCCATATGCTCGACCTGCAGGACATGCTCGTGCAGGACCCCAGGCAAGTCATGTCCCTGCAGTCATGCAAGCCTTGCCACTGCCCAAGCTCACCATGACGGAGGGCCTGAGCACACTTCCTGATGTGCCCTGAAATCAGACCTGTTTGAGGATAGTGCGCTTCTTAGAACGGGCTTGGCCAAACACCAGCAAGGAGCAGAGCGTTTCGGCCCAGCAAATCTGTTTAGCAAGACAGGAGATGCCAAGATTGCACCTTTACTGCTGCCCTGAAGCAGTGTCTAGCAGCGGCGGGCCCCAGAGAATTGATATTCCATGCTGTGGAAGGATGATGCAAATATGACTTGCCCAAGGGTGGAATACTGTCTGATTAGCAGCGCAACACAGATTTCTGTCATACTTTCTGACAAGAAGTTTTTGTGACCATGAGTAACTGTCATGTTTGGGCATGTGCAGGCCGAGCGCGCCCAGGTGGCGGCAGGTGCTGCAGGAGAATGTCCCCGGCCTGCGCGGCGTCAGCCTGGAGTCCGAGACCTCCCCCATCCACGAGCTGCTGAATCTGGCGTGGGCAGGCCACGAGATCGTGTCCGACTACGCGGATGACATGTTTGCCTTCTGGGAGCGGCCGGGGCCGGACGAGGCCGAGCTGATGCCCATCGGCGGCATCGGTGCCAGCAGCAAGATGCGCGGGGGCGGCAGCTGGACCGAGGACAAGGGGCTCACGGGCAGGCGCTTGCAGGGGGACCCACTGAGGCTTCAGGGCCATCGCGGGTGGATTGCGCTCGGCATGAGGAGCGCATGAGGAAGGCTGGGATGTCTAGACAGGCTACAACCTGCTGTGAAAAAGGGTTTGCAGGGGACCCAATGAGGGTGTCTGGGGGGAGACTCGTTGGCCATGGAGGAGATGAGTCGCCAAGTTACAAGACATGAAGACGGAGCAAGTGCAGTTGGATGGAGTTGAAGCTGTCACGCTGCATGCTGGTGCTCCCTGCTGGGGAAGATCTGGAGTGCTGCGTGAGAGACAAGACTGGGGGATGAATCGCAGCCTGTTGTGAGGCTGCCGAGCTTCTCTGGGGCAGATCCCCTGCTATCCCTTGAAATTCAGTGCTTGACCTCGGCAGCTACGGATTTGTGCTTGCACAGGAGGTGACAGCTAGCGGATGTTGGGATGAGAGCACCTTGGAATTAGAGGTGATAAAGTATGAGAATTGGAGAGAGCGGGCCATGCGCAAGTATTCTGCATGGTGTGCCACCACAGGTCTGAAAAGTTGTCACATGTGTGAGGGACCTATAGCAAGTTGCTCATATTGATAGTTGAGATAGATCCTGCAAGTGGCACTGAACCAGGCTTGGGAGACATTCTGTGACCCACTGGACTTTTCCACACCTTCCACATTATTATGTTATATTTGGACCCCTTGTATTAGTAAAGTACTTGCAAGAATGCATCTCTTGTCAGGTGCGCTCTTTGGCGATTGCCGGCGTGCCTATGCATGGTACTCAGAGCGCCAGCATGGGTGTAATTTATTGCTATATCATCAATCGTGCATTGCTGATTCCAATTTTTGGTGGTGTTAAAATAACACCGGTTTTGTTTTTGGGTGGCGCCTGGAGACAGTCTACTCCTTCTTGGCGGTCTTCTTGGGCAGCAGCACGGAGTGGATGTTGGGCAGGACACCGCCGGAGGCAATGGTGACACCGCTCAGCAGCTTGCTCAGCTCCTCATCGTTGCGCACAGCCAGCTGGATGTGGCGGGGGATGATGCGAGTCTTCTTGTTGTCACGGGCAGCATTGCCTGCCAGCTCCAGGATCTCAGCTGCCAGGTACTCCAGCACAGCAGCCAGGTACACAGGGGCACCGGCACCCACACGGCTGGCGTACTGCAGGATCACAGCACAGAACCTTGTCAGGCACTGGTCTTGCTCACCTTGAGTATGGCGCATCCAATCCAAACCGTAAGCTAGTCTAGCATCACTGCGACTCCAAGCTCTGCTGCATAAGCCAGCAAGGCAACTAGAGAATAAAGACTCGCGATGCAGCCTAGACCAGCAAGAACCAACCATATTTGTGTTGCAGACCTCGATTCAACACCAGATGGGACCTTCTGACAGGCACGCTAAGCTATCAACCAGCACCCGTTGTTTGGAGCGACAAGACAGAACAGCGTTCTTACCTTTCCCTTCTTGAGGTAGCGGGCGATACGACCCACAGGGAACTGCAGGCCGGCCTTGGTGCTCTTTGACACCGACTTCTTGGCTGTCTTTCCCTTGCCGCGTCCAGACATGATCGCAAGCTTGTTGCGAACTTGAAGGTTTTAAAAGTGTGTCGAGGGCACAGATTGATCTCTGAAAGCGATTTGCCGAAATTAAATTGAGCGAAGAACTTTGACGATTTTACCTCCGTGCCCGGCCAATCAGAGTGCCGCATTCTAGGACCAGTATTGACATGTTTGGCACGGCCAATGCTGCGATCTGATTGGCCCGCACCTGCACGCGGAATATAACACCCTTCTGTTTGCTGAATATTTCCAAAACGCTTTCAGCTCCTCGTTAATCCCTCCTCAAAGCTCTTCGTTCCTTTCTCAGCAACTCAGCTAAGCAGCCATGGCTCCCAAGGCAGAGAAGAAGCCCGCTAAGAAGGTCGCCAAGACCGCCAAGACCGGTGGCAAGAAGAAGAGCAAGGCCAAGGTCGAGTCCTTCAAGATCTACATCTACAAGGTCCTGAAGCAGGTCAGCCAGCTTTCTGCCCTCGATGCAGTGCCACCTTGTTGCGCGCTGTCTTTAAACTTGTGGTGAAACACCTCGCTTGTTAACTTCAGGCCTCAATGTGTCACTCAGCCCTTCCATACCGCTTCTGCAATTTTCAGCGTGATATGTGTGAGTTTTGCAGTTTGTGTTAGAGTCTGTGCCCCACGTAGTCGCCAGAGCAGTGTATGGCAGTGGGATCTCAACAGCATCTATCTTCCGCTGCGTCCAGAAGTTGAAAGCTGACTCTCTATACATGCTATACCTCAGGTCCACCCCGACACCGGTATTTCTTCCAGGGCCATCTCCATCCTCAACTCCTTCATCACTGACATCTTTGAGAAGATTGCCACTGAGACTGCCCAGCTGGCCCGCTACAACAAGAAGCCCACAGTGACCTCTCGTGAGATCCAGACAGCTGTGCGCCTCATCCTGCCCGGCGAGCTGGCTAAGCATGCCGTGTCTGAGGGCACCAAGGCCGTGACCAAGTTCACCTCCGCATAAGCTGCCTGCTCCCTACGCAGCGCTGCCAGCAGCAGCCCAAAAACAAACCGGTGTTATTTTAACACCACCACTCACTGGAAAGCCTTTCTCTGGCAGCGCCTGTTACAGATGTGTCCATGCGAGTAGTGCCTTATCCCCTTGCAATGACAGTATTGCCCTCGTATCACAATAATGATGGCCTTGCTGCGCACCAGTCTAGTGGCACAAGACATAATATCGACATTTGACATGCTGCTATTCAATGCATTCATGTTGTGCCACAGACTGGTGCAGCACCATGAGGCAGGCACGCCATTTTACACAGATGACGTGCAGCTGTACCAGCAGATCTGAGCTGTCAGTGTGCCACGGCTGCTGAATTTCTGCCGCAGCACGGCACTGGAGCTCAGCTCAGGTGGACTCGGTCAATGTCAGGCAGTTGCAATGCAGCCCAATTGCAGTATTTGTCTTTGCTATCGTTCTTGCTTCAGAGCTGCATGCCCTTAGCTGTATGGCAGAGGTGCCACTTTGCCTGCACACTCTGAAGTAGGGACTCTATACGAAGTCTGGAATATCAGTTACCTTAAGATGGACTCCGAGTTGTGACTCACACCTGTCCCGTCTGGCTGCTAATTAGCTTGCAAGCGATCATGCTCAACAGTCCACAGAGTGTTATGACCTATCTTCAGCTCAGCTGATGTCAACAGGAAGATGTGCTTGGTTCGTCAGCAAGTGACTGGCAACTCGCGAACAGATATTTATAGCCTAAATTAAGCAGATCCGCTGCGGCCTTTGCCCAGCTGAGCTCCAGACGTGTCTCTAGATATGTACACAGGCCAAGAGATTTGGTATCAATAATACAACACAGTTCTTCTGCCAAAGCTCATGGGCCAACAGAATCCAATCCTTTCAACAAACCAGCTTTCAATTATGGATTCCATACAGCACATTGCGGGTCCCAGCAACCTGTAGTATAGTCTTGCTTGCTGGTCATGCTGCATTGACTAAGCTGAGCATGCTGGATATTTACTGTACGATTCGACCCTGCGAATCCCAGTGCCTGAAAGCTAAATGCAGGGCTGAGTCATCCAACAAGCATTCTATGATGGCGCCTATCATTGACAGTCTCGAGCAAGTCTGAACATCACAGCACAAGATATGCAGCATTCTGCCATAAATAATGGCCATGCATAGTCTTGCCCTACACTGCAGTAAAATGAATAAGTGGGCGCCGCCATAGTGCCAGCTAAGCATGGCAAAGCTGTGGGTTAGTATCTCCCAAAGAAGCAGCCTTGCCTGGGCCCCCACTCCTCTTGCTGTAAAGCACCTGCCCACCTTCACCTGGCATAATTGTTCTCAAGACATGGAACCTTGGAGGCAGCAGCAGAATGTAAGGACTTATGTTCTCCATCCTGCAGGTTGAGTTCTGACATATTGACCACAGCCATCTTCTCGAACAAGATCAGAAGCAAGACAATCAAGGTGATGGATCTGCAAACATACAGAGCTTTTCCATGTTGTGGTGGTGTTAAAATAACACCGGTTTGGGTTGATGGCTGGTTGGCAGCTGCAGCAGCTGTCTAACCGCCGAAGCCGTACAGGGTGCGTCCCTGGCGCTTGAGGGCGTAGACCACGTCGAAGGCGGTCACGGTCTTGCGGCGGGCGTGCTCGGTGTAGGTCACGGCGTCACGGATCACGTTCTCAAGGAACACCTTGAGCACTCCCCGGGTCTCTTCGTAGATGAGGCCACTGATGCGCTTGACACCACCACGGCGAGCCAGACGCCTGATGGCGGGCTTGGTAATACCTGAAAAGCAAAGAAGGAGATTTTCAGCCCATCATGCGTACTAGGAGAGAACATTTGACAACACTTATGGCACTTCGCAACCACATTCAAAGCAGGACTGTGTCAAGCAACCAACAAGCCATGCAAAATTGATTGCTCAGAGCGTGTGCATCTTTCCACAGTGGCAGTGCAGTAATACAAAGGCAAGGAGTGGTCAACGCTCACCCTGGATGTTGTCACGGAGGACCTTGCGGTGGCGCTTGGCACCGCCCTTTCCGAGGCCCTTACCTCCCTTGCCGCGTCCAGACATGGTTGCTTGGTTTGCTGAGAGCTTGAGGCTTGCTGAAGAGCTTTGAGGAAATTGAAGATTTTGGTAAATTTGACAGAGCTGAGACCTTTTATAGCTACACTGGGCTGGCACAGTGTGTTATCAATTTTTGGGCGTTCTGTACCCAACATTCCTGGCTTCTGATTGGCTTATGACACATCAGCCAATGGGAAGGCAGACTTGGGGTGACTAATGTGTCATTTTGGAAGATGTTGATTTTACATTGAGACTTAGACTTTGACGTGCAACCAGGGAGGCTCGTGTTTCCTCATCACCTCCCATCTGCTCAAAGCTCCAAAATTTTTGTTTCTCCTGCAAAAACTTCCTGCTTCCTCCACAGCTTCCTCCACACTCACAGACAGTTGCAATGGCTCGCACCAAGCAGACAGCCCGCAAGTCCACCGGTGGCAAGGCGCCCCGCAAGCAGCTGGCCACCAAGGCCGCTCGCAAGTCCGCACCCGCCACCGGAGGTGTCAAGAAGCCTCACAGGTGGGTTTACAGTGCTAAGAATTATGCATTCATAAACCAGATGGGTGCTTCAGTGTGATTGACAGGCGTGCAATTGTGACACCTGTCCTGTTGTCGAGGATGCGTTTCTTATGATGTCTGCTGCTGTTTGCCTCATCTATGGCAGAGTTGTCTAGGTTGTGTTTGTTCTATTGGCAGCCTATTTGGGGTTCTGCTGCTTCTCAACACACCTTGTCCAGAAGCATGCCTAAATACTTCTAGGTTTTGAGTCTGATCACTAATCTTGCTGGCCTGCAGATACCGCCCTGGAACCGTGGCTCTGCGTGAGATCCGCAAGTACCAGAAGAGCACGGAGCTGCTGATCCGCAAGCTGCCCTTCCAGCGCCTGGTGCGTGAGATCGCCCAGGACTTCAAGACCGACCTGCGCTTCCAGAGCAGCGCAGTGCTGGCCCTGCAGGAGGCTGCTGAGGCCTACCTGGTGGGCCTGTTCGAGGACACCAACCTGGCCGCCATCCACGCCAAGCGTGTGACCATCATGCCCAAGGACATTCAGCTGGCCCGCCGCATCCGTGGCGAGCGCGCTTAGATTGTGCACTCTCCAGTGCCCATCAAAAACCAAACCGGTGTTATTTTAACACCACCATGCTTTGGGAAATCAGTTGCTCTTTCTCTGTCATCTATACCCCCAACATATGTACACCTTTTTTCTGCTCCCTACCCCAGATTTTCAGCGACAGGACTGGCCTTACATCACCTGTTAAAGTTTGGAATGGCTCAACTAACGTGCCTATCATCTTAGTGTAGATTAATTTCTGATCTTGCTAAATTTCTTACTCGCTAAGCACTGTGCTCTATCCTGCTGGAGGGGCGCCACATGTACTTCAAATGTATATACTGATCAGCGCGGTCTTCACAGTACACTGCTGGGATCTGCCGCTGCAGCAGATCATCTGCTGGCTCCCCAGCTGGGATGTGTTGCAGCCTCCTTATTTGCAGCTTTGTTTGTGTAAGTACCTTGCCTCTATCGTCTGGTATAAGCAATTCTGTGCACTGCAGATGCATTTGCAACAGGGTCGACCCAGACAATTTGGGCAGAGGAGCTCGATGTCAGCATATCTCGTTTGCTAAAGGAGAATGCTGACGTCACAGTCAATTGAGAAGGCATTGATGACTTTTTCTCTTTAAGATGTGCACTGGCCGTTGTGTGATGCTATCGCTGACCATATTGCATGATCATACACTGTATGGCATTAGGGCAGTGCACTCGTCTCAGATAGTATCATACTCCTGATCACCCATGATCATTTCACAATGCCAGAGCGCTCTTCCAATATTGTGACGTAACAATGTACATGTCTGATCAGTGGTATTTCCAGTACTGATAGTGCCTGGACTGCCTTTCCAACCAGCCAAAACAATGCAAATCAATCGTATAGCGGCACTGTTACCGGGAAGCTGCAAGAGCCGGTCTGTGAAGAGCAGCAGATGTGAGTGCCCCCTCTATTCTGTCCAGACCTTTCTGCAGGGTTTCCAGAGAGGCTGCATATGATATCCGCAGGCACGCTGGCGCCCCAAATGCATCCCCAGGCACCAGAGCCACATTCCCCTTCTCCAAAATATACCTGCATCAGATCAGGACACAAGCATCAATTTCGCATGCTCCAAAACAGATATCAATTCTTTTTGCCTCAAGCAATAAGAGGCACCGTCAGAGATAACCGAATTCCTCTCTACTTCTGGCGTTGACTTTCATGTATGTTCTGGTTTGAATCAGGTCGACGGGGAGCCCATTCGCACCTGCAGAGGGTGTCTGCATCAGGGATTGGACCAAAGTCATCAGCGTGCACGTCAGTCCCGAAGAACGCTGATAGGTCCGGCAGGACATAAAAGGCGCCGTCCGGTGCTGCCACGCGCACTCCCTCTATCCTCTGCAGCCGCTCCATCACGTAATCCTGCGCACGTACAAACCAACTCTGACCTGCTTGCCGCTGTCAACTGCACGGGTGCCCAGGGCGTTCGAGTTCATCAGAGAAGCAGAAGACTTGCAGGCTGGGACAACTGCACTAGCAGTGACCTGGAGGGCTGCAAAAATTTTTGAAGATGATGTTCTACCCAGTAGCTTTGGGTCACTGGAAGTGACTGGACTCACTCTGCGCTCCTGGAATGCTGCTCGCATGGCTGCCACGGGCTGCCCGCCCGCTTTGCCCAGGCCTAGCGCGGCCAGCGCAGCGTGCTGCGCGATGCTGGACGCCCCCGATGTCGTCTGGCTCTGCACGATCGCCGCCGCCTTTGCGAAGTCCCGCGGCGCTGCCAGATAGCCCAGACGCCAACCTGATCCAGCAGCCCCGAAACTTCAAAAGCATGTATAGTGGCTTCAAACTCGGCATCTTCCTGACGTGTGCATGAGAAGAATCGATACTTTGGACCCTGGCTTCCTGATGACCCGTGTATCTATAGAAGTACTGGACTAAGGGCTCCGGTGCCCTGTCTGGGGCCAGGACAGAGCAGCAGGGAGGTGCCATGCTGTGGTGGGTGGTGCTCTTGCGAGCATGCCAGGCAAGTAAAGAGTGCTGCTCAGAGGGGAATCAGGCATGGACCTCTCATGGCAAAGGCCCAATGTCAAGCACCGGCATAAAGGCAGTTTAGCCGCAAATCACAGACTGAGGGGTGGCCTGACCTCAATATGTGGCCGCAGGAGGGCAGTGACGAGTAATACTCTCGAGGGTGAAGCTGCATGCATGGGAGGTTGGTGCACAGCTGTTTAAAGAGATCTATGAAAGCACTGACCTGTCATGGCGAAGGCCTTGGAGAATCCGTTGACGGTGAAGGTGCGCGGCCACATGCCGGGGAGGACAGCGAAGGAGTGGTGCTCGGCTGGCGGGTAGATGATGTGCTCGTAGATCTCGTCCGACAGAACCATCAGCCGCGGGTGCTCCGCCACCACCTCTGCCAGCTCCTGCAATGCCAATTTAGATGCTCAAATTTCAATTAAATTTGAATCGCGAGGCAGCCCTTCCTCCTCTCTCGGCGCTCGCGCTTCCTTGTACTCTGTGGATGCACTCTGGTGCAAATTCATTTAAGCATAGTCTGACACTGTAACATGTTGATGCTCCAACAATAATGCTGTTCAGCCTGACAAACATGGCTGGTCGCTGAATTGGACAAAATTATGACGCTGTCAGGTAGATGAGGTGATGCTGAGAAAGGATGCACCAGAGGTTGCCAATGTATTGTTAGTAGGGTGTACTGCCTTGTCTGGAGCGCCACCTGTAGTCTGGAGAGGGGGTAGACAGCGCCGGAGGGGTTGGAGGGCGTGCACAGGATGAGCAAGCGGCTGGCTGGTGTCAGCGCTGCTCTCAGCTGGTCGGCCGTCAGAAGATAGCCCTCGTCCGCGCCGCAGTCTATGATCTTTGGCTCCGCTCCTGCCAGCCGGGCCATCTCTGGGTAGCTCACCCAAAAGGGCGCAGGTATCAACACCTGGATGCAGCATCATCAAGTCTCACAGAGTAGCAACACTTCCTCAGAGGTTAAGTCTTATCCGATGACTATCGGATTTCAAATTAGTGGTCACAACCTCTGCAAGCAATTTGGGGACACAGTCTAGGAACCCTTAGATGAGAGATGGTCATCCAATGCAGTTTTGAAGGCGCAAGGAGGTACTGGTGGGCATAAGGAGGCAGTGTTGAGCAATATAAGATGGAGAGAGCTGCAACAAAGATGGGCAATAGGGAGGTCAGGAGCGCACTTCATCACCGGGAGAGCAGACGGCGAGTAAGCTCTGCCAGATGGCCTGCTTGGCCCCATTAGTGACCACAATCTCATTGGCAGCGTACGTGAGCCCGTTCTCTTCCGCCAGCTTCTTCACAAGTGCTGCCCTGATGGCGCCCGTGCCCACATTGGGAGTGTAATGCGTGATGCCCGTCCTTCACACATTACACATGCTTATGCCATCAGTCATGTATCGGCACAAGTAGGATACATGCAGTGCACTCAGGGCTTGGTTCTTCAGCCATGGATGCATGAGCCCTTGCATCCTGAACGCAGGGTTGATGCCAGTGCATGCCTGAGAGCTTCAATGCCCGCATCGATGATCTCTTGGGGAGTGTCAAAGTCAGGCTCGCCGGCTGCCAGCGACACGACGTCCACGCCGCTCTCTTTCAGGGAGCTCGCAAGATCTGACAGCAGCATGGTCTTCGAGGGCCGCACCGAGGCAACACAGGCGTTCAGGCCTGTGTCAAAGCCTGTCCCATTGCTGCTTGGCTCTGCAGCGCACCTGCTTTGCATTGCTGCATGCCACAAGCACATCGTCAGCATTTTGAGGGCAAGAAATGATCGAGGAGGGGTATCTAGGCACACTGCACAAGTGGGATGCTCTCAACCAATGGAGATGCCTGAATGTCCTTGATATGTTACATCATGATCCCCCAAGTGGCCGTCATACATTCAATGTGATATCATGATACATAATTGAAGAAGCAAGAATCGCACCTCTCCTCCTGTGTGGGGCTTGATGCGTTGCTGTGGGGAGGCGAGATATCCTCACAAGCGCCCAGCAGCAAGCCTTGGACGAGTGAATTAGCGATCTTGCCTCGAACATGGTGCTACGAGGTCACGTTTATTCTTCAAGGTTTGAGAGTGTGGGAGTGTGGGAAGCTTCATGCCATGATCACGGGCTTCCGACATCTTAGAGGAGTATTGCCCTTCCATTGTCGGGACCAAGGGGAGTCGGAAACCCCCGCTCTAGGGCCCAAGGTTGATCGATTTTAATTTCTTCTTCTTCTGACATCAATATCATACTTCGAGTTTGGCAGGAGGATTCATCTTGAAGTAGAAGACTGGTAGAGAGATGCATGCGAAAGCATCCCTCCACTGACGAGCTGCCCCAGTGCAGAGTCTTAGTCTGATGGGCCAGGGATGTTGGGTCTGCATGACAGCCCTGGCCCTCCTTATGGCTGTTGGCGTACTTGGGATCAGACAAGGAGCATTTGAAAGAGAGGACAAAGTCATCGGATGGAGCGAGTCGTGCGCATCCACCCATCTTATTTCCTTGTAATCACTGTAGGGAGTTTGGGACACGCTGTGTCATCAAAGAATGTTGTGATGTATATTGCAAGTGTGCACATGAAGTCTAATAATGAATTAACCTTGGCATCTCTTGTGAACGAGGTGCTTGTGTTGATGGAGCAGATACCAGCACAAGACGCCCGCAAAGTCCTCGCTCATGGTAGAACGCATCAGTTGGAATCCCCGTGCATTTCTGTGAGGCTCCAATTTCCAAGTTGATTTGCATCCTGTGCCTTGTGCCCGTGCAGCCTCTTCCAGTAGCCCACTGCAGCTTGCCAGACACTTCATTTCCTGTCTGAACACTTCCCACATGCAGGTACAGAGGCCTTTTATCACAAGATGAATGCGATTACATCATCAATGCCGCGCGCCCAAACATGGTGAAGGCTACAGTTCTGGACGCTAAGACCAAGAAACAAGTGCCCAACAAGTTAGGCTTCTTTCACCTTGCTCTGCTGCACCGCTTGCCCCTTGGATTATATTCTGATCTGAGAATGGCGCAAGGCGAATGTTTGACTTTGCCTGTTGCGCAGGTTGCGAAACAATAAGGAGGCGTACATTGATGGGTCTGCAGACGATGTCATAGACCAGATTGAGCGCAGAATAGCTCGCTACACCTTCCTGCCAGCAGCCCATGGAGAACCATTCCACATCATGCAGTACCTGCCAGGCCAGGGTTACGGTGCTTCCTTGCCCCATGTCCACTGCAGTGCAGCCGCAGAAACTGAACCAAGGTATAATGCAAGGTATTAGAGACAGTGCGAGCGCCAAGGAGGGAGGAAGGGCTGCCTCGCAGTGAAAACTTTGAAAGCTCTGCTAGTAAGCTTGAAAAAACAATGGAACGTATTCTTGCAATTGCCTTGTCAATGATCCTTTGCTGTGTGCATCAGCGCCGCACACGGATTGGCTGGATGACTGGTGGCATCCGCGCTTGGGCAATGAGAGGATCGCGACCATGATCATTTATCTGTCCGATGTGGTGGAGGGCGGTGAAACTGTGTTCCCCAACTCAACCATGCAGCCAGTGCGCGACAACTCCTGCTTACCACTACAGGGACTGGATATTTTATGGCAGCATGACACTCATGCACTCTGCCTGAACAATGGTCACAATGGGGGCTTCTAAATGCAAACAGTATTTTGTCATCCTGAAAATCTTGTGTCCAAGCCAAAAAATTTGACAGAGAGAAGCTCAGGGGTGCTCAACTGGTGTGCAGCATGTGGGCGATGCAGCATACAGCAAGTGCGCACAGCAGGGGATTGCAGTGAAGCCAGTGAAGGGAGATGCACTGTTGCTGTACAACCTGCTGGAAAATGGTCGCAACGATGGCGAGAGCCTGCATCAGGTATGGCCATGTGCAGAGTCAAACACTGACCACAATTTAGGTGAGTCATGTTGCATGTGCCAAATGACTCATCAAACTTCTGCACATCAGCATGCGGCTTCTTTCAAGAGCAGACAGCACAGTTGCGTGCTTTACTGGAGAGGGCTTGCTGGAGACCTGCTGCATAGTACCATGGTGACTGGCAATTTGTCGACATGTGCCTGTGTCACGACCAGGGCTGCCCAGTCATAAGAGGAGTGAAGTGGACAGCGACAAAGCGCATCCTTGTCAACCAGCTGCCCAGTCCGGACACCGCCGTTGCCATACAGCAGGCGATCGTGAGCGCCAGCACTGCCAGAGAGGCCCTGTCCGGATGATTGTTGTCTCAAGATGTCCATCACAGCAAGGGTGTCAAACGGGGAATTGATATGGGGCTGTGGCCTGAGTGTCCCTTGTTGAAATTACAATTAGCAAGAAATTTATGTTGCAAGCTTGCCATGGTTTCCATGGCTTTGTTGAGAATGGACCGTTGCCATGCCACCTGTAAGGGTAAAGTATACTATGGAGCTTTCTTTCATGCGACTGATCAGAGCTTGGCCACATAAATTGAAACAGGGTTGGGTTGCTTGGAAGTAATTGGAGAAAAGAGACTTGCGTGTTTGGACTCCTTACACTTCCATCTGCTGGATCACTGGGTGCTCATCAATCTTGCATTTACATCTGTGCTTACTCAGGGCATTTCCACGTCTGTCGAGAGTGTTGTCGTCAGCTTAGCTGCCAAAGGATACTCTGTTGCTCGCAAAACAGTCCATCCCTGCTCTTTGCTGGCACCACACAAATTCTGCATTCAAGTCTGACTCTTATCAATATGTACACTCTCCTCTGCATGGCACAAGTGCTCTCCCAAGGGCTCAATGCAGACAAACCTCAAAGCATGATGTACATCAAATGCAGCTCAGTTCTTCAACGGTCTTCAGCAGAATCGATCGATATATACATATATATATCCCAACAGCGCCAGTGACCCATATCGGCGCAGGCACCTTATAAATGGTACATTTTGTCCCAGGCAGCCTTCAAAACTATCATCTCAGCTGATTGCTGTAAAATCTGCTTAGCTAAAGCAATGTCAGTGCTTGCAAAATTCTAGACGATGGTACACATGCGCTGTCCCTAAAACAGCACAGCAATGGTTGTATTGGGGGGCAGCCTTTCGCCAGCATGCAGCATAGAAATGCCCGAAGCTGAGCTGCTGTAATGTAGAGGTACACGATGCTGCAAATTGAGGCAGCACACACAATCTTCTCGTACAGCATCACACAAGTTTTCTCTGTAAATCCACATTTTGGGCCATTTTGGTAGTGTACACCTGCATGTACAGAGGCAGGATAGCAGTGAAATAGGATTGCAAGCCACCGGCACGCTGCTCATCTTCCATCCGTTTATGTAGAAGATCCCCCCTTTCCAAATTTTGTCGATTTTAGGCTGTGGCTCTATGTATTTGCATGCAGATTCAAGCCCTGGGTGGTGAAGCTGAGCTGAGAGCTTGCAGTGCCATTCGCACACACTGGTCGGCCTGCAGGTCCTTGGCCAGGGTGTCTGGTTCCAGTGGCTCTGTCTTCAGGGCGTCCGCAGGGCCGCTGCCCGTCTTGCACAGCCTGTCCGGCTCCAAGCCCACCTGCATTTTGCATTGGCCACGGAGTCATCCTGTTGCCCTGACATGCAATTCCTATAGAGTTGCTCAATCGACTCTGCAGCAATCAATTGATCATTAGATGAACAGCTGAGAGGACGGAACAAGCACATGAGACAGGCCAATGAGTACAGTGTCGTGCGCAAAGCTGCTTAACAGAGCGCTGTCAGGCATGCTGCCACTGCCGGCACATCTTCATGCAAGGACAGACAGGTGAGCTTTACAACGTCACTGTGTTTAGAGATGCCCTGACCTGTACGGGGCTGCATGATCTTTATTGTAATGGGCAATTCACCAAAATCCTCAGAGAGATTTGGTGTGACGTGGCGCTGCACCTTGTCAATGCGCTCGAGGGCAGGAGTGGTGACGAGGGAGTTGGAGACAAGCAGCGTGGACTTGTCGTGCAGCTGCAGCACCTTCTGCGTGCGCCCCTTGCCGAACGTGTGCTCCCCGATCGTGGCCGCGCGCCCGCCCGCATGCAGCGACCCAGCCAGTAGTTCACTCGTCGATGCAGTGCCTCCATTCACCAGAACCACCTGCCGCAGAATGCACTGATTTCATGTTGGACGTTGACTCTGGGAAGCAGAGTCGGTCATCTCATCAGCACTCAGATGGCTGGAATGTGAATGGTTGAATGACACCAGCAAAGTCAGTTTGCAGGCGTCCTCTGGTCACTTTCAACACCAATTAGCCTCTTAAATATGCCATGCTCTCAAGGGAGAATAGAGAGGCAACTCATGCGCTGCTTACGGAGAGAGTTGCTTGCTGCTGTACGGTACTTATGGAGTACAAGCAGCAAAGGACATGCATGCAATAGGTGCCCATGAAACGTCACACAAAGACCCTCAAAAGCCAGCAAATGTTGCAAAGTGGGGGTTGGCAAAAGGAAGCCTTGAGAGCTGCAGGCATACCATGGGAGACGCTGCAGCCGGCCCCTCAGACTCCACAAAGATGGGGTGATACACGCCGTCCCGGTGGGCAACGTAGCAGAAGACGTCGTTCTGATGTCTCAGCAGACCGGCCACATCAAGGCCTGCACACCATATCCCCCATCACTCGAGGCGCCAAGCACCGAGACCAAGAATTTAAATGTCCCTGCGGCTTGCAACGTCTAGGACCTTGCCATGTTTTGACATGACCCGTAGTTTAGACACATGTCAAATGTCCCTGCGATCTACAAAGGCTAGACCTTCCCATGACTGACATGTCCTAGAGGAATTTGCATGCTGTGGTGGCATGAAAGCAACTTGCCTGCATTGACCAGGCCTCCCGAATTACCGCGCAAGTCCAGGATGAAGGCAGAAGCGCCCTCTGCCTGCAGCTTAGCGATGGCAGCCGATGTGTCATGCGCGGTGTTTGTCCCAAAGGACTGGATCGCCAAATACCCTGTCAGGCCTCCATCCTCCCTGCAGAAAATCCAATGCCTCCATCAGGCAATGACAGGCCTGGTAATGTGCTGCTGCTGTTGGTGAGTGGATGAACTTCTTTATATGGAAACCACAGGACTCACTTGGATGGCGTTTGCACATATTTATATATCACTTGTCTTGCATGTACGTGTGATCACTTCTTTCTACTGCGCAAGCGATCAGATGCCTGGCCATGATGCTGGGTCAGTCCACTCGTCACTCTCCAGACCGCTCTACCACGTCATGTGATCACTCTTGTTCTATTAATAACCCCTAGTGTACACAAGAGGCAGGTTCGGTGAGCAGGAGATAGGGGTTTGCCTGGGCAGGAGGCTGTGGATGACTGGGTAGACTTCAACGGGTCGAGCGGTCAGGTAGAGGTTGCGCATGGCCATGGGCACCTGCGGCCGGCTCTGCTGCACCTCGACATGCACGCTCTGGTGCAGCATCGCTGTCAAGTCCCTACAGCCCAACGCACCAACAAAGCCTCGTGTATGTTTACCGAAATACCATGCATACCTTCTGGGGAAAAGGCCATAATTGCAATTTCCGGGACAGACTACAACTGCCCTCATATGTGTCAGCAACTTGCTCACTGTCCCCAGCTTTGCTGAGCAGCAACATCTCAGCACTGTTCCCAGCTGGGATCACCCCATTATACTTCCACAATTGCCACAAGGAAGGCAGAGCTTCAGCACAAAAGAAGGACTCACGTGCGGTCCAGGGTGGCGGCAGGGAGGCCGTTGACGGTGTGCAGGATGTCGCCGACGCGCAGGCCGGCCTCGTGCGCGGGGCTGCCGGTGAGCACAAAGCTGACGCGCATGAAGGGGCCGGCCTCGGTCTCTGCGCGCTGCGCCTGCAAGCCCACGTGCACCACCTGCCCCGTCGTGTCCGCCTCAAACGCCCGCGCCTGGCTCGGCGGCAGCAGACGAGTGTACCGGTCACCTGCCGGCACATGCATGCATGCCTCGGCACACTGACTGTCACATATTGGCCCTGACGGCCAGCTTTTAGGTCCAAGAAGCACCGATAGTTAAATTGTGCCTCTCTAGCCTACCAGGTGGCTTGGCACACTGCCTTGGCACACGGTCACCTGCTGCCCATATGTTCTCTTTTGGTTCACCGGTGACTCAGTCCCACACAATCGGATTCACCGGCGGTGACTCGGGCATGCCAGCTCAGCTGTTTTGCACCCTTCTCTTGTCACCGATAGATGCATGCATGTCTTAATGTACTGTCCCAATGCAGGTCGTGTCACATTCGCTGCGATACAGGGTGTGAGGGGATGCTGGGTTCTTGTCAGGTCCTTCTTCGCCTTATTGTGGCACGGCACATCTTTGACTGGGGTCATATGATGTGTAGATCCTGGTGCTTCTGTCCGCTCTGTGGGCTGCTATTGCACTGAACAAGTCACAACTCTGCAAGGCAGAATGGTCAGGGCGAATTTGTCTAGGGCTTCATCCACAAGGGGTTTGGATCTTGAATGGCAGCTTACCGAGCGTTGCCAGCATGTGCTGGATCACGTCGTATCCCTCCTCCTTTGTCGCTGTATGCGAGATCTTCGCAAGGGACTCCTGTGCCGGTCAAACCTTTGAGTGGCAAGACATGCGGTGACACCCACCCGCAGTCATTCAGCTCAATTGAATTGGTCTCAACACACTCCAACCAATTCTGCATTACTCAAAAGGGTGAGAAGGCCGCACCTGCAGAGCTTCGCTCCAGGCTTCCTTGCTGTAAGGGTCCACAAACTTCTCATCCACCGCCTCTGCAGTAAGGCAAAGCGAGAGCATTCAGCAGGGCATTGCACCTTCCAAATCTTACTGAAATCAACCTCACGAGACACTTGATGTGTTAGTGCATCAGCAGGGCGGCTTCGGAAGCTGGGCGTTGCTGCTGGTATTGGTGGGAAGATGTCTCAGCACACCAAGGAATGAGTGAAACTACAGTAGAGCCTTAAGCACTTCGAGCATCTTACCCCATGCTTCATGGAGCGTCTCTCGAACGACATCCTGGCCCTTGAGGTCGGTGGAGAGGGAAACGGCCGACGCGTAGGAAGGGCCGTTCATCGTCAGCAAGGCTGAGAGGAGAGTCCCTGTCAGCGCTCGTCCAACCGTCTGCCATGGAAAAGTTTCGCTCCCAGACGATGCTGATGTGAGAACTAGATGTCGCGCAGGACCCTTATCTGGTCTGCGTTGGAAAGAGGCTACGGCAGCTTTGCAAGATTGAGCCGTTCCCCAACAGCCCGGCATCACGATGAGGCCTCTTCCTGGCAAACAACCGCGTAATCTACCATTGTAGGAGCCAGGAGGGGGCTGAAATAAACGCAACGACATCATATGGACAGCCCTAAACGACCTTTCCCTCGAATGGGCCCTTCAACGCTCGCCTTTGAAATTAGCGTCCCCCACAGTCAACCCCCACCTGGCCAGACACCTATAGCCTCCTCAGAATACAAGACAACAAGACAAGAAGCCTCAAATGAAGACTTCAGAGAAGACCAGAACGAGGTGAGCTCTTGCACTGACTCACCGCGGCATGAACCACATGGGCTTAACCGGAACGCCCCGATTGGCTCAAAGGAAAGAGTGACGTCCGCAATACCAGCTTCGAAGTCGACGGCGTTGCTAACATTCAAATGCTGGCACCATCTTTTGTGGAAGGAGCCATAGAACTTTGATGCATCGGTGATGGCCTGTCGCATGCTGAAGGCGAGATGACCACAGCGGCACTCAAGACTGTCGCGGAGGAGAAGGACACAGACCTGCCCCGCGGACTCGTGAAGAAGATTGTCAAGAACAAAGTCAATCAGACTTTGGCCTCGTCTGGATCCGGAGAACCCTTGAAGGACATCCAGATCAACAAGGACGCCTTGCTTGCTTTCTCTGAGAGCGCCAAGGTATGGTAAAGCGGAGCTCAACTTTTTTCATATTAATTCAATCGACATCTATATTCCGATCCTACATGCAATGTATTCTTTGCCTGACTTTTGTTTGCTTCTGGAATGAAGTATCTAATTAGATTGCATTCATCCTCTTGCCAGGTATTCGTCAGCTACCTCACATCAGCTGCAAACGATATCTGCAAGGAAGCCAAACGCCAAACTATCAGCGCCGAGGATGTCTTCACGGCCCTTCAAGATCTAGACTTTGGAGAGCTTGTGCCCCCCACAAAAGACGCCCTTGAAGGTTGACCTATCTGTACCAAAGCCCTTGCTTGCTGGATCAGAGCCTTTGCAGTTCTCTTCAAAGTGTTTACGTTGGCCAAGGGGAGGCCTGGAAATATCCGATCAGCTATGTTTTTCAAGATCTGTATTGCTTCGTGGTGCAGCTTTCCGCCAGGAGAGCAAAGAAAAGACCAAGCGCAAGGCAGAGCAGGTCAAGAAGAGGAAGGCAGAGGAGGCAGTGCGGCACCACCCATACGAGGGCGCTGACCAGGTCGTTGGAGAGGGTCCCCAGGAAGGCTTGCCTGCTGACAGTGGCAACCCTGCAGAGCCAGGTGAGGTCCATGCACTCCTGTATCTCCTCAAGTACCTCGCCAACCTCTCAATGCTCTCTGTAAGTGCTGCCAACGAAGCAGGACCAATGAGATTCTGCATGGCCTCTTGGACAGGTACTGCTGCAGTAGAGCCCTACGCACAGCAGCCGCAGGCCCAGGCTCCCTACATTGCCAAGGCCCACCCTGCCTTCTCAGAGCCCCAGAAGCTGCCCCAGCCAACCGCCACCCAATACCAGCAGGTGGGATCCACCCGCTCATGCATAAATGCTAAAATTTACACTGTTCATCAATCCCACATGCATTTCTCTGTGAGAGGAAATTTATGTCAATTGTGCTGTTGTCTGGTGTCCAAACGATGTCGACTTGGGTCAGCAATGGGATGAAGAGAAGCGTGTGTTGTTGCGTACAGGCCGCCGCTCTCCCGGTGCAGCAGCAGCAGGGAGGAAGCTACCAGCCGGCCTTTAACCAGGCCAACCCCTTTGGACCGGCCTTCGCACAGGCGTCCCAGTTTGCAGCAGCGCTCGCGCAGGCGCAGGCAGCACAGGCCGCGCAAGCTCAGGCCCAGGCACACGCCCAAGCCCAGGCCAGCCAGCTGCTGCCCAGCCACTTCCCGGCTGCACAGCTGCAGAACCCCACCTTCGCTCAGCTTGCATCTTCCCAGGCACGCTGCGCCTGCCTCTGTCTCTCCCTGAATTAAACTGTGAAGTTTGCCTGCACAACCCCAGTCTTGCACCTGTGCATGGTGACAGGACTGTTGTGGCTAATCTGGCTCAGGCCCTCAGAAACAAACAAGCTTGCTACATGTCACCGACATGCGAAGGCTGCGCACAAGAACAGTTGTGGGTGGTTCGTGCGACTGTGGAGAGACTGAGTCTGAGGTGTTGAACGGGTGCAGGCGTCTCAGCCGGCAGGCTTCACGGTGCCGGGGCATCTGAACCAGGCCAACTACGCGCAATTCGCGGCCGTGATCGCGCAGCAGGCGGCCAGGCAGCGCCAGGCGCAGGAGGCGCAGCTCGCCCAGCAACAGGTGCCGTCTCCCGTGTGCTTGGCATCCTGGCGATGCATGTTCCTGTGCATCAACAAAGTGTGCGCATGTACCCGAGTGTCCTGCACTCAATCCAGGTAGCAACTGGCTTATTTGCAACGAGGTGGGCAGGACCCAAACGGGTATGCTGATGACCTTTGCGCCAATGGTCTCGAACAAATGTTTTGACTGATGTGTAACCGTGCACAGGGGAACCCACAGGCACATTTCTTCCAACAGGCGCCCGCCCAGCAGCTGTTTCAACAAACACAGGTGCAGCAACCACAGCCACAGCAGCCGCACCAGGAGGCTGCCACCGAAGCAACGCAGCCACTCACAGAGACAGCGCCGACGGCCGAGAGCGGTGCCGGGCTGTAGCATTCCAGTGACCTCTTACAGACCGCAGCTGCACGACATTTTTTTGCTAATTGTGCATCAAGCTGTTCTGGGACAGACGGGGCTGTTTGCAGAAAGAGAGAATAGGGTTTTATGAATAAAATATATAGTCTGAGACAGCAGCAAATGGCTCCTCGCCACTAAAAATCTGAAAATGGCGTGGCAGCCACAACTCCTTGTCAATAGCATCTTGTGGAAAAAGCACGAGATACGGTGAGATACTTAGCTTGAAGTTACATCTGTGCGTCTGGCTATGTCCATAGGGATTGAAACCGAGAGAAATTCTCCATTTGTGTAACATTTTGGTACATTCCTGGGCTTGCTTTGGTTCACAGCTGCGCTGCCGTTTCCCTAGATCTTTGCACTCGTGCACTAGTAGTGATCAGTAGAAAAACAATGTGGGACGAGGCAGCAAGACAAGGAGAAACACACAGGAAGTGGCCCATAGGCTCCCCACCAACAGCAGGCCTCCACAACTGCATAAGCTGGAGGCCAGGCAGCTCCTGGGTGGCTCTGCAGTGTGATACAGCCAAGCTAGTGGTGCTGGACATTGGCAACCCAGACAAGAGGGCCTCTGAGGTGAGCTTTGCACTTGCCTCCTTATTGTCCCTCATAACATGCAGCACTGTCACAGCAAGACAGATGAAACCACGCAAGCATGTCCACTTGAAGTGTAAATTGTCTTTGCTTCTGCTTACAAGTGTGTGGTAAGACCATTGAATTGCTTGTCAGGTGCAGCGGCTGTGCTGGAAGAAGGTGTTGGAAATCATTGCATGTGCCTGGAGTGAGAATGGAGAGTATCTCCTCACGGCGCATGCTGCTACAAACGGTGCTCTTTTTATGTACAAGGTGATCAACTGCCTCGCTCTCCACATGCATTTGCCATGCTTGAAATGCCACATTTGTGCAGCAAGAGACACCGGCGTGCAATGCAATGACATGAAAGACTTCGGTCTGGTTACAGGTGGATCCCAGTAATGGTTTGACTCTAGTCCTGCAGTCACCCCTCTTCTTCTGGCCGAAGGTACTTATGTTCCTCTTCTATTCTGGCGCTTGATGCTCACACCTCTGCCAACAGTAGCTCAGTGCTGTTCTCGCATTCTCCCTTAGTTGATTATTACTTGTGAGCAACTGTGGATGCACTCAGGATGTGTGCATCAGCATGGCTTACGGCGATCCAGCCCATCTGAGGATAGCCGTCGCTGGCAGCCCTGGCGTGATCCTGTACAGTGCATCCATTTCCAAGGTGCGCACACAGCCCATTCCCCAATGCACATGCCCTTATCTCTAATCATGCATGCCAGATTTTTCCTTTTAATGCTAGTCACAAGTGTGTGCAGAGGCACTCACCAGGGGTACATGCAGAAATATGTAGAAGGGGTTGCATGCTGCAGGAGAGTGGGCGGTGGGAGGCGCGGCAGGAGGGACGCCTGTGTCACCTCTGGCCCGTGTGCGCGGTGCGGTTCGGCCCTGGCGGCCGGCACTTGGCGGCGGCCGGTTTGGGCGGCCAGCTGTGCATCTGGGACATGTCCTCAGCGGACGGCAGCGCCACACTAGAGCTGCAGGTAACTCGCCGCTATCCATGCGTCGGCTGCACTGTCCTTGAGCCTGTACTGATATGCTCTCCTTGTGACATCTTGTCAGGCATTTTGGGAGAGCCACAGAGCAATGCATGCAGCTGACATCAGTATTCTGAGGGATTCTGATGTTGATTTATGTATGTCGATTGGTGCATGAGGACAATGCGGCAACTGCATTTGGGGGACGAGGAAGGCTGTTCTCCTGGATTACATTGACCCATTACATCCGTGCGCGCAGGTGCAAGTGCCGGCAGAGCGAGTCACGAGCATGGCCTTCTCCCCAAATGGCAGCGCACTTGCCGTGGCCTGCTGGGGCGGCGCACTCTTCCTCTACCTGCAGCAGGACAGCCCCCTGGACGCCTCCCTGCCAACAGCCTTCCACGCTGCAGCGCAGCAGGAACCTGGTGAAGGCGCATCTGCAGGGGGGATTAGGCATGATGCATCAAGGGAGGCGCAGGAAGGGACGGCGGCGCTCACCGGTGCAGCGCCTGGCTTGAGGGTGGGGGTTGGAGGCGCACCTGCAGGGGGGTTTACCCAAGATGGAATAGTGGAGGGGCAAAAAGGGGCTGATGCGCTTGAGGTAGCTGGTGGGAAGGATGAGGGGGCTGGAGGCGCACCTGCAGGGGAAATTACATATGATGGAACAGCGGAGGGGCAGGAAGGGGCTGACGAGCTTGAGGAAGCTGGTGGGAAGGAGGTGGGGGCTGAAGGGATCGCTGCGGCGTATGAGTCGCGGCTGGCGGCGATCGACCACGGCGCGGACGGCCGCGGCGGCTGGCGGCCGGCGCCGGCCTCTCTCCCGGGGCAGCCCGTGAAGCCGGACGCCACCGGGCCGACGCTGCTCGAGTGGCTGGGGGATGACAGTATCCTGCTGACTCATCCGTCGACGGCGCTCGTGCTCGTCAAGGTGGAGAAGGGTGGCCTGGTGCGCTCCCAATGGCTGATTCTGGAAGCTTCCTTTGTTGTATCAGAGACCCTACTCTGCGGGAAGCTTCTTGTGGTATTCTTAGATACTGCGTTGTGTTGTGCTGTGCACACTGGCGTACAGTGGTGCTGTTTGTGAAGTGAATTGTATTCGGTGTTTGATCAGTTGCTGCTGAGCTTCTTCTCAAATTATTCTGCTACATGCTTGGCAGGTGCCCATGAGATTCCGGCAGACTGCTGGGAAGGAGCAGCATTCAAGCCCCAAGGCGAGTGGCAGCGCTGATGCATCACAATTGGAGGCATCAGGGAGGGCTAGTGACGCCAGCTCTGACGAGGTTCCATCTGGGCTCAGGATCCTCCCTGTTGGGAGACTGCAGGGCAGAAGCTCTGCCGTCAGGGCTCATGATGGTTCAAAACTAGGCGTTTGTGCGGTCGAGGAAACTGGTTTGGAGGAGCAGAGCAATGCTCTGAAGGGACTGGCAGTGATGCATGTGGCGGGGCAGCATGTTGTGGTGTGCTATGATAGAACGCGCTCACTGCACGTATTCTCTCAGAATGTTAATAGGCTGGCAGGTGTGCCTGAGACTGTGTGAAATTCCACCGTAGCATCCCGCACGATTGCTTAGAAGTAGTCTGGTTGGTGCAAGTATATTCCAAGCAAAATCAGCCGGCCTGTAAATGATACAAAATTTTGCACAGATGGTGGGCGTCTCCTGTCTCATGTCAGTTGTGTTACGTATCAAACTCAGCCTTGCTGGTCTTCTAGAGGTTTTCAATCATATGATGTTGTAAATTGCTGTGTTTCTTCACCATTCACCAAAGAGCGCTGTTGCATCCAGCTGCCTGCTGACCCTCTGTCTGCACCTGTGTCTCCCATGACAGCATGCTCACTTCTGTCATCTGTGCCAAGGTCTGCCTCTGGGAATGCATCATCCTCATCAAACGCATCCCACATTGAACCTGCCTTCCCTGCTTTGCTCTGCTGCACACCTGAGGGCGCCTCCACAACTGCTGCTTGCCCCATACTCGGTCCAGCGCGCGCTGCTGCATCTAGCTGCCATGAGTGCACACTGCCTGGGGCATCGGTGCTGGTGTGCTGTCTGCTGGGCTCTGCTGGCTGTCTGTAGTCTGGCTGACGAGGACCCAAGAGGGCGCTGCCAGCAAGTGGAAGCAATCTGCTGTGGGAAGGCCCTCGAGCATGAGCTTGCACCTGCAATGAGGTGCCTCCATTTGGCTGGCAGAGCTTCTGGTGGGGCCTTCTCTGCCAGTCATCTTGGCTGTTGTGGCTGTTCCTGCTCTGCAACGCAGACAATCCCCTGCCGCTCGAATCTGCTGGCCGCTGCCTCTTTCTTAGCATCGCTTCTTCTGCCTTGTCGAAGTCCCGCCGGCCTGCAACAATGCAGCCATGCACTGTTCATTATGTCTGTCTATGAAGTATATTCTATGTAGCACGACATCATGCCCCATTTTTTTACTCCCAGAGCGACAGAGAGCGTGCGAGTGCATCACCTGATGAAGATGCAGCTGCAGCAGTGCGTTCTTTACCTTTACCGGCACCACGCTGACATGTTGGCAGCTCGGTGACATAGCAAGCGGCGCCCGGCAGCGGGGGCTGCTCCGCTATGTCAGCCGTGTCTGCAGCAACCTCCTGGAGGGCAGCATGAAATACACTATATAAGTTCACATGTTGTATCAGGCATGCGCATGGGGCGCGTGTCTGTTGAAGGGCGTATATGGCCGCATAGCGCAGAAGGCTGGAGGTCACGCAAACATACAGGGTGCATGCCTCTTCGAGGTAGTCTTGCCAAGCCACAGCCGTCCCTGCGGTGTCATGCTGCTCCACATGACTGTGAAGGTCATGGTCGTCCTTGTCAGCGCCGTTGATCAGCGCCTGATCGCGTGCCTCGTCAGCCTGTTGTCGCCTTGCGTTGAGCTTAGTGACCACACCGCGCACGTCTGATGCTTTCCCACTGATGGCGTACACCTGCCAAAAGGACAAACCTTGCTGGCCACGTCCTGCTGTCTCCACCTGCTGCTGTCTAAGGCATTGATTCTCAAGTGTATCTGACGTTATCTGCAACCTTGTTTGGAGATCAACATCATACCAGCATGTTGCACCCAAGAAATGCTCACCTGCTGAACTGATTGTTTTGCCTCACATAGCCTGCAGGAAAATTTTGCCACCTTCTTGACCTGCTGTACCTGCAGAATACAACCAGCCTCAGTCTCATGGATTTTGTGGGATGATGTATCTTCCATGCTCGTGAAGTGCTGTTGCATCCTGTGCCATCTTGAAATATGTAAGCGGACACCAACCTGGAACACGCTGCACTGGAAACACTGGACCGCGTGGAAGTCAGGCATTTGTTCAGGACACGATATTGTCTGCCTGAAGTACTCCGTGCAGCGAGGATCGAGATGATCATGAGTCTTGGACTTGAAGGGATATGATGATCACGTCAGCATCTTGCAACCTTGCAATGTGTCCAGTCCAAAGTTCAATGTGTAATTGCGACAAAGGCAGCTCACAGGAGATGCGTTTGAACATTTAAGAACTTCCATCAACAATCACAGGCAGGCAAAGCAGCTTACGGAAGTGTGCGTGCCAGTTCGGTTGTGTAAGACTGTGATCGGGACCTCAACTAACCAGCGCTCTGAGAGCAGCACATGCAGGCTGGTGCTGCAAGTTTGAGTGCATTTGCTGATGCTCGCGGGCTCACATCGAAGTCCTAACTCCATTGCAACTCCAAGAGAGAGGCCCTGCAAGCAGTTCAGAGAGTCAATAGGAGCTGGCCAGGCTCCAAGTCTCCTCCAGAGCACTAGGAAAGCTAGTAAGATAGCAGCGAACGATAAAGGAAAGAACGAACAAGCAAGATTGCAGAGCTCCACGCCGGATCGGTCCACAGCTATGCGAATATGGGCAGTTTCGGATGTCCATGCAGACTACAAAGAAAATATGGAATGGTGAGTTGCTTGACGGAAGCCGTTACACTGGGCCCATGTTCTTCAATAGATTATTGCTCATGGTGGTGTGTTGCTGCCATAGGTGCGAAACACTGTCAGAGAACGCTTACCAGGAGGACACCCTGATCCTGGCTGGCGACATATCAGACGATCAGGCGATTCTGAGGTCCACATTCGAGCTCATGGTCAGAAAATTCGAGCATGTATTCTTCGTGCCTGGAAACCATGACCTGTGGGTGCGGCGTAAAGAGCGAGGCGTGCTGGACTCTCTAGGTGCAGTAGCTTCCTGTCTGCCATGACATATCCCTCCCCAAGCCTTGGCTCCATCGCAATCTAATGGCGGAGAACGTGTGGTAGTCTTGCCAAGTGCTTGACAGCCTGTGCTGCTCGTGCATGCAGGGAAGCTGGAGGTGATCAAGGACCTCTGCAGGGAATTGGGGGTGCACACAGAGCCGGCGCGCATTGGGGGCGTTTGGATTGCTCCCATATATTCTTGGTACCATGCCTCCTTTGACAGGGAGCCAGATCTGCGCGGGGCTCCTGCTGTGGAGAAGGCACGCCGCTGCCTTGCTGACATTGTAGCTCTGATGACTCTTCTGTCATGCGTTCTGGGCATCATGGGCTGCTGTGCAGTTCAAGCTAGGTTGTGGTGGGATTGATGGGACTAATGCAAGTTGCTGGCATGCAGGTGATGGTGGACTTCCATGCCTGCCGGTGGCCGAGCAGCATACCCACCTCCCACGACACCTCCATAGCAGAGTATTTTGACAACCTCAATGAGCCCGCTCTCAGCAATCTGGCAGAGAACTTAGAGATGGAAGAGGAGGAGAGTGGGAGCAGATCCCCACTCCTAACCTTCTCTCATTTCTTGCCCTTGCAGGTGCGAATATGACCTGTACATGGGATAAGCTTCTGCACCTTCCTGCATTCTTGCCTTGTGGTCCACAAGCTGTGTATTTAATGATTGATGATTCCCACTACGGAGTAAGTAGTGCTGGCAAGCACTTTCTGTATGCACCTGAAATGAGATGCACCTGGTACCTGTTTCGCTGCAGTCTTTGTTGCCAGAGAAACGGATGCTCTTCCAGCCCAATTTGGCAAAGGCAGTTGGCAGTGATTACATCCAACGGCGCATTGAGGAGCTGCGACCCATGGCGCACATCTTTGGGCACACCCATTTTGCCTGGGACACTGTCGTGGATGGCGTGAGATATGTGCAGTGGCCACTTGCATATCCACAGGAGCGCAAGTAAGTGTCTTCGTCATTTTGCTTACTGAGATCCCCGCAGAGGATGACTATACAGCTCAACACGCAACCTGACAACTATGGTCCCTTGCGTTGCTGGTTGAATACAGTTCCCACTCTCACGGAAATCCATTTTAAAGTCCTCTGGCAGTGTAGGCCACAGGTTTGCTAATACTCATGCTGAAGTTTGCCTGGAATGACATTGCAGGCGGAGGCATGATGGCGGCAAGGGCTTCAAGCCCCTGGTCATCTATGACACAGCACAGAACAAGCTGTCTCCCCACCAGCACACCTACTGGGCCGACTTCTATCAGGAGAACCGGCGAGACCCCAGCAACATAGAGCCAGCGCCCTGGGTCAAGGCGCGGCTGGGTGACCTGGCGTGGAAGTGATCTGGCCTCATTGCCAGAGGCATGCACTTGCAATATTGCGCAGCGTGCTCTGGACTGTTGACACCAGCTTACAGACGTACATCGTCGTTTGGACAATGTACACTAATTACATTCAGATCGGGTCTGAAGGTGGGGTGGCTTTGGGGTGCACCATGTGTGTCTGTATCCACCATTTAGGATCTTCCAGAATATTCCTATAAAATGCTAGCAATATTCAGCAGATGCCTAGCAGGATGGCTCACTGCACATGGGTCGTCTGAGAAATCAGATAACATCTCTAATTGCTGCATGTATGCGCTATATTATTATTTGTCAGGCACCAAGCTTGTGATTGTTTCTTGCATTGCAATGAAAATCTTTCAGCTCTCAGAGACGAATGCCACACAAGCTTGTGGCTTCTCAACAAACCCCGGCCATGCATGAACTTTCAAAATGCCAGGCTCCCCATCTAAGTAGGTCCAAAATTGCACTCTCCACCGTCGACAGCTGATATAATCTTCATTCCTCGTCAGAGTCAAGCCCTGCGCATGACATCAGAATGAAATGATATGAACACCAGAATCTTCTACCGTGTGGCTTTATACATAAATGCAAGTAGAAAAAAAAGACTGGTGCAAGGGGAACAAATGCTCAAGCAGAGCAAAGCAGGCACGCAGACCCTGAGAGGCCTCTCCAAGTGGCAGAGTTGCCTCTTCATTAGTTCTACAGCACGCACTTCATTTGCTGCAAGCTTTAGCAGCTGGGATCTGTGTGCGCACCGGGAATGTACAGAAGCTGAACGTCAAAAACAACTGGTGAAGCAGGCGGCACGCGTGGCCTGCATAGATAAAGCCAGGCCTAAAGGTCAGCTCATCATCAAGACAGAAAATTGCTTGTAAGCTTCAGCAACCTTCAAAGGCAGCTCCATTGGTGGGATGCTATGCAAGTGCTTATCCGATACGCAGAAGCATACCTCCCAGGCCCGGAAGCCAGCCCCTTTGGGAATGACAGATTCCCAGGGATGTAGAGTCGCCTCAAGCCCCCGACCTTCATCGTGGCAATGCCCTCATCTAGCCCGGCCACAATCTGCCCCCGCGTGACTCATGTCTCAATCATGTAAATAACAGTGACTATTTCCCATGTCACAGGATCAAACATGGGAATTAGTTTCTGCATTGGGAAGACATCTCAGAGCATGGAGCATGCTTTGCCACGCACCTGCCCGGCGCCAACTCGGATGTCATATGGGAAACCCCGGTCCAAGCTGCTGTCAAACACCCTCCCATTGGGAGTCATTGCAACATAATGCGCCGTCACCTGCCGCAAACATCAGCTGTCAGCCTCCATTGATATCTGCTTTGTAGTAATCTCATGCCAAACAGACATGCATTGAGAGCAGCTGGATATGTCAGTACAGGAGTCACTGAACATGCCTGGTAGCCTGTGGGAGGGCTGGGCCCTTTGCCGACAATAATGTCCTTATAGCGCAGCCCAGACTTGGTCTCTTGCGCCTCTATGCTGTCCAGCTTTGCCAAACATTCCACATCACACAAGAGCTTGTTGACCTGCGTTGCTGCGCCTGCATCCACTGCAATGGCTGGCAGCCCCCTGCATGCAGCCTTACTGTGTAAGAGGCCATGATTATTGTTATGGTCCCAGCAGCATCTCTTGAAGGGAGTTTGGCCGTGTGCAAAAGTACCTTGCAGCTAGCAAGAGGCCACCACCCACTGCCAGCCCGCTGCTCAAAATGTGCCGCCTGCTGGGCTCACTTGTTGAGTCCCCAGCCGAGCATCGGGTGTTGGTGCCTTGGAATGGCACCCTCTGCGTGATCTTCTTTGGGGACAGGTAGAAGGACTCCTTGCACAGGTCCTGAGAGAAAGCAGCAGAGGAAGAAATTGTGAAAAAATATCAACCCCTCAGACATGGCTTACTGCAGTACATGAATTGCCCAAGCTCTGCTTGGATGAGTCTCATCCGATATTTTCTTAAACTTATCCAATGATTCTCACCCTGCTTCGCATTCCCAAAGAAGACATGGAGTAGCTAGCCGAGATCTGCATTGCAGCTGGCCCCAGATCCCCAAACGATGGTACCTTGATCCTAGAACTCTGCTCCCCACCCCTTTCGTGATGACAATAGCTACGTTCAAATTCTACATCAATTTCAGATCTTCTGACTGTTCCAAATCGACGTGGCAGATCAATCTTGACGTGGGGATCAGCATTAGCAGGAGGGCACGCCCCCAGCTGCGAATCATCCTCGCTGTCCTGTGCACGTTCTCCTAGCTCCTCCAAATCGATCTCAATTCAAGCACAGCAAGATCCAGGCCGCCTTTGAATCCGCCAGTCCTGTTTCTGGAAGCAGCCCGGGTGTGCACTGGCTACGGGCCAGCTTGCGGGCTGAATACGGTTCTCTAGAGAGAGCATTTCTCAGGGTTGAGGTCCCTCGGACCGCTTCGTATTAGGAAGACAGCGAAGGCATTTGGCAGCTCCCTCAGCAATCATGCTTGCTGCATCGCGTCATCTGGAGAGCGAGAAGCGCGAGACAGCAGGAGCTTCCGAGGTGATTTCCAGCTCCCTTGCGCAGGTACATGTCTCACTGAACGAATCTGTTACCAGCCCCTTCCGGGGTCAAGATCTCACGCACTGATCCACAGAGGTCATCTAGGGATGTTTGCGCACTTGTGGTGTTTTGTCGAGCCGCTTCTGCACGTTTCTTGGTCGGCACGGATACACACGTACCATGCCAGGTCCCTAATGTCACTGTCAGCCTGTTCCAAACTTCTATATCTTTTACGCCTTTAAATGAGTATCCATAAGTCCATGGAATATGTTCATTCTGTTGAAGATGGAAGGCTTGGCCCATTTCTGGTCCTTCTTTGCTTTGCTTCCTCCCAGACAGTCTTTGGAGTCCAGGTCGGCAGTCACACTGCGATCTGAGCCCATTGATGTCCCTGTGACTCTCTGGGAAGCTTCCCGTGGATGTTACCCGTTGGTGGCTAGTATCCTCATGTTCGATTATGGCATATTCCAGGACTCCTTGTGGCCCCCCTAACCGCAATCCAGGCCTGTGTTGAGGGCAGTGCTGCAGAGGGAGGTCGGGACCCTCAATGAATTTGTCATAAAAGTGTTGGTTTTCGAACTCGCAGGAGGACATGGCACAGCGTCAATCGGCCATTCAGAAGCTTTTCTTGGTGCGGCGCTTTGCAAACAGCGACAGCGAGCCCTGCATGCTGCTGGATGGCCTCTATGTCGGTGAGCCTTCACAGCTTGCTCTCAATGCATACTCTGTCCTTCCTTGCAGGCCCTTCATCCTCACAGTGCCACTTGAACAGTGCTCCTTCTATCACACTCTGCTGGGGCCTGTTATTGTTGTCATTACACGCTTTCCCTGCCTAGAGGGGCAAGATGCGTCTGCAGGCAAGCTGCAATAAAAAGGCACTGCAGCACTGGGGCCATTACTTTCTATTAAAAATATCTCTTCTTCACAAAAAATACCTACTGGTGCAGGTTCACTGGGGGCAGCGCGCAATTTGGAGGGCCTGCAGAAGCGGGGGGTGACTCATGTGCTGAATGCTTCACCAATTGTCCCCTGCTTCCACCGTCACCACTTCCGCTACAAATGCGTGCCGGTCTATGACGACGTCGACGAGGACATCTCCAGCTTCTTTGCTGAGACCAACAGATTCATTGCGCGGGTGCGCCAGTTAACACCGCACTGTGTGCATGCAGTCCAGACTTCCAATTGATTTTCTTGAGCTTGGCAGTCCCTCTTGGTTTATAGTGTGTGCTTGGGGGGTTGAGACGCGTGCTGAATGGGTGCTGGCAATGTGTGCAGGGTAGGAGGAGAGGAGGTGTTTTGGTGCACTGCTATGCTGGGCAGAGCCGATCTGTGGCGTTCATTATTGCATATCTGTGCGCGAGCAAGGGGATGAACCTGGCAGAGGCCTACCAGCTAGTCTTGAGTGTGCGGCCCTGCGCGCGTCCAAACACAGGTGCTCACCTTACTTGCCCTTGAGGGTGAAGTCAACGATAGCATTGAAGTGATACTATGCTGGCATTTCTTGTTCTGGTAGAGCTGTGAGTTGCTCTACCATGTGTCACACTGGCAGCAGCATGTGTGAATGCATTGTGCCCTCTGCAATAAATTAAATGATGTGTTATGCGCAGGATTTATGCAGCAGCTGGCAGAATTTGCTGAGCAGCGGCAAATTGAGGCCTTGTAGCAGGAGAGCCATCCATGCGGCCATGTACATTGGCTAGTGCAGATGCAAGTTTTTGGAAGGCAGGCGCTTTGCTGTTTGTATGATCAGCCGGCTGTACAGCGGCACATGTGCGCCGCTAGCAAGGATGCACAGCTGGCGAATCAATGTGCCATTCTTTGTGAGTGAATACTTTGCACATTGCATGTTGCATAACTTTGTACATTATGTTGTGCCACCATTAGTGGGATATTCATCCTGGACAAGGTACAGTAGTGAAAATTTTGTCTCTCTGTTACTTGAAGCGTGCTTTTATGACCAAAAGTAGCGTGCAGGCTTTGGCAGTGTCACTTCTGTACATTTAGTGCAGTGCTGCAGCGGCTTGCAAATGCCATTTAGGGCTTGCCAGCTAAGTAGCTGTAGACCTGTTCCTGTAGCTACAGAAACAACTCTCCGAGAGATCTTCCTGTGGGCACCTTCTAACCTGCTGTGATGCAGAGAGTTGAGAGTTTCTGTTGGAGCAGCTTCATGTTTGTTTGCCAGTCTTCAGGTCGTGCGTACAGAGGTAGCCACTTGTTTCAGTGCATTCAGTGGAAATATATACACTGGAATCATCTTGCGTGTTCGATGCGCATGTAACCTTGAGATATCAAGGTTAATCGATGGTTGATCAATCGTCCTGCGGCTTGCGTGCAGACTCGTAAGCTTAAGCATGAGCGCCAAGAAAACTTCAGAAAACCAGCAGCTGCAGGGCAGAGAGATGCAGACACCGGCAACATGATTGAGCATAAAGGCTAGCGCTGGCCTGCACAGCTGCACTTGCACTTACTGTGATAGGGATCACGCTAGCGCTGGATAAGCTTTGTGCAAGGGACTTTCACTTGTCCATGTCCTTGAAGCATTATGATCAGTGTTCATTTTGAGGCCTCCGGAGGCTTTTGAGGCCTCCGGAGTCCTACTCGGATACCACATCATCCAGCTGGCCATGGCCAGGAGTCCTCAAGCTACATTTTCATGGCACTGACTGCTCGGTCTGCTGCAACAGCGGCACTGTGGTGTCACTAAAGCTAAAGCATGTCTGTGGTGCTCGAAGTCCCCCGGGACATGGGCTATGATGTGTAGGTCGTGTTGGCAAAGGGAGGTTACACTGTAACTGCTGCCAAGATTGGCTCGGCTCACGTCCTGAGAATCCTGCTGCTGCGTCAAAGGTCTCAGTCCCGTTCACCGGGAGCAAACAAGCAAAAATGGCAGACAAGATTGGAACCGAGGTGTCAGGACTGCCGCTGATATCTGATACCAATGAAGAGGGCCTTGAGTCTGGTGGAAGTGTTTCGATTACCATCGAGAGTCCTCTCGGAGCACAGAAATCTATGCTGTCTGAGGCTGCGATTTTGTCGGAGGTGGAGCGAGCAAAGATGTCGAGCGTGAGGAAGCGGAATGGCATGAAGGTCGTCTTCAGGGTGCGGGTCCTTTGGCAGATTGCCTGTTGGGAAGCACACCGGGTTTGGCCGCGCAATGGCTCGTTCAATTGCAGCCTGCAGTCGTGCAGAACATTTTCAGTTGTATAGCTGACGTAAAATTTGATAAGTTATCGCTAGGTCGTATCTTTTTGGATCCGTTCCGCGTGGCAGGTTGCGGCATCTGACCTTGGACTTGAGTACTGCTTCTCAATATGACTGCACGCAGGACTTGACATACATGGTGGAACACAACTCCAAAAAGAAACAGAAAATACATCTGCTAAAGAGCGTGACCGGTCTTATCTTTCCAGCTCAGATGACGGCACTGGTGCGCTCGAGACCCACTGACGCGTCGGATTACGTCTTCACGTTGAGAACCCAATTGTATTCCAGATACTCAATCCAACAAGCTTGATGCAGATGGGACCGAGTGGAAGTGGGAAAACAACGCTGCTGGGTACGCCAAAGCCTTCCTGCCTCTGCCTTTGCCTTGGTCTATTCTGCATTTCGTCCCTTGCAGACTGATGTCAAGCGCAAATTCTTCCTTAGAACATTACAACATATCTATGCTGCTGAGACAGTCTAATGACAGGTGGGCTTGCCCAAATGTCTTCAGCTGACTGCTTGCTGTGCAGACGTGCTTGCATGCCGCAAGACGGCTGGAGAATTATCCGGGCAGATCCTGATCGGCGGGAAGCCGCCATCGCGCATGTTCATGCGCAGGTACACCGGCTACGTGGAGCAGTTTGGTGCGTTCAAATAACTTCAGTCTTTCCCTGTTAAGGGCGGGCATCTACCTCATGCCTCTCATGGTCTCTGCCATTAGTCAACCCCTCCGTTCTGAGTCTGCATCTACCCCTGACTATACTTGAAAGGACAGCTCAGTAATTGACCCTGACCCTTGAATGACACGGCTTTGAGAGAACTCCCTGCCCCTTGCCTCTATTGAACCTGTCTGCTTCCGGATAGCACGGCTAGCACAGACCCAGACCTTCTGATGGCAACAATCCCCAGCCCTTAACTGCTCATGTCACCAGGAATTGCCGGCCCTTGCCTCTTTAGATTCAATTTGACAGGTATGAGACTCGCACACAGACTCGCTGGTGGGAGTGAACCCTTAGGCCTGGACTGCTCTTGACACCGGCAATTGACCTTGACTGTTCATGAGGGTGACTGAATAGTCATGGCGCGCAGACACGACTGCTCACTTTACAAGTATTTATTGGCCCTCTGACTCTTTTGAAATACTAAAATCGGACGGGCGTGATACGCGCGCGCAGACACGCTGGTGGAGAATCTGACAGTGCGCGAGATGCTGCTGTACACGGCGGAGATGAAGCTGGAGTTATCGGTGGACATGGCCGAGAAGCGCGCGCGCGTGGACACCCTGCTCAAGCAACTGGCTTTGGAGGCCTGCCAGAACGTGCGCATCGGCAACTCCATGGCCCGCGGAATCTCAGGTCCAGTGCTTCCCCCTGCTGATGGCCTGCATGCTGTCAGTGCATGCGATGAGCCCTTTGGCAAATGGATTTGATGTTTCACATCCCATTTACTTCCCTTCGCTTCCTGATCTGCATCCTGCTCTGCTGGCCGTCTCATGCACGTCACCATGCATGCACCCCCACCAACATCCCATAAAGCTGGTGGACCCGGTCAAAAACTACTTGGAAGGACCAATTCTCACGCATGTGTTCATGGGGTATGCTGTTCTGCCTGTAATATCTGGCCCAGTCTGCTTTCAAAGAAATAGTTTGACGTTTGCATGTCTGAAGTGGCCAAGTTTGCTTAAAAATAAAGTAGTTTAGCAGGGGTCGTGGGTGGTTTGCAGGCGGGCAGGCGAAGAGGTGCAACATCGGCATAGCGCTGCTGAGCGACCCGCGCATCATCTTCCTGGACGAGCCCACCTCGGGCCTCGACTCATACACCTCCCACGAGGTGTGTCCACCTGCGCTGCATGACCCTCAGCAAAGCCAAGATACCTGAGCCTCTGTGCCATTATTTTCCCGAGCTCACCCTTTACATCCCAAAGCTGGCTGAGGGCGCCTTGTGGCTCTGCTGGCAGCCTCCTGCTGCTTTTCTCCCGTCGCTCATGTGGGACTCATGTGGGGAATCAGCTGGAAAGGAGGCGGCCAAGGGCGTATTTGAATTACAGAACTGCTTACAGAGATTGTGCATTTAGGATCGGTAAAGTATTCATTGTTGCTCCTTGCACAGCCAAAAAGACGCAGCCGTTCCCCTCGCAAGTGCCTTTCTCAGTACAGCATGAGTGACTTATGATCACACTGTGCAGGTGATGGAGCTGGTGATGGCACTGACGAAGACGCATAACAGCATAACGGTGTGCGCGACCATCCACTCACCCTCGCCCCAGACCTTCAACCTCTTCGACAAGGTCATCATCCTGCTGCGCGGCCGCATCGTCTACTTTGGCGACAACGGTGACTAATCCACCCCTCAACCTCACCTCCCTACGGGTTAATAAACATACAGGGGGGTTGTGTTTCGATGCTCCAAGCTCTTCACCGTTGGCCAGGAGTGAAAACCAAATTTTGCTGCACTGAGACAGTCTACCTGCAGGGGGCAGCACACATGCTTTGCATGGTGCTCTTGGGGTCCGCCTCGAGTCTCGCATTTTCAACCTCTTCTGTGAAGAATTTGGGGCAGCCTTTCAAGTAGTACCTTCTTGGCCGAGGACCTTGCTTGTCATGGCAAGCGTACAGTCACTGCTATAATGTATCATGTGCACCCGACCTTTGTTTTGTGCTTGTCTGAGACGACATGCTGGTGAGCTGAGGAAAAGGCTATGTGATCAGGCATGGACGCGGCTTCGTACTTTGAGAAGCGCTTCCCTGACGTGGAGCCCATGGACAGCAATGGAGCCAACGCCAACTGCGCCGAGTGGCTGCTCTCAGTCACCACCCAGGTCCGCATGCATGCAACCTTGTCATGTGTGCGGCAGGATTACAAGCTGCAAACACCGTCCTGTGACTGCAAAAGTAACAACCCAATTTTGGACTCTAGGTTTCCCAAAGCTGTAATGCTCAAGTTCCCACTATTTAGCACTTTCAGAGATAGGTAATGTGAGAGTCTGATGCAGGCAACGGCTGACACACAGCTTTGAGCATAAATTTTCAGAGGTCCAGGCCTTAATGCAGCACATGCAACCAGGGCAGCTGGCAGCATGTCAGGAGCAATGGCTGTGTCAACCGTACTTGCTCACATGGCAGCTGCTTAGCCGCACACCATGTAACAAAATTAGCATGGCAGGTTGCACCCATGATATGATGAGTTAGAGGGGATGGCTATTTTGGCGCAGGCTGACAGGGACGGGCGGGCGGACGAGTTTGGGGATGCGTACGCGGAGAGCGAGCTGTGGGCTGAGAATGCGCGGCTGATGACGGGGCGGCCGGGGATGGAGTCGCGCACGTCCATCACCACCATCCAGGAGCTGGCAGTGACTCAGGGCACAGTCACCCCCTTCTGGTGGGGGCTCTGGGTCCTCGTCAAGGTGAGCCCATGCCCGGCAAGTTACCCACTTGTCCTGGGGCTTCATGAATACGAAGCACTCCAAGGACAACAGTCTTTGACCGAGCGCCGGTGACCGTCAGGCCTTGCACCTCTACAATCCGAAAGCGCGTCTGGGTCCTCGTCAAGAGGAGCATGCATGCGTAGCAAATCACCTGTTCATCTATGCATTGCCTCAGTGCTTTGAAAAATCAAGATCTCTTGCGCATGGAGCAGATAAAACCTTCTTGGGTTCCCCTGTTATGTCGAGGGTGGTGCACGACAGCCTCATTGGTGGTTATTGCACATGCAGAGTTGAGATAGAAAGCCTGCAAAATCTCTCCTCTAATTCTCCAGCATTCAGGATGTTCAAACTGGCCTTTAAGAGATGCCAGACAGCGTGCAAAAATACTGCTGCTTGCATGCGCATGACAAGCAAGTACCAGGCCTATTTGTCAAAAGTCATATGAATTGCTTCTGTGTGTGTGCATGTGTGCGCGAGACCGCCTGGCGAGCAACTACCGGGTCGGTGGGATTTTGAGATCTTTCAAATTCCAAATTTGTGTGTGCGCAGTACCGCATGGCGAGCAACTACAAGGACTCCAAGTTTCTGCTGGGCCGCATCGTGGACAAGCTGCTGTGTTGCCTGGTGCTCATCATCCTCTACTACGGCCTGGGCAAGAACACGGCGCCAGAGAATCTGATCAATGTGTCCTCGCTGCTCTACATGTACACCGTGCTCCCGGGTTTTGCTGCCATCTCCTACATGCCTGGGCTTGTGCTGGAGCGACCACTCTACATCAGGTGAATCATTGTCATCCTCAGACATGCATTTGTGTCAGAGCTTTGATGTGCACATCTGAGAGCCCACAGACTTGGATTTTTGGGGCTGGGCACTGGCATTGTGCGGGTCTTGAGTAAGATTTGAAAAATTACAGAATCTACATGAAGGTGTCAGCCTGCAGCCGCACATTGAAATTTAGTCTGTGAAATTTCAAGTGTGTCCTTGTGTAAGCAAACAGCTCTTATCATCATCATTGATATATGATACTTGTTGCAAATGTCTGTACACACCAGCGCGGAACGCATGCATCACGGCGTCTAGCGTGGAACGCATGCTCGGCATTGCCTGACCTAGAGCAGCTCCACACAAACGTATCCAGCGCTCAACTGGGAATATCAATTTGCGCAGGGAGCGCAGTGACGGCCTGTACAGCACGGTGTCCTATCTGCTCTCCAAGATGGTGGAGGAGATGGTGGTCATCCTGTTTGTGTCCCTGGTCGTCTCCGCATGCATCTTCTTCGCTGTGGGCTTCCACGGCCAGTACATCCTCTTCTGGCTCGTCTACCTCGTCACCATTTCCATCGGCATGGGTGCGTGCGTGCATGCATGCAGAGCCGCACCCCTGAACACACCCCCGCTCTCACCCAATGTTCCATCCTGTGAAGCTTTGACAGCAGGCGCAGATTGTACCTTGACATTTGTTTCCCCCTGCTTGATCCTTCCTGTTCTGCCAGCACTCCAAGTCTTTTTCCCTCAGCGCGAACTTGGCAGATCAAGGGTTTTTTCTAGTCCTGTCAATCTGTATGAACAAGGCAGGTTGACAAAGTAACAGACCAGGCTGCCAAAGGAATAGATTTATAAGCAATGGGATTTGGTCTGTGCAGTGGTGGGCTATTTGGTGGCGGCCTATGCATCAGACCTGGACGTGGCCAACGGCATCCTGCCCGGCTACATCATGGGCCTCTACTTCTTCACCGGCTACGCGCTGCGCCTGCAGGTGCGCACCTGCCACGCAGCCAGCCTGCAGCTGCCACGCAGCTCAGCATGCAGCTTCTGCCTCACAAGTGCCTTCTCAGATTTGCGTGCCATACAGTGTCCCGCTTTGCATCTTTTGTCCTACATGGGCTGGAGCGTCCGCCTCACATACGGCTTCTCAAATCCTGCATGCTGTATTTGTTCTGAATTGGATCCTGAGAGTATTACAATTTTTTTGATTCACAGGATCTGCCCAAATGGATCGGCTGGTTCCACTACCTGGACTTCCTGCACTATGCCTGGGCCAGCCTCATGCTCAACGAGTTCGAGTCGCGCCCTGCCGTCTTCCTGGGCAACCAGTCGGTGCGCTCTTTGAGCCCTGCCCTGTTGTTGGCCTTGATTGTCTGGAACATTGCAAAGTGCAGACATGCTGCCATCAAGTGCAGTCTGCATGGCTACGCCACAGATGCAACAGGGAGTTGTTGATCCTACGGCGACCTTTTTGTAGCTGGGAGTACTCAGTTTTGACAGAGTAAGGAAGATAGTCGTTAGAAAACTCTGATGATCTTCAGGAGCTGAACAAATTGAAAAGAGTGGTCTGTGCGGCGCTGCAGCATGCCAGTGACATGTGCGTGTCTGTCATGCAGTTCCTGGAGTACTACGGCTTGCCGCAGCATGGCATCTCAAAGTGGCAGTACCTGGGCATCGAGGTGCTCTTCTTCATTATGTTCTTCTGCCTGGCATGGCTGGCCCTGGAGTACAAGAAGCATGGCAAACGCTGATGCAAGGCCAACTTTGGTGGTCTGATGAAATATGTATCCTGACGCCAGTAAGCAGATCAGCTCATGCTGAAGTATCGATAGGCACTACAGTGGTAAATTGCCAGTTGGTTGATATTGAGCTCTTACAGCATTTCAGGGACCAGACACTTCAGCATTTTCTGGGGTTAGCATAGTGACACAGCAGCACTTCAGCTATGCAAAAGTCTCTTGGTTAGGTTAAGAGCACACTTTTGAAAATTGGCTTTCTATTACATTTGGTGAGGGCCACAACTTAAGGCACATCATACGAACAGCTCATTTGTGAAAGCTTATCAGCATGCCACCAAATTGATTCAGGATTAAACAGGTCTAGGCAGTCTTGCATGTACCCCCAAGTTTTTATTGAGCTGCTCTGAAATTTATTTGGACCAACACTCTAGCATATACTCATTTCAAAGCACATCAATTTTGCGCTGAAGGAGGTTGAGGATGCCTTGGGGCCCCAGTAATATCTCATTGATGAAGCTCAAAAGTGCCACCCAAATGATGGGCGATATGTCAACGCCCCCCACTGGCTGGATCACACGCCTTGTTGGCCCCAGGACTGGCTCTGTCGGCTTCACCACCACTGACCAGGGCAGCTTGTCCCCAGGAATCTGCAAATGTTGCATCACTCAGCTTTTGCAAGAACATAAAACCGTGGCTGGCATCGTGGCTGTTCATGACACTTCTTGGGCAAAGGACTGGGCAGACTTGCCCTTCCATGGGCAGCCTTGCTATGTCTGCATCACTCATTGCTGATGTCATCAAGCGTGTGAGACAGTATGTAGTCACGTAGGCATGCGTCATGCCGAGGCACGCTTACCTGTGGGTACCAGGAGAGAACAATCCGGATGATCATGAACAAAATGCCAACGGAGAGAATTGGCTGCAATATCCTTGCCAGCAATCCGGCAGTCTTGGCATCAATGTCAGCCAGTTCCCACAGTGCCTGCACATCAGAATGGGTTTCATGTGCATTCGTATACGGTACTCATTGCCCTATCATGCACCAATAATGTAGGTGTTCCAATACCTGCGTGTGTGCTGGGCACAATGTGCCGAGAGACTCTGCCGCTGAAGCATGTGCAGGGCTACAACATGCGGCTCCCAAGATGGGAGATACTAGTGCTGCTACATCCCTGGTCGCAATGGCGGGACTTGCTTGGTCTCTTGCTGTGCTTGCTTGGACCTGCAGGCACGATGATAAGGTAGAATGAATCTGGGCTTCAATTTACAGAAAGCTTCACCATCAACCAACATAAAAGAATTTTTGTATTTGAAGTGTGACCACAAAGCAATTGATATACATGCAGATCCGGAATGCACCTCTGTATCTTCACATGCCGTTCTCTTGAACAAGTCTGAAGCTCTGCCGTCACGAATCAAGTTTGTATTTCGTGCCCTCGAACAATGTGAATTCACCGGCAACGCCGATCTGGCGTGGAACATTTGTCCTTTGTATGGACAACTGATGACGTTGTGGAATGGTGTTGCACAAAGAATGGGACGCAAGAGGGCCATGCTGGACATTCTCAGACGCCTGTACTAGAACAATAACACACAAATATTTCAGAATTTAGATTTGTGCATTGCATGACCGATGAAACCACAAAACCAACGAGGCAGAGAGGCCTTTTTGGCACGTGCCGGCAGTCGTTTGTCTTTAGGACAGCGAAAGGATCTCACATAAACGTGCGCTCTTTGATACCCTGCGTGGTGTATTCCAATAGATCAATGGCCACAGCATCACTTCGCACTGGCATATTCATAAGGTAGGGGAACTACCTTTGCCTTGAAGGCATTATCATGATATTTTGCTCGACCTGAGAATACACCCTCCCTGTCCATAGTAGGACATCTTTGCGCTTAAATAGAAAATATACAAGAGCCATGATTGGTGGTGTTTATTCGCTCCACTATGCGCTTTTTGGCTTCTAGATCACCTGCTGATGACAGCAAGATCCCGTGCAAGATGCTCTCGAATGCCCATCAAGTTACATGTTGGGACGAGTCAAATTTGATGACACGATCTTGTCGCAGACGTTGCACTGTTCTTGACGAATTGCGTGGTCCTCAGGAAAACACCAGCTTTTACAGCGTTTGCTCCAGCCTACCAACACTACAGGAGGGCCAGACACGTTACAATGGCGGCAGCTAGCGCATCTGACTGGCTCAAGCAGGTACTGTCGTGAGCCGATAAGGGCATTGTGCAACCCATGGTGACGGTGATATGCAGGTTGCATTCTTTCAGGCCAAATACTGTGCATGCATGCCATCTGACAAGCTCCTCGCTGACACGCAGGATGAGAGGAGGATGCTTCATGCTGTATACCGCGTGGGTGAGCTCTTACATACACGCCCCAGTCAAGTCATCTCACATGCCCCACCACCTTGCTGCATGTCCAGATGCATGCATGCAGTCACGCAATGTGTCGCTCTTGCAGGAAACCTGGACGAGACTATCAAGTACTACGAGAAACACTTTGGCCTGAAGCAGCTGCGCTACCGTGACATTCCTGAGGTCTAAGGTCATCTCGGTGTTTTCTGCTGCTAAACATGTCGCCTTCCCTTCTTCAGAGTGACCATGAAAAGACGTTGACATCAATCAAAATGGGTGTGTGTGCTGCAGGAGAAGTACAGCAATGCTTTCTTAGGAGCCGGGCCAGAGACAGACCACTTTGCCCTGGAGCTCACGTACAACTACGGCGTCGACCACTATGACATCGGCACTGGGTTTGGCCACTTCGCCCTCGCGCACCCAGATGTGTACAGCCTGGTGGACAGCATCAAGAAGGAGGGTGGGCATTCTGGCCGCTTCTGTGTACTCAAGCCACTGTTGCTGGCTGTTTGTGCCTGGAACATTAAGCATGCACTGATCACCCTGCCCTTACATGCGGATTTGCATGCATCCTCACTGATTACAGCTTGGCACAGAACAACAATTGGAGACATTCCCGATTGTGTGCATGCTTGATTTCAGTAGTGTAGCTTTGCAGGCGGTAAGGTGTCTAGGGATGCTGGGCCTGTGAAGGGCGGCAAGACAGTGATTGCTTTTGTGGACGACCCTACCGGCTACAAGTGGGAGCTCATCCAGCGGCCAGAGCCCATCCCAGAGCCCATCGCGCAGGTGCACACAGTCTCTGAAGCAATTACAGCAAATGCATGTCAATTGAGTGGCCCTGATTGAAAAAGCCAGGGAAACATCATGCTGTGCAAGAGCTCCTGCAGTGCGTTGGAGGCACCGCTGCTGTTGCCTTGGTGTTCCAGTGGTTTAGGAAGGAGAGACAAGGAACGGACTGCAGGGAACCCCGTCTGAGACCCCAATATGCGGACGTGCAGAGCCAGAAGGTGGCTAAGCAGGGGGCGTCACTGTAAAGAGCGCAGCATGCTAAGCGGGCGCTTAAGGGACCATTTCTAGGGGTGCCGGGCGTTAGTGAGGGTGACTGTTCTGGCAGGTGATGCTGCGGGTGACCGATCTGGACAAGAGCATCCAGTACTACACAGAGGCGCTGGGCATGAAGCTGCTGCGCAAGCGCGACAACCCCGAGGGCAAATACACCCTCGCCTTCATGGCTTACGGCCCTGAGAATGAGAATACCGTCATAGAACTCACCTACAATTGGTGCGCATGGGTCTTAAACATGCCTGCTCAATTATACTGGGAATTCTCTGCCATTGCTACAGAGCTGTTGTTCCGGGAGGGGGTTTACCCGACAGAAGTAGTGCATGCTGGGAAATGTTTCAGGCGTTGTGAAAAATGTCACCACTGATGGAACATAGAGCTCTGGACTGCTGTGCAACATGATTCCCCGTATGGAAGACATGACATGAATCCCCATATGTGAGATACCTGTGGTGCGGCAGGGGCAAGAATGAGTACGAGAACTTCAAGGGCAACGCGTACGCGCAGGTGGCAATCAGCACCAAGGTGAGCTTTGCACTCAAGCACTCCTCACCTACGCCCAGTCCTGGCAATTGTAGCCTGCATTTGGGCCGCAATTTTTGCTCACGCCAATACCACACCTGACTTGCTCCTGCAGAGATACCAGACACACTCAGCAAAGTGTCTCACACTTTCTGCTTGGGCTTGTGACAACTATGTCTGCCATCCATTTGGGCAGCCAACTGTGTTCGGGCTGTCGGACACAGCTGTTCTCCGTTTCCGTACCGAATGTGGAGCAGAGAGACTTTGCACCTGGACCCATTTTTCCTGGAGAACCTTGAGCACCTTTCTGTTGTCATGTGCGCAGGACGTGTACAAGAGCGCTGAGCAGATCAAGGCGGCAGGCGGCGCTATCACGCGCGAGCCCGGCCCGCTGCCAGGGATCGGCACAAAGATCCTGGCCACCACGGACCCCGATGGCTGGAAGTATGTGCTCGTGGATGAGGAGGACTTCCTCAATGAGCTCAAGTAGAGGGCTGCCTGCACAAGCTCTCGACGTCCACAAATGGCCAACAATGTGATGAGTGCCTATGTTCCTGTAGTCCATGTGATAAGAAAGGTCCTATTGACGGCCTTTTGTGCGCGCTGACCTGTGACGAGTGGCAACTGTAACTCACCCAGTTGGCTCCCAGAGTTGAATTTGCCTGGTGTTGTCTGCTGAGCCCTAAGCTTTGCATCTTTTGTACCTGTGGAGGACGGTGTGCCCTTGGAGGCAATGCTTGCTGCATGGTGGTATTACTGCGAGGTAATTTATGTGTACACATTTGGTACGCAAGCAGCACGTTCTAATTGCAATGCATGGCTTTTGAATGGCCTGCATGCCATGTGCCAGTGAGGACTTGCTGGATATCTCACAATCATCACTGCTTGCAGCGCCAAAAGTGCATTATGATGTCATGACCAAATTTGAACAAGCAATTCTTCTCTTCTTAAAGAGTATTTCGAAACAATAAAGACCCTTAGAAGTTCAATGACAGACTGTAAGATCATTGGGCCGTTCCTAACAAAGAACCACTTCTTTGGAATCTGTCAAATCCCTGGCAATTGCCAGCAAAGAAGCAGGCATAATGCTACATCCGGCAATGACAGATTATTGCATGCGTTTGTGCTGACCAGGGTGCAACAAGCACTTTGGATGGACATACTGAACGGCCGATCAACAATATTTATTTGCATTCTCTATTGTTCATTTATGAACGTCAGCTCTTGTCCTGCATGGCATTCCTGAGGCGGATCATTGCGGTCAAGCGCGTGTGCACCAGCGACCACAGATCCCTGGCCCGCCGTGAGTGATGCGCCGGCGGTGGCACCCCTCTCCTTATCGGCCCCACACTGCTCTCTCTCTCCCTGATCGCCCCTGGCACACTGCAGCACAGCCAAAGCCACCTCAAAGATTGATCATGTCAGGCGACTGGCAGAGTGTCCTGCCAGATGACCCAAGAGACCCTCTGTGGAAGCTAGAAAGAAGTTGGCTGAGACGTCCCGCAATCTGGGTACCGGCCATGCAGCATGCTAGAGCTGTTGTCTTAAGCAAGCATGGCCTGCTTAGACCATCCCATTCCTTTTTGGTAGGACATCTGACGGCTGCTCCCATGTGATCCCAGGCACTGAACCAAACTCTGCAACACATGCGTGGCCGCCCTAGGATGCAGGCGAGTCCGCACCTGAAGCCAGAGTTGTCAGCGGAGTGCTGCTCGCTCATCTCGGAGCGCGCTCGCAGCACTGCCAGCACGCAGCCGTGCACCGCGCGCACGAAGTACTGCGGATCCAGAATCGCATTCAGCGGCTCCACCTTCACTATGTGCCGCCCCACCACATCCTGCAGGGCCAACATACACAGCATTCCAAAGCTGTTGCACATGACTAGCTGGCAAATATGCAGCAGACAATGGAGCAGTTTCTACGAGTTCCACGGCAGCACACGTGCCAGAGCTATGATTTCAGCTGCTGGCCAGCCTCGGAAGCAAGTTTGTGTCAGAAGTTTGTGTCAGAAGCTTGCTCCCGGAAGCTTGTCACTGCCAGGCTTGATCAGTGGGATTAAGACTCGGAGTTTGGCACACGTCACCGTGATGTGCCATCCTGTGATTTGTGCAACCGCAAGGCATGCAGGTGTCTGAGACAGCGCGCGTGCCTGGAAGGCGAGCCCCTCGCCGGTGAGCACGTCGCGCACGTCAACGATGTGGGCGGCGCCGTGGCCGATGTTGTCGTCAAAGAAGATCTGGATCACGTCCTGGTCGGCAGCGTCCAGCAGCAGCAGCTTCCCCGCGCGGCTGCGCTCGTTACGGCTCTTCCAGAACGGATAGTAATCCCTAATAGCATACGCCCTGCGCAGCACAGGTAATATCTCAGATGCAGCCATGCGAGGCCTCACAGGCATACATGGTGAAGACTTCGTTTGACTGACATTAACTGTGTTTGACTGGGTCGAAATAGTGGTTCCATCATCTTGCACATCTGTGTTTCTTTTAGGGGAAAGGAGTGTTCGCTCAGCAGCTGTGCGGATCACATGTCAGTCCATATGCTGTGCAACCCAAGCGATTGTGGGTCCTCATGTTTATGTATACAGTGGCGATGCAGCTGAGGGTGAACGTATGTACACGGGGCAGAAGGCGAGGCTGCTGCAGGCACCCACCGGTTGCCGCGGCAGGTCTTGGCCATGACGGCTGCGTGCATGGAGATGAAATCCGACAGCAGCCTCCCCTGCCCAGCATCCGCGCTCCTCTGCAGCGTTTCCCTCGACAGCTCGCTCGCCTTCAGCACCTCCTCGCTCGCACCTGGGACCATAAAGTGCTATCAGGTGTTTTGTGTGCCGTGCCAGTAGCACGTCTTGTTCAAGCCATGCTAGCGCCCGCTTGTAAGCGTGGCCTTGCAAACCTTGCTAATGGCATTCACTGAGCATGTGGCCTGCCCAGATGCATGATATGTTCCAACGCCTTTGTGAGGCCTATGCAGCGGTTCCCTGCCTTACTGAGAGCTGCCCTGACACCATCAAGGCTCTGAGGGCAGATTGCTTGTAATTGCTTGCTTGGCATAAAATGAAGTGATGCTGCTTGTGATCAGGAGAGTGTGATGATTAGGAAGCACAGCACTCTGGAAAGCGCAAGAGCGCACCCTCTAAAAGCACAGACCCGTCGACCTTTGCGGTGGTGCGCACAAAAGCGCCGGTGGACTCTGGCACGCTCATGCGAAGGTCAGTCGCGCTCCCATCGCTGCCGTCCATCCGCACCTAATCAGCGCTAAGTTCGATCATTGCCACTCCAGAATATGCACCTCTGTGGCCCTTAGATGTTGATCATTGTGTCATGAAAGGGGTTGATGCAAGGCAGAGAGAGAGCTACCTCTGGGTAGCAGGGGTGCTGCCCCGTGGCAAACAGGTTCATCTCATCCACAACCTCAATGATGTCGGCGCCAAACGTCCGGAAGATAATGCTGAAGTCCCGTTTCTGCGCGCATGCGACTACATTTCTTTTTATCTAAAAGAAGAGCACTCCCAATACCATCGACGGTGATCATATAATCACAGCTCTGCACGCAGCCTACTTGTCACCGCCGGTCGCAAAGCACAGCTCTCTGATAGCTACCGCACCGAAGGACTGCGCGAGTTGGTTATGTGAAACAGAGGGTCAAGCCTGGGCACCTGTGCCTGCAGGTGTTTCAGGAGGTTGAAGAAGGAGGGCAGGATGTGGCGAGCGCCCTCGCTGAACAGATACTGCCCCTTATCGCTGCTGCCCGCTGCTTCCCTGCTCTCGCACGGCAGCGCGAGTGCTGCCTTGAGCTGCTCATAAACACCCCTGCAGCAGGAAAAATTCACAAATTCCTCAGCATGACAGCAATGCAGCCTGCTGTTCAGGGGTGCAGAAATCAGCATGGTGCCTGCTGCCGCCTGCAAGGACTGGGAAGTCATGGTGATATATGACATCATGGTGATGGCTGCACCACAGGAATCTGCAGTACGATATTGCTGGGAACCTTCCAATGCCATGCGTTGCTCTTCCTCCATACCTGACCATTGTGCGCCATTAAAACCATTCCATGATTTGAAAAATTTACGCCATAGTGCACTCCCTTGCTGAGCAAACCGAGGGGAGCGAGCGCGCCTGAACATTTCGCCGGGCTCTCTGGGCTCGGTGAACTTGCGCTTGTGGCTCTGGCGCATGTGTTTGGCGCGGCTGTTGTAGCGCTCGCTCTCGGGGCTGGATCCCACGCGGAAGGGCAGCAGGAAGGAGTCCAGATAGCTGCGGTACGTCATCAGCTGCGGATCATTGGACGGCCTGTGCAGCACACAATGTGAGCATGCGTCTGATCCAGCACAGTTGTGAGCTTTGAGCAGACACTGCAGAAGTTCTGCCATGCCAGGCAGACTGATGCTCCTGCTGCAGCCGTATCCAATTGATAAGGAGTGGAGACAAAACATAAATCGGAATGCATGAGGGCATGCCTAGGATAAGGGCATCATGGTGCTTTGCAGCACATTACAACATGCTGAACATTTCCAGATGCCGTTCAGCAGGAGGGAAGGGCGCAGATTGGTGACTTCACAGCCGCATACACCTACGTCACCAGGACATCTGTGCAGCTGGAAACACATGCTCACGACACTGAGAGAAGGACATGCCAGAGGTGAGGAGACGCGTACCTATCAGTGGCCAGACGACCAACAGGCACCCACTTGGGCCCCGGCTCAAGGCGTCCCCAGGCACACTCAGACAGCAGCATGTTCACCATGTGATCCGTGCTGGCGTCCTGCGCCTTGTCGCTCATGAGCACCGTCTTGTTGATGTCGAAGTGCAGGATGAGGCGCGCCTTCACCACTATGTTCTCCTCGTACAGGCCCCGCCCGCTCTCCCCCTTAGAAACATACCTGCAGACGCACACATTGGCTTGGTTAGTATGACAGTGTTGAGAGGTATATCTGAGTGCATTGTGTGTGTGTGTGTGTCTGGTGTCTGTACTTAACAGAGCTTGCATGCATGTTATGTGCGCGTCGGGCTGGCCACTGTGGGTACTCTCAAAGTTAAGCGGCAGAGGGGCCACAATTGAAGCATCTTCAATTGAAGCTACCGCCTGAGCAAATCTAAGCTCAATAATCAATTGGGACGACGGGTTTAACCTTGACTTCTTCGCCAAACCACACCATCTCTCACCTTTTGATGAGGTCAAAGGCCTCCTGCCCGAACTTGCTGAAGGATCGGTGGCGCAGGGCCAGCTCCAGGCGATGCTTCCTGTAGTACTGCTGGATCTTTGTGGCCGCCTCATCCTGGACAACATTGCCATCTCAACATCAAAGGTCATTGTACGTGACAAGTCAGGCTCTTGGGATGTGACACGATGCTTGTGCTCAATATGCCCTCATCAACAAGCATTTGCTGAGGTGAGCTAAGAAGCAGGACATCCAACGAGAGCACACCGGAGTGGATGCCACCCGGAGCAGCCCTACTCCCCTGTCCTCCTCTGCCTGCTCTGGGTCATCCATGAGGCTGCCAACGCGCTTGCCCCTCTTGAGCGCGCCTCCTCCAGACACAATGTCATGATGACTGCGCGGCGATGTGCTCAAGTACTGCTGTACTAGGATGGCTGCCTCTCTGGGGTGTTTCTGTCTCCTGCACCAGTTATATCAAGACCATCTGCAGCTAGAGATACAGTTTTCCGTCAATTCTGCCACCCTAGATATCACAAAGGCGTCGCATGCTCTGAAGGGGCCATGCAGCCAACTCTGTCATGCACATGCAGGACGGGTTGCAAGGACTTACTCAATCGGTTGCGATCTTTGAGCAAAAAGAAAGTCTAAATCGCTTGAAGATCGCTCCATAGTAACATTTCCTTGGCTTCAAGTCATGCCGGCATCGGCTGTTCTGCAGAGCTTGCTCTCGATGGCCCCTTCAGGGGGCTCGTGGAGCTCTTGGAAGCAGCTGAGCAGCGGATTGTTTCTATTACGTTTTGATCAAATAGGAAAGGGTGTCCTCCTTAAGAGAAAGCCGGCCCCAGGACAGATGTAGCAACTACGATCCTTCCTTGTACTTCTACAAGCGTGTTTATCAGCTTCTGACAACTCAATTCAATTAAAACTTGCTTTCCATTTACATCACAAACATCACACTGGCCAAAGAGTTCGGTACAGAACCCCACGCTCAGGGCTGAAGACCCTCAGATCGCACGACCACTGGGGTAAGCGTTCAGATCTGAGCGTGTAGATCGTTTCAACTCCAGCAATCAAAAATGGGTTTTTAGAAATGATCGTTGCCATTGCTAGATGAGCTGGAGTTGAGTAGATGACATGGCTAGGACACAGCAGTAGTCTATAGGGCTGTTATTTAGGCAAATTGCAACAACAACAGTGAGCTTCTGTGGTGTAGTTGGTTATCACGTGTGCCTCACACGCACAAGGTCCCCGGTTCGAGCCCGGGCGGAAGCATTTCTTTTTGCAGTTTTTTTATGTTTCCAGTGGGAAACATTATCAGGATATGGCTCAGTGATTATACATGCCTGGTTTGAATATGGCCCTTCATGGGTCGTCCTTCAAGCGCTAGCCAGCAGGCGCACATGTGTACAAGCCCCGGTTGCGCCCTGCCAGTGTTCATGACTTGAAGTCATTGACTTCTAAGTTGAATCTTGACATCAATCACTTTTTACAGCACTCAGGGCTGATGCTTGTACAATAATTTGTGCTATTGTCTGCACCATCGAGATGAGAGTTCCTCCATCCATTTACATTGTAGTTGTTCCATACTGTTCGGTGGCCACAACTTGTGAAGTTGAAAATATATCAACCATCCCAGATTAATCATGATTCTCTCGAGTCATCGCTCCCTGCTGGCTCCAAGCCTTGGCAAGCTTGACTCAAAACATTGCCAGTTCACCCCTGCGGTCTGGTGCATGCGGCAGCCCCATGCCAAGGGACGCAGGCCGGCATGGTCAGGCCTCTGCAGAGCTACCTCTGGCCAGCGTGGCAAAGCCCAATAAATAGAACTTTCCTTCATCAGATCACCTTCAAGGTAACTTGCATCTGCAGACCCAAAAACTAGTATGCGCTGCTGCCTTTTCCAAGGGTCCCTGGTATTTTCATTGTGAAGAGTCTTAAAAACACCTTCGACCAGCCTTATAAGGCTTCTGAGCCTACATCTTCATGGCCACAGAATATATTCAATGGCAGCCGCACCACATTTTGTATCCGATTGTCCCTGGCGTAAGAAAGGGGCCAGCGATTAATTGATGAAAGTAATCGAACCCATTGCACATCAATCAAAATAGTCCTACCGCCAATCAAGTCCAAGACAACACAATGAAAGAAATCGAAACTTAGCTGGCAATTGTGCTGTAGCGGTGTTTCAAAATTGCCAGCACGATCATATGATCCCTATGGCAGCAGCTGTAGGGACCCCAACAGTCGAAGACAAACATCTCGTTTGTTGACATTCGCAACCTGACACTTCTACTCAAAATTGGTCAGGACAGAGGGACACGTGCCGCACAGGCTTCTATTCAACGGCGACATCTTACGCCTGAGAGCTGTCAACCACAGCGTCCCACTGCTCTTCTGACAAGGGCATCACCCGACCATTGTACACATCGGCCATTTCCCAGTTGGCCAGATCAGCAAGAGGCACCGCTCTTTCAAATGCTTTCACCTGCATCACAGCTGGGATTGAGAGGATGCAGCACTGAGTGTGAGGAATTTGTGCCACTGCAAGAGCCTGGATCGACCCTCCGGCTTACAATTTGTTTATTTATTTAAACATGGACCCTTCATGCGTGCTGGCAGCCGTGCGACAAATTGCAAGGGCGCGCACCAGCTTGACTTGAATAGCCCAGTATGGATTGTTGCCAATGCTGCAGCCGGGCATAAATCTGTCTGGCCTTGTGACCCAGTGCTTTCGGCTGAATTCAGCATCCCATGCTGTGGCATCTGGGACCGGATCCCCTGGATAGGATACAAGCGCTTCAGAGTCAGTCTTCGGCAGGAACATTTTGAAAATCGGATGAAGAGGTGAAAAACTTGCAGCAGCACAGTGGGCAGTGATGCACAGGTGGAATATACCAATTGCTTCAAGGATCGCCGTGATCGCTGGTGAAGGTCCTGATTCGCACAAGAAAATGACGTCCTCGCGTCTGATGTTCTTCAAGTTCGTGACATCTTCCGCCCGTCGGACTCCTTCGACACAAATCAACTGTCGATCAGTGACTAGGAAGGGAAAATTGCTGCTCTTCTAAGTACACTCAACTACAAGGATGTTGCGTCAGGCTCCAAAAAATAAAGCCTGGATGGCATTTAATGCAAGTCGCAGGTGAGTGAGGAAAGACAAGACACTACTAGGAATTGACACCAATAGCCATGTTGTACCTGTCCACAGAACCTCCCTGCGACCTTTAGCATCAGAATCTTCAACGGAGAATTCGGTGGATTGCTTCCCAAATAACCAGTAAGCGCTGGAAGGGTCTGCTCCCGAGTCACTTTGGCACATCTAGGGGCAGGATGACAGCGCTGTACTATCTGCACAAGGTGCTCTGAGGCAAAATGGAATAACGTTCGTTTTGTTATTCCACAGGATGAGTGCTGCCAATAGATGACAAGTTCGGTGGCAAATAGATTGCCAATTTGATTCCCAAGGTGACTCGGATTCCCAGCTCATCACGTCTCGGAGATCCCTACCCCATTACATCATTCAGAAGTGCATGCAATTGGAGTGCATGCAAGCTGAGAGATGGCTTCGATGTGAGCATCCTTTGTGGATCTCGCATCGCAGTGACCAAGTTCAAGTGCACATAACTGTTCTCTCATGAAGCTGAAAGCCTTGTCGACATTTCAATACCCGCAATAGACTGCGGCAAACTTTAAAGCTTCTTGAAGAGTTTTCCTAGAAGCTTTTGATTGATCCTATGATAGTATTTGCTATGGCTGAGAAGAATGCAGCCTTTGATATTAATAGCTAATTCTACTAGCATGCATGTCTGAATTCTCTTAGACATGGTATGCTTTCCGTAATCAATTGTTGTATCAGGTTGCATGCACCTCATAGCATGTTCCAAGAAAATCATCCAGGCGGATCCATCCGGTAATGGACCACACGACACGACACAGGGGGTGGAAAATTGCACCACACTCTCGCACACCAGACTCACCCTATCGTGCACATCCAATTGCGGCTGCCTTTTGGGACTCTTGCTTTTGGTCTGGTGTTGCAGTCTCAAGTCTTCACGGACGCTCAACGAGGTCAAAACCTCGCACCTCCTGCAGGAGTTGGGATCCGTGCTCGTTTTCGGGAGGTACAAGCATGGGTTCCTTTGTTTGAGGGTTTCGCCAGAAATCTGTGAAGCTTTAAGAAGAGTCCTATGCGATCAAATTGAGCCGGATCCCCAACGCTTCCAGCTATGCTGGACGTCTCCCCACAGGGCTTCCAAAAGAGCTCCTCCATCAGTACCAATGGTTGCACGATCGCCAATGGCGTGGTGCGCTGAGCTTATTGCAACCATAATATTTTCTTCTTGCCTGATGTCAGCTTCGATCTCCACAAGGATCAAGTGAGAGCCTGCAGCTCAAAAATGTATTGGTGTCTTTATGCAGAGTTCAAAGGAAGTACACACTGAAGACGACACACTAAGGGAGAACAACGTGTACGTAAAGAATCTGGCACCTGATGTTGATGATGAAAGGCTGCAGCTTATGTTCAAGGTGTGCTCCCATTGAAATATCTCTTCAAGGTCTGCCCAATTATGATCCTTCCAAGCCCGCTGCCTGCATAGCCCAAGCTTTGATTGGCATAAGTTACTGGAAGATACATCTTCCTTTCACCTATTAAACATGAAGCCACTGTCACTCTGGCAAATTTCTCTTTGATCCTGTAGCCGTTGTTGCAGGAGTATGGTGCTGTGAAGTCCTGCCGAGTGCTGTTTGATCACAATGCCGTCAGCAAACAGGTGGCGTTTGTGCAGTTCGAAACAAACCAGCAGGCTCTTGACAGCATCGCTGCGCTCCACAACAAGGAGGTGCGCTGCCCAGCTGCACCGCCTGATACACCAACCCTGAAAAGCATTTGTGCTCTATGAGTTCTTTGATCCATCTCCAATGCACCCATAAAGGCAAAGGCAGATTATTGCGCCGCGCTCTCACTGGGATTTCTCTTCTGGCCAGCACTCTGAGTGGTATAGTTTATTTGTCCTCTCTAAACTTATGTCAGATTTTGTCAGACAGGACCTGAAATTTCTTGGTTGATCTCTGACCTGGTGGAGGAAAGCCCAAGTTAGAGAAGGTTGGAAGGCCGTCATAGAAACGCTGCTGCGAAGCACCTGATCCTCATGGAGTGGAAAGGCGTGTAGTAATAACAATAAAAAGTCATTTCCTGTGCTGGGACGCCTGTGAATTTGTGGACAGCCGCTGATCAACCTTTGCTTGCTGCACAGGCGGGCGGAGCAAAGCCGCTGCATGTGGCACTGGCGATGAGCAAGATTGACCGGCAGCGCAAGGCGCGCCTATGCAGCAGCGAGGGGCGCCGGTGCAGCGCTGAGCTGCCCTCTGACGAATTGGTAATGATTTTAACCAACCGTCAAGAGCCACATATTCTTATGTTATTACACGCCTTTCCTGCCAGAGGCAAGGTGTCAAGTTGCTGACAAGGTGCAGGCAAAGGCTACCAAAGTCCTTCCTCTTGATGGACTCGCCAGATCCAAGCAAGACCCGATCAACCGTGGGCACGATCCGCGGTATTATACCGTCCCCGTCAGCCGGGGCATAGAGCCAATTATTAAGAATAAACAGCACACGCAGCAAAGTGAGGGTGCTCACCCAGCTGCAGCCTCCCATCTCTGGAGGTACCTGTTCGAGCGCCCTAACTGCGCAGCCTCATTGAGGAAAGGGTCGAAAAGCTTCCTGTGATGCTCCTGCAGGAGTGGATCAACAATGGGATGCCCTTACAGCGGGGTGTCCCCCCGGCAGGAATCCCGCTGCATCGGCCGATGGTGCCTCGACCTGCCACCAATGGATATGCCCCAGGTGCAATCTGCGATGAAGGACTTCTGCCTTTTCAGAAGACTCCTGTACCAATGGTAATAGCGCTGCTAGGACTGCCACAACATGTCTGCACACTTCTGCTGTTCCTGACTGCCAGGGCCAGGAGTGAACAAGAAGCTATGCTTGCATGGTAAGATTGCATGCAGATGAAAAGTGCTTTCTGGAAAGAATTGCAAACTTGTGCGCAGGTCCATTCTACATGGCTCCTGGCCCGTACCCGTCCTACGGCAACCCCCCTTACGGCTTCTCCCCGCCGATATTCGCTGCGCCGCCGAGCGGCTTCCACTTTGTGCCCCACGTGCAAGGCCCCATGATGCCTCCCATGGTGCACCAGCACCCGCCAATGGTGCCACTCATCCCCCACGCCCTCTTCATGGATGGCTACATGGTGCCTGCCCCCAGCTCCTGGACTGCTGTGCCCAGAATGGAGGCATGGGCGCCCAAGGTGACTCAAGTGCCCACCTGCTGATGATTTTGTTCCTCAGCGGCGCTTTTGATGATGTGCCAATCGAACAAACCAGGGTCACCGCATGCGGTGTTTCCGGTGTTCAACACACTTATCAAGTTTTGCCGATCTGTGTGGAATGTGCTGAAAGGGGCCTGCAAGTGTGTTGGATCACTGATCTGCGACAGCACGAGTCAGCCATCCAGTGCATGCTAGTTATGCTTTTGTGGGTTGCGCAACAAGAGGTTTGAAGATGAGGAAGGAGTGTTGACAATTCGGCATGATCTGAGGTCTGTCCTCCCTTAAAGCGGTCTTTCTTGGGGTGACATGGTTCTTTGCGTGCAGGAGGGTGCCAACCACATGATGCCTGCACACACCATCTACAAGCCGATCGTCGGCTCGCATTCACCAGCTTATGAGTCATGGAGGGGCAGGTGATGGACTGCCAGTGACAGGCTGTCTGGCGCCAACAAAGAAGTCATGCTGAAGTTGCAGAACTGGGCATGTCCAGTTGCATGCTACTGTGCAACCACTGCACGGCGCGCAGTGCAATGGTTGCACAGCTCGCTGTTGTGTCAATGTCAGCTGCAGAAGGCAAGCAACGATAATTTGCTTTGTCAAGCAGCGGGTGGGTCTTTCAGATGTTGCTCCTAGACTAGGGCCCTTCAAAATGTTGTTCTGCACGACTGACCAAGCAAATGTTGACTCATTGCTGTGCTGCTTGCTTTTGCACAGTAGCCCAACATGGGGAATACTATAGGGCCGGCACAGCTTTTTGGTCTGTGTTTCCCGGTGTTGCATACCCAGTGGACAACCTTACCACATCAGGCCTGCAAGGCAAATATCTGCAGTGTTTGAGTAAGCTGGCCAGCGGCTTCCGAGCGAGTGGTTGGAATATATACGTGGGAGGAAATGCAATTATTGTATTAAATTTGCAGCCTCATGGCCTTTTGTTGAGCAAGTATCCTTCCGTAGAGTAGTTAGCACAAGAGCATGGGGTGCACAGCGCTTGATTAGCGATGCGTTGTAGGGACTCACGTGGTCTGATGCAGTGTGCATGCCAAACATTGTCATGTTTGGTTTCGCAGCCAAGAAAAGATTGAGGGAATGAGCAAGAGACAGCGTCCCCAAGCTTGCAGCTGCCAGTGAGCAGAGTACATATGCCGTCTGATTTCATGGTTGTGAGGTTTCTGATCAGGAATCCTGATTCAGGATCATGATTGGCTGCTAGGACCTGCAGTGCAGTGCAGTACTGGTGTGTGGAGCTCTTGAGAATGACGCAAGAGCTTTCTTTGTCTGAGGCTGATATATCATAGATGGGTAACATGCCAACCGGTGAAATCTCTGTTGCTTCAAGCAATTGCAAATGGCAAGTTGCCTACAGCTGTTCGGACCTGGTCTCTGCTCCGAGCAGAGTCTGCACCTGTCGCCACTGATATGAAGTCCTCACCACTCTTGCTGAACGCACCGCACGTCACCGCACGTACAGATGGGTCCACATGCTTTAATGACATGCCACAACCTCATCAGCTGTATTCGTCATGCCTCAACTAGGATCCAGCAGCTGCCCTGGGCAGAGGAGGGAATGGGGGAACGTGCTATGAATTTGACCGTTGAAGGGCCAGGTGATCGATGCATTTCAATTCCTGGTGAAGGGGGTATAGAAGTGAGCCATGGTCTTGCCTTTCTATATGTTTCACATATGACACTCGATCCTTTGTGACGTGAAGGCCGCTTGAGAGGAGCCAAAGCGTCGTTTTGCCTCTTGCCATGGAGAACATCAGGTATGTAAAAGACGTCAGGAGCGTGTCATGCATCGGTCTGCGACAGATATTCCATACCTAACAATTTATTTTCAAAGCAAAGTTGTGTTGACAGGACCACAATTTCTTCAGTGCCAGTGTCAGCCTAAGAGGACAGTCTTTCACTTTACAGCCTGGTTTTCATATACATTGAGGCCTGCTCCTCAATAATAATGCCATTGCTGCAGTGTGAGTGTCAGAGTTCGTCCGCTGAGTGAAGTGGAGGCGGAGAAGGGTGCTGCCTGGAGGATAGAGGGAAACACAATCCAACCAGCTGGCAGGGATGCACCAGACGGCGGGTACAGCCTCGACAACGTCTTCGACAGCAGCTGGAGCACAGAGGCCGTCTACCAACACACCACCAAGGATCTGGTCAAGAAGGTCGTTGGAGGCTTCAATGGCACGGTCTTCGCCTATGGGCAGACGAGCAGTGGCAAAACCCACACAATGCGTGGGACAGCCTCGGACCCAGGCATCGTGCCTCTTGCCGTTCAAGACATCTTCAATCACATATCCAGCACACAAGACCGAGAGTACCTGGTCCGAGTGTCCTATATGGAGGTGAGTATTTTCAGGAATTCCCCTGATCACAGGCCAAGCCAAACACCTTTCTGACTTGGAGCGCTGTCACAATTGCCAATTAGAAATTTCTGTAGGCCTTATAAACCGTTGAGTATGGCACACCTTTCTTCAGGTGCCCCCACTGTCATTCCTGAGGTTGCAGATGTGTACAACTGGGAACAGGGACAACCTCACACATCTCCTTGGTTGCATGCAGCTGTACAACGAGGAGGTCAACGACCTGCTGTCGACAGACAGCACCAAGCTGCAGATCCACGAGAGCAAGGAGAGCGGGGTCTATGTGGCTGGCCTGCGCGAGGACATTGTGACAAGTGTGGAGCATGTGCTCCAGCTGCTGGAGGAGGGCGAGCGCTCCCGCCACGTAGGGGAGACTCGCATGAACAAGAACTCCAGCCGCTCCCACTCCATCTTCCGCATGGTCCGCACCACCCCACACCCCTACCACTGCCTCACCCGCCTTCCTTCCTGCTTCCTGGCAGGATCAAGCAACTTTCCCAGATCCCATGGAAGCATATTGCTGATTACACGTGCACGAGCTTGAGGGGCGCTTACAGTAAACATTGCTGCTGCCCAACTTCAAGATCACAGATGTGCTCATGCGTGAAGTGTCTTCTGCGTCGTGTGCAATAGTTTCAGGCTGCAGGGATGTATTCTGTCGTGAAATACCCTTTTCCATGTATTTACATTTGGCGCAGGTGGTGGAGAGCCGCAGCCTGGACCAGGAATCGGAGGAGGGCGGGGCGGTGTGGGTGTCAGTTCTGACGCTGGTGGACCTGGCGGGCTCGGAGCGCATCAGCAAGACTGGCGCGGAGGGGCTGCGCATGAAGGAGGGCGCCTCCATCAACAAATCCCTGCTCACCCTCGGCACCGTCATCAACAAGCTCAGCGAGGGCACCCAGACCCAGGGTCAGCCCCTCGTCAGAATCTAAGCTCGCAAACAGGCCTTGTCTACGCTTCTCTGCATGCACAGCATTGCAGCCTTCAGTCAGTCAGGATGTGCATGAGCACACCTACATCTGATCAGGAGATCTAGCGCAGTAAAAGATCCTAGGAAGAGGGATCAATATCTGGACAGCCACTCAGATTGGCTGCGCAATCTGAGATCAAAGAACAATGGGGTGAGCCAACATGCAATTTCTTGCGCATGCAGGGGGGCATATACCGTACAGGGACTCCAAGCTGACGCGCATCCTGCAGCCGTCGCTGGGAGGCAATGCGAAGACGGCCATCATCTGCAACATCACGCCGGCCTTTGTGCACTCGGACGAGAGCCACAGCACGCTGCGCTTTGCCTGCCGTGCCAAGCGCGTGGTGAACAACGCCATGGTGAACGAGGTGCTGTCGGACGCCGCCGTGCTCAAGCGCCAGGCCAAGGAGATCGAGGAGCTGCGCCGCGTGCTGGCGGCCAACGGCGGAGGGTGAGGCAACATCCCTGCTCCCATTTCTGTCCTAAGTCCCACACCCTTAATCACTCCTATGTCCCACGCTTATTGGCTAGCCGTGTCCATGCAATGATAGTCTTTGTAAGGGCTTCCACTGAGAGCTGACACAATGGACCACAGCACCACGCTGCTCTGCGATGGACAAATGCACAGGATGCATGGGCGATTGGGTGGCGCGAGGTTTTGGTCAGAATACCCATTGAACATCTGCGGTGTGTGTGCGGCAGGAACGCGGAGGTGGAGCAGCAGATAGCGCAGCTGCGCGCAGAGCTGCTGCACAAGGAGCAGGAGAACGAGCGCGTACAGATGCAGCTGGCCAAGGAGAAAGAGGAGCGCGAACGTGCCGAGCGCCAGGTGAGGGGCATCCACATGTCGACATCTTAGAGTTGAACCTGATCAAAATTGATCTCTTCATCATCATGACCTTCATTGACGTCTTGGTGAGACAATTAGAGTCAGGGGACGCCGCGTAATCCTCCTGTGGGTGCACTTTGCCTGCGCATTCAGCCCCGTGTTTGTTTCAGCGGTCATGGATATTGGCGAGAGCCCAGCGGTTCACTTATTCTGGACATCTGTACGTGGTATGTTGCGCTGAGTGATGGGGACTGGATATTTGGCAAAACATGTGGTGGAATGTCGTACGTTAATGGGCTATGTCTCCACAGGTGACTGGCCTGACGCGGCTGCTGGAGGGGCAGAAGGAGGCGGCCAGCGCTGGCAGCGGCCGCAAGGAGAACCGCCGCGAGACGTGGTGCCCCGGAGCCAAAGGTGCCTGCTTTCTACCACATGCAGCCCTTTGCCAGCTCAATGCATCCCTTGGGGTGTGCCGCTCAGGACTGCATTCCTGCGTCGATGATGGTTGCAGATGGGCATGCTTGATGCACAAGTGAAAAATGCAAAAATTTGAAGAATTGAAATGCTTTGGGGTGTGCAGAGGGGAGGGGAAGGAAGCGGCCGTTTGCGTCGCACCTGCCCAACTTTGACGAGGACTGCACCGACGACACTACAGTGTCTGCGACTGAGGACAGCCGCTCTCGTTCCCCCCAGAGGCGCCGCAGCTCCCGAGGTGCTCTTTCCTTGCTGACTGACTCAGTGCAAATGCTCCTCAAAGACTCTAGCTTTCCGCATCAGCCAGCTTTCCTGCAACCGCGATCATTTGAAGCAAAGGTAACACTGGAAGGCATATGCATGCGTGGAGCCGTTGATAGGATGCTCCAAGGAACACTGCTTGAGGTGGCATGCATGCGAGTACAGGAAATGCAGTGCGCTTTTTGATGTGTTTAGAGGTTGCATTTGCGTGCATGCAGGTGATGAGATGCTGGAGGAGGTGACAAACAAGGAGGAGGATGGGGCGGTGTCAAGGCCGAGTGAGGGGGAGGGTGCTGGTGATGTGGCGGAGCTGCGGGCGCGCATCCGTCAGCTGGAGATGCAGCAGAGCCTGATGGACAGCGAGCTGGACTCCATGAGCGACCTGGCCAAGCAGAGCGACGCGCAGCTCAGGTGAGTTTTGCTCCACACAGCAGCAGATGTTTCAAAATTTGACCAAACTGGCATGTGCTTCTGCGTGCTCACGGCACGCTCCTTGAGGTGAGGCGCCGGCTTGTAGTGCCTTACAGAAGGGATGGAGACATAGGGAAGGAGAAGCAACTCCCCTTCCTGTCTTCGTAGGATGCCCATCTTCAATTGGCTTTCCTCCGGCCTCCACCCTTGTTTCTCCTATATTGAGTGCTGGTAAATTTGAGTGCCGGCGTCAGTTCACGTTGGGGTGGGCTGAGACAACGGCTTGCACCAGGGGAACGCACAAATGTGCTGAGGTCGGGAGTGCGTGTGCTAGCGCATGCACCCGTAGAACGATGCTGATGTGCGTACTGAGCGCGGGTGCTGAGCGCAGGGTGGCGGAGGCGGAGCTGTGCACGGTGGCGGAGGAGCGCGACGCATTGCTGCCGCAGCTGGAGGAGGCGCGCTGGCGCAACCGCCAGGCCGACAAAGACCTCGCGCAGCTCCGGGAAGACTCCGACCGCCTGCAGCAGGTGCGCAGCTGGCCTTGATTGCATGTTCCAAGTGCATCACAATGCCACCTGCATGAGGGGCCTGAACAGAGATCACGCTCTCTGGCCCAGATCACAGGGTCTTAAAGATACGGCAGTCCAGTAAAAGCCACTTCCCTTGCTGGCAACAAGTTTATCTACACCGAGCTAGGCAGCAAACACAAACAGCCCAAGTAATGTACACCAATATAACCAGCATGCACCAACAAAGACTTGAGGTCAGATCTCTTATTAAGCCTGAACAAGCTCCAAGCTAGGCACAACATGACTTTGGCTTCACCAGGGAACAAGATGCCAGCCCTTACGGTTTGCTGCATCCAAACATCAAAAGTTCAAACATGTTGTTCGGCAATGCTGTTGGCAAATGCAGGAGCTGGAGGAGGCGCGAGGGGAGATGGAGGCGCGGCAGAGCAGCGCAAGTGGGCGAGAGGCGGAGCTGCAGGCGCAGGTGGCCACTCTGAAGCAGGAGGCGCGCGCGGCACAGGAGGAGGCGGCCGTCCTGAGGGGTTCCCTGCTGGAGGCCTCCGAGGAGGCCGCCGCACTGCGCCTGGACAAGGGCCGCCTCGACAGCCGCCTGGACCAGCACTCCCAGGTGCGGCAGAGATTTCTGTGTGGACACCAGAACGGTCACTATAGACACCGCTCTTGGCAACGAAGTCAGGATCGACTAATAGATTGATTGGCCTTGAGAAAACGGAGACGTTCTTCATGTCTGAGCGGCCGCATGCTGCGACTCATTGTGAGTAGAAAGGTAACAACGATGTGAGACAAGTGTGGCTGATGTGGTGCAGGAGGTGGCTGAGCTGGAAAGCAGAGCGGCTGCTCACAAGGAAGCACTGGCAGAAGCCAAAAAGGTTGCCGAGGTGCGCGTCGATCTGCCAATCATGCAGAATATCAGAGCTCTTTACATGTCTGTCAAGAAACAATCACCTGTCGTGATGCTGAAGTCATTTCTGAACGCCTGCAATCAAAACAGATTTGCCCTGGGTTGCCACGAGCTCGTATGATATGTTGAACAGGCTCAGCACTGTATCAGCCGTCAGTGCATGCTAAGCTGAGGCATGGTTTGTTTCATACTGAGAGCACCACTGTGGTTGCGTTTACAGGCTGCAGAGGAGAAGGCGGCGGAGGCTGCCGGGCGCGCGCGGGAGCTGTACGACGCAAACAAGCGGCTGGAGGACCACATCCACGACCTGGAGACGCGCAAACGAGCGCCGCTGTACCAGAAGAAGCAGGAGGAGGAGCTCAAGGCCGCCGTTGAGAAGGCGCAGGAAGCTGAGATTCGCGCCACCGAGGCCGAGCTCAAATGCAAGGAGGCCAAGGTGCGCCGCCGACAGTTCTTCGTCTCTATGTACCATGCACACTGTGCGAGCATGCATACTATTCATGATAAGCTCAAGCCCGCTAGTACGCACACGGAAGTGCACATATACACTCTTCAGCATGCGGGAAATGAATTGGCATAATAAAGAAAATGCGACAAAAAGCAATCATCTAGTGAGCACCAGTATGGAAGTAATGCAGTCACGGGCAACAGGCAATGTTCCAAGTGCATCATCAATGCAACATTTAATATGATCATATAAAATTGTATGCTTGCAGGGTGAGCGTGAGATAGCTGAGAAAGCAGCCGCCGAGGCAAGGGAGGAGATGGAACGCCTGCAGAAGAAGCTGGTGGAAGCCGCAGCCGAGTTGGAAAGCAGCATGATGCGCATCATTGCTGAGCAGCAAAAGGCACAGGTGATGCCTTTCATCTCACCCGGGCTTGATGTCTTTATTTGTTTGATCGCAGGCGTGCAGGCATACAGGGCCCTCCAACATCTGTTTGATGTTGTTGCACTGCAGCAATGGAGAAGTGTGGACATTCATCAGTCTCCTCAACATGCATGAGGGAGCAAATGCGGATATGTCACTCATGCATGGCCATATCTAAAGTCATTGGGTCGTAGAGCTCAAGGATGCACATTTCGCATGCAGGCAGCGCACGATGGCGAGGTTGCAAGCTTGAGGGCGGCCACAGCCGCTGCAGAGGAGCACAGCCGCGACCTGCAGTCCCAGCACGATGCTGAGATGGACGACAAGGCTGCCACCATTGCAGAGCTCAACGAGGAAATCGAGCAGTTGCATGCCAAGGCAGCCGCCCTGGAGGCCAACATAGGTATTAATTGCAGAGCTCTCCTTGCTGCACCACAATTTTTGTATCTAAGAAATAAAATGAGCTTTGGCAGAACAATTTGCTGTTCATATAGTGTCCCTCCAGAACACCTCATAAGCATGCCAGTCTTTGCATGAGGCACCTTTGCAATTGGAGAAAAGCGGACTGAGTGTGGTTGATTCTGTTGAGCAGGTGAGACGCAGGCGTGTGCCGAGGCGGCAGCAGAGCGCGTGACCTTCCTGGAGGAACAGATCTCCGCACTCAACGCTGAAGCTGAGAAGGCAGCCAAGGAAGCAGAGGAGACGCTGGCGGCCGCGCAGGCAGAAGCTGCCCGGCAGCTGGTGGCTCTGCAAAGCGAGAAGGATGCTGCCCTGGCTGAGGCGCAGGCAAACCTTGTGGCAGCCCAGGTGTGCATCTATAAACTGAAAATTGAGGATACCTCTCCTGATGACTAATGCATCCATTTGTTCACACACAGCCAGGGATTGATACCGCGTTTGCAAATATATCAGTGAAACTCTTCCTGACCTTTGCTGCGGGGTGCCTTTACAGAGATCATGTGCTACTACAAGAACTGAATGAGGTGCTGTGGCATGATCAGAGGTGAGCTTCCTATTTGTGGCATGTGACAGGAAGCCACCAAGGCAGCCGAGGGCAAGGCAGAGGAAATTGGAAACGCGGCGGAGGAGTCAGTCGCTGCTGCGCAGGCAGCTGGCAGCGCTGAGGTGGACCGCATGCGCAAGCTGCTCACCAGCTCGGCTGCCGAGAAGACTGAGT